AACCAACCAAACCCAACCCAAACCCAAACCCAAACCCAAACCCAAACCCAAACCAAACCCAAACCCAAACCCAAACCCAAACCCAAACCCAAACCCAAACCCAAACCCAAACCCAAACCCAAACCCAAACCCAAACCCAAACCCAAACCCAAACCCAAACCCAAACCCAAACCCAAACCCAAACCCAAACCCAAACCCAAACCCAAACCCAAACCCAAACCCAAACCCAAACCCAAACCCAAACCCAAACCCAAACCAAACCCAAACCCAAACCCAAACCCAAACCCAAACCCAAACCCAAACCCAAACCCAAACCCAAACCCAAACCCAAACCCAAACCCAAACCCAAACCCAAACCCAAACCCAAACCCAAACCCAAACCCAAACCCAAACCCAAACCCAAACCCAAACCCAAACCCAAACCCAAACCCAAACCCAAACCCAAACCCAAACCCAAACCCAAACCCAAACCCAAACCCAAACCCAAACCCAAACCCAAACCCAAAGAATAAACCCAAAGAATAAACCCAAAGAATAAACCCAAAGAATAAACCCAAAGAATAAACCCAAAGAGTAGAATTTTTATCAAACCCATGTAAAGAGACTAAGACCACAATTTTTCAAACACTCCAAATCAACATTTATCAATTATCTCAGCAAGTATCAATACACATTCAATAATACTTCATAGACATGTTGGCATATACATGATAAACATGATATATCAATCTCATAAAGAGTAGTGAACATCATCACAATATATAAAGAAAATGTAACAATTTTTTCAAAGTTTCATATCACACCAAGCAAACAACAATATACAACACTTCAAAATGATAGGACTCACACTATGACATGAGTACTTCATGATCATGAAAGAATATTTAATATACAAAACAAAGATGTCATCCATCACAACATCAAACTTTATTGTAATGACTGAAACATTGCTCAACACATACAATTGATGGATCAACACAATCACTATCACGTGATCACACCATCATGACAAGCATGTTTATCAACTTGAATGAATATTCAAACAACCATGTTTCATCTCATCACTCTTCATGAACAACTTTGAACACTCATCCATTTGGTGATAACAACGAACATGGTAGACGTATCCAATACGGTTGAAAGACACATCTACGATCACTACAAATGATTTCAATCATGATTCCGTCATCACAACATCAAACAACACTGATCAATCACAACAACATTTTTTTGGATAAATTCTAAATGCGGAAGAGTAGGGTCAGTAAATCCAGACAAAATTCAAAATCAAGATGACTTGAACATTGACGCATATCAACCACATACACCATACATTTCATATGTACTGATCATGAAAATCAATGAATTAACTCTTTATTTTCAATGCAGCCATCATAAATCAACACAGGCTATCCATGAAAGAGTGTCAAACATGACCTGACAGAATCCTTCCATCATACAATGAATCACATCACTCCACACAATCAATAATAACACAATGGAACAATATCAACACATGGGTGATTGCAACAACTCTAGGAAAAAACCATGTCTCACATTGTAATGTACTTCATGACAAAATCTTCTCAGGTGCTCAACAACAATACATTCTAGACATGAACAAATACAAGAATTGATATCAATGTGTTGTACACCATCTCATCTACCATAAAAAACTATCTGCATCACTCTCCTGACAACTCTTCAAAAATTAATTAATAATCATTTTCAACACAGCTCATGTGCCTCATAACAAAATCAACTCATATAGATAAATTCCACAAATTTCAAAATAACAATATCACACTCTATACTATCATATAAAGCCACTGTGATATTCTTAAAATTATTCAGTATCGTAGTATCATGTGAAAAAGAAAAATAATTTGAAAGAGTGAAACACCACTTCCACAACTTGTTGAGTCAGTGAGTAAAAACAACATGGATGTATCACACTCATCATGAAGAACATGTTGATGTATATTGTTCATGACACACTCACTCTCGGAAGGACATGGTATCACATCACTACGACATTCATGATGATACTCCACTAATAATGATCATATCCATCATCAATAGTCATAGAATTGTTCTTCGCAAGGTATTATACAACAATACAATCATCGGTTTATCGAAAAACTGAATCAGTCAATTGTTATAAAATGATCATTCAATCATACAACAATACATACCAACAACAATTCATCATGATCATTTTCAACCACTCACAATCACATGAAACACTTCTACAATGATGACCACAACGTGTATTGATGATAGAATGAAAGTCATGAACAAGAGAGGAGAGTTGTACCCTTCCTCAAGAAATGATGTTTTCCGAGAAAAGCGAAGTGCTCCTATTCCATGAAACAATCATGTCAATGAATAAAACTGATGATTTGTTGTTTGGATGATCAGAACATCCATCCATATCAATTTCATGAAGTTCTGTGAAGTGCTTGTCTCGATCGTACTTTTCAGCTCTACCATAGAGCCACCATCACACTTCACTTGAATACCATTCATGAAATAACCATCATTTTGAATTGAACCAACGATCAATTCTATGGTTTCTGATCACTGTAACAACATTCCGATCATCAGATTCATTCCATGATCATCACATCCAACGGGAGCAGTTCACTACAATTCCAACCATTACTATTTGATGATTATCATTTCCATGTGTATTCATACACACAAAATATTCCTGATGAATGTTGATCATGATGTGCACATTTGATGTGATCAATATGAATATGTCATGATGATGAATGGAAACATGACCCGATGTTGATGATGATCACCTCAAAAATGCAGGGAAGTTTGGCTTCATTTTTTTTTAATTTTTTTTTGAAAAATTTTCATGTCATTTTTGACCTCGTTGAAACTCCTTTAAACTTGATTTTCTCGAAAACTACCCTAAACCTGATCGAACGCTCTATCATGACCCCCATTATTTTCGTGAGATCTACAAAAATGGTGTCGCTTAAATTCTATCAAAAATTTGACACCTGTTACCATTTGTTGAACGACTCAACCAACTTAGCTCACTATCCAATGATGTCGCTAGCACGAATATACTACTCTTCAAAATCTATCGAATGAAATGCTTGGATCAAGCTCAACATCAAAGATGACGAAAACCCCGACCATGCACGAGAGGTCTACTTTAAGCGAATACAGTTCAATAATTACCCATAATTAATGGATGAAAGTCATATCAACACATAGATATACCTCCATCCCCGACGATTTCATAAAAATTAAAAATCCCATGATTAAGCATGTCGAAAAATTAAGATTACAAGTCAAGGCGGTCACCTATCCAAACCCCATGAGAACAAACTTTCGAGACAAAGACCGCATCTTCAATTTTGCTGGAATGTCATTATCGCAAATCAAGCGCCCCAAACGACATACCGCCCGCCAAACCCATCAACAAACAAGAGTGGCTGTAAAATGGGTTTGACCAAATATATTCCCGGTCAAAATTTTTAACCTTCATGAACCTGAACTGTCCAGGTCAAAAATTTGACCAGCTACAAAAATCATTCCATAACACTTCTTCACCCACCTTTATTGTTTGTTTTTAGACCATAGCTGCTTTGTCATCCGTAATTTATTTGCAACCAAATGATAAGAGTTGTAATGTAAAGGTGCCATTTTACTGAGATTACCACATTTCAGCCAACCTGAAATTGCTGGCAAAATAGGTTGTAAAAAGACCACCCCAAACATGAGGACCATAATATGCAGATTGAATATACCATCTGTCTGGGTTCTTATTTGCAGCAGGAATTGTGTTGGCTGCGTCAGCAATCACTTGACGAAGTCTTGGCTTGACGTCCTTTGCAAACACTAGAGTTTGTCCAACTGCTGGATAAGTCAGACCATAGGATCCAATCACGTCATCAAAACCCCAAGTATTTGGAGTGTTAGTATTTGCTCCATTGAAAAACCAACTCTTGGCTGGAACACGAGATGGACTAACAATAGCATAATGAAGACTTAGTTGATAGAAAACAGTCAAGCTTGGATTATCATAATTTTTCATCACAAAGGAAGTAATAAAAGTAGCTTGAGTCAAGCATGAGGAAGCCACTTGTCTAATGTAATAGGGTCGAACAGTCAATGTGTGATACAATTGTCTTCCATTATTAATGAGAGGTCCTTCAATGGCTGGAACAAATGGTGGGGTTGTATAAGTATTGGAGGTCGTTGGCTCTGCAAACAAGTTCGCTTCAATACAGGTACACATCAAAACTGACCCCCCCTGCTCCGGAGAGGGGGGGTATCTCCGCACCGTCATTTTATCGCTGCAGAATCTTTAAACGAATATTTTTTGCAGGCAACTGACGGCGGAGTGCTAGTTATTGCAAAGTATTGTGGTGTCCTTGTATTGCAACACCACAACCCAACAGATTTCCATTTAAAGCAAGCTCAAGAGTATTATTGGATGGAGTATAAACCACTCTAGAGCTAGGATTGGAAACAGAATATTGATTATTGAAAGCACCGAGTTCATACGCGTTTTTCCATTGAGCAATGTGCCAATTTGAAACTCCAGGTGTTCCAGGAGTTTTCAATGTGCCGTCAAACGTTCTAGGAGCTATTTTGTATCCAGTTGCTTGTTGGATAATGTCCTTGTAAGTGACACAGAAGGCATTGGAAGCAAGACACAGCAAGAGTGCGAAGAGAAAAACGAGGCTTGTGGTCATCTTTGAACTTGTTGACATTTTTTTGACTTGATGTTGTTGGGAGATGATTGCAATCGAGTATCATCGATGAACAGATCTGTGAACTAGAAGACAAGTTCTGTCTTTGAAACTTCCAACAATGTCGAGCCAGAAATTTCAATGTAACATGCAATGATGATTCGTGATAGTTCACAAATTGAATTGCATGTTTGATAGGTGGTATGCATTGTTCGAATGTTTAACAGAAATTATAAATTCAGGTTCGCACTGCGGACTAGACGACGACAAGAGCAAACCTGTTGACAATATTCTATGGTTACTTGTTCTCAACTTGAAGAAGGGACTATTTGGAGGACAGTACATCGATGAAGGAAAGGTGGATGAACCTCAACCATTAAGCAATACACCTTCCGAATCTTGAGTCATCAACAAAACTAAGGTTTTACCGTTCTCCATCCGAAGACTTCTCCGAAGAACACCTTCTTCCGGAATCATCATTCCCATGCATTCGACCATTTCCATACCAACATGCTACCGAAGAAACCTTACTTTTTAATTTATGATATTTTTATCACGGAGCAAGCTTCGGAGGGTTTCGGAGAGGGATGGGCAATAAAAACTTCATCTGTCACAAGATTTTTCAATTCTCATCACCTAAAAAAATGTTCAAAAGAATCTTATTGGCCACTCTTCTTATTGTATCGGTTGCTGTGATCGTGACTGGTCTAGATCCAACCAGACCTGTCAATGATCCTGTTTTGATTAAATTAATCAACAACAGTCCAAAGGTTTTTTGGAAAGCCACTCACTATCCACAATTTGAAAATATGAGTGTGGAAGATTTCAGAAAGGTATGTCACTATGAAGCAATTCAATGAATTGTGTGCGTTCAAATATTATTATTATTATTCTTGCTTATAACTGTCACGAAACTATTCTCATAGCGATTGGGAGCTGTTTTGATTCAACCAGGAACCGATGACATGATCACTGAAAGACATAAACAATCCACACCAACCACCTACACTGCTGCTGCACCAGCAAGCTTTGACTCCAGAGCTAAATGGCCAAAATGTATTCATGAAATTAGGTATGTTTTGACAGCTGTCACTTCACTCAGTGGGATTACAAATTTTATAACTAACATTATAATCATCATCATGTCGTTTTTACAGAGATCAAGAACAATGTGGTTCATGTTGGGCTTTCTCTGCCTCTGAAGTATTGAGTGATCGATTATGTATTGCCACTGATGGTAAAACAGATCTTGTTCTTTCACCTCAATACATGGTTTCATGTGATACTAGAAATTATGGATGCGACGGAGGATATTTGAGTCTTGCATGGAACTTTTTGGTCAAGACTGGTATTCCAAGTGATTCATGTGTTCCCTATACTTCTGGTAATGGTAAAAGTAATGGTAGGTTGTGTGAGTGTGAAGGATAGTTCTCTAAGATATCATCGATTACTTATCTATTCTTTATGGAATCATTTGTTTTCGAAATACTTTACTCTTGAACACAGGTAAATGTCCATCCAAATGTTCCAAAGGTCAAGACATTACCTTGTACAAGGCCAAATCATCCAAGAAGGTTGTAGGTGTGGCCAACGCTGAGAATGAATTGGTTGAATATGGACCTATTCAAACTGGTTTCACAGGTAAGAGATTGAGTTTTGAAGTAACGTGGTGGATGATCATCATGATGGCTTACTGTTCGTGATCAATATGAATTCGTTTTCACAGTTTATCGTGATTTTATGAGTTACAAATCTGGAGTGTATCATCATGTCTCTGGGGAGTCATTGGGTGGTCATGCTGTCAAGATTGTTGGTTATGGAGTTGATTCAGTGAGTAACAAGAAGTATTGGATTGTTGCCAACTCGTGGGGAACTGGTTGGGGCATGAATGTATGTACAGTAATAGTATTGTTGATAGTCTTTAATTCTTGACAACTTATTACAATGTGAAATTTTCATAATATTACAAACCACCTTAATGTAGGGTTATTTCTGGATTTTGAAGGGAACTGATGAATGTGGATTCGAAAGTGAAATGTATACAGGTAAATTATTATTAATTATTATTAATTATTTTAACAATTTATCAATACTTACTCTATATATTTTTTCAACAATGTGAAATAATGATGAACAATGTCAATGAAAACAGGATATGCTTAAATGAATGTACTACCAAAATGTTCAATTTAAGCGTGTAAACAACCCAGTAAAGTATTTCATGTTAGAATTGACCGCCAACTTTCCTGTTAAACTTTTTTTGTTGATTAGTGTCCAATTCATACCGATGATCGTGGAGTGAGTATTATTGCTCTTCATCTTGTTCTTCCTCTTCATCTTCCTCATCTTGTTCTTCATCTTCCTCTTCTTGATTGCTAAATATTCTGTTGTTGAATGTTGGAAGTGCTTTCGAATCACCTCGAACGCATGACTCATAGCTATGCGAGTACTTGAACAGTCCTAAACGTAAAACATTGTACAAGAGAGTGTTCAAGGTTAATGCATCTTCTTGATGTGTGTAGGATCCAAACAAAATTGATTTCACATAATTTAAACACTCTTCGGAATATTCAGAAAAAGAGACACCCTTGTCTGACATTTCATGAGAAAATAATTGCTGTCCATTGACAATACAACTCTCCCCAGTACCATCATGCAGTGGTACAGTTGAATGATACGTAATTTGCACGCTCAAAGGAAATCCACAGCTTGTAAAAACAGTGTATTCTGACAGAATTTCATTGGTGTCTTTAAAATCATCTATAAAAACGGCTTTGAATGGTGCATTCAATTCAGCGTGTGAGAGTTGTGTGCGTCTTGTTGGAATTAACTCGTAAGAAGCGGCATGTTGAGGAAATTGACAAGCTCCAAATAATTTCCACAATGTAGCCCGTGAAAGTGTAAATGTTGAGTAACTCACAACCCATTCCTCGTTTGAGAAAAATTGTGAAAATGCTCGACATAGTTTTCGAGTTTTGTTGAGTCTTGAAAGTACATGTTTCATGCGCCTTTCAATACAAGATCGTTCGATTGAGTACTTATCGGCTATCAAGTACTGGTTAAGCAAGGATGGCATTTGAGTTTCAACGCTGCAATAACTTTTAGTGACATATAATTGCAAAATTTTGTGATAGGTCATTTCATGTTCAATTTTACGTCTTTTAAAACTGCTTTCTGTTTCGATAAATTGATGATGAATTTCCAAACACTCTTCGAGTCGTTTCTGTTCATTACTATCTAATTGAAACAATTTTATCAGGTATTGTTTTGAAAAGCGTTGTGATTCGAATACGTGATGAAATGTTTTTGAAATTAAATACGGTTGGATGACTGGCCAATCCGAGTAATCAGAAAATAATAAAATCGTGGTTGCAACGAGAGGATCCAATGAATATGTTTGATTATTACGACCTGACATTTTTTAGTTCACCACTGAACACTCGCTCGTTCATCAAGATTACAATTCCAAACAGACAAAAAATGCAGCCATTGGAAAGTTCATCATCATCATCACGTGTTGTGTTATGCTTGTTGGATGATTCAAATATTCTTCAAATTCCGAACAAGTATTATTTCATGATGAGAACCACACTTGCAGAGTATTCAAAGGGAAGACGAAAATATAACGAAAACAAATACAAGTGGTTGGAGCAAATTAAAAACAAACAAATTGTCGACAAATTGACCTTTCTTCCGATTGAATTTATTCATGATCGGGAAATCATTTTAAATGCAGTCATTCATGAGAGCTTGAGTGAAAGCATGTTCAAAATCAGTGATAAAGATTTGCTCTTGCAGGCCGTGCGAGCGAACAGTCATGCCATTCGGTTCGCTAGTAGAAATTTATTTACAGATCGTGAAGTAGTGATACAAGCTGTGAAACAAAATATTAACGTATTGAACCATATACCCAATGAATATAGAAATGACAAAAACTTTGTTCTGGATGTGCTGCTCACTCATTGCACAGAGCCAAGTAACATCAACAACATTCTATATTTTCTATCACAGCAATTGAAGAGCGATAAAGAAGTGGTAGTATTAGCGGTAAAGCAAAATGGAGCCTCTCTTGGCTGTGCATCGCAAGAGTTAAGAAAGGACAAACAAGTTGTTTTACAGGCAGTTCAACAAAATGGATTGGCACTACAATTTGCATCATTAATGTTGAAGGATGACAAGGAAGTGGTGATGGCAGCAGTTCAACAAAATGGTCATGCTTTACAACATGCTTCATTTACGTTAAAATTGGATCGAGAAGTTGTGCAGTCAGCAGTTCGACAAAACGGAGCTTCCCTTGCCCATGCATTGTTTGATATGACCGATGACAAGGATATTGTAATAGAGGCTATAAAGCAAAATAGAAATGCTTTTCCACATGCCTCACCAAGGTTGAAAAACCATTCAGAAATACTTACACTCGTAGGTGAATCTTGTTCTGATACTATTGAATTCTTACTATTGAAACATCAATCTGCATTTGGAGCACTATCCCTCGATAACGTTCCATATCCATTCAGAAATGATAAGCAATTTATTTTAAGAGCTTTGAAAAATAAGGCATTGGTCGCATGGGAAGGCATACCTGTCGAGATTAGGAATGACCGTGAATTTGCATTAGAGGCTATCAAGATCGATGGTAAATACATAAATTACTTGCATGCATTTAAAGAGGACCCAGAAATAATCATGCAAGCTTATCAGCATAATAATTCAGTAATAAGCCACTTTCCAAAAAAAATTGGCAACGATAGAGAGTTTATCATGAAATATGCTGGCGTGTTGGGAAGGGATGTATTTGTGTTAAATAATTACATGTTGCAAGACAAGGAAGTGTTGTTTTCGTGCAATGAAAAGACACATAGATGTCTTGCAAATGGCTAATTATTCTTTGAAAGACGATAAGGATTTTATTTTACAAGCTATAAACCACGTAGGGGGTGGTGTGTTTTACTACATTTCTAATCGCTTACAATGGGACAGAGAAATTGCATTGAAAGCAGCAGAAACGGATCCTCACACAGTACTACGTACATTACTCAATTATCATTCTAATAACGATTGGCGTGACGATTTGCTGAGTGAGGTGAAAATGTTTGTACTATTGGAGCATGGATATCCGATTTCAGACGACTTTGAACAAAACTACTTGACACGAATGAATCATTACTATAATGGGTACGTTCATTCGGAAACATCAGAATTCGGACAGTGGGTATCCTTACTACACAACGATACCTTTGACATGTTTTTCTAACCCTAAACTTTGGAATTCGCAATGTTGATTCAAACATGGTTGTGATACCGTGCAACCACTTGATAACTATCAACGAATGACTAACTTTTGAATGAACCACGACAATCTGTTTGCCTTTTTGCATAACGTTAATAAACTGCAGTGCAACCCGCCAAAATTTGTACAAAACTTTGAAAGAAAAAAAATGACCAAAAACACAAAATCAACCATATCGGAGCAACAAGAACCCAAAGTTGACGAAGATGATGAATTTTTAATGGCTCATCATGATTATTTTCTCGGAGGAAAAGCCAACAACAACAAGTTCGGTGGTTCTCCATTCACATCAACAACATCACCATCATACAATAGAGAACTGATCGGAGAACTCATCGAACGATCTCACTTAAGCTCATCCATAGATTCCAATGACCTTGAAAAACTAGCTTCGGAATTATCTTCTCTGAGCATTGGAATTTCAAGTGTTCCGATGATGTCACCAGCACATCATTCTCGTGTATATAAAGACTTTGGAAGTTTAGTATCATCACCACAAATTTCTTCTTCAGTCGAAGACAGTTCTTTATCCATAATTCCCTCCCAAAGAAACAAATATTCCGAGCATGGCTCATACAAACTGGAATTGCAACGAAAAAAGATTGAATTTGAAAGAATTTTAAGGGAATCTCAAATTCAATTCGCTGACCAGGAAGCTCAGTTTAAAAACGAAAAACATTATTTGGAGATGGAAATTTTAAAATATAAAACCCAGCTGGAACAGTAAGTTGTTCATTTCATTGCTTGGGCCATTGACAATTTGGTTAAATAACGAAAAGAACGGAAAAAAAGCTCGCAACTCTTCAGTCAAACATACAGCAATTGGAGCGTCGACAACACGACGATCAGGAAAAAATTATGAGTGCTGAAACAATTGTAGCAGAAGCAAGAGAGAATACACAACAATATAAACAAGAAAATAATGCTCTCAAAGAAAACATTTTAGAATTGACAAGAACACTCGAAAAATCAGAGCAAGAGAAGTCTCAGTACAAGCGACAGTACGAAAGCTTGGTGCAAGAGCATAAATCTCAAGTGGAACTTTTAGAAAAACGATGTCAAAAAGTAGAATCCGAGCTTAACTCGAGAATCATTTCACTCGAAGAACATAAAGCCAAAGGAGAAATGTTCGATGCTGTCAACCTTAAAGCAAAAAACTATGAAGATGACGCCAGACGTTATCAACTTGAACTCGATGTTTCCAAGAACGAGCTTGATAAATTACGTGAAGAGCACAACGGATTGCTCATGGAAATGACAAACTTAAAGCAGCAAGTGGAATTATTGAAAAATGATAAAATGTATTTATCAAAGGAGGTTGAATCAATACGTAGCGACAGAGCAAGAGACGAAAATGAAATTGTCAGGCTTGAAAACAAGGTGAAAGAAATGAGAAAAGAGAAGAAGGCCTTGTACGATCGGTTATTGACAGTGAAGGAAGAATCGAAAACAGAATACGAAAGGCATTTGCAAGAGGAAATTCAACAGCTTCGAAACAAAACTCAGCAAGATTTGGAATCCATCAAACAAAATTCACAAGAAGTTTTTGAAAGAGAAAACCGATTAATACGTGAATCAAAAGAAGCAGCAGAGTCTCAAGTTGAAAAATTGAAACGACAGCTAGAAGACAGCAGAGATGCTCACAACAATCTCATGATTGAATATAATACATTGAAGAGTGTGATGGAAAAGCAAATGAGCGAGATGAGAACGCAAGCTAACATCAAAATCTTTGAGAATGAACGACTGCAAGTTACCTTAATGGATACCATTGAAAACTTGAAACAATGTAAAAAGGAGAACGAAATTTTAAACAAAAAGCTCGATGTTATGAAAACTGAATGCTATACACTCCAAAGCACAATGGGAAAGAAAATAACTGAATTAGAAACCAAGTATGAAGCCTCCATGAAAGAATTAAATCAGTATCAGCATTTGGAAAAAGACCTAGATACCATCATGCAAATAAGTGGTCAGGAAAATTCTTCTACTCAATCTGAAAGGATAGCGAGTGAAATATCATCACTTGTTCCAACAGGAAAACGAGTGAAAAATAGTATTCAGTTAGCCAAAAAGGTATTCGATTTGGAAAAGCAGCTTGCTCAAAAAACCACAGACTTGGACAATGCAGAAAAAGAAATTACCACATTGACTGAGCGATTGAACAAGACTAAAAAACATTTAGAGACAGCTGCACAACCCTACAATTACCTCATAAAATCGATCGAAGAAAAGGACAAAGAAATGGACGCTCTCAAGAAAAACCTAAGAACATTAGAGAAAGATTTCAAACATCTCAAACATGAAAACGAAAAGTTAAGGAAAATCAAATCAAGACTAGAGCAAGATATTGATCAATTACTTCAACACAACAATGTCACATCGAAGCTAAAAGATCTTCTTCTAAGTTTAAAGCATGAACAAGAACGAGGGGTGGAAGAAATCTCCCATCCTAGCACACAGCTAACAATTTGATTGCATCCGGATAGTAATTTCCAGAGCGTTTTGGAAATGAGGATTTCTTGGGCGGGCTGGACTCGCTGAAGCGGCTGATTGCTAATAAAAAAATTTTTATTTTAAAAAAATGAAAAGCATACACCAACAACACGGCCACTAACACTCGTGGCGATAGTAAACATGCTGCACGGCATTTCATTACCTCACACAAGTCGAAGAACTATTCATATCAATTTGATTAATTTTCGAAATGTGATTAATTTTTGGATTTGAAACTCAGGTGAAGGTCGATGATGTCAAAGATTGGACCAAGTTTTGGACTGCTGTGAAGAGTTGAGAGTTGGTTTGGACGACGATTGGGAGAAAATATTTTCGGTGATGGCCCGTCTAGATAAATAAGAACATCAAGAAAAAGTTGTTTATTCGTGGCTCCATAGTTGTACACTGTGATCTACAATTTGAAAATTGCAGGATTCGATGCATTGTTGAATTCAGATTGTGAAACTCCTTAGAATTGGAAAAAATTGGAGAATGAAGAAGATTTCAAAGCTTGCACTAGAAGACAACAACGAAACGTAGATGATCATTAACATTCCATCTGGGCAAAAGATACCGAATGCGAAGAATATGCGTTCATGCAACTAAAGTCACCAACAATGATCATTCAGAACTACATTATGTTGAACGCAACAACATTGTGGTCGATATTGCCACAAGTCACTTGTTGTGAATAAAGTTTGGCCAGATCTTGCATGTGTTTCAAGCAACAATAAATCTATCAATTACTGGAATAAAAATATTTCGGGATTGTTTGGTGGCTGTTGTTGCTGGAGTTGCTGCGATTGAGCAGTGTTTTTGCAACCATCCCCATCCGGGCTATTAGCTGTGTGCTAGGATGGGCGATTTCTTCCACCCCTCACAAGAACCCAATGTCATTGAATTTATCCGACAATAATGAAGTGAAGAATGCAAAGAAGTGTTTGAAGTTGCAGAAAGAACTTTTCGTCATGTTCGGATTGAGATCTAGAGGTATTTAAGCGATTTTACTTAGTGGTCAACATTAATCTATTATGTAAGAATTGAGTACCTCTTTGAAACGTGGAAAAGCCAATCACAAAGTGTGGTACTGTCACTAACGGATGTGCTCTCATGGTGGACAACTCTGAATCCTTGTGACATCAATAGTCAACTATTGGTCTTCATTAAAATTTCCAATTATTTCAATCTGGAACTTCCTTCAAATTTAACAATGTACAAATGCTCTCCTTGAATTCGTTTTTTCAAGATGACACTGCTCTTAAAAGAACCATATTCTTCCTGTGACATTAATTTCATAATTTCCTGAGGGTTATTATCTTCAATCAGAACAAAATAAAACACTCCATTTGGAGAAAGAATGTTTTTCACCATTGGCAAAAAGCGATCAATTACTTCACGTCCATTTTCTCCGCCTGCATATGCAGCTCTCACATCGTTGAATCCCATTTCATCCCTCTCACATGGAACATAAGGAGGGTTGAAAATAAGTAAATCAATCTTATTTTTGAGTCGTTTCTCAAAAGCAGAGGCAAAATCGCTCAACACCACATCAAACAAAAACGGAACATGTTTTGGATTTTGCTCCACATTTCGTTCAAATGTTTTCCGAGTCATTGCTGCAGCATTCGGATTAATATCTGTACATAACAAGCAAAATGAAACACCAGTTGATTTCAAATATTGCTCATAACTCGAATTCAATAATTTATAAACAAACGTGGTTACATAACCGCTTCCGCAACCAATCTCCAAGCAAAATTTTAATTTTGTGTTTGAATTTTCCAACGAAGCTATTAAATGAGAGTGAATATAATCCTTTTCCAATGCATCCACCAACAAGTAGGTATCATCATTAAATTCATACACGAGCTTGAAATCACTGCTTCGCATGTGGCTCATGTCGGGATCATTTGGACTTTTAGGCATTTTTTTCGCGACTTCTTTCAACAAAAAAATTATTAAATAATTAAAACAATTGCTGGATGAACAAAAACTATCAGGTTCATATAAGCCCAATCTATGGCTCCGTAACTACAAATGTTCATCATCAAAATTATTCATTATTTTAAATTAATATTTAAAAAAAATAGGAGCAATCAACAGCGTCATTATTGATGAAAGAAATCATGATGATGATGGATGATATTATTTTTGAAATTTTACATTTTCTTGATACCGTGTTTATTCTTGGAGTTTGTACGCGAGTTTCAAAACAATGGTATCAGAAATGTATGGAATTCCCTTTCAGCATTTCGTTCTGTAATTCTCCTCGGAAACCTTCCTTTCCATATGGTCATCAAACTATCCAATACATTGCAAATTGTGAGAATTTACGAAATTTAACGGAATTACATTTGCCAGCAGATAAAATTAGTTCTAATGAAATCAAGTCCATGATGGAGAGTGAGAATGTAAGGAACTTGAAAGTGTTAGACTTACCTGGCACTGGTTCTACCAGATCTAAGCTCCTCAAACGGAATAACATTAGAGAAAGCGTAAAATATATTGCTCAAAGCGAAAAGTTGAAAAACTTGACTTCATTGAAGTTACCCAAAAATAGTATTTCGTCTGAAGATGTTTATATTATTGCCAACAGTGATAACATTAGAAATTTAACAGATTTAATGTTAAGTGAAAACAATATTCGTTCTCTGGGAGCGGGACATATTGCCGCAAGCGATAAGTTGAGAAATTTAAAGCGTTTGGATTTGAGTTATAATCATATTGACACTACCGGTGCTGAGAATATTTCCCAAAGCGACAATATGAGTAATCTGACCGAGTTAAATTTGGCTGGAAACACCATTGATTACGAAGGTACTAAACTTATTTCAAACAGTTCAATTTTGAGAAAATTACGAAAGTTAGACATGTTTGGAAACGATATTGGAGATGAAGGAACAAAACACATTAGCGAGAAGATGAAGAATTTAACAGTACTACGCCTGGGAAACTGTAATATTAGTGTAAAAAGTGCCAACTATATTTCAAATGGTCGAGCCCTGACGAATTTAACGACACTACACGTGCGTTCGAGTAATATTGGTTCTAAAGGAGCTCATCTTCTTTCCCAAAGTAGTAATCTAAAGAATTTAACCGATTTGCATTTGAGTGGTTGCTCTATTGGGTCCGACGGTGTAAAATATATTTCAAGTAGTCCTTTATTGAGCAATTTGACATGCTTAAAACTACAGCTCAACGCACTGGGTTCTGATGGAGCGAAACATCTTTCACAAAGCGAGCACATTACGAAATTGAAAGAACTATCTTTGACGAAAAACGAAATTGACTCTGAAGGAGCAAAATACCTTGCCCAAAGTACTCTAATGAAGAATTTAACGATTTTGGAGATTGATATGAATTGCATTGGTAACGAAGGCGCCACATTTCTATCCACAAGCGAGAATCTAAAGAATTTATCATATTTAGATCTATCTGCAAACAACATTAGCGCAGAAGGTGCTTATAATATCATTCACGGTATGACCAAATTGAGAGAATTGCGTTTGTATTTCAATAATATTGAATCAGAATGTGAAAAGGATTTGATACAGAGTGCAGCCCATCTTACTTTGAAGATTTGAAAAATATCCTAGTTCAGAGAATATTCAAATACCATCCATGATTCATTCGACATTCTCTGAAAGAGCTAACGAACCGTCACACTATTAATAATGAACATCTCTTGGAATTAATGTTGAATCATAAATTGAAGGAAAAGGGTTGAGGCCTAAATTTGTACTCGCAACATTTATCTCCCTTGACATTTTGGTATTTTCGAATTGATCAAACAGATACCATTGACTCCTCCTTTCATGTACAATTACATGGACCAATAGCTCTCAACAGTGAAGAAATATTCATCTCTTCATAGAATCTCACGACCATCTCTACATGGAATCTCAAAATTCCTTTACGACAGTAATTCAACCGCCAGAGCTCGGGAACACTAGTGTTGCTGAAATGGTTTATTGATTCCAAGAGCTCTATTCATCTCCCCACACAAAAACACTCCAAAAAAACAATTCCAAACCAACGAAGCATGAAAATACATCCAACGCCGCCTGCCAAACTCGAAGACCCTGGCACAACTTCCCAGTGTTCTTCCTCCACTAATATATCCACTCAAGTGGTGAAAGCATCGACCAATTTCGTTCCAGAAATGACTCGTTCTTCGACTGCTGTATTTTCTGATACAATGAGTCGTTCCTCACTTTCCATGGATTCTTCATTGAATATTCTTCGTTTACAACAAACTTTGAATGGGGATGAAGGACAACCATTGGTGAAAAGAGTGTTGAGAAGGGTGTGTCCAGCTCCTCATTCGTTGCAGAATGTTTTAATGCTTATTTTCTTGTTGCAAACATTCATTTGTATTGGCTCAATGATCGTGTTGATTCAATCGAGGTAAGTTGTATTTCTTTTCTAAATCGAGACCAATAATATTCCATAATTGGATTATCTCCAATGCTACAACTTCTTACTACTACTGCAGTGGAGATAAATCAATCGAAGACATTTCCACCATTCAATCGGATGCCATTGCTCTCTATATCAACACTCACATCTCAACCTCAAAAGCCATTCTTCAACAATTACATCAATTACTCTCCAATTCCAATCATTTCTTTGGAGATTCCATTCCCAATTTACAAATTCTTTCGAAACGAGTCTTGTCCTTGTTTGCTCCAACGAAATTAGGTTATCCCATGACTACTCAATTTTATTATGGAAATAGTTTGCGCAATTTCATATCCATTGAGATGACTCAAACGAGACAATTTGTGTTGATTCGAGATGAGATGGGCACTGTCATTACATCGACATTTAATGAGTTTTATGAACCAGTGAAGGAATATCAGAGAAATCCAAATTATGATACCTTAAAGAGAGATTGGTAAGTACACAGTACTGTGTTTCGCCTTAGTTGACACTTCACAGGTACAAAGCAGGTCTTAAAAAACAATATCCAGATTATCAGTGGTCTAATATTTTCAGTCGTGTCACAGTGAAGGGTATTTGCATTGCTGCCTGTACCACCGTAAACTATTCGACTTACAATTACACAATGAATTCACAAAACGGAACTCTTGAGAAAAATCCTGTCACACAAGTCATTGGAGTGCATTTTGACATGATTCAAATGGATTTCCTCCTCAATCAAACCATTCTGCAATTCAGAGATGTTCAAACTAAAACGATGGACATTGTCATTGTCGAAAGAAGTGGATATATTGTAACTTCTTCGATTGGAGTCATTCAAGACACTTCTACCCAAAGAGTGCATTTGAATTCCACTTCAAATGATGTCTTTTTCTTGATTTACAACGAATTGGTGAATAGAAACATCTTGTATGGAGTGAAAGGTCCTTCCAATTCGAGTCTTTTGTATTCAGATGCTTCAAGTTCTAATACCACTACAATTGTACTGTTCGTTCAGGGCCATCGAGTGAGTGTGAAATTTATCAACGATGGTCACGGTATTGATTGGGTCATGATTTTGAGCGCTGAAAAGTATGGCTTTGTTAAAACTGTATTCACAAGTTCTCCAGAATTATTGTCCCTTTCCATTGTGTTGGTGGTCTGTGGATCATTGCTGGCAGTTGTCTTGACACAAATTGTTTCGTACTCAATCATGAAAGTCGCACGAGATATGAGTCGAATTGCGAGACTACAAGTCGATCAAGTTAAATCTTCGCGAGTGCTAAAAACCGTTCATGAATTGGACATGTTGCAACAATCGACGAAACTTGTGAAAAGTGCATTGCATTCGTTCATGAAATATATTCCACGAGATATTGTCAAGGATATTGTCAAGAATGGAGTTGGCGCAAAACTCGGAGTGGCAAGTTGCAATACTTCCATCATGTTTACAGATATAGCAGATTTTACGAACTTTTCAGAATCCTCACATGTCAATGTCTTGCTAAAAGTCTTGTCAGAATATTTTCGAATTATTACTGAGGCTGTGGAGGCCAATCATGGAGTCATTGATAAATTCATTGGTGATGGAACCATGAGTCTGTTTTCTCACCCACTCTATCAAGTCGACGATCATGCCGAGAGGTGTTGTCATGCTGCATTGCAAGCGTTGACTGAAATTGAAAAATTTCGACATGTATGCAAAAGAAAAGGCTGGCCAGAAGTGAGAATTCGAGTTGGTATCAACACTGGAAATGCCATGATTGGAAATGTTGGATCTAAGGAGCGTTTCAATTATACAGGTAAGTTGTTGGTGTCACTTTTCATCGTTACCAATATTTTCATAGCCATTGGTGATACTGTGAACACTGCAGGGCGATTAGAAACATTGAATAAGAGGTATGACACCACCATTCTCATTGGACAAAATACCTACGAATTAATATCAAAAAAGTTTGTGTGCTTGTTCGTTGATGTGATTAAACTCAAAGGAAAAGCAAGACCGATCGAAGTGTTCACATTAGAATCTGAAATTTCTCAAGCTTCCAAAAAACAATTAGCCGTTCAGGATGCTCTTCTTCAAGCAAAGGATTTCATGGCTCATCGAAAATATATGGAAATGAATGAAACTCTAGATACTTTGATTGAAAACTTGGATGAATGGATTGACACAGAAAACCACAACCGTACATACATGGATGAAGTGATGGAACTTAATGCATTTCGGTCGAGTGTTCAGTTCTATGGAAATCCTAACATTTGTTTCTCGAATTTGAATTTTGTGAAGGAGTTGAGAAAGAGAGGTAAAGAATTGCAAAAACTGTCACAATCAACTACAGTGGTTACTACAGTGCTAGATTATTCTCTGACTCTTAATGAAAAGTAACATAACACCTGTGTAAAATACCTAGATTCCAATATTAATAATAATTCTAAATTGTAAATAAAATGATCATTCCACAATACTATTCATTCCTGACTACACCTCCAATTTACAATATTCTTCCTCCAAATTCTTCAAATTTCATATCAGGACAAATGTTCAACAATCTCTGTCGAAACTCAGAATCTTGCTTCAACTTTTCAGAAGCAAATTTAAAGCTACTCGGATGACAAGACACTGCATACATGACTGTGCTTTCATCTTCTCGTAGTCTCTCACTACAATACATGAGAGCCATCTTACTCCGTGTTAAGGCAAGGCGTACAATCTCTGGATTGTTTCTACATGCCTCGGAAGCATACATGATACTTTCTCCATCTTGCTCGATTGCTTCTCTGACCATTTCTTCGTCATCTCTCAATGATGAATGAGCATACTGTAAGGCCAATCCATTTTGTTTGAGGGCCATTCGAACAATTTCCTTATTTTTCGTCATTTCAACAGTAGGAGCATAGGAGAGAGTTAGTCCATCGATGGTAACACATTCTTTCAAAAAATCTTCATCAAAATACAGTAAACTGTTAATGTGACGAAGAATGATGTGTTTGTTTGGACCTGCATTTCGAAGTGCCAATAAACAAACATCTCGATCATGAGTGAGATCCAGTGCAGCATAGGCAATGCACAAACTAGAAATTGAGAGAGCCAACATGATAAATGGCTTATTCTTTTTGAGAGATTCAGAGGCGTACGAGAGAGCACGAGGATCTTGTCGTATGGCCAACTCGACCACGTCACAATCGGACCTATGAAGAGGTATCACATTCTTTTCAAAGATTTCAATGAAGGACTTGTTCGAGAGAAGACCACTCATTGGTTTTTTGAGCTTGTATGCATTGCGGATCATTTCCAAGACCAATATCTTGTTGGACTTGAGTTGATGTGGAATGTACACATAATTCGTGGGATCTCGTTGCACTGCCTTCAACACAATATCATAATCATAGTGCAATTCGGAAGAAAGCTCCTTCAAGCTAATATCCACATAATCCAAAGCCTTCAAAACAAATTCTTTGTCTTGTTTGAGAGAAAGTGCTGCTAATTGGAAGGGAGCTCCTCCTACATGAATCAATGACAACATGGTTTGAAAATCACTCGTCAATTCCAACTCGAGTTCATCCGTTCTCTCACAGACCCACTCCCGAATGATCATGTAGACTTGAGGTTTGTGTTTGACCCAAGTCCGTATCGTCTGAAGGAAATCATTAAATTTTGAAGTTTGCCTATCGTAATTGGGAGAAAGCTCAACACGAGCCTTATATATTAATTTCTTGGTGAGATTGCCCCAAACACGTTTTAAAACATGATCCGGAATCATCCATATGATGTATTCAAATTCCTCACAATTCAAATAATACCAATCCATGGATGAATATCGGGATGCATAATAAGGAGTTGAATATTGAGAACGAGAATATGGCATTAGCCCCACATGATCACTGATATTAAATAAATAACCTTGAGCTCGTGGATTATGGACGAGTTTGGAAAAGGCTTTGAATGCATGGTAGCGGCTCGATGATGTTGGAGAATTTTCTAAATATTTGTAAAAAGTTTTACAAGTTAATCGAATCGAAATGAAATCCAAATATCGTAAATTGGAGAAAATGTGATAAATCCACAAATCTGCATGGATATCTTGTAAAATTTGATTTTTCATGAAAATATGGTTGGATTGGAGTTTCAAGTAGTTGTTGTTGTGTTTTTCAATTAAATGTTCTGACAATGTGTTTCAATGTTGGGATCATTCCGAGATTCTTTTTCGGGATGTGATTTCTTCTCAATGTGACCAACTATTGAAAGAAACACTCGTGAAATTATCGTTGTTATTAATATGAACGCAATTTTTTGAATGAAAGCCATTGATAATTTCGATCAATCTCGGCATGCTTCCAGGAACTGCGAACTCGAATCCTTACCAACTCACGATTTTCTGTTTAACGAAACAACCATCATTTCTTCTCTTGAAGGTTTTCTCTGACCATCCAATCTCACTCTTTTTCTTTTACAAGAAAATCTGTCAGATGATGTTCGAATCTATGGCAACAACACCTCATCATTTTGTAAACAACTTCCGTCTTTCATTACTCTCTTTTCATTGGACAGACGAAGGACAGGTTGATTGACAAGTCATCAAGCTTAACACTTCTTGCCATTCAACAAGTCATCAAAAAATTTTCATAAAAAAATCCTCCTCACACACACAACACTCTCTCTTCATAAAACATGTCTTGGACTCCTTTCGTTGATGGTCAATTTGTCACTCCTTCTCAAGGTCTCATCCAAAAGGCTTTGATCATGGGCAGAGATGGAACTATTTGGGGTGTTACTGCTGGTTGGAATGTAACTGCTCAAGAAGCCAAGACTTTGGCTGGTCAAGCTGCCAATCCTTCATCTGTTCCATCCACTGGTATTACTTTGGGTGGAGTCAAATATATGGGATTGTTGGCTGATGAAGAGAATTTCCAAGGATTCTCCTCTGCCAAGAAGCAAGGTGTTTCTGGAGTTGTTTTGAAGGGATCCATCATTGTTGGTTTGTTCGGTGAGCCACACAAGAATCCAAACGTTTACTCATACATGAAGAAGATTGCTGATCAATTGGTTGAGCAAGGAACTTTGCAATAAACATATTGTACACACTGTAAACGTAAAAGTAATAATAATAGTAGTAGTTTGATTAAATTAATACAATATTGATCCTTTGTAAATGTTTCAATGTATCAAGCTTGCATGTGTGAATATCAAACACTTTCATATCGATAGATCAAATTAGAGTTTTCGGAAAGTGTGCATCAAAATACACCTTTACATAATTGTCGTTTGTGTTAATTTAGTTTTCAGTTCCGAGTTGTATAATAGAATCAACCTTCCTTGCATACTTTTTCATCGATTACGAAGGTTGTAAGAACCATCATTATGAGAGATCTCTTCTAGATTATAACCATCAACCAACCTTACTGGATTAATGTTATCAAGCTAGACCTTATGCACGCTCTTCAATGAAAATCAATGAGGACCCGATCATGTATTTCATTGAATTTCCCCGAATCGTCAACGACACCCTCTCCAACATTTAACCCGAATTACACAACCTTCACTTTACGATTTTTTCAAATTGTGTTGACATGTGTGAAAGTGTTATCAGTTTCCAAACCACACATTTTCAAATCAAATTGTAAATGGTCAAGCTTGTCCCAGGTGGCACACAGTGTTAAAAAGAACAAACTCAATGTTGTATTGGAAGTGAATTGCCAACTTTGCCGAATGACGAGTTTAACGTCATGTTATCACCTCTCAATCCAACAATGACGACTTTTTCACACATAAGTACGTTTTAAGCCATCACAGCATCAAGTCAACACTCAAAACAAAAAATGTCTTGGACTCCTTTCGTTGATGGTCAATTTGTCACTCCTTCCCAAGGTCTCATCCAAAAAGCTTTGATCATGGGCAGAGATGGAACTATTTGGGGTGTTACTGCTGGTTGGAATGTAACTGCTCAAGAAGCCAAAACTTTGGCTGGTCAAGCTGCCAATCCATCTTCAGTTCCATCCACTGGTATTACTTTGGGTGGAGTCAAATATATGGGATTGTTGGCTGATGAAGAGAATTTCCAAGGATTCTCCTCTGCCAAGAAGCAAGGTGTCTCAGGTGTCGTGTTGAAGGGATCCATCATTGTTGGTTTGTTCGGTGAACCACACAAGAATCCTAATGTCTATTCGTACATGAAGAAGATTGCTGATCAATTGGTTGAGCAAGGAACTTTGCAATAAGCGATACATCATCTCTTATGCATTAATAAAACATTGAATGTACATAAAACTTTTTCCGAGCGTCGTGTGGGTGAATGAATGCTACGAATCATCTCGATTAATCAAAAGAATATCATGTCGTTTTTGTGGGTTTCCATGTTGATGAGAAGGCACTGAAATAATCATTTCTCTTGGAAGACCATATTGGTTTGATAATAACACCTTTATTCGTGAAGGTATCATTGTAGAAATTAATACAACAATTTACTCCGAACTGAACAAAATAATAATAATAATAATTAGGGAACGCGTGATGTTTAGAGAATGACCAACCTAGAAGGTCAAAAGCAACCCAATATCGTAGCCCAATCATGTGTTAGCTACGGTAAGAATTCATTATTAGCAATCATCTGATAACATTTCAGACACTATTCATTGCAAAGACACTTACGTACCATCATCAACGCAAGAGCCCAGAGCAAAAACTTGGGAGAGCATGGCTGTTGTTCGCACGTTTCTGAATCCAGACAAGTTATTTCTCTTTCCGTTTTGAGTGATTGTTTGAAGGAATGATGATGAATAATTGTTGCTGGAACAACCCGATGTTATACTTTGGGATGATGATGAAGAGGAGAGAAGAGTTGTTGAATAATTACGAGAGGAACACGTCATTTGAGACAAACCATTGCTCTTTATCATGCATCGGCCTGTTGTTGTTGATGAAAAATTCTTATGGGACGAGAAGGCTCTAGAAATGGCCTTCGAGAAGCAAGCTGTGGTTCTCATTTTTTAAAATTGCAACAATCGATTGAGCCTCAATGATTTTCCTGTGAAGCCCTTGATGCTCATTTCAGCACATGAGAGAGAGATCAACAGGACGAAGTGTTCGTTACGAATGGAATACACCTAATCACGCCTTTATTTAAATCAACAATTTGAACAAAACAAACAAATCGAACAAAGTGCTTATCTTGCAAGCAAACACTCAATGAGTGAAAGCCAGGGGAAAGGACCCATTGAGCCTCAACGCACACAAGGTGCTCAAAAACTAATTCTTTGAGTAGTAAGGAATCGAAGAAGAATATTTCTTGCTCCATTGATATCTCTGTTAAAAATTGAGTCACAGGATGGACAATGAAACACTTCGGATGATCCAACTGTATAAATATGTCCACAACATGAGCAAGTTTTGGATGTGTACGCTTCGTTGACAATATAAATGTATGTCCACGGATGCTCTCTAGCTTTGTGAAGCAATCTTTGCTTGAATCTATAATGTGACCAAGTCAACATTTTTCTTGCTGTCTTGCTATTAATTCTCCTATGGAGTTTCTTTACCATTTTCAGAGTCTCAAACGAAGGAAGTAAGATCACTTGGTAGTTTCGACATAGCCACAAACACAGTTTCTTGTGTAGATCATCCACAATATTTCTAATCTTTTGTTGAATTCTTCTTCCTGCTCTCTTGTACTTGTATCTTTTGCAATGTCTGACTTCTGGTTGAGACCACTTCGATTGCAACTTGTCATACGAGAAACATAATCTACCAATTCTTTCGGCACCTCCTTAGCCCCATTTCAAATCAAAAGTGGTCTGAAATGTTCTTACTCCTGGATCCAATGCTACAACTTGTCCTGAATGTTGAGGGGCTTGGTTCTCGGCAAGTTACCGTTGCCATGAAGAAACATGGTATTGCGACATGTCTTGGTGACAAGATAGAACAGCAGTCATTTTCTGGAAATGTGTTTGTCAAGTAAACAATCAAAATCAAATCACATTAAACGTGTTTGCAAATACTATTGTCACAACCTTTGATGCTTGGTTTATTAATGTTCAAGTGATTTGATCACAACTCATCTCTTCTTCATCATTTCGTCCACATCTTTGTCATTTCTTGGTATTGTCATTGTCGAATTGTCCAAAAATTGCGTTCGAAATGTTTCCCAGACCCGATTGTGTGAAGAGAATGAGCTCTCAAGCACTTTCTTTTGAGCCCTCAAGCTCGTCATCTGCAGATACCTACCTCAAATGTTTCCAATCTACAAATGATAGAACCACACTTATTCTCATAATGCCATCGAACAAGAAATCTTTATTCACTGAATGACGTTGGAATGATCCTCAATGACCAACAAGAAAGTGAGCAAGACAATTGAATGGAAGACTGGACAAAATATCATCTAGATCCACGAACCAGTAATCCATGGTTCAGCTTGACATCTCGGTCCTTCAACTTGCCAAAACTTCCTACTGCTTACCAATCTGAACCTGGGTAGAAACAATGTCCTGCAATCCAAAACATTGATCAATCATTCGGTTAAGTTGTACAATCGTCTTCCCAACACAAGCCCATTCAGAAAGCCAGTATTGTCAGCATGAACTAAAGCTCTTTCGAACAAATTTGTTCACCCTTCTACCATCACCAAGGCTAGAAAATATACTTCCTCAATATTAGGCTTGAAATCTACACCAAATAATACTGGAAAAAGTTCTGTTACCAAGGAGGATATTGAATTCATTATTGAATTTTGGCGTAGGCACTGTCGTCCATCTTCCACTTGTACAATTCAAAAACAACAGTTCAGACGTACGCAACAACAAATCAAACTCCAACAACAACAACTTGAAATACCTGCAGACAATACTTTAGCTGTGTATTATCAAGACCATCCAACACAGGACCTTTTCAAGAAGTATGAAGAGGAATGTAACAAGCTTCAAATCACTCCACACTCAAAACAAGCATTCACCTCTCATAAGTATGTGAAAAAAGCAACAAAACTCGAAGAAGTGTGTCCTATTTGCAAAAATCATTGTAACATTGATGTTCATTTGTGGGAGAGTCATGTGCAATATCCTCTACATAATGAAGAAGATGGTTGCGATTGTGAAATTTCAAAACACCTCAACGTTAATTTTTAATAAAAAAATGGCTGAAAATTCTTCGCCGTCATATTTGTCATTCCGATCGGAGGAAACTTCTTCAATATTATCGATTAAATTTATCAAATCATCAACGACATTCATATTATTATTATTATTCGTATTGTATTTATTCGGAGTAGTATTGGCATTCATGGGATTCTTTCCGATGGGAGGCACCCAACAACGAGGAGATCTTGGCCAAGAAGCTACATCTAGACTTGAATTCATAACACAACGATTAACAAATTCTATTCAAAAAATGGATGCTGAAAATGAACAGTGGTTCAAAGAAATGATGAGCCACAATCAACATGACGAAATTCTAAATGGAAATGTACAAAAAATTGTATTTATTATTATTGACGCTTTAGGAGCAAGCCGATTTGAGAATATTTTGAAAATAGATAATATTTTGAATTCGATTAAGGATCGTCGAGAAGACTTTTTGTGGTTTACAAGTTATGCTCATGCTCCAACTGTGACACTGCCTAAATTGAGAGCTCTAGTGAATGGACAAATGTCAAATTTCGTAGATGTGGTCATGAATGTAGTCACGGAGGACCATCATGAAGTTGAGCATTCTCATTCCATGGATGATTTGAGTTATGCTGCTCGCTTGAAATCAGCGCCAACAGAAAGCAAAAAAGAAATTAAGAAACAACTCGTCAATAGTAGTGGAATGCTGTACAATTTGAAAAAATTTAAGAATTGGAGAATGGTTTTGCATGGCGATGAAACTTGGTTTCGACTGGTTGGTCAATCTGAAAGTCGAATGTTTGAAGGTAGGAGCGACCCAACTCATTCTCTCTACGTCACCGATACTGTAATTGTTGACGATAATGTCACTCGACATGTGCAAGAAGAGATGCAACACTTGCAAAATTGGGATTTACTAATACTTCACTTTTTAGGTCTCGATCATTTGGGTCACATTCATGCAAAAGAGGAAGAGTTTCATGCAAAGATGAAATACTACGATGATAATGTATTTGAACCAATTTTATCTAGTGTAAACTTGAGCGAAACACTCTTTGTACTTGCTAGTGATCATGGCATGACCAATGATGGAGGACATGGAGGTAGTACTCCGCTTGAAACCAATGCTATTCTTGGATTTGTTCATTCAGCCTTGTCAAAAATGATGCCGGACGACTTCAATACCCAGAGTTCGAGCTCATACAAGTATGGAGGAATGGTCAATCAAATTGATTTTTCACCTACAATTTCCGTGTTAACCAATATTCCAATACCTGAATTGAGTGTTGGAAAGTTAATTCTGGATGTCGTGCGACCGTTTGGAGGTAAGTTAGGGAATTTATTGGTGTTTGCATTGAAGAGGATAATTGTGGAAACTGAAAATTTCGTTTTTATTGATCAATGTTACAATTTTATACAATTTTTTGACATGAAAACAACCCACAATCGATCAGATGTATTCACCCTTAAAGCGATTATTAAGAATGCAGCACAGCTCATGACACTCATGTCCGAAAAAGATTACAACAACTTTTTGAGCAAGTGGGATTCGCTGTTTGTGACACCACATTCAGACATGCAACGAATGATTGAGCAATGTCATCAAGTACTCACAGACATGAGTCAACACCTCATTCATCAGAGTGGAAACGTACATTACTCCATTGCATATGCAAGTCTACTTTATTTATCAATTATTATGCTAATTATTGGCCATTACCTATTGTCTCATTATTCAAAGCAAACTTCTTTTAGAAAAATTACAACGATGGATTATATTTTAATTGCGTTTTTCATATTGCACTTGATAAGCTACACCTCGAGTAGCTTAATTGAAGAAGAGCATCAAATATGGTACTATTTTTCAGTGACATCACTATTAATGCTATTTTTTGCAGTAGACAACAACTGGCTACTCGTAATCATGCTTGTATTGGATCGAATCACACGCGACTATTACATTAGTGGAATCAAGAATAGTGAGTTTTTACAGGCTCCAGTCTCCCATAGAAATTTTATCGAGTTATTGTCTATCAGCTTCACCATCGTACTACTGACTGCATATTCATGGAAACAAACAACCAAATTGAACATTTTCACAAAGATCACACTTTTTGGAATCAATCTCCTACTATGGCTCTATACATTGGATTTCAAAATTTTGGGATTATTCCACGTATCAGACACGGTGAACATTGTTGTAATTTATGTAGCATCCACTCTGTATGCATTTTTCCTACTCATCTCTACGGAGACAAGATCAACACTAGCCATGTCAACATTTGCTCATCTGTGGTTTTTAAATGAGCATTCTTGCACGTATCCTCTTATGGCCATTTCAGTCGTACAAGCCATCTTGTTACCTTCTGTATTAGTACCGTCAACTCAACCATTATTGAATTCACACCCCTCAAAAACTAGGTTCTCAAAGAAGAAGAATACCACAATTCGTCATGACGAACTGAGTACACTCAGTAAGCAACTCATTTGTCAACTATTTTCATATTCCTACTATTTCAAATTTGGAAGAAGCATTTCAGTTTCAAATATTGATTTTTCTATAGCTTATCAAGGATTAACATTCTATCATCCACTCATTACTGGATTTTCACTCTTTATCAAGATCTTTGGAGCACGAATACTTTTTGAAATGTTTCCAATATTGACAACTTGTAGAGGTGACAACGATTCTCGACAAGATCAACATGATTCAAACGAAAATGCAGATTCTACCAAAAAGATCAACAGCACACCAAATAATTCTTTCAACAACCGAACTCACATTCTCTCTCTTAATTTATTCATTCGAGTGATACGTGTATTCATGAGTGCACTCATTCTTCTTTTCATGCAAAATCATTTATTTATTTGGAGTGTTTTTTCACCAAAATTCCTACTCGATACCACCCTAGAAACGTTATATCATTTCATTGTCTTTTTTGCTCTTTTCATTGCTTTGAAATAATTTATTCCATTGGTGATTCCATTCAAACAATAATAAACAAGAAAAATTCGGAAAGAAAAAAATGCAAGTTGCCAAGCGGTGCGTCTTCTTATTGGCCCTAACGACCATTCTTTTATGTATTCTTGCACTCAGCTGCTTCCATGATCATCAACAACAGGATGGAATGATCGGAATAAATTATGTCATGGCTAAGGAAGAGGAAGATGTTGCTGCTAATTTTTGGAATGCCATTCCTACCAAAACCATTGAAACAACACCATCATCATCATTGGATGATACAGCTTCTCCAGATGAGGAAGAAGAGGAGCCTCGCACAAAAGAAGACCTTAGCAAGGCATCATCGGAAAGTACATCCAATGAAGAAGATGAATTTGAATTTGCCGAAGATGATTTTACTTCTATTCAAAGTAAGATGAATCTTCAACAACAAGAAGAAAACAAGGAAAAACCAGCTGAGGAAGAAGCAACAGAAAAGGAACCCGTCCGATTATTTGGCTTCCCCAAACAAGAACACTTTTATTATGAAATGGGAATTGGAGCCTTTATTCTTGTATCAGTCATGGTTTACTTGATGGGAAGAATGAGTTCGGAATCAACATTTAAGAATTGGGCAGAAAACAATGCATTGAGAAGAGTTTTGGAAAAACATTTCACCAAGGTGAACTTTATGCGTGATGGAGCCAATCAATTTATTGTCTATGCAACGGGTAATGAAGCAATGAAACACCTCACATTTAAGGTGACCTTACCAAATAAGCAAGATTTACTCATGGGAATGATGGTGAAGCCATTCATGAGCATGTTGAGTGGAGGATCATTGTTTAGCGAACCTGAAATCATTCTCGAAATTACTCTTCCAAGATCGTTTGCAGTTCTTTTTGGATTGAGTGATCCAAAGAATTATAAGAGTTTTTTAAAACAACATGAACCTTTGCAACTCTATACAAAGCATGCTTCATTGGAGGTTGCAGGAAAGCGATACGAATGTTTTACAGATACTCCAAGATTGATTGGAAAAATCACAACTCAATCTTTTGTCTCAAATTTGGATGCCGATTTTTTGATAAGTGACCTTCTGAAACCACGTACAGCTGCCACTCATTTGATTCAATGCATCACATTGAGAACCAAGATTAGCTATAACAAGACACTCAAAAGCAATAGCTCGGAAGCAGTTTCAAAAAGCAGCAAGACTGCAAAATTCGAGAATTGGCTTGATGAAATGTTACACTTCATTTCTTTTGAGTTTACTTTGACTCCACAAGAGGCCGATAAAAATTTGAAAAATAGATTGGAAATTCAAGAAAATATTGAGAGAGAAAAGCAAAAGGAAAAGCTGAAGGAAGAATCCAAAGAAAATCGACTGAAAAAACTTTCCTCATCTAAGAAAAAGTAAGACAGGTGTGACCATTAAGAACAATTATAACCAATAATAATAATAAATTATTTATTAAGTTGACCATGAGCCAAGGGTTATTTGGAAACGAACCAGAGATGGATACGTTTAGCTTGAATGACTATATGTAGGTCGTTCCACACAAACGACTACTTGTGCATCCCACAAAAGTGAGAGTGCATACACTACTTCAGTTCGACTTCATGCATTTCCTCATCGCTCAAAAACTCTTCTTCTTCATCGAATCGGTTTGGTCTTGAAACATGAGGATTTGTTTCAAGTTCATTAGTATTATTTGTCACAAAACGTCCTTGTATCATGGATGGTGTCTTTTTAGTGGAAATGGCATTCACTTGAACCCAACTAATCCCCAAATGCTCCTTTCTAATCACTTGAAATTGCAAATAATAGTCAAGCTTCTTTTCAATAGCTCTATCGTACAATTTCTTATTGACCTTGCCTAAATATGTGTCAATCCTTCGCATGGCTTCCATCACATACACCTCCTTAAATAAGAAAATAGGAAGAAAACTCAGTCCACACGTGAATGGAGATAGTACAATGGCAGTTCCAATCTTACCAGGGCAAGGAAACGAATGGCTTATTCCTGCATTAATATTCGAAATACAATATCTCCATTCATGTTGTTCAATATTTTCATATACAATTTGTCGTAATAACTCTTTTTGATCTTCCTCATTCAAAGAATTCCTACTACCAGAAACACCATCTCCCGAAGAAGAATTATTGGAAACGAAAAGAGAATTCCTATACGCCTCCGAGTTGAAAACAAACTTGATCTGATCTTCTGTTCCTTCTGTTGCCACATTATATTCTTCACTCTGAGCTATTGATTTTGGATTCCCCAAATAAGTCAACGGATAAGTCTCTTTATCAAAGAGTGAGGGTAATCCTCCAAATACATTTTCATCCATCATGGGTACATAAATTTCAAATACATGAGAGGGATCCATTGTTGTTGTTGTTGCAGAAGATTCTTCTTCTCCGTATGAGCCTGTTTCACCATCCTCATGATGATGATGATTAGACTTTAATTTGTTATTCCGATACATTTTATCAAACTCGGGAGAGAATTTAGTACTAGATCCATAATAGAGTAAATTCTTGTATTGAAGAGCTTGATCTACCAATGGAGCACATTGATAGCAACAACAATTCATTCGTAACATTTCTGAATGTTTTTTGAAAAGAGTTCAATGGAATGATGATATAATTACAGACACAACAATGGGTTCAATAGCGTTAAGTTGGAGAAAAATATTTGAATGATGATGATGATATCAACAGCTCAATGATGATTGTGTGTATGTAGTTCCGAGATGACAACCACCACCAAAATCTTTGAGCCGTTTGTAAAACTTTTTTTTTTCTGAAAGTTTCTTTGGGGCGAAAGATGACTTTGAAAATGGATTTATTTTCGAATCATGAGGATGGAGTACTATCTAGACCAAGGCGTTCTATTCAAATCAGAAATAGTTCAGTTCGACTCTTTCATCGTTTCATTGTTCAAAATTTCTTTCATTAAACCCAATTTGAAATTTAATTCTTTTGAAAACAACAAAAAATATTGACCAATGACCACACCATCACTCTTAGAGTTAGAGAAGGAACTACGTGCATTGGAAATCACGTCGGAACCTTCGGCAACACTCTGTATTGATATTATAAAAGAAGTTTGTGAAAGATCAGCACTTCGGAGACCTGACTTGGTGATGAGATGTGGAGAAGCCTTGTTGTTTGGGTCAAGAAAGAAGGAAGCCTTTTCAAGATTGGGAAATTCAGTGTGGGATTTTTATGAATATTTACTGCGTGCTGCTTTGGATTTGAATCATAATGTTTTGGCAGGGGTATGAATTTTTATTTATATATTATTTGTTGATGATGATGATGATTAATATTTGTATGATTCACATGATTCAACATTGATTTGTGTGGCTTTTGAAAATAATATTTCCCATATTGGATGTTGGGATGCCAATTGGATTGACTCATCATGGGATGAAATATATTGGTGGACCACCATGGATACTGTTGACTCGGAATTATGAAATTATTTTGTCATGATCACCAACAATCATAATAATATTCACATGACAATGGTCGGACAATGAAAAAATCCGAATCATTACAATTTGAAACACTTCATAGAAATGTCTTGAAATTCTTCAAAATAAGTTTGGAGATACTCTTCGAGTGAAAAAGCTTGAAGCTCTTGCTTTGGAGGGTGCTGGAGAGTTTGAACAAGCTCTCGCTGTCTATGACGATTTGATTGAAATGCATCCAACAGATGCAGTTTGTTACAAGAGAAAAGTTGCCATTTACAAGTCACAAAATTTACTCGCAGAAAGTGTTCAAGCATTGAACAGATATTTACAAATTTATCAAAATGATTTGGAAGCTTATGAAGAATTGGCAGATATTTATCTTACTCTTGGAGATTACAAAAGTGCACTCTTTTGCATTGAAGAAATGATTTTGAGTAGTCCAGAGAATTACATTTTCCATTTGAAATATGCAGACATTCTCTACACTATTGGAGATTTTAGAAATGCCAGGAAATACTACTCTCAATCTCTCAATATCAACAGTGAGAATAATACAAGAGCTCTCTTTGGTTTGTATTTGACCTGTAAGGCATTAGGTTCAAGTGAAAGGTTGAATCGGGAACTTTCTGCGCTCACCAAACAAAAACTCGTACAACAATATGAAAAGAGTGGAAATAAGGAAATGGCTACTCTCTTGAATCGTGCCTTAGAAGGTGTTACAGAAAACTAGAGAGAGGGAAGTGCAGTTTTATCAAGCAGTTATTTCACTCGCACGATTATTTATGCACATTGTATGAGGATTGGAAATAAATTCAAAAAAATACAACACTTTACATTGAAACTGTTCTTTAGCGTTGTTATACTCGTTATCGTTGTATAACTGTAGTAGTGATTGAGCACACGCCAAGAAGAAATCTAATTGCGTTGAAATTGATTTAATTTGCACATTCATCAGTTCCGAGTCGTAACAGTATTATAAAATTATCATCATCATTGACCACCGAATTATTTTCATTGAACAATTATTCAGAACATTCCGAAAATGTCGAGTGAAGCCGATGATATCTTTGCAGAAATGATGAGAGAGGAGGAAGAAAAGTTGAGAATGGCAGCTGCGTTGTATAATCAAAAGGCTTCAAAGCCGGCCAGTACTGCAAATTCTACCTTACAACGTCCATCCAATTCAACGATGACGAACACCACTCGTAATAATACCCCAACAACAACAACTTTGAACACAGGAACAGCCTCCTCATCCACACCACAAATATTTGTTTCATCGGAAATTGAAAGCCTTCTTCAACAACCGCCTCAACAAATTCTTCAAAATCTTCAACGAGATATTAATTGCTTATCAAGTTCCGAGAAGGGAAAACGAGTGGGTTCCTTGAAAAAACTAAAAACTCTCTTTGATGTGATGGAACAGAGAAGGGATCAGATTCCTATTGTGGATTATATGAAATTCTTCTTCTCACATATTTATCAACCTTTAATCAAGTTGTTTGGTAATGAAGCTGAATATTGTAGAGAAACATCAGTGAAATTGATTCTCACTTTTTCAAGCTATATCACAGTGAATGAAATGGAGGAGGCTCTACCTTTCCTCATGCCGATTCTTGAGGAGAGAATGAGAGGTCCTAAAGATAAATTTATGGAGGAAAGTGAGGAAGTAAGGCATTCACTTGTCAAATTGATGAAAGCTATTATTGAAAAATGTACAACCAAACTCGAGGACCCAGATTATTTGCAGAAAATTGTTTACTTTATTGAAAAGGCATTTGAGGATTTTCATGGTGTCAAAGCAGAAGCTTCTCAGTGTGTCATTTCTCTTTGTCGATGCATCCGAGAGAGCATGATTAAATTATTCTCTGGATCATTGATTAAACATATCCTTCCATATCTGAAACATCAGCGATATAGCGTGAGAAGTGATGTTTTGGATGCTATCAAATATTTAGTAGCGTGTGGATCTGTGGAAATTCTTGAGGATTTACATGCACCTTTGAAAGAATTGTGTTTGGATCGATCGAATGTGGTTCGTCAGAAAGTATTGGATGTCATTGTAGATTGGGCTCTCAATTTGCGAGACAAGTATTCATTTCAACATAACTTTGCATACTACTTGTTATTGTTGAGTTCTGATGAAATTAGCTCCATTGCCAAGTCTGCCTTTGATTATCTCATTGAAATGGGTCGACAATACGAACGTGACTATGAAGATGAAGTTAATGAAATTCGAATGTATGATGAGAATGAAAACACACCAATGAAATCAATCATGTACCAGAGCCAAGAACGACTTCCACCTCTTCCTTCCGTGCTCACACAGCGACCACTTCTTGGAGCAAGACTATTGGCAGGTAAAAAGCATCTCTCGAAAATTGTTACCTATTTATTGGAAGACTTTGAGGATTGGAGCTTGCCACGAAGAATTTGTGCTTCAAAATCAATGCAAATCTGCATTATTCTTGCTGAGAGAAATATTACTCAACATTTGGACAAGATACTTCTCACTCTCTTCAATTCATGTGGCGACGAAGAAAAAGACCTAAGGGAAGAATCACAACGATGTATCTCTCTCATTGGCTACTTTGTTGAGCCAGAAACCTATCTCAGTATTGTTTACAACAACTCGAGACCGGAATATGCAGCTTCTCCTAAATTTTTATCAACCGTTTTGAGATGCTTGGCTCTCATGTTACAACATGGAGATGCAACTTTGGTCAACCATTCATTGATGGGTATTCTAAGCAAAATGAGTGCACAACATTTAATTTACAATGATGAGCCCAATGTTAAATTGAATGTTCTTAATGTCATGTATGCATGTATGGAAAATGGTTCTGTGCAACATTTGGAAGCAGGATTTGAAATTTTCCTCATCATTCTCAAAATTTGTTCTCAGCCCAACACCATTGAAGCTGTTTCAAAAAGCGGCCTAGAAGTATTACAAAAAGAAGCTGCAACTCTTCAACTTCAGTCCACAGAAGAATTATACGCCGTATTTTTTGAGAAAGCACTAGGAAATTTAACACAAGATGTGAACTCTTGGGACAAGTTGTCACCTAATTTTTATTCGTTCGAAGCTCTCTTAAAGAATGCACCAAAAAGCACAGTTCAATATTTCGATAAGGTCCTAGAGATTTTTTCCATGTATTTAACTCCAGACCGAGATCCAATAATGATTCTTCGATTACTTTCTGTGTTGAATAGTATTTTATATAGCTGTGGAATGGAAATTTCTCAGACACAGTTACAATTCATTCTCTCGCAGTTTATTTATCCCAATAGCAAATGGAGAAGTGGAAGAGTTTATGCCGATGTCAGAAAGGCAGCCATTTCTTGTTTTAGTTGCATTTTGAGACAAAAATTATGCACCAACGTGGAGTGCATTCAATCTTTCGCTAGTGAAAGTCAATTCGATCATTTAATGAGTTGCATGGACGACGATTTTGATCCCTCTCTAAGAGCACTGTGTGTGAAAATCATGATTGATTATTTAGATTATTGTTATCAATATTTATCAGACAAGCAGTGGGACAATTTATGTACAGAAATGCGAAATCGAATGGAAGACGAAAATGACATGGTGAGAACGTTCACAGCCACTTCAATGGCTCATCTCTTATTGTATTTACCTGCTCATTTGGCAGATCAAGCCACAGCCATGTTTTTCTGCCTCTCGACCCATATGGACGATCCCAATGTAGAAATTCGAAAAGCATGCTATCAAGCATTTAAAACAATTATTGAAAATTATAAGAGGAATCAACATTTAAGTTATATTAAGGATCGATTGGATGTTATTTCCAAGCAATTAACGAGTTTTATGAATGCTGCTATTCACATTCGATCTGATTATGATATTCCTTATTCGACACTTCTTAATTGAAACAGAGTGGTGAATATTAAACAAATTTAATTTCATGCGAATTATTCAAAATACAATTTTTAATAATTTCTCTCAAGTTGAATTAATTCAAACTTTACGTATATTAAATTTTAACGAGTTCTCTCAAGTTGAATTTTACCAAGACAAGTAAGTACACACCAAAGCAATGAGAGCAGGTACTGTTTGAATAAAGAAAATTTTCTTTGAAGCTGTCAAAGCTCCAAACACACCAGCCACTCCGACGCACCCTAAAAAGAAGAAGGCCAATTGCTGTCCGAATACAGTGTTGGGATGAATCAGCGACCATGCCAACCCAGCAGCCAAGAAACCATTGTAGAGTCCTTGGTTCGCTGCCAATGGTTGAGATTTTCTTGCAAATTCTTCATCCTTCAAGTTGAAAGCTCTTCTTCCCCGAGGTGTATTCCATAAAAACATTTCTAAAATCAAAATGTAAATGTGGAGCGCAGAGACACCACCCACGAGACCTTTTGTGACAAGAGTTGGAAGTATATGAACCATTTCGATTGTTTTTTTTTCTTAGTGAATTGATTCGATCAACAATGTTCGATCGTTCAATTTTTACAAGTGGTGAAAAAGCATGTACACGTGATGATGAACGATCAAAGGGACCGTGCACACGGAGGATATGGGTAGTCCTTCCGCCAATCGATGTTTTTCAAGGAATTTCCCAACAACATGATTCCTTGATTCTTTCCTATTCTGTTGAAACGAATCGTACAAAACATATTGCCACCAATGATTCAATGATCATCACCATCATTTGGGTTTATAATTGTGTTGTTCATTGTTGATACATCATCTCTACATATATACGCCATGTTCCTCAATAAACCCTTAACTTAGAGAACAGTCACAGTCTTGGCCAAATTTCTTGGCTTATCAGGATCATGACCACGCAACAACGCCAACTCGTACGCAATCAATTGAAGTGGAATGTTGGCCAAAAGAGCACTAAAAGTTCCATTCGATGGAACATCAATCACATAATCCACTTCCTCCTTTGAAAGTTTGTTTGGAATGTCAGTAATTGCAACGGTATAGGCTCCTCTTGATTTAATTTCAGCAGCTGCAGTCATATTCATCTTGAAATACTTGTCATCGAGAATGAAAACAAAAATCACAGTACCAGGTTCAATCAAAGCAAAAGGTCCATGTTTCAATGCTCCTGAGGAATAGCCCTCTGCATGTGTATAAGTCACTTCCTTAATTTTCAATGAACCTTCATAGGCCACAGCTTCACCGTAACCCTTTCCAAGTAAGAATAAGGTATTTCCCTTCATGTTGAAAATGTGTCTTGCAATTTCCTTACATTTTTCTCTCACTCGACTCAGAACCATTCCAGCACATGTGGGCAAACGATGAAGATATTGAATGAGAGCTTGTCGGTGTTGAAGTTGGAAGATGGGTGACTTGTTTTGTGCAAACCACAAACCTATTAAGGACAAAACAGTGACTTGGCATGAGAAGGCCTTTGTTGAGGCTACTGCCGTCTCACGACCTGCATTAATGTACACACCACACTTGGTGGTTCGAGCAATGGTGGATCCAACACGATTGACACATGAAAATCTTGGAATGTTCAATTGTTCTGCAATGTAGATGCATCGCAACACGTCAGCAGTTTCACCACTTTGAGAGAGAACCAAGAGACCTGAATTTTCTGGACAAAAGTGTGACTCTTCCAACTCGGCGCCATCAATCACTTGAACGGTTTTGAAACATTTCAAGTCACGGAAAATTTGAGCTCCATACAAGCTTGCATAATAACTTGTTCCACATGCGGCAATGACCAAATGCTCAATTCCAGAAAGCCATTCTCGATTGTCATCCAAACCTCCCAATTTGACATGACTGTCGTCACTAATTCTTCCACCAAAGTTCAAAGATCTTGAAATTGCTTCTGGTTGTTCCAAAATTTCACGAATGGTCCAGTGAGCATGAGGATGAGGTGATTTTTCAATCTTTTCCTCTTCCACAACAATTTTTCTTTCGTATGGCAATGTGACACCATCTGCTGTAATGACAGCAATTTCATTATTTTCCAAACTTATCATTTCTCGAGTGTAGAGAGCGAATGCAGAACTCTCACTGGCAACAAACATTTTACCTTGTGAGACACCGACCAAAAGTGGAGAACCATTACGAGCAACCACTAAACGATCTGGTTCCACAGTCGACATGATCACTAAACCCCAAGTTCCTTCCAAATGTTTGGTTGCTTTGAGAACTGCCTTCTCGACCACATCGGTCTTAACTCCTTCCTTAAGCATTTCATCCAAATAAACTCCAATAAGCTGAACAATCACTTCCGTATCGGTCTCACTCTTAAATTTAATTCCATGCTTTTCAATGAGCTCTTTTTTCAATTCTCCCGAATTTTCAATCACACCATTATGCACTAGAATCACTCGTCCCGATTGATCCATATGAGGATGAGCATTGATATCGGTTTTCGCTCCGTGAGTAGCCCATCGTGTGTGAGCAATACCAATCGTGTCCGAGCCATGAGTATGAAGAGTTTCACGAAGCCTCTTCAAGGCATCGCTTGTGGTTTGAGAACTTGCATATTTCGTGGTATGGAACGAGTACGATTGTTGATCCTTGCTGTTGGGATCGGGTCTCATGGTTGCAATACCTGCACTATCATAGCCTCTATTCTGCAAGATGGAGAGACCATCCATGAGAATATCTCGCGCAGGTTCCTTCTTGGATACAAAGGCTACAATTCCGCAAGTTGAATTCATTGCAATACTGCTGCTGCTTGATGAATGAGTATTAAAAGATAACGGAGAATTATCTTCTTGATTGGATGATGAATTCATCATCATGTTATTTTGATGAGGAAATAAATGTTGGAAAGTCATTCTACTCCTTCTCTCAATTGTAGAATTTTGCGATATCATCTCTCTCTGAATATCATCATCCATAGATATTATATTCATTCCGAATCATCACCATGATCAAAATTTTGATTTCGGATTTGAACCATCCATCCTCCTAATCATTACTTACCAATAATCCTCTCTCTTTTATTACTCAATATTAAAGATCAATTCGTTCGTCTGTCTGTGTAGTGTGATGAGATATCACCAGGGTGTTGCTGTTGTTTTTTTTTCAAAGATTTGTTGTTACTTTTCATTACCCTATGTTCTCATGAGCGAAAACAGAATTAACGGCTACTTTTCTTCTTGCCCAGCTGCTGCTTCGTTCAATAGAAATCATTTGAAGATGAACGAGATTAGAGGAAGAAAAGAACACGTGTATTTTCAACGGTCTTGGGCTCTAAGGAGATGAAACACGTTGTTTTTCAAAATAATCTCAAATTAGAGAATGTATTGAAAAATGGATTCGTTCATTGGACATTATTGTACAGAGTTCATGAACGACACAAGAACAACAACGAGGTGTGTGTGTGTGTGTGTGGTTTGAAAAATTGGACATAACAATCTACAACAATTCGAATCTTTACAACAATTCATATTGAACTCCAAGAGTTTCAAAAAACAACCAAACAAAAATTACAATCCATCATCTTCAAAACGATCCAAACTATTATCCTCAGATGCCAATGATGCAAATATATTCTTTTTTCGAGACGAAGAAGAGGATCCACTACTCCCTCCACTCTTACTACTTTTCGTCGATGATCGTCTCGCCGAATGAGAACTCAAAGTACTTCCAAGACGTGAGGTTGAGGATTTACCATGTGCAGGATATTTCCATTCTGGATTTTTCTGAAAAGTTTCAAACACACGTAACACTCGTGTGAATTGTTCGAATGCTTCCTCAATGTTTTTTCGAGTTTTTGCAGAAACGTAGTAAACTGGACATTCTAATTTGAGTGTGGATTGAATGATTTGTTGAATGGTTTTTTCTGGAATGTGGTTGACCAAGTCACACTTATTTCCGAGAAGAATGCATGGAAAGTCCAAATTATTTAAGGAGGATACGGGTTGATATTTGTCTGCTTTGATCGATCGAATTTGTTCGACGTAGGGAACTAGACTCAGAATGCTTTCTTCTGCTTTGGTCACGTCGAATACGAAAATGAAACCGTAGCATGAATTCATGTAATTGAATCGAAGGGCCTATGGTCAAGTTCAATTTTTTAAATTTGTTGTGAAAATTAAAGTTCCATATGTGAAATTTGGGTAGTTGCAAGCCCGTGTGTGAAATTCGAGTTCGAAAGGTTCATTGGTATATCATCGGGAATTAATTCAACAAAATTTCACACAAGTGTGATTAAGTAATACTCACTTTGTAATCATCTTGTCCGGCTGTATCCACAATTTCCATTTCCAAACTAATATCTTCGTATTGTCTCCGTACCACAAAACTACTTTCAATGGTTGGGTCATAGACCTGGCATGACAATAATTATTAGAAAACAAGTCGATCCAACATGATGATGACATTTGTGACATTCAAAAAAACAGAGTGAGTCATTATTTCATTATTACAATAATTATCAGCAAATCATAATAACGGCGACCATTATAATCAGCAATTAAGGAATTTCATGATTTCAAATAAATAATTATTATTATTATGGAAATTTTTAATAACACTAGATACTCACATCTTCTCCTTCGAATTTGTTTTGTGAATATTGAATGGTCTTTAAACGTAAAAAAGTGAAATTTTGAATCATTGACCATGATGATGATGACAACAACGACGAGTTCAATTGTCATGTCATTGGAAAATCAAAAACGTACCACACTTGTTTTTCCGACTCCACCATCTCCACACTAGCATGTCCATTGTTTCATTCCAACGAAATTCGAGTGATCACAGCCATCATTCATTGTGATCCATTCATAGTGACAGGTGTCATTTTTCACATCATTTTTCAATGACAACACATTCCATATCATCATATGTGCAAACAGCACAAAAGCTCTCCATCGTCATCATCAACCAATAAATCAACTAGCCTTTACATACAATTGCAACTTGATAGTAATTGATGTTATCTTTGTTTTTGGGCATTTTTTTGTGCGTTTATTAAACAGTGTAGGACTCAATTGTACGTTTGTGCGTGTCGTCAACGATTTTCGGAATAAGAATGGAAACCAGAATGAGGCGTCTATTCCTTGTTGGATGAGAAGGGAAATTTGTTTAAATCAACGAAGATGCCTTGACAACGCAGCTCGTGTGTGTGATATCTCAACTGAGATTGTAATTTTTTTTAAAGGAAACTACAGGTGACTTTCTACAGGTACAAGGCAGCTTCTTCTCTTGGACCAAAATAAAACAATCAATCCTTAAACCTCAAGCAAAACCTTACATAAATGAAAATATTTTAACGGAAAACCATAATGGCCAATTCATAAAAAATATTCAAACGTATTTGGCTCTTTTGGTTCTCACTCTGAAACATACCGCTGGATGGAGTTACGCGTTTAACGGTAGGTTGATGGTGTTCTCGTAACGGAGAGCACAGAATTCAACAAGGACCGTCTTTAAACACTCCTCTCGCGCGTCGAGGACCAGTGCGAGTGAATCCTTTTCAAAAGAGGAGTCTTGGTCATGTACGGAGGGATCGCGGATGGGTGAAGGACCTCTGTCCTCATGTCCAGTGAGGCCTATCGCTCTCTCTTGAGGGTGGTTGCGAAAGCAATGACCTGAGAACAGACAGTCAGGACCAAGATACATTTTTGTGGACATGAACGAAAAGGAACTGTTGTTTGATTTCTTCTTTCATCCTTACAATGATATTTTTTGAAAATTTAATTGTATTTTTCGAATCCATTGAAGTCCATAATACATGATAATTCAATTATTCATGAATCAATGCAACAATTAATGAGATGACCACCATCACAATCATTGAGATCCAATTTACTCCCAATGCAGTTGCCTTATTGAAACAATTTCCAGTTCTCACCTTAATTTCCAATTGGTTGGCAGGATCATTCAAACCACGAGTACAAAAGTCATCACCATTCGAGAAAGCAAATGACACAGGACGACCTCCAGTGACTGGAACAAGAGCACACTTTTGATAGAGACGATCACAGAATGATTTACACAAATAAAGTGTCGAACGTTGACCAAAGATTTGAATATTCTCCTCAATGAAAGTCGTTTGACCTGGTGAGCACAAATAGCAAACTGTTTACAGCAAGCATTCAGATCACGTTCCGAAGAAGAATTTTTTGAAAATAACACCATTGGGCAATTTGTTTTTCCCATAGTAAAGCGTAAACAAATTGTAAAATCAGTGTGAAAAATTCTCGTCAACTACAATTTGCACACCTTAACACTTACTGTATTGATGTAACTCATCGAGACATCCTCCAGCAAAAGCCTCCACTAAAAACTGTGGAACGGTCACGTTTGAAGTTCCAGAATTTCTTCCGGATGACTTTTCCCATCCTGCTTTAATCTTTTGAGAAGTATCCACAGTACAACACGAATTAGAATTGTACCAAGTACAAGTCGCTAAATTTCTTGGTACGGAAGGAATGAAGAATCGACACATGGACACCATTTGATTGGTTTCTTGGATATTCTTCCAAGAATCAGCTTTGAAAATGGAAAGGAGTGATGCAGCATGAGAGAACGATGACATCAGGCAAATGGTCATCAACATGAGGACTAACCCATGACAGAGATGAGTGGCTTTCATTTGTGTGTAACGAATGTGTGTGAGAGTGAGTCGTTTTTTTCTTCTTTGATTTGACGAGAGGAGGATTTGCTTTGAAATGCAAATGTCATGAGCGTTAATGACAGGGGCAAAAACGTCGCGAATGAACTCGTTATGGAAATGGCGAAAGGAAATTTGGGATAACAAGGACTCCATAGTGCCCAAGCATCATGAGCGAACGAGGTTGCATGTATCCCAATGCTTGAACTTGTCAAAAAACATCATCATCCCATCATGATTGAGAGATTCATGAGCGTGTTGATGAGAATCCTCCAGGACTCTCTTGATCGTGGTTACTACTTAGTTGTTGAGTTTTAAAACGTTTCAAACAAGATCTTGCTTTGAGTTTTGTCATTATCGTTAAGCGTTTCTATTCCGATCAAAGATCATGAACCAAAGAGTATTCACTCTAGCGATGGACCTTTCAATTTTTTTTCTTTATCCAACCATTAATTGGCGCCTTCTCTTCTCTACAGAATTTAAAAATTTAAAAAATTGAACTCGAGCCAGTCATTTTTTTATAAAGTGAGAGGTCCATCATCATCTCCTCATGATGACCAATAATGAGAGTTTGATCATGATGATGGAAAGCAGTGCTCCGAAAAAGATTAAAAAGAAGAAGGTGAAAGAAAAAAAATTATCATCATTGAATCATCACGGACTGACGGATCAACAACATGAAAAAAAGAGCAAGAAAAAATCATCTTCCTCTCACTCATTGGAACAATTAAAATCAAATAGTAGCAATAATAATACTTCAAATGCCACGAAAGAAAATGTAAATAATTTAAATATTAAACGGAAGAGTATTTCGGAGGAACCCATTACGATTCCGATTGTGCTTCCAAAGAAACGAGTTTCAATGAGTGCATCAGCTTCAAAGGAAGAAAAACTTTTATCACCACGTATTAATAACAACAATAATAACAATAATAATAATGGAGCGAGTCACAATACAAGATCAGCATCTACAGGAAAACGAACACCTTTTATTGCTGCTGTCAAAAAAGAAGACACCAATGTCACTTCATCTCTCAGTAAGCTCAATAACTCAAAATCTTCATCATCCATTGGTCAAGTGCCCAGCAAGAGCCCAATGCTTGTAAAGCTTGCTTCTAAACCATCTCAACCACCACAACAGCAATCATCACCCCCAAATAATACTGAAAATTCTCAAGAATCTTCTAGCTCTGCTGAAGAAACGGAATCAAATCAAAAGAAACAAGAGGTGGTCAATCCTAAAACGAGTATGCAAACAACCACAACTCAACTACAAAAACTGGACGTCACCGATTTCAAATCATCCACAGTGTTATCCTCATCAGGATTGCCAACAACCATGATACCCTCACAAGCTTCTCTACCACCACCTGACCCTTCTCCACCTCCTCCAGTAGTGATTGAAGAGACATATATTTCCCTATTTCAGAATCATGATTCCCTCCATAAGATATTCGCCAAAAGTAAGGACGTCTCTACGAGCATTCCAAATTTTTGGTTCTACACGCCGACCTATGTACCACCAACGCAGTGGGACTTGAATCAACCTTCCAATTTTCCATGCCCCAATAATGGTACCTTAGATGAACTCAGTTTCAACTATTTAACGAATAGCTACAACTCTATAAGGCAAAGCTGCCCAATCAATGTTTTAGAAAAAAAGAGATTTTGCAACCCAATTCCATTCATCACGACATTTAACAAAATGCAAGGTGAAAAAACCAATCTTTTACTTGCGAATGAAGTTTCTCAAGAAAAGGCCAAGACAGAACAGGAAGCGGATGCAATTCTGGATTATCTCAAACGAAGAAGATCTGGAGAGATTGTTTTGAATCAAAAATCGCGAAAAACTCATCATTCCTCATCGAAGAGTCAGCTTGCAAACAAGCAAAGACAAGACGTGCTCAATGGAACGACAAAGAAAAAGATCAAAGCTCAACCAAGAAATCAAAAACTTGAAAAGAAAAAGTCTGTCACATTATTTGAGACTGCCAAGCCACGAAGTAACGACCAACAAAGGACAAGCTTGATGAACCAAGAGAGCAGCAGTGCTACGTCGACATCAGAGAGGCCACTTCTCAGCCGAACGCCCTCAGAAAGAGTACTGACAAGTTCTGCAGATTTGTTCAATGCTCCTTCGTTAAGTAGACAAAGTTCAAGAAAGGTGGTCGATAGATCCCTCCGAAATAGTGTACAACTAAATGAGCTCATGCAAAGAAGAGATTCTATTGACGTTATCAATAACAGAGCGCATCCTCCCAAATCTAGATCATTAACATCCTCTCCCATGTTTCACTTTGAAAACAAAGATGAAATTTCTGAATGCATTGGTAAGGTCGAAGAGCAGCCTTTAATATCAAGCTCAGAGGCTCGAACCACAATTGCCAGCTTACTCAATGAGGCAAATGTTGACCTACCAAAATTAACATTATGCTTAAAGCCACTCTTGGAAGAAACGAGAGATAAGAAGGATGAAGAGTTAGAAAACGTGTCAACACTCTATGTATTAATGAAAACGGTTGAAAAAAAGTCAGAGGATGAATATCGTTCCATTTGTAAACTCACCACTGGAAACAATAGCTTTTTGGAATATCTAAAAACCACCATCACTACATGCCCATTGCATCATCCAGAAATTTTACAATTCGTCATGAAAGTAGTCCGAAAATTATCAGAATATTCGTGTGAATTGCTGGGATACCATTCCTCTCCAAGTGGATATCAACATTTTGCAAAGAATCTAAAAGCCACAATTTCAGACACCAAGCTCATCGATATGGGCTTTATTTCATGCATTGTCGAGAAAATGGACACACTCAATGAATATCTAAAACAAACACAATGTGATCAAAATATTTCTCAACAAGACATGATTACTCAGGAAATAATTCCTGACAAGACCATTTACAATATTATGAGAGACATGTTTCATTCAGTCACATGTTTATCATTTTCTGGAACTGAGGCTCGAACTAAGCTTTTGCACGATAGCCCATATTTTTTAATCATTTCTTCGATATTTAAAATGAAGCGAGCTCCGTTATTGAAGACAAATGTATTGATATGCATTGAAAGATTGATTCTTTCAGGAACTACGTTTGAAAATGACGAGTTTGTGGATGACTCAACGACCAACCACTTGTTAGAGTTAGGTCTCCTCAGTCAAATCATTTCAGATTACAATCTGTTGACACTGAAGGCCAGAAAAGGCCAAGCTCAAAAAAAGAAAAAGCAAGGAGTTACTCTTAAACAAGCTCTGTACCAGGTCATTCGAGCGCTTTCGTTTCATGAACGAGCTCGTGAAGAAATGTATCGCTCTGGTTTCTTCCACAATTTGCTTTCCATGATGAGAGAACTTGGCACAAATAATGAAGACACAGAAGAAGAGACAAATATTATGAAAGGTTTAATTTTGGATGCAATTTCAAACTTTGTACCTTCGTCGAGTATTCATCGTGACACTCTCATCCTCAAGTACATTTTTGATACCGTAGTGGAGATGTTTGTTTCTGTACCAGTTCAATCTAATTGCTCTAATTTATTATTGGAAACTAGAACTCTGCATATTTTGTCACAGCTCAGCGATTACACCAAAACACATCAAATATTATTCGAAGCAAGAGTGGTCGAACATGCTTTTAATTTACTTCAACGAGATTTGAATCAACAAGTATTTCCAGAGCAGAATCCTTTTGTAGTATCCATGACGTCTTCTACTTTTCTATGCATGTTATTAGTGAGTAATTTAAGCAAGTATAAGGAAGGTCAACGACACATTTACGATAAGGGTCTCACACCCATCATTCGCCTTTTACGATTGTCGTCTTCCATAGCAGAACAACGAACGAGATGTGAACAAGAACAATTGGACTTTAATATTGTTTTCACACAAAACTCAATGTCACAAGAAGAGTATGAATTGTTACCCAAAGTCATTAGCAGAACGTTAGCAAATATTAGTACACTTCCAGAAAGTCATTTCACCTTTTTCAAGGAAATGTTTCTGGACTCTCTTTCAACATTAATTATTAACATGACTGGTGAAAGAACGGTCATTTGGAATTGTCTGTGCACTCTGTCAAATCTTTGTGAAGCGGATACCATGTTGCAACGAAAATTAATCACAAAGAATGGTGTTCGAGATTGTTTGGTCAAATATTTATTAGAAACGGATCACAAACTTCAAAGTCGTTCTGTCCGATGCATATCCAAGTTGGCAAGAAATGAAACCATCTTGACACAGATACATGACATTTTCAAAATACCAAATATTGTCAAAGCTGCAGATTCCAATAGTATGGATGAATGTAAATTGGATGGACTCAGAATTTTATTTCATTTTTCTCAGTTTGAACAATTTCATCCCTCTTTTTTAAAATCAGGTGCAATTGAATTCATGATTAAGGCCACCTATTCGCCTGTGGAAAGTATTGTGGTGGAGAGTTTGAAAAATTTGTTAAATCTCATATTTGCCAATGACAAGAACATTAAGGAAGCCATTACCCAAGCAGGTACAGTGGATCGTTTATGGGATTTGAAGAAGAGTAATAAGAATTCGGAGAAGGTGAGACGATTGTGTTTGAGTGCGTTGAAGGCCATGTGAAGCTTTTGCTTGTGCTCGTCGATACGCGAAAACGCCACTTGTTACAAGGTGAAACGATCTTCATTCATAAATCATTCGATTTCAATAAACTGTAGAAAGAGCCAGGAAGCGTGTGAAGTTCATGAATTTCAATCTCAAAAAAAAAGAAGCAAAAGATAATGTGGATTCTAGTGTTAGCGTTGTTGTTTATTGTGCTGTTACTCCTCTTTGGAGTCCTTTACCAATACCACTATTACAAGACCTCAAAGCATGGTCCAGTACTCTTTCAGCAAGGACATGATCATGCACCACTTATCATTGTTCACGGTCAGCCAGGAAGTGGTAAATCCACTCTCAGTCAACAGTTGGCCTCTCAATTCAATTTACATTACATTGATATTGACCATCATCGATATCATCCAGCATCACAAGGCCATATTTGGAAAACCAGAGACATTGAAGACTTTTCCAATCAACTCCTCAATGAAATTGAGAAAATTCCTCCTCAATCACAACAACAACAACAAAACAAAGATCCTGTTTACGCACAAGAAGAAATGAAAACTGAGAAGAATGGATGGATCATTGACGGCACAGTCATGGCCACTCAACCACCTGTTGCTCCTCACGCATCTTTAGTTCTCTGGTTGGATTATTCAGCAAGTGTGGTCATGTTCCGTCTCTTCATTCGAACCATGAAGCGAATTATGTTTAAAACTCCAATTTGCAATGGAAATATTGAAACTTGGTACAATCAGTTTTGTTCAACTCAAGATTCCTTGTTGCTTTTTGTGTTGAAACGATTCTGGAATTGGAGAGAATATGAATCGAGAGTGGTAAAATGGATGAAAAATAATCCTCATCTCACCGTGTATCGATTTCAATCGCCTTATGAATGTGAAATGTTTTTAAAGAACAATTTAAGCAAAATTATTTCCTTAAAATAAATAGTTGTTCGTGTGACATGTAACATTTCATTTTACAGAGAGAGTCCAATTCATGAATCGTTCCATTGCATAACACTTATTGAACCATACAATTCTTTTTTGAATGATCACGATCGTCCTGATGATTGACTTCACCATTTTCAACTGGAGGCTTTCCATTAATGAGTTCCAACATTTCGCTCACATCTTTTGCTAATTCACGTCTTCCTTCTTTAAGGGTTAGTGGTTTTTGTAAAATTCTGAATTGCAGGGGCAATTCTCCACTCAGAACCTTAATGGTCTCTTCTTCATCCCAATTAAATAAACAAGGGCTTGCCTGTTTTGAGAAAGAATTGATTTCAATCATCCAAATTTTTGTCACTTTAAATTGAGAATTGGTGCCATCCTCTGAAAGAACATGTTCATACTCAATACTCACGTCCTTTTGTACGTACGTTTAGATAAAAACAATACCACAATTAAGGGAATAAACATACCAACACAAAATTTTCAGTCGTTTGCAAGCGTTTAGAAACTTCTTGGGCCAATTCCTGAATACCATTCTGAATTTGTTCTCTCAAACTTCCATCGTGATGATTGAGATCTTCTAAATAGCATGTCTTAAAATACTGTGTAATTCCAACTACTTGATGTTGTTGTAAATTTTCAAAGTATTTCACAAATACTCTAAATTCATATTCGGGTCGAGACATTTTCTTGAAGAGTCTCACTACCAAACGTTGCTCAGGCAATTCTTTTTGAGGTTCCTTTTTCAAATTTTCATCGATAAACAACAAGGCCCTAAATAAGTCAGCATAGATTCTTTCAGAGTTGACGAGCAAATCGAGGGCTTGTAATGCGTTTTGAACGCATAATTTAGCGTTGAAGGCTCTCACTACTGCAAGAGGCTCATTAAATGTCACTTCTCGTCCTGACTGTTGAGCATTCTTTTCGAGTTCCAACTTTAATTGCTGGGTAAATGCTTGACGATGGCGCAAACAGCCGTCTTTGGGCGATCGTGTTGATGCTCGAACAAAAAATCCATCAATCTGTGGGTAAGGAGACACTTTTGCAAGCTCATCAAATTTTTGTTGTAGAGCAATACCTAATTGTTGTATCAGCACTGCATCCTGTCGAGTGAAAATTTTCTGGTTTTTGAGAACTGGGTTCCCAGTTTGAAAAATCAGTGGATGATGATGCATTACCTGTTGAATCAGTATTATTATTATTGGCATCCCAATCATAAAATTCCGAAACAATGGAATTGACATTTGTCACTGACGAAAATCGATTCATGCATTTCACTTTGGCGTTTTTGATATATTGCTGCAAGAGATCATCTTGCTCTGGTAATTTTAAACCAACATCACCAGGCAACAATTGTCTCGGATATTTGTGAAATAGTTCATAGAGGTGAATGATGGCATTAGCTTGTTCGATGGTGAGTGATAAAAAATCAGTGGTAAAAGTCAATGGTTCTGTTGATTTGTTGTCCGAATAACAACAGGAATACCAATCTTCTACTCGGAAATCGTAGAACTTTTTGTGACTGGAGAGAGGAGTGTTGTCGCTACCTGATGACATGAGTACTATTTTTTTTGTTTTGCCAAAGCGTTTGCGATCGCTAAAGGATTTGTTTGGGTAGAAAGTGCTGCGAACCTTGTTCCCGAGTTCTCCTTGTCACTTTGATAACCATGAAACAAGGACGAAAATATTTCTAAAATCCAACAGAGAGGGAGTGTCTTCCTTCACAAGGATGATCCATTCCTCCTTATTCTTTCGTTGTATATTGGCAAGAGTCAAGACTGGGTAAGTTGTCATATTCTGATCCATGAGATAGACATTAAATTGAACATACGGCTGTTCCTGAACTTCCTTAACTTTGATCGAGGGAGATTTCAAACCAGTGTCCACGCTCAAAAAGTTAAATTCTCGATAATGAAATGTCGGTTGCTTTTCAATTCTCCCAATCTGTACGAATTTGTAAGGATACTCTCCACTACGTGTGTTAAAGTTAGCTAGATTACTATTGCCTGTTGTTGTCAATTCCTCCACACATTCATGGATATTGTATGCACGTCCCAATGAAAGCCCTTCGGCCTCTGCAATCAAGGAACCTTGCTTGGAACTTGGCATGACATCCACCGTGTTCGGGATGGCCCATGGTCTGAAATTTACCTCTCCCATGTACTGTTCAGATGCATTATGAGCATGCACTTGAAGAATTGAAAATCGTCCAGGACCCACTCCACTCTTCCTTAACCTCAACTCCGACCCCTTTTTAAATTGCATTAAATGTTGAGTCGAGTAACAGAATTTCGGAGGCAACGAACTCAACACTCCCAAAGGCAATAATAGAGTGTAAATAACCATGGTAGCTAAAAAGCCCAAAAGTGTAGTTATTAAGGCTACCACTATCGGGAACGCACGATTCATTATAGCTCAAAGCCCAGACTCGAAATGTACACGTTGCAGAACCCAAGATGTTTCCAATAATACCGTAATATAGCGAGGATTAGTGGACAATTACTATGGCCCGTGCCTTTTGAAAAACACCCTCAATTCTAGGAAACGAGAAATTTTTTTTTAAGGCGCAACAGTCGTTCCATTCTCTTGAACTTGTGTGTTCTAATCGAAAAACAACTCAAAACATTAAATTCAATCATTCATCCAATTGAATTCCGTTTAAAGAAATAAATATTCATACATCTCATTCCGAGCTTTAATTTCTATTATATGAAATGACAGAAACGAGTATCAACAAACTTCTCATATCAAAATTAGGCATATCATACTTGACCGATAATCTCCAAGTTTCTTGTAATTGCCAAGTAATTTGTTGAAACTCGGCCACCACGACTCCTTCTGGTGTTCGAGCAACAAATGGTTCATTAATTCCAAACTTATCCTCGACCGTAGCAATCTTATTGGTGGTCGTAGCATCATATACTTCATATGTTCGTTTCCAAAATTCAAACACATTCGTTTGAGAAATTCTTCCCAATACAGTAAATTCAGAAGTGGTATCGTTACGACACTCGTGCAAAGAGACTTGTTGTCCAATGGAAAAACTAGCTCCGCGTCCCTCAGCTGATCCTTTCTGTTCGGCATTCATCAAATCAATACGATAGGGAATGGCCCATGAACGATATTTCATGGTTCCGACAATGGAAGAGGCGTTGAATTTGAAATTTTCAATCTTGTCGCCATGGCCAGTCTCGTTGAAGAGTTCAAAACGACCGAGGCCATAGGTTTTTCTCAAAGCAATGGTACTTCCTGCGGGCAGATATTTCAAATGTTGAGTGGAGTAGCAATATTCTGGTGGAAGACTGTGGTGTTGGGGTGGTATGGATTGGCAACATGTGGATCATTTTGGATCATTTTGGAATTGGGATCATGATGATAATTGTGATTGAGTGGTTTCAAATTGGATCAGTAATTGTTTGATACGGTGGTGAAGAATCGATTTCAAGCATCATGATGGATGATGAAAAACATGGTATTTAGAAATTTTAGTTCTATTCATATGATGATGATAGTTTTAAAAACTTACCTGTTGATGATACCGATCGGAAGGACAATGGCTAAAACAATGATTGCAACACAGCAGCCAACGAGTGAACCAACAATGGATATGATGAAACGAGAGTTTGAAGATGCCATGTGTGTTGTGTTTTGGTATAATTATGTAACGATGAATTGGCGAAAGAGTTCACACACAGTTGCTTTTTTTTAAATGTTGTTGACACCTGGCTTTTCGAAACGGTCAAGAATGAACTCGTGTCCTGCTCAGGTTCATGAACTGGGCGCAACTTGAAAGAGCGATCCGCTTCGAGCTGTTTCGATAGATTCCCATGACCTTCTAATTAACAGCATGTTTCAAGATTTGTGTGAAAGTAAAGCAACAATAACGATATTGCCACAAATCTAAATTCGGTTGTAAGAAATATATAGTGGATAAGACTTCTTATGTCCCAATATGCTACTGGTTGATCATAAATCACCCTTTCCAATAAAGTTAGTGCTTAGGTATCAGTCACAGTGTATTGTTGTGCTTTTATGTGCATCTTCTCTTGTGTCAGGTTTCCTTCGAAAGAATCCGTTGGTTTTTAATACTTCTGAACTTTTTGCAACCTTAATTATTTCTTATGGCTTTCCGCTGTTGCAAGACGATGTCAACCATCCTCTCCGTTAAATCAAGATCGATGATTTATTCATTTCAGCTTCAACAGCGGCCTATTCAATGTTTTTTCTTAATATTCAAACTGCTCATTATTGTCGACAATGATCTCGTCGTCATTGTAAAAATGTGCATGCTCGTCTTCGTCACCGTTAGGGATTGAGTCACTATCTTCACCATCACTCACAACAAATTGAACTTGAGAGGCAAAGTCTTCCTCAGCAGCCCTCATAATTTCAGCAGACAGATCTGAGAACTATGGACCAAGCATTCAACAGATGATACACAGACAGACATTTGAAACAACAATATACTTACGCTCTTCTTTCCACTCACATCATGAACAAAGTATTTGGCGTTTCGGTACTTGGATTTGAAAATTGCAAATCCAATAACAGCAAGGGTAATTAGTACAAGTAATATAAGGCCCACAATAGATCCAATCACTATGCCTGCTATTGCCCCTCCTCCCAGTTTACTTTCATGGTCTCCATTAAGAGTGGTTGGTTTAGTTACCGTCTCCCTTAAAGTATCGTCGTTTAAGGTAAGATTTCCTATTTCCCCATGAGATAGTGTTGAATTAATCACACTCCCATTCAAGGCTGATGGTGACGACTCACTTGTGTTATTTACATTGGGAATGAGAGTACCGTTTTCATAGGATGGTAACCATATCCATTCTGCACAATCTGCGGTATTGTTGATATCAAGGATTCTTATTGGAGCAAACAAAGCTTCACAATCACATCGGAGAGGGTGTTTTGAAGCTGAAATAGAGAGCGAAGCATTTGCAGGTGTTGAAAGCAGTAAAAGTATGCAGCACTGAAGGGCTATCAACACCGATACACAAATAATAAAATTTTCCTTCATAATAACGCAACTTGAAAACACTTTTGTCGTCCGAGCAATTGAACTCATACCAGTTACAACAATCAACACGGAATATTCAAAAGTCGGATCTTCACTTGTCTGTATCAAAATACAAAAATCCACAATCCTTAATTCGTTATTTTCTTTCTCCAACTTTCCTCCCTCAATCTACACGTATTTTGAGAAATTAAGGTAATTCGTGAGGCTTTACAGTTGATATAATTGCCTTGATGAGATCGTTGGTCAATATTTTTTGATGAATAAACAGCAACAACAAACTCCCTCTCACTCATACAGTCATGATCTGAAACAAGTCCATACCAATGTATCAAAGATTGCAGAATCTCAAAGATTCTTTCGCTCGAGAGTGGTACTTAGCTTTTGCCAAATCGAGCTTTTTGACCAATATGCCTCCAAGGACCACATGTGTCATCCATGAAGTAGTTTCGATATCGATCCATCTTTTTTGTGGTCCGATACAAAGTCTGTTAATGAATGAATCTTTGGTGTTTGAGCATGGGTTCTGTGAAGAAAACGCCGTTTAATCGATGAGTGCTTCCAGCTGTTTACCCTCGTGTTCTAAATATTTACTTTTTGGGTTATTTTGAAGAAAAAAACTGCGTTGACTTTTGGCACATTTTACGAAGAAGAGAAACACTTCCTCGACAAAACCCTCCTTCAACAGCAACAACGAGCACTAAAACGCTCACACAATCACTACTAACAAGCTCTAGTACAATCAAAAACCATTCGACAAGAAGAAGATCCTCATTGATTTGTTTCAAACCACCAACTCCAACTCGTTCCACATAAATCCATCCACCCGGGTGGTCGAATTAAACCGATAGAGACGAGTAGTAGTGCAAGCTTTCCGAATCAACAATATCATGTATGTAAACATCTCAAGTTCTTTCCGTACTGAATACACTTTTCCTGATGATCATCAAAACAACAACAACAATTAATGCTCGACGTGATGATGTTCAACCCAATATATATTTCTTGGCGCACATGCCACTTTACCCACATGTGTGTGCTTGTGGGTACTTTTTTCGTATGTCTTTTGAAACTAACAATTGTTGAAATAGAGATTCTGAAAAGGATTCTTGAAAGGTAGGTATTTCAAACAAAGAGATCTTCCCTTTTCATCCGTTTCTTACTGTTCTTGTGAATTGAACTATTGTCGTTTTCATCGACCACATGATTATTTGAAATGAAATTGAAATATATACAATATGGATCATGTGGATTCAATGTTTGACTATGACATTTACTACTACTACTACTATCATTGAATCCCTCATTGATGATGTTGCAATATTTCTATTATCGACTCTCATAACCCAAACTTCCATTCATGCGCAAATATTTGAAATGATTACAAAAAAGACCTATCCATTCTTATTGAATTCATCCCACCAAACCAACAACAAAAAAGGAAGAACGAGAACACAACATCATGCAGACCATATTTCCTCCTTCCTCAACAACGACAACAGCATTAACGAGTAACAACCTCCCCATTGGAAACAACACTTCGAGCACGACCTCTTCTTGTTCATCCCTTCTTCATCATCCCACAACAGCTGTTGTAGCAGAACCACTATCCTCAACCAGCACAACCACACAACAAAATATTGCCCTCATCTCTCCTCCTGTCGGGACTTCTTGTAGTAGCAGCAGCAGCAGTACCACCACCACGGTTGATGCAATTACGAGAAGGAGAACTCTTTCTTCGGATCATCATACTCCTCAGCAACAAGTACAACAACGATTGCTACCACAGCAACAAGTACAACAACACATTCATTCTGCTTCCAGTTCTTCTTCCCTTCATCCTAGCAGCAGCAGTAGTGGAAGCAGTAGCTGGAGCAGCAATTCATCGCATTATACTCAACTTGATTCGCCGAGAAATCGTCATTCCAAAGCACAGCAATCATCATTGTATAATCATCATCATTTCATCCATCCACAACAAAATACCACCACCATCAATACTTTCAAAACTCCATTGTTGGAAACTAGTAAGAGCGGAGAGCCTATTCATCATCAAAACTACGGGCAGTCATCATTTCAAGAGGAAGACCAGAGAGCTCTCTCGGTATTGCCATCTCCATCGGCATCCATTCATCCTTCCTCTTCTTCTTCCCATCATCATCTTCATTCGATATCATCATCATCTTCCGTAACGATGAGCAGTAGCGGTGGAAGCCTAATGATGCAACAACCATCAGCAGGAGCAGCATCAGCCACCTCTACAACACCACCACAAGTAACCACAAGTGGTAGACTTTCCACTCATCCCTCTCAACAACAACAAGCATTCTCTCCAAAAGCATCTGCTGTAGCCAATACTTCCTTTCATACCAACCCTTCCTCTCTAACTTTTCCACCATCCTCCAATACAAGCACCCCAGCTACAACTCCGATGATGAATATTTCATCCAGTCATTCACCATACACTACTGCTAGCAATAATACGAGCAGCGGAAAATCAAACTTAACTAACAGCATGGCCCCATCGGGACCTACTCCTTCCACGACGACAACAACAGCAACAACAACGAGTAGCAGCAGTCATCCTAGCGTCATTTCTTCACAACAGCTTCAAACTAAATTTTCAAAAACCACTACAATCACTGTGCCGTCATCAAATAATGCTGCTGAAGCATCCATTCCAAATCCTCCTCCAACATCATCAACAACAATTTCAAACGCAACCTCTAGAAGAAGTAACAATACACTGATACCTGCATTGTCTTCGGAACCTCCTACAGTTAAACTTCCATCCATCTATGCACTTTTAACCAGTAATAAGGATGATCCCTATTTGAACTCAAATAATAATCAAAACTCGGAAATTATTTATTTGAGACCAATTGCAAAGATGGTTGAAAGTTCAAAGAGAAAACAAACATGTTATGCTCACTTTGGAAATAATATTGTGAAAAAACAATCGTCACTCAGATCAAAAATTAGAGGAATTGTTGGATCGAGAAGAGCTGAATTATTTGAGCAACAGAAACAGCAACATTCGGAACGTGGTAGATCCTCTTCTGGCGGTTTACCAATTTCCTCGCTAGGTGGTGGAGAACCCAAAGATGGTACTAGCTCAGCATCTCACAGTCATGATGCGCTCACAGAAGAACGACTCTCTGAAAATAACATTTCTATGGATGTCATGAAAAATCAGGGTGCCAATACACAAAGTGGCAGCAGTGATATGGATGTTAATGCAATGGAATCTGATGATCCCAATCAGTACATGTTAAACACTGCATTGAGTGGAGACGATTTTGGATTGACCTATGAAGACATGATCAATTTTGAGGACAATGAATTTATGAATATTATGGAAGAGGACGCCATTGCACCCTCATTGCACCACAGTAGCTCAGTAGTGGATGCATTCTTTGCCTCCACGAGCTCTCACAATCAAAACATGGGTCTATTGGGCTTCAATAGCAGCAATAACTTGAACAATGGCGGTAGCTTGACAGTATCTGTGTCCAACACGAGTCTCATTGACAACCCTACTAGAAAGGGCTTTGGAAACTCCATGAAACACGAAACATCAAGCGGCTCACTAAGCTCTTTCTTAAACACACCAACCACTCCTCTTCAACCTGCTTCCTTCCCTACTCCAAACCCTCCTCAAAAAGAAGGTTCATCCCTTCAAAATTTGAACAATTCCTCTCAATCCGCGCAACAAAACTTTTGGGAATCATCCAACATTAATTCCAACCCTTTTCTAAACATTTCGCTCGACAATATTCCAGTTTCGAGCAATTCTGGGAATTTCTTTGTACCATCCACTCAAAAATTGACATCTGGTAATGCTGGTGTCACCCATTCACAATCGGCAACACCACACTACTCCTCGACGACGACTGCTGCCTCAGCCAACCAAAATTCAATGAACAGTAGCGCCTCAGAGACCATCTCGTCGTCCTTCAACAATATGAAGCGATCTCTGCAAAATTATGAATTTGTTGCAGCTACAACAGACAATACGAAAACCAATCAGACTACTGCACCAATGGTATCTACTTATGAAGATTTCTCTACAAGTAACAATATGAACGTCACCATGCAGAATGCACCAAGTAGAGGAAGCTCTGTGAACACTCAGCAGCAACAACATCAACAGCATAAACTAATGGAAATGAACCAAATGAACCACAATTACAATCAGCAAAATACTGCTTCCAACAGCAATATGGGATTACATTTGAGTCAAACCATGCAATCTCCCACAAACAGCCATTCAATGCAATCACCAAATAATGATACTCACAGCGTGGGATCTATTGATACAAATAACTTTTTCAACATTAGCACGGACACCTTACTTCAGGGAATTTTATATGCTCAAAAAAGTGGTATTGATCTTGCCTCTTTGTTTGCTCTCACGTTGCAGCAACAACAAAAGCAAGCAAGTGCCTATAATGAAAGTGTCTCAAATAGTGCCGGGTCTTTTAATTTTAATCCTCCACCCACACAAACACAGAATCAACCATTTAAATCGAATGTGAATAACAATACCTCGTTGGGAAGTGGGAAAAATAATGGCGTTCAACATTCGAACTCCTCTCACTTTAATAGCAACTTTAGATTTACAAGCTCACAACAAGGAAGCATTGGTGGTAGTCATATTACTGGCTCAAATATTCTGGGTAGTAGCAACACTAGCAATTCTTTCCAGAGCAACAAGTCATTCAATAATATGAACAGCTCCATGTCTATTGATCCTTCTGTACTTCAGAGATTTATTGAAACAAGTGCTGCTTCCTCCCCAACCTCTGCCAATTTACAACAATTATCATCGTCCTCACGTCATCAAGGTACCTCTTCTAGGAGTATGGAACAGCAACAATTTCTAATGGGATCCAATGTCAATAGCACTGGTGAAAGGAATAGCATGAATTTTGGAAGTAATGCAACGTCACAATTTGTGGATCAACAACAACAACATTCATCAAGATTAACCTCTCCAACTCATGCCATGATTGGGGGAGCTGTGAACCCATTGTTTTCAAAATTGCATCAACAACATCAGCAGCAGCAACAACAGAACATGAATACCAATCACCACATGATGTCCATGAAAAATGTCAATACAGCACCCTCAAATGCGTCAAGAAAGCAAAAACAGTTCAATTTCTCCAACGTCACGGAAGAGAATATCCACCAAGCTCAAGCATTTACCACATCTCCTTTGACGCCACAAAAACGCAAGTCAAAACCCAAGAAGGACAAGCAGCAACAACAACACGAAATATCGACTGAAAACATGACACCAGTCATGCACACCCATATCGTGACGAGCAGTGCTGCAACAGAAAAGGGAAAAACCAAACGAATCAAAATTAAGCAAGACTCTGGAAGCGCTCTAATGATGCCATCGCAATCCACCTTTTCTTCATCTCAACAACATGTGTCACAGACAACTGATTCACATCACCACCAAGCAGCGTCCCAACCCGTATTCCATTCTCAAGACGAAGCTGCTATGGAAACGTCTCCAAATGTTTCAGATGACGAAGAAGGCCATCATGGCGAAGATTCTGCCTCGGATCTTCATGATGACACTCCCCATTCACCCACCAAGAAGAAACGAAAATCTCACATTACAGCAAGTCAAATTGGAATTATTGAACTTGAGAACAATGAAGGATTTGAATGCTCGTTTTGCAACAGAAAATTCAAGAGAAAGAGCGATATTAAGGTGCACATTCGTCGACACACAGGTGAAAGACCCTATCTGTGTGAAATTGAGGGTTGTGGTAAAGCATTCACCACAGCCAGCAATTTGAGAAGACACAATCGGAATGTTCACTCTAAAGAGTGATCATGTTGGAAAATAAATTATCGAATGAGTGGTTTTTCGATAAATTGCGAGTTCTTTTCATGCAAATAAGATTGGGCGAGTCTCAAGCAAACAGCAAAATTTGGTTGTTGACTCATTCAGACACAAAATCATGTTCAAAGCGAGATAACGACAAATAATTTGGTGTGAAGTAAAATCATTAAATTTGTTTATATTGGAAAATTGAAGTAAAAGCCGCAAATCAAAATTGTTGGGAGAGAGATGAGGAGATTGAGAAATGGAAAGAATTCGAGAGCAAGACAATGCTGATTCAGATTGTTTTCATAATCTCTCGATAGAGAGATCCAAGTGCGATGCACATCCAGCTTGTCATGTTACGAGCTTTGTCGCTCAATACGACAAGAAGCGCAGTAACAAAAACCCTCAAAACTCAAAGGAAAATATTCGTAAAGGTGAATGAGTTGATCCTAGAGTCCACTAATGCGAACAAATGAACATGTTTAAATCTTGTTCTTCTTGGCCATCAATAATTGTCTATTCACCAAAGCCATATCCAGAATATTTCCAACACAATCTCCATTTCGACACACTGGTCTAAAGTTTCGGGATGGATTTGAGTGGACCATCTTGGCAGCAGTTACGGAAGCGTGAGAGAGCATTTTGTGATGCGGGTTTAGGAGAATGGTTCTTTAGAATGTGAGTTGTTGAATGATCGTTTTGAATCAACGCAATTTTTTCGCAACTTTTACCGTTGGGTACGGTTTGGCTATTTATAAAAACACAACGGTGCGTTACAACAATAAAATCGCAACCAATGAAAAATCGCCCCTCAATAAACTATTTTTACCCGCCATCAACCATTGGTCCAAACAAAAAACCTTTCGTCCGTTCAAGGCATTCGACACCAATTATGCCAACCTCATCTTCATGGATTCAATTTTCACACAGCTTGCCACTGTATGATTGGATACGATACTGGCTCAGGCGAAATTATTGTTTAATGATGACAGTAATTTGCAATTGTGTGGAATTAATTGTTGTGGTGGAAATGATCAATAGATCGTTTGTTGGGTGAAGAACGAATGATGAAATAACATGAGAGAAAACCAATTTGGACATGTGGTTGTTCTTGCCGAAGATATGACAGAACCACGTTCGATCGACTTCACAACCGGGTGGTTGTCATCAATTTTTTTTCATTATCTTGTGGTTCGAGCAAACACACGAAGCACATTATCATTTTGTTTCCCATTGTTCAAGCTCGGTAGTGGTCATTGATGGAGGCAAGTCATGGCCAACACAAGTTCTCCTCCATTATTATATCAAATCATGATCTTTGCTAAAATCCATCATTTCATTCGACTTGATGGATGTATGAATTTAAATCATTCCCATCCCGTTAATTGGATGATTGGAAGTGATTTTGGCGCGAAAGCGAGCCCACTCAAAATCTGCATCAACCAAAAAACAATGCTGCAGCTTGCTCCAAGCACACAAGCCTCATTGTCTACGAACGAATCCGACCTTCAGAGTAGTGGGCTTGCTAGCAATTCAATAGTGGAAAATAACAAGCAGTTCAACAACAACAACACAGACGATAATCATCTGAAACGGATGGAGAGTATGACGACAACATTGAGCGGAGGGATCATGATGACTTCTCAACAACCCTCATTACGGAATCAAAAGAAGAGGGCATCACCATCAGCAACAACAACATCTCCAATGCAGAGTGGAGGAGTAGGCTCACCTCTACCATCTTCAGCCACCTCAACACCCTCACCACTCAGTGCTCATTCAAAAAAGTCTTCTTCTCCCAATACACCTCATCACGTTGGAAAAATTGAGGATGAAGAAGGCTATGTAAGGAATTTATTGGAAATGTCTCGCTCTCGGAGAAGAAAGAAGAAACAAGAATTATTGGAGGCTTTTCAACATTTCCGAAGCGAAATGACCTCGCGAGGAGATGTACAACGGGAGGAGGAGGACTCTTACGAAATTGATGTTCATGATGATGAAGCAGATCATTTTGATGATCATCAACTCGATGATGACATGATGTATAGAGATGAAGGCTTGGAGGATGATCATGAACACCTCATTAATCAATTTGCTGAGCGCCACTTTGTTCTCCATCCCCAGAAGGCATCCTACGAGCCTTCCTTGTCTTCTTCATTATCCCACCCCAAGCAACACAATGAACACTCTTCCTTCTCGTCATGCCAATCATCACATCACAACAAAGAAACTACTTCCTCCTCACCATCTGAAAATCATCACTACTTTGCTCCTACTGTTTCTTCCGAAGTAAGGCGAGTAGCTACCAATTTCGCTCACCAACAGTACAAACATCTCTCCGACGATCGATCGTCCTACTTGTTGAAACGTATTGAGGAGTTAAAGAATATGAATATTAAGGCCATGTTAGAGAGTGTGAGTAGTAGGGATACATTCACATCAATACTGGATGCTTCTGGTAACAATAATAGGTCAAACACGGGAATGATGACGACCTCCAACAAATCGAGAAGCTCCTCTCCATCTTCAACGAGCCATTCCAATCATAACTTTAGCAGCAGGTTGGTCAATGACGTTAAATCGTTGCCCGTAAACATGCCACCCTCACCCAAAGGGTCCAAGCATTATGAGCAAGAACGCCGAAAGAGAATTGTAGCCAGGAACAATTTTAATTATGAGGAGCAAGCTCGAGAGGAGTTGAATTTAATTCCTGAAGAAATTCCAGAATACTCACGAACGAGCTCACCTCATCACAAAAACAATGCTGGTACTAGCCCATTCCAAAGAACCACATCCCCATTGCAGAGATATACTTTATATAACAGTAGTAATAGCATGTCAGCAATGACGCCAACAGTGAGCTCCAAGTCACCCATGAAACGATCTTCATCCTTACATTGCTTGCCAAATTCATCAGCAGATTCTTCTAAGGTTTTCACTCCTAGACCTGGCTCCTCCTCTCGCATACGAACATCATCCTCTGCTCAGTCACCTTCTCGATGCTCCTCAAATAATATCAACAATAGCCGAACCTCATTCTCAGCAGCCAATGCAACGACCTCACCTCATCGCAGACTTCACTCTCAGATTTCTACGAATAGAAGCAACTTTTCAGACCATGTCAACACGAATTCGTCAAAAACTGGAAACAGAAATGTAAAATCCCCTCGTTCGGGACATTCACCTCATTATCGAGCTCCTTCTAGAAACAACAATAACATTTCAAACACCATCTCCACACCCAAGTCTAACAGATTCAATTCAAGAAATACATCATCTTCACTCACGCACAATGACAATATTCAATTTGACCGACAAGAAAAGCTAATACTCGAAGAAATTTTGAACCTGGATCAGCAGCTCAATAAGAGCTCTGTATTCAAGAATATAGTCTCCAATTTGGACACTTCTTCTAACTTGGGAACAGATGCTAACGCAGATAGTGCCTCATCGACGCCAAAAACTCCAAGAAATGTAAGCCGAATGACCAATGGGCATGCTTGTGACGCAAGTAATGATGACCAAAATTCATCATTCACATCTCTAAATAGGAGTGGCAATTTTTCGAACACTAGTGGTTTTTTGAACCCAAGGCCTTTCACACCCTCAAGCCGTGCAAGTAGCAGAAGTGGAGCCAAAACTCCATCAAGTCAGCCCAATTCCAACAGAACGCGACCTGCCGGCTTTGATCCAAAAGAGCTTACTCTCGAAGAGATTGCAAGAAAAAATAGAGAAAAATATGCTCATGTCAAACCAAAAGTGGTATCTCACAGAGCTTCAACGCCACACAACGCTGGCACCTTAATGAGTGCTGATTCAACATCGTTGGACGCTCAAAACGGATATGCATCCAAGATTATCACTCCAAAACAACGACCTTCTTCTGCATCTAGTAACAAGTCTATTACATCCAGCGGTCAACTAAACAACACAACAACCGAGCTATCATCGACTCCAAAGCGGTCATCTTCTCTGTCAAAGAGTCGTTCAACATCACCTCAATCAACAACAACATCAGTGAATGTGAAACTGAGAAATATACTGATTGAAAACGATGAGTACAAGCGAGTTTGGGGAGAGATTGAACGAGAGGAACTTCGTATTTTAAAATTCAAGACAGCACCAACCCTCAATGACAATACACCACCACATCAACGTCCAGACAAGAGTTCAACGATTGTAAATAGTAGTGAGTCACCAGATTTTCAACCATCTCCAAATGCTCCATCCAAACCTGCTCAAAGCGCAAATAACGGTATAAACTCTGCAGTCCAAGCAATGATGGATGAACGAATACGATCCATTGAGGAAGGGCTCAGAAAAATAGCTTCTTCCTATGACTTGGATATCATTGACGGCCGTGAGACTTGTCCAAATTCATATTCTCGAGAGGACTACGCAACAGAGGATCACATAGAGGATCATCCACATGATAAAACCTTACTCGAAGAGATGGAATCGAAATATTGCATTCTTCAAGACAATCCTCAAAAAGAGACCCAGATTATTCATAGTAACAAATATGTTACAGATTCTGAACAAATACACAATAGTTTTGGAGAAGATGATGCAGCAGTTAATTCTTCCATTGAAGAAGCGGCAACCATCAAACAGAACACATCCTCTCATGACGAACATTATGAAATCCAAGATGAGCATCAATCCGCTCCATTTCTTTTGAACGATCATTCTAGAAATTCCACCGCTCAGAATGTGACCTGTAACGAAAGCATGCTCTCTGTGAACGCCAGTCTTTTATGTGATCTTTCTCAAATGCAATCAAATCCAGATTTTAGAAAGTTTATCAATGATAAACTCGACAAGATTGAACGAGAATGTACATTGAGACAACAGCAACAACAACTTCAAAAAACAGTGTAAATAGGAATTTAGAAAGCATGCATATCACGCTCATTCATTAAAAACTAGTTTGAATTTTCTAGAGTTGTTAAGGCTAAGGCTTTGGAGCAAGCAAGCGATTTGAATAGTTTACAAAAAAATGTTTCTCCATAAGGTATACATGAGTGGTTTCAAATCATACAGCCAGTCTGCACCCAAACTAGTCGAGTTTATCCAAGGAGTCAACTGCTTGGTTGGCCCGAATGGTAAAGGAAAGAGTAATATTGGTAAGTACTTTGGAATCCTGCTCGCGAAAGCCTCTCTTATACGAATATTGATGTTCCAAGTGGATGCTATTTGTTTCGCATTAGGCTTTGATATCAAACAGTTGAGAGTGAGTAAATTGGACGATCTTCTCACCACGAGAGGAGAAGAGAAAGAACCATATGCTCATGTTCAATTGATCTTTTCAAGATGTTCATCTGAAACCGTTTCAGAAGAAGGAAATTTCCAACCATTGAAAGAGAAAGAACGGAATCATTCAGAAGATTTGATGGAGGATGAACAGGATGAACAAACTCTGCAACAAACCCTTCCGAAAACAACAACATCTACCATCGAGGGCGAATGTTCCAAACAACATGAATTATCGGTAACCATCTTTAAAAACAAGAATGCTCGGAAATATAAATTGGATGGCAAACATGTATCGCTGAGAGAGGTCCAATCGTTTCTCTTCAAAAACGGACTCAGAAATTGTGCCAATTATGTTATTTTGCAGAATCAGGTGATTGCATTGAGTTTTAAGGATCCGAAAAAGTTGGCTGAAATGATTACTGATGAAAGTGGAGGTTTGAATTTTCAACAAAAGGTTGAAAAAGCTCTTCATGACTTGGAAGTATGGAAAGGTACTGAAAAGCACATTAAGCAACAAATAGACAAGTTGAAGAAGGTTATTGAAGAGGATATGAGAAGGATTAAACTCGTTCAGGAGAAACAAAGTGTGGAGGCTGATTTGAGACAAGCTAGAATTGCTGTCAAATTGTCAAGAAAAACAGAACTTGAAGGAAAAGTTGCATTGAAATTGGAAGAGCAGAAGAATGTTCATCAAACGATGGTCAAGTTGCAAGATGAAATCAATGAAATTGAGTTAAACATCGATATTGACCCATTAAGTAAATGCGATGACAATACCAACGCTACTGGTGAGTGCTTGGAAGAGTTAGATTTAAAGGAAAAGAATCGACAGGATTTAGAGTTTAATTTGGATCTCATTCAGGAAGAAATTTCTCAACTTGAAGAAAAGCGAAAGCAACTACTTCTTGCCTTTCAAGAACAGACCCAATTAGACCACTCTAGAAAGCATAGATTTCAAGAATTGACTCAAAATAAGGCAGTTTTGGATGCACGACTGTTAGCTATAGAAGTTGTTATGAAAAGGTAAGCATAACTTGATTTTGTAATTATTTCAAACTTTTATAAGCTCTTCACAGGGAGAGATCACGCACACTCCCCAACAGCTAGCGACTGAGCTCAAGCTAGCAGAACAATCCATAGATTCGTTGAATGCTTCAGTGCAACGACTTACTAATCTAGTCAATACAATTGAAAGTGAAAAATCAAACGCTGAGAGTCTTGTTCATCAACTTGAGAATGGAATATCCTCCTTTCAAGGGGGCTCTAATGCATCATTGGATGAAGCACAACGTTCTCTTTCTCAAATGAGAGACTACCTGACAGCCCATGAAGGAAAACTACGCGTTTTAAAGAGTAATCATTCGTATTTAACTCAAATCCTACACTCTCACGAGCTGGATCTTTTCCCCAACTCCACCTTGATCAACAAGATTACTTTGAATCCTAACACAGAAAGTTATTTACTCGCCCTTTTTGTCATTGCAGGAAGAAATATTTTCAATATTATCACACGAACAACAGATGAGGCCGAACAAGTGTTAGTCAAGTACACCAGTTTAAAAAGGCAATGTGTAATTTGGCCCATGGACAGACTGGACGCAACGCCTCAAAGAAAAAAGATTGACATTCAAAGAAAATTAAGACAGCGTAACGATTTAGAGTTTTTCCTACCAATGGATCTGATTCAATTTGATCCAGAGATTGAAACTGCCGTTCAAAGATGTTTCGGTGATTTTGTCATTTCCAGCTCCAATGACATGTCCAAGAAACTACTTGAACTTGGAATTTCATCTGTGTAAGTAGTCGAAATGCATGAAGCTCTTATTCACTAAATGTTTACTCAGGACGCTTGATGGAGTCAAACATATTCCAGGACGAATCATTGGCGGAGATTTTTCAAGGCAGAATTCTACAAATATTATTTCACAAAAATTAAGGCTTCAAAGTGCTGAGAAACAAATGAAGGAAGAAGAGGAAATTGTGGAACAGGTAAAACTTCGTGTCCATGAACAAGAAAAATTGACAAGGGAAATTGCGTCATTACAGCAAATGACACATCGTTTGAAGCTAGAGCGTGAGCGTTTGGACAAGCTCAACAAACAGAAACATAATCTTCAACAACGAATTTCCAAAGAAACAATCGAAATAGAGGAGTTAAAGGTTAAGAAAATATACATTGAGGAACAATTAAATTCAAACAATGCCGTTCAAAGAATGAAATCCGAACATGAACAATTGACTATGGAAAAAGAGACTATACTCGACGAGATTGAAGAGATAGAACAGCAACAAGAAGGGGAGAAAATATCCCACAATCATTTACAAGAAATTGAGTTGGAAGTTTCTAAAATGAAAGAAAAGGAACAGCATCTAAAAGATGATCTTGGTAATTGTTTGACAAGAATTGAGGAACTCTCGAAACGATATGAAACGATGAAAAAGCATCAAGAGGAAGGAAAAACAAGTAAGTATGTTCAACGAGCTGTAACGTTCGATAATTTTATTTATTTCCCTTTAGAGTCAAAAAAACTTCTTCAAAGAAAGCTGGAAATTGAAAAGTCTCTCAAAGCAATGGAGCAGCTAGAAAAATCGCTCTTTCAAGAAATTACATCATTCCAAAAAGAAATTTCATCTATTGAGCAAGCCACCTCCCTTGAGCTCTATGACCATGACAATGCCATGAACACAAAATCCGTCGAAGAATTAGAAGTGATCATTGCAAATCTGGAAAAGAAATTCTCCAAACTCAAAAAGAAAGCAAAAAACTTGCTGATTGACTCTAACGATGTCGAACGAAAACAACAAACCCTCAATAATAGTTTGAATCGAGTGGAATGGATCAAAACAAGCTGTGACCAGTTGAAAGAAGGAATTGCACAGGGTCAACAAATTGTGGATCGTTACAATCAAATTGCTTTTGAAAAGATTTCGTCTCTGTTCATCAAGTATACCTCCATGATGCTTGCAAATAAGGAATGTCATTTAGCTATGGTTGGAGAAAAAGTTAGTGAAGGAATTGAATTCATTGTTAAACACAAATCGAACATGCAAAGAAATAGCATTTTACCAAGATCCAAGAGCAATGAAAGCCAACAGGCCTCACAGAGCCCCATTCCTCTTAATCAGCTTTCTGGAGGCGAAAAAACCATGTTAAGCTTGGCTTTTCTTTTTGCCTTGGCCACTTTCAAAAACAGCATGTTCTACATTTTGGATGAGATTGATGCAAACCTCGATGAGGAGAAGCAAAAAATCGTTGCCCGTATTTTGACCACCATGTTTAAGGATAAGCAACAAGTCATTATGATTTCTCACAACTCGGCTCTTCAAAGTGAAGCAGATCGAATTGTTCACATTTAGTGATGTTTCACACCACTCACTTGTTCGTACGCACTTTGTCATTTTCAAACACACAACAGTTCAACACAATATTACAAAAAAACACATAAATTTCACTCTGCATATAACGCTAATAAATTAAATGTACAATTGGATTCTGAAAGCTGTTGCAATACCGCCTACAAAACTGACTCGAAATTCTTTGATTTCTTCCATTTGTTCTTGTATTCCTCTCTAGTGCTCTTATAGGAATGACTCATGGGCTTTTCTTGCACATCATCCTCGTCGTCCTCCTCAAATTTCGTGTACGATTTGTTTGCCGAAGACTTTTTGTTGCTTCTATTCATTTCAGGACTTTGATAATGATGCACATTGAACTCTTCCATTCGCACATCATCCTCAATCTTTTCTCCAAATTTAATATCTCCAGAAATTTCAATATTATTCATACTATCGTCATAATCTTCTTGTTGACCATAGACTTTCTTGGAATGACTCTTCTTTCCACTATCGTGCTCATCCAATTTATCAAAGAAGGTGGAAATTGAGAAATATTTAGAGCCAAATTCTTCTCTTGCTGTTTGTAAATGTTTGAGTTTTCTCTCTCTGGCACGTTGCAAAATTTCCTTTCCTTCCAACACTCGTTCGTCGGTAATCTTGTCTCCGCCATTGTATTTGAATCGTTCAATGTTAATAAGAGTTCCTAATCTTTCCAAAATTCTGAATAGTGCAACAAAAGCAACAAGAATAATACCCAGTGGTAAATAATCGACCACAAAACCACCAATGGCACCAAAAATTTTAAGTCCATCCAATCTCAACTCTCCATAAATGTTGAAATAGGCAACACCATCGTTTTTCGTGACACCAATCAATTGTAAAAAGTTGTACATCATACTAGGAATGACTCGACATAATAATTGAGCAGTATAAAAGAGTGTGTAGGAGTCTGTATGGTGAGGAATGATTCTAAAATATTGCATTACTCTCACATTGAATAATGCAAACATGATGGTGACCAAAATCATGAGTAAAATAAATAATGCAACAAATTGTGTGATGAAACGGTCATGAATGGATTCAATGAGCAATTCCAGAACTGAGAGTCTCACAGTGGTCACATTTTTGAAGAGGGGAGTAAATTCACACCATAACAAGATGAAGGCACACGGAATGTACAAGAGTACCAACAACTTTAAGAACCATGGTCTCAAGTACCTGTAATAAATCCATTCGGGTTTCTCAATAATTTTTTGCCACCAAGTAAATCTTCGTTGAAGGAAGGGTGAGTCGACTTTTCTTAAACCATTAGATTTAGAGTCAATAATGTCTTGTAAAATGAAGGCACGAACTTGTAAATACTTCCATTGGTATTGATGAATGTCAAATTCAAGCATGGTATTTTTCAAGTCTCCATGAATGGACACTAATCTCCATCGACTCAATTTTTCAATGTCAGGAAGCTTTCCAGGTTCAAAGCGATCTCTGAGACGAGCTTTTTTCAATTGAGGGTGAGTTTCCATGAGCTCATTGACGGTTTTCATCATGCGATCGACGTTCTTTCGTTGTTTGTGTGATTGATCCACGTGTTTGTCTAAATATGTACAGATGGATATGAGTTCAATGAGTTCATCTTCAGTATCGGTGAGTGTTTCTAGTAATCCGACGCTTCTAAATTCATAGAGCCTTAATTGTCTTTGATCATTCGAAATTTCCCACAGAGTTCTCGGAAGAATGACAATACCATATCCCAATAATGTGATGAGAAGTGCCAAACCTACAATGTTCGAGAGAGAAAGGGCAAGACCCATTAACATGTTGAATGTGACATTTTTAATGTCATCAACAATGGCAATATAAATCAAAAACCCTCCTAAACCTCCCAATCCGATCAAAATCATGACAGAAATGGCCAACAAGTTCATGACAATGGATCTCAAGAGTCTGAAGAGTGCAGTAAATTCACCTGTGAAGGGATATCCCTTGAATAGGGGTAAAATCACTTGAGCCAGTCCAAAGCAAGTCCAATAAATCACTCGCCACGTAATTTCAAGGGCTCTATTCGCATCGGTTTTTGCCGATGAACGGTCGACAGACCTGGCAGCCGCCAAATCAAAACACACCAATCCGACAGCTGTAAACAACAATGTATACGTTAACAAGAGAGGAATATACAAAAACCAACTCAAGGAAGAATTCTTTGCATAGTACCGGAGTATACAATATGAAAATATAATTCCCAGAACAATAGTGAGTCCCAAACTCACTGAAAAAAACGCATCAATCGGTTGAGTTTCTGTTACAGTTCCATTTGTTGAATTATTGGTTCCGTTATTCGTAATATTAATTCCGTCCCAAAGTAATTGAATCGCTTGCCCCATGATGGGAGTACCATCATCATTGTTTTCCAAAGAACCCGAAGTTATTTTTGAAGCATCCGAAGAAGCCATCATACGAGTTATGGATTGAAGCACTAACGAACTAGGCGAAAAATCTGCAGCGGCGCCCATCCGATCGTCATGAGTGCTATCCCACGTCATCTATTTTTTTTTTTTGAAATAAAAATTTAACGTCCTATTCGCAAATTTGAAATACTTTGGTGTTGGCCCAGGTTCGCAAGAACAACCATGTATTTACAAATAAAGATTCATCATATATTAACAAACTCGTGTTGAAAAATTAATTTTTCTGTTCTCGTTGCTTGTCATAGTCTTGAGCATAATCTTTAAGGGTGGCATTGCCGTGAGCGAAAATGTGTTTTGCAAATCGGTCGTCCTTAGAGACGTCGCCAATGGTGTTGTGATTGTCACGTTCTTTCAAAATGTCTAATTGTTTTTGACTTCGAGTGACTTGAGCAATTTGAATCATGGCCTTGGCAACATCTTCTCCCTTCACTCCACTCCAACTTCTTGGTAGCATCCAATCGAGTGCATTATTCAAATTCTGAGCAACACGCTCTCCAAATCGCTGTTCATTCTCACGCTCTCCAATTAATAAACCAGGTTTAATGATGTGACAATAGGTAGGAATGGAGGAAGATCCAGAATTATTATTCTTGTACGATTCAACAAAATCCAATTGTTTCTTGGCACATGCTCTCTCAATGTCGCCTTTCACTTGATTATAAAAAAACATGGATTTGCTGTCGGCACCAACTGCAGTCACCAAAAAGAATTGTTTGATGTTATTTGGTGAAGATGATGTTAAATTGTTGGCAAATTTTGAATACACCAATGAAGCAAATGACTCTGGATAATCATAATCGACATGACGGAATTTCGTCTTATCGTTTCCTACCGCTTTAATAGTTGTTCCGAGACAACAATAAGCCTCATCCACTCCATCAAATACATTTTCAATACTATTCAAATGATCTAAATTATCCAAACAAACATGATCAATCGGAACGGTTGAATTTGGAAAATTGAATGGATTTTCCTTTCGTCTAGAAATGGCCACAATTTTTGAATACACGTTAGGATCTTGTTGGGAAAGTAAACGCACAAGATTCTTTCCAATCAAGCCAGTAGATCCAACCACAATGGCTTTAATTCCAACGCCACCCGACGATGAAGCTGATGAAGAAGACATATTTTTTGTTGTTTGTAACGATGAAACACTTTCCGATTAATTATTATTGCGTCCTCAGTTGTAGATACTTCAATAAATTGTTATTCTACGTCTACAGTGAAATTTCAATTGCAACCAGCCATCTACCTTAATTCAATAATTTTTTTTCATCTAAAAAACGCCACAACGATTCATCATAATTATGTTGTATGGATTCGGAGCCAATGAATATGAAGTATTGAAATCCTCGGAAAGCCTTCTTCTTGAATTTCGTAATAATATTAATACTAACGATGATCTTTTTGAATTAACACCGCTAACTCTACCATCATGCAATTTTCAAATTCGTAAAATTGTAGCCAACAATGAATTTGCTACCGCCATGTTGACTATGGATGGAAAGTTATTTGGAAGTGGTAAGAACGTTGCCTCCATGTTTGGTTTCAATAATGAGAAATATCCATCCATAAAACCTTTTACATGGATCGGAAATGGATTGCAAGGACTTGCCATTAAAAACGTTGCCATTGGAAATCGATTTATATTGGCTCAAACATTGTTGGGACAATTGTTTGTCTGTGGGAGTTTTATTGGATCAAGTCCCTTAATGGAATGTGAGGTGTTTACGAATTTGGATCCTTATGTACCCACAAAATTGAAAAATGCTGGTATTGAATATATACATGCTCGATACACCCATTGTGGAGTCATTTCTCGTGATGGTTCTCTATATGTCATTGGAGAAAATGGTTGTGGTGAATTTGGGTTGGGTCATTATTTCGATCGAAACAAATTTACGCTTGTTTCATCGATACCAGAGAGTGTGAAATCAATTAATTTTGGATATCATAATTCTGTTGCAATTGGAGAAAGTGGATTCATTTACGTTGCAGGAAGTAATTTAAATGGGGAGCTTGGAATTTCAAATGAGGAGGACAGCACTGTGAAAGTGTTTAGAAAGATTGAAATTATGAATTCGGAGAATATTGAAAAGATACAAAAAACAGCATGTGGCATGCATCATGTACTGGTATTGAGTGAGAGGGGCCACATATACTCGACAGGAGCCAATGATTTTGGCCAACTTGGCCTCAATGACTTTTATAACCGATATGAATTCTCTATAGTGATGCCTCAAACAACCTTTAGAGATGTTTCGTGTGGTGATCACTTTTCTGTAATGATGACTCTTGACGGACAAATTTTGGCCTGTGGATCCAACTCTAATGGTGCCATTGGCCAGTGGATTCATCATAACCCAATTTCGCCAACTCCAATTCTTGTTGACGGTCAACAACTTATTGCATCTGCCAAACACCAAAATCAACAACCAACCTCTCTCGTATGTGGAAATCGCTTTACTCTCTGTTATCATTCAGCTGAATGTTTCATGGATATTATACTCAAGGAAAAGCAACACATGCTTCAATGTTTGTTTGAGCAATTGCAGCAACATCAGAACATGACCACTCATTTGTCACCAGAGATCACTTTCCATTTTTCGACACGATGACATGGGCAAGTTTTCACACAACCACTTGAAAAAGTCATTGCATCCGAAATTCAAAGAGGTGAGGTTTCACTCTCTTGTTGGCTCTCCTTACAGCATACGCAGATGCAACTTTATTCATTGACTTTGGAAAATCTGAGGATTCCACCAGTCTTTCCTTGTTGCAAACGTTAAATTATGCAAGTTAAACACCCTTGACGATTGTAAAACAACGCTTAATTTTTCCACAAAAGGAACCAACTACCACTACTGTCGTTGATGATGTTGAAAAGGTGGACTGTATTTGTTCGTTCTTATCACAACTGCTCTTGTAAAATGTGAGATCCGTATTGGCATGAATCTGAACGGCCTTGCTTCCCTTCTTTCAACCATCAAAAAAACAATCTCAACTCTCTTGCATGATATACCATTCGTTCCTTTCATTCCATAACTTCAGTTGAAATGACACTCACCAACGCTCCATATTCCCATTGTAACAACAACAATTACAACACACTTCACACTGTATTTATTTTACCACTGCTGATATGTGGTTTCCTGCTTGTATTCGGCACAACAGCAGCAGTATACTCCTCTAGTATAATCTCACAACACAACCTGCCTATGAGACGATCGTCAGGAACAAATATGGCCAAAGCTCATCCCAATGTTCATGATGAATATCACAAGAATTTTTTCACAACATCCACACAGCAAACATCTTTACTCGACTCGAACTTGTCATCCCACGTGATACTCAATACCATCTTGTATCCCAAACATGATTGTTTGAGACACGCTCCTATCAATCAACCCTACTATCCCTTCATGTTCACCATTGATACTGATTATTATGATTTTTGTAATTTGAAAGACAAAACTTCATTGCCAACAGAGTTTTATGAGAGTCGAATTGTTCCCGAATCACCCAATGAAGACTTTTCTTGTGTCAATTATTTGTGTCGTAGGGAGAATGTTTGGAATTTGAGAAATACGACTCAACGAATGAATTTGGGAATTATTTTCAATTACTGCTTACGATGTAATCAGACTTCTTCCGAATTATTTCGCCAAGCATTGATGAACAATTCGTGTCCTGCCTTTGTATTGGGCGCTTCAGAAAATGCAACCACTACGACGACTATTCCCAGTGATCAATTCATTGCCAAATTCAATCAAGTGTCTAATGTTCATTGTAACGGTGTTGCTTCCTCTGCAGAAGGATCATCCAATAATTTGGCTCTCTTGGATTACAACTTTTTCATGTCCGAATATTTCATGAATCGATTTGCTAGATACATGGAACGAGTCACTGGTGCACCACAACCAAATCCTCAACTCACTGTATCATCAGTTTCTCTCAATCCCATTCTTACCTTCTACTTTAGAGAATATTTTAATAGTGATGTGACAAGCTTGAGTGCACCACTCACGGTACCATTCATATGTTGGTGTAATTACCAATCCGAAAGGGATAAGAGTTTTGGCTTTCAATGCAATGATTTCTTTCAAAATTGGCAAATCAATTTCACCTACAGATATTCGGTGTGGATCTTTGCCTTAATATTTGCCTCGATTTTTGTGGCTCAGCTCGTTCTCGTGTTAGTACCTCGATTTGGAGAGAGAATTCTCACATTTAAGGAACGATTACGAACTCAAGGCCTCGGCATTTCCGTTCCACAAAAAATTGCCATGTTTTTCAAACACTTTTTTGATATTGTCAGTCAACCACCTCCTTTCTTTACCATTGCTTCCTTACTTGCATTTATGGAGAATTTTATGAGAATATTATTTAACTTTAAGGCGTCTAATCCATTCTTTAAAAATTATTTTTCTGGAGTGTTTAGAGGATTGGCTTGTGGATTTATCATTTGTGGATATTCAAGTTTAATTATTAGTTGGAGTCATGTGATTGATCTATCAAATAGAAAGACCACAGACTCCAAGCAAGGAAATGGACTGAGTAAGCTCAATATTGCAATTCTCTCTCTGTTCTATATTGCCATGGTCATTATTGTCATTGTCTCACTCATTGTGTTTGGAGCAACCAAAAAGGAATCCTACGCTTGGATATTATTGAGTCTCTGTATTGTCATTTATTTGTTTACCTTTGTTTTAGGGTTTGCTTTTTATGGATTTCGAATTTTGTACAAACTTCGAAAAACAGTAGGAGACTCGAAGAATTTGATGGAATATCGTTTCACAAAATTTATGCTTGCAGAAACTGGTGTATTTTTGGCAGGTTGTGCCATTTCAGCACTCATGTTCGTCAGTTATGTCTTTGGATTTGATATCATGAATTTATTTTGGGGAATGGCTAGAAACACTTTCATGGATTCTGCACTGACAGCTGTCATTTCTCTCTCGTCTTACATTACCTTCAACGAGACAGCCATTGAAATGGTGTATGGTAAAAGAATTTTAGAAATTCTGACCTGTGCTCGTTGCTGGAAACGAAACAAGTTGAACCATATCGCCAATTCTTCAGTAACCACTACCAATGAATAATTCTCTCAGTACTGTGACCTCACAATAACATCCATCATGTGAACAGACTCAACAACCACCCTTACCGCTTGTATTAAATACTTGCACATCTGATCAACTACAGAAATCTCCCAAGCAAGCAACAACACCATAATCATCATCAGCAACTAATTTTCCCGAGTCGTGAATTTTCAAAATGTGCGTTGCGAAAGGCAGATTTTTACCCACAAACACCAACGTACCTATGGAAACGGAAAAAGTTGCGAATCCAATCATTTTCACACACAAACAGCGGACCTAAGCAGACACAAGCGCGCATGACAAGCAGTAACAGAGAGCAGTAAGCTTACAAAAAGTGATCACCGACGCTTTGTATTCATTTGTTACCCCACACAACCACACACTGGACTCTCGTCAAAAAAACAACACACAACCACACCACACACCAATCACTAACAAGATGAAATCCTTGTTCCTTCTCACAGCAATGGCTGTTGTCTTGATGGCTCTCTTCTTCACACAAGATTCTCATCAACAACAATTTCAAATGCGTTCCCTCTACCAAGGAACCACTTGTGCTGGTACTCCCTTCCGTATTGTGACTCAAAAGATCAACACTCAATGCAATGCCACTGATTCTTGCACGAAATATACTGCTGAACCAAATCAATTGTCCTATACTCAATCGTGCCCAACTGCCTTCCCAAATCAAGCCAGTGTTGCTGGAGAAATCTATATCAATACCTATTCTGAAGCCTCTTGTAGTGCTGCTTCATTGACTTCATATGAAGTTTATCGTATTAATACTTGTATGACTTCGAATGTAATTTTTGGACCTAACGCAAAGAGTGCCAAATACGTCAATTGTGAAAAGCTGGTCTTGTATGAAGATGATGCTTGTCAAACTGTTTCAGCTGAAGATCCAGTCGTCTTGAATACTTGTAATTCTCAAAAGAAGATTTACAGATGTGGATCTGCTGGTAAGATTTCAAGCTCTTTGGTTGTATTGGCAGTGTTGATGATTTTGGGATTGTTCATGATGTAATTTTGTCCAATTTTCACACACCAATCAATTTATTAAATTAATGTTTATTCTAACAAAACATTTTATCAAGTTTCAGTCATCTGTTCAATTAAATTGTCAAGCTTTATTTTTTTTTCATAGTCAAACAAAAAAATGAGTTTTGTTGAAGTGTTTCCCTCTCTTCTCTCTTCGGACTCGCCATCATCATCAGCGGCAAGCCTGAAATCCACGCCGACTGCGGAAGGGGATTATGTGTGTTGGTTGGAGGATGAAGCAATGAATGAACCCAATCATCATCATCAGGATATAAATGCCATGTTTTATGAAAAGATGTTCCAAGCTATGAAACATCAAGATGAAGCCGAGATGAGATGTAGTGGTGGTAGCTTTAATATTAATTCTCAATTAACACTCATATGGTAGGTGTAGTATTGAATGAGGTTTTGGAACCGAACTTGGAGGTCAATCATCATGATGACAATTTTTATTAATAACCATCATGATGAATGGATGAATATCTTTGAATCAAATATCTTTTTGTATCAATGCAACACTAGGAAAACATTTGGAAATGATTTGATTTTGCAAGAAGCCGATTTGTATGGAGAGCGGTCATCAAGAACATTCACATTCAAAGCTCCCATGAATGTTTTCTTTCTTCCAGGAGTTTCACTCATGAAAACCCATCAAGAAATTACAATGTGGGCTTTAGCCACCAATAGAACATTGTATCGAATTAGCCTGACATACCAATACAACAAAAGCAACACCGAAACTGAAAACAAGCAAAACAACAGCTTAATCGATGCATTAGTTGCTCATTTGCACCATAACATTCCTATTGTGGAAGTATTACGAATTGGTATGGCTACAGAAGAAATTGAATTCGCTTACAACAGAGCAAACCAAAAATCGATTTTTACTGGATTCTTTGGGGGAGGGTCTTCCGAATCAAATAATATTGACTTCTTCAACAATCATAGTCAACATTTTCCAACATGCCTCTATGGCATTGAACATAATGCAGCTATAATTGGATTTGCAAATGGTGACTTGTTGAGAGTCATGAAAGAGGGCAATAATTCCACCCAAATGAACAGGTTCATTTTTGAAAACACTTCAACAACTAGCTGGCCATGGTTTTCGAGCAGGAATAAGGATATGACCTTAATGGGAGTTTTCAAAAACGGTGTTGTTTCTGTCAAGCACATTTCTATGTTCAATAATCAACTAGATCTCATCATTTCTCTTCACAGAAATGGTTATTTAATCGTTTGGAGAGAAGATGTGGAAACAAAAGTGATGGCAACAGAAGAGATCGACCCAGTACAAAACCATTTGCGACTTTTAACATTGAATATTCCTAGAGAACAATCCAATGAAGATACAATCTATGAAAGCGACCTTATTGACAGCCTAAGATTTTGCTCCGATCCTATGAAAGTGATACCCTCTACTGTGACTACTCCACAACAGACAAGCAGTAGTTTTAATATTGTGCTGGCATATTCGAGACTCAATGGAAAAACATCGTCAGCAGCTTCGATAACGGCTCCTGTGACGGACGAGACTTTATTTACGGCTCTTAGTTTTGGAACTACTGTTGATCAACAGGAACAATTCTCTCTCGAATACCGCGGCATTGAAAACGTGAAATATTTTTCATCTGAACTTTTACAAAAAGATTTATTTCAATTTTATGGTAATAGCTCGATAGCGTCAAGATTGGTCACATTTGACATTGCTGATGGAAATGTATGGGCGATTTGGTCAGTGAGAGATTTCAGTTTTAGGAATGTTATAGAAGGTGGCTATTCTTCTTTCCTTTCGTATACTGCTTCCTATGGATCAATATTATCATCAGCAGTTCAAACTCAATCTGCTTGGTCATTTGTTCGTACTCTTCACTCACAATATGCAAGTGGAATTTTGAAAATTAGCAAAGTGAATGACCATGTAGAAAATGTTAGAGGTTTCGTCATGCAATTCCTTTTTGAAAGTTCCATTCGAAACATGCTCAATCCTAATGTGTTACTTAGAGCAGTTGTTTCATTCTATCCAAAAGATGAGTTACCTACTCTGGCTCAATCTCTAGGAGTCTCTGAGGATTACAATGAAATTTTATCTTCTCAACTAGATCATGTGTTCTGGATGGAACGTATCACATACGCTATTGAGTATACTCTCTCTCAAAAGCGAGCCATGATCGATGATGCCAATCCTCTTCAACGGAACCAAATGGAAGCCAAGATGGAAGCACAAACATGGAAAGAGTTTTTACACACACTCATACAGGTGTGGATAACATTCAATTCTCCACTTGCATTTGCATGGTTTGACACAAAACCACAACAAACACCAGGCATAATTTATACTGGCACATTCAAATCAGCACCTTCCGTATCCATGCTTCGCTCTATGGATACTTTGGAAAACATTTTCCATAATGTGAACCAGCAAAATTGTAATCGAAACTACGTGCTTGTAGCTGATCAAATTCATCTCACAAAAGAAATTACTTCCAAATTATCCTTTTCCAAAGATTTAATACGCTTGTTTGAGGTGTTGAATTATGTTGAGACTTCTGTCACTGAGCTTTCCAAATCGTTCAATATTTTACCGTATTATTTCTCGAAAAAACTAGGTTTAGAACATGAAGATCCTTCTGTTACTGCCAGAGTGATTGCACTTGAATTGGTTTCTGGATTAACATTCCCAGATGCGAATGAACTTCCTGATACCCTTATTCAAGACTCAAAAATTAATTCTAAAAGAAAGCTGTTTGTACACGAGTTTTTGAAGAGACTGAACAAAATTACCAGCACTCCAATCTATGCCATTTTAAATTATATTTCGAGAAAATTAATGGGCTTGGAAAGTATAAGCCTGGACAGCATCAGTGCTTCAACAAAAGAATGCAGAGCTTCTCCACGAAGTGCAAATTTCATTTCTCTTATTAATGGCGCTTCCATGCAACTGTTAGAATCTCGATTTTATTTATGTTGTCAATTGTGTGTATTTGTTGAAGTGATGAAGTTGTTGACACCCAATGATTCTTCCATTACACACAGTATTGCATTGGCTGATTCTCTTGAAAGCAAGAGCTATTACACAGCTCTTAGAGGTTATCATATTGCTTGGTGGCTCTCCACCAGATCTATTGAGGCTAATTTCGGAACTTTGAATTTAGCAAAATCATTATCTGATTCAAAACTGAACTTGACCGATTACATGCTCAGTTATCCTACTTTACACAACTCAAAGAATCATGCCTTCGTGTTGGAAATGCTGCTCAGAGAGTCTAGAATCTCTAGCGATATGATATCACTCTTGGATCAACTGTCTTCACAGAATCTGTCATTGAGTAGACTCGTCACTAATATTGCCTCAAACTTTGTGCACAGTAACATTCTTGTTGAATATGACGGTATTAATCCGCATGCGAACGACTTGGAAATTTGTCAATATCTCATCAATTGGCAAGCATTTGAAACGCTAAAAGAGTATGCAAGTATCCTGCAGAGTTACGATGCTTCTTTCCCTCACTCATTCCACTTCTTGGGTATTGCCAATCTACAACAAGGAGAAGCCCTGCAAACCAAAGAAAACTTTGTGAAATGTGCTATTATTGCCATTAACAATAGGTCCAAGCAAGAAGAAACGAAACGTTTGTTTGAACTCATGAATATTTATTGGAAGGTTGAACCATCGATCGTGAACTCAAAGACCAGTCAAGACCTTGTCAAGCAGTCCGTTTCATTCTATTATTATAATTATGTTAGACAATTATGTGGAAAGCATCCGGAATTGGCGTTGGACTTTACAAACCTTGCTCTTATGGAAGCAGATAGCGAAGTTGTTCCTCAAGAAGAAGTTAATATTTTGTATAGCGTCTTATTTACACTAAGTTTGCATTTCGATCGATACGATGACGCCTATATTGCCATTAATTGTCAAACCGATGTTCAAAGAAAGAAGGCAGATCTCAGAAAATTTGTTGGAACCATTGGTGAGCTCGCAGCTGTTAATGCAACACAATGTGCCTACTATGGTAACATGTTGTGCGAATTGCCTTTCTCAGGCATGCGAAACGAAGTCAATGATTTACTACATGAACGAGCCATGCACGCAGATCTCAGCATTAGAATGTCAGAAACAGCGCCCAATTATTATGGCTCCTTATCTTCTGTTAAGGTTCTCCATCCTAGTAACACTTCATCCGTGCTGTCTCAATCCAAGTTGACACTTCTCGAAGAGCATCAAGAACGTATCAATTCGACCTATGCCTACTATCATCTTTTGTACGCATTCAATGTACACAGAGGCGACTATAACAAGGCAGCCCTGTACATGTATGAATTGGGGCGTAGAATTGATAGTCAAGTCAAGCTCATTCCCATGTCTGTCTCTTCAGATGCTGCCTATGAAGAAATTATTGAGGCTTACCTGAAGAAGCAAGCAGAATGTTTCTTAATTTCTCTCAATGCCCTCAAACTCGTCTCTGATAGGAATCAATGGTTCTTGTATCCATTCCCTGATGATAGTATTGAAGCGATCGATCGTTCGATTAGTCCCCTAAAGAGAAATCGTGATAGCCAATCCACGGCCATTGAGAATGAGGATCTGGAAAAGAGACCTCATCCAGGTATTATCACAATTTCTCAACTCGAGACTCGTTACCACATGGCATCCTCCAAAGTCACCATTCTCCAATGTCAGAGAAAAAATCCAACCACTACTTTCAATGTGCTTTCATTGCTCTTGTTGAACAAACCACTCGACGTGATTACCTTGCTTGCCTCTGAAAATTGTGAAGAATATGAAAAAGCGTTTTATGTGGCCACATGTTGTAAATTGCCTCCAAGTGACTTGCATGAAATTTTCACACGACTCGCTCGTAAATGTTACCATAGCGAACAACAACAACCCTTCATATCAAAAAGTAGCACGGAAAAATTGTGGCAATTATTACGACTCAAGTTGAAAAAACACGACAGTGCTGCAACGAATTATCAATTAAGTGCAGCTTGTGTAAAAACCATCTACAAGGAAATTCAATTATTTGACAATAATACTCAAAAACAGTCACGAGAACCATCAGACGGTAAACGAAACAATGATGGCATTCCATTATGGCTCCTGGACATGTGTGAACCCAATACCTTATTACGAATTTATCTCGAGTTTGGCAAGAGAAAAGATGCTCATGAATTATTGCAACTCAATTCTGCTTTCCCTCCCAATGCGGAAACTCCCAATCGTCTCAAAATACCCATTACCTATACCATGAGAGAATACGCCTCCAATTTTTAGACATTCTAGAACGAACTTGATATCCTAAAAGATTAAACACACGATTATTTCATATCCTCACATGAAATTAGTCCATTGTAGTTTAGCTGGCAAAGTAGTGCGCCAAAAAAATTCACATTGATACGTTGCGAGAGGAAACCTTAACGACAATAATAACCCTTTGAACTTTCACTCCACATACACACGCACGCGTTGGGGAGGACAAACTCATTGAGAGCAGTTTTTTCATGAAATTTGTTTGAAGGACTCCATCATCATGGCTATTTCATCATCATCGGCTTATTCAAATTCTTATTTAAATTTAAGTAAGGACCATGAGAGAGCCATTCCATCCGCTTCTTCCGACTTGTTCTTTCTCATGCCTAATCATTCCATCACTCCAGTAAATTCTACCTCACAAACTGCAACAATGACAACTCATGAGAATATACTGGATTTTACCTTTGAGGATACAACCTCCTCGTCCTTACCTATGAGCCATCCTCCGCTCGATCCTGATATCTTGTTAGATCCCAACCACAACATTTTCAACAACAACGGCAAAACCTCACCTCTTCATGATCCAATCTTTGATGAAACAACAACAACAGAACCAGAGAATCCCTCCTCTCCGTCCCTTGCTACTCTCTGTTTATCCAACAATGTCGCCAAGACGAGAGCCTTCTTTGAAAAGGCTTTTGAAAAGAATTCAGAAGGGATGCCTGGAAACTCTTCTTCCAATCCTATCAGAAATCCTCATTTGTCCCATTTGTTTTCGGATCGCGGAGAGGATGATACAGACTCACTTGAGGAGAGAGTCCTTGCTTCATTATCAGGAGATTTTGGATCCTATGAAGAATCCGTTCGGGAAGAATTAAGGCAACTCTCAGAATTTATTGCTATATCGAGTAAGAAATTGGAAGATGATTCATCGGTGCAGAAAGGACAAACGAGTGATGCATCTCTAACAGCTTCAGACGGAAAGCAGCTTCCACGAGTGAAAATTGATCTCGTCCGACGATACAATCCAATGGATATTTGTAGAAAAATTCGCGAATATGAAACTCAAAAGGAATTGTTGGAGAGTGAGAGAGAGTACCATGAATTGAACCGATTAGAGTCTGCCTTAAGAAAGGACATACAAAAAGAGATGAATGATATCGAAGACAAGTTCAATTACGATTATTCATTGAGAAGGAAAGAAATTCAAGCCCTTTTGCATGATCAGCATGAAGAAATTAATCAGTTATGGACAAGGAGAATTCTCAAGTATGATTCAGTTGCTGTGGTGTTGATGAACGATATGGCAGAGAGGCATCAGACTGAATTTGCAACGAGCCAAGAAAAATACCGTAAGGCCTTTTTAAAGAAGAAACCAACACTTTCCAAATCTACCCTTGCTGAGAAGAATTTGTTGAATGTACTATCAACCTCAAAAATGTACGAACTAGGAAATGGGCTTGAAGCGAAAATCTATGATCTGGAGAAGAAGGATCTTGCAAACTTTTTCAATCAACAAGAGTATCATGTCGCGAAAAAGCTCGAACACTTGTCACAGAGGCAACATCAAGAATTGTGTGCTGCTCAACAAAAAATTGATAAGGGAAGGAATGCAATGGAAAAGGACCGAGAGAGTGATATCAAGAAACTTGATTCTAGAACTACCATTCTATTCAGAGACTTGGAAAAGAAAAGAAACGTGATATTGACGCAAATTCAACATTTTCGAGACAAGTTCAATGGAGTCACTTCGGGTGCTTTCAGACGAAAAAGTTCAGAATACTTTTCTACTTGGGAGAATTTAAATGTACAGGAACCAGTTATCCACATCTCAGCTTGTTTAGAATTTTTCAATTCCATTACAGACAAAATAATTCAATTTTTCAACACTGTAGATAAATCAGAGACGGAGATTGAGAAGGAAACGTGCAAAACCACCAAACGACTATTGGATTCTATGGACCAAGTCATTACAGATTCTCCAAAAACAACTCCAGAAAAGAAGAAACACTCTACCATGCGTGATAAGAATGCAAGTACCTGTACCTTTCAAAATGAGCAATACTCCAAGTTGCTATCGCCTCCAGCAAGTCCTGCTATGAAAGACAAAAATAATAATGACCCCACTAGATCCACAGTCGCTCGTACAACTTCCTTGTTCATTGAGGAAGCAAAAGCGATTTTGAACACGCCTGAAAAGGTGAAAATTTCGAACCCCTCCCAGTCCTCGCTAAATCGATCAACTTCATCCTCCAAAGGATTGGCTGTTGCCACTCAACCTAATGTGACTCTTGACGATTGCTTGAAAAAGAAGAAAAAGCCTTCAGCCAAACACACATTTTCTGAGCTCATACGAACATCGTTCAAGTGGAAGTAAAGAAACGTCTTTTGCCAAATTGTATAGAAACAGCATTTTGTCAATTAAAATAAATAATAATATTCAATGTTATTTTACAACTTAATTAATCCCACCATTCAATAATTGCGCTTTGAATCTACCTGAAAGCACCACACCAACAATTAAAGCTGCAAATAAAGTGAATACAATCAGCAAGTGAGCTGAAACGGTTCCAAATGTTGAAATAGCCATAATACCACAAATATCGTTTGTCACTTGGGTAGAAGTGTCTACCATAAAGCTGCACTTGGTTTTAACTTTCAACTCGTTGAGCATCTCTCCAACGACTTGAGCAGCATCAACCAATGAAGATGCAGCAGGTTCCAAGTTATTCTCCAAATTCAACATGAAGGTGGTTCCAAGTTGGTATCCTTGTACAAATTCAGGGTATGATTTGGTGTGGAACCAATCGTTTGCGTTGGCATATTCAACGAATATGGTCTGATTCGCAGAGTCATACAATGAATCCAACAGAGTGGTCATTTCATGTTGGAAGTTAGTAATTTCTTCCTTGTTAGCCTCATAGTTTTCATAATTTGAATTGTTATTCACACGGCTCTTGAATTGGTCCAAAGCATTCATGTAGGAGGAAAGACCTGCCTGAATATTTGGTAATCCTTGATTCAAAATTGTATTCATTTCAATAAATAACAGTTGTCCACTTGTAGCTATCTGATTTCCTTGATACGTAACGTTCAAACTTTCCATTCCCATGATAAAATTGTCAAAGAATGTTTGATAATCATCTGAGGTGGCATAGTGTCCTTGTTGAGCAAGTTCAATCACATTGAGAACATTTTGATACTCATCAGGTTTTTGATCAAAGTTTTGTCCACCACAATTCAAGAAGAATCGTGTCACATTCACTACGAATGAATAATTGTGAACAAACAAGTCAGAATTTCCAAAGATTGTGGATGGTGGTAATGCCAAATGACCGTCTTGTTGAGTTTTCATGAGGTAGTACTCGAATGAAGAGTGAGAGAATGAATGTGGTTGATTCATATTTTCAGGATTAAACAAATTGTCACCATTGATACAGTATGGTCCCACTGCCATTAACAAGGCAATACCAGCACCTGCAAGAAGCATGAGCCAAATCAAGACGGAACAGCTGCAACAGCATGCAAGAGTGAGTATACCAGAGGATTTTTTCGTGACACCCACTCCACCAGTCATTGCAACAATTGAGGCAATGACAAAGAATCCAATAAAGGATGACATGTAGGCTATTTCAAATTTGGTAATCACGTCTTGTGCGTAGAGTTCGGCTCCTGGAGTTGTGACATTTCCAATCACATCTTCAAACTGTCCAACTTGTGAAGGAATGGTTGGAGCTTGAAGAGCGAGCGGTCCAAAAACTTCATTCCACATACTGTTCCAATTGGAATAGGTGTTACCTTGGAAAACATTGTTTGTATAGTTGAGACGATCTACAATGAATTGCGTGAGAGTAAGAGCTTCTAGTAAATAGCTATGACTTGTTAACATTTGTTTCACAAGACCCTCAGGCATTAAATTTGTGTAATTGTAAACGTCATCCAATTGGAACACATCAATGCTACTTGTCTTGACAATGTTGTCGTATTTTTGAGTAATTTCGTAAATTTTGAATGATTTTTCATACAGTGCTTTCATAGAATCATTCAACTTGTTATAAATCAAATCTTCTAAATGTAGTCTGTCATCATTGTCGACAACGGCATTTGTCAAGTAGGCCTGACCTTGTGGAATCGCACTAGCGACAACATTACTAGTAGTACCATAATTTAGCAAAAAATTTGTCAAACCTTGTGTGTACGTAGTGTTTGACATGATAACTATAGTTTCATTGAGGGCACTCTTAGCACTGTCTAGGGCAGTATACACGGGCTTTGATGTTCTATCTAATCCAACAAAGAATGCAATCGAAAAACCAATTCCACAAAGTGCCAATAAAATAACACTCATCATCAAGCAGCAATATGAAGCTCCACAAATCTTAGTAAACACAGAATCGCCCCCTGATGAATATGATAAATCTCCTGATCCGTATTCGCTGTGTAACACTCTGGAAATGGGTTCCTCTCCGATTCGTTGATATCCTTTTCGTCTACGTGAGCCAGTTCCGAAGAGACATTTACAAAGGTTGAGAACGCCAAAAAGAATCCAAGTGGTAATTGTCAAAATAGCACCACTAACAACTACCAATCCAAAAATTAGAGCGATAAACTATATCATCGGCATGGTCGTAATACACATGATTGTTTGGATTTTAATGACAGCAAAAAGAAATATAAATACAATGGTAAAATATCAATCAACGGAATGACGAGACGGCCATTCATGAATAGTTGGATGATCATCATCACACATTTCCGAAATATTTGGAATATTTGGGGTATTTACCAAACAATATTAACAAATTCCGACATTAGAACACACTTTCCAACAACTACTACTACTTACATAAAACCATCCTCTCCACACACATAGATCCATACTATCTGGCATTTGTGTGGTCAACGATGGATATCCCTCACAAGAAGATACATTAAAAAACCAAGGCCACCCCGATGGAGTAATCAATGATGAGGATAACAATGTTGAGGATGATGAATAAATAGAGCTCATAACAGACTCATGAGAAGATGATGATGCCAGCAGCGTCGAGCCGGAAAAAAAACTCTGCAAGGCTTGTAAAGGCATTTTTTTCTGAGATTCAAAAAAAATCTTTTTGAAAAATTGAAATGAATTCGACGAGTTGAAGAGGTTGAGATGGAACCGAAATTTTCACTGGAGGACAAGTATATTCTCTGCCTTGTTCCTTTTGGAAAGAACAAAGAAACAGAGAAAATATCAATAACGCTGTTATCAAGGTGGGCGTAGGGAGCTTGTTGTGTGATGGAAAAATGATTTCATTAAATATTCTTTCGTTTTTGGCACACGTGATTTCATATCCTCAACCTAAACGCTCCCATAGGATACGATCAATAAGGAACATGTGCAAAAGGAGGTTTGCTCACCGCCTTCAGCAAGAATTCTCTGAAGAAAAGTTGATGCAAAAAGAAAATTACGAGTCCTCAATCATGATTGAGAGCATATCGTCACGGTCGTTTCTCATCCAATCTTAATGAAATTGATGCAAATGATTTTGGTTTATTGAACATTGAAATGGAGGAGAGAATTATGGAAAAGTAGTGTGGTTTTAAGGAAGGTAATATGTATGTTGGAATTTGGGTGAGAAGCTTGTGTTTGGAAATGGAGTAGTGAGAAAAGAGATGAAGGAGGGCTATCGTGATGTTGTGAATGGTCGTGACAGTACGAATCTACATGTAAACTATTTTTGAATAATTATTATAAAAAAATCATAGGACTGTTGTTGTGAAATAAATTGGCCAATGTTGGTGTTGTTGTTGAGGTAAAATAGTTGCAAATGTGTGATTGAAACACGTTTGCTGCTCATGTCACAAATAGTTGTGATGGATCGAGAGAGGAGAGTATGGACTCTCGTTTCTTGCAATACATTCATAGAGTGCTTCATGAATAATTCGTATTCTATGCATTTGGTTTTTGAGCCATCTTCAACTCTAGCACCTTGTCTTTCACCGAGTTAAATACTTGTTTTATGGATTCCGTTTCTGTGGCGCAACTCCAAAATGTGAAAATTCTGTTAGGATCATACTTGTTGGCGTCAAGATATTTCTTTTCAATAAATTTCACAGATTCTTCAAAAGTATCAGCTCCTTCATAATCTGGGAAAAGAGTCCGTATGGACTTTTCTTTGATTTTTCGGGAAAAAACATCCGTCTTGTTGAGTAAGAGAATGATCATGGTATTTTGGAAGTGACGACTATTAATGGTCTCTTCGAAAAGGTCAATAGATTCCGACATACGATTGGTCTATTCTCACGAGAATTATTCGAGAATTGTTTCATCACCAACAACATAATATGGTTAACGTAATTCGAGTTAGAACATAAATGGTCAACAAGAATTATTACAAGATATACATACATGATCATCTTCGTAACAAACTTGATCATAGTCTCCAAGACTTGCCACAAATATCACAGCATGAACTCCGGCATATGAATTAATCCACTACGTTCGTCATGAAATGCAACATTTTCATCATCATTGAAATTTACAATATTTGAGCAATTTCAATAAAAAACGATAAATGGTTCCAATTGCAGTTTCAAATTCTTACCTTCTTTCTTTCAGGTCTTTGTCCACCTACATCCACCACTTTCAGTCTATATCCTTTATATTCAAATGTTGTATCATTAATACCTGTCGTCTTTTGTCTGCAATAATATATCGGTTTGACTTGGTATATAATTGGGTGGTCTTAATCGAACTAAATCTTTAAAGAAGTAGGTAGCACCTTCGAACACGTGAACTTCATATCGATACCTATCAAAAGCTTCAGTAATGGCAGGATCTTTGTATAATTCTTCGATATCTAAAGCGAGATCTTCGTTGTATTGTTGAACTCCACACCATAGGAATGAATCATCGCTTGTCACTTGTCGAACTCGAGCAACTCGATTCGAATTTGTTGGAAGCAATTTTGATTGTCCCTTTTCATTGACAACCGTAAGTAATGAATCAATTGTTTGAATGATATTTCCATAGATGGAGTTCAAATAGCGACTCACTTCTTCCTTTGTGAAACCTCCCTTCTCAGTAATTTTGATTTGTTTGAAAAGGGTACCTAAAGGAGTATTGGTACAGATATAACAGGGGTAATTTTGAGATTGGCATTTGAGAGGTTCACGACCAAGCATGGTTGTTGATATGAAAAACACATAGGCAATGAACGTATGAAGGTTCATGATGATATGTCAGAATTTGATGTACCATGCATTGATGTCGTTCAAGTGTCGCAGCGGTGTGTTGATGTGAAAAGTTTTGTTGATACAAGATCACATAAAACAATGATGCACACAAATGATAAAGCACCACCACCACGTTGTTGTTGTTGTTGGTTGTAAATAACAGTTGTAGTTCGTTGATGATCATTTTCAAAATTTCAATAAAACCATTGCGATCAGTTTTTTGACGCTTGACACCAATCATCGACTAGTACTTACTTTTACCTGATTCTCCACTTCCCAACAACAAAATCTTGATATCCTCTGTCTGTCCATTCTCCGAACCACCATGATGATTCGATCGATGAGAAACTGATCCATTATTACCATTCATGTTGTTGCTGACATTGGTTTGACCATTTTGTTGTTGTTGCGAATGATTGGTCGTGTTGTTGTTGTAGTTATTATTATGGTTTGAATTGGAAGTAGTAGTAGTAGTACCATTTTGTGGATCCTTACTTCCATTGTTGTTATTATTATTTGGTTTGGAACCTCCTCCACCCGAGAGACAAGAACCCATTGTGTGATGTATTTGATTATTGTTTTGTTGTTGTTGTTGAGATGATGTAATATAAATTATTGAAAATCCATAAGAGGATGATGAAATCTTCTTCGGCGTTGATTCTTGTTGTTGATTGTATCAAGACTTGAAATTACAACAAGAGGAAACCGGCCGACACGAATACAGAAGAAAATCTCTATGGATCGAAAAGTGTTGGTTGTTGGTTTTTCAAAAAGATGATGAACGAGTCGACTTTCGGCTTTTCGGTTACAGAAGAACAGTGTCGAAAGTGGTTGTTGGGCTCGCTATGAGATTGGGGAAAATTGCGAAGAGGGCAAAACACCGCTGCTGGATGTTGAATATTTTTTGAAAACTCAATGATGACATTTGAAGGGTGTTGCAGGGAGCCAAATCATTTAAAATCAAGATCCACATCAACAATTGGTCTGGAAATTTCAGACTTGATAGAAACCAATGAAAACCAATAGGAGTTGGTTCGAAATGACTCATGAAACATTGAGGTCTTCAAGTGTTATGAAAAAAACATTCATACCCAACGTCAAGTGTCATCCAATCAAAAGACTTCTCACACACAAATTATTAAAAAAAATGACTTCGCTCAACAAGAGGGCCATTCTCAACAATTCCCCTCTTGTTCACTCCAGCTCAGCAGGGTTTTCATCATCGTCTCCAGCCCTTCTGAACTCGTCCTCTCTCCAAACGAATCATCAGTATTCCAATCCTAATAACAACAACCCAAACAACAACACGATGGATCTTCTCGAACAACAACTCTCCGTGGAAGCCGAAGAATTCGAACGAAAACTTCAACTCGAAACTCAAGATCCACTCAAACGAGCTCTCTCTCGTCGTGAATTTTATGCCACTCAAGAAGAACGTAGAGCCGAACGAAAGAGAGAACTCGGAACTATGGCCAAACGTAAAGAACGAGCCGTTGTGGGTCAAACAGCGTTGGAACGTTTGGAAAAAAAATGTTCTCCTGCGTTTTTACACTCTCGGGAATTTGAGGCGAATATGTGTGTGGGAGGAACGGGAGGTCAGCTCACGGAAAAGGCTTATTTGGGTCCATTGTTGGTCTATAGTGGAGATGTGGAACAGAAGGTGAATAGTAGTAGTAGTAGTAGCAGTAGCAGTAGCAGTAATAATAATAATAGCACTGGTAGTGCTGGAAGTGGTGAGAATAGTGTCGAGGGAGATGCCGACTCGAATGATCATCATTCCGATAAAAAGACAGACGTGCATCATGAGGAAGAAGAGGCTGATTCTCATCATGTGGACGTGATTCATGAGGCTATTTTTGAGGAACAGAAACGTTTAGTGGAGACTTTGCAAAGTATGCAAAATGGAGAAAAGCCTTTACCTTCAGGAATGACATCAAAACCTGTATTTCTTGGTGAAGATGGTACCTTGTACAACTTGTATTATGAGCCTTTGCCCAATCAAGATGCCACACAAATGAAAGGAAGAGGAAAATTCTCAAAAATTGCTTATGGATCTAGTGCCAAGGGTGCAGAACAAGAATTTGGTGAAGGTTACACAAAAGCCAAAGAATTGAAAAATAAGAAAATTGTTTACAATAGTGAACAGGAACAAATATTGAAAAAGTATGGCCCCATTGTTGATAAGGAAGAGATTGGTGTGAAATGTCTGAAACGTGCTCGTATGTTGGATCGTTATGAGTATGAGTACGATCCTGAATTGTATCAGTCAGCACCTGATCCAGATAGTTTTACCACTTTTGAAGAGTATGAAGAGGCTTTATTGAATTGGAGCAAACAAGTAGAAGGAAAATTGGGTTATTTGCAATTGCCACGTGTAATGGGTAGACATTATTTCCGTCCATGTCAAAGGCCAGTTATTTCTGAGAATGAGGGAGACAATACCAGATCTGACGCCAGTAAGCTCAACTCGAGACGTATTGCTGAAAACATTTCTTCAATTTCCATGAAATCATCAATTATGGACGATGACATGAATGAAAGTCATGAAACTTGGGAATCACATTTGGTACCGCTCGAACCAAAACCAGAATTCTATGAAACCTTCAAGGAATATGAAACGGCAATGATACGTTGGGCCATTACTTGCCTCGGTTTACCATTCCTTCCACCCCACGTTGCACAATATCAAAACTTGTTGGGTCTCAAGTTAGTGAACGAACCAAAATTCCAAGTTGCTGGCGTTCAAACTTCAAACAACGACAGCGGCGAAGAGGAAAAGGAAGATCGTGAAGATGGTGACCACAATGACGACGAGGATAGAAAGGATGACGACCATGACTCTGTACGTTACGAAGTCTTGAATGGCTGGGAAAAGCTCAAGCCCAATGTTAAACGTGAAATTGAAAATAGTATTCAAAAGGTTATGGACGCCAAGATGAAGAATAAGGAAACTTTTGGCTCATTCCATCAACCTGCCGTAGCTCTTCGACATGGAACTTTTGCATCAGAGACCAAGGTTGTTCCACTCAAACTTACTCAAGGTGAAAGAATTAAGCCAGACAATATTAGAAGTTGGATTGTTTATCAGAGACAAGAAAAATCGCTCAGTTGCGTACCTGCTCAAGGAACCATGGCATATGAACAAGCCAACGCAAGTCGTGAGTATCCCCATCAAATGCCTCTCATAAGAAGAGATCTCACCGACGAAGAAGTCAGATCTTCCAAAGATTGTGACACTTTCGAGCAAGGTAAAGAGGTGCTATTCGAGACACCTGAGTTCGATCTTGGTGTGATCACCTTTGCTAATCTCAAGTCTCAAAACTATGTCAAATTCTTGCAGATTGTGCTCGCAAGAAAAGACAATGAAAAGAGATTTAATCAACTCAACAGTTGGTATTTCCCCAAGGAGGATCAATTTGCATTGGTACAAAAATTTGATGCTCTATGTAGTATTTTAGATGTAATTGAACACCCTTCTCAAATGACCATTCAACACTTTGAGAACATCTTCTCCAGCTCAACCTATTTGGATTACTTCCAAAAATTCCTTCAAACTGAACTCAAGCTCAGAATGAGCATGATGAAGAACGGAGTTGAAATTCCACTTAGAACTTATAGAGAATTAATGTTCTATTCCACTTCAAAACAAACCTTTATCAGAATTTTACACAATTTCCACAATTGCAACTCACAACTTACCCATGCCAAAGTTGCACACTTTGTTAAAGAATTCTTAAAGACTGAAATGGCTCGAGATATCATTTCTGAAATACTTCAAGAGGATGATTACTCAACAATGTATTTCATTGCTCGTGCCGTAACACTTTTTGATGAAGTACCAAGCCCACTCTTTGAATACACAGAATCTACTAGAAACGCTGTGATCAATATTGTGCTCATTGCAGACACGAAAAAGAAGGATGAAGCTCTCACAAGAATGGTTGACAAGTTCCTTGTCAATTTACTCTTGTTGTATTATACTAACTGCATTACAGTATCATTGGTCGAGGAAGATAGAGGATATCCATTTGTTTATCAATTCCTTGTCCAAAAACTTGAAAAGTACATTGAAGAAGTGAACAAGTATTTGAAATGTAGCAAGTCATTCTTGAAGACTTACATTTGGAAGATTCTTGGATCGAAATGTAAAGCCGTCACAGCTTTGGGTAAATTTGTCATGACCTTCCTCTTCTTCTTGTCATGGAAAGAGGATATTAAGAACGCTTTGAAATCAGAAGACACAGATCTGTTGGCCAATATCAGAACATTGGCCTGTAGTAAATTCAGCCACGTTCAAAATGCCACAGCCAGATTATTCCCACTCTTGAAGGAATGGGAGGAATTACTGACAAAAGATTACAAGAATGGTCAAAACGTATTGAGAGACTTGGTCAAGTCTGCTGAGAGAGCTGTGCTCGATTCTCAACCTCCACTCATCTCTTCTATGGTTCTTGAATTCTTGAGTGAATCTCTTACCATTAAAAAGAATGAATTTGGTGAGAAGGATGCTTCATTCCACATGATTGTGGGGCTTATTGAGACTCGAGTTTTCCACATTGTACTCGAAGAAGTAATTTCGACAGTGACACAAAAGAGAATGCATCAAGGTACTATTATGGGTTCGCTCTTCATTGCTAAATTTGCCAAATATTTGGTATGCAATCAATTGGTTCAAGCTCCATCTGAAAAAACATCCGATTCTTCAAGCAAAAACAAGTTATTCAGTTTCTTGAGAAAGAAGGAAACTGTTGAAGTCAAACAAGCTCTCTATTCTGGCTCCAAGGTTGAGGTGACTCAATCCAATCTTCAAAACATGTGGGACTTTATTGGAAAACAGGACAAGTTGAGAAGAACATATAGACCACGTTCTGCCATGTTGGTTGCTTTCCGTCACTTGATCAAAGTTCCAGAAGTTTTTGCTTTATTCAACAGAGACGCTACCTTCTATACCAAACTTCTCGAGTTGTGTAAAGATGATGTTGACATGGAATTTAATCGTAATGCATGGAGACTTTTCTATCAGTTGATCAAATTCCACGGAGAGGAAGTCATGTCTGAAATTACCAACCATAACATGTCCGGCTTTTTGTCAACAATTAGTTTGCAGCAAAAGTCTATCATTGCCACCAACGCACTTCATTATTTTAACAAGATATTCAATCTTCCAATTGATCGCAACATTTGGCAAAAAGTTGAAAATGATGACAAGAGACCCGAGTTAGTTTGCGAGAAGGGCAATAACATTCCTGCTAAAGCTCACGACAAGTATCATAAGGCAGTTCAAATCTTGATAGACTTTATTTTGAAACAAAAACTTGTGGATGCTGTCTTTGTAGCGGCCTACAATATTTGGTCGAAGGATTACAAGGGTTGGCCTTTCCAAACCTTGGCTGCGCTTTTCTATACCATCCATACTCATTCATCCTGTCAAAAATTGCAACAAGCATTTGCCAAAACTTCCTCCACATTGTCCATTATTGAAAACATGGTCAAAGCACCACCTGGCTCGAAAAAGTCCAAATACTGGAAGGACGTTATGGATTGGAACATGAAACACAAACATTATTCTTACATTGCTCCACCAAAATGGGATGAGAGAAAGTAATTGAGAGCCCTAAATGACTGTTGACTTTATTGAGCTTGGTATGAATAAATCTCGTATTAAAAACTATCAATTAAAAAAAATGAAGAGAACTGGCTTCAGCAACATCATCAAAACCTGATTGGGAAAAATTCGAAGAGCTATGTTTGAAAATAATTACCATCAAACTGAACTATATTCTTAAGTTACAACAGATACGAAAAATAAAAACTCAAAAAAATTTCTGCATACTCGAGCTTGGTCTTTCATTGGTTTGCAAAATGACTTTCCATCGCACTCCTACCCTTAACATGCTCTTGTGGTAAGGAAGAACATTATGACACTGTGCGGGACTACCTTATTCGAATCTTTTGTACATGTAGTTGAATATTAATTGTTTAACCTTAATTTATGCTTTAGATATTTGACATTAACGTTGTCACAACCTTTGATGCTTGGTTTATTAATGTTCAAGTGATTTGATCACAACTCATCTCTTCTTCATCATTTCTTACTTCTTTGCGTTTCTTTGGTTTTACATCTACACCCCTTTTCAAAGTTTAAGACGAAGAGCAAGGCGAAATAGCGATATTAAAAAAGTTCTGCCCATGTTGGCAACAAATAATTCTTGTTGTTTTTTTGGGAGGAGAGGTTTGATTAATTTCCAAATGAAAGTGAATATTCGAGCACTGTCCTTACATCATTCTGTTCAATTATAAATATTAAACTTGTCCGTTACATTGAAATATTCCAAGATACAGATCAATTATAAAATCAATTAAATATTGATTGGTATTCGTTTTTTTGTCATCATAAAGCTGTTCTGAGCTGTTACACGCACTGTCAACAGGCTGTATATTTCACAAATAATCCAAATCGTTGATTTCTCTTGGCAAGACCGTGAGTGTCAAATATATGAAGTGCAGAACATAATTGACACCAAGTGTATGATGCTGAAGTACTTCAGCGTAGAAAGTGAGGGCGAGTCTGTTCTTCACTTCGTCCACAACTTTGTCATTTCTTGGTATTGTCATTGTCGGTCGAGTTGTCCAAAAATTGCGTTCGAAATGTTTCCCAGACCCGATTGTGTGAAGAGAACGAGATCTCAAGCACTTTCTTTTGTGCCCTCAAGCTCGTAATCTGCAGATACCTACCTCAAATGTTTCCTATCTACAAATGATAGAACCACATTTATTCTCATAATGCCATCGAACAAGAACTCTTTATTCACTGAATGACGTTGGAATGATCCTCAATGACCAACAAGAAAGTGAGCAAGACAATTGAATGGATGAAAGTGTAGATGATCAACTTTAGAATAATAGCATCAAACACTTTAAGATGACCATCCATTCCTTTGCAAGGCATAAGGATCAATTTATTTCTGAGAAACGCCTTAAAGCAATGGCATAGAGTTGTTTCGATATATTATTTCATATTATGCTTATTATCACTATTCACTCGTTCTGCCACTGTGGTTAAAAAGTTCTTTAAATATCTCTCCCATTCTTTGTCGAAGAGTAAGTCATAGTTGCTCATGTCAATGAAGGAGCATAAATAGTTTTTCTGGTATTTCTTTACAACCTCTTTTGAGAATGTTTCAGTTGTGTGAAGTCCAACACACACATGCATCATATTTGATGATTTAAATACTTGTAAAACAGCATTTCTTATGTCATTGTACCATTTTGCATTTGAACTAACTTTCATGCCTTGACCGTTCGCATCATCTATTTTCTGTTTTGAATTATTCTTCACAACGAAAAGATTTTCATTGTTAATCTTGGTTTCTTCAATATGATTACAATTTAAATTGTAGAGGGTATTAGATTTCAGTTTTCCATAATTATCGAGATAAAATAGTTCAGGAATAGTGGAGCTAAAATATGAATGGGGGTCAAAGTTAGTTCCAGATTGCACTTTACACTGGAAACCTATTGGAATAATCATGTCTGAACCTTTAACTCTGTTAATACCAAACACGTCGTTGTGGTGTTCATTAGATGGAGTTATAAATCCCACTTTTTCGAATTGTTCCCCACATTCTTTTGGGATGGTTATTACATTGGCTAGGTAGTGATCTTTCTATTTGGGTGTCCGGTATAAAGTAACTGTTTATTAATTAATAGACATACTGCGCAGCTGGCATAATAGTGTTCAAGATTTTTGTTTGAGCGTTCATGAGGATGAAATTACAGAATTATTATCGCGAGTGGAGAGGGTCAAACTGAAACAAGGATATTATCGTCTGAAACAACTCGAACAAGAGTATGAGAGTGGTAGTGGTGTTGGAGGAGTAAGAACATTTCAGACCACCTTTGATTTGAATGGTTATTCAACCAAATGGGGCTAAGGAGGTGCCAAAAGAATTGGTAGATTATGTTGCACGTATGACAAGTCGCAATCGAAGTGGTCTCAACCAGAAGTCAGACATTGCAAAAGATACAAGAGAGCAGGAAGAAGAATTCAACAAAAGATTAGAAATATTGTGGATGATCTACACAAGAAACAGTGTTTGTGGCTGTGTCGAAACTACCAAGTGATCTTACTTCCTTCGTTTGAGACTCTGAAAATGGTTGATGAGAAAAACTTAAAAAATATCAAAATGGCAACAAAAGCACACAATTTCTCCAACAAGCAACCCGGAAATTGATAACTCTCGTGAAGGAATAGATGTTTCATCAGCCCAAGGAAAGAGAAAAATGGATGTTGCTGACCGCATTTCCCTACAGCATGATGAAGAAACCCCAATCAACTCAATGGAGCCTAATTAATACGAACAACAAATTTGATCAACATACTATCCGACATTGAAATAATTTTCTAACGAAGAGCAGAGAAGGAAAACTTGGAAAACAACTCAAGAATACTACTCACTGCAATATAAAAAATTTAACAATTTTAAGCTCGATGAGGAACAGCAAATGTGTCTGTTGTGGAATGCCAAACTCCAAGGCGGCTCTATCAAATGTATTGATGGGTGGAATGAGGTAACCCTTAATACAAGTCAAAAGACCACTTCCGAGATGCTACAAGTTATTGGATGATACAACTATGGCCATATCAGGAACATTTCCATTCCCGATCATAAGATCACATGTTCAACAATGGTGAATGCTTTTAAAACATAATAATATCATTGTAATAACATTAATTTCAAAAACGTGTACAGTATGCAACCCGTTCATTCAACCCTTCTCCAAGTTACAACGGAAGAAGAAGAACAACAACAACAACAACAACCACTAATTTCGGAATACCAAGCAACTCCAAATGTTATACATCATGAAAATCAAATGCTAAATACATATTTCGGAAACATGACTACCAGTCCCTCTCGACGACGTCCTCTTCTTCATGAAAACATACCAAACAAGTATCATCAAAATAGTTTCCCGCCGAGGAGATCCAGCATGCTGCTGCTGCCGAACATGACAAGCCTGTACACCAACAAACCTTCTGTTCCAATGACCTCTCGAAGACCATCAACGTTGAGTGATATGGGATGGGAGAAACATAAAAATCGATCCCTGCCGTTCACCCCACACACACTACCATTGTTATTTCCTACTTTGAGTGATCAGGAGGTTCCACATTCTTATCCACATTTGAAACAAGAAGGAGCTCCAAGGCGTGAAAAAAACACGATCATGAAAGAGATGGAACCAGTGACGACCACTGCAAGTTCCACCAATGACGTGAATAGACATGAAACATTAAGGGAACCTCATGTGCTTCATGGAGCGACACTATTGTCCTCCCAAAAACATGAATCCCATGAATACAATCTACGAGAAATGTTACTGGACACGCAATCTTTGTTACAACAAGGAAAGCATTTCTTTTTAATTGGACTTGGTTATTGCCGAATCTTTCATACCATTAAGGAAATGATTATTTACCTCTCCAAACAAGAGGAGTCTACAGAACATTTTTGGATGGATTGTCAACAATGTTCTTCTGAGGACATGATGGAATTACAATATTATTTTAATTTGCATCCCTTGACGGTTGAAGACTGTGTCAACAATGATAGTGGTGAAAAGTGGGAAGCTTTTGACAATTATTTATTTATTTGCATTACTGGACAAACCACAGGGAGGGTAGTGTTGAATGAATATTTACCGTGTTATTTGAATATGGTAATTTTTGAGAGATGTATTTTAACCATCCATGATAAGGTGTGTATTTAATTTTGGTGAATGTATCATTTCTGAAACGTTACAATAGCCAATCGAAGGCTTAGATTTACTCATTAACAGAATTGAAAAAGAATTTGAATTTAACCAAAAAAAGAAAGACCATAAATCTGATTCGAACAAAACAACGAATATTAATACGACCAGTCCATCAGAACAGCACAGCCAATCTTTCTTTGTATTGACACCTTCATGGATTTTTTATGCCTATTTGGATGCCATTGTTGATGTCTATGTTCCAAAGGTCGACCAAGTCATTCGTGAATGTGACACTGTGGATGAGTTTACAGCTACTTTGACTTTATCAGACAAGGAGGACTTGCTCTGGAGAATAGCATTCAATAAGAGAAGAGTTGCAATATTAAGAAAACTGTTACTTCCCAAACAAAAGATGGTGGCATTTATGGTGGCTTCTAAATTGCCAATTCCGTTTTTGGATCCTGAGGCAAAACATTTTTTGAGGGATATTTTGGATCACTTGAAACAATGTTGTGAACGATTGGTAAGTGTTAATGTGCACGATATAATGATAGATTACATCCATTCATTGGATTCCAAACGAGCGTAGGACATGGCACGTGATTCGTTTGCCCAGACTCACTCCAATTATCTTTCTCGAGTACATCTCGACATTGCCCAACATTCACAAGCAACAGATGTTTTCATGAATCGAATCACAGTGTTTGGTAAGTTTCACTTTTATTACACTGAATAATGACGATACCAACTGGAATAGTTGTGTTATTAGCACCAGTGACTCTGATCGCTGGAATTTGGGGAATGAATATGAAGGTGCCAGGTCAAGGTGTTAAGAATTTATATTGGTTTTTTGGAGTATGTTCTGCAATGGCCGTTGTAGCTCTTTTCATGGTTATTCTATTAAGAAAATTAATAATGAATATTTAAAGGAGGTTGAGACATTATCAGAATGGATTTCACACTGTTATTTTTGAGACTACGGAAGTTAGGTACTTTGTAATCTTGAAACGCTTAATAAAAGCGTTTTGTTTTAAAAATTCCATGTATTTTGCATTGAGGCAAGTTAAAAATTTGGTACTTCCAATCCCCAAATCAATGGCACGAATACACTAATACACACAAAATATAAAACTGTGAGAGGTAAACCAGATTTCACATAATCCAAAAACGAATATCCTCCTGTTCCGTAAACCATCATGTTGCATTGATATCCAATTGGAGTGGCAAATACAGAACTTGCAGCAATACAAACACACATGGCAAAGCATCGTGGGTTCAGTCCATTACGAATGGCAACAGCCATGGCTAATGGGAAGGTAATGGCAACAGCAGCGTTATTGGTAATGACAGCAGTGACTACAAGAGTGATCAATACCACAACGGCAGGCAACAAGAAATTTGGAATATTCATCAATCGAACCACTTCGGCAAAGGCTTCTCCCATTCCACTCTGTGTGATGGCAGTTCCAATTCCAAATGAAGATCCAATTAGGGCAATGAGTGGCCATTCCACACTCTCTAATGCTTTGATAGGTTGAATAAGACCTAAAATAATAACCACACACAATGTGACCATGGCACATTGTAACATGGAATATCCTGCAATGGCACATGCAATCATGGCAATAAATATTGGGAAAATTAAATGTTCCCACCACCATAAATTAAATTCCTTATTTGTGAATGGAATTTTGACAATAAATTTGTTGGGCTTGTTTTCTTTTGGATTCACATTACATCGAGAAATGACATAAAAATCTTTGGATTCGTGCCATTTGGCATAAAATTCTCCTCTTCCAATGACAAGTAAGGTGTCACCTGTACTCACGTTTGATGTTTTGAAATCGGTGACATCAGTTTTTGTTTCCAAACCAACATAACGCACAGCAAGTACGACCACTCCGTATCGTTTTTCAAATTCAGCATAACTAAATCCAATACAAGGATTGCTCACACTAATAATCAACTCAAAAAATTCTGGTTCCTTTTCTGTGGTGTCTTGTTCTGCCTCGACTTCTGGTTTTTTCTTTCTCTTAAACCAGGCAAGTGACAATCGTTTTTTAGACTTGCTCTTTGAACGATCTTCGCTTGAGGAATCGACACTTGCAGGTGTTGTCATTTGTGGAGTACTGGAATTGTTGTGGACTGAAGGAACAGCACTCTCGTTCTGTGGTGTTTGAGTTTCAGCAATTTCTGTTGATGATGATTTAGGTGGTTGTTCTTCATTCACAACTCCAACATCCAGAGATGAGGAGGCAGTCGCATCTTGAGTATATTCTTCATGAATGGATTTTCTAAGGGCAGCTTCATAGAGACCATGATGTTCACTCAATAGACTTTTCAATGTGGCCTTTGGAATGGGAGGAGCCACTTCGAGTTGTGGAGTGGAAGAATCGTGAGCATGAATGAAATCATTGGAAGAATTAATTTCACTGCTTTCACTAATTTCCACGACGAGATTGCCGTCACTGCTATCAGCAGGAAGTGGTGTTGTTGGAAGATTTTCAATTTGCACATTTGGCTGTTGTGACGAGGAAATATTGACAGCTGCTTGCTTTTCCATTTGCATGTCAGCAGTTCCCAACATGGTGTGAATAATGCCAGCACCTTCATCAGGTAAGCTTTCAGAAATTCCAGTCTTGGAGTGCAATTTAAGAATCATATTGGGATGACCTTTGAAAATAATGACATCTCCTAAAATGATGGTCAAATCGTCTGGAACTGGAACGATGAGCTCTACTGGATCTTCTGTGGATTGATCCTCATTGGCTGCCACCATATCAGTGGCAATTGATACTTTGGGTGTATCAGCATTGGTTGATTCAGTGACAGTGGGATTTGCAGAAGTACTTAGTCTCTGTTTCTTTCGAATAATTTCAACCACTTCCAACTTTTCCAATCCAAGATATTGAATAATTGCATGCTTATTTTTTCCAATGAGAGGTGAATTTGGATCATCCACAGCAATCTTAGTCAAGAACTGCTCACCACGTTCTCTGGCAAGTCTGAACATACCACCCTTCTTATTGGGCAACACCCACAAGCCAAAAGTACACAGATAAATCACCGTCACAACCGATAAAATACTTCCAATATAGAAAAATTCATAAAATGTAAATGGTGTGAAACCATAGGCAACGTAGAGACCATTGGTGACAATGTTGGTCGAGGTACCAATCAATGTCATTAATCCTGCTGCAGACGTCATGAAACACATGGGAATTAAAAATTTAGAGGGAGCAATATTGTTCACTCTCGCCCAGTCCTTAATAATCGGAATGAGAGTAACCACAATTGGAGTATTGTTAATGAAAGGACTCACTAATGCAATAAATAAGCACACACGAAGCATGCATAGCCACAATCCATATTTGGGAGATCCAAAAACAACCTTGGAAATTTTGAGAACAAGTGAATTCTCAGAAATGGGTTGCACAATAGGGAACAGTACTAACACTGTGAGCATACCATCGTTTGAAAAACCAGCCAATGTCTGACTCACATTAATCACTCCAGAAATGTTCAACACAACAAGCGCTAAAAATACTACAAAATATGGTTTCCACCATGAGAGAACTAGGCCTCCAAGCATGGCAATAATTACAAACAAGACAAACCATAATTTCCAAGAGTTCCATGCAAATGCAACTACAGGAGAGGCAGAACTGCACAAGTTTTTGAATGCCACGGTTGAAACAGAAACGACTCGTAATGCATTTTTGAGTTTTTCCAAAACGGAATACGTATAAGTTGGGTTCTTTCCTTTGAATAATGAAAATTTGACAAGAATTTTGTCACTCATTGGAACGACATTTTCTGAAGAATTATCTTGCAGTAGAGAGGCGTTCAATTCCAATTCAAAAAATTGTACCACAAATGAATTTTCAAACATTTCAGGCACACTCAGGTAGAGAGTAGTATTCGTTATTTTTCCTTTCGTCGTTCCATTGAGAGGATACAGCATTTTCTCAGGAACAATGGTCACACCAGTGGTTGAATTTAACAAATTTTTCTCAATCAGTGTCTGAGTCAGGTTGGCTTTTGGAACGAATAAGGTTTTTGCATATTGAGTTAATAATACATTGGTATGAACCAGTCTCCAAAATCGCAATGAAATGACCGAACTTGAATTTGAAAATGAAGGCAACTCTGTGTCCATCAAAATTTGCCAACTCAACGAATCTGTTTCATATGTATACGTAAAGTAACCAAAACCAATGGTATTTGTGGTTGTCACGTTGTTAAGTACAGTCGTGGTTGAATTTGGTAAAACATTCAAAACCGTTGTATTTGCAGTTTTTGTGAATTCACTCATGAATCGAAAGGAAGCAGCCTCGACCATGGTACTCGTTCCTAAAAATCCAAAACACATGACCATCATGCTGATCGTCATGATTTTCAATAAATATATGAATGGAAAAGGTCCGAATGATTTTTGTGTTTGCATTGTTTTTGGCCAAAGTGATAATGAGAAGAAATTACCGGATGTTTCATGGGTGTAAGAATGATGATGATTATTACTGATTACAATATTTTCTGGACGTTCGGAATGATTGGTACAAGGATGATTATAGAGTGGAGAGAATGAACAAGAACTACAAGTATTTACAAGTAATGATGCTGTTGATGATCTTTTTCCATCCTCATGAGGAACGAAATGATGAGCCTCATAATTTAATTTCAAAAAGGTAGAAGAAGAAGAATCCAAAGACCCATGTTCATGACATGATCCATCCTTCCTGGTTATTGTTCGGATGGACGAGTAGTCTTCAAGGGAAGAATCAAAAGAAGGAGTCTCCTCTCGATCGAGATTCCTTCTTGTTTCCACTTGGGCCATTTTTTTCATCTTTGGTCCGATACATGACGATTGAGTCATTGAATTGTTCGGGAACCTTGGAAATTCAATGATTCATGAACGGAGAGTTGAGCGCAGTGATGACGTGGTCGTGTGGTGGAATGGTATGAAAATAATAATTGATTGTTGTGTGGTGGTAAAACAAGGAGTATCACTTTGATTTTTAACAATCTTGAATCTCCTTACCATGCTCCATTTGGTTCGGAATCCATTTTAGGACATGTGTAGAAATGAAATCATGACCCAATCGAATTGTGTGGATGGGTGTTCATATTACAATACCATTTTATTAAGGCAACATTTGTGGTGTTTGTTTGAAACATTCACCCAACACCACTCCTCTTACTTGGAAGAACTTTGTTAAATAGTCCAATTCTTCCTTTGCAATCTCCTCTTTCATTCCCAGAGAGAATTCATATTGTTGACCTTGCCTTGTTTCGAGTAGGACTTTTTGTTTTGATGCTCTTTTTTTCTTTGATAAAAGTACTTGTGCAATATCTGAATATGGAATTTGACATGAGGTCACAATGCTATTACTTCTGGATTCAGCGAAATATCGTTTTCGAACTTCGATCGACATTTCTCGTTTGGCGTCATCCAAAATCACGGTCATCACTGTCTCTGTCCACAAGATGTATATTATAACCAATGGAGCTGCTAACAAGATGATAGGAAATGCAATAGCCAAATAAACGATCAGGATCGCCAACACAACCACACACAATTCACTAAACAAGCACTCGAGACAAATAGCCACGGGAAACAGCAAGACAGCCACAATGGTGGTGAAAAAGGACATCCAAATACCATCTTCTTGAATCACAAGTTTCAACTTTTGGTCTCCCAAGGCTTGCATACGACTCGCAAAATATTGAGATTTTGTAATTGGCAGAGTAGCAGGGACCGCCGCCATCATTTCCACAACAACGTGTGAAGGCTGAGTCGCATTGGGGTAATTCATGATGGGTTGCTGTGGTTGAACCATGTGTGAATAGTACATGGTATTCGGAGGAGGCACTTCTGGATTGCTCGGATTCATGTGGTTGTGTGAAGATTGGGTTTGCATTGTTTTTTTTGGAGTGAATTACTTGTGGTGATCCGTTATTTGTCGTCTTGGGATGGAAAGGGGCGATGTCAAAAGAACCAATCGTTTCACAACATTCCATAGTAACTGGATTCCAATGAGAGTCCAACAATTTTCACTTTCGGAAAATAACAATGCATTCGCTGCTCTCTGCTCGTGGTTGTAAAAGCATCAAATATTTGGAAAGTCAAAAAGTTCAATGCCATTTCGAATACCATCTGTGAAGTGCCTTAGTTATGGCAGCAACTGGCACAAAACCGACATCAATTCTGACCGTGTGATTGGTTTAAGTAAAACTTTGTCCACACCTGCTCTCTCAAGTTCAGCTACTTCGTTTTGTAACGAGTTGCCCGTCAAGGCAATAATGGGAGTTTTCAAACCTTTTTCACATCGCAATACCCTGATAGCGTCACATCCTCTCATCACTGGCATAATATCGTCCATCACAATGAAATCATATTGGTTAGTTTCACATTTGTGAACCGCTTCAGCACCGTTCTCAGCTTCTTCACAAACACAGTGTCGTAACATATTCTTTAGTGATTTTCGTATAATTTCATTGTCATCCACTAAGAGAACTCGTTTGTGTTCAATGGTATTCGTTTGGGAACTTTTGTTTGCGAATCGGGTACATGTCAATTTTTCCTCAGGTTTGTATGGCACACTCACTGTGAATTTGGTACCAACACCTAACTGTGATTGAACACTAATTGTATATCCTAAAATGTCGCATAATAACTTGGAGAGAGCTAGACCAATGCCGCTTCCAATTGTTTCTGATTGTGTCTTATCTAGTCTTCTGAACAAATTAAATAAAAGGGAAATTTCAGACGGTGCAATACCCACACCTGTATCAGAAATTTCAAAGTTAATTAATGGAGGGCTCACATGCTCATTAAAAGAGCATTTCAGGTGAACACTTCCCTGTTTCGTATATTTACAAGAGTTAGTCAAAATATTGCTGATTATTTGTTGAAATTTGGTGGCATCTGAATAAATAGTGTTCGGTACATTGTCATCAATGGAAAGATATATTTTCAACTTGTCATTTTGATGAAAATACGACATGTTCATAATTTGTTCCAACTTTTCTCTAAGATTGAACGAAGATTCACACAGTTTCAAATGACCTGATTGTAATTGTGATAAATCAATCATGTCGTTAAGCAAATGGGTTATGAACTCCACCGAGCTGTATAGAGATGCAATAACGGATGTATCCTCACAATTGGCTGAATCAATCAAGGCATGTATTCCAGAAATGATTACTTGAATGGGATTTCTTAATTCATGAGATAAGAACGCAAGAAACTTAATTTTGTCTTTCAATTCTTCTTTCGTTGATTCATCAGCTATGGTTATTGCAAAGTATGGTTCCTTTCTAAAAAAGAAGCTGCTCACAGAGAGTGCAATTGGTGTAAGTACATATTCAAAATTATAGGTCGTATTAGCTTCTGTCATGGTTTGAGGTGGATGAATGGCTGATGAGACATTGGCAATTTCTGCTATTCTTCTCTTTGCAAGAGCTTTTCCTTTGAACCCAATAATTCCCTGTTTTTGCGTGAAATTTGACCAAAATAGTTGTTGCTCAATATTATCAGGAATTAATTCTGAAATGTGAGCATTCTTTTGTCCAGGTTGATAATTAAAAAAGTCCTTAGCACTGGGGTTCATTGACGTAATACATAAATCCTTATCAAGCACAATGATACTATCCTGAACTGCTTTAAATAGAGCCAGAGACAATTCAGCAGATTTCAGCAATTCATTTTCTTTTTCAAATTTTCCTTCCATATCCACGCGTGCTGTATTGTTCGAAAGATGAGGACATGATTGATTATTACTTCCTCCTGTGTGGCTTTGAGTGTCAGAACTCTCTTCACTTGATTCAGAATCTTCAGAACCACAATGTAATTCAAGAACCTTAATAATATGAGCCAGTGAATTGCATAAACATGTCATCGGTCGTGTCATTTCTTCATTGTATCCACCGTGTCTGTCTGCAATAATTAACACTCCAATGGGTTCTGTGCCGTAGCATATCGGAGAACAGATCACATTCTCCAAATCTGGATGAGCGGTTGGCTTGTTCCCTCGAGGTGGCATTTCATTGCACACAACATGTCTATTCTCAAGAAAAGCAGTTACGAACAATGCGTGTGAACCCTGTGTACGAAATATCAACTTGGGGGGTATGGTAATATTTTGATCCTTGGCAGTCACTCGATGCCAACCTGCTAAACCAATCGCAGCCAGTGAAGGCGGCGGTTGAGTATCACAACCTGCTCGATCATGTTGGCCAGGATACACCTTTTTCAAAATTAATGCGTAGGAACTAGAGGTTATTTCTGCAACCTGTTCGGCTATTTGGTTCATTAGTGTCCATTCGCTGATACAACCACTACTCGAGTGGTGGTTGCTCTCATCATGGTTATTATTATTGCTTTTCAACATGGTTTTGTACGCTTGTGTGATTACATTGAGAAATTGTGAATCCCATTCTTGTAAGAGTGTTGATGTGCTGATCATTTTTCGAAACGGTTTTGTGTCTAGCGTTGAGACACAGTAAGAATCCATGAGGCTTCTTGGTCAAGACATCATCTTGTCCAAATTTTGCCTATTTCCAAATTTAAGGACTGTGTTCCCTGTGGCTTAATTGGAAAGTATCGTTCAACACTGAGCATTGGATATTCAGGATAGCGCATCACAGAGAGCAATTATTCATCCGTTTGTCCATGGCTATGTTCATATCTTGTATCTAAAAATTTAGAAATAATGATTGGATTACATCAGAAATCTTCCTTGGAGATTCCGATTCGAACAATTATTACGTATTATATCCACTATCATGTCTTCTTATCGTGATGATGAGATTCTTACATTTTTTTTGGTTGCACCTCATAGTTGGGACCACAAATTGTTTACAACAAATAGAACTTTCAATGATTTTGATTGAATAATAACAACGAATCATCATCTTGTAAGCTTTAATACGGAAGGAGCTTGCTGTTGTCAGTAGAAGGAGCGTGTTGAATGGAATCTACTGACACGTTTTTTTCTTGCACTTACCGATTCGGAAAAAGTCGCACCAAAATGGAAGGTTTATAATGTCCAACAAAATAACTGGACATGCAACAACAAGGTTATCATTTTTCAAAAAATACCAAAGAAAATATTCCAACCATGCACTCTCTTCATGAAATTACATCCATCCCAGTTTCTTCATCATCATTGGTTTTGAAAGAAACTTCGACCTGGGAGTCTGTGAAAATTGCTTCCATGGCAGCGACGAACGTGAATTTGACTTCAGGTAAAATTCCAGAAGCCGCCGAGAATATACCTTCTCTCGTCAATTCGATTCTGTTCATTCTTGTTCTGAGCGTCTTGTTTTTCATATTTATTGCGTTTTATATGAAATCTCGACAACAAGGAATGAAACGAAATCAACACATTCTCTTTCTCTTTGTTGCTGTTCTGATCATTATTGAAATTCTTGCATTGGCCGTACGTGTGGTGTACAATGGAACAGCTCTCTATATGAATGGTATTGAATGGACAGAGTTACCGAATTTGTTGGATTATCGAGTGGTGTTATGGGTGAGCGGTGTCGTGGAAAATGCATTGGCATTTTCAGAAGTTGTGACCATTAATTTAATTACTGGCTTTGTTCAATCAGTGTTGTAAGTATACTCGTGAAATATGTTAATTGTTGTTGGGTATTTATATTGAACAACTGATTTTTTGTGAATTGGCGAAATGTTTAAATTTGGAAAATTTGTGACATTTTTGACATGAATTCTTTCAGTTTAACCACCGCTGCTTCTGCTGGAGCCATGTCCAGAAAATTTCATCTCATACTCAAATGGACACTTCTCTCTGTGAATCTATGCTTTTGCTTCATTCTTGGAATTTTAAATTTAATTAATGCCATCATGAACTTGTTAGTGAAAATGTCACTGTTGTCAAAATCTGTTTCACTTCCATTGCAAATTGTACTCTTTGTGATCTTCTTTTTAATTTGCGTATTGAACTTGATTGTATTTATATGTGTTTCTTCGCGTTTGCTCTATGTCGTCAAAAAAACAAGTCGCCAAGTGTCAAATGCCAAAGATGAAAAATCTCGAAATTCACAAAGACCGTTCACTAAAATTGTCACACTCATGCTAGGAATGATTCTAAGTGCCTTTCTTCAAATTTTATCCATTATTTGCTCCTTTATTACTTCGACTTTTGCAGGATATTTACATGTACTTGATTACTTTTTACAAGCATTTGGTGTCGTGTTATTCGTTGTATTTGTATTACTATTGTACAATCCTTTATGGAAAGAGGAATCCATGAAGTCCAGTAGCACTAGTTATTATGAGAGTTCTGAAAATAAGAAAATACCAAATGGAAGAAATCAAAAGGTTTCAACAGATGATACTGAGGATGAACCAAAATCTGAAACTGTAGAGACAAAGGACATTCCTTTGAATGAAACAACCTTGGAACAAAGCATGACGGTCGTTCAATAGTGAAGCTTGTTTCATGCAACGTTCAATTGATGTTTCAATAGTGAAGAAAAACTAATAAAACTTTGAGGTTTCCTTTTTTCGAAAAAAAATGCAAAATTCGGAACCGAATAAAATTTCATTGCAAGAATTGATACAAAGGCTCGAATGGTATAGGAATCAATCTTTGGTTCAAGATCATCAAGAGGAAAATGTTGATGAGCTGAAACACGACGAAGGAGAAGGTTCCGATGAAGAGGAAGAACCACAGGTTGCTGATTCCGAGGAAGAAGAAGAAGGGCCTATGAAGAAGCAACATATCAATTCAGAGATTCAATTTCTCTTCAATGCTTCTCAATTTATGATCAGTAATCGATTGAAAAAGAAGGACGGAGAGAAGGTAAAATTATTAATTCAGGCCATGAAAAATCCTGATTCCGATGAAGCTTCTCCCTTTATATTTCCTCTTGCACAGTCTAGGAAATTACAAAAGAACATTATTAAGAATTTTGGTGCTCAATTATTGAACCAATGCTTGAGCGATTTCATATCAAAGCCTCACTTGAAATCTCATACGAGCTCGGAACCATCCATGAAGAAGAATGGAAAAATGGAAGAGCACGGTAGTGAAGAAAATCCCTCAGCGGATGAGGAACAAGAAGAAACAGAGATTGTCAACAAACACGACAGTTCCGTTCACTCTGGAAATATTTATCACAATGCACAAGAAGGAAACAAGATTGAGGTTGACATTCACCACTTGTACCAGCAATCTGTGCAGTCGTCAAGAGATGATGTGAATTTATTTGAGAAAATGTTCAAGACGTATTTTCAACAAAAAGCACCACATGTTTTCAGGGAAGATTTTTGTGGTACTGGTCTATTGTGTTGTGAATGGTAGGTATTTGTAATTCTTTCTTTGAATATCAAGCTCAACGTTATTAGGGCCAAACGAGGAGTTGAAAATATTTCCATTGGTATTGATTTAGATCATGACACTATTCAATGGGGAAGAAAACACAACATGGAAACAAAATATTCAAAATTCAACGTGAGTGATAGAATTTACACATTTACCAAGAATGTTCTCGAATTCAATTGGGAAGAAGAATTACGAGATTGTGAATTGTTGCTCGCTCAAGACGAAGACACTGGAAAGTGTTATCTCAGAAAGGCCGATATTATTTGTGCCTACAATTACAGTGTGTGTCTTCTCCACAAGAGAAAAGATTTGATTTTATACTTTAAAAAAGTGAGAGAATCGATGGCTGATTATGGCTCCATCTTTCTATTGGACCTGCTTGGAGGAGCAAAAATGTTGTCAGTCAACGATCGAGAACGTGTCCGAAAGGATTTGCCTGGAGGTATCATGTATGAATTTGAGCAAACCAGTTACAATCCAATTACAGATATTTTAACATGTCACATTCACTTCAAGTAGGTTTTATAATTTCTTTTTATTACTGCTAAACACTGCTGAACGTTGTTTCCACCAATTCCTGAACTCCTATTAGACTCAGTGATCATTGGATTAAAAAAGCGTTCAGTTATCAATTTCGTAAATGGGGAGTGCGAGAATTGAAAGAAGCTCTCGATGAAGCAGGATTTAGTAAGGTTGAATTGTACTGGGCCTCACATGATCGCGATGAAGATAATCATGACGTCTCTGGTTCCCTTCAATTCGAGAAAGTGAAAAATATTGAAAAGATTGGTCAATCTGGAAGTTGGACAGCCCTTTTTTGCTGTCTAAAATAACTCTCATAATAGACTAGAGAATTCAACATGGTTTGAATCAGTCTATTGTTTACATTCATTAGAAAATTATAACATTAAAGTCATGTTATTTTTTATCAATTAGTGAAACCATGTCAGATATATTTATATATATAAACACACAACAGAGAATTAATAAGAGTTACTTATTTTTCTCTATAATTAATATAACCAATCAAATAAAAGAGAGTATTGTAACCAAAACCATCAGTCATTTCACTCTCTAATAATGGATTCTTAATGGTCAAAATCCATTGTTCATTTGGATTTAAATAATTCTTTCTCAACATGGCAATGACGCTTGTTGAATTTTCATATCTGACAATTGGCAGCTCATAGGAAATGAAATCCACACGTTGTTGCATGACCGCTCTTGGTTGACCTTTTCCATCAATAATAAAGAAACTCTTCACATAATCTTTCACTTGTTGATTAATGGTAGCTCCATAAATACTCTGATTCGTCGACACACTACTCTCACCTGTCAAGGGCATACAATTCGATGCATATCTTCCAATCGTAATGGTATCTGTGAGCGCAAAAAACCCACCCACTGCATGACTCACTCCCTTTCCATCATTCCAAATCAAATCCATCGTTGCAGGTAAACTCCAAGTTCTCAATTGCAACGTTGCCACATTCATTCCCTTTCCATTCAAATTGAATTGTTCTCGAATCAACTCTTCCGAAGTCATGTTATTAAAACGAGAAATTGAAAATTCACCTCTCGAAAACATATCTCTCGTAAAAACAAAACTATCATTTTCTTTCATTTTCACATCTTCCAACAAGACACGAATCGGACTCTGTTCCGATAATAAATGATTTTGAATTTCCTCATTCGATGTCCATAAATAGCAATTTCGAGGAGATTTACTGGAAGAAACTCCCAATGCAACAACAACTGCCAACGTGATGCAAAGAATGGTTGAAATGGTGAAGGAACCTAATGCGAATCCGAAAAGGTGCCATAAATGAGTGGATTGTTCGGGATGAACGAATTTTTCAGTGTGTGGTGGAGGAGAATGAGAATTGTTGTTTGGATCTGTGTTGTTGTGGTTGGATCCGACTCGAGTCGAACTGGAACGGTGATGACTTCGGGTGGTGGTGTTGTGGTGGTGAGATTTTTGAATGTTGGTGGGATGAAGGGAGTTCATTCTCGTTGTTGTTATTTTTTAATGAGAAATTGACAAGTGACAGCACCTACCGAATTTTATCGCCAAGCTCTAGAATCTTCTTTCAAATAACATATTGCTGCAGTCGACTGTTGTTGCAAAAGGGGCTGAAGTCATTCACACCGCAATGACAAAATAACAGATTTTATTTTGCTTTAATCCTATTTTGAATAAGCTTTAAAACACAGCAGATATTCGAGCACATGTCAATACGTTTTATTAATTTATTAAGACACCAGATCTCTGGATAGTCCCAACGGAACAGGTAGCGAGTTGGTGTGGAACAAACCAGCCTGATTTAACGCCTTTATTTAAATCAACAATTTGAACAAAACAAATCGAACAAGTGCTGATCTTAAAGCCAGGGGAAAGGACCCAACGCACACAAGGTGCTCAAAAACTAATTCTATGAGTAGTAAGGAATCGAAGAAGAATATTTCTTGCTCCATTGATATCTCTGTCAAAAATTGAGTCACATGATGGACAACAAAACACTTCGGATGATCCAACCGTATACATATATCCACAACATGAGCAAGTTTTGGATGTATACGCTTCGTTAAGCCGCCTTTTGATTCTTCTTTGCCTTCTTGAGCTGAGGTGGCTTTTTTGAGTTTTCCAAAGCCACATTTGCTGTTATAGAGTTTTGAACATTGAGTGGAACATCAAACCCTGGCTTGGATTCAATGACAGTGAATTGAGAAAAGTTGAACCATCCATCAGTGCATCCCGTATTGTTGTACTGAATACAATCATGAAAATCTCTCTGGCACATGTTCAAAGTTTATCCGATACTTGTTGTGAAAACTCATCCCAGAATGGAATGATGCTTTGTGCAAGAGATGGATTAGTAGGAGGATGAGAAGGTTGAAACTCTATCAGTTTTGAATGACTTATTGAAACCCTATCAATTTAAATAACTTGCTGTTCATGGAAAAGTGAACACCTTTACAATTCCTTATCCACTCCTTGATTTTCTTTGCTGAAAACTCAATCATTACAATACAAACATACGATATTATAATAGCATTGAATTCTAATGTGGGTGTTGTTAATGATTGTGGTTGTCGTTGGTGTCGCTGTATGCCCGCACTTGGCTGAGGGACGGAAAACATTCGTAAACAAGTAACAGAAAATTGCGAAAAATTAATAACGGGAAAAACGAAACTAGTAACAGCAATAATGGACGAAAAAACGTCCATGTCATTTGTCTAAAACGTTGACAAATCTTTTCAACATACATGTTTGTTCCTCAAAACCATCAATTTCGTTTAACAAGTCTAGATAATGTACTATCATATATACTTCTCAAAGCTTTGAGAGGACCTAGATTTTTAGTGATAGATCGTGGATGTCTATGTAAGAATGATGGAAATTTTTGTTGGAGATACATATTGTCAAGCTTCTCCCAACAAGGTATTTGAATTAATGACATCATGTCACGCAAAACGTTGCCAAGTCAGCCCCTTGTTGTGAATAAAGTTTGGCCATACAACTGTTTCAAGCAACAATAAATCTATCAATTACTGGAATTAAAATTTTTCGGGATTGTTCGGTGGCTGTTGTTGCTGAAGTTTGAATTCAGCAGTGTTTTAGCAATCACCCCGATCAGGGCTATTAGCTGTGAGCTAGGATGGGCGATTTCTTCCGCCCCTCAATCCTCATTATGAAAGAAGGAGCCAAATCTCAAGTGGTCCATTCTTGGGAAGTTGTGAGAGCTATGATCTTTATGCCTTGCCAAGGAATGGATGGTCATCTTAAAGTGTTTGATGCTATTATTCTAAAGTTGATCATCTGAATCTACACTGTCATCCATTCAATTGTCTTGCTCACTCGTTTTTCTTGTTGGTCATTGAGGATCATTCCAACGTCATTCAGTGAATAAAGAGTTCTTGTTCGATGGCATTATGAGTGAGGTTCCACCTCTCCATGATGAAATGTGTGTAACACAAGCGACGGCTGACGTTGAACAAAGACGATAGAAGGTTGGTGGTAGAGCTCCTCAAAAATTATGCTGCATGTAATGTATTATATATTCATTCTTTGCTTTAAAGACAGATTTACACCCTAACTTTTTGTCAATACGTGCTATAGGGCACAAAAGAAAGTGCTTGAGATCTCGGTACTAAAACTAATTTTGATTCTGAAGACTGTTTTGATGACTTTTAACATTCTCAAACCTACTTATTTTGTTGCCAGCGTGGGTAGAACTTTTTTGATCGCTATTTGCCATGGCTCATCAATGTCGTCTTGAAGGTTATGACGATAATTGTCACAGATTGATCATAGTTTCATGTTGTGTAATGGACCACATCTTTAACTTTCTAAAGTTCAACTCGAATGGATTCTCAAAGGTTACACCGTCATCTTTTATGAGGATAGCAATGAGATACATGATGGAGGTTTTTTAGTGACAGAGGCCCATTCATCTCTCTGTGACCGTCCGATGTTAAAAACCGAACGCACAGTGGTCCAGAGAGTCCAAGATAGTGATCATCCAGTGCACCAGTGGGTCCGAAAGAATGATCTTGTTCGAATTATTCTTTGAATGATTCGAATGTGTATTTGATTTTGATTCGGACGAGAGTGACTTGCATGAAGAAATTGTTTCAGGAATTTTCAATGAAAATACACTTTTTTATATATCTATATATGGTAAAAAACCTTAGTTTTATATGTTTTTAAATCTGTATCATATGGTAATAATAATAATACAAATATTTATATATATTTTTGTTTTTGGAATCTATGCAAAGATTTATATACCCTTACAACAACATGAATTGTTTTACGAATAAAATTTATTTTCATGCTCGATTGTATTATCCCATGATTCGAAACAATTTAACCTCTTCGTTTGCAGGCAATATAACTTGCGTTTGAACAAATCTCATCCTTTGGTTGAAATTTATAGACCTCGATCAACAAATATCACACAGCGCTTATGAACGTGACTGGAATTATGATTAAATTTATTCCATTACAATGATCAAGATCATCCACACCGACCATGCCAACAGTATTGTTAACGACTGGCAGGTCATCATTCCAACGAGTGTTTTTACTTGGTGACCTTTCACACACGACATGCCCATGGACACTGCTGTAGTATTTCTAGTTGTTGTTGGTGAAATTTTTGGAGAAGGTAAAGGATCACTCAAATCGGTCACGAGTTGAACTTTGACCGTATTAATATTGTAAGCTCGATCGGTTCGACACAATAAGGTAATGACAGTCATTCCCTTCTCAATGACTATATTTGGTGAAAGGGTTGTCACATTGAATATAGAATTTTGATTGTTAAATATCAAGGTTCCAGCTCGTATTTGATTCAAATAAATATCCAATTCACTCTTTGGTTTTAAATTTTGAATCTCTATTGAAATGTTAAAGTATCCTCGAGTTGAAAATATTAATGGATAATGGAATGTGGAATTTACAGCTGGAGATGCCAAATATGAAAATTGTGAATTACCTCCAGCGAGTGCATGATGGATGGCAGGAATGGACATTTCGGATTTTGATACAGTTCTGAAAATGGTATAATTGAGTGGTATTCCATTGGTTTGAGAAGCGACATATAGAATTCCCTCTTTCTTTGGACTTGTGACACCTGACAGCATGCTATCCACCCATCCCCAAGTACCATATTGCGTGTCATAACTTCCATGTCCAATAGTAAACCACAAAAATGCATCAAATCCATAGGAGAACCAATCATTCAAAAAATTAATGACAACTTGTCTCATTCTTGGATCTTTTGACGCTTCTTTCTTTTCTGGAATATTAAAAGGACCAAAAGTATCGGGTCCTCCTTCATACGCCATGCATTTCAGTCCATAATATTTGCAGAGACATAAATGGTTCATGTATTGATAGATCAATGGACTCTTTTCTGCCTCCGTCTTTAAGATTTGAAAAGCGCTTTCAGATGTCAACGTTTCATTGGCATTCTTAATTTGGAAATATGGGGCTCCTGCAATGGCATAGAAATATCGTTGAGGAGGACCAAAATTTCTTTCCACAACCCTCAATCCCTGATTTACAATATACGAATTCGCAGCTTGTCCTGCCAAAACCACTCGAAATTGAACATTTCTTTTTTCTTCACCAAATTCTCGAGCGAAAATATCTGAAATTTGCATCGACCGATATCCAGTTCTTCGAAAAGACCACGTATACTTGTTATTGACATTGTCATAATTCAGAACAGTGTTGTTTTGCTGTAAAACCATCTTTTCTGCCTCATTGACATTGTAATTAAATTGTTCAAATCCTGAGTTCCATAATTCATTCGAATATTCAATGTAAACAATTGCATTGGGATTGAGTTTTGCCTTGAATAATTTGGCCATTTGAGTAATGTAATCATCATCTGCTCGAACAGGAATATTGACCCAAATTTCCTTATTGTATCGATTCGCTAATTCAATCATGAGTTCATAAGGCGCTCCTTTTATGGAATAAGTGGCATCTGACAGCTTGGCACGATCACTCCATTTCGACATTTGATTTCCATTCGTATGTCCCCAATCCATAAATCTCAAAATCTTCATTGGTGCAATATCATTTTCCAAGAATTTTGTAAAAATCTTATCATCTGCATCTTGAATGGAATAACCAGGTCGAATTAATCTCAAATTTCGAAAAGCTTTCGAGGAATTGGTTTGAGAAAACGCAAGCATGAGTTGAGTAGCTGTAGAATCAACATGTACATATCCAGTAGTCTTTCCAGTCGTTGGAGAATAGATAAAATTAGAAAGTGTACAACCAGGAGAAGCTACTAATGAGAGTTCAAGTGGACCATCGCCTTGAAAATAATAAGTTCCATTGACAGCACCACCAGGATCAAGAGCTGTAAAAACAATAGCACCAGCAGAGAGACCTATGGGCCATCCATCAGCATCTAACGAGGCATTGCCATCCCATGGTGCGTTTGCAGAACCAAACTATTTTTTCCAAATTTAGAAGTGTGAAATGTGTAAATCAAAAAAACAAACCTTGCGACATGTTTTCATGGCATCTATAAAATTCAAAGTTCGGGAATAATCGGAAACTCCATCCAAATTACCTCCAACAATGGGTTTATGAAGAACGATGGAAGATTGAGCCAATACATTGTTACCATTCGGAAAGAAGAAGAAACCACAACATAGAACAGCTGTGTAGGTAACTACAAGTAATAGAACTCGGAGCGAGTAGTCCATCGGATGAGGATGATGAAGAACTAGTTCGCGTCGAGTCATGTTGTTGTGGATTCAATTTTTTTTGTTGTTGAAGTGATGGAGATTTCTCACAGACGTGTGAACTGTTCAAGTTGTGGATCCAAATTCACTTGTCAACAATTGAGAGTTGTGTTCTGGTAACCAAACTAGACTGGAAAAAGAATATCTTGAAATTTTGTGAAACATTGCTTAGGTTTCTGCTGTTAAACAGGTCCAATCCGAAAAACACTAAAATCAGAACAGTGAATGATTTGTTTATAGATATGTATTCATCACTGAATCAGAATGATACATGGACATGTGAAATAACCTAAAAATTTTAAACAACCACTCTCTTCACTCTCACAGTTCTAATGTTATAAGCTCTGTCACTTTCACACTTCAACGAAACCAATGCTAACTTTGGTTCAGTGACCATTGGAACAGAAACATTGACTGAGAATTTCCAGATATTACTTCCACCAGAGTTGGACAAGACACTTCCCAACTTGACTCCATCCATGTAAATGCCAATGTAACTATTGGCCTTAATGGTTGCTGTTTCTACAGCAATATTGTAATTACCTTTCTTGGTAAAAACAACTGGATAATGGTACAATGAATTGACAGCAGGAGCGCTAATGTAGGTACCAGTTTCAGTGCTGAGGGCATAATCAACTGCTGGAATATTGAGAATGGTAGCATTGGTGACTTCATTTGGACATCTATTTGTGAAAACTGTTGAATTGATAGCAACACCTTCATTGCTGACAGCATAAAAATCGATGGCTTCTTTCTTTGGACTTGTGACTTGATTGATGTTCTCAACGAGAGGCCAAGTACCATGTCTAGATGAAGTATTGACATTATTTGTAAAGTGTTAAATCTATTCACAAGAACAATTGATAAAATATCTACTTACGGAGTTTGATATGAACCAGCTCCAATGGTAAACCAAACAAATGTGTCAAATCCATAACTGAACCAATACTTCAAGTAATCCAATGAAATTTGCTTCATTCTTGGATCCCAAGTAGCTTGTCTCTTTGCTGCAACGTTGTATGGACCAAATGTATCTGGACCTCCTTCATAGGCAACCAACTTTAACTTATTCCATTTGGAAGCAATCAAGTGTTGCATGTATTGATAAATGATTGGACTCTTGTCAGATTCAGCGGTCAATTTTTGCAAAACTTGATTCTTGTTCAAAGTTTCATTCTTATTTGGAAGTTGGAAATAAGGAGCTTGTGCAACTGCATAGAAAAATTGAGAAGGAGCACCAAAGAATTTGTCAACAATGTTCAATCCTTCGTTCAAAATGTAAATGTTTGCACCTTGACCTGCCAAAACACATCTGAATTGAGTGTTTCTCTTGCTTTCACCGAAAACGTTGGCGAAAATGTTTGAAATTAACATGAGTTTGTATCCAGTTCTTCTAAAGCTCCATGTATATTTGTCATTGATATTGTCCCAATTCAAGAAAGTTTGTCCATTGGCAACCATTTGTTCAGCTTGATCAATATTGTAGGCGGTTTGAGAAAATTGTCCATTCCACAACTCGTTCGAATATTCAACATAGACATTGGTAGTGAGTTGAGCATTAAAGAGAGTAGCCATTTGAGTAATATAATCATCATCAACCTTGGCTGGAACATTGACCCAAATATCTTTACCAGCACGATTTCCAAGTGCAATCATGATTTCATATGGAACTCCATGGATGGTCCAAGTAGCATCTGTGACTTTAGGTCTTTCACTCCATGAAACGAGTGGATTGTTGTTTGTCTCTCCCCAATCCATAAATCTCAAAATTTTGTAATTTTGAATTTGATTCAAGAGTGTTGAAGTGAAAATTGTGGTATCAGCATCTTGAAGAGTGTATCCAGGACGAATCAAACGAATGTTACGAACAGGTCCATCGACATCCATCTTGAATGCCATCATTAATTGATAAGCAGTGGGACCAACAACGACATTGCCTGTGGTCTTTCCAGTTGCTGAATTATAGGTCACAGAGTTGAGAGAACAATCTGGAGAGGAGACAAGAGAAACAGTTGCCTTTCCGCTCAATTCCAAATAATAAGTTCCACTAAAAGTTCCTGGTTCTTGATCGGTAAAGATGACACTACCAACACCTTGACCACCAGATTGAATAGGCCAACCATCAGCATCGACTGGAGCAGCTTCGTCCCATGGAGTAGCAGCACTTCCAAACTGTTTGTGTGCATGTCATGTGTTTTCATTGTGAAAGTGCATGTTATCATTTTGAGAGTGTTGCATGTGTGAACCAGAAACATCGACGACGCCGAATAATAATACATGTCATTTACAATGATTCCAGATGTCAGAATGGTAGAAGCGTATTATTACTTACCTTTCTACATTGCTTAATAGCGTCAATGAAGTTAGGATTACGAGACCAATCCTTGTTACCCTCTAAATTGCCTCCCATGGATGGAACATTGAGAACAACTCCTTCACAAATGGCTGCAGTAAATAACAGTGTGGAAAACAGAATGATTCCCACCAAAGTTGTTACGTTCTTGTTGCTGTGTGAAAACATTTTTTTCTTAAGAATGAAAGAGCATGTTGTGCCATGCCAAATGCCAATTTATGGCTCTTTTGAGTTCTTTCTTGTAACATTTTCTGAACAAATCAAATGATGATGGATGGCATGAGTAAGTAAATGATTGGATGATGCTCTAATTAGTGTGAAGCATTGCATGATTTGATTGGACATGCGCCTAGGCGGCCGAGGAGATTCAAGAGTTTCAAAGCTTGAACTTGAACGTTATCATAATCATGATAGATTTCGTGAGAAAGAACCAGTTCTTGTATTGAACATGAGTTGTTCCATTAGACATGCCAAGATTGAAAAGGGAAGAGCTACAGCGGAGTTGACTGCGCAAGTTCGGCGTGATTGAACTCGAAATTTTTCTGATCTGCTTAACGAATGAGATGTATGGCGGCGCAATTGGTACTAGAAACCTGTCAGATATTCGTCAATCCCACGTCAGCTGATTTGAGTAAACTCCAAAGGAATCAAAAATAAAATGAGTGAGTCTCTTCTGATTGGTTGCAAGGTTTGAAGAACCGAAGCAACTTGGTTCTTACTGCAACACAGACAAACTGAAACGAATATAGAGCCATAGGACGTTACACCATTATTCGCTTCAGCTGAAGCTTGTAAAACAACAGCGTGCCAACGAACAGCTCACGGAAGACAGATCCTTGCTAGCACCCTAAACCAGAACTATTACCAATTCTACTGCATGACATTCAACGAATAAATTTTTTTATGCTTTCATATTCATTTTTGACTTGACGAATATCTGACAGGTTTTTAGTGCGCTTCAACGTCGGATGCGCCGCCATAGTCATGTGTGATGGTATTGAAATACAAAGCATAATTTGAAAAGAAGAAGCTTACTGTTGTTTAATGTGAGTTCTAGTTTCAGATGATGTTAAATCTTTGAAATACAAGCCCTCACTTCAGGATCATTGAAGCATTGGATGAAATGTTGATTTTGAGCTGTCTTGTCATCGCCCTTGTTCATTCGCTTGAGACAATTTGTTATACTTTTAGAACATAGCAGTGATGTGTTGCAATGCTCAAATTTCATGGTATTGACCATGTTGTTAAATTCTTCCTTAGAGACATCTTTCTTTCCATGCACGCTTCTTGGATGTAAATCTGCCATGCTGGTTGGTTTGAATTTGAGACATGGGTTCATATTGTCCTCAAGAATCTGTTGTTTCATTTGAGCATTTAAGGCATAGTCTTGAGATGAGTTTTTTTCAAAAGTGTTGTACCATTCACTGTTCAGCAAGACACAGACACAGTGACATCATTTGCCACACATCAATCATAATTTTGAAATTATCATTTACAATGAAATAGATCAATATTATTTAAAACGTTCACAAATACATAATTTCAAAATATAATAATTAGTATTAATTTCAATATTTGAGATATCATAAACATACCTTGGTGCTGACTCGGAGAACTTGCCAGTCATTGCCTTCTTTAATTTTTCTTCCAATTGAGTTTTAGTAATTCTCTTTTGCATGCACTCAGCAGTCGTATGAATAAACTTGGCCAAAGTTTCCTTCTCTTCGGGAGTCTCTTCTACTTTCTTCTTTTGTGCACTTGGCAAGGCTGTTCGTATCATAATTTCATGAATGGGTTCATAATTTGGAAAACAGTCTTTTTCTTGCCATAACACCTTTTTAGCCTTATCACTATATACATCATACTTTTTAAACAAATTATCTAAACATGAATAATAATAACCAGTTCGGAACAATTTTTGAGCTTCATCTCCACCCACTCCTTGTTGATAGAACGTGAATGGAATAAAACAAATGGTTGTATTGAGAGTATGTAATTCATACATGGAATCAAACGAGTGAGATGAATCCGATGAGGTATCTTTCTTTCTTCTTAACCAGGACATGGTGTTTGGAAAGTGGGAGAGTGTGCGGGAATTTGAATGAGATGTGAAGAATTTTTTTTTCAATCAAAATCGTGAATGGAAGAAAGGTTTTGGTGAGGTTGATTGTTAACAAGATTGGAGTTTATTGGAATCAATGTCATTTCGATATCACATAAATGTTGATTGAAAATTTTCAAGAAAATGTCTAAATTTGAAATCAATGTTAAAAAAATTCGTTTTTGTCATCATTATTGTGCTTGTTCGAACAAGAATGATTCACATTCACTCTCACGAATATCCATGATGATTATTGTACAATAAAATTATTCATCGTCATCTTCAGCAACCAAACCTTCATCACTTTCATATCCAATACTTTTTCTCATGGATAAACGTTGATTTTGAGAATTTTGAGGTGTTGTTAAGGTTGAGCTTACTGTATGAGAATTGTGATCGTTACTACTACTATTCGTAGAAGAATGATAAGCGAGAGGATTTGGAAGAGCTTTCCGCACGTCACGTACAAAGGCTGCTCTTTTCCTCACAGGAAGTTTCACTTTTCTAGTCGTTGTGGTTGATGAGCTTGATGTAGAATTTCCTTCATCGGGTGTTTCTTCTTGACAATTAGATTCTTCATGATCCTCATCGTGATTGGAATCGTGTATGGATTGTTGTTGTGAATTGATGGTTGGTTGACTCGATGTTGTAAATGGATTTGCAGGTGTTGTTGATGGTGACACTTGTGGTGATGTGGTCTGTGGTTGTTGTTGTTGTTTTGCTGTCACATATGGATTTGGCATGACAGGTGGAGGTGTCATGGGTGATTGTCTCAATTTTCCAGTCTTGAAATCCACAATTTCAAATACAGGAGGTTCCGAATATGGATGAATTTGAGCTGGTTGTTGTGTCGTTGATGTTTGTTTTTGAGTTGCATATGGATCTGTTAACACAGGAGGAGAATCCATCCATGTCGAAGAAGAAGGAGGAGGAGGAGGCGTCTGTGGAAGTCGTCGTCCTTCTCCTGGTTTCTTATTTCCGAAATGTGCATTTGGAAGAGGTTTTCTGACAGTGGAAGAAGGAGGAGAAGATGAAACTTCCAATGTCGTAGTTGATGATGGAGTTGTCTGTTGTTGTTGTTGCTGCTGTTGTTGTGAATTACTTGATTGTTGTGAAGAAATTGAAGAACCTGACATGTCATGATCGTCCTGCATGAAAATGGATTCCGCTGATTCAATCAGAGTTGTCATTAAGCTGTTCGAATATTTAGAATCTTGTAAAATTTCCATATGATTTTGAGGAAGATCTGATTTCAATAAATTTGGAGCAAAAACAATTGCTAAATTACTGGGTGACATTTTGTTCACAGCCGAATTGGCTGCAACCCGTTTCAAAAATAAACATAAATTCTTCATAATCTTGAAATTGGTCGGTGGAAGGAATTTGATCACTTTTTGAATCATCATTAAACGAGGTTCTGGATCAGGAATTCTCTAGAGTTTTGAAGAAGTAAGATCAACATATCAAAAGTAGTAAAAAAAAATTGGGAATGGGTATTCATTTGTGTTGTTGAATGTCACATCAATGAACATTCAAAAATATTTCACACAGATTCAACAAGTGTGTCACACAAACTTGACAAATTTTCACAGTGATGATCCACTTACCTCCGCAGCAATAAACATTCCATACTGTTCATAGGTCAGCAATGGATCACACAACTCTCTCAAATATAACTTTAACAAACTTGATGCCAAGTGAATCTCATACTTTTCATAGGGTACGTCAAATTTAATATTATTTTCCAATTCTCGAATCACTTCTTCTTCATCGCTCTTTTTTGGTGAAATTCTAAATATTCCTTCAACATTCAATCCATGTTTTTCCAAGTGTTCCATTGCCTTAATCACAAACGGAGGTAAATCATTGGGATCACTTGGAAGTTTCTTTCCAAATACATTGGAAGAAGCATATTTTTCATTGACTCCTGGATATTTGACAGCAGGAGAAGAGGAATTTGGTGAAGGAGAGGAAGGAGAAGAGGTTTGTTGTTGTTGCTGTTGGGATTGTGGTTTCTTGAGACGATCGATGAGACCCATTTTTGTGTATGGTTATGATGAAACACAATAGTGAAATGATGTTCGTCCTTGTTCTTTTTGGAAATTGTTGTGGATATAGTTGCGGAAGTTGTTTTTTGGTTTCTCGAGTTTCCGTGTTGTCAATAGCGATAGGATGCGTGCTGATTTTTGTTGTTATTATTTTCAGTGTTGTAGTGTGATGATGAAAATAGGATACAAGAGAAAGGACAAGGAAATTGAAATAATGAACAAGATGCGGATGAGAATGAGAAATTATGAGAGAGAATAACAATGAGCTCGCAATGACAATTTTTTTGAATTAAAAAATTTGATTGTTTGACAACTGACGCTGATTGCCAAAGGAAAAACATGACCAGCGATTGGGGATTTTCAAAATTGCGCTAAGGTCTTTCAAGTAACAATACCCGAGCACATCATTTCACAGTAAAGTATGCCGTCTAACATTGTGCCACGTCATCTTAAATGTATATATACCTGAGACAGTTGGATCAATGATTTGGGATGATGATTCGACTCCAAGATTTTTAGGTCCAATCAAATGTGGTTTAGCCTCTTATTTCAAATCTGTTCACCAGTTCAAACATGTGGTTCTCTTTTCATCTCACTAAATAAATTATGCCCCAACAAATCTTTCGATCATTTTCATCCTAATGATGTTAAGTTTAATAATTAAAGTTAAAAGTTCGTATTACACATGGTTGTCTTGTACACAAAAATGATGAGTGCTACATACCACACGAAAGGTGGTCTTGCACACAAAAATGCTTAGAGTTATTGTTGTTGTTGTTGCTTTCTCGTATTTCTCTCATTGATTTCCTCATTAAGGTTTTGTTGGATGCATGCCAAAATCTTAGGTTTGTTCTCAATAGCATAAAATTTTGCCATAAATTCAATTTGTTGGATAGGTGAGCAAATTCTAACATTTGTTCTTGCTTGAACCATTTCATACCAATCAATAGAAGGAGCCCTAGCGAGAATGCTCTTTGTAAAACTTGCAACAGAATCCTCATTAATTCCCCAAGTACGTCGATAAATTTCCTTCCAAACTACTTCAGATTTTGCAATGTCACACCAGTATCGGCAAACAAGCATCAAATTTACAATATCAGTCTGATGTAGGAATAAGAAAATATAGGTCAGGGCGTCCTTGGTGAGGATCTTGTTGACATCACCGCTTTTCCTTTGCTTTTGTTTAAGTAAGACCCCAAAACCTTCAATGCATTGTCTAAGAAATTCGGAAGAGAAATATATACAATTTTGTTCGCTTGAAGGGCTACCATAGATATTTCCTGATGTAAGTTGTTTTGATAACAATTGCAACTGTGTTTCAGTTGCTGTTGGGAAGTACACCACTTTCTTTTTCTTTGGAGCGGTTGCAATTGTGGTAACAGGTGTCGTTGGTTGAATTCCTGATGTCTCGCTTGAGGGTATAGCCAAGAGGCTTTTACCCTTTCCTCGGGAAATGTTTACAGGAGTGGTACTGACAAAATTCACATGACTCTCTTCTTCAGGAACATAATCTAAATCGTCTTCTACGACATTCTTTCTTTTTCTTCCAGGTTTTCGTTTGGTTTTAGGTGGTTGAGTACGATGTATTTCATCCTCCGCAAAAGCATTTAAATCTAAACTTAAATCCATGGAAGAATCGTCAAGTTGAGGCGTGACAACAGGTGTCATTGCCGCTGCTGCAGCAGCTAGCTTGTGTTTGGAGGGTGGTCTACCCCGTCCTCTCTTCACTGGAGTTACGACTGTTTGTTGGACAGGAATGGAAGCTGCTTGTTCAACTCCATCCTCCATATGAAGGTGGATGTGTTGCTGCTGTTGTTGTAGCAACTGTTGTTCAGCAGCAATCTTCTTTTTGTTACCTGATCCTTTTGGTCTTCCTCGAGATCTCTTCTGCTTTTCAGGAGTTGCTTGCACAAGATCAGAAGGCAAAGATGACGATAAACTTCCGCTCTCATGTGTTTCTGCTTTGATTGAAGCATCCAAACTTGATACAGCATGATCTCCTCCACTCAATACATTTCCCTCTCCATCCAAATGTTGTTGTTGTTCGGCAGAGGTAGAAGGTGTAGTCGGAGCACTTTCGTCCTCCACACTACTGCTCACGGAATGTTTCATGGATGCATCTCCCAACACGACAAAGCTCTTGTATCCCTCTCGTCCTCCTGTTTGAGGATCCAATGATAATGAATGAGTCGAGTACTTGATGCCACATGCATTACACAAGGTTCCAAGACCCAATGGACCCTTTCTCCACGTAGGAGTATCATTCACTCCACAACTCGAGCACAACTTCTTGGACAGCACAACTTTGCTTTTGATGGCCTGAACAAATTCATGATACTCATTACTTCCAGGTATAAGAGGTACAAGAGGAGGATTGACCACTTCTGACAATTTCTTAGCACCAGCCTTCTTCTTTTTGGGTTTGGAGCCGGGTGTTGCTTCTCCGGAAGAGGGCTGTGGGCTCGGCATTACAAGGCTGCTCAATGAGGTTGGAGTGGAGGATATGCTTGCTTCCGATGTTGGAGTTGGAGGGTCTACCAAGTAGCCAGCAAGACCTTCATGAAGGGAGCCCGGTGTTGTTGTCAGTGGAGTTTGTTGTTTCATGGAGGAGGTTGCGGACGGTAATGAAAGGGACAGACTTGTTGTTTTTGAAGTTGTTGTGGGTATTGGAGTGGCCAAAGTCGGTACTTGTTGATCAGCTGAAGCAACAACAGAGGAGGCCGAAGAGGATGAAGAAGTCGAAGAGGAGGAGCTTGCTCGAACGCCTCTTGTTTTTGTTGATGTTGTTGCTGTGGTTGTTATGGTAAGGATCGGTGTGGTTGTTGTTGGAGTAGCACTCGTCTTCTGCTGCTGCTGCGATTCCACAACAAGACTTGTCGTGGGGTTGCTGCTCGAGATTACACCAGATGCCGCTCCTTGTTGTTCGGTGGTGGCATTGCTCACATGTTCTCCGTTCTGCTGCTGTTGAGGAGGAGCAGAAGAACTTTCAGCGGTTTGCTCTGTTTTTTCGCTGACGTTCATTTTTTTCTGTTATGAAAAAAAAATTGCTAGCACGTGAACATTGACGACTCGAGTCATCTTCTAGAATGATCAACACTTCATGCAAGCATGAAACACCGTTTGTAGAAGAGGTTTCTTGTCTCACACATTATATTGAATGATACATGAACGGATACTTCGTTACGAAAAATAATGCCAGAAATGATCCTCTGAAGTCTAGCATCACAGTGCCCAGAAGACGTTAGGAAACAAAGAGAGTTGAGTCATGATGTCACTTGCTGCTTGCGTTGCTTAATCCATCTTAATAAAAGATATTTCTGCTGTGCTCATGTATTGAATGGGGTAAGAGGCTTGCCAAAAAATTTCAGCATTGTCACATTTGTTGGACATGGGTTGTTGGTCCGTAAGCTCCTCCCTCTTGTGAAACCTTCATGGTACAATAGTCAATGAATTGTGATTTGGAAATGGATTTCGACTCAATGTTTTCTTTTGTTGAGTCAGTTCCAAAATGGTTCAATATGTTTTGAAAGACAAATCTGGCACACGAGTCAGGATCTTGCAAATGCTTTGGAAGTTTCTCAAGCTCAAAAGGCCTTAATTGCAAATAATTATAAATGACTTCGAAAAATATGGCCATGTCACGAAACGAAAGGCTTGACGAAGAATATTGTTTTTTTCGTGACGGATTATCAGTATCTTCCACAAGTTGAGGGCATGTGATAGTGGTAAAGGCAAAATCTGCAGTTGTAACCTTGTTTCCTTTTGCATAAACATCATAGATCGGTAAAAGGTTATGGAAATGAGCATGTGTCCGCTTGGGAGGAAGATATTCGTGAGCGAAGAAGTATTTAGAAGCCATCACGTGTGACGTTTCAAACACGAGATCAGGAAATGAAATTACAGTGGATTGAGGATTGGAATTTTTGGAGATGGTACTGCTGTTATTTTGTAAACCTGGTTGTGGTGATGAAGTACCAGCCGGTGTTTCTTGGCGTTGATTTAAATTTGGGCTGCTCTGGGTCTCTGGTGGTGCCGTTGAAGTTGTTGAAAATGTGTCATCTCCATTTCTATTGGGTAGCATTGGTTTTTCCGAGTCGGAATTGGTTGCTGTCTCGTACGGCTGAGTTGTGGTGTTCATGAGTTGTTTATCTCCACCTCCATTTTGAGTTGTTGTATAGGGTGACCCAGAGCTAATGACTTCATAACTCGAAGGAAGATTTTGTATCTTCATGGCAGAAGAAAATCGGTCTTTTGAAATTCTAACATCTTGAAATTGTCTATAAAACAAGGCATACCATTCTTTAATTTCTTTTATCGGAACTATTTTCAATCCAATTTGAAAATAATATTGCCAACAAAGAAGAGAAGTAAATTCAATCATTGGGTTTAAATGTATAAATTATTCAATTTCCGATATGATTAAAAAATTTTTGAAGATATATATTTGGTTTTCGAATATTGCAATCATGATGACGATAATGAAGGAGTAAAATTAAGAAGATCAAAAAACAACGCATGTTTGGTTACATCCTATTCATCTTGATCCGATCCAAACTTACGGTTTGTTTTTTGATGTATCTCTATCACCGAATGCCTGTCCAATTGCTTATTGCCCATTTTTTTCTTCTTGGGTTTAGTTCATCAGGTTCGATTTGCTGTATTGGAAAGATTTACAATCAACCTGATGTTTGAGGAGCACTGAAAAAACAAAGTTTTTAACCTTGTTATTGTCCTGAAGCCCCAAACACTTGTGAATGCAAAAAGCTGTAAATCCAACTCGTCGTATTCAAATTGAGAAATATTCACGAAAAAAGCGTCCCTTCATTGACAGTTGCTTCTTAAATACCAAAAGTCATCTTTCCATTTCACTCACTTTCGGAACAATACTATTCTATTTTGTACGAGTACGAGTTCTATGAACTCAAAGTTTCACCCTTCCGCAACGGCTATTGTCTTTTATTGATGAATGATGAATTTATTTGGTCCAAATACGAAATGCAATGTCGTATGCCCCAATCTCGTCATCCAATACCTTCCACTCCACTAAACAAAAAACTCAACACAACCATCTCCAGCAACAACAACTCTGAATGATGAATCGTCTTTCTGTTCTCTTGGCAGCCTTGCTGCTACTGACATCTGCTTCCTTTCTCATGGCCATTAAAATCGATGATCAGAGATCGGGTAAAGGACAAGTAGAACTCCAAACTAATACTCTCAGTATTACAATTACAGGTAATCGGAATGTACCCATGTTTGTATTGAGATTCCTCAATGAAAGCACTGGTGCAGTTACATCGGGATATAAGGTCCAATTCGATCGTATTCATCAACGGGATGCCTCTCATCAAATTGTTCCATCCAGTAATGTTGCTTTGGCTAGTTTGGATTATAACTTTTCCAATTTCCAAACCGACACGGATGGTAGCGTTCATTTCAATATTACATCCACTGGAACACCTTCGTTTGAATTTAGAATTCACGCCACACCAAGTGCCAATTCCTTCAAGTTTGATACTGTGGTGAGAAATGTTCAAGAGTCGTTTTGGTTTAGCTCGGCCAAGTACTTGGCTTTGTGTTACAAGACTTTGGATCGTTCCAATGATAAGAGTATTGACCCAAGTGTTAAGGGAAGAAGAGGAGATTTTGGTAAAGCCTACTTTGAAATTGTGCCAACTGGCAAGACCAATAGGGATGAAATTGTCAATGCTACTCTCTCTGCTGAGTCTGCATCTGTTTGTGTCGAATATGCCAGATGGAATGGTACCGAGATGGTTCACGATCCAACCATTGGTTTGATGAATGCTGCTTTGACTTTGAAAGCATCAAGCGTATTAATTGTTGTCATGTTCATTCTTGCTATGCTGTTCTAAACGAGCTTGAATAAATGACTACTGACAGTCCTGCTACTATGAACACATCATGATATTCGCAAAATTAATCATGGCGCATTATTGATTTATTCAGCAGAGACAGGAGTAGCCATTCGAATACTATTGTAATGCTCACCGAGAGCATAATACTTCTTGTGATAGGTCACAATCAAGTTGGATTGTTCTGGTGTTTGTGATTTCGAATTACTTCCCATTGTGACAATACCATTGTCTTGAACAATTTTCAAAACAAACTGGTCCTGACACAAATCGAGAAAGGCTTGAATTTCTACTTGACCTCCCCACTCACTACTATGTTCCACTGTGTCTGCATATTGATCCATTGTTTCACATACATCCATAACAAATGGAAAATAATCATCTGCTTTTCTTCTCAATTGATTTGCAATTAAACTTCTCAAGTGAAGATATGTAAATCCTGTGCTTGACGATAAATTCTTCAGTTCTCTCTTATTTTTCTCTGAGAGTTCGTTATTTGCACGTATTAACAAATCCTTTGTAAATGGATTTGTGGTATCTTTTAAATTAATATTCAATTGATCCGCAAGAGATCTATACAAACAATGACCATCGGAATCAATCTCATGAATACACCAATTATTTTCAAAATATTGTTGAATTCTCTGAATTTCTATATCCCTCTGAGATACTCCTCCATCATTTAAAAACTCTTGTTCTGCTTGTAATCGTTGTTCTTGTTGCTTTTGAACTTTCTTTTGTTTCTTCTTGGCGTTTTTCTGTTTTCGTTGCTCAGCTTTCTTTTTCTCTTCCTCTTCTTTTTTTGCTTGAGCAGATAGTTTTGAAGAAGTAGATCCTCCATTAACCTTTTCATCATGAGGTTCCGATGATGATTCCTCCTCATCAACCGCACTGGACATTTTAGCCTCCCACAACTCGGTTTCATGAGTTTGTTTCAATTGTTGCATACGTTCCTTCCATTTGTTTTCATACTTTTTCTTTGCAGCTCCGGAGAGCTTTTGTAATTCCGCTTCCCTTTCCTCTTCGAGTTGTTTGATTTCTTGTTGATGACGAGATTCCAATTCTTGAAGTGAAGTCATTTTTTTTTGGGTGATGAAACCAAGTCTTGTTGATCCATGTGCTGGATCTTAGCATGTTCGAACATCCTCTAGAGAACCTTGAAGTGGTGCTTCTGTTGTGGCACCAGTGTCAAAAGGATCTTCAAGAACAATTGTTAATCATCGAAAACACAATTTGAGCTTCATAAAATTTGACAAGGATCCATTTCAATGAATTCCCAACCCATTAAAAAAAAATGTCTTCACGAAAAACAAAGAATGAAGTTATTTTAATATCGGATGATGACTCGGAGCAAGAAACACAAGAAATTAATAATTATTTGAAAAGAAAGGAATCCACTTCTCAAAATTCCGAGAAGGAGGATGAAGAGGAGCAATCCCATGCTTCGAACAAGAAACGAAAAATTACTAGTCTTGATGTAGTTGAAAATAATTCCGCTCGATTTCCCATATCCGAAGAGGAGAGCACTAAAAATCAATCAAAACTCAAAGAGAGTACAAATTATGAAAATCCTTTTTTCCAAAACATTCCTCTTTATCAAATGAGAATTATTGTCAGCTATTTAGATTTTTTATCCTTTTTGAAATTGTCACAAACATGTTCTTTTATAAGGACAGAGTATTTTTCAAAAACTGAATTTTGGAATGCATTAAGCGAACAAGTAATTGTTCATTCTCTTTCACCTAGCTTGGTCTTTGATAAATCAAGCACAGAATCCATTGCAGTAATTCCTAACAAGTTCTCTCTCGTCACGTTACGCACCTTTTTTTCTATTTATTTTGAATCCTTTAGTTTCATGAACCAAACGAGCCGTTTGGTTTTAGATTTTGACAGCTACATGTACAACACTCTGGACAAGAAAGATGTTTGCCTAATACCAAGCTATTTTAAAAATTTAAGAGATCTTCAATTACTGAACATCAAGTTTTCTGAAGCAAAAGATCAATTGCCAATTATCAAATCCATCATCTCGAACCAAATGACTGGTTTAAAGCGCCTAAAAATCACCTTTTCTGAGAATAATACATCAAACCGATCATTTTTGGAATCTCAGAATAATTTATTGCATGAAACAGAAACAGCATCTGAATTTTCAAAATTTTTACCTTGCTTGCAAGGACTCGAGGCGTTTCACATTGGAAATGTCATAGGTTGCACAATCTCCTCAGAAAAGTGGACACCACAATTGTCCTGGACAGAGCTCTTGCAAATCGATCAAGTTGCTCAGGAGACTCTATTAAGTTTTGGTGTCGAGAATGTATTGTCATCGGATTTCCATAAGCTACTATTTGGAGACCAGAAAATACTTCCTCGACTGGAAGAATTATTTGTTCGAAGTGTTATGGACAATTGTGGTGCTTTGACTGACATGTTCCAACGAGCAAGTTTGAAGAAGCTCATCATTTCAGACTTTATTACTAACAATGCTAACGTGTTCCAATATATTGTGAAGCAGTTACCAAATATTACATACATGGACGTGAAATTGGTACCTTCAGATGGAGAAACGAAGCCAGATGGAATGGTTTACCTAAAAAGCGACTCGTTACGTTTCTTGAAATTTAGTGATTTCAACAAATTTTTTGATTCCAATTTGATACAATTAGATTTACCAAATATTGAGCAGTTAAGCTTGGAAAATTTTGGTGAAATATCCATACTTCAAGAGAAGTTGCTTCATCTGACGAAACTCGAGATTAGAAACTCAATGATGTTAACAGGACAACTTCATTCAATTTTATCCAAATGTGCAACTTCCGTGTCGTATTTAATCATTGATTCATGCCCCAATGTGAGAAATATTCACATCTTAAAAGATGTATTTGGAGAAAAATTTGCATACCTTCGACACTGCCAGATATCCAACTGTAAATTATTGGAAAAGGTATCCATATCATGTATTGGTGTTGGAGTCGAAGATGTGAAATATCTGTACATGCAGAACTTGTCATTATCAAATTTACAGAGTTTACGAGAATTTCGATGTGAATATGGAACTGATCAAATTACGTCTCGAATAGTTTCTCTTAATCTTTCCTATTGTGACGGATTGAAAGTCCTCCATCCTGAAGCGTCATTGAAAACCATTCAAAATTTGTCTGTCACAGGAGGATGTGAATCTAATTTATGGAATTCTATCATTCAAAATTGCTTGAAATCGGCTCAAGAGTTGAAAACACTCACACTCCATTTCAAGAACAGCATATTGGTCCATGCTTTTGCATTCAGGCTCTCTAATTTGATCAGAGACATTCCACGAGTCGAAGAATTCACACTAAGCTCCAAATTCTCAACGAACACCTTCATGTTCAATTTCTCATCTTTATCCTTAAAGAAATTGAAAATCATTTCAGAAAATGAAAATCCTGTAGATTTTTACATTACTACACCCCTACTGGAGAATTTAGAATTAACACGTATCACGAACATTCGAATCAAGAGTAATCATCTTTCAAGTTTGAATGTCACTCATTCCAACATGCGACAATTATCCATTTCTTCTGACAACAACCAATTATCAAACATGGAAAATATTTACCTCAATACAGTCACTGGAGAAGCATTGCTAAAAACCCTATCTCAATGCCCTAATGTGAAACGCCTCACCCTCATTCAAGTGGACAGCAACGCCATTGTCAAGACACTTTTACCAAGATTTGAATTTCTTGAAAATCTGTACATTTCTGGACCTGTTCGGAGATTTCAACTCATTCCCTCGTTGCGAATGGTCAATATCATGTCACAAACTCTGCAGAGTGTGATCGTGCCCAAGATTGAAACGAGCAAGTATTATCAATTGGCGAAATTGAATCTCTCGTTTTGTTCCAATCTCTCGAAAATTGATATTGAATCCAAAGACACAACACTTCCATACCTGAGAATGGTAGATGTTCGAACTACTAAGGTGCAAGATGCATCTCTCAAAAAGATCATTTCAAGAGCGCCAAGATTGAGTTGTATACGAGCAGGAAGTAGTGCTGTGAGTGAAAAGTTTGAAAAGGAAATTAAGCAAGGAAATAGAAAGGCCAATTTTACAAAGAAGTAAATTTGAGAGTTTTCAATGTCGAACGTGACCCCTCTCGCATTTCGAATACAATGATGTCATGAAGCAAAACAATGTATGCAAATATATTGAAAGATATTATAATCCTAAATGGATTTTGATTCAGTAAGGTATGAACCATTTGTGACTCATGACACCAAAACAATATCAAAAGTTATCAAATCCATATTATTTGCCTCGCAATAATAACCCCATTTTAGTGTCTGAGGAATTAGCTACCAGGAAGGTCTAATTTTTTGGTTGTGGCTAAACAAGAAATGTGATCAAGTGCAACTAAAATTTGTTGCAAATTTGGATGTATGAAAGACAGACGATCCAATTTGTACGTCCACTATTGAGGCTGCACATTTAGCAAAATTCTGACAATTTTTCCAAAGCGAGTTAAAAGTTTCTAGCGTTACTCCACTTGCAATTTCTTTTGCTTGCTCAGCTGTCTCACTGTTTTCGTGCGACATCATCACGAATTTGAAATATCCTAACAACAACTATTGACGTTTCGAAGAAGTAGAACCAACTTGAAAACGAAGGTTTAAATGATGTTTTACTCCTGCTGGAATAAATAACTCTATACCACCCAAGCATAACCTCGGTCAGGAAACTCTATCAATTTTGCCCTCAATAAAAAATGTGTCATGTTTTCAATCTCGCAACCTGACCAACAAAAAATTCTTTCTTAAATTTAAATATTTATGGAAGAATGAAAAGAAAAACAACCATCAATCGCATCTTGCAAGGATTAAATTCCCACAGAAACACATTGAGCATCAACAGTAACCATATTTATGTTTTGCATTCTTCTTCATCCATGAAATCAAACACCATATTTTTTAATGCGTTGATGAAACATGTTCCGAACAATAACAACAAAATTAATCATCCAGCAACAACATCATTCGGCCAAATACGTTCCTACACCACTACAAATTGGTTGAAGGAAAAAGAAGCATCAACAAATGATAGTGATGTTACAAATACTTCAGCACCTTCATCCTCCGAACCAATCACTCTCAATTTGATGGATTACAAGAAATGGAACGCGCAACAAGTGGCTTCGGTGTTGACTTCTCCTAAATCTTTGGGTGGTGCTGGTTTGTCGGTTGATGATGTGAAGCCTTTGTATGAGGCTGGTTTTGATAGCTCATCTCTCCACAACATTGCTGAGAATATCATGATGGATGGTGTAAAGTATGCCATTGATCAACTTCAAAGCACTTATAACAAGATTAGCGTTCCTCAACTCTCCGACACTTGTCAAACGGTTGTATTTTGGGTGCTCGATCAATTAATGACCAGACAATATTCACTATGGCAACTGGAACCAATTGCAACAGGAGGTGCTGATTTGAGTCTTGATCAAGCTTCTTCATTAGATGACAAATCTCTCTATACCATTGCAAAAACTGTAATCTCTGCCAACGATGAAGCTGCAATGAAAAAAGCTCAAGACATGGGCATTGATTTGACCACTTGCACACATTTAGTCGACTGGATTCACAACAAGTTGAAAAAAGATAATTTACAAGTACCGTTGTTAAAAATTGAACAACATTCAACAAGACCAAACTTTCGTTATTTCTCACCTGATGAAAGAGAACGCTTAACAAAAGCGGACGAGATTCTTAGAGGTGCAATCGACGTAAAGGCAAAAACAACCAATATGCCAGAGCAGCATAAACGGTGGTATTTGTCGTTCTGTAATTTAGTGCTCAAGGGACAAAATCAACATAACAGAATGCCCAAAGAAAAAGAGAATTATGCTAAAGATTTACAAATACTGACCATCCAAGCAAGAGACATTGTATTCAACAATGTAAATACTGACAATATATTGAGCATCTCTAATTTCGAGACGGTGATGAATGACATGATGAATGAACAGTTAGCAAATAAGAACAATCTCGAAAAAAATCTGTTCATGAGAGATATACTTGTTCCCTTAAAGACACATTGCAAAAGCTCTTCGAAGTTTGTAAAAGATGTTCTAATTCCAACTCGAAACAACGAGATAGCAAAAGATTTGTTACCATTTCTTCCAAAATTGCAAGTAGATTTGTTTGATGAAAATGAAAGAAAAAAATTAGACCAAAAAATTCGTGAAGGTTCAACGATTCATGTGATCGGTCCGTCGGGTGTGGGTAAGTTGAATATATGCAATTTGGGTTAATGGTAACATGTAGTATAGGAAAAACTGCTTTGGTAAGTTGAATTTGATGGCAATACAAGTTGATTTGTTGTAAACTGTGAATACAGATTACAAGAAGATTAGGTGTCAATCCAGGAATCATGATAACATGTTCGTCTTTAAATGATTCGTCACGTCTTCCTGAGAGAAGTTTTGACAAAGCCTCTCTTGGTTTAAGAAAATTCATAGAGCAATCAGAATCTATCATTCACCTCTACGCTACTGCTAGCCAACTTGTTCAATGTAATCTTATTGCAAGATTGATATCCCTTCACACTTCGTTGCACATATGGGAACAAACAGATGACAAAACACCCTTTGAAAATCCTCTCCAAATGTTGTCTTATTCTCAATGGAACGGAAATACACTTACTTCGTCAGAAATATTTACGAAATTAATATCAATTAATTGGCTATCACTGCCTGCAGAAAGATTAAGAGACTTCACAATTTTTTTGATCAAGCGATTATATGTCAAATTGAAGTTAACGGAAGATCAATCTTTTATTATTGCCATAGATGAGGCAAATATTTTCTCATATCTCCAAACTTCATTGCTGTCTTTTAATGGTACTCCTCGAGATTTGTTGTCATTGATTGAGTTTGAAATTTCTCTTCTGCGAGAAAAGTGTAACATGAAAATTAGTGATATGTATTGTGGAACCTTCTTTACGACCGACATTGCTGACATTATTCAGTCATCTATTGGGAAAACAAGAGATATAGCACATGTTTACTCTTGCATTGGTTTAGATGAAATTAATTTTGACCAAGCATTACAGTTATTAGGAACAATGTATGATGTTGATGCAATTTTAACAGCAGCAAAGATCAGCAAAACAAAGCTTGGTCATTCTATTGGACACATATTCCCAACCAGGAGAAGAATTATCGGTCTTGTTTCAGAAAAAACTTTACCATCTTTCAATTTGATACGTGTTATTACAGACATTTGGAACGAATTTGTGGGTCAAATAGAACAAACAGTATTAGAGAGATTTGATAACAAAACAGAATCAGACTTTATAGATGCTTTTTTATTGCAAGTGATGTTGATTCATGAATATTCATCCTTTTTAGGAAAAACAATCACCTGTAACAGACAACTAGCCTCTTCGATAATAGGATCTGGGTTGGCAAAACCAAATTTTGACTTTTATGACGTTGATAACAATGATCTGTATTATTTTGATGCCTCTGATCCAATTCTTAGAACGGTTGCTAAAAAAATTTTAGAGAACAAATATCCAAACTTGAAAACAACCGCTCATAATCCAATGACAGTTTTGCAGCAATTGCTATTCGTTCCACAAAACAAACCATACACATGGAACCTAGTATTTTCTCTTCTATTGCAACACCATAGCGGCAAATTTATTAAGGACAATGAGATCATTTCAACATTCATCACCAACAGAAGCCCATATATTTCATTGAGATATCTTTATTTTGTGATCAAGTCATTCATTTCGTCCGTTGATTTTTATCTCAAGCATCACAATTCAAAATGGGCACAAGTAGTGCTAAAAAAACATTCTACACGAGACAAAAAGACTTTTGGAGATGTGTTATATTTTCATTGCGTATCAAACTACGACAAACATATTAACAAGAAATCTAATATCAGATTTCAAGATATTATTGATGGATTATATTTTTTTCCTGCTAAGATAAGTCGTCTTGATGGTATTTGTTTGAACTTTTCAGATCAACCTTATGGTATTGTTGTGAGTAATAAGTTACATAATTGTAACAGCATCATCTTTGAAGAGGGTATTAAAAAAGGAATTAAGGCTGTGAATACTCGGTATTTCTATAAACAAGATGATGGCAGCACTTGGCGTATTGGTTGTAGTTGGTATAGCGAACACGAGGCCTTTTTGACAACGTTGGCTAACAATAACAAATTGATTCCTCTGCTGGCACATATTCACATTAATTATAAGCATCTAGCAACAACTAATCCTGGTATTACTACGATTGAATCTACTTATTCTAACAATGGAAAATTTTTAATAATGAACCCAGATTCGAGTAGCTTAAGAAAACTATGCCCGGATTTGTTTAATCTTGTACAACAGAATCTGTTTAACACAGCTACATTCGAAAATCCGAATTTATAGAACAATTTTTGTTGAAAATTGCAAAACTTGTCGCCCTGTTTTGCCTTTGAAATTACCATGAATTTATGGTGAAATTGACACAGAGGAAATCCATGCTAGTAGCCAATGCCAGATCTGTGTGAACCTAGCTTCCTAATGGTGATCTAGCGTGACCCCTCTCGAATTTAGAATAAGATGATGTCTTGTCATTCTAAGATCGGGTTCTCCTCAAGGAATTTTAATCGTAAATGTGTGTTGATTCTATACATGCACCTATTCGAATTAGGTATACTATTGATTACTCTCCACGAGTGATGTTGTTACAGTGTGAGAAGGTTCAGAAAGATATTTCGAAGTATGATATTCACTCAAATTCAAATCATCCAACACTCCTTCTTCATCAGATTCAGCATTGTTAGTCGCGTCTCGCACAGTATTTTGAAATTTACTCTTCTTTTCTCGCTGAGCAATTCTCTTTTTAAGAAAATTCAAACTCTTCTCATCCATCAATTCGACAAGATAGGATAAACTTTGTTTCTTTCTCTTCTCTTCCATCATGATTTTAAATTTAATGGCCCAATCCAATGAGTAGCTCCAATTGGTAAAATGTACAGAACATAAAAATCTTGGAAAGACATCATTTTGGATCATGTTCAAAATATAGGAATGAGCTTGATTGAAAATGTCCAACGTGACCAAGGAGGACAAGGATGATGACATGGTTTGTGAAATTTTCTTTTCAAAAAGTTCTTGCAAATTTTCACGTATTTCCCAAGGTAAATTAATTTCTTGAGGTCCATAGGGTCGAATGAATCGTTCATAAATCGAAGTGGCCATATGTTTCAAATCTCTCAATTTATCATCGACGAGAGTGTTGAATGGTGTCGACTTGTCCATTCGAGATACAATTTGTTTGTAGACTTTTCTGTATTGATTCACGGCATAAATAAATTCTAAACTTTCTTCACACAATTCATCTTTCATAAAGGAATGAAGATAACCAGCCGAGTGAATATCTTTGATCATGCGTTCCACAGAAAAAATATCTCCAAGACTACTTTGAATTTCATTATCTTCAGCAGATCCCCACATGGTGTTGGCATAATTGTTCATGTCAGAGGAGTTGTTAGAAAGAGGTGAGAAGGCAGAATTTGAAAGTAAAATATTCTTGGATAAGAATTTGAGTTGTAAATGAATTTCACCTGTGACTTTGTGAGTGAGCTTTGGAACATTGTGAAAAAAAATTATTTTTGAAAATCAAAATCGTTAATCATGTTCAATGAATGGATAGTGACATTTACAGATCCATTTTTGAAGGATAGTGATATTTACATGCCAATAGTAGTTGATGATTTAAAATATTGGTTGTTTTCATGGGAGTAAATTAAACTTACACTTTTTGATTTGAGTTTGTACCACTTGTCTGTGATATCTGTTTTGCTATCAACAATGGCGTGTATGGGTATTTCAACGAAACCAAGAAAATCATCCGTTCCAATGGTATCTTCATCCATGACCTATGAATCAAAATGGCAAGTGACAGTTCAAGAAAATCATGTGTAAATTTACACAATTCATTTTGAAAAACCTACATAAACCACTAATTCTTGTTTCGTATCAGTTAAATCAAAACAAAATTCTTCATTCCAAATCGGATCTAAATTCTGATAAATTACTCTCGATTTTTGCTGAATATTTTCCACTACCATCAAATGTCATTTTCAAAATTTAACAAAAAGCTACACACCCATTAACACACAATACGGATCACTTTTTCCATTCACATCTGCAGCAATCAACCTTCTCGCTTCCACTAATTTAATCCAAATTCTTCCGATCATATTGAACGATTCTTCTTCCATATGATTTCCATTTCCGGAAGAATTTTGATGATCATTGATCCAGTCATGATGAGGAAGCATGAAAGGAGGTTGAACCATCATGCCGTTACTGTTGGAATAGGCATGATGATGAGAGGGACGATATAATTCGACGGAGCCTCGGACGCTGTTGAAGACCATTTTTTTTTTATGAAATGACAGTTTTCAAAGCATGATTCATGAACAACAGTTTCAGGAATAATTGTAAATCTCAAAGAGGATTGATTTCATTACAATTCTTCAACCACTTGTATAGGAAAAATTCTTTCAGAGGGATTCAATTTCAACATTTTGGCAACAAGTTCAATAAATTCTCGAGAGTATAAATTAGACGGTATTTTTGTGGAAATAAATTTCTCAATATCATCTCCTCCCATTTCAAAATATTGGCACAATACAACGCTCGTGTTCATGGTCATTAACTGAAAAATTGTTACTCCCAATGCAAACATATCACTTCCAACAGAGAATTTGTGTTCAAAATGTTGCAAATTTCTGTTCATCAATTCTGGAGCCATGAACGAAAGAGTTCCTACTTGGGAGCTGTTCGAAGAAATCAAGTCGATAGGTTTAGCTAGACCAAAATCACCCAATACTACTTGTATCGTCTCTTCGTTCAAGTCAAAATCTCTCACTAAAACATTTCCAGGTTTAATGTCACTAAGGATTGTTAAATACTCGATGAAGATGATAGGATATTTCAAAACACTTACCGATGCAGCATTCCATGTTGAGTGAACATCCAATTTAGTGCTGCACACACTTGCTTTGTTATTTGTCTCAACATGCTTTCCGGTAATCGAATAGACTTATCTAAAAAGAGTGACTTTAAGCTTCCTTTCATCAACTCCATTTCAATGCAAACGTGTGAAGTAACATTAGGAAGGAAGGCATCATAAATTCGAACAATATTTACATGAGATAGCTTTGCCATGGTCAGCACTTCCTTTAAGGCGTCGTTCAAATTAGAAGGATTTTCAACTTTGAGAAGTTTCAATGCTTTAGGTATTTTTGACTTCACATCTACAACACGGAACACACTTCCAAAACCACCGCTGTCGATAAACGAAATCTGGTCATATCTGGAATTCAAATAGCTCTCAAGTGTTGAAATATCGTCCAAAGCTGGAGAAGATTTTACAGAGTGCTTTGAAGCGTTTTCTTGAGTGGATTTCTCGGAGTGAATTGCAAAGCTCGGGTCAGGAAATCCTGTATCCCAGCCAATTTGTGATGAAGTGTTGTTGTCATTGTGCGAGTGTTTCTTTTCCTGACGCACAAACTCATGCGAAGGTTTTTGAATTCTGATAAATTTTCTACTGTTTTCCATAGATGTATCTTGAAACAGTTTCATAAAATCCTTCACGTCTTGATCGTTGTATATAAACATATCTCCGAATGTTGGATCCCAATACGTTAAAACCAAGTCTAGATTTTGTAATTCGGATAATACAAGTTTCACTTGTTCAACCAGAGATTTGAATAAAAAATTGCTGTCAACAGTCACTCTTGCAAGTTTTGTTCCAAGTTGCTGATCTTCGAGTTTAACAACAACTCTTTGTGGAATAATGGGTGGTTGGAAGGACGGTATCATAGGGTGGAATGCTGTCTGCTCTTTTGTGTTTGTCTGTTCTGCCATGAACGGAATTCGATTTAACAATGTGTTTTGATTTTCTTTGTTAAGATCTTGAGAACAGATTTGAACAGAGCTCTCAATAATTCTATCAACTTCATTCATAAAACTATTGTCGTGTCTCAAATCTGAGGCAACAGAGTTCAGCAAGTCATATTGGCTATTCAGTTTTTCCAAAATTGTTTTTGGATCCTTCATGACAGATGCCAGTTCCATAACTCGTTGTTTGACAGCTTCAAGCACAATCTCTTTATCTTTTTTCAAATTCTCAGAAACAAAAGCAAGACATCGACCATTTTGTTTAACAACTTGGAGGATAAATGGTTTGTCTTTTTTCAAATCATCAGAGGCATATCGTAACGACCTTCCATCTTGATGAATGGCTTCAAGAACGACCTCCTTATCTCTTTTCAAACTTTCAAAAGCATAATTAAGAGTATAACCGTTGTGTTTCACTGCTTCCAGAATAAACAACTTGTCTTTTTTCAAATCATCCGAAGCGTAATAAAGAGCCCAACTGTTTTGTTTGGCCGCTTCTAAAACTAGATCTTTATCGTTTTTCAAACTGTCAGAAGCATATTTCAAAGCATCGCCTCGTTGTTTTACTGCTTCCATCATGAAAGTTTTATCACTCCTCATACTCTCGGAAACATTTTCCAACACCTTTACACCTTTTTCTCGAATATCCGATAGTAATTGGCTTTCATCACAGGTGGTATAATTCTTGGATGGCATTAGAGGATGAGGACAGATCAATTTATTTTTTTTGAGGTTATGGAAAAAGTTCTTTTTTGAACCTCAGGTACACTTATCAAAATAGAGATATTTAACTCTGACATGACCTTGGAGTAAAATCCATGAGACTTTGATGATAAATAAAGGGTTGAAGGCAAAAGGAAGTGAATAACTTGGGTATCGTTTATTAAAAATTGCATTTGTTGTTTGTTGTAAATCAACAGAAAGATGGTTGGTAAAACGGATTATTTATTCTTCGCCGCGTGTGCGTGCGCATGTCTAATAGTTGAATAAATAAGATTTACATTACCTTTTCTATCCTGTAATTCAGCAAGAGTACAACACAAATAGATGCAACAAACATATGCATCAGTCTCATACAGGATGACATTATTAAGCGTGCGCTGATTAAACATCCCATGGTAAACCATGAGGCATCCTTTGGACTGAAATCAGTTCAAAGAGCATCCCACTAAAGTGAGGCATCCTATTGCGATGCAATAAGGCATCCCATGATTAAAATCATAAGGCATCCCAATGTATTGAGGCATCCCAGCTCAAATGGCCAAGGCATCCTTTGGACTGAATTCAGTTCAAAGAGCATCCCACTAAAGTGAGGCATCCTATTGCAATGCAATAAGGCATCCCAAGTTGAGACATGAGGCATCCCACCCAAAGGTGAGGGAGTTGTGGAAAGCCACAACTATGTTTGTTTATTTCAGAGGTGGATTGGGAGGAGGGTGGGTACTTTTCAATTCTTTGAGAGAAAGTGATTCTATCACCTTTCTCGAAGTAATTGATAATAATTGTTCCATATCACAAGTAATGTAAATTTTTTGAAAGTGAAAATTCAAAAAATTAGTCAACCAACCACTTTTATTGATTACAACAAACCTCAGTAAAACTCCCTTTTACTACCGAATTTGTTGTAAATCAACAGAAAGATGGTTGGTAAAACGGATAGATACCGCTAAAAACCCATCTGGCGAGATACATTCTTGTCAGATGCGAATCCAGCTCTGAAATACGCATCTATCGCATTGGAGGACCAATCACCTAGAGCTTGGATTGCTGTGTGTGAGAAACCAGCAAATGCTGCCTCTGACGCTCCTCCAATTCTTAAGGAATGACTAGAAAAAGAACCCGAAATCTTAAGGCTGGTTGCTACAAATCTAAGAATGTCCGAAATTTTAGCCGTGGATAAGGGAAGGTCGTCACCAAACAAATACTTTTGAGGGTTACACACTTTCCATAACCTAAGCCAGACGACAGGACATCTCCTGGAGTTAGTTGCCTCAATTTCGATGACTCTTCCTTTCTTGCTTCGTTTAAAATCATTCTTCACTTTTTCCACAACAATTCTGATTCCGTTAATGTTGTTCTTGTTAATTTCTACCACATTGGAGGTTAAAATACTACCCAACTCAGATCCTCGTAACATGGACCTGATGCCGATGATCATAAGGGTCGTATAAAAAACATAAGTTCTCCTGTCGACAAAGTTACACCCTTCGAGAATCCACATATCAATGTACATAATACGCCACTCGTTTCGTTCAATCTCGTATGAAACTGGTGCCATGTTGATCATGCAATCAACTAGAGATGAAATATGTTCACCCACCACGTCAATCCATTTGAACTGATTACATCGCTTCTTAATAGCAAACATTGCCAGTTTACAATTTTTTCCGGACCTACATTTAAGAAAAAGACACACCAGAAAATTGTAAACATCCATCTCTGTGGGTGGTATTGCAATATTTCTCTCATCGCACCATTTAACAAATCGATTCCAATAACTGTCATACGTAGTGTTTGTGGACTCACGACCCGCACCGGCCTTTTCAATTAGTCCACCAACTGATGTTAGTTGGTCATCCGAAAGTCGATTAGGGTCGCCTCTAATAGCCAAGAGCTTTTCTTTTGCGGTTCGCATTTCCCTGACCGAGAGGGTCTGAAATCTATTCCAGACATTGGTACTGACCGAACCTTGCCTTCCAGCAGTAGTGGCCACCAGGGTTTTGTCTTCCATACTGGGTGAACGAGTATCATTTGAGATTGGCAAAGCTTGCAATGCTCTAGCACCTTCTGGATAATGCTGAACGGCACGCAGCACCAATTTAGCTCTTCCTTGGGCCAATAGCAACTGAATGCATCTGCGGGCTGTTCTCTCTTGGTCCTCTTCCACACCATGTATTGAGGAACCTTGAAGTTGTAATTGCTGGCGAAACGGTCGAACTGAACTTTCACCTGCAATTGATGTTGAACTCTTTCGAATGCCTCTGGGGTTACTTCCCAATCTCCGAAATCCATCTCTTCTGTGGTTTTCAACCTGCTCAATTGATCGGCGATCGAATTTTGGGACGACGGTAACCATTCCACAGCAACTAATTGAATGTCGTATTGGAATACTATTCTCCAAATACCTTCCACAATCCTTTGAATTAAGGAATTTTTGGAACGACCTTTTCGCAAAGAAAACACTATCACTTGAGAGTCTGAAAAAATTCTCAAACACTTTCCCTGAATAAGGGGAGCGATTTTTTCCATGGCAATAAAAATGGCTTTTGCTTCCAAAACATTGATATGCATATGATCCATGCCATAAGTAGACCAAGAGCCGTGTAAGGTAAAATTCAATAATGGCATTGTAGCACCAAAGCCGGATAAAGAGGCGTCCGAAAAAAGTTCGTGGATCAATGACGGAAACGAAAATAATCGACCGTTCCAATGGTGAATGTTGCAAAGAATCCATTGTAATGCGTTCGATAACTGGTGGTCTTTCACACGGTGTAGCGTATCCCATCCATCCTCCACCATCTTGAAAATTCTTGAATAAATGGGATTGAGAGCAATTAAGGCTGGTTGAAAACAGTGTACATATGACATAACAGAGCCAGCCAACTTGGCAAGGTCTCGGGCGGAAAAGGCCTCCTCTCTGTGCATTTTTGATAGGAGGTTTTTGCATCGAGCAACTATTTTCTCCACACCCTCTTCGGGAATAGAGAGAGTCATGCAATTCAGATCTACCAATGCTCCTAATAATAAAAAGACTAAGGAAGGTTTGAAACAACCTTTTGAAGGTTCTCTTACAAATCCATAAAAATCCAGCCTTAAGCTTAATCGAACAAGCTTGTTGTAGGAATCTAAGTAAGAGATACATAACACAGCCATAAAATCGTCCAAATAATTGGACAATGTATAGCCTTCTATTGTTAACAATCGAACACCTTCGTCTACTATCTGAGTGAAAAAGAATGGGCTTCCATTCCATCCAAATGTCAATACTGTGAAGCAAAGAAGATGACCCATAAATTCGATCACAATCTTGTCTCGATCTTCTTCTCGTACCTTCACTTGGTGATATCCTGATAATAAATCGAACGTAGCACAAAACTTTTTCCCACCACTGCGAATGTGATCCAAACACTTGCTCAGAGTTTTGTACTTGAACTTTGGGATCTCCAAACAATACTTGTTTAGGGGACGAAGATCCACAATTAATCTGAATTTCTTCTTTCCTTTCTTCGGTACCAATCGATACTTGGCCACCACCTTCGGAGTTCCTTGGAAGAATTCCAATGCACCAATAGATAACATCATACATATCTCTTCCGTTAGAAATTCTCTTTCTTCCTTCGACCAAAGAGATATATCTACTCTTCCATAGTAAGGGATGAAATACTTGCTGACCATAATTGGAACCCCATCTTTCAAAAGACCCACAATCTCTTTTTTGGCACCCATCATTTCCCATTGTCTCCACTTGTTGGAAATCGAATGAATAGCCTTCTTCCTGAAGGCAATTTCTTCCATGTGAGTATCTTGGAAAAAACTGAAGGATTTCGTAGAGAGAACTGTGAGGGCCTCGTTGTTTATTGGCTTTCTCATCATCCCTCATCTTTTTGCGACACGTTTCTTTAGTGTGACCTGGCTTCTTACAATATAGACATACTATATTGCTAACATCTTTCTCTGGAGTAGGGATTTTCAATTGTTGTTTCAACACCTTTGCATCTTTGTCGCTCTTACCCACTGCTTTCAGCGCCCAAGAGAACAGGTCCGCTTTTTCTCTCAACAACGGGTTGAGTGTAGAGGAACTAATTATCTCTGCCGCTTGCTGGTGCTTCTGTCTCGCAAGGAGAACAAATGCACGATTCTCGACTGAGTCAATAGCCCGTTGCAACTCTTCATCTTCGTCCTTATTCTTGAGCTGTTTCTTCAACAGAATCTTGTAAATAGCTCCAAGAGAACTAAACTCCTCCACTTCTTCCTTCCTGACTGAGTTACGGTCAAAAACAGTAGACACCCGTTCGTTGGCAAGAGATTCGGCCATACAATCTATTTGAAATAGATTCAAATCAATACTCTTCCCACTCTTGAGTAGCTCGAGAACCCTATTTCGTTGACCATTAGCTAGGGCCGCTGGTAGCTGGTCATCACAGACATCCCTTTGTGAAAACGCGCCTTGTTGAGTCAAATCAACCATGATTTGGTTGATGTCTCGTTCGGCCGATGACTTTGCTTTCTTAACCTCATCACGCATAAAGTCTAACTCTTCTTCTAATTCTCTAATCCTTTTTGACAGCACTTCACTTGAGACCTCTTCTTCCTCTACTTCCTCTTCTACCTCTTCCTCTTCTGTCCGTTCCGGAACTACTCTCAAATCCTTGATTCTTCTGAGTAATTCTTTCTTACTTGTAATTTCGTTGGACTGGTCAGAGGGGTAGCAAGATATTAAATCATTAACAACATCATTCTTCTTCCCTGCTGGGAAAGCCTTCTTGAGTTTGCTGTAGATACTTTTCAATTCTTTGAGAGAAAGTGATTCTATCACCTTTCTCGAAGTAATTGATAATAATTGTTCCATATCACAAGTAATGTAAATTTTTTGAAAGTGAAAATTCAAAAAATTAGTCAACCAACCACTTTTATTGATTACAACAAACCTCAGTAAAACTCCCTTTTACTACCGAATTTAAAAAAAAATACAAACTGCCTATTCTTGGGATCATGGTAGAAGCCGAGGTGCTTTTCATTCTGCAACAAATTCCCATCATTGTCCGACTACATCATCGAGTACACAGTATTTTAAAGAATTGGATCATAATATGACGGAACATTATTTATATTCCGAATCACAAATTGAAACAAATAATTCTTGTCCGATCATGCATGAAGGTCCAAACAACATGAATGAAAATAATAATAATTCATCATCGCCTTTAACAGCAGATCATTTGAGATGGTTGTTGTTTAGACATCAAAATTTGAGGGCCTTGAATGATTTAAATAATCATAACAATAATTACCAAGAACGGAGATGGGATTCAAAGGCTGATGTGTCTAAATCATGCTCAATGTCATCGGTTGATCATCTATCGCCTCTCATTACTACTGCTTATCACAACATGAATACAACAAGTATGAAAACTTTTCATTCACAATCAGAAAAATCGAATCATGTAACTAACGAGAGAACACAAGAAAAACAACAAGTGACCCAAAAAGGACTCTCTTGCTTGGAACCCAAATGGTTGAAGCAAAAATTCGAGTGTGACATGGCCCGTTCATCGCCCACACCTAAAATTCCATCGAACGACGATCTTGATCAGCAACCACAAACAACCCCACCTATACTAACCACCATCAACCAAACAAGTAATATTTCCTCTGAAAAGAAACAACCTGTAAAATCAACACAAATAATTACCAAATCAAAGAAAAAAGCTAAAAAGAGAAGCATTAATACGAATCCAAAAAACCGTCGACATGCAACAGATGCAATAGACAAGACGGTTGCAACCGTAGAAAATTCTCAACAATTTAAATCCTTCAACGCAGCCATGGTCGATTTATTTAAGGACTACACTGAAAAATCAGATTTATCTCTCACATCAGCAACTTCAACACACAACAATTCACTCTACTCCAAATTTACCAAATATCTGAAACGATTTAATTTCTGGTGGACCAAGTGGAAGAAGGAATTTACTGCAGCAACTATTCATCGATTTTTGAGATCGTATGATCCTCTGATGAGAACCTTTGAATGCCTTCTTCTCTTCTTTGATACTTTCCACTTTCCAATGGCCATCCGTCTCTTCACTCATCGAGTTCGTCACTTTCTCAACCTCATTTTCCAATTCCTGTATACATCTCTCTTCCTCTTAGAAGAAAACTCAGAAGCAGAACGAGAATTATTGATGCACAGCAACAATAATTATTACAACGATTCTCAAATCTACCAAACAGATCCATACTATTACTATGATGACGTGAATTATTATTCTCAACATCACAACCCCAACACAGGAGGAGATCCCTTCACATAATGTCTTCGATTGAATCCATTGATCAATGTTTTGAGTTTTTCAGGATGACGGTTAGAATTGGAAATTTGAATTTTAAAAAAAATTAAGGTAACGGTTTTTCTGGTGTGCAGAGCCTCTTGCTAATACTACGAAGATTGTAAGAGCCCCTCTCTCTGAAAAGCCTTAATTCGTCGGTTACGGAAACAATCATACGGATTGAACAGTTGTATCGAACACACAAACCAGGAGCAATATTGAACAGTCGGAGCAGTTGATTTTAAACAAGAGATCAAAGATGATGAATTTATCTTCGGGTGGTAATAATACCGTTGCAAGTGGCTCGGGAACTACAGGAAACAATCTCAATATTACGAATAACATTGTACATAGCAACAAGTTGGCCGAATCACGATCGTCCTTAACTCGGGATCATATTCTTGGCATGAGCGAATTACAGCTTTCTCCTGCTAGCTCGGAACGAATAGAAAAGAGACTATCAACCCCACAACAAAGCAGTAGTATCTCTATGGGAAGTCCTTCAATTTCTTCAGCATCTAGCATCTCTAAGAAATCAATGCAAGTGAGTCCCATTGTTGAGAGGTTGAATGCGGTTAAGAATTCTGCTCAAACGTTCAATGGAGACCTCATGGAAGATTTAACAGCAAAGAAGGAAGTGGAGCAAACTAAAGTATTTGAATTGAGGGATACAGTTGCAAAAATTGAAAAAGATCTCACGCTGGAAATGAGGAAACGAGCAGAAAGTGATAAGGTTTTACAAACATTATGTGATAATAAGATTAATACTGTACAGGATGTCATTGAAAAGAAGATGAACGAAAAATTTTCCCAAATGCAACTTGTGATTGATACGCTGTCGAAACGAGTGATCAATCTTGAGAAATTACTGGCAGAAGAGAAGGATTATGCCTCTAAATTTTCCAACACGATGAAAACAGGAGTCATCGGCCAGCTCGAAGAGCTCAGAAGTATGATTGAGGAAGAACGAATGACGAGATTGGAGAAGGAAGCACAATTGACAAGAAAAATCAATGACGAGTATTTCAAAGTTTCACAAAAACTAGAAAGCGAAAAAAAGGCTCGTGAATTGTTCATAACTTCAACAAGGGAAGACATGGAACGAGTGGAACAAGCAAAGGCCAAAATTGATCAAGATTTCAGAACTAGGATTTTCGATGAAGTCGATAATTTGAGAGAGGAGCTCAAACGCGAAACGGAGCAACGAGAAATTGTCGATGAACAAATTGTAAACTCTCTAGACACGATCATCAAACAAGTGCATGATTCTCTGAGAATGGTAACCAAGTAAGCGGAATTCTCGATCATAAATGCAATAAAACCCACCACATCCACGTTAAATGTATGAATTCCAACAACCAGAGTACTGTTGGCCTCTATGTCCTTGTGTGAATTTTTCAGCTAATTTCAAATCAAGAAGTCGAAGTTCAAAAAAATGCTTTTTCAACTCAATGCTGAAGGTAGGTGAACAGAATACAAGTTTTTTTGGTCAAAGAACATGATGATGGACTTCGGAATTGGGTGGTTTCAATTTCAACAATTTTTTGATGGTTTGGGAATATTTGAACAACTACCATCATTCATGAAACATTTTGAAATTGTTCATCATCATTGTGATGATTTAAAATCCTCATTCAAACACATAACAAATTAGCCTTCCGTAAGGTACATCCATTGGAATTTTACAAGAAATTTCTTCCAGAAGGAGTTCGTCCCGATGGAAGATCACTCAACATGATCCGAGAAAGTATCATTTCCAGTGGTTCCTTACGAAATTGCCAAGGCTCTTCTCTCGTAAAAACCGGAAATACCAGTGTTGTGTGTGGTATTAAAGCTGAAGTGATGATTCCTACGGAAGAAGCTCCTCGGGATGGACGTGTTGTGATAGCCTTTGATTTTCCATCCGTTTGTGCAGCAGATATTACAGGAAATTGGGAAGAAGTGAATGAACGAAAATGTACCATTCAACAGAGGTTGGCTTCTGTTTTATATAATTGCGAAGTTTTGGATTTGAGTCAGTTGTGTATTGAGGAAGGAAAGGCTTCTTGGGTTTTATATGCGGATTTATATTGTTTGGAGAATGATGGAAATGTTTTTGATGCAGCATTGATTGCATTATTGACTGCTTTGAGAAATGGTAGGTTTGAATTTTAGTAATTTGATGGTATATTTTGGAATTTTATGACAATATCGAATGCTTGAAATTTAATTGAATTGCATTTGTTGTGGTTATCATTTGTGATATTTGAATGAATTATGAAAATTTAAATTAATGACAAATTCATGTGAATATTGGATGATTATGAATGGTCGTATCATTAGTATCTCTTCCAAAAGTTGAAATTTCTAAAGATGAAGAAGCCATTGTAACAGATGAAAATGCAAACCTTAAACTTACGCTTAATCACTATCCAATACCGTTATCTTTTGGACTACTTTCAGAGTAAGTTTACACAATTTAGATTCAATAGGGATTCATTAATTCATCTAATCATTGAAAATCTTCATCTATGCATGCCATGAAAAGCCACATTTTGGTAGATCCCACAAGCGAAGAAGAGTCACTTCTTTCGTGGAAGCTCACAGCTGTTTACAATGAACGTAAAGAATTATGTATGCTTTTCAAGCCTGGAGGCAGCTCTATAAGTCAATCCTCCTTAAAGTATTGCATGGAGTTGGCCAAAAAGCGAACGGATAGGATCATTTCCATGATTAACAATAGTCTTTCAAAATAACGACCTAGAGAAAATAAATTATTATTACAATCCAATGTTAACATGTTGTTGATAGGAACACTAGATGAATTTGGTTATTATTTAATAACAATCAATACATTTCTTGTTTAAACTTTGTTTTCAGCAGAATTATCATTGCTTGAAGGTGATGAAGACGCAACCTGTTCGTTACTACTGCTCTTTGGAACAGCAGATTCTCTACCCTTAACAATGGTGTAAGCCATACTACCAAAGATAGAAATAAAGGTTCCCAACACACTCACTGCATCCAACTTGTCTCCAAATACAACACCTCCCAGTAAACTTTGAACACAAGCTTTACATGTTCCCGAAATTGTATGAGTCAATGAAGAAGTGACATTAATTTGAAGGAATGTTGCCACGTTAATCAAATAGCCCAAAACACTGCTCACAATCAACACAAAAATAAAACGAGGCTCTCGAATGTGTGGACTTGCCAAAGCTTCACCAAAATCACCAGTGACCAAACAAATCACAGTCAACAAGATGGAACTAAGGATATTGTTATAAAGCATGAGTACCCACTGATTGCTCACCAATTGCATTTTGGTCTTCACGAAAATTCCATACAAAGCAACAAAAGCACTCGAGAGGAGACCATAGAAGACACCCAACCAAGTAAAATCAACCTTATCTAAATTTGCTTTTCCAATCACTCCGATAATATATCCTGCCAATACAACTCCACAACAATATAATACATTCAAGCTTGTTGTTTGTTTGTGCAAAATGTAAACAAACAATGCGGTAAAACAAATACTCAAGGATCTAGCAATTTGATATAGTAAAACATCGGCTACTTGCAAACATAAATTGTTGAATACAAGCATACCAATGAACAACAAGGATAGTGGAGCAATTTGTCTTGCTCTCTCCGAAGTAAATTCTGGCTTGGGAATAAAATTCGGAAACAATGGATGAGATATCGCTTGTAAAACAACAGCAAACACCAATTGCACCAAAGTCATGGTCATGGCCGGAAATTCATATTCATTAGAATTTAAGATATATTTGTTTGCAAATACAGTGGATATGGAAATGATAAAATAGAAAGCCACTGCTCCGGCAATGATGGCGGTGGAATGAGGCTTGTCGGTACCAGAGGTCATTTTTTTGTTTGTGTTTTTTGTCAATAAATTTATTTTGATGAAAAAGGTCAGGGATCATTCATTGTTCAATCTTCTTTGGATTGTCATAATAATGATATTATTGAAAAGTGACAAAGTGTATGGAGCTCCTTAATCTTCTTCTTCGTGTTCAAGTTCGCCTTCGACTTCATCTTCGAAATCTTCATCTGCTTCTTCGTCTTCATAGTTATCCAGCATTCTCCCAAGAATTTCCTTGTATTCTTTCAATTCATCTGGAGAGAGATTGTAGTGATAGGAGGCAGAGAGTCCTGAACCTCCCACAGAAAGCGAAGAAGATCTGCCACTAATCGTGTCGAAATATTTCACCAATTGATGGATATGTTTGCTAAAGTTTCTACTATTGGAAAGATGAGTACCTAAAGGACATGTCTCAACTCGCTCAGCAATGTCTTCTGTGGGTGCGTGTGATCTAATGAGCCCGTCTCTTGTAAGTACAGAGTTATTAAGATATTGAGGGAAGGTAAATGGAAGCTTGAAAGGTTGGTTGACATGGAAAGCATGCTTTGAGAAACAGCGTGTTTGATTCATGTAGCCATCAATCATGTCAAAATGAGAATTACATCCAATTAAGTGTTTGTGCTTTTCCAATTCTTCTCCTCCAAATCGTTTCATTCGAATTTCGTTCAGTTCCTGTAAATCACTTTGATGATAGAGTGGTACGTTGACAGGTGTCAATCCACGAATGAGGAGTGATTGAGCAAGTGGATCGCAAGCATGGAAACCAGTAGCAATCTGAGAAAGAAGTGGAACAAAATGTTCATTTTGATGAATAGGCCTAGCACTTCGGAAATGTTGGAAAAGTGATGTTCCAGTTTTGAATCGGTATGGAAATGCGATATTAATGTTGGCAACACGTAGAGCGTTCAATGGTGACATTTCCTGAATAAATGAATAAAGATCTGTTTGCTTGTTATTTGCAGTACCATTAAGGCGATAGGCCAATGAAACCGAATCAAATGCAGAAGCAAGAATTGAGGCTGAATGGTACAATTTCTTTGGCTACATGGAAGGACAATCCATTGCATTGATGAATGATAGTATGAAATGGTTAAAATAATTTTAAAATACCATGACAAACTTACATTAAAGTTATGTTTCAAATATTCGCTCATTAAAGCGTCAGGAAGCTGCTGGCAACTGTTTGGAATGAATAAGTTTGTGTTTTGATACATGTCTGCATAGGTGAGACATGTATTCAGGATAAACTTCATCCGATCCTGGTCAGATGCAAAATCTGGAATGTATGGCGACGCTGCATACGAGATGAGTGGTACCTTAGAACCAATTTCATCCTTGATAAGCTGAGTGAAATCGCTGCAGGTCATTCCCCATGCATTGAAAGAATCCGTAAATAATTGAAAGCCATCCAAAGTGTCACACTCCTCAACAAAATATAAAAGCTGAGATGTGAAATCATCGTATTGATCATTACTAAACTCTCCATGCAACACTTCTTTGCCTGTTGTATATATATCAAAAGGACTATCCATAGCAAACGGATTCATTGCATTGGAAACATTGAGAGCACTGTAGCTGTCCTCTGCAAATTGGAATTGTATGGGCTCACAAATTGTTTTTGAATGAAAATCAACTTGCAAAAAGTCACTCCACAATGCAACACTTTCCTCCAAATCTTGTTCAATGTCTAATCGTGAGTATTCCTTTTTAGATTTCTTGGCTTGTGGTTCAATTTGTTTTTCAGCGGAATGAGAGGAAGTTTGCTGGGGAGTGTGATCATATTCGTTTTCGTCCATCTGTTCATTTTCGTTGTCCACAATCAACTCTCTAGTATGCTCATCAGCTGCAAGAACATTCTTTGTAAATTTTGTTTGTCTCTTATTTTCAAATGTTCGCAACACTTCTAATTTTTCCCATCTTGTAAGCTCCTTCTGATGATCAACAAATTCCGGTGTAATGGATCGGTATGGCTCTTCCTTGTATCCTTGTTTTCGGAGAGAACCTCTGGATCCCTTCAGATCAAACACAAGAAGCCTCGGATAGAAGGTAGAAGGCTCATTCTCGGAATGAATAGAAACTCCAACTCCTCTCGATTCTCGATACAAGACAGAAGACTCAATTTCTGGACGAAAATTAGGCACCATAGGATTATTCAATAGAGGTTGGAATTCATTCAACATGGTTTGTTGAATGTTCCAATAGTGCGTGCCGATGAAATTGGAAAAGTGCCCAAATTGCAAGGTAACAATTTCTCTCATTTTTTGTGTGTTGAATTCTTTGTTTTTAATCTGCAAGAGTTTGTTTGCCTTAACATCTTCCTGAATATTTGGCTTAACTGTTCTTTGAGAAGGTTTGTTGACTTGTTGAACCAAGAGAACAACCTTTTTATTTTCAACTGTATTATTCGCACATGAAAGGATGATAATCGAACACGGTTTGAATGCAAAATATTGTTGATACATTTGGAATCATATGAATTGTGGTGGTTCATAATATATGTCTATTGTGTTTGATCACGTGGAACTTTGCCATAAATGACCTTAAGATCAGAGAATTGAGAAACAACAATTTGAGGAACATTGTAAGTAATATCGGTTCCCTCTTTCTTGACCTCTCTGTAAGTTAACTTTCCCTTAACATTGACAATAAATCCCTTCTTCAAGTACTTTTGGGCAACACGAGCCAAAAGATTGTCGAATGAAACAATGTTGTGGAAGTTTGTTTGTTCCTGGATGGTTCCGTCCTTCTTTTTAATTCTCTCCGAAGTAACTATGGAGAAACTAGTCATTGTACTTCCGTTAGCAACTTGTTTGAAAACAGGATCACTAGAAACCGTTCCAATAAGATATACCGAATTAACGCTTCCTCTGATGGTCCAAAAGTTTGGATCAGCTGCTGCTTTAGTAGAAGCAGGGGTAGCAGTATCATTTTGTTTTGTTTGCTTGGGAGCAGCAGTACCCACTGTTGTTTTGATGGTCTCAGCCAATACTCTTGAATTATTGCTCGAGAAATGAGCTACGGAATTACCATGATTTTTCAAGGCTTGTTGAAGAGCCACCACATTACGGGATTGAACGAAAGCAAATCGAGTTGAGAGAGAAGTCTTTGCGAGCATTTTTTTTGATTGTTTTGATGAAATATGATCCTATGCTCTTCAAGGAAAGCTATAAAAGAGATTAATGATGATGGATACGTTCATGTATTCAATCTCTTGAAATCAACCTGCTTGCGATCTGCAGAACACGTTGATCAAGTTCACACAACGTTCTTTCACATCCGGAATTGAAAAAAATGAACGTACAAAATAACAGCAAGTTGACATCTGCCATCTATGGCATCTATGGCATCGTTTATTTTGTTGTCTCCATGCTCATGATCTTTTCGCCCTATCACTCGGCTAACATTCTGTTTCAACAAACATTTTTTGCCAATGACATGGACAATTACACAAGAATTATTTTTGATTTATTTCGATTTTCCGGAATGTTGATGTGCTTTCTTGGAATTTTACTCATGATGATGTTGAAAGTGACTGATAAGAAGGCTTTGGATATTTTCAATTTTTCACTTTGGTTATTATCCATTTTTGGAGTTTTTATTTCGTTTTATTATTTCATTTTGAGCAAAGAATATCGTTGGAAAGATTGGTCTTGCTTTACAATTTTTGGGTTCTATTGTGTCAAGAGTGCCTTATTGAGCTATGTTTTATTTGGAGGTAATAAGAGAAGAGACTTGGGATCATCTTTACCTACTCATTCTACCTATGGATATGGCAATGATGCATCATTCTTTTCAAATCCACCATCTTCTTCCAATGTTTGGAATATCGGTCTTCAATACAAGAACTCGAGTAGTGACTATTCTGGCAATTATGGAGGAGGAGGCGGATTTTCCCAACCTCAACCACAGCAACAACAATACATGCAATCGTATGCTACTAATTCCATGTATGGAACTGGAGGAGGAGATTTGAGACGAAGAAATTAAGCACGTTTCTCCTCATATATTTTCAATCGTTACCCTTACACATGGTTCTCTGAGAACAATTATTATTATTGTAGTTCATATTGAACGCTTTTTACCCTTTCTGATTGTCGTCAATGACATGTATCATGTCAGCAATTAGAGGACCTCCCACAACATCCAAAATTTAATAAACATTACCAATTGATACTTGTAAGGAATTTGCAAGGGTTGAACAACGAATCTAATCGCATAAATTATGGTGAGAGATAAAAACTTTTGGTTATAAAAATTCCATTCTACAATGAAAGAACTCCACACATGAGGTTCCTTTTTGCATATCGAGAACACCCTTATTGAATAAACAAATTATTGAGCAACATGTTGATCATTGCTCATTCTCACTATTTATTATCGTTGAAGCTCTCTGAGTCTTTTTCCATTCGTTTTGGTGTTTCAAAATTTCCGAAAGTTATTACGCGAGCCCGTTGTGTGCAATCATGCGATTAGATTCTTCCATAGTTAAAAGCTCCAAAAAGTGACAAACCCACGACACTTTCCATCTGGGTCCCACTCCGAACAACTGTATTTTGAATCCGAGGGCCCACTTGAAAGGACCACGACGCCATGATTCGTATTCGCTGCCTTCATATGCATCGGATCTGCAATTGCAGAGGAGGATGATTCCTTTCAAATCATAGCAACAACAACTCTCAAAAAGAAAATCTCTCTCATTCCCTCTTTACAAAGAGGTGTTTCAGAACCACGAGCTCTTTATCAACAACCATTATTCTCTAACTGTATCATCATCTTCAGGCACATTCACGAATTCTCTCACCAACGGCCATTAAATTGTTAGAGAGAGCGAATCATCCAACAACCAACCGCATCAAAAACAAAACAAGAAACACACCACGGCAAACATCAAGGCCCTCCTTCAGGACCAAAACTTTTTAAAAACAAAAAAAAGAGAGATTCGTTCAGAACGCAAGTTAGCCTTGTACCGAGTATTTGAGAAAATTACGGAAGGAGAGAAAACGATCGTTGAAGAAACTGCGTAAAAGAAAACAGCACCCGACGAGGCGTCGTGCAAGACTCAAATTTTGAAGAGTTAGTGAGAGAGGCAACAACATTTCAATACTCTCACTCAACCCGAGACTCCGAATACTGGTTTCTCATCATCTTGTTTTAATCAAGCGACTTGATAACGGAACAGCTCAATATTGGCGTTTTATCATCATTGAATCCAAAATCATTGTTGAATTTAAGATTCGAGTCATCATCGTTGCAGTTACAAAATTTGAAAAAGACTTTATTCAACCCTACACAACAATACTTGTTGGGATCTCAACCACGTACATTGCTTCCTGAACTGAAACGACACCTGTTTCCATCAGGACCTCTAAATTGGTAAGTTTGTTTGCGTGTGATATTCTCTTGACATTTGACAATTTGGTCAATATCACCTTTAATGAACATATAATGCATTCACATCTCCTTCTCTCTATGCTGATTTGACACTTTATTTGCAAATGATGAAATTGATCTACTCAATCCACTTTCTCACAAAAACTGAAAAGACTAACTTTAAAAATTCTTCATTCCTTTCACACACTTGAACACTCACAAAATCTTCACACACTTGAAGATTGGGTCCATAACCAGCAAATCCATTCTTTTTCATTAACCCAACCTCAGGAGTAACGCCTCACAACAAATTCACGTACCGAACAACCACAAGAACACACTGTTCTATTTCACAAAACAAACAACATCATCATGGGAAACAATTGCTTTCATCCTGAAGATCGTGATGCCAAGCATCAACAACAACAACAACAAAACGAAGGGAGTTTACCTCCCCTCTCGATTCCTCTCAACAACATCACGTTAGTCGATAGTGAATCGATTGTCTCAGATCCGAGTAGCCAAACTGCTCCCAATTCACCTTCTCTCTCACGAAAGATATTAGGTACAAAACTCATGATGAAGCTTGCCACATCGAATCGTAATCTCGCCAAACTCAGCACTGAGAAAACGAGGTCACCAGCTTCACCTTCTTCGAATGGTGAAGTGTCACCAGTGCCAGGTAGCTCGAACAATGTTGTGAATCGTGTGAATCGATCCATAAGCGCACCTGGCTCCGGTTCGAATGGTCAATATCACTTGGCTGATGTGCTTTTCGATCCTGTCGGTTTTGAATTTCTCTACAAATTCTCAAAGAAGGAATATTCTCATGAGAATTTAGACTTACTGAAGGTGCTTTTAACCATTAATTGTGAAGAGTTTGCAGCCAAAACAAATTCAGTACAACACTTAATTAACCATCAAAAACGTCAATCCATGAAAGTGTTATCACAACAAGCGAAAGAGTCGGCATTTATTGAAGAAATGAAAGCTGTGGAAGAGGGATATCTAATTCCAGGAGCTGAATTTGAAATGAATATCGGTTTTTGTACATTTGCAGTGTTATCTAAAAAGCGAAGAGGAGGTTTGGACGAATTTGCAAATAATTCGAGTAATTCACCACGTTTTCTTGGAAAGAATAATGACATGGCTAGTACTATCAACAACAATAACAATGATTCAAGTGGTGGTGATTTTAACAACAATAGTAACGGCAGTCTAACTGACCAAAACCAGCACAACACATCAACAACAACAAACAACGAAAACACACCACAAGTGACCACCGAGGATGTTGTGACATCACTGAATCAACAAAAAGACCAACAAAATGATATCAACAACAATGACATTCAACAACAACAAAATGGTCATGCCTCACCACTGACAGAACCAAAGATTAGTAATCCAGACAAAACAGAAAGCCCAACAACAACACGTGCCGACGAAAATAATACCAATGATCAAATTAATCAAGCTCCACAAAATGGTCCTCTCTCTGAAACTTCTATTACCATCAAGATCGATAGTCCTCCAGAAGAAGGCAACAATAGCAGCAACTGCAACAATACTGGCACTACTGCTACGACATCGACCATAGAACCAATCAAGGAAAACACATCGCCGAATGCTACTTTTAATTTTTATAGATCTCTTCATAAGGCCATGCTTGACGATTGTATGGGAAATCTGCACGATGTGTTTGTTAGATTTATGGATTCAAGAGAATTTGATCATTATTTGGAAACTCGATTGAATAGCTCGATATCTAATCCTTCTCAAGTCTTGAATGTTAAATGAGAAAACACTTCAATCCCACTGACAATTCCCTTAATTTCCAAATTCAATTCTCAACTCTTCACTTTTGTCCATACTTTCATCATTCATTTGCGGCATTCATATCCTGGAGTTGATTTTACTCCAATTTTGTTTTCACTCCCAAACTATTTTGCAAATAGTAAACCACCTACGTTCATTTAAACAAACATGGCACTGTTATTCGTGTGGACTTGAGTTTTTTAAGGACAGAGATTTGCAAAATGTGGTGAACATTTTAGAACATTCTAAACGTTGTTTATTGAGTTTTGGAGCGACTTGTGGCTTCAACATTTGAGATGGATTACTTTTTGGTTGGTCCTTTGTAGATAATCTCTTCCCAATTATTTGGAACAGTGTATGCTCCAGCTGGTGGTGTTTTTGTTGCTTCTTTCATTGTCAAATCGAAAAATCTTGGAGATGTAGAGCTAAATGGTGATGAGGTGTTTTTTGTGACTTGCTTACAAAAATCAGAATACTTGTTTGTGTCGTACATGGTAGACGGAGGAGTGTACGACTTGGGCTCTACAAATCTTGGTGACAAAGATCCAAAAGCCTTATTGTCTTTCTTGACTTGGAAAGTCGAAGAATTGACATTGTATTTTGTTGGTGGAGGAGTGGAAGGGGTTGGTAATTTAAATCTATCGACTGATGACCTGAAAGAAGAGATAATTCCATTCTTGAGATCAATCGAAGAGGTCACTGGAGAATATTGAGTACAACTTGGTGACGTTGGCTTTTTGTCCATTTCAAATTCTCTTTTAGTGGTCGTTTTAAAACTAGCAGAAACCAAATCACCATGCTTCAAGTTTGGATCCACGACATTGTACTTTGTTGGAGGTGGAGTCTCAATTTTAGGCTCCTTAAATCTTGGACTTTGCGATTTGAAAATGGAAGCAAACTCCTTCGAATCCAATGACGAAAGGTTCATGTTGTATTTGGTTGGAGGAGGGGTCAACATATTCTCTTCTTTGAATCTCTCTGCTTTAGAAGCACTCCATGGTGAAGGTTTTGACCATGATTTGAATTTCATATTCTCGGGAGTCTTCCATGAGGCTCTAACATTTTCGGAAGGAGTTTTCTTATGCTTCTTTTCTGGAAGAGTTGGGCTGTTGCTTCTAACAGGTGTTGAAGGAGATGACTTGGTGTTGCTTCCCTTAGCCTTACTGTCATTGGAATGTTTCAAAACATCTCGGGGAGAATGAACCGAGTTGGTTTTTAATGGAGAAGCAATCTTCAACTCTTCAAAGGGTTCTACCGATCTTTCCATGATAATAACAAACAATCAACAATATTGAAGAATGATCAATAATACAAGTGATGGGAAATGAAAGTATCAATGTTTGCTTTGAACCGAGTTCCCAAACAAGATTGAACAAGACAAAATATTTACGACAATGAACTTGATGTTGGTGCTCTCTCTCTGAGACAATTTCAAGAGCTCTCTTCTTGAAGGTGATGATGAAGATGAATTTTTTTCTTTTGATTTTTCTTTCGACTTAATGAAAAGAAACATCACGTCGTGTAACTGTAGATGACGAGCAGCGCTGAGAGAGGCTGTTTATGAGGGTGCTTGATTGAAAAATATTTTGGCGCCAGGCCCTATCGTCATGAGATATTATGAAAACTTATCAATCAATAAGTGTATTGAACATCTCTCAAGAGTCATATAATGTAGATTCATATAATATTATCTCTTGATTTCCGGACAAAGATTGCTGAACTATTAAAGCGAATATTAAATCTTAATAGATTAAAAAATGAAAGCCTTCTTGCGCTCGTGCAAAGACTCTCTCAAGAATAACGATTCCATTCATTCAGTGTGTATTGGAAATCAAGGTTTGTTGGTCATGATGGCATTTGTATTTTGGAATGCTGAATCGGAACGTTTGACTAAATGATGAAATGAAAATGATGATTCAATTGAAAAATATGACCATGATTGTTGAATTCATCATTGTTTAAACACCGAAACTTTTCAATTATTATTTCAATTGAAAAATTATTAGCAAGTGATTTGGATTCAATCATTTCATCCATTACATATTCGTATGCTCTTTCGAAAAAGAACAATGTGAAAACACTTCCTATTTTAAACATTCCACAAGATGAATATAATCTAAGAACTGATGCCACATGGTTTTTAGAAAAGTTTGGAGTTGGAGCCGATGATTTAATTTTCTATCATCAAAATCCAACTTTGACTAGAATTCTCGAAAAATTGACACAGGAAAATACCTTACGTGTAATTTTGACAGATCACAACAAATTAGCTCCAGAACAAGAGGATTTTCTTGGAAAGTTTGTTTTTGAAATTATTGATCATCATGCAGATGAAAAACATTATTCATCAACAGTAACACCTGAGAATCGAACCATTGAATTGATTGGTTCTACATGCACTCTGATTGCAGAGAAAATGACCGATGAATTTTTGAACAAGGAACGGGAGTTTTGTGAAGCTCTTCTTGGCACCATTTTACTAGATACTGTGAACTTGGATCCAAAATTTAAAAAGGTTACTCCAAAAGATGAAACACAAGCAAATAGACTTGCTAATATCATTTCCTTCTCCAAGAAGGATCAAGATGAATTATTTGAAAAACTCTTTTTTGAACGGTTTAATGTATCCAAGTTAAGCTCACATGATTTGTTGAGAAGTGACTATAAGGAGTGGAAAATGGGTTCGAAAATTGTTGGCGTTGCCACTGCAAAGCGATCACTCGATGAATGGTTTGAAAAAGATCCCGATCTTGTTCAATCCTTTAAGGAGTTTTTGGAGAACAGAAAGCTTGACATTCTCTACGTCATGTGTGCCTACACCGACAAGGACAATCAATTCAAGAGAGAGCTTGCCGTTTACTCTCCTGATGCGACGCATCTCCAGAAAGCTTGTGATTATCTGGTTCAACATTGCAAGGATAGCCTCGATTTGACTCCATGGTTGCCTTCTTCGAGCAAACCTATTGATCACGCTCCCCTCGTTTCTTGCTCCTTTTTCACACAACATCACATGGCATCTTCACGCAAAATCTTTGCAGAAGTGATTCGGACCATGTACGACCAAAATCTTCTTCGCTTGTAACCCACAAGGGCGACCACTTTTGAGTGCTTTGGCATCATTGTAAACTACTTTTGAGCTCCAAAATTGTCTTTGATCAAAAAAAAATGCAACAACAACCACCACAATACGGCGTTCCTCCACAATACGGCCAACCAGGTCAAGTCCCACCACAGCAACCACAATTTGGACAACCTCCACAATATTCTCATATGCAACAACCGCAAGTACCAGGACAACAAATTCCAGGACAAGTTCCACAACAACAATTTGGACAACAGCCTCAAGTTCCTGGACAACCACCACAAGTACCAGGAACCATGACTCCACCATTGACTTCACAAAGTCCACAACCTGGTCAAGTTCCTTCTCAACCTCAACAACCACCACAAGTACCAGGACATCAATCTCCACAATCTTTCGGAATGCAACAATCTCAATACGGTCAAATGCCTCCTCAAGGTCAATATGGACAAATGCCACCTCAACAACCCGGAATGCAACAATATGGTCAGATGCCCCAACAACAACAATATGGTCAAATGCCACAACAACAATTCGGTCAAGTTCCTCCTCAAGGTCAATACGGCCAAATGCCACCTCAACAACAACAACAATTCGGTCAACAAAAACCACAAATTCCAGGACAGCCACCACAACAACAATTTGGTCAAATGCCTCCGCAACAATATGGTATGCAACAATCTCAATACGGACAGATGCCACCTCAAGGTCAATATGGTCAAATGCCACCACAAACTGGAATGCAACAATCGCAATATGGTCAAATGCCACAAGGTCAATTTGGTCAAGTTCCTCAACAATACGGTCAAATGCCTCCACAAGGACAATTTGGACAAATGCCACCTCAACAATTTGGCCAACAACAACAACCATATTTCACTCCAATTCAGCAACCACACAATCCTCAACTCAAAGTTTGGTTCGATGCTGTTGACATTGATAAATCTGGACAAATATCTCCAGATGAACTGAAAACATGCTTGTCTAAGGGAGGTATGCAATTTGATCGATTGGTTGCACAAAGAATGATCAAAATGTTCGACAAGGATAACTCTGGACAAATCGGTTTCCAAGAATTTGAACAATTACACAATTATCTCATGAATATGAAGACCTCGTTTGAGAGAACCGATGTTGATCGTAGCGGAAACTTAAACTTGAATGAAGTCAAGTCAGCTCTCCAAATGTCAGGATATCAAATCAATCCTCAAGCTGTCGATAGATTGTTCAAGTGTTTCAGCAAGAACAAGCAAGCTCTCAATTTTGCTGAATTCATTGATTTCACAATCTTTATTGGAACCTGTAAGAATTCATTCCAATTGTTTGACAAGCAAGGAAATGGCATGGCCACCTTTACATTTGATCAATTCCTTGAAGCATGCTCCTACATTTCACAATAAGTGTTTGGTGTTTCAATGTAATAAAGACGATGTTTCGCTTGAATTTTGATTTCGAAAACTTGTTACATTGCACAGACGGAAACCTCATTCTATATTTAGGCGGTAGTTCTGCAGCAAGATTTCTTCTTCCCAACTTTGCTCTTCATCAAAAAATAGAACCAAGAGTGTGTTTTGGATCATCACCATTCATCGGGATCATCATCTTCGTTCAATTCATTGTACATATACATTCCTTCTTCACCATCGTCATCGGATCTTGTTGATTTTTCGTTGATCATAACTCTCGTTTAACAACATCTTCGGGATTGAGAAACAACCTCACACAAAATTGTAACATCATATTTAACCCAAGTACTGAAAAACAAAACTCATCACAAGGATGTTGATCAGAGCAAGAGGAAAAGACGGTACATTCCGTTTAGATTTACAGGCGAACCAAACTATTTTGGATGTAAAGAAATTACTTGAGGCTGAAACAAGTGTGCCCCATGCAAACATCTCAGTAAACAAATTCCGTGAAAAGAACCCTCTCAAAGATACCGCTACAGTTCAATCTTGTCTTCAACACGGAGATATGATTGAGTTTTCATATGATACCACTCAATTTAAATCAAAACAAGAAAAAGAAGAAGAAAGAAAGGCTCAACTCAGAGAGAGCGATGATTTAAATAATTTAGGTTTGAGAGAAAGAAAGAAACATTGGACATTGAATGAATATTTAGATTTAGTTAATCAAGTTAAAATTACAATCAAGCATCAAAAATATGCTATTTGTTCGACTGCTTATTTGGACCAACAAGTTGGCCAATCATTCCAACACTTTCTTGCGCAAACTAAATCCCAATTTCAACGATTTGGATTCTTGTATGGTGTAACAACTCCTGGCAAGAAACCGCAACCAAGTGAGGAAGAAAAGAAAAAGGCAAGCAAGGATGAAAATTTCAATGTAGATGACGATTATCAAGATGTCTATATTCAAGTCATGTATGAGCCAAAACAAGAGAGCACACCACAAGGCTTCACTCAAGTAGAAGATCCAATTTATAATGACAGAGCCGATACATTGGCTGCCATGTTGGGATTGAAGAAGGTAGGCTGGATTTTCTCTCATGATGGTCAGAGAGAATATCCATTGCTAGGTCCTGAAATATTAAAAGCAGCCGAGTTCCAATCCAAGTATGGACCATCATTTGTGACAATTACTGCATGTCGTAAGTATTTTTGACAAGGAATCCTTGAGAAGATTTATTTTGAATTTTTCAAAAATTAATCTGCATGACCTAATTTGATGAATTTTTGAAAACTATAGCAAATGAGGAGGGAGAACTTGTATTCGAGGCCTATCAAGTCAGCAAACAGTGTGTAGAATTATGGGAAAAAGGTTTGCTCGAACCTCACTCAACGAATCCAGAATTAATAATAACCAAAAAACAAGTAGAGGTTGAGAGAAAGATGACCAGTGAAATTGATGCCTTATTGTTGGTGAGTAATGTTGCCATTTCTTCACACAAAGGAAACTTCCAAGTTGGCTTTCCTCCAAGAAACAGACCAGGAAATGAAGTTCTACAGACCATGGATGAACTGAAAGAGGTTCTAAGAGACAGAAAGAAACAGAAATTTGTCGAACGTGTGTCAGATTTTGATTTGTTACTCTTCTTGACCGATTATCTCAGCTTAACGGTATGTTTTTCATGAAAACGCGATTTCAAAGAGTGTAACCTTGTGCATGATGAAATGCCAATTTCTAATCTCATTTGTATTTCATTTTCACACTCCCCACAGTCTGACTTCCCTGATTTGTGTGAAGCTGTATGCTCACAAAACAATGCAAGAGCGTCCGGTTTTGAGGCTCTCATCAATGCTTACTGTGGCATTCACGAGTAAAGAATAAGGATTCGTTGATTCATCCTGTTTTGTCTAACAAGTTCTTGCGAGTTCAATATTTTACAACGACTATTATTAGTTTTTTATTTTTCAACTGGAACCAAACTAAAATTCAACCATTCAACAACACAAAAAAAGCTCAACACACAACATGCGTTTCTACGGTTCTCTTGCCCGCTCCGGCAAAGTCAAATATCAAACACCACGTGTCGAACGAACAGCTTCCCGTCGATACAAGGGAGGTCGTTCCAAGTTTCGAAAACATGCTGCCTCCAATATGGAATATAAAAGTGGAGCTCATCGATCAGAGCAAGTGACCAATAACAGCAGCAACAACAACACACCCAACACATCTTCTCGTATTCCCGATCAATTAGACGCAAGAATGAATGAAACTCAAGCTCCCTATTTTCTCATGAATAGTTATCACAAGTACAACTCTCCGAAAGGATTTGAACGAACAGAATTCATTGCTGAAAAACTTGAAATCAAACGCGATAAGATGTATTATCTCTATCATGCAGATCTTCGTGGCGATGCAAGAAATCATAAAAAGTGGCATCGAAATCATCCACAAGATGGTTTTTATCAATTCAGAGAAACTTTTGATTTTGCGAATGAGCAAGATTTGGACGATTTGGAAATCTTTCAATATTTTGAAAATCTCACACTTCACCAAGTTTTGGTATGATGCAATTCATTGAGAGCAAAGATCATTGGATCGTACAAAATCTTCCTGGAAATTCATTATCAACAAAGGTACTTCCTTAATGTTACAGGAACTTGGGATTCCTTTTTAGTGGCAGTGGTCGACGAATTCTCGCATGATTCAGAACCAAAAGGTTGTTGAAGAAGCAGGCTTATAAAGTAATATATTACTTATATTCACTGATTGATCAACAATACACATAAAATTTTTGTACTCTTGTTCCAACACCTCTTTATGAATTGTAAGCAATTGTGGTTCGGCATTATGAAGTTTATGCACTTCAGGAGAAAGAGGTACTAACTCATTGTGCTGATTATTTGTTGAGTGACAATGAATCCAATTGGGAGGCTAAATCCCCTTTCCATGTAAGTACAACCATATTCTCCTCTTTACGGACCTCAATATTGTCTTTCAAACATAAACAAATGAAAATGTTAGCTGTTTTGTTGAACTTTGGGACGATGAACGATTTCTGAGAGTCAATACCTTGTTCCTTCAAAACGCGTTCATAATTCTCATTATCAAGAACATCATCTACGTTGATATGAAATTCCTCCTTACTTTCCTTTTTGGCAGTTGACAAGTCATTTTCTTGACGTCCACCGTTGGTCATACTGATGTTAGCACAGCTTCTATAGCCAGAGAGACATGAATTAATGCTCAAAGGTTCCACGCCAATCAAATAATACTTGTCTTTTAAACATTCAATTTTTGAATAATGTTCATAAACTGGTTGGATGAGGTCACCAACTCCAACCTCCTCACACAAACAATCAGCGAAAACGGTGCCCCCAAATAACTTTCTCTTGTTGTTTCAAAATATATTCGCGTGTATTATTATCAATGTCAACACTACCAGGTGGAACTCTCATGGGAACGGATTTGATATGGATGAACTCCAAATCAGCCAAGTAGCCCGCCACTCCTTTGCTTTCAAAAACATGACGACAGTGTTTAATCACATGAAAATTGAAAAATTGTCAATTTTAATCAAATTATTGTTTTTTAAAAAATTGTTAAAAACATACAAAAAATTTCTTCATTATGGAACTTGGATTCCTAAACCTAAAATTTTGTTTCAATCTCAAAAGCAAATTCCACACGAAATGTATGACATATTGGAAAGCTTAATTGATACTCTTGAATAAAATTTGTATTCATTTGGAAAAGACTTACTGCAAAATCCACCTCAAGGTAGTCGAATTGATTGCCTGGGGTATCCATCAACACTGTAATATGGTCCAACATGGGAAAAACAGTGATAGCTTTACCATTTTGAGGATGAATAAATGTATTGAAATTACAAAAACATTTCAATATTCAAGTTTCAATAAATTTAGCCTTCCTACCTTTAACTCTCTGATCTTCATGCATTGTTTATTATTCATTCGTATGATTATTAAACTTTTTTGTCTTTTGTTTTGACAATTTTCTCAACTTGTACAGATACTTTTCTCTTGCTTCTGACTTGACATTTTCAGGAAGCATTCGAAACGCTTCACTACCCGAAAGCTCTGTGTAATTTTCTGAAATAATCTTGACACAATGATTACGAATGGAAATGTCATTATAAACATCTGCCAAAGCCACAAGTTCTAATGCATTTTCGACTGTAATATGGTCACGCACAATGCCTCTGGCATGATTGGCAACTTCATTCAATTGGAAGAGCAATGCACAAAGGAGTACTTCAATGGCCGTATCAATCGAAATGACAATTTGATTCGTGTATAAATATTTCAAAACGCATAAAAGACCTTTGAGTGAAATTTCGTTGAATTTGATAATTCCAGTCGTGGATTCTTCCATCTTTGAGGAAAATACAGCTTCCATGTATGAGGATCGAGATAAGAAGATTTTGTGAGCTCTTAATTGATGTACTACTTGATGAGTGTGAGGATCTAAAATTTGAATGGTCACATCGGCGTAGGAATTTTCAAAACTTGGCTCTGAGAGTGTATGGTTGTCAATCGTTTGTTCAACTTGTGAATATAATTGGTTAAAATCTCTTTTCAATTCTCGTAAAATCTGTGCTGATGAATCCATATAAATCTTTTTTCGATGTGAAATGTCAGAAAATATTTCATGCTTGGGATAATCAAATTTTGATAATTCTACAATTTCTTGTAAACATGATTCTTCCACGTCTTCAGGTAAAATTACATTTCCAGTATAGAGGAATGTCACATAAACTTGCATGGCATCTAAATGATACTTGTCAATATTCATGACCATTTTAGTTCCATCTTCTGAATATTCTACTTGTTGAGAATCCATTTCTTTGAGTAATTTCTTAAAATATTCACTTCGAGTCATCAGAAGAGTTCGATGTCCATAGAGGTAATGTGATTCACCATTGAGACGATCTGCCACTCTCAGTACAAGATCATAATTCTCTAAATCTCCTTGTTTTTGTTTTGAAAATTGATGTTTAAGATAGACATAGGCACTATTTTCAACACCATCATCTAAGGTATGATGAAGGAGTGCTGCATGTGGTGCATATTTTCGATTTTCCAAGTCACACAAACCACCTACGAGTAAAATATGGTCATGAATTGCAATACTGAAATGGTATGCTCTTCCAGCAGCACACACAAGAGCATCCTGATGGTTTGGCATGACGACTGAAAATGTTTCCTTGTGGACATTGTATCGATACAAGACGTCACCAATTTTGTTATTTCCTAAAATACCACCACTCAAATAAATATACTTTCCCACAGAACACATGGAGTGATTTCTCATGGGAGGAGGAGAAAAGCTCAAATCAATCTCAATCCACAGTTTTGCACTTGTGTTGTAAATATGTAAATCATTTAACAATTGATGAGTTTCCATATAGTTTCCTCCATAGATGAAAATCTTATCATCGACTTGACATTGAGCATGATTTTCTCTCGGTAAAGGAGGTCTTTCACTCGATACTAATCGTTGTTTCAAACCAATGCTGGTATAGCTTGCTCGACCCAACTCAAATTCTACCAATTGATTCGTGACTTGTTTGGTTTCCAAACTTCGTCCTCCAAAAATCCAAAACTTGTTTTGAAAAGTACTATATGAATAATTGGTCGTGTAATCAATGGTGTCATATGCCTCTATGGCCACAGGACACCATTGTCGAGAAAATGCAGCGCCCTCTAGATTCAAAGAAGGTGAACGTATGAAAAAGAAATTGGTCCAACTGGCCCAAATCAAATTACCACTGAGTTCGACGAGAATGTGATCCTTTGTCGGTGGTGGATTAATAATGTCATTTCTACACAAGTAGCTGTAATAACCATTGTAAATTTCTGTAAAATTATGCCATTTCTTGTTGTGAATATCAAAGGCTAGGATTTGTTGATAGGCATTTCCATGCTTTTCTCCTCCTGACAGGAAAATGTATTGAGACGACAAACATCCTACTATATTTGAAAGTGCCAAGTCATAACTCATGTCCACCACCTTTGCTTGAATCGAATCTCTAGATGATTTACTAGTCTTGGCTGTTGAACTCAAATGATCGACTTTTTCATAAATTAATTTATGAGATTCAACATATCGTACGGGAACTTTGGTAATGATACTTGTCTTTTCATTCATCGTGAACTTGTGGTACGTATGATTCCATTGTTCCAATTGTTGTTGAGAATGAAACATCTTGTCTTGATACTGTTGAGCCTCCTCTTGATCAATATATTCAATCACACGTTCAGGCTTCTTTTTTGAGCGCGACAAGGAGGGAACAATGTTTTTCAAGGAAGGTTTCGGAGGAAATAGTTGAGGATGGGACCAAGAGGTGATCAATCCGCTGAATTTGGGAGAAGTTGGTTCATATGGAACTGTTTCATCATTTTCTTCTGAAGTTACTAATTCTTCTTGATTTTCATTGTATGGATCTTGATCGGAATAAGAGTCTTCATCATTGGATGATGAATAATATTCATCTTCATTGTCATCATCGTCACCATAAAGTGCCGCAAGATATTGAGACATTTTTTTTTTGATTTCTTGCTGAACAAGTTCACGAGTAAATGAATAATGCATTAGATGATGACACTTCAAGGTTGAAATTGATGAATTGAGAACATTCTCCTTTTAAAAGTTTCGCATGAACTCAATTTAATAATGGTTCATTTTTCTTTTGCATCCATAAGAATTTAACAAATTCAACAAAGAAAGTTGGGAGTTTAAACCACTTGTTCAACACTCTAGAGTTTTTTGTGTAAACTGTTTGTTGTGACTACATTAGTAGTTTCTTCCTCGAATAGCTTCTCTCAATTTATCATCCGTCTTAGTCTTATTGTACCTACAAATTGGATAAACAATAAAGAGAGGTAAGAAGAAGGACCAAGCTCCCTTTTCAATGGTTGCTGCAACTCTCTCCTTTCCAAGTCCTCTAAATCTATAATTTACGAATAATGTAACTGGAATTGAAATACCAGCAGAAATTAAACTCGCATACGAAAAACATTTTGTTCCAAATATCTTGTAAAACATTCGGAAGACGTTAAAATCCTTCATTTGTTCATCCGTTAATGCTTTTCTAAATTCACTCTCTTCAAACATTTCCGCTGATTTTGATTTCGGAACAGGCTCCACCACACTCAAATCATTTGGCAATTCTTGTTGTGGTTCTTCCGAAGAATTTAAAAATCCCAACAATGAATTTTTATCCTCAGTTTCTCTTGGATCCTTAACTCCTGGTTTTAATCGGTAATATACAGGGGCTCGGAGCTCGAAATTCTTTTGTGGGATTTGAAGTTTGTTCGTGATGTAGTCCTCAATTTGGTCTCGATTCATTTTTTGTGTAAAACAATCTTCCTGAGAACAACTGAAAAAAATAAATACAACTTCCTACTAAGCTTTCAGTTGTTGGATTTACTGAAATGAATACAACTTGAATCATGAACAACACTTTTTCAAAGGCTCAACAATTTATATCCTGTCTACAATCATGAAAAGCAGACACCACTCGTCAAAATGACATCAATTCCATCCACATTCAACAACAAATTCAACAATTTCCAAATCACGTTTCGAACATGCATAACATAGTCATTAATTGTCGTTCTAACAGTACTTGCATTTCAACTGCAATAAGCTCAAGTGACAATCTTGATGAATGGAAACGACGAAACAAGAAACTCGAACAGAAAGTGAAATCTCTTGAAATGAAACTGTCACAACAAAAAATGGAACACAATCAAGACAAGTTGCAATTAATCAAACAACTCTCTGAACAGGAAATGAAAACAAAGGAATTATTCGATCATCTTTCACAATATCAACAAGAGAATGCTCAATTGAAATCAGATCTTGAGTACAAACATGGTTTACATATCGATTCATTCATTCAATATCTCAAAAGTGAAATTAAGAATATTCCATTGTCAAATAATCACATTCCTTTATATTAGAAAAATTGACAAACTTGAAAAAGAATTGAAAGAATGTGAACAAGATTTATTTAATTGGATTCTCAATGATCAACAATCTTTGAATTGCTCTCAATGCGAGTATATTGCTGATTTGAAATCTTGTGTGAATGAACTCCTGCAAAAGAGAAATAATCTCAGAACTGAATTACTTGCAGAATATGAGAATTATGATCGTGTATTGAACAAAATGACCATTCTTTCAAAGAAAATGAAATTCATCAAGATTTATGATGCATCCATGAATGAAATATCTGAAGAGGACAAGACTTTTACTCATTCTCTGGAGCTGTCTGTTAAATCTCTTTATTTACAAGGTATTATTGGACAGAAGAAAGAAATTGAAAATATTTTGAAAACGTTCAAAGAATTACAAGAAAAAATTGAAAGACAAGCGATTCAAACCCTCAATGTGACTCAATTAAGACAATTGCATTTTGAAGTGTTGGATGAGGAAGATCGTGAAAAATTTATTTCTCAATTTTTGAACATGTTGAAATGGTCTGTGGATGCCACTCAAGAAGATAGATAAAAATTTGATGAATTTCAGTATAAATTTACTTATTCAGATACGCCTTTGTTCTCACCTTCTTGCACTGGAGTACTTTCATTGTGATCATCTTCGAGTTTATCACAGGGTGGACTATTATGCTCGTCATGTGGAGATGCATATTCCCTTCTATGGATAGTATCAATGGCTTCATCTTTGGAATTCGTTTCTGGTGTTGGAGAAAAATATTCCTTCTCAATTTTAGTTGATTCTAATTGAATTTTGATTCTCAACAAATCCAGTTCGTTCGAATCATGCTCCATAACCATTCCCAAACGTTTCGATCGGTATTTGGACATTTTCTCAGTTTCATGCCCATGATCATTGAGAGAACTATTATTGTCAACAACAGACAGAACCATTTGTCTGTAGTCATCGTTCAGTGAGTTAATATTACACATTTTGTCGGCAAATTGTCGAATGATACGAGGTGAGATTTTCATCTCGTTCATGGTAAAGCAAAAACTGCTCAGTATACCAAAAACAACATTTTCATGTTCTGCTTGCCATTGTTGGCTATCCACTTGATTACTCGTTTGTCTATTTAGCTTTTCACTGTTTAGAGCGTCATAGAGGCAATATTCCCAAAATCTCAGGTCTTGCCAACAGTCCATATCATCGAGAATTGAGTAAACAAATATTTTCTTCTTTTCTTTGGGTAGTGTAGAGTTCTCGGGTAAGTCAGGATAATCATTACCATAATAATAAAATGTTTGTGTCATGTTTAAAATTAATCTTCCAACATTTTGATCAGATTGTGAGTGAGCCAGGTCCAAACAATATCCCATTAATTCTGCGAGATCTTGGAAATAATCAAACTTTGTGAAGCATGCTTTTGACCGTTTTTGATTGAGAACTTTACAAAATCCAAGCCTACATTTCTGGGATTGGCTGAGGCGGTTTTTGGTTTCAGTTAACATGGACATGTATTTACTGTCCACAATTGGGCGTACGATAATGTTCTCCGAGTCATTGGAAGATGTCCCCTCTGAATTCTGCGGTGGCTCTGCATTGAGAAGAGACTCCTGAGTAGACAATTCTGTGGATTCGTCTTTCTTCCAAATTTCGTTCAAAACATTTTCAAAGTAAACAGTATCGTCGTCTCGTTCTTGGCTGTACACAGAAATAAAAGGTGTAGTATTGCTAGTACTACCAATACTCGATGATGAATTTGACTTCTCAAAACTGTGGGAATGATCTTCCTTGTGACGCTTTGGCTCCTCGACATCAATTTTGAATGAAGTCAAATAGGTTTGTATGTCGTTCAACTTCATTGAATCAACACATTTTTTAAATGTATCTAAATTATTTTGAGCCTCTATTACTCTTGCTTCTAATAATTTGGTTAAGTGTTGCATATAAAGATGAATAATGGTTCCGTTTTCTGTGTATTGTTCACACAATTTATCTGACATGGCTTTAAATTGTGGTTGAAGTGAATTATGAACAAGCAAGTCATACTTTTTCTTGGATTGTTGCAATTCAATCTCACTTTCTGAATATTCCTCTAAATTTTGTTCATCTTGTTAGAGTAATTATAAAACACAAGGCGACGGCGCAGTGTAAAAGCTTTAAATTAACAAACACAAAACTGTCAAAAACACTTACATTTGGACTTTGTTTGTTCGTTAGAAAGGGAGGTAAAAGTGCTGAGAATAGAGGCTGCCATTGATTCATGTTTGTTTGACTTTTCTGACTGTGACTGAGAAAGTGCTAACTTCCATTTTCTTTCTGCATTTTCTAAGTTTTGACGCTTTTGGTCATTGTTTTTCCGTTTGTGTTGGAGGTCATTAAGAGCATTGTTATGTGTTTTACAAATATTGTCATGTGTTTGATTGAAGAGCTTCTTTTTCTTGTTGAGATCCTTGTAGATTTGTTGTAGAGGTTCACAAAGGAAGTTTTTCACATCTCTTGTGAATCGATCAGAGCTTTTAGAATTTTTGTAGTAGAAACTTCTACATGAATTGAGCATCTTACCCAATTCTCCTTGAAAATAGGAGTCAAAATTATTGCTACATTCATTAGCAATTTTTTGTTGGTAGTTCTCTTCAATATTACACACATTCTGCAAAAATGAAATGGTCTTGGATAAGCCAGAGAGTTGTGAACCAAAGGTGTCTTTCATTAATTTTTCAATTTTTTCATTGCTCGATATAAATAATTGTTGGGAATGTGGAATGTATGTACTCGATGAATTGGTAGGTGGGGACGTAACATGTGAGGTAAAACTTTGAATTTGACTTGTTGAATTACCGCCAGCATATCCAATATTTCCTGTTGGCAATTGTCGGGGCATATTGAAAGTCTTTAAAGCAGCAGAAGTGTTGGTACCATTGTTGGTGGTTTCCAAATGTGTTGGAGGAGATCCTCTTCTTGGACTGCTTTTTATCACAGTACTACCATCTTCATTGTTCATACCTGTATATGTATTCGGAGATGAAGTAGGTGGTGTTATTGAAATATTATTATTGGTACTATAACTCTGATGATAATTATTTGCAACTTCCAAAGCACTTCCATCATCTTCCGTAATACTCCTTCTCATCGTACTCGTAGTGGTTGGTCCCATAGGTAACCTCTCATCATCATCATCATCATCGGTTGATTTTCCGATCGAGCCTCTCCGTCTCGTGGATATTATGGAGAGAGGGCTTTGACGAGGAAGGCTTGACATTTTTTTTGTTTTTGAAATCCCCGATTTGGAAAGTGAATGGAGTTCTTGTTGAGGTTTCATGTTTGGACGAATCATGTAACGTTAAAGAAATGGTTCGAACGAACAGAAAGGAATGTAATGACTCTGAAAAGTAATTTGAAAAGTTGTTGTAACTTTGAATTTCTATGGTTTTCACGATCGCAGAAAAATCAAAGATTTACAATTGATTCCAAACCATTTCAATGTTTGTATTCTAATGGAAATCAATTCCCGTCATCTCAATACAAACCCGCCCGTTCGACATCATGTCACTTCAATCTTGTATAACTCCTCGAACCATTGTACTATCATTTACTGGTTGTAGTTCAGTAAGTATTTACCAAAATTTAAAAACAAACCAACAACCACAAGCATGACTTGTCTCCAAGGTGTGTGGTGGTCTCGCCATTCCAGTATGAGAGGTCATCATTTCCTCGTCCTTACAAGCTTCTCTCTCCTCTTGATGTTCCTCTTCATATGTTGTTGTTGTATTCAGGAATCCCATCAATGGGCTCCAACTCCAGAGTTATTACAAGCAGAAACTGAATTTATCAAACAATTCGGAAAGACCAAGAAGGAGAAGAGAATGTTGATGAAAGCCTTTCGTGTGTTGAAACGTTGGGCTAAAAAGAAACATCTCATGCATCGAAACATGTATGAATTGGAGAGAGCATTGAATCAGAGAGGAATGGCTCATACCTTGTTTTTGCATCATATCGTCGAAAAGGTCAAGAAGAGTACGGATCAAGTCATTTCCAAAGTCAAGTCTGAAATTTCAAAGGCTCAACAGTTTTTCAATCCTCCCATTCCCAAATATGATGGTCCTTTCTATAGTAAGGGATCGTTGGCAACATGGATGAATGATTTGGTGTTGTTTATTGGAGATTTGCCTTTGAATAATCTCCTCATTCCTGGAACTCATGATTCTTTCACTTCCAAGATTGTTGCTGAATCCAAGATTGCACCAAATGCTGAGGAACCAATCAAAAAGCTGAATAATGTGTTGAAGTTCTATCCAAAGAATGTGGCCAATACAGTTATTGCTAATTGGGCTCGAGCTCAGTCACAATCTGCGTATAACCAATTGGTAGATGGAGTTCGATATTTGGACATTCGTTTGTGCAGAGATAAGGAAATCAAAGATAAGGTTCAAATGTTGAAAACTTGTCACACATTCTTTGACAGTCCCATTGAACCAATTTTAGACAACATTGCCACCTTCTCCAAGACAAAGGGAAAGAAGGAAATCATCATTCTTGATTTTAATCATCTCTATGATATGGACGATAGTGACCATGAATATCTTTTCAAAGTATTGAAAGCTAAATTCGGTAACTTGTTGGCCGATTCTACCAAATTCTCTCCCAACTCTTCACTACGAGAATTCTGGAGAACGACACAAAGAATAATTGTTCTCTACGACAATGAAAATGCCGTCAAGAAATCTCAAGGATTATTATGGCCACAATCGAAAATCAATTCACCTTGGCCCAATGTTCAGACCACTACTGATCTCTATGACAAGTTGTCAAAGAGTGCACAAAGTAGAAGTGACACTGACAAGCAATTCTTTGTTTCCCAAGGTTTGCTTACACCTAATGAAAAGACCATTGCTGCTGGTCTTATTGCAAAGCCAAAATCACTTCTCGATGCGGGTGACTTGTGGAATCCTGTCGTTGCTAATTGGATTGCGTCTGGTTCACTCCCAAGAAAGAAGTTGAATATTGTGATTGTCGATAATTATAGTCCTCTCTTTGTTGCCACTTTGGTAGAAAAGAATAGAAAGAAAATTTAGAATGTGCCTTCTGATATTGGTTGACTAAATCATGAACGGAGTTTACATTTTCAACAAACAAAATAAAAATACCAAATTCAAACTAAATATTGTGAAATTTGTGAAATTAAAAAAACCAAATGTCATCATGACGGACTCGGGACCAGAAAATCCTCCTCCATACATTGAATGTTTTTACTGTAAAACACATCAACATGTCGTCTTTGATGATCTGCATGGTTATGCCATTTGTACCCATTGTGGTTGGGTGTGTGATTCCATCATGACGTTTCGGAACCATGTGACCCATGACCAAACAACATCCCAATATTCCTTTCATACCTATTTGAATGATGATAAAAAGTAATTCAAAATTATGTGTTTCCTAAATTATGAATCAGATTGACATTGAATTTTTTTCAAGTGCGAAAAAGGTGAAATTAATGAAATTTCAAATAAATTTTAATTGCATTGTAAAAAAATATCAAATTCGTGCCCCTTGCATTCCATCATCATCAACAGCTTCTATGAATCGACCATTACCCCTAATGCCTGATCCACTCGTTCCAAGTAGGTATCGTCCCCCTCCTCATTTAAATCCACCTTCTTCTGCTCCGATCCAATGTTCTTCATCATCGTTGTTTAATTATTCATTCCGAATTCAGTTAATGCTTCAAAAGCAATCCATGTTCAATCCGTTGCTTTGTAGTAATTGTGCAAGCGATGAGAATGTGTTACAGGATCGTTCCGAAGGTACTATGGTGTGTCGGGCTTGTGGTCTTGTTGTGATGAATCATTTAATTGATTGGAATGAAGAAGAAAAGAGAGATTTTAAGGATGAGAATGCGCTCCATGAATCAGAAGCCTCGCATTCACGAGTGGGACAGTCATTGTTTGACATGGATGAAAATACTGTGATCATGATGACAACAACAGGTAATCGTACCAATAGTGGAGATTTAACTTTGGGAACTCGAATTGCAAACACAACTCATGCAAACAAACAATTCATCCAACTAGGTTCGAAAAATTTGGAGCGAGAATTTCTTTTGGAGGGTTTTACAAAGATTTCGGATATTATGTTGAACCAGTTGAATTTGGAATCGAAACATACATTTCGAGTGAAACAATTGCTGAAAATTTTGTACACAAATCACAAGCACAAATTGAATAAGAAGACACTTCCAGAATGCATTGGTGCATGTTTGTATTGTGGTCTCAAGGCAGAAGGAATTGCAAAAACGATCAAGGAATATTCTGTCTTGTTGCAAGTGAAACTGAAATCATTGAACACATGGATCTCGTTGATCAATAAGGACGCTGATACACGACAATTGATTCAAACAGAAAAGTACAATTCACCACAATCCTATGTTGAGAAATTTGCAGATGATTTAAAGTTATCTACCAAAGTGAAATACCAAATTGTGGAATTTATTGAAAAACTAATGACCTTTCAAGATCATGACGAAATGGCTAATGCTTTAATTGGAAAGAGTCCTGCCACAATAGCTGCCGTTTGTATTTTATATGTTGGAGAGAAGGATCAAATTAAGGACATTAATTTGGACAGTATTGAGGGAGTAAGTGGAATTACGAAACAAACCCTCTCTAGATCTCTAAAGTTATTAAATAAGTAAATTATTATTGTATCATCCCTCAGGCTACTAATTGCGACATTTTTTGGTAACTCTATCACAAAGTCTTTACAAAGATTCTGATATTCGAATACTCTCCGTTACGTTTTCTCACATCCATCTTATCAACTCTACCTTCAAGGAAATGAGATTGGCCAGAGCATAAACTCCCTCATCAGTTCTATCGAGCCTTAAATGATCTGGATTTACATAATTACTTTCTTTTACAAGATTGGGTTTGAAACCCAGATCGAAACGCCCAGCAGCTGCTTGAAATAGTTGGTCTGAAACCTTTCCACTCCTCATTGATGCTCTGTAACCATTTGGTATTAAGTATCAAAGTTTGTGTTTAATAATAATCCTTGTCGTGTCCATGGTGGCTTGACATTTCAGAAAGGATCTAAATCGGAATTCTACATTCACTCTCGATTACTTCTCAAAACAAGCCAACACCTACCAAACAGGTCTGGAATTAATGCAAATTTTCACCAAAAAAGAAGTCCCATTACTGTCGTTGGAAAACCATTACTGGAGGACTGTAAACGGTTCGTTAAAAACTGTAAACGAAACAAAAGTCGGCCAATTGTTAAAATATCTTTAAAAGCGCCTCAGCTCTTCTAAAAATTTACCGAATTCGATACCAATTGTAATTGAAGTTTGTTCATGAAAGTTTTTGTGACGTTTCAGTCCTTCCGTTGTAATACGGCAAAATAAAATTTCAAATAATTGCAACCTCTCATACGCAGAACAACCACAGTGAGAGTAACAAATGCATCCCTTCAAACAATTCATTGAGTGTGAAAACTCAAGTTGGCAAGTTTAACACCTTTTCGAGCTTTCAACTGTCATTTTTTTACAAAAATGTTCATGGGCGAAATTTTGTTTGAAACACTCCTTGTTATTTTTGATCCAAAAATTTCTAGACGATTTTTTCCAGAACAACAACTCCGAAACATGCCTCACTCTATTTCCAACGTTCAACTTTCTCTTTTGAAGAAAAAACAACAATACTACCAACACGTAACAATCAACAACAATCAATACAATACTATCAACACGACATCAACACGACATTGCACACAACTTCTCTGGAAACACAAGATATCACCATCCTCCATTACCCGATTTAGAAGAAATTCAAAAAAATTACAATGACCAACCTCATGAAGAAATTGATGGTCAAGATTGCAACGAACCATCATACCGTGAAAGCTAAACCCGTACCAGCAAATGAAGGAATATCAATGGATGAAAAGCCTTTTGAACATGATGATGTATCTTCCATCTATGATGAAACGAATCAAGAATGGATTACTCAACACAATCCTCTCTTTGATTGTAACTTTGCAACCTTGTTAGAGATTACGGATGGAGTTATGAAACCCCAATGGACCACCACCTCTTCTAATTCTTCTAATCATCATCATCATCATACTTTCCGAATTCCTTCCTATTTGAAAACAACTACGACTTCCTGTAACACAACAACAACAACCATAACAACTCGGAAACGAAGAGGCTCTTCCATTCTCTCACTCGCCCAACATCCTTCTCAAGGTTGTTCTTCTCCTTCTCCTCGTTTTGTAGCCAAGATGGAATTTGAATCGGATTGGCAAGTTCAAGAACATTTCATGGCCAAGTTTGAAAGTGTGGAGAGATTGAGTCGGAAACCCAACTCGTGTTTGTATCAAGTCAAACATTCGGAACATGATTCAACTCGAAGAATTTTGAGACTCATTCAAGCAGAGAGTGCCTCACATGCCAAACAATTAGTTGACTCACTTGTGAATATTCAATCCAACATTATGCAACACGAATGTTTTGTGCAAATACATGATGTTTGTATGGTGGGTGAAACGACAGTTGCTGTTGAAATGGAATATATTGAATTGGGAGATTTACAAACCTTCTTGGAAGAGGAAGGATTGTTCTTGTCGGATGAAATGGTTCAACAAGTCATTGTTCAAGTGTGTCACGCTCTTCAATTATTACAAGAGAAGAAAACACCATTGACTCATGGTCAAATTCGACCACAAAATATTCTCATTCGTTCGTTTAATGATGACACAAATGAAATTAAGATTGCCTTATCAGACTTTGGATGGAAATCACCAAATTTAAATCGATCGAGTCGAGACAAACGATTTGTCATTCCATCCAGCAAGTTAATTTCCACTTCCTCTGAACTTTCTAACAAGGACAACACTAACATGATTGCTTGTGAAATTTTCCATTTGGGTGTTTCATTGTATCAACTTTGTAGCCGAGACAAGGAAGTCATCCTGTCTCAACTCTATGAACAACAAGATCTCGATGAGATGAGTGTACGAGAAGCGTTAGCAGCTCGCTTAACCAAACACTATCAATATCGAGCAGAAGTTGTCGATGTGATTTTGCAAATGATTTCTCCTATTGGAGACAATTTTGGTTCATTGACTGTGAATGGTTTGTTGTCCAGCCTTAATATGGTGGCACCACAGTCAGTGTGAGTATTTAGTCGACCATCTTTTTTACTTCTTTTCAATTTTGCGAGTGTGTAAATAAACCGAGTTTTAAATCTTTCAATACAACTTAGGTTTCAGACTTTTGAAATAATTCGCGTCCGAGTCAATCGAAAAACCCTCCAACACCATGACGCAACACAATTACAGAGAAGAGAAACACAAGCAATAGAACCAATGGTGCAACGTGTTATTTTGAGCGTACAAAGACAAGAGAACGACGAATGTATTCCAATTTCCTCAACTAAGAAAGTCAGCTCTTCTGTAATTTTGTAACAACTAACAACAAGAGCTACTGGAACAAGACGAGCTGTTGCAGTCAGTATCGCTGCAAGTACTGCTCTGAGAAGAACTTCCTTTGGAGCAATCAAACATGCCATAATGAACTGACCGATCTCCAATGATTTCAAAATATGGAGCTAACCATGAAGGCTTTGAAAGCATACTTGCTGTGTTTCCACATACTAATACTGGTCTGTTTCTCTCGAAGACGTGTTTTCCATCCAATACATAGGCATGCTTGTATGCTTCGTCCATACCATTGGGTCCTCCTCTGTAAATGGCTACTTGTCCGTAGTCTTCACATTGAGGTTCTAAATCATCGAGTTTAAATAAACGATAGGTAATGGAATAAAATTTTGCATTTCCAAGTAATTCTTTCAATTTGAAATCATGAATTTTGATTTCAGAGCGAGTGACTTCTCGTGGATCAGAAAATCCAATCTTCTTACATAACGCAATAAAATCATTAATATATAATGCTCCGGCAATACATTCTCCGAACAGTAGCTCATCACTTCGAACATCAGAAGACAATCTTCTGTCACAATAAACATCTGAGAAAATAAATTCTCCACCAAATTTAAGAGAATTATAAACTCCAGACAGAACAGCCGTCTTATCAGGTGACAAATTTACCACACAATTTGAAATGATAATATCAATCGAATTTTCTTCAATTCCTGCCTCCTTTAAATTTTCAATAAAACCCTTCTTGAACTCCATAGTTGCAACATCTCCAAATACTTCCTTTAATTTGTCAACATTTCTTCTAGCTACCTCGAGTTGCTCCTCAGTCATGTCCACTCCAATACATTTACCACTCTTTCCGACAAGCATGGAAGCGAGATATACATCCCGTCCACTACCACTGCCCAAATCCAAGACGGTTCTACCTTGTATACCACCCAAAGGAAGTGGAGAACCACATCCGTAGTATTTACTCAATACTTCATCGGGAATTTTCGAGAGTAGAGCCTTCATGATCGGATGAGGACTCGATGATGAAGTACATGCGGAGGTTTTCAAATCTTTGGAGGTATTCAAAACCTTTCCATAATACTCCTGAACGCTCTGATAGACCGCATTCGACGATTGGTACTGTAAACCGGATTGATTTTTCGGAGTGAGTGTTGATTGAGAGTTTTTGCCACCACAACAAGACATTTTTTTTAAAATTTTTTTAAAAAGCACAAGATCCTTTTTAGAGCTCCACAACAACAAGTCTTTTTTTCAGGGTTTTGCTGTTGTGAACAACATCGTCTCAACATTGGATTAAGACTGGGTTGTTCATTCCAGAAGGGTTTCGCTCCAGACTCTGGAGGAGAATAAAACGCCTAATTTTTTACACCGAAAAATCACTTCCACTTTTTAAAAGAACAACACAACAAAAAAAAATATTGTCTTTCCTGATCATCATCATCAGCACATTCATCATCATCATTGCAGTTACATCTTCACAAAATGTCATCGGAGGACAATAAAAAGAATGATCAAAAATCACTTTCTGGTAGTTTCGGAAATTATCAATACTCTTTAGAAGAACGAGATTTCCTTCAGAGAGAATTATTGAAAAAGCTCGACAGTGATTCCATTTCAAAGAGACCAGGTCCCAATGGACGTGATGTTCACTATGTTGAAACCTGGAGAGCCATAGAATTGGCAAATTTAATTTTCGGATTTAACGGATGGTCTTCAAGCATTATGGAAATTAATAATGATTATATCGAGGAAACAGCACAAGGAAAATTCAATTGTGGAGTATCGGCTATTGTCAGAGTGAGTTTAAAGGATGGATCATTTCATGAAGATATTGGATATGGAACCAGTGACAATCAAAAATGTAAAGGAGCTGCCTATGAACAAGCAAAGAAATCTGCAGTGAGTGATGGTTTGAAGAGAGCTCTCAAAAACTTTGGAAATGCATTGGGCTTGACCATTTATGATCGTGAACATATCAAACAAATTAGCAAGCCACAGCCCAAGAAGAATCCAGCAAACAATCAGCCAAAACCTGTGAATCCTTACTTTTCACAAAGTCCTACACAAGCTGGAATGGTCTCGCAAGCATTACCATCAGCCTCTATCACTCCAACACAACAGCAATTGGAATCGATATCTTCATCGGTGGAGGTTAGTCAGCCATTGGTGAGTCACCCAATGAAGCAAGAGGAAGCTAATCTTCAATTGGATGATGATATTGATTTGGACAGCTCAGGTCTAAGCTCAACCAATGGAACACCATCTACATCTGCAACGCCACCTGTGTTCCAGAAGCCATCCGCTATGGCAGCGTCCACTCCAATTGGAAATACCCCACCTGTATTCCAAAGGCCAAAAAGACCAAATGAGGTGATGACTTCGTCCCCTCCAAACTTCCAACCTTCTCAAAAGAAAACTAAGCCCTAATTGTAAATATTTGCAGTAAACGTTAATTTCAGATACAACAGTTTTGCTTGATGCTATGTAACAAAAGAATGACTTATTTTAACACCAAAGTGTAGAACTTTACTTTTATCATTTCTCGAGAAAGATATGATTCAATTACTAGTGCACAGAATCTAGTTGAGTTGTAACAATAAATAAATGTGGTAATTGTGACACCGTCATGCATGAAGAGCCTGAAAGAATTTCGTCACCAAAAAAGCTGCAGTTAATTAATAATCGTCATCATCATCGTCATCCAAATCAAATGCAGATCTTCTATTCGATGATGATGCACCAACTGTGCTCGAAAAGTCACCAGTGAATTTAAATCCGCTATCTCCAGCAACACGAGCAGATGGTGGTTTTTTCATTTCAGTTTTAAGAACTCCGAATTGTGCCAAAATCCACTCCAAGTCAGCAGCTGTCATTTCTCGACCACCAATCTTACCCAATCCAACGAATTGACCCAAATTATGACCATTTCTATAAATCAACAGAGTTGGGCAATTGTTATCGGGAAAGTTTGGAATGGCTGCACTTCCTCTCACACGAACAAATTTGATATCAAGGAATTTATGAGAGAGTGTTTGCAAACGATCATCTAAAATCTTGCATTCTTCTCTAGCTGGTGCATACAAATGAACCAACACATAGACATCCTTTCCTGCATTTTCGCAAACCTCCTTCACGTATTCTGTTGCAGAAATGTCCTTTACACCACCAAACTTGTTTGCCAATTGTTTTTGCTTGAGTTCTTGCAATCGTTTGGCTTTAATTTGTTGAAGGAGTTCGTCCTCGTCTTGATCTAAATATTTATCTTGCTCAATTTGTTTCAATTGTTCGAGTGAGGCTCCCGAAAGTTGGTTTTCAAACTCCTCATTGGCACTCTTATAGTAAACAATTTTATCTTCCTCCTTTTCCTCTGGAAGTTCAGGTAAATTACCATGTTGTCTTTGCAGAATTGTCCATTCTGTTTCAATACCGTTAATTTTCGACATGTTGGTGATGATGAGGGGTTATTGTGATGATTTCGGGAATCGGATGAAGCAAGAGAGTGAGTCTTTTTTTTAGAGTTGAATTTGGCAAAGAAGAAGGATCTTGACCATCATCACTCATTGATGTGATGATTGCTTGAAGTCAAGTGAAGATGATGGCTGTGAGCTCATCAATCGATTGATACATCCCGTATCAAACACAAGATGCATGAAATTGGAACACCATGCCATTCAATGAATTCATCAATTTTATTGTTCCACACGTAATTTACTTGTCCTTCACTTCCACGTTTTCTACTTGTTGTTGTTGTTTCACTCTGGTTTTTGCTTCTTCCATTTTACGATGAGCTTCTTCGAGTTGTTTCATTTGCTCTTCCTCCGAACCTTCAGGCATGTCTGCTCCTCCTTCTTGCTTCATCTTCTCTGCTGCTGCTCGTGCTTCCTTGATTTTAGCATTCAAACGTTTATCGTAGTGTCTAGATAATTCAATCTTCAACTCATCACTGAAACCTAAATCAACAGGTTCGTACAACGTTACAATTGCCTTCTTAATATCGGGTTGCTTGTCAAATTTTCCTCTCACTGTTCTGCTGCGTTTAAGTCCTCCTGGAATAATTATGGTGGCAACAGATTTAATTCTGAGTCCGTAATATGTTTCTAAATATTCTTTAATTTCTGGCTTTGTGTAATCCATTGGCACATGAAAAACAACTTTTGAAGTCTTATTAACAACGGAAGGAAGGTAGAGAGCAAAATAACGATTTGGAAATTCGACCACAGGTCTCTTGTTGTAAATTTCATCTTGTAGACTTGGAGCACCAGTAGCTGCTCTCTTTGCCTTTTCTATGGCTATCATTCTTCTTCGCTTTCTTTCTCTATGGCTGATTCTAGGTTGCTTTTCCAGCTCGGACAACTGGAAACCTTCTTCCATGAGTGTTGGTTTGGTACTGAGAATGGTATCATCAACTCCAACGCATGTTGTTATTGAAGAATGAAATAAACGAGCACTCTGTGCAATACTATTGAAATATGTTGATGATGAGGTTGCTGAAGGAGAGGCAATAATTGATGATGATGATTTGGAGCCGAGATGGAGGCTGCCACAAATTCGAGAGGATGATGATTGGCGTAAGAGGTTAAGCATTTTTTATTAAAAAAATTATTTTGAATTCTTTTGAAATGGTCTACAGACACACCAACACAAAGCTGTGCAATTTGAGAAGAGAGGAACGACCTTTTTCAAAAAACAGACATTATCAATACTTGTTTAAAAGAAGTGAGGCAAAATTGTGATTATTGTTGACAATTTTAAGCTCTCAAACACTATAGCTACCTAAATTAATGTCACAATAAATAGTATTTTAGTGGCTTAATGTAGTTATTTCTTAGATAGTAATCGTTCCAACTCTTTGTATTCCTCACTTTGTTTTGTTTCATCTTCTTTTTCTAAAGCATATATCAGCTCTTTAGATAATTCAATGTGGTTATCCTGACAGAATTGTAAATATTTGGAAAAATTAATATTTGGAACCGGTTGCACTGTTTGATGAGACACATATAATTGATCAATAAATTCTTCTCCCTTATTTTCTAATTCAATTCGTTCTTTTAAATCCTTGATATCTTTAACAACTTGATCTTTTTGTCGTTGTAAAATTTCATTTGCATAAATTAAATTTTGATAACTAATATCAAATTAATCAAATTAATTATTCGTCATTTTCGGAATTGATAAAATTTGACATTCATAAGAATAGTATTGGTTGTTGATTGTATATTTCAAGACGAAATTCAATGTAGTATTTAAATAATATTTTGTTATCGTTGCGGATCGTACGTGTCAACTCCGATTCAACGAAAAGTAAAACCTACTCTTGTGTTTGTTCCATTTTTTTTTAATTAACGACAGTCTGATTCTCCAAGCTCTCTCTTAAGCAAGCATGATACGTTAAAACAAACCATCATCAATACCTGATGTTTTTCGATGCTTCATTGCTGACCTAAAGAATTGAAACCAATCAAAACCAAAAAATGCCTCAATTTGAATCCGAGCTGTTCGATCGTGGTGAATGTGTTGATACCAAACACAACAAGCCTCTGGTACCCGATGAGGTGTACTATAAATTACAATTGGATACTTTGGATGATTTTGTGTTTAAATTTAGTGGATTGGTTTGCTCATTGGAGAATCAAGAATTGAAGCGATGCTTTGAAAAGGTGAATGTATCCGATGTGGCCTCATCGTCGGAAAAAGGTGATTCTGTTCCTGCAGCACCACTAAATACATGTATTCCTGAATCTACACATTATGGAGATTGTTTACATAGGAGACATTATTTGATGTCATCGCTAGCTTCTAGAACGGGCAAATGCAAATATTATTTTCATTTATATGACAAATGTGTCAAGACGTACTCTTTGCTGTTTTCAGAGTCATCCACAAATAGAGACCATGACGGCAATGCAGACATGACCAACCCTTCTACCTTCAATCCTTCCAAATTCATCAATCTGCAAAAACAATGTGAGGCTATGTTTTATGAAGATTACTTGTATTGCTTGAGATATAGGCTTAAGGTACACAGTGGAGTTTTTGATTCTATAAATTGAGAATATTGCTAATCGATTTTTGAGGAGAGAGAATCAAATCAGGCTGTGCAGATTGCAGAAATGATTCTAATCGGTACAAATGTGCCTGTACAACATGTTGCAAATTGTTATGATGATCTTGAATATTTGAGCGCAATGGAAAGCACATGATGGTTGAACTCTTTCTAAAGATATAATATTCTGTATTTGATTGAGACGTATTGGTGTCCAATTTGGTTAATCTTACTTTCATTTGAGACTCTGAACAGGACTCTATCTGTCCAAGTATTTTGAGAGAGTTGGAATAGCTCGTTAATGCCTGGTTGATGAGAGGGAAAATTTGTGAATGATTTACATTGTTGGAAATGGAGTCATTGGTGACAATCCATTGCATGGGACCAATTCTTGACATGTAGGATAGCTCACATGAATTGTGAGGGTTGATAGCGACAGATGTTTTCTTTTTCTTTCTACATTTCGTTTTTCGATTGGCAGAGACATTAACATTTGTGGTACGGAATAACAAGAGCAATATTACTTACTTTGCTTTTTGCGATTTTTCAGTGGAATTTACATTTTGCGCCTGAACAAGTGGTTCATTGGACTGAGTCAACAGCGATGTTGAATCATAGCAAGCATATATCCATTCAATCTGAAACTCACAACACGAGCAGTCACAAACCATTTGCTTTAAAATGTCAGTCACTACTTGACGATAGATGGTACAAAGATGAGGGATAAATCCCTTAAAACTCTTCCTGACAGAGCCTGCCAGTTTCTTGCCATAGAGAGTACAAAATCTGTATATGACCGAGATTTCAGAATGAACACAAAACGATCACATAACGTGAATGATACCTTACCTATCACAAATAGCCTTCGTTATTTGGTGTCCAAACTCAACTTCTTGATCCTCACATCCCAACGATCCCATCACACTTGTCATGAGAAAGCTTTTTTTGAAAAATCCCACACAAAACACATCACTATCGAACTCTTCCTGAAAGCATAATACATTTTCGCCAAATGTAAAGTTTTTCAGCAGTAACTCATTTCTATTGTTGAAAGTACTTGATTCTTCAGAAATTACTAGTGGTTGATCCGTGTAAGGAAGGATGGTAGACTCCTCATTACCATACGATTCCTTAAAACACATTTCCGAATTTAACTTCAAAGCATACAATAAACCGCTCAAACTCATCTCGCTAATATGTTGAGTTTTGCCTATCAATGAAGAAGCATCACCTACAACACCATGAGTTCCATCGCGTATGCCAAGAGAGTTACCGTTTTCAACAAGGTGATCTTCAGACGTCAATCCCGATGATGAGTTTCCTACAAGACCAAAACTATGAACATATTCTCTACTCCAAATTGGTGTTCCAATTTTGCTCGATATTATAATAATTCCATTCATGATTAAAGATAATTATTTTGTATTATGTCATGGATTGGGATTGGCACAAGGAATTGTTCTTTTTGTATTTTTTTCAAAATTTCAAATTAAGGAAACGAATTTGTAAATGTCTAAAATTTAATAAAGCCAACCAATAATTGGTTACTGAATGATACACTTCTTCTTCATTTTTGCAGCATACGTTTCCATTTGCTCCAAATCAGAATCCTCTAAACCCTTCTTTCTAAATTGTCCACCAGCTTGATACAATGTTCGCAATAGAATGTCCATCACATAATCCACACAATCCACAGTCACTTCCGGTAGCTCAATATAAGCAGTCATTTCACCAACTTTTTTGGCAAATGAAATAATCGTTTCATGTGGAATTTTATCTTCAATATTTCTTTTTACGGGTCCATTAGGATTCCAATCAAAACCAAATAATACGAAAGGCATTTCCTTTTTTGCTTTCTTCTTGATACTCAAAATTTCAGGAAGGTACTTTTTTTCAAGTATTTTCAAATGCTCAATTTCGTAAGGATTAAAACATAGAACAAATCCTGTCGAATAATAATATGCATCTTTTCTAATTCCAATGGTCTATTGTGTATTGTTGTAAAATTGAATTCACCATATTGAGCCCATCCAATCATGGAGGAGGAGATGATATTATGCAGACACATCCATATGATATTGTGGTAATAAATCAACATCCATTCACACCATTCACCAAAATTTCCAAAAATTTCATTAAATATTTACAATGAAATGACAAAACTCACCTCCTTGTCATCATCATCTCTCAAATCTCGTGGATCAAATGTCACTTTATGATCCGCACTCAATTTGATCATGTAATTCGAGTGAGCAAAATAAATTGGTAATTCCATTTCTTTCGGAATTTTCTTTTTACCATGAGTGTAGAGAATTCCTGTTTTGTAAGTTGATTTTGGTCCTACAAAACTAATAATGATTTTTTCATCCAATTCATTGTCGGACATGATGGCAGTACGGGCTACTTCTTGTAGTTTGTTTTTCATGCCATCAGAAACAGCCATGATTTGAGAGGGAGAAAACTGTGGTGTTGACATTTTTTTTGGCAATGATGACAAGTGACTGTTTTACTACAAGTTTCGGATCTGTAGTGTAGTATTGAAACACCTTGTTTACTGAACTAATAATTAGTTAAAGCTTTTGATTTTGTAAATACAATTCATTGGCAACCTTTACAATTCGATCATAATATTCAATATTTTTCCAATTTTTCTCAAATTTCTATTCATGATTGAAAATCATTCCACAAACAACATTCCAATCAGAGTTGCCACCATTTAAATATCAATCACTATGATCAAGTTACTCATTTCACACTTACCTTATCAGGAAATCCATAATAAGCTCCAAACCAAGTAGCTCCAATGCATCCAGTACTATCATTATCTCCACCATGTAGCACTCCACGATGAACAAATTCTTCCCAATCTCCATTACTTCCCAACAAGGCATCATAGGCAATAATAACTGAATCGTCGCCACTCGCTCCAGCCCATCCATCGTAACTCCACTTTTTGTAAAATTCCTCACGTTCAGGAATTCCATATGAAGAAGGAAATTTGGGATCTGTATTCCCATTTTCAATGCCTCTTTCTTTCAAGTATTGAGTGAATTTTGTTTTAAATTTTTCCATGTCGTTGGTGGTTTGAGGTAAATCTCGTTGTGAAAATTTCACATAATTGAGAGCTAATGGATAATCTTTGGTGATGAATAAATATCCCCATTCTCTTGGAGGAATGTTCTCAATAGCATAAGAAGTGAAGAGAGCAGAGACAAAGGCACCCATGTAACCTGTGGCATGATTGTGAGTGAGACGACCTGATTCAATCGAGGTTCGAACAAGTTCTTCACGATTCTTTTCACCCGAGTAAATAAGTCCACCTGATCATTTAAAATTCAAAATGAAAATATTACGAGATTAATGGGACATCAATATTAGGAAATCAATGTATTATTTTTCAAAAGTTCCAAAATATTCAATTAGTTCTTTCAAATGTCCTTCAAAATGTTTTTCGTTACTTACAAGGTTGAGATCTCATGGAACCACCACATCCTCCACCAGCTCGATCATAGGGCAAAGCATTCCATCTCTCAAATTGTCCTTTCAAAATAGAGAGCGATGAAATACATTTCAATCCAGGTGCACGTCCATCCATATCTTTTGTAACGCATGAATAATAATATTTGGCCATGGTGGTCATCTTCTCATGAAAATTCACTTGTTTGGATTTGTGACTTTCAAGGAGAGATTCAGCAGTTGCTAGAAACATGACTGTATCATCGGAAACTTTCCATGAAGCATGATCAGAAACGTTAATATTTTCAATCGAACCTGTCAATAGGAAAAGTTCATCATACGTTCCATGAGAATTTGTTAAATTCATGTTAAAATTAAAAGAAATTTACCATATCGTTGTTTCATGTCAGCAAAGAGTCTATTCTCGAGTGATGGCCATTTTGATCACCAATTGGGTGTGAATGGTGTTTTTCATGAAGAAATAATTCTACTTACCGGAGACCATCTTTTAAGAATTCCCATTTACCATTTCGGAATCCAATGGCATCACCTGCAGCTCCCAATACGAGAGCGGCAATGAAGCGTGTATTGCTTTCGGTAGAACTGCAGATCATGTTGTAGAAATGATGATAAAATTTTTCTTGTTTTTTGAAGTGTGAACTTTTATTGATAAATTTATTTCATTATTATTTCATTCATCACTTTCTTAACACTGCAAAGATCGATGGTTCTGATTGACTTTCATCTTGATCGTTGAATCTCTCTTATGACATTCGATCATGGCTTTTTGCATCGCACTGACCAGCCATCTCCTCTCATGGGAATATGTTTGTAAAATGACAGAATGTCGTTTTAAGATATAAAAAACAAAAAAAAATGGTTCAAGATCTTTGGAATAGCTACTCACAATTGTCACAGATAGGGGATCAAGGCCAGTCAGGTGTGTCTCCTTTAATTAATCAGCCAACGGTGGATATCGATAGAATCCAAATACAGCAAATGCAGGAGTCCTTGGAAAAGATGCAAGACAAAATAAAAGGACTTGAACATAAAAATCAGCAACTGAAGATTATTGTTTGGGGTCTCTGCAAATCGATTTCCCGATCCAATGAAAGGATATCTCTTTTATCTTCTAGAATGGGTACTGTGTTTGTTACCTCATTGATTGCCTTTACTGCTGTCATATTCATGGTCTTCCCACTCTTCAGTGGTCGTGATCAAGAATCAGTTAAAGTGAAAATTCATAAATTCGGGCAGGGGCTTTCAGAGTTTGATATGGATGACAAGCTGATCGAATTCATGACAAAATATTCTGTGGGAAAAACATTTGAAAAGGTTACTCTTTCATCTCATGCAGATATGCACATTGTTCTTGCAGTGGGCTCTCCATCAAGGGATTTGAAAGACAGTTTGCCTCTGGACATCTGGAAAGCCCAATTTAAAACAATTTTTGAAGGTAAAGGAAGTATATTGCTTATCGTTCGTTTGACAAATGGAGGTGACGTGTTTGCATCACAAGGTGTGGATGAGCTTAATGAAAATGAGAAATATGCTACGACAATCTCTCAAATAGCGTTTGACGTGCGTTCCAGTCAATTTAAAGAAGTACTGAATGGAAATTTGCATCAGCGATTGGTTGAGCTAATTTCCCTCTTAGATGTGCAGTAAATGTAATTTTACGATAAAATGTACACATAATTGAAAATGCATGGTTAGGTGAAATGAATTTCTCTACAATTCATCTTTTGCAAGTCTTATCCTTTCTTTTTGAATGTACTGCTTTCCTCTTTGCACTGCAGTTAACAAGATCTCAAAGATGCGCTTATCGACTTCAAATTGTTTTTCTTTTTCTTCTAGATTGGCCTTCACCTCAAACACATTGTTGCTTGAAACTCCTAACCCGTTAGCCACTTCGTTTCTCACCTTATTTACATCGCTATAAAGCAAGTTGGTAACTCCAACAACAGGAACGTAACCCAATGAGACCGCTCGCTCAATAAATCGTACCAAATTCTTTCGCAATGGTGTGTCTGAATCAGGTTGCATGGGTGAATGGGTGACCAAAAAAATAATGGCATGAACGCGTTTCTGCAAAGTATTCAAAGTGGGAAGTTGCTTTTCTCTCTCCTTTTTCAAGTAAAGTTCGATTTGTTCAAGCTGTTTTTTAAGGCCTTCAATTCGCTTCATTTCAGCTGCAATATTAAAGTTGAGAACTTCCAGCTTATTGGATTCTTTAAAGTCCCCTCTGTTGTTGTTTGGTTTTAAAGCTTCTTCTGACATCTTTTCGAATACCTGTTGCCAGAATGTAATATTTTGGTCAGCGAGCATAATTTCCCTCTCCAGTTCTGCTTTTTCCTGTTCCTTCATAATGTCTGGGATGCCTCCTTTCAACAAGAATTCAATAGACTCGTCCTCATTATAATTTATGGAACTCACCCCAACAGTGTCAGTGAAAGCAATGTTGAGCGGCTCAATATCTTGCCTGTAAGAGTTATAACCGTACAAGTGGAAACGAGAGGTAGTAACTGTTGCATGCGACGTTTTTCGCATCACACCTGCCACATATACCATATCCTTGTTCACACATGTGAACATTGAGTTGATCAACGTTGATTTTCCAGATCCTACTTGTCCTGCTAGTAAAATATTGATTGGACTTGTTGGATAAGCTTGTTTTGTTTCAACAACCAATTCTTGGTTAAACAAATATGGAAATAGAGTAATATTATGAGAAAGCATTCTGGATTCACCACACAATATGGACAACATTAGAGAGGGTGGTAATCTTCTCACAGCTTCCGCGTTTTCTAATTGGCCACTGATTGGTAAGGTTTTCATGGAGCCTTTCCAATAGACATATGATTGTGTCTGTGTGAAACCATCCCAATGAGAGAGAACAATCTTTGGAAACTCGACGAATATCTTGGTTGTTGGATTCGATTTGATAGGTAATATCTATGGGATCAGAAAGTCGATACGACTTTGGGATGATGTGCACATTGTAAAAGTGAATACGTTTGTAATCTATTGCAGGCTGGTAGAAGAGCCATCTGATGATCTGAATCAATTGCAAGGCAATTTGACGGTACGTCACATCATCATAAACAAAAAATGAGACGGTTTGATGTCACAAACAATAGTCAGAGGAAGAATAACATACCTGTCTACGAAATGTTTGGCCAACCTAGAGATTCGTTTCCTGTCTACGAAAGATTTGGCCTCCACGAAAACGATTCAGGAAACGAATCTCCGGAGGCATTCCAATGCAATTGTGGCTCCTATTCTAGAAGAAAGCTGACTATGCACATGTTAAAACAAGAGTTGGAAAAAGTCAAATCCCAGGTTTCACAATTGATGGCTCTATTACTTGTCCAAACACTCATTATGATTGTCTTGATGGTTTTTGCTGATGAGCTGAAAACCGCAGTTGGGTGGAGTTTTGATCAAAATAATTCGATTTTGAGTGATGAAGTCCAAAATTCTCTGAATCATACGAGCTCACACACCAATCCTAAAATTTTGAGCACCAGAAAACATTACCGTCCAACAAGACCTAATTCAAAAACAAATTATATTCTTGTAACTCCATATCTGGAAACTTTTAAAGAACCACAACATCAATTAATTTCATTTCTAAATCAAGAGGCAGAGGACCGGCAGTTAAATGTGAAATTTGTTACACTAAACGATTTGAATTCGAATGAACCAAAAATTTCCCATCTTGTCATTCCGAAAGTTTTCACTACGGAAAGATTTGAGGAAGATATACAAATGTACAAAATACGTCAGATGAAATCACATTATAAGATCAATACTGAGCCGGATGTGTCTGTTTCAATTGCACTCGTACGGAATAAGTATGATATGGAGTTGAACTCTGTCGGAAGCTTGATCAAAAAATATTTAAGCGACCACACCAATGAGATATTGACCATGTTTGAATGCGTACTCCAACAAACATCTGAGCTGAAAGGACATTTCGAGCCAATCATAGATGATGGAGACTTGTTGGAGAGATCGCTAGAAAAATTCGCAAATAATCGATAATATATTCAATTGTTGGATATTAGCTGTACGAATAATAATAATTTCTGCTGTATTTTTCTTTTTAAAAAGTTCAGTTTCTTTGATGGTGTTCCGAACTACTTGATTGTCGGTAAAAGCATTTTTTTTTTTATCGTTCCGAGATGTTGTTCATGTCCGTTCAATGGGCTCACACATTACAACTCATCCTTTCTGGCTTTCAAAACGAACTGTCTTGCTCTTTTTACAGAAGTCAACAAAAGGTCACAACTTCTCTTATCCACAAATGCATTTTTTTTTTTTAAGAAAGAAAGTTTATTACAATAGAGTTGTCTTGACAACATGTTTGTAGTGAAACTCCTGCCAATTGGCAGCATTAGATAATGTTTGTATACCTTGATAGTTGTTGATTCCATGTGTATTGATTGTGAAGCCATTCATTTCTGTTATTCCATATAGTGTTGTTGCATTTTGCAATTTCTTTGATGATGATTTTGTGGATGTTTGGGTTAATTCGAATAGACTCTGAATTGGTTAATCCAGTAGCGTATTGGAGATTAGTAAAACATATTTGTAAAATTTTCTTCTTAGTCTCTTCATCTAAGATTAGTTCGTTTTGCTTGATAATTTTTGCTATGTTGTTTTTACATTTGTTCCTTGTAGTCTTGTGATGAGGGCAATGTAAGAAGATGTGTTCAGCTGTTTCTTTTGCACCGCAGAAGCATTTGATATCCGTATTGGTGATTTTGTTGATCCTAGAAAGGGTGCTCATGGCATTATATCGTATTCTTGTCATTTCATTGATAGTTCGGAAGCCTATTCCAATGAGGGCCCTGACAAATCCGCAGCCAGATCAGAGCCCACGCAGTGGCACCGGATCCAGCGGCTCTCATTTTTCAAACGGCTGCAGGGTGGATCCGATTCAATCCTCAGCCGATCCTGTATTCGCTGGAGCGGATCCTCCGCTTTTCCAGTGAAAGTTGGAACAAATCGAAGTCGATGTTTTGTTGTCTTTGAAAGAAGACCGTTAGCACAACAATTCATGAGGCCTTGCAACATCACCAGAAGAGACAGCCAATACCACCCAGCAAGCATTGACCCAGCATTATTTCATCAGCATTGAATTTGTCCCAAAGTCACTTTACACCAGGACTTGTTCCGAAGAAAACAAACAGCAAAAAGACCATCTCTATAATCACTGAAGACAAACAATTTAACAAACGACAGTCTTTGGTCTGTGAATACTTCTTGAAACTTGTCGCGAGTTCGACCGTTTCTACAAAACAAAACACCATCTGATCATTACTCTTTACTTGAAATCGACGAACAACCAAACCACTTGGTGGAGGAAGATCAATTCAGTTGTCGAATAACGAATTCATTAAAACGAAAGTGTTTATTGCAAAATCCTGATTTTTGGATTGAATCGGATCCACCGCCCTGCAGCCGTTTGAAAAATGAGAGCCGCTGGATCCGGTGCCACTGCGTGGGCTCTGGCTGCGGATTTGTCCGGGCCCTCATTCCAATAGAGGGATGTATGTTGATGAATTTGTTTTGAATTTTGTGCTGTTTTGTTGATATTGTGGCAATGATGTTTTTTCTTGATGTGTTGATGATAATTTTTCCCTTGATTATGAAGAAGGTATCTTTAGGGGTGTTGTTATGGTCCAATATATGAGAGTGGCTTTTCTGGCAAGCTCATCTGCTTTTCTGTTCAATTTTGAATAAATGTCTGAGTTATCAGTATGCACTTTGATCCATTGAAGTTTGATGTTGTTGTTATTTCGTATGATTTTCTTAGTGTCCTCAATGAGGATGTTATTGGATTTTGTTAAGGATCTTATTGCCTTTATGCAACTTTGGGAGTCAGAGATTATTTGGTGGGCATAAAGAACATGATTGCGGATGAGGCTATAGCTCACTTTGTTCCACTTGTCGTGGATAAAAGGGATGATTGGTGATTTTTCAATAGGTTCAGCACTGTTCCATAGGTTGATGTTGAATTCCTTGTTTGCTCTCGCGGTTATTTCAAAGTATGGTGGAAAAGGGTCTAGTTTCTTGAGGCTCATGTTAGTAGGCTATTGGCATGTGATCGGGTTGAGCCCGAGTGATTCATTGCACTTTTTGATCATTTGTTTGGTAGTTCCTCCCCAATAGTGGTCATCTTGGAGCATGATTTTTCAAATTTTGCTAAAACAATCTATCCAGAGCATCTCAATGTCTTTGAGACTTAGTCCTCCTTGTCGTTTAGGTAAATATAACCATTTAGGGTCAAGTTTTTTCTTTGTTTTGAAAATTTCATTAATTCGGGCATGGATTACTTGTTTACATTTTTGTATTGTGGAACTATCTGAGATTGAGTAGCTATGGTATAGTATGAACGGAATAATGTCAGTGTTAATCACATTGATTACTGATTGAATTGTTGCATTCATGTGTATGCCATTACACTTTTGTTTGTTCTTTCAATGATCCATTTGTTGAGTTTGGAAGAATCGTTTTTGGTATTGAAGTGAGCTCCTAATGCAATAAATTCGTCTTTGGAGAAATGGAATTTGTCATCAAGAAGGATGATGGCAGGGACATTGCTAAAAAATTCTGTTTTGTCGGGCTCTAAATCCATTCTTTTTGTGTTTAAGAGGTTTCTGAGAACGGAGTACATTTCCATTAGTTCCTTGATTTCTTTGGATACAAAGACTATGTCGTCTATCCATCCACCGACAGCAAAGCCAAAAGGACCTGCTTGAGGGTCGATAATATATCCTTTGTAATTCTGTTCAATATGTTGTAATACTGGTTCCACAGAGATTTTAAACGCAGTTGGAGAGAGTCCGTCACCTTGTTGTAATCCTATTTCATTCGTATATCCTGATGATAGAGTATTATTTGTGAAGATTTGGCATCGTGTGAGATGATGTCATGGATTTTTTGTCCCACTTCTTGTGGTATTCCTAGATGTTCTAGTCCTTCGATAAGGCGTTGATTGTCAATAGAGTCATATGCTTTTTTGATGTCTAGTGTAATTCCATATATTTGTTGTCCTGTGATATTGGCATGCAATAAGGTTTTGGATGGTGGTGATTCTATTGTGTGTCATGAATCCCTTTTTTCCTCCTATTTGTGCATAACTTAGGTTTTTTTCAGTAATTTTCTCTAATCTTATTGATATCAATTTGGTGGTGAGTTTGAATATAGAATCGAGGAGTGAGATTGGTCTGTATGCAAGTGGGTTCTTAGGGTCTTTATCCTTTTTGAGAATTGGAATAATAGTACACATTTTCATGCATAATGGTCCTTCTCCCGTTGTGATTCGGCGTATTTGGTCCACAATGTTTCAATAAATGCTCGGTACTGGCAATAATGAAGATTGGATCTAGTTTGGGATTCATCAAAGTTGAAGTGTGCGCCTTTAGGAATTTGGAACAAGTAGGTGAGAGAAGGAATATCCAAGCCTGGTATCAAAGTGTGAAATTCAATCACTTGTTTGGTTCTAAAGACAGGAATTTTGTGAATCACTTTGGAGACGGTGTATGGACGATGGGTCATCTCATTCAACAGGACTTGTGCATGTTGGAAAGACAGATACAAGGAGAGTAAAAAGATAAAAGCAAGGGTTCCTATCTTGATTGCTTGCCACATTTTTTGATGATCACCGTGACCACGTCTGTTTGTTGTCATTTTAAAATTGACGGGATGTCACATTTCAAAAAAATGTCTTCAAGCTCACTTGATCACAAAGAGGAAACAACGAACAGTAACAACGGTGTGGAAGAACCGTCCTCTCTCGATCTCTACATTCCCATCGGGAATGAGAAGAAGGAAGAGGATCAACAACACGAAGGACATACAACGAACAATCTCAATGGTCAAAGCCAGATCTCATCACCCACCAATGAATTCCTTGAACTCGCCTTGAAACAGCAGGAAAGAAGCTTCAAGTCCACTCTTGACAGTACTTTCAACGAATTTCAAAGCAATATCAACACATTGAAACAACATCACGATACGACTTTTTTGGATTTACAAACCCGATGGAATGAAATGTCTGATTCAGTTCGAAACACCAACCACAAACTTGCTGATGTCGAGACCCGATTGAACAGAATCCAAACTGTTTGTGATCAAGAAAGGACTCTTTTATCTAAGAACTTTGAGGGTTTGAAAACAGAAGTTTTGCAAACAAATCAAGAAGTATCTAACTTCAAAACAGGTTTCGCCATTCAGCTACAGGAATTGAATGATTCATGCAACCAGCGATTTGATTCTCAACTCAATTCGACCAATCATTGGACGCACGAGCTGCATCAGAAAAATGAAGATCATCAATCCAAATGGAATACCCGAAACAATGAAATGAGCAAACAAATGGAATTCCTCCAAGATCTTTTACAACAGTCCTCTCAACAAATTTCCAAACTTCACAGGATTCAATGGATTCTCATCTGTGTGATTGTACTGCTTTTCGCTTTGGTTATCCATCCCATCCTTTTCGATTTCCATTCTGAAATGAGTACACTCGAACAATCGAAAGAAATATCAAATTTGCCTCAAGTAAGAACAAAACCCAAAACAACCAAAAGTGTTGCAATTTACAGATTTGGAAATGGACTAGATTTTGACTTTGACACACAACTTTTGCAATTTATTTCTCAGTATTCGGAGGATTATACATTGGTCAGTGCAACCGATGCTACGAAAACAAAGTTGAACGTTGTTTTGGTCAAGATTTCATCCGATCGTTTGCAGGAAAGTTTTCCAACACATTCATTCCATCTGGAAATGGATTCCAAACTCTCTGGAAAACCAACCTTGTTGATCGTTGTTAGGTTAACACAAAGCGTTGACGTGTATTCGATACATGGTCTTGATGAGTTTGTAAAGAAAAATAACTTGGCTTCCACGGCTGCAGAACTTAATTACGACATGCAGTCAGAAAAATTTAAAGAAGTCCTTTTTGGCAATTTGAAACAAAAATTAATGTCCTTTCTTTCAAAATAAAACAAGTTTTAACATGATGAATCCAATAACAATCATTGGGTTTGATCCTTAATCATCTGAATGACGTGGAAGTAAATGTGGCAATCCAAGGAACGATATTTTATCTTCATTAGGCAGAGAAAGCCTTATTGGTTGCTTGATGTGAGCGCTCATAGGTGAAGATTAAGATGAAGACAGAGCCTCTGTGAAAGGCTTTTCTCCTTGTTGAACATTTTTCATGAATCATAGAGAGGTTATTTTTGTAATCAATTTTTTGCCAGTTATTGAAGCATAGTAATGCTGTACTTCACAACCTTCAAACACGTTAACAGCCTTGGTAAGTGTCCGCAATCGTTAAGGTTTGTAAGTCGAGGCGGCTGAGTGGATATATAGTAATCAGAGTAATCGGAGTTTTCGTTTGATTTGTTCTGAACGTAGTGAAGGGCAGGTGTTTAGATTGTTAACAATAAATGAGTTTGGTTGAGCATTCTCAAAAATTTTTAGGCTCAAACAATTTTCAGCCTACTCGAGCTTCGTCTCTCATTGTTTTGCTTAGTGACTTCCTACCCATCGCACTCCCACCCTTATCATGCTTTCTTAAGCTTTTCAAGTTCCTTTTTTGCTGATCCTTAATGTTCTTGTGGTAAGGAAGGACATTATCACAGTGCGGGACTGTCTTGTTCAAAGGATGGTTGTTTGGCGAGTAACAAACCCATTAGTTTTCCTCCAATTATTTCCAAACACTTGTTGTTGTTTACAATGTAGAAACACGAAAATACTAGTCGGATCATCATGGCAAGGTCACCAAAGAGGGCCATAGAACCTTATCAAAAAATAAAGAGCTCTCACAACTTCCCAAGAATGGACCACTTGAGATTTGGCTCCTCTTTCATAATGAGGATTAGATATTGTGAAATGGGTACACTTCGACTTCTTTATTAAAGTTAGTGTAGCTTGCTGTTACTGGTAGAAGTTATCCCTATTTCATCACAATTACATATTTGATTAAGTAATAATAAGCGCTTGCTGTAATACATTCGTCCAATACTAAAAAAACTGATCTTTCATCTAAGGATTGTGAGATTTTCCTTACTAAGGACTTGAAGTCTTGTCCACAAATAACAACGTCGGTATGATTGAATAGCATATGATCAGAGTATTTAAATAAAGCTTTATAAAATACAATTTCAACAATCAACTTCTTCATCAACTTGTTAGAGAATGTGTTTACGAATGAAAATCCGGGAAACTCTCCTCCTGTGATGATGATCCAAATCACTCAAAACTTTCGCTAATTAAAAATAGCCGTTATGAAATGGTGGTGTGATGTTGAGAAAATTGGCAGGGTGAACATAAGCACTTTTTTTTTGCCAAATCAATCTTCGATTGCCAATAGGTGAGCGTAAAGAATCCGTTTTTGATATGTATATGTGTGAGGCTATGGGGCCCGAGAAGTATGTTCGTGTGGAGCAATATTCTCCTTGGATCAACCGAGAAGGTGACATTGAACGGACTCGTCACATCATTTACGAATTCAATTATCCAAACTTTCCTTCTTTCGGAGATGGGACTTGGGCAAAGAATTATATGAGTGTCGACCAAAAGCATGTAATTGACAGCCTTAGAAAGAGATTCAACAGGCCCATTCGCTCAGAACTTGAAACTGTTCAATATTGTTGCATTGTATCCAAGTTGATCATTTCCTACGACACCTCATTCGAATTATATTATGCATACCTCAGTCATTGGGTACAGTCAAAGAATGGAGATTGTTGGATTGAAAGTTTTTGATTTCATTCATCATTGCTAGGACATCCTTTCCGTTTCTTGTGTGACATTGTTGCAGTTATTCTCCCAGCGAAGGCATTGGTGTCTGTATCTTTGGAAGTTTGCTTCTTTTGTGGTTTGACATGACTTGCATCCCAAGAATAAAGCTTTTTTAAACGTTTTTCATGCCAATATGTTTCTCCTGTTTTTTCCTTCAAGTCAATTGCGACTAATATCTTTCGCCATTGTCACAATAGCAATTGTTTGGTTGGGTGTATTTGAATACGACCTCCTCCATTGTTAATAATTCGATTAAACACTGCATGGTGAAATAAATGAGACCGTTCGAATCCCTGGTTACTCAAAATCGAGAGTGATAATTTTTCTTTGAAAAGAGAGCTCATTATTGAGGGTACATGAATTATAAAATGGAAATAATGAGCTTTAATTCCTTGAGTCCATATTGAAAAACACGCAACTAAGAATTGCATTATCAGTTTGTCCAATTCCGCAATCTTATTTGCTGTCAATACATTGTCATTATATTCATTATCTTGATGCATTTCAATAATAATGATAATATTTCGCAACAATTTCAGAATTTGTAAATATTTTTGTTTGGTGCTTGGTTCAATATTATCAACAACTTTCTCTATATTTTGTAAAATAGTGTTACAATGATCTTCCGACAGCATACATGACTTGGTTGATGATCGTGCTGAGGTTTGAGAAATTCCATAATTCGATACTCGTTCGTGGAACTCTTTCCAATTAAATATTTCCAATCCATGTAATGTTTGTATATTTTTCTGAATCTCATATTTGTAAGTTGTTGATGCCATATAACCAATAACATTCTCTACTAGCCTCTGTTTGATATGAAGAGCACATAGTATTGTTTGTGACGGAGAAAAAGGTAACTGGCTGTCAAGAGAGTCGCGTGGAGTTGATGCAAAATCTACAATAGTTTGAGCCATACAATAGGGACATAAATCAAATGAGAACGTCATGCCTACATTATGCATGTCTGAAACATAAAAAAGGCAAACTTGATGCTTCCCAAAATATTGTTTTTGCAAAACACGCTCAATCTCATCGTGAAGCGTTCCAATTGTTTCTTTTGTTTCCTTCATCTGAAATAACCCAATATAAAACACAGAATAAACAGCCTGTGATGGAAACACATCTCTTAAATTGAGTGGAACCAATGCAACTGCAACTTGTTTAACTCCATTAATTTCTCTACCATCTACCCCAATTTTAAAAAACATTTTCTTGGGTAATTTTTTCCCTAATGACATACCCGCACCCCTTTGCTGACGTCAATTATTTTTAAAAATTCGTAAACAATTAACGTCGCAAAGTTGATGAAAAAATTTTTATTCACATTTTAAAAACGTAACAAATTAATGTTTTCTCGTCAATAAAAAACGTCAAAAATACCTATTAACGTTTTAGAAATTGCGCCGTCAAATTGACGCTCGAAATTGACGTAGAAAATTGATGCAGAAATATCAATTATTGCTGTCACTAGTTTCGTTTTTTCGTCAATTATTACTGTTACTAGTTTCGTTTTTCCCGGTATTAATTTTTCACAATTTTCTGTTACTTGTTTCGCTTTTCCAATTTCTCCACACTTCCACTGACACTTCATTCATATTGTTCCACATTCTTTCATTCAACGCACAAATTACCATATATCAATTCCTCATTCTATTTAAATACATCAATTACAGTTACATTAATACAATAAATACTTTCATTCCCTCAATCCTCAACAAATTAAATAAATATAGCTCTGAAATAAAGCGGTACCTTAGTGACCACGAGATTGCTAATTCAAAGTAATTACTTACATCATCAGTCTACACTTATGATCACAGTATAAAAAGTGAATTTGTTTGACAATTCGTTCATTCAAAAACTACCAGCTCATCCTCCATAACTTACCTTATTTTGTTCTGAATGTAGTGAAAGGCAAGAATGTTTCGATTGTAAACAATAAATGAGTTTGGTTGAGCATTCTGCTCAATAAAGTCTGATGACAAAATACACAGACAATCCCTCAAACACCAATCCTCTTCCAAAGGATGGTTGTTTGGTGAGTTTCAAACCCATTAGTTTTCCTTCAATTAATTCCAAACTCTTATTGTTGTTTACAATATCGAAACATTAAATTTTACATCAAAAAAATCACCAATAGATGGATCAATTCCAGTACAGCATTGTTGAAATAACTTACATGGTGCGATTTAAATAGTGGAGCATATATTTGTTCTAATCTCATTGTCATGTAAGCAAAATTTAACATGAACATATGATTCCAATACTCTGAACAAGAACTAACAAATAGAAATGGAGAGGAGCTCATAGAGAACTGAGAAATGTTTTGAACGTAATAGTGAAAAAGACTCAAGCACTTACCTTCTACTATGTGAACAGTGATTTGATCTGCTCAATAAAGTCTGATGACAAAATATGCAGAAAATCCCTCAAACACCAATCCTTTTCCAAAGGATGGTTGTTTGGCGAGTAACAAACCCATTAGTTTTCCTCCAATTAATTCCAAACTCTTGTTGTTGTTTACAATGTAGAAACATACTGTTCCTGTGTAGCGAGGCACAATGCTTATGTCAAGGTTCTAACTTCAATTCCTATATAATTCACAACCATGTTTCAATGTAAAGGCGATACTTACAGAGAATGTGAGTGTATCAAATGTTCATGGGTTGATCTGAATGATTTTCATCTGAATCACTGTCCTATTACGTTCAACGAAAGATTAAAAAACAGGTATTCATGGCTTTAAATTTGAAACAACTCACCATCTTCAATATATTTGTACGTCTTTTACCACTCCTATTCTGGCTCACGGATATTGAAAAACAGAACAAGCCCAAACACACCTGTTGAAATGTGAAGTTGTAGCCTTTTTGTTATTTCAAAACAAAATTCCTGAACACAGATAGACGGATTATTTTGTAAGGCAGATTATCGGAATAACATCATTCTCAATTTATACTTTGTTTCTTTGTAGGTAGGCACAATAGTAAGGCCAAGTCTTATTTGCATTATTGATACGTAGTTGTAAAAAATTTGGAAGCAAATTACTTACATAGAATGAGTGTTGTATGAGAATGAGTGTTCCAAGACGAATTGATCTGTATTATGTCCAACTAAAGATTAATAGTTATTGGATTTCAATTTGATGGTGAATCAATCATATTAAATAAACTTGTAGTTAGCATAGTCCTCCCGTTCAAAGTTGAGGAAATTTTTTTATAAAATTAATTGTACGGTTTATTACGATTACCCCTTTTATTCATCCCTTTCTTCTTCCTTCTCATTCTTGGACTTCTTATCCTTCGATTTAATGGTACGATACAATGCTTTATATTTTTGCACAGTCTTGTTGTCGCCTGTCTTTACTGTACATCCCACAATAGTGTTTATCAATAAATTTTTCTGTTCATTGTTCAGTTCAAGGTAGTCCTTTCGGAACAGATGATCATCTTCATCCTTTCCGTCCTGTTTGCGCTTACCAATTGCTGTATCATGCCAGCCGGAACGATTTCCGTTCTTGATCCCAGTGTTACATTGACGGATTGAGAAGGCAACACTCTGGGGCTGTAGCTGTAGACTTATCATCCCTAGGGGAGAAGCTGATTTGTCTTGAATTTTCAGCAACTTCTGTCTGCTGATCTGAAATTTTGTTCTTCAAAGCATCAGGATACTACTTTTATCACTTATGTGCCATTCCTGGAGAGAGTGTAGAAGTCAATTCCAAATCAACAACTGCTATTAGATATCCATTACGAAGAGTGATTCCAAGCAATCAAAGGATTGTTCACTGCTTTCGTGATATTGATTTTTGGAACATCGTAAAAGGTGAAAATCTTGAAACACAATATGGTATGACATCATCTGAGTACTCTCCCATTTTGAAACAGAATTGGAATCCACACCAACAGATATGGGATCATATGATTCAATGCATTGTCTATACGAAGGAATTTTGCGTGACATGATGTCATTAATTCAAATACCTTGTTGGGAGAAGTTCGACAAATTATATCTCCAACAAAAATTTCCATCATTCTTACATAGACATCCACGATCTATCACTAAAAATCTAGGTCACCTCAAATCTTTTGGTCCGTTAGTCCATAATTCAGCTTTTTTGGGAGAAATTCTTAACTTCACCTTAACCAAAGCATTCATATCCTCAAACTCGGCAAGATATGCCATAATGTTCTTTGATATGGCACAATTATGTGACATTTATGAATTGAGCACACTAAGACAATCAGAGTGTGTTTGTGGCAATTACGTACTGAAGACTAATACTGATATTGTTGCCCAAACTGGTGACTCTACTGAGTCTGAGCCCAAAACCTCTTTCTTCAAAATCAAAAAATCAACTCAACAGTTTGGAGTTAGAGAACTTGGATGATCACTCTCTTAAGTATGTGCCACACAAGAATAAGCTTGTCCTCTGTGTTTCGGTATACTCTCCGAAACATAATCAGACTTTCCACATTCCAATGCACAAGAACGTCAATCAATATATTTAATAAAAATTTATATGTTGTATTGTATAGCTGGTCTTGTTGCTGTTGATGTTTTCCGCAATTATTGATAATAATAATTGATGATGATTCGTCAATTTTAACGCGAAATAATTGATCGTCAATGTTGCTATTTTTTTTTGATGGTACTCTCGTTAAAATGCCCAACAGTGGTGCGAAAGAAGCGGGTTGTTCCGGTCCGAAGAAAACAAACAGCAAAAAGACCATCTCTATAATCATTGAAGACAAACAATTTAACAAACGACAGTCTTTGGTCTGTGAATACTTCTTGAAACTTGTCGCGAGTTCGACCGTTTCTACAAAAACACCATCTGATCATTACTCTTTACTTGAAATCGACGAACAACCAAACCACTTGGTGGAGGAAGATCAATTCAGTTGTCGAATAACGAATTCATTAAAATGAAAGTTTTTATTGCAAAATCCTGAGAGCCGCTGGATCCGGTGCCACTGCGTGGGCTCTGGCTGCGGATTTGTCAGGGCCCTCTTATAGCAGTTGCTCAGAAGTCTTCATTGCATATTCTTTCTTTCCAACCACTTTGCATTGAACAACTGCTGATAAATGACTTCCAAGCTTTGAGTTCGCCCAACTAATGACACCACCTTTTGAGAAGTCACGCGCCACTCTCAAATCTTCACAAAGATATACTCCGTCCCCAAAGGCATTTCCAGTCTTCATATGTGAAAACAAGCAAGTAACCTGTTAATATTTGAAATATCCTTACAAAAACATTTGACATTCTGAAGTTGTATCCTTACTAAACGAACGTCTAATGTAACGTACTGAGGCTCCGAAGGGCCAATAAATAATATTTAAGTTTTTTGATTTCCGAGTTCCGACTATCAATTTAAAAAAATATCTAGAATGAAGAGAACAGGCTCCAGTAGCATCGTTCAACGGTTAATTACCCACAACAACAACAGCAGCCACACATCAAGCCTCACCATCACAAGGAAATATTTTTGCCACAGAAATTATGTTTTCAATTCTGCTCTGTCGAACAAACCAAACACAATTATTGTTCCGAACAAATTGTTGAATCATCCAACAACAACCACATCATTTGGCCAAATACGTTCTTACACCACCACAAATTGGTGGAAGGAAAAAGAAGCATCCACCAACGATAGTGATGGAACAAAAACTTTAGAACCCTCATCGTCCGAACCAATCATCCTCGATTTGACTAATTACAAGAGATGGAACGCGCAACAAGTTGCAGTGGCGTTGACTTCTGATGAATCTTTGGGTGGTGCTGGTTTGTCGGTTGATGATGTGAAGCCTTTGTATGAGGCTGGTTTTAAAGGCACATCTCTCCACAACATTGTTGGGAATATCATGATGGATGGTGTAAAGTATGCCATTGATCGACTTCAAAGCACTTATAACAAGAATAACATTTCTCAACTCTCCGACACTTGTCAAACTATTGTTTCTTGGGCTAATGATAGAATTGTTTTGCCTCGCCAAAAAATACAGGACCTTTTCAAAACAATAGAACAAGAACATTCATCCTCCCAACAAATCTCTCTCGATTTGACTAATTACGAGAGTTGGAACGAGAAACAAGTTGCATCAGCATTGAATTATCCTAAATCTTTGGGTGGTGCTGGTTTGTCGGTTGAAAAGCTGAAGCCTTTGTATGAGGCTGGTTTTGATAGCTCATCTCTCCACAACATTGTTGGGGATATCATGATGGATGGTGTAAAGTATGCCATTGATCGACTTCAAAGCACTTATAACAAGAATAACATTCCTCAACTCTCCAACACTTGTCAAACTATTGTTTCTTGGGCTAATGATAGAATTGTTTTGCCTCGCCAAAAAATACAGGACCTTCCAAAAGTAATAGAACAAGCACATTCATCCTCCCAACAAATCTCTCTCGATTTTACTAATTACAAGAGTTGGAACGCGCAACAAGTTGCAGTAGCGTTGACTTTTGATGAATCTTTGGGTGGTGCTGGTTTGTCGGTTGATGATGTGAAGCCTTTGTATGTTGCTGATTTTAAAGGCTCATCTCTCCACAACATTGTTGGGAATATCATGATGGATGGTGTAAAGTATGCCATTGATCGACTTCAAAGCACTTATAACAAGAATAACATTTCTCAACTCTCCGACACTTGTCAAACTATTGTTTCTTGGGCTAATGATAGAATTGTTTTGCCTCGCCAAAAATCACAGAACCTTCTGAAAACAATAGAACAAGCACGCCATAAGAGAAACCCCGAGACAACAATAGACTTCCAAAGTTTTTATTCTAAAACACGGGAAGAATTGGCGAACAAATATTCAGAAATGGTGTTGGGAGAGGGAAAGTTTGTTGATTTTGAGCAAACGTTGCGCGCAAAGACTACCATTCCTTCTGCGAACATTGAATTTGGCTATCCACTCTTTGGTAAACAATATCAGTCAGCTAAATTGCCTTTAATATCTGGTTCATTTGCCAAACATGAGCTACCATATTTTACACAGTTCCACTATACTATGGCACAAGATGATGAGGTATTGAAAAGAGTAGCTAATTCTAAACGAAGCGCATTAATGTTTATGGGACCATCTGGTGCTGGTAAGACATCAGCGTGCGTGCGTTTATTATGTTATAATCCTGGAATGGTTTTAACATGTACTTCATCATCAGAGGTATCCAGTGGATTGACAACTGATTCGTTGATGCGTCAAGCATTTGGCCACTTAAAGGGACGAAATATTTTTGAACTTTTTGGCTCAGTAGAACAAGTAGTACTAATGGTATTCATATGTAGATTGATTTATATCTCAAAACTAATTGATGAAGCAAAACAACACCCAAATGTATTTGAAGACTTTGTTCAGAGAGATAAGGATGGAAATATTGTTAATGGTGGAATACTTCCCTATCTTGCATACATGCAATCCAATGGCAAAACTAGCGCAAGCCGTGAAGCTCTAGACTATGCATTGAAATTTGTTTATTCTAATCCCGAACAATTGAAGGCATTTGTTGAAAAATTAGTGGACAAGATAATTCATTCACTTAATGATAATTCAACTCTATTTGGAATAGTTAAGAAAATTGAATATTTTGTGGTTGTCATTGATGAAGCAAACGTTTATGCAGGGTTTGTATTGATTAATTTTTCTTACGTGATTCATAATATGATTTCATTAGCAACAATACTGGCTCTGAGAACCTTTCAGAGTTAATAAGTTTGAGTGGCGAGAAGAGAGGACTGTTAACCAAGTTTGCACAATTCATTGGTGCCATAGAAAAATTTCATGTGTCCATATTTTCTGGAACTAATTTTTCCGTTGATGTTGGAAGTATTATACAATCAGCTCTTGGTAAAACTGAAGCAAAGATTGATATAGAAAAAATATATGACTTTGGTTTGGTTGCAAGAGATGATATCGTTTCATTTTTAGAAAAACATATCAAAATACCAAACGAGGAGAAGAAAGAGATTTTATTCTATTTACATGAACAAGGTTACAAGTACTTTCGAAGAAGATTAATCACATTGGCATTAGAAAAACTTGCTACAACCAACACCATAATAGATGCTCTTAATTTGTCCGTAAAAGAGTTTGTATTGGGAGCAAAAAAGCATATAGAGCATTATCTTGATACCTACAACTCAAAATTGAATCCTAGATTGGCAGCAGAAGAAACCACTCGACAAGGTATTCAAGAAGCCATTGTTAAATATGTTACTCATTATCAGTTTCCATTTTTAGGTTCTAAGTTTACGGTTCATAAGGATGATATTGCTGACGCTTTACTATATTCTGGATTTTCTGGCCCAGAAAGCTCTTATTTGGATGATCGAACCGCAAAATATTTTGTATTTTCTGCCAAGGATTTTATTGGGTATGAAATTGGAATGGAAATACTAAAGAAGATATTTGGTATTGAAGATAAATCAGAACTAATGAAAAAGATTATTCAAGAAAGGATTAAATTGCTCCTGAAAACTTCAGACCACAACATTGATTTGGAATCAATTGTTATGCTCAGACTCTCAGAATTAGATGGTACACGTTTGTCAGAAATTGGTTGTTTCAAACCACTAATCACCAACAATGCAAACTTAAAAGATCACATATTCAAGTGCAAACATTGTTTAGATCCAAAGGGATATATTGAGTACTGTATTTCCAAACACGTTATAGAACCAGAGAAGAAGAATGATATGAATGGAGAAAATTTGTTCTGGACACACTTTGCCGAGAAAAAGTGGGATTTATTAGATGGAGTATTTATAACTCCATCTAATGAACACCACAACGACCTGTTTGGTATTAACAGAGTTAAAGGTTCAGACATGATTATTCCAATAGGTTTCCAGTGTAAAGTGCAATCTGGAACTAACTTTGACCCCCATTCATATTTTAGCTCCACTATTCCTGAACTATTTTATCTAGATAATTATGGAAAGCTGAAATCTAATACCCTCTACAATTTAAATTGTAATCATATTGAAGAAACCAAGATTAACAATGAAAATCGTTTCGTTGTGAAGAATAATTCAAAACAGATAATAGATGATGCGAATGGTCAAGGCATGAAAGTTAGTTCAAATGCAAAATGGTACAATGACATAAGAAATGCTATTTTACAAGTATTTAAATCATCAAATATGATGCATGTGTGTGTTGGACTTCACACAACTGAAACATTCTCAAAAGAGGTTGTAAAGAAATACCAGAAAAACTATTTGTGCTCCTTCATTGACATGAGCAACTATGACTTACTCTTCGACAAAGAATGGGAGAGATATTTAAAGAACTTTTTAACCACAGTGGCAGAACGAGTGAATAGTGATAATAAGCATAATATGAAATAATATGTCAAAACAACTCTATGCCATTGCTATAAGGCGTTTCTCAGAAATAAATTGATCCTTATGCCTTGCAAAGGAATGGATGGTCATTTTAAAGTGTTTGATGCTATTATTCTTAAGTTGATCATCTGAATCTAACTTTCATCCATTCATTTATCTTGCTTCCTTTTTTGTTGGTCATTGAGGTTTTCTACAAACTTTTTTTTTTTCGAGGGACATTAATCGTGTCGTTGAAGCCTGGAGTTCACTTTCGGTGGCCAGTCTTGCTATGTGTCAAACGCATTTTCACACTAGATCTATTTTATTTCTTCTTGGTATTGAGTTGTGTTTGAATATTTTGTTGTTGATTCAACACAGAAAGCTCGGAAGGCGACAAGGGTTGAAGAGGTGAGCGAATCTTGACGGTAAAGGATCCCTTGGATGGATTCGATGATGGTGATGGAGTCATTGTTTTCACACGAAGGGTTTCGGCTGACTTGTTCAATGGTGTGGAGAGACAATTTTCCTTATTCTTTTCTTCTTTCAGAATTGCCAAAGGACTAATGGAGCATGGTGCTGTAGTGTTTGGTTTCACAGTATTTACGGAGTTTTGAAGAGGTTGTAAATTAGCAGTGGCGAAACGGAAAGATCCCAAAGTGGTCACAAATGGAGAGGTCTTGGATTGTTGAGGAGGAGTGGTTGTTGGGCAAATACTACTGCTGATAGAAATATTGGTGCTTAATGGCTTGACTGGAATGGAGACTGTTAAATTCTTGTGTTGATTGGATGTCAATGGACCGGTAGCAGCAGCAGGAGTAGTAGTACTGAATGTACGTGGTGAAATGGGTTGAAGTTTCTTTTCTTGAACTGGTTTTGAAGTGAACATTTCTTGCAAATTCTTGGACAAGGATGCAGGAGCTGTAAGCGTTGGACTTGGTTTGTTTTTCTTGCTTGGTGGTGATCTAAATTGAAAGTGAAGACCTCCAACATTATTAACGGTTACACTGCTAGATGATTTTGGAGTCGTGACAGTGGTGTGGAAAAAGGGAGAATAGGGTGTAGATGATTGGGAGGAAGAGGAATAAGATGAAGCGGAATCGCTCTCCGTGTTCGACACGTTGGATGATTGAGGAGTGTCGATCGCAGAGAAAGTCGAGGATGGAGAAGTAGCGTCATCAGAGCATGGTGAGTGTTCTTCAGAGACAGAGGAATTTGAAAGTTTGGAAGTAGTTCTCTTTCTCTTTTTGATAGGCATCTTTGAAGGAGAGAATATAGTCGTTTCTTGTTTTGGTAACGTTCCAAGCCATTTGAAATAGTTGACACTCTTTTCACTTCTCTTCTCTATGAGATGAATGCCAGAAAGAATGTTGACAATGTCGTTTAATCTTCTTGTCCGAGCTGTTTTGAAATGATAAATGATTAGTGACATTCATTAAGGCTGTACTTACTCTTTTCAGCTGAATCTTTAAGAACAATACTGACAAGTTGATCTTGTGACATCTCTTTCGTTTCAGTAACAAGGAAGCTCATGATCAAAAGTCTACTCAGAGAGGTCAATGTATTGGATCTAGAGGGAGTCATTGCATTGATATTCTGCTTAAACTTGGGTAGGCATTGGAGTAGGGGTTCATTTTGTGGAGTTTTTGGAAGCGATTTTAGTCCTTCAAGAAGAGTGGCATCTTCCAAAGCACTGCTCTTCATTTGTTCCAGAGTCGTAGAGAGACTTTTTGTACCATGATACTTGTAACATGAAACTCCCACCTTAGATACAATAGAAATGCTCTCCAAAACATTGAGAATGTCATAAATTCGTCTCTTTTCAATTCCTAGAGTGTTGACAGCTTCTTCAATCTTAATTTCTCCCTTGCTTTGATTGTTGTTAGCAGCATTAGAGTTTTTTAGATTTTCATAAAATTGAATGAATTTCGCACAAATCATGGTCAGAGATTTTTCTTTTCTGTTTTTTGTTTTCTTTTCTTCTGTAATACCACCACCTTGTGTCACAGTGGAACTGCTTGAGGTACAACTTTGAGAATCTAATGGTATATTACCACAAGGTGAGTCATAGGACTGAGGAAGGGATTGCAGCTGATTGAGATTTTGTTGTTTTGGATGGGTGAATGAGAATGGAAACATTCCTTGTGTCGCGGGAGTTGTCATGCCATTGCTAACACTACTTAAAGGGTGAGCTGTTTCGATAACTCCTGGTAATGTTGGAAAAGTTGGAGGAGGTGGCGGTGATTTTTGAAAGTTTTGGTTATTGACATTGGCAGAAGAGGAGGGTACAGATGATCCATGCAACACCACTGTTGCTTCACTTCTCATCAATGATTCCATAGTATGGACGGTCAAGTGAGAGAGAGTTCTAGACCTACTTGGCTGTTGAACTCCACTCTGAAACAGAGTGGTTTCATAATGGTTGTCGTTGTTATCACTGTTTTCAGTGCTGCTGGTAGTTTCGTCCTCAGAGGAAGCAATAGGTAAAGGTAACGAATGAGCATTGAATGAGTAGGATGATGATGAGGGTGGTCTGCTATCGTCCGCTGGACCTTGATAATTTGTTTCCGATCTAAAGCAATTCACCTTTTTACATGGTCCATCATCATCTTTTGCAGCATCAGCTTCATGGATGGTACTTGCTTGGCAGGCTGAATATCCTTCTTCCAGTATGACTTGGTTCCGTTCCTCTTCTTGTTTCCTTTCCATTCGGTAATTTCTCCCAGTGGAATCTACATCATGATGATGATGGTTTGTTGATGTGGTCGTAGTGGTTATTGAAGAGTATGATGGTGTGGTTGTTGTTGTTGATGTCTTGTTATTCGTCTTCATGTTTTGGCTCGACATGACCGTCTGCATCATCATCAATATATTGTTGTTTTTTTCGATTTAATACTTTTAATTCTTTCGTTGCGCCAAAACAGTGAGAGGGAAGCGTTTGAAAACGAACGACAGTTGTTTTGCAGTTGCATTGGCAATGACAGAGCGCAAAAATTTCTTGCTGGATCCTTTCATTTAATATTTAAATTATGTTGTAACGAGCAAAAATTTGAAAGGCGGGAAACCGAGTTTTGAAGTCAACTTTGGCAAACTTGCTTCCAAACACTAAAGGGTCTGTTGGCCTTTCTCTTCCTATTAAAACTGATCATCAATGCTGAAAGCAGCAGCTGTTGTCATGCACCAGAATCTATGATTGAGGTGGATAAGGTAGCACGTTTACAAATATTGCGGTCAGAGGAGGAAGTAATGATCAGAAAATGATCAATCATGAGCGGAGAGGTAAGTTGTTGGATGGCACGGGAGTGATTGGTCGGAGAAGAATGCTCTGTAGTTGAAGTATAGGGCATGAGTGGCATTTCTTCAAGTTCATAATGTACTATTTGGCGTTCGATATCAATCACTTTCACTTGAATCATTGAATTGTTTTTAGACAGTTGGAACTTGAGTAAATATCTTCCTTTGGTCAAATCAAAATTCAGATTCATAGGCATATTGGAGGGTTGAGCAGATGTTTTTGTGGGACTCTCAAAAAACATCTTTTTGTGATGGGGATATAATCTGGTTTTTGAAAGGAGTCCATTCGATGATTCGCTTCTTTGCGAATTCGTAATTGATATCCAAGTATGAAAACTGAACAAACATTCTTCGTAACTGGATGTTTCTCTGCTCACAGCAATAATACTGAAATTATGTGGAGCCGTTTGGGAAATTTCTATGAAAAATTCCAATTCTTGCAAGAATAACAAACGTTTGTTATTCCCATTCTTAGCTCCCTCTAAAGCACATGATTGAATCAAAGGATTGGTCAACTTGACTTTACATTCTGTGTCATTCATATTGAAACAATAATGAATTTGTTGTGTGTTTGATAAAAATTTTGGAATTTGATCTTGATGTTGTTTTGTGTTCATGACACAATACGAAAGAACCTTTCTTGAAATTTTCAACTTGTGACAAAATGTGTTTCGTTCTGAACACTGATGAGCATTCTCTGTTTCTTCAGAATTATCATCTTCCATGAACAAAGACTTGTGATTGAATTGAAATGCCACAAAATTTAAATGCTCCTCAATGACTTGATTAAATAATTTACACACCAATCTCAATTTGCAACAATCATTCCACAAATCTGTGCAAGCCATGAGAATAATGGTTTCCACAATTTTCGAGCGAATTTGTGTACTTCCATTTTGGGTATTCATCATCATTTGTTTGAATGTATTTGGGGCACACAAGAGACAATTGTGCTCGTGTGTGCTCATAACTTGTTCTCCTTCATACGTTGATGATAAGAGCCACCTCTTCGTGGTTACTTCGGAACGGTGATGATGAGCTTGTTCCTCTTCCTGAGAGTCGTCCTCATCTTCATCTGCGAGTAGGGAATGAAGGCTTGTGCTCTCCGATTCCGAAGTTGAATGCAAGAGTCTTGATATATATCCTTTGTTATTGCTGTTGTTATGGTTGGATTCAAGGGTTGTACTGGTAGAGCTTGAACTCTCTCGTTTTGATTTCTTTGATTTCTTGCCAATTTCTCTAGGGTCATCATCATTGGACTGGTGAAAGAGTATGTTTGTTTTTCCGGCTTGATAGAGCTCAGAAATTGGATCGGAATGAGGAGAAACAGGTGGTGAATGAGTTTTATGGATATTGGTAGTTTCGTTTGTTGAATGAACAGCACTTGCTGATTGACCCATCGCTGAGCCTTTTGAAAAGATGGATGAAACAATGTTTTTCCAGAAAATTTTTATGTTGATTTTGGAAAAGAAAATGTCAACTTCAATTCTTAAAAGGTTCCAAGATGTGTTTTGTCTTCTTCCTAGATGTGCAGCACGGTCACAAAATATTCCATTTAATTATCTTGCTAGAAAAATTCATTCGCACAAAATGTTACAATAACAAACTTCTTTCGGAAATGTCTTGTTCATGCTGTAATTGCATCTTGTAATGCAGATAGGTTTTTTCAGCTTCTTGAAGTGTTTCTGTAAGATTTAAGTGACCAGAGAGATCGATACACGACCTTAAAATGTCATCAAATCGATACTTTTCAGTGAGAACCTCGTTTCTAATTCGCTGAAGCATGGCATAACATACAAATAAATGGAAATTATTTCCATAGTACTGAGTCCAAAACTTTTCCCATAAATCTTTCGTCTCCTCAAAATTGAATTCTCGTTTCAATTCTACCAAGACCCACCTAAAGCAAAAATAGAGGTTGAGAGAATCCACAGATGCCAAATAGTTGTAAAATTCAAGATCCAAGAATTTGATGAGAGAACCTAACGAAGCAAGTTGATGCTCCATTCCTGCAGAATTGAGCTCAAAATTGACTTGTCTTGATTCCATCAAGCATGCAAAACACCAAAACGTGTCTACCTCATCTTTCATTATTTCGAGCATAATACTAGCATAATCTCCCATTCCTTGAACATAGCTCAAATCAAAGTTATAAAATGTATACGATAAAAGTATGTCGTTAAGCTTCACTAACCATTCAGAACTTTCGTCAGCGTACATGGGATGTGTACGATCCGTTCGAATTACATCTTTCTCAATTCTCGACTTTCGATCTCTGTACAAGAAAAATCGACTTTCTTGCTTTGGTGATATGCTCTTCCATTGAATTTTAAGTGCTTCATATTCCTTCTTCTTTTCTGGAATTAAAATTTCTCGTTCAGCATAGGTTGAATTGTGAGGATAGTATCCCAATAAAAATTTCCAAACTTCACTTCGAATATCATTTTCAATACCTCCATAAAAGATTCGTTCTTTCAGAAATTCAAATTTAGATATTCTTCCCTCTTCATCAAAGAAAGTAAGCCATTCATTTCGTGTGAGAGGAGGGTCCACTCTTGGTGTGAAAAAGTTGTCTTCAAATACGGGTTTTGATGTAGCGCTGGTTGGAGCTGTACTGGAGCTTCCACCTTCTGTGGCTGCTGCAGTACTAGTGGTTGTGACTGGTTCAAATTCAACTTTGGTAATATCATCAGTCGAGTCTAAATAATTTTCACATACAGAAGCAGTTAAATTTTCAATGACCACTGGAGGAGGAGCCTTCTTCTTCTCTTCCGCCAGCTTCTTTTTGGCTTGCAAAATATCCATGGCTAAATTTGGACTTGGATTTTTTGGTGGTGGAGGTAGTTCTAGCTCACTATTGACTCCAGTATTGAACAGAGCATTGGTAATTTCTCGCGCTCCTTTTGTGATTTTTGCTCCCCATTCTAAAAACTGCCATGTCTTGTCTTTTTCCTTGTACACATCTTCAAAGTAAACATCAAAATCAAATTGATTCAAGCTCTTTGCGAGTGGTTCTGATGTGTCTGCCGAAATGAAATAAATATTCGAATCTGATTTACTCTTCTTGAGAGAAACATGTTGATTAAATTCTGCAATAAATTGAGCCAACCCTCCGTCGTGGAAAAACAAGGGTGGATAGGCTGTTTCATCTCTCATGCTAATGACCAAATAGTGCTGGCCAATGGTTGGATCTTGTTTCTTGAAATGTGAAATATCAATCGTTCTCATGGTGAGAGCATAGGCTGCTTCATTTCTTGGATAATTCAATGGAGTGGTACCACTCATGGAATTCATTTGACTCAAATCGATAATGCTGCTATTACTGCTACTTCGGCCAGGTCTTGCATTGCTCGAGTCATTATTATTTTGAGGCAGTCTATTTTTGTATTTTTCTGGAGTAATGATCACACCGTTTGATTTTTCGTGTAACACTAAATCGGGATTAAATGTACAAAGTGTTGAATATGGACACCATACGAGATAGTAACATGATTTGAGTGTTGTTTGTGATCCGACCAAAATGTTGTTGTTTTCAGAGACGAGTTGTTTGATATTTGCAGTACTGGCGCGATTATTATTATTTGTTGCAATGTTTTGTTGTTTTTGTTTTTGTGCCACGTCCTTGATTAAAAACATGACACCCGGAATGTGATCAATAATATCGGATGTTGGTTTTTTGGTACTATTCGGAGTGAGAGAATGAGCTGGTACTTTGGTGTGAATATAGACATCATCACGCCGTACTAGAATTGTATATTTTGTTAATGCTAAATTGTCGGAGGAGAGTAATTCTTGCAGAGGTGGTGTATCTCCCTTGATGTAAAATGATGATCCCAATTCTCGATCGTCTTCGGCAACGACAAGCTCGGAAGAACCCTGATACATTCCATCATCGGCTTCATCTTCCGATGACTCGTGGTCAATAATATAGTTGGCAGCTGATGTTGTGGTCAACGTTGGTTTAGACGAGACAGTGGGTGTGTTAATATTCGACATTTTTTAAAGTTATTTTTGTATTTTGAAAACAAGTCTTTACAAACAAGAGAGTGAAATCATCCAACCTCAATTAGAACCTGCGGTGGTTGCGTCTCTTACCTTGTGTCACTCTTAATTTCGTAAAGACGTGCTAGCAAAATTCGTGCGAAAAAAGAAGCGTTTGACCCGTTTCGCTGCTCTTTTGTTTCAAAATTGATAACTTGGTAATGAGATTTAGGACAGAGTTTCAAACCTGTGGTTCTCATTCGCTGTTGTGTGTATCTACAGAGCAATTTTTTATGGTCATTGTTGTTTTTGTATGCATCATTGTTGAGCACAACAACATCAAACCAATGCAGAGATTACTACTGAGAAGTTTAAAGCTTTAAAGTCTCTTGTATAACATGGTCAGTTGTAAGGGATTAGGCGATGACAAAAATTGTGTCTTCTGCGTTAACTCCTGCCGTACATAAAGTACTAAAAATTCCAAAAAAAAAACTTCGTCGAGGATGGGACTCGAACCCACGCGGATTTCTCCAATAACTTAGCAGGCTACCGCCTTAACCACTCGGCCACCTCGACTTACGAGCAATAAACCTTGTGGACACTCACCAATGTTTGTTAACCTTTTTGCCTTTCACCGAGGCTCTACCCTAAATCTGTATCAAAGCGCTCACACCAAGAAGCCAATAAGGCTTTCTCTGCTCTAAAGAAGAAAAAAGGCTCTTGTGATACGACTGAGGTTCAAGGATGGAAAGATTCTGCACCCGCTCTCTCTAATCAAGATCTGGACTCTAATGTTCAAAAGGAAATTACCATGGTTATGATTAAATCGTTCATGGGCGAAAAAACCTCCTTTCCTCATCTATGGACCAAATCCAAATCAACTTCAAGGCAACGATGTATTTCCATGATTGTCGAATACATGACAGTGCATCACCAAATAATGTTCAGTGGAGTAAACTTTTACAATAGAGCAAAGAATCAGTAGGTTTATCTCTTGCTCAAGGTGATTTAATCATGAAATGTCCAAAATGGTTGTTCCATGATCCACCAAGAACATTCAACGTTACGGAACTCTAGGAGGTTTCAAAGAACCTTTCCATAGATCATGAATTCCTTGAAAGATTGAAGAAATATTGCGAGTCTATTCTAAACGGATCTCGTTTTGGATTTAATAAAGATGTTACGTTTTTCTTTAGGGAAGATTTGAATATCTCTCCTTGTGAATTAACAGTTTCTGAAGCGTTTGAAAGATTCCAAAACAGACCGGTTTACATTGCAACGGGATCAATTAATGATACAGGACATCTTTGTGGAGTATGGTCACCAACAACCATTCAAAAAGAGCATTGTACCAAGGATGATCTTCTTAAACTTGAAGGAGGGGCATTCAACGTTCATCCGTTACACTCCTACTCAAGAAAGCATCGCTTCCAATTATCTTTTCCAATTCAGGACTCGCACAAACAGGTTCGTATTAATTGTACATAAGTATTGCTTTTCACATCCACCAATAACCTCAGCATTAAAAACTATTGAGCAATATTTAAAGAAATCCAATCTACAAGCATCTATGTCCACTCTTAAGCTTTTGTTCGAAATTATTGGAACGTTGATCGGAGATGGAAAGATCGCCCTCAGGTAACACTGTAACACGACGAAGAACAACTGCGAGATGTTATCTTGAAATTTATGGATACCGTTGCCACGAAGAAAGGTCAGCAGTGGTATTCTGAATGTTATACAAAAGGGCCGAAAGAAAAAGAAGAGAAACGAAAGATTAATATCTGAGGTGAACACAATCCTGTACACACAAAGCACGAGTTGGAACTAATACGGGCAGATTTGAGAGATGAAGGATTTCATCTTTCTTGCTTTGAAATCCATTTTCCGTTCACAAATTTTAACAAGCTAATGAGAGATTTGGGTTTTTATTTTTACGACACGTTGGGTCCTTTCCCCTCTCTTTCACTCATTTGAGTGTTTGCTTGCAAGATCAGCACTTTGATCGAATTTGTTTGTTTTGTTCAAATTGTTGATTTAAATAAACGTGGAGATCGATGCATGAAAATTATTCTTTATTGAACAATTCCACTCAGTTAATTTGAGTTTTCATTGGCAATGTTAAAAAGAATTGTCAATTATTTCAAATATAGAATGTTAGAATATCAAGACGGTTATTCAAACAGAGTTTGGAACTGTTTTATTAAATTCATTTTTAATTTTCGACACTGTGGACGACAATTTGTTACAACGTATGAGAAGTTCCATCCAATTCAAATCCAAACTCATTCAATACAGTGTGGATCAAACCATTTCCTTGGAAACTGAACTAATCATTCGTGAAGGAGTCAATGGATACATCTCAACTAGTAAAGAGAAACAAGCCAAAGATAATCTCCTAAAAGAATTTGATGAAAAGATGGAGAAACTCCTCAAGGATGGACTTAACAAGTAGGAACATGGTTTGATGGTGTTTTCCTTGTTCGTTGCTATTGTGTACTATTAAGTGAATGATTCAATCACCCCTTCAAGATGTATAAAGCACCTTGTAAGCCAATTAAACTTTTAGACACCGGGCAAGTGTCTTCACTTCATGTATGAAATGGATCAAGTGATGAAACAAGAGCAAAGCTCATAATTGAACTCACAAAATTTTTGAGCACGAACAGTTTGAAAATGTTGATTCACAAGATTAGTCGTTTTCAAGACTCCTCCAAATTATTTATTGATAATGATGCAATCCGTCATCACCCATAGCGACAAAACAAGAAAGATGTAATAATTGTTGTATCCTCATCACCCTTCCAAAGTGAATCCCAACTTGATGCGCCTGGCGCTACCTCACCCGAGCTCCACAAACAGCAAGTCGATAGAGTTCAACGCATAAGTTGAAGGACAACAAACCGACAAAAAAAAACTCAGAGCGTTGTAAGAGAAGGCAAGCGGTTGACTCGTACCCAAGGCTTCTGTTCTTTTTTGAAAAAAATACCTCCATCCGTTACGCTTCAAAGGCGATTTTTCCCATCATCCCTTCTTCCAACCACATCATAAACTCTCTTATAAAATGAACTACAGTTCAGCTTCACTCTATGTCGGAGATTTGCACGAAGACATTTCAGAGGCTCTTTTGTTCGACCTTTTCCATGAGGTTGGACCAATCATCTCAATCCGTATCTGCCGTGATGCGATGACTCGTAAATCTCTTGGATATGCATATGTAAATTTCCAAAATCCACAAGACGCAGAAAGAGCTCTTGATACCCTAAACTACACTAGCGTTAAGGGAAGACCAATCCGTATTATGTGGTCACAACGAGATCCTTCTATCCGTAAAAGCGGTATTGGAAATATCTTCATCAAGAACTTGGATAAATCAATCGACAACAAGGCTCTTTACGATACATTCTCCGCATTCGGTAACATTTTATCTTGCAAAGTTTGTCAAGCAACCAAGAAGAATGAAACTGGTGAAAACAGCACTGAATCAGCTGGATATGGTTTCGTTCATTTTGAAACTCAAGAAGCTGCTGAAAAAGCTATTGCCAAAGTTAACGGAATGTTGTTAAACGGTAAACAAGTATTCGTAGGACCTTTTGTAAAGAAGAGCGAACGATTGAAGGTTTTGAGCAATGAAGATTCATTCACAAACATCTACGTGAAGAACTTGGATCCAAGCGTTGATGACAAAGAATTCAAAGAATTGTTCTCGAAGTTTGGCGAGATTCAAAGTGCTGTTGTTATGAGAGGTGAGGATAACAAATCAAAGGAATTTGGTTTTATCAACTTTGCAGATCACGCCTCTGCACTTCTAGCAATTGATGATATGCACGAAAAGGAGTATAAGGGGAAAAAGTTGTTCGTCGGAAGAGCTCAAAAGAAGAGCGAAAGAAGAGCCAAGTTGAAGGAATATTTCCAAAAGTTGAAACAAGAAAAGGTTAACAAATACAAGGGATTGAATCTCTATGTCAAAAATTTGGATGACTCTGTTGATGACGAGAGATTGAAACAAGAATTCTCAAAGTTTGGCGAAATTACATCTGCCAAAGTTATGGTTAATGAAAACAAGCAAAGCAGAGGATTCGGTTTTGTCTGTTTCAAGACACCAGAAGCAGCTAACAAGGCATTGACTGAAATGAATGGACATATGATCGGATCTAAGCCACTCTATGTCAACTTTGCTCAACCAAAGGAACTTCGTCGTTCTCAACTCGAAGCTCAATACAATGCTAGAAAGCAACCTATGGTACCACAAATGATGCCTCCATTCTTCATTGCAAACGCTCCAGGAGCATTCCCTCCTGCAGGTCAAATGCTCAAGCCTCGCTGGCAACCAGCTGGTGGACGTGGTGGTGCAAACAACCGTGGAGGAATGACTCAAAGAGGAGGTGCTGTGAGAGGACGTGGAGCCACTACTGGTGCTGTAAAGAATCAAGGAAATAGAGCAGCAAACAACATCAAGTACAACAACAATGCTCGTAATCAACCACGAGAACAACCACAACAAATTACACCAACTCAAGCTTCTTCACAAGTTCCACAAGGATCATCTGACCAATTGTCTGCTGAATATTTGGCAAACCTTTCCGATCAAGATCAAAAGCAATTGTTGGGAGATAGACTTTTCCCACTCGTTCACTTGAGAGAACCAAAGAATGCTCCAAAGATTACTGGTATGCTCTTGGATATGGAAGTTTCTGATATTTTGCACTTGATTGAATCCACAGATGCTCTCCAACAAAAGATCAAGGAAGCTGTTAAAGTTTTGGAGGAACATGGTCAAACTGATCAATAATTCACATTCATCAAAACTGAGGATTGTGCACCTAAACCCGTCAGCCATAAAGAAAACAAGATCAAAAACCCAATAAAAAGTAGAAATGCCTCAACAATACTTCATTGTTTCATTGTAAGCCTTAAATGTGCGGCAGCCACGTTAGATTGATCCGATAAGTATCATGTAAAAAATGTTTTCATCGCACAAAGCAAGGCTTGCATTCAACAAGGAAAATGCAGGGGTGATAGCCTTCTCGGAAAATGACGATGACGATGAAACCCCCATTGTAAATAATAATCATGACGAGCATCCAACAATTTCCAATTTCAAAACGGATAATAATTCACAATCATCGGACACTGTTAAAAATCAGCCTCCTGTTCCTCCTCCAAGAAATCGTTCCATGAAATCATCAGCAACATCGTCCAATGTTCTCGGAAGGTTATTTGAACAAATTAAAGAGAAGGATGTTCAAACTCCAGCCTTGCACTATCCACAAGCCGTAAAACTAAACAAGATGATCTACTTCACCATTGGAGGAATAATTTTCACCTTGCTATTTTTGTGGCTTGAATTATCTCAAACTATTTTACTCATTACTCCTTGTATAATTTTTGTGGCCATAGGAAAGATTAATTTGTATCCAAGTAATTACTTGTATGGCCCTAAATATTCAATGACATTTCATCAATTAAGAGAGTCCATTCGGTTCTATAATAGACATATTACTAAAGAGCTTTCCAAAAAGAAAAGAAATAGAGTGATTGCATTGGTAGATCCAACTGATATTCAACTGATTCCTCTTGTTTTTGCTTTAATTCAGAGTGGACAAGAAGTCATTGTTTTAAATCCAAAAGAATGTGGACTGAATAGCTTTTTTGAATGGATTCCAAAACTTGACATTGATGCTGTTCTAGTTTCTCCACTTATTTATTGCATAATTCAAGTCATTCATTTTGTGAAGAAGAGGTCTTGGCTATCCCTTGGAAAGAAATATTTACTGTTCACTAGTTCTCTCTCTGCTTACAAATTAATAAGCAAAAATAGTTTCGAGTGGTCACACATACCAAGAATCAGTAAGGTTGACCAGCTTCAACAGGACCCTATTTCAAGTGACGAGGATTTATTTTCATATAACGATGACGACACAGTAGCAATTGTAAATACAACTGGAACAACAGGGCAACCAAAATTGGTACATATCACTCATGCTATGCTTAAGAGTCAAATTGAGAGCTTTGGAGAATTAATGACTCCATATTTACTGAAAGGAAGACAGGACAGAATTATCAATCACAACATTGTCATGACCTTGTGTGTGAATTGCATGGGGTTGACCTCAATTGTACCTCCATTTGATTTATCAAAACCATCCAGTGTTGATCCAAACGAATATATTAACACGATTCATACCTATAACTTTTATCCGAGATTTGGTTTTTGCAGTCCAATTGTTTGGATGGAGATAATGGAGTATTGCTCTCGCAAGAACAAACCAAATACCAAAGTGAAGGAAGAATACAGCATTTCTCCACCATTAGAGGTCTTGCTTTGTGGAGGAAATTCAACACCTTTTTCACTTCATCAGAAGTTTCGCCAATGGGCTTGTAAAGATGAAGACTCTTCAGCCTTATTATTTCCAGCATATGGAGCTACTGAGTGTTTACCTATTTGTCTGACAAATACATGGGAACTTGAGAAAATTTATCAAACAGAAGAAATTCAACACTCCATCACACGAGGGTATTGTGTTGGAAAGGAGTGCCCAAATGTGACTGTTCTCATTAGAAACCAAGACAAGGTTTCAGGAGGAAAAGTTGGAGAGATTTGGATTGGTGGAAAAGCCGTTAGCCCAAGATACGAGCTCGACCAAACAGCAATGCTACAAACAAAGGAGATGATTGACGGCGTGCTCTTCCATAAAACAGGTGATATTGGATACAAGGATGAAAATGACATGGTGTGGTATTGTGGCCGCTTAAGTCATCTATTTCATGCCATGCCTCTGGCCAACCCAAATGACAGAAACAAATCACAAGTTGAAGCTCCTCTCGTCATAATCCCAGCTTGTGTTGAACATGCATTTTACAACAAATTCCCAATCATTAGACGATGTGCTTGTGTTGGTTATTCACCAATTACAAAGCAAAGCAATATTATGCTCAAGCTCAATGAAAGGAACTTCCTTTCTAGATATAATGAATTGTCATTCAACGAAATGGTGATTGTGTTTGAAACATTTGGAAATGAGAAAATCGATCAAAGCATTCTCAAAGAATTTTGGAATAAGACAATTCTGAGCAATCCAGAAACACCAAAGGAATTTTCAAACCTTGCTATTCGTTTCGTTCAGCAAAAATCTCTTCCTGTAGATAATCGTCATAACTCCAAGATTGAAATGATACGGCTGGCTTTAGAGTTGAATCGATCAATGATTTCAGTAAAATAAACGTTGTTATTAATATAATATTATAATATAATAATGATTTCTTAAAGTTTTACATGATATCAACAACCTAATTGATAACTAGCTGTCATCACATCTAAAGCAGAATATAGGTCCACTTGAAATTCTGGTCTGTTTTCCGATTCGGGATCGTATCGTTGTTTATAATACAAATATTGAATAACTTGTTCTACCACGTTAGACTCAAACTCAACCTGAATTTCTGATTGTCCTTCTGCGATTGCTATTTGTTTTTAATTGTTGTATATTTTCCACTTCATAACTGTCATCATCAATACCCACCTTCTTTAAATTTCTTGCAATACAATGCACATCTCTTGTCAATATAAAAATCAAAATCATCATTTGAAATAACTTTAAACACTTCCGATGGACTAAAACTCAGACAATGCTCGGGTCTATGGAATTGTTTTGAATTGCGTCCTCCCTTACTGGCTGATGATTTTCGTGCTGCTGACATTTTTTTATGATTGGCGCAACAAATTTACAATTTTCTTAATTTTTAATAATTTGAATAATTGTATTTCATAAAATAATAAATTAATGAATTGTATCGTAGGGATCTGGAAAAGTAGTGCCACTATCACTTAGATGAGAATGCAAGTGTCAAATGTTTGGATCTTACACGTGTTGACAGAAAATGATGTTCAACAACAACAGAAACAACAACATAAACATCTAAAAATCCAAAGTCAATCACGAAACATGTCACACCCACATTCAATTCATAACAACATTGTTACATCCTCATTCATTTCTCATACTCACCTTAAAATTCGTTTCAACATCTTTCCTCGACTTGAAAAGTCCTCTCGTGTTGTTACCAATGGTTCATTCATATAATAATTCCTCATCGTCGTCGTCGTCACTGAATCATGACGACTCGTCATTGATTTTTTATATTCCTCCTCTTTGGGTAATTCTTCTTCTTCAAATGAATAAATTAATTTCCGAAAGCAAACCGGACATTGAGAAGATCGTTGTTTCCATTCTTCACTACACTGTAAATGAAAGCCATGTCCACATTTACATGACACTTCAGGATTTTCCTCTGTATACAATTCCAAACAAATCGGACACAATTTCTGATCATTATCATCTTCAAACACCAAAACTTCTTGAAAGAGTGAGGGATACCGTATTTTGAGTTCTTCTACTTTTTGATGCTTTTCATCGAGTTGTTGTTGTTGTGTGGTTGTTATTATTATTTGTTGTTGTTGTTGTTTCTTGATGGGATTTTGAATGATCCTGTCAAGGCTTGATCGTTGTTGCAGTTGAATGGAATCTTCTTCAATGAGACAAGTGGAAGGAATTAAATTATGATGATAGGAATGCTCATGTACCATGGAGGTCTGATGATCATCGGATCGTGAAAAGGAAGGACTTTGAGGGGGTGTTGAAGAAATGTGATCATGATATTCTCGTTTGTTTGAAATGATGGACGAAAGCCATTGAGTCATCATGATGTTTAAATTTCAAATAATATTCCAAGGATGAGTTTATAAAATCGGAGAGTTAAAAGATACACTCAATTTTCAACACTAATAATACTCTCACTATGATGATGATAGACTGTTAATGATGATTGTGGTAATTGCCCTAAATGGTGCTGACGAATCTTAGAGATTCTTTTTTTAGGTTTTATTTTGAATTCAATTGTTAATTTATATTACAATACGAAAACATTCAAATAAACAAGATCAATGGATTCAATTATTAAGAGGAATGATGACTAGTAGTCAAATCCAGAGATAAAACCAAATACAAAAATTCCCTTTTCTCTCATTCTTTCAATGGCCTCATTTGCCTCCTTGTGGTATGGAATGTGTGTGTTGGAAATGTGGAAAGATGTTAAATTTCTTAACATGGTACTATTGGCAATGGCAAGAACACCAATGTGTGACATCTTGTGTGAATAAATGTCCAATGAATTAAGATGGATCATATTCTCACTTGATGCAATATATTGAGCTCCAATATCACCTATATTATTGGTTGATATCCCTAAGCGTGTTAAATTTCTAATGTAAGGACTGTGTGTGAGTGATTGAACTCCTTCATCTCCAATTTGACAATGAGACAAATCCAAGTCGGTTAATTTGCTCATGTATGGACTATTCGAAAGAAAATACACTCCTTTTGAAGTAATAGTGTTGTGTGCCATGTGTAAGGTCGTCAAGTTGCTCATGGTCGAGTTCTGAAACAATGAAATGGCATTACTTTCGTCCAGCATGCATTTCTTAATTAGCAGTGTAGTCAAGTTATGTAACACTTCATTGTTCTGCTGCTGAGAAACGGAAAATTTCTCTCCTCCAATATTATTTTCACTAATATTTAAGGTCGTTAGATTTTTCATATTGACATTGTGAAGTAGTCTTTCAGCTCCAGTTGTGGTCAATCCAACGCAGAATAATGTTAACTCTTTCAGTTTTGTTATGTATGGAGATTGACATAGGTATTCAATTCCTTCATCTCCAATCGTGGTCGAGTGCAACACAAGTTGTTCAAGATGTTTTAAATTTTCGCTACTGGATACCAATTCTTTAAAACCATCGATGGAATGATGAATACCTTTTCGTCCATGGTCCCTAATGATTAAATGTTTTAAATTTTTGAAATTATTTCCTAATGCAATGAATTGATACAAATTGAGATCTTCCTTGTCAGATACCGTTCTAGGAATTTGATGCATGGACCAAAAGGCGTCCTTGTGTGTGTTTAATAGACCTACTCCGCTTGTAATATCCAACGAGGTGATATTAAATTCATCCGTATTTGAAATGTGTCGAAGCATTGCTTTGGACAAGTCATCTTCCCAATGCATAGAAATTGAAAGAGGGACATGAAACTGCTCCGAGCCAAACTTTGGAAATTAATTTACAATTTGTAATGATGAAAAGAGGATCTAAAAATTGCATAATTCTCACACACATGTCCCTGTAAAAGATGTTTGAATTGTTGCAATAACTGTCAGTGCTCATGTCATTGGCCACTGACAAGTCGTCGTGATGATGATACAATTTGTTACGCTTGTATGGTTGAGTCAACATTTTTAAACATTATTTTTTACAACAAAATCTATCATAATTATGAACTCTTGCATCTTCGCAGAAGGACAATCACCGTTACATTGTGAAATTTTAAAGAAGAAAAAAAATGGCGCCAAAACGCAAAGACACTCCGGCCAACAACAGCGAAGAGGAAGAGTCTTCGGTGGTTGAGCCTTCATCAGCATCATCACGGCAACCATCCCGTTCCAAACCCAATACGACCACCATCAGATCAAAAAAACGAAAAACCTTAAATTCTAAAATATCGTATGATACTCGAATTTGTACTTCGTTGAAACGAATGCAATATCATCCCGAATTTAAAGATGTAATTTTATTCATTCAAACAGTTTTGAAAAACGAAGAAGGAGTCTCTGTGGATGAGTTGTGGTCAGAAATTAGTCATAAAAAAGATAAATTATTGACTACTAGAGAGGGAGTTTGTACATGGCTACAAAGACATGGATTTGTTGTTGAGAATGGTGTTGTTTCACCTCCAACAAGGTCCGAAGTGAAAAAAAATTATGTGGAGACTATGGATTTTGTAAAATCTATTATTGTTGACAATGTCATTCCGCCAAGTCTCGCTGAATTATGTGCAAAAACTAGTTCTGAAGTTTTTGAAATTAAAAAGACGTACCTTCAAGAGATGTTCGAATGGGAAGGAGTGTCTGGTCTCAAAGAACAACTTGTGGCACAAGTGAAAAACTTTGTTCCTTCAGGTTTAGTATGTGAAGTTTATGTTGATGGGTTTAAGGCAGTTTATTTAGGAAGTTGTGTTCCAAGAGCAGACAAGAATGACCAACAGAAATACTTTGCCGTCTTTGGCTATTTTTGTGATTCTCCCGTGTTAATTGCTGAAGAACGATGTGATTTTGGATTTAGATTCAAATATAAAATTCCAAACGAGCCTGGACTTGTGATTACTCATTGGGAGAATGATGAACGAACTCTACAAGAAGACATATTGACATCACCTTGTGACAATGCTCTTGAAACGATCAATGAATACTCCACTCATCCACTGCAATCACATATTGAGAATTATTTCAAGTTTTTACAAGGAGTTGTGGAAGAGGAGGATGTATCTGAAGATTCATTTAATCTATTCAAGTCACAAGTGGTGGCCATCATTACGGACGTCAAATGGATTATTTTCAGTACTCTTGTCAAAACGACACATCTTACAGCCAGTGAAAAACTGCTTTTAGATGCTCTTTCTGACAATTCAGAATTATTCACCAAGTTTCCTGTTCACTGGTTGACTGTCATTTGTCTTGCTCTAGGAAGAGATCCTTCAGTCGTCAAAAAGTACATCAAGAACAAGAATAAGGATTTGCTTGCCACAGAGGTTGAACTCAATTGGAAACACTTTTCTTACACGGCTGATGAAACTCTTGATTTAGAAAAACTTCGAAAATGTAAAGAAGAGATTGATCTTTTGATAGAAAAGGCTATTTCTCAAACCATGACATCATACCCAAACTCTAGAGGTTTTATAACAGGAAAGACTGCACTAAGCGACAGCGAAGACGATGACAATGTCTATGACCCAGAACCATCCACAGAACCAAATCATGTCGAAATGTTAATGACATTTAAGAAAAAGTATACCAACAAACATTTTTCATACATTAGGACTCTGGTGTGTAAACTAATTAACGGAGAAACATTGTCAACATTAGCTGAAACGAGAAAGAAGGAAGAGTATTTCTATAGATTTGATGACATTTCTCTTGGAAGAGCAAAATATGCAATACCTGTAGTGAACGAAAAAGATTTTAGCAAATTTTCAAACTTTGAATATTCCAACACCACCGAGTTTGGTGAAGGAATTTCGAAGGAAACAAGAGAAAATGTAGCTGCCCTGAAAAATATTGAATTTTGTGACTGTAAAAAAAAGTGTGGAAAAGGATGTAAATGTTTGCAGCTTCAGAGAGAGTATAGATTTGATTCATCCGATGCCCAATCTGAAAAATTTCAATCCGTGCGTCGTGGAGATGAGGTTTACTATGACGATAACAAACGCTTAAAAGACACAAACACTAAATACATTATTGTGGAATGCAATAGTGAGTGCTCATGCTCAGATTCGTGCCCTAATCGAGTTGTTCAGCAAGGATCTGATGTTAAACTCGCCATTTTCAAAACCAATCATACAGGTTGGGGTCTAAGAGCAGCTCAAAAGTTATATCGAGGTCAATTCGTTGAAATTTATACAGGAGAATTAATTACGGATGAGGTTGGAGAGATACGAGGTCGATATTATGATAGGAAAGGATTAAGTTATTTATTTGATGTTTCTCATGGAGACATTGTTTGTGATTTCACAATTGATTCTACTTACAAGGGAAATGTTACTCGATTCTTGAATCATTCATGTGATGGCAATTTGCAACAATACTTGGTTTGCAGTGAAATTAGAGACCCAAGATACGGTAAAATAGCCTTCTTTTGTAAGAGAAACATTGAAATTGGTGAAGAATTGACCTTTGACTACCATTATGTATGTGAAAAGCAAGTGAGGTGTTTGTGTGGAAGTAAGAATTGCAAGCAGTGGCTGCGGTAAACCTTTAACTCCAGAACGTGAAGTTCACACACATCTCTCTCGCTGTTCATACTGCTTGTCATAGCATGACAAGATTAATTTATTAAAAGAGACCGCTGACTACCTGATAGCTGGTAGGTCTCTCTATTGGATCTCTTGATTCTCTCACTTTACATACTCTGCAGAAATGGTGTGACAATAGGTATCAATATCAATTACCTTAATTGTGGTCATGTCATCCATATCGATCGTATTGCTTGTCACATAGGCCTCAATAGCAAAGTAATTATACTTCACCAATCTTAAACGTAACAATTGTGTGAACACTGGCTTATTTCTGCTGATTAAATTGTTGTAATCTCTATGCGCGTTCGTTGCGGTATTGTCATGATGTGAGTGAGATAATCTTTTACCTTTTCTGAAATTAATTTCAGAAACGCACTCCAAAATATAGTGCTCATTATTACAAGATTCCATCTTGTTCTTTAAAAATTTAAGGAAGTAGTGATAGAGCACTTGTTTTTCCATTTCTTTAACTGTTTCAATCTTGTCTGAAACTTTTTCGCTCCAATAATGTAAAACCTCCTCGCTGAATAAACTGTTTTCAATTCCTGTCCATGTGGCTCCGGACTCAATTGTATTCAAATAATGCACTAATTGAACCTGCAAAACTAAATCAAGCCATCTCCGCAATGGTGAAGAAAGTTGCATGTATAACTCTACACCAATGATATTTTGGTAAAATTTTGTTGGGTTTGTCGTTATTTTGCTAATATTTGTTGTCTTCTTACTTCCTTGTTGCTTTAGCTCATTTTCAAACCGCAATAAAGCCTGATAGTTCTCAGTTTGGTGATTCTTTCCTTGCGCAAGATAATTCGTTTCATTACCTTCAGGATCTAAAATTGATGCAACTTCAACAAACTCTTCAATGTCCATATCTTTTATCGATTCTGGAAGCAATCTGTTGTATGTTTGATAGAATTCTTTGTAGAGCCCTGCTATTCTGTTGTCATAGAAGTATCTGGCCATTGTAGCATTAAGCAAAATACTGAATTCTGTAATAATTTTTGAGGACTTGGAAGGAGTTGTTCGGTGAGTGTTGACGTGAATTATTGGATCGTCACTGCCATTCTTATTTTCTTCAAGAACAAGTTCAACTCCTCCCAGAGGAACAACACCAGGTGTAAATTTTTTGGCACCATGTTTCAAACGTGCATCATGAACAGCACAGCAACAGTCATATAACTGTTTCCAAAAAGGATCTGCATGAGGTGATTCGATTTTTTCATCTGCTTCCTCAAAGAAATAAGACTGGCTTACTTGTATCAAACCCTTGAATACACCTTTAAATTCTACTCTTCCATCTTTAAAAATAACAAAAATATGTGAAATAACTTCCTTAGGTGTTTTGCCAATGAGCGAAAGAGCATCTTCAGAGAGGTGTCGTGGAAAGCAAGGAGCATAGGTTTCTTCTACTCCTGGTATGTAAATCGACATTACACGCTTTGAGGCCTCTGAAAATAAGGAGCTTTGAAATATTGGATGATCAGCGAATTTAGTCCTAACTGGAGGAGTTCTTTTGACTTCTTTCTTGGATTCATCGACTGGAGATGCAGCTTGAGAAAGATCAACATTTCTTAAAATGGTTGAGGCAACATCTGTAACATGGACTGCAATATGGATACAGTTTTGGTCATGATATAAAATTGTAAGCGCGTCATCACAATCTTTTGTTCCTTTTTTGTCGATTGTGAATGTTCGGTCATGATGATCTAGAAACGAGAGTCGATTGTCTTTGGATTCTAGTGAATATTTCGCAGATATATCACATTCTTTATCGATCTGCTTTAAAATGTCTGGGTCAAAATTGGGAGAGGCATATATCCTGTTGAGATAAATCTCTACCCAGTCAATTTGAGCTCCTAACCTTTTCAACCATTTTACTGCCTTAAGCTGATATGGATATTGAAACCAGCCGAAGGGCTTGATAATTTCGTCCTCCTCCGTTTTAAGTAGATCGAAGTATCGTTGGTAGCATCTATACTCCTTGTCAAAGGTAATAAATTGTATCAGTTGTTCTATTAATTTCTCCTTTTCTTCTTGAGTAAGTATTGATGCTTCGTTCTGATCTCTGTAGGCTGCTTGAATTTTAGCATTAAAGCTTGTTTTTTGTTTTTGCGTCTCCACATCCACAATAGAATAAAGCTTTTTGAAATCATTTGCTGCTCCCTTCTGCTTCTTGTGAGAGAAATCGTACTTGTATTTCAAATCTTGGAAAATGTTCAAGCATAAAATAACAGCAATTTCTTTGACAAAAGTATCGCTAAAATTCGATCCAGACAAGCGTTTCTCTGCGAATATTGAAGACTCGGGCTTTTTTTGTTTAAAGGGCGTCAAGTCAGAAACGTTGTCAATTTTTGCAACTAATTCACAAATAGTCATTTTAGGTGGCTTTGCTTCATTTTTCTCAGATTCGAATATCTCGTTCAAGCGTTTTCGTACGAAACCTAAAGTGTTGTGAACAGATTTAAGTGTTCGGATGAGTTCAATAAAAACCTCTTGCAATCCATTTGGACATTTACACACCCAAGAGCAAACAAGAAGATGAGATCTTCTTTTGAACTTTGAAAACTCGCTTTTTTTCATACGTTCCATAAAGGATGCAACAGTGGACTCTTCATCCCCTTTGATAAATTTGTCAAGTACGTCCTCTTTGGATAGGTCAATATCCTGGAAATAATTCCATTCAGTTGAGTATTCTGATAATAGATATTTAACCTCCCTTGCCTTGAGTTTGGCAAATTTGTTGGAAATAGCAGGAAGATTAGCAGAAAACTCTAACCAAGTATTTGAAGAAAGTAAAAATGATTTCATCAGAATAGAAGCGTGAGAGTTAATGAGGTAAGGATTGTAAGGTTGATTTTGCTTAATCAACTTTTTAACAAATTTCTTCAAGGCTGCATAAATAGCTTTGTTCTTAATGCATGTGGAAAACAGTGTTTCAGAACCTTTAGTGCTATACTTTGAGCTCTGTGTAAGGATTTCTCTTATCTTGGATTGTGAATCTGATTCCTTCGATGCTTGTTGCCAACAAAAATAAAGAGATCCATTAAATGACGCAAATCCGACAATGTAGTCATCCTCATCAAAATTGATTTGGATTTGTTGAGTAGATGAAATTGACTCTGTTTCGTCTTCATCCTCGTCGCTTGATGACTCTTGCTCAACTTGTTCTTTTTTGCGCCCTTTTCTCTGCTTTGATGTGCTTGTCGACGTCGACAATTTAGTGTGTGCTCGGTTCACATTGGACTCTAGCTCTTGGGCCTCATACAACACTGGTGCATTATACGAATTGGGTTGGTAATAGTTGTTGCTTTGAGGATAATAATAAACACAGCCTCCAACTTGTTGTGTGGACGGGTAGGCATATCCTTGAAGGTTGTTGTTCTGATCCGTGTAATATGTGTTGTAACTAGCAGGTGGTGAAGAAGTCATCGACGAAGGATAAAAGGCGGCAGATGATACAGAGAAGCCACTTGATTTTGCTTTCGGAGTGCTCTGGGCATCACTTTGTTCAGGGTTTTGTTTTTGAATAGAGTTTGAGGAAGATTGTGGTGTAGAAGCCTGATTAGCATTCCTACTTCGGTGATTCCTAAAATTTTGCCTAGCATCATTCGGTCGAGCTTTTTCGTTTTCGTCTGTGTTTTGGCCTTTTCTGTTTCTGTAATTAGTGTTTCTGGAGAATTGAACATTTTCGTTTTGGTGATGAGTTGGTTGTGGTTGGCTAGAAGCACTAGTGTCATGGTGTCTGAAATTTGAAAAACGCTTGTAATTCGACTGATTGTCGTTGTTCCTACTCTTTTGTTGTTGATGTGGTTCATCTTGTTGTTGTATATTATTTACATTTTCCTGAGGTCCGCCTTCATTACGTTCCACGCTCCTAGAATCAGTGTTCCTCTTTCTGTACATTTTCTGATTGTATATGTTGTTGTGAGATCTCCTTCCTGATCCTTCCAAATTTTGTGGTTGATTTACATTTGTCGTTGTTGAATTTCGGTTTTTAAATCCTCCAGCGAGACTAGATTCCTGATTCGAAGTCAAATCAGTAGTGCTTTCACCATTGCCGATAGCAGCGCTAGCTACTGGACCATTACTGCTATCGTTCGTTATAGTTGTTGCCGATGATGATTTGTTATTCGGTGGATGTGGATAATAATTTCGTCTGCCATAACTTTGTTCCGTGCTACCATTACTATTACTACTACTTCCTCTTCTTGGAGGATGTTGCTGTGATGATGAGGATGAAGCTGTTGTTTGCTGTTGTTGTCTGTAGAAATTATTTCTATTGTTGTTGTTGTTCTTAGGATGAGCCGATGATGAAGGATGGCTCATTTTTGAAAAGAAAGAAGTTGACTCAAATTTTTTGTATTCTTTTACTCCTCTTCTCTTTCCGAAAATTAGGCTCGCATCATTAAAACGATGCTAGTTTTTGGGGTAAGGTAGTTCAGAATGTTTGTCCTTTTGATGGTCCTTGAACCAGTTTCTTTCTACAATTTCGTCCACATCATTTCGGTCATCTGTCACTTTTTTCATTTAGAAAAAATAAGTGATTGGTTTTTTGTTGGGAGAAAGAGACACACTCGAATCCTCCACCGTGATTTCACAACCACCCCCTCCATCACACGAATCATCAACAATAATTACTTCTCCCTCTGTACCACGTGTTCCCTGAGTCAGACTAAATGTCCAAAGTAGCCGAAAAGGTAAGTACAACAAAACCTGTTGTGATGATGTTGATCATCATTGTTGATGTCAAATATTTGTAATTTCATATCAATTGACATTCATCACTTGTATTTTTATCACCATCAATTCCTCTTCAAATACTGATTTTCTAACAACATTCTTGTTTTGACAAAAAACCAATCGCACTCAATGTTGTTGGTTCTTTCTTCTTCTTGTTGAACTCTATGGAACGATTTTATGATTGCCATCAATATAATGTTGTGGTCAATTCTTCATCATCACAAATATCCAAATTCATTCATCATTAACTTTTCAACTGAACCAATAATTACTCTCTCAATATTGTCCCATTATTGATACTTTCATCTCCAACACAACCTTTGATAATGCACCGACTCGTTTTACTTTTATCATTTTCATTAAAACGAATCATTCTGCATACACACAAAAACACACACTCAAACCTTCCATCATATGATCACCAATACCCACAACAACAATAACCACAACCACAACAACAATAACACCAGCTCTATGTTCTGAGACAACACTCAGACGCTCTCCTCCAACGTCTCTATACCATCAAGAATGATCTCAACGATCCAAATCTGAGGCCAGACATTATGAAGACGACTCTCAACGTCGACATGAAGAAACTTTTCGCTAAACTTGCCAAAGATGCTCCACATATTGCCATTGATGAGTTGGAAAAGGTTCAAGGATTCGATTGGGTTCTCAATAACATGACACAACTCTTCAATCAGGTTCATCCTATTTATTTAACATTCCGTGAATTGATGCAATGGACTGAACACGCGCAACAAACCATTCTTGAAATTTCCACCAATGCCAATATTGATTTTGTTCAAGATGTGAATTTTCTGACGTGTTATGATTATTTGCAAATGTTGGTTGGATATGTGAAATTACTGTTAATGATGAATAGAATCAAGGACAAGGAATTGGTGGTTTGTTTGTTGAATTTGAGTTATTTGAAATTGAACGGAACACCAGAACCAAATATTCAACGTGTTTGGCAATTATTTAAAGATTTCGAAAATCCAATTCCCAAGTTGCAAGAGAAATGGTTCACCATTCAAGATCAAGTTGGAAGAGCTCTCATGGGTTTAATTCCTGCATTCGATAGAGGTACTTTTAACTCTTTAAATATTAAGAGACCTCTTGAAATGTTGTCAGAACCAGATCGAATTCCATTCCCAGCTGTTGATGAAACTTATCAACATTTGAGTTCTTACCAAGACGTTGTTGAATGGATTGCAATTATTTATTCATGTTGTCCAGATGCTTTGACAAAGACTCCAGACAAACCAATCAAAATGACACCACTCGTCACAAGTGCTAAAAAGAACAAGGAAGTTCCTTTACGTTGTTATGAAATTCTCTTACAAAGAGTGTTGGCCAATCATTTGGTCATTCCACTCTACGGAGATGAAGTTTATAACTTCCATGATGCTTTCAAAGAATATGTCATGATCAAAAAGTTTGGAGATTTGAAAAAGGAAGCCAAGACATTGAAGGCACTACAAGAAATGGCAATTGAAAAGTGTCAAGATTACCACAAGGAGTTGCGTAATTATCTCAGATTGCAATTGAAGAGTTTGTTAAACATGATGAAAGATCAACCTGGTTTGTTAGGTCCAAAATTCAATTTGGTTTTGGCTGCTATTTCAATGGCTCGAAGTGAAATCATGTGGTATTTCCATCACAACAATTACATTTCCAAATTACCAAATCAAAAGAAGGTCAAGGAAGTGAAAGAAACACTGATTAGTGAAATGATTTATCTCATGGATGAAATGTTGTACGTTTGTGTGCAACACAGAGAAGTGATTAGAAAGTATTCACTCAAAATTATTAGAGGATTGTATTATAACAAGTTGAGAGGACTTATTGAACAATGTCGAGGTGTTTTGGAACTTGCAAAGGTAACACATATTATGGACGCCATTTTGAATGATATTCAACACACTGAAGATTTTGAAGCTTTGCGTTTGAATTGGAAGAGAGTTGAAGCTTTCTTGTCAGGTTATCAATTCAAACAATCTCTCCCAGAATTGACCATGTTGTTCACCACCATGACAAAGATTGTCATATTTTCCAAACATGTCGATGGATTATATGATGAGCTTGTTGAAAAAGGATCATTGAAGCAATTGTACTTCTACAAGGAAGATGTGGATAAGATCTTTTCAGATGGTCTCATTGGTTCCAAGTCACAACCATTGTACTCGACAGCATTTATTAGAATTTTGAATACCTATGCCGACAATATTCATCCACAACTCAATCCTACTCTCAGAAATAAGATTGGTCAACAAGCTGTGCAAATGGGTGAAGGTATGCTCGGACAATTAGTTGATCGAATCAAGAAGGGTCTTGATTTGTTGAATAGTTCACACGGATATAGAATGTTAACTCATCAAATTGGTGGTGATGTTGCTGCTCAAATCATTCTTCGTAGATATGGTAAGAACAAGCAATATATTGAAGAACCTGCTGTTCCTGGAGTTGAGAGTAACTTTGACAACAATTCTATTAATGACATGCGTGATTTGGAACGTAATGTCACTCAACTCTTATATTCCTTATCGAGATATGATGAAATTGTGGTCTATGACACTGCTTTCTATCCAGTCGAATATTTGAGAACCGTTCTCGAAGAATACATTTCTGAATATATCAAGAGAATTGCAACCACTATTGATTTAACTGCCAAAGAAATGAAGAATGATGCTCTTCAAGCTAAATTCATCACTCCAACGGAATTACTCAACGAATTACATTCTTTCATGTCTTCATTGAAGATTATTGAACAATGTTGCAGTCTCAACACTGAAGAAATTGTGTTAAATTCCATTTTGGAACACTTTGTTCACTTGAATTATGTAGAATCTCCTTTCGGTGTGGTTCAAACCACAGAACCCACCAATTTAATTTCCATGTATGCTCAATGGTACACTGAAATTGTCTCCGATCCTCAGAAATACAAGACATTATATCATCCGAATCGACAAACATTTGTTTCTACCAAAGAAACACCCATTCAAACCTACAATGTGGAACAATATGTGGATTACAATGAATTGAAAGCTCTCATTACCTTGACAGGTCCCTATGGATTCCGAGCCTTCAATCAATCACTCTTAGATGAAATTTATTCTCGAAGTGAAAAGGTGCGAGAAGTTCTCTCTCAGAGCAATAACGCTCTCCGCGACATTGAAAACAAATTATATGATGAAAAGTTTATTCTGGATAAGAAGGTTCGTCAATCTCTTCAAACACTCGAACCACTGTTAGGACTTTTAATTCAATTGGGAGGTATTCTTGAATTCAGAAGAGGTCTTCAACAAGCATTGCAATCGAGTGTACGAAGAAATGCTCCTGCCATTTATGACGTGGTGGACAGTGCCTTTGAACAATATCCAAGAAACTTTTATGGAGATGCCAAATTCTTACCTATTGATGCTCTCGCTACAGATTGTGGATTTGCTGAAGTCGATCACTCGTTGAGACTCAAATTGTCCCCTCTCGTGGATCGATCTCAAGTTTGGGAAGTCTTGCCAATTGCTTTTGCTGCTCTTGTGATTCTTGACAAGTGTTGGAAAGAGAAGGACAGTATCTATGATGTCAATCTTGAAGGATGGTACAACAATACTCATCTCTCTATTACTGCTTTCCATAGACTCTTACAGGCAGTCCATTCCATAAAATCCAACAAGATTATGGATCTTGAAAAGGACTATAAGAGATTTGCAGAATTTGCTGCCATGATTCTTTTGCACATGAATGGAACCAAAGGTTATGAAAAGCAATATGATAATTGTTGTATTTTCTTGGATCGAACTTTGAAGACCTCGAAACATTTGGATATTTCCTTCTTTGAAGATTTACTTCCATACCCACTCATTCGTACCACCTATGTGAGATTCTTTGAGCCACATCAATTCGAAGAATTGGCTCAAGAAGCTGCCAATATGGAAAAACAAGCAGCACAGAATAATGCAGCTCAAACCAATGCAAATACTGAGACTGAGACTCATTAGTTCGAATTCGTTCCAAATGATGAGCAGTAGTAGTAGTAGTTTTTACACATTTATTCTGTGTTTGTTGTTGTTCTTGTTGTATTCATAATATATATCTATTTTTTAATGAGATAAATGTGTTGTTGATAGATCATTGATCAAATGATTGTTCGAGTTGTATTATTTGCGTGTGTGTGGCTGTTTGGCATTCATTCCCGCTCATCTCCTTACAACACGGTATACATTTCAAAAAAAATTACAAAAGCTCTGAACTAACTTCTCCATCATGTCCTTGTTCAGACTTCGGGAATGGTGGAGTACAAAATGTGGAGACTCTGAAGAGTTTGAAAAGGGATCATTATGTATTGGAAATGTGGATAATGAAAGAGGTGATTCCGGGACTTGTTTTTTGGACAAGATTGTTGTTGGAAGTTTATCGGGAATGTTGAGAATATACAAACCTCAGAAGAATAGCTATTATCCTACCGATTTATTGTTAGAAAAACAGTTGGAGGCCCCAATTTTGCAATTGGAAATCGGAAAGTTTATTCCGTAAGTAGATTGGGCTGTGTTTCAATACTTATTCTTCGATGGCTTGCATAGAAATTCGAGAGACAATGCATTGGGTGTGTTGATGCCAAAAAAGTTTGCAGTGTATACAATCGTAAAACAAGCTTCAGATTACTCATCGGAACAACAAGATAGCAATGCAATGGAGGGTTACGCATTACAATTATATTATGAGCACGCTCTTCAACGATTGTCTTACAATTTTTGTTACGGACCCTTTGGAGGCGCTTATGGAAAAGACTACATTTGCATTCAATCTTTTGATGGACAATTATCATTCTTCGAACAAGATCATTTCACTTTTCATAGATTTCTCTCGACAAGTTTAATACCTGGCCCGTTGACATACAGTAGATCAATGGATAGTTTTATCACGTTCAATTCTTCTATGGAAGTAGAAGCATACAAATACCAAATGTTAGCAGCTTCTTCTGGATCTAATCAAAAAGAAAATTCAAATGGAAAGAAAGTAAAAGCGACGTGGTCCGTGAATGTCGGAGAAGAAGTTTATGACATTGTAGTTGGGAGATACAGCCAATATTTATCAGCAGGACAGAGTGAAATCCTTGCTGTGGGAGAAAGGACCCTTTTTAGCATTAAGGAAAATGGTGAGCTTGCATCACAAATGAGGTTTGACTACTTTCCAAGTGCAGTGGAGCTATACAAACCAGGAACTGATCAGAGTATGTATTTCAGCATTTCAACAGCATAGTATTGACTTTTGGTAGATGACAGGTATAATTTACTAATTGGAACCCACAACAAAACAGTCATGATTTATTCTGACCCAAAATTAGCTTGGGCTGCAGGTATGACTTCAACCCCTGTTGCGATCCGAGTAGCTAATATTGGAGGAATTAAAGGAGTAATTGTGACACTAGACGAAGAAGGCAATTTAGCATTAAATTATTTGGGAACAGGTGCCATATCAAATACAGTTCCCACTCTTGAAAACAAGGATGTCGACTACGAACGACTGGAAGAAGAAACAAAACGATTACAACAAATTATTCGAAGAACAAAACGAAACCAAAAAGACGAATCATCGGAATCACTTATCATACGAGCTCAAATTCCAAACACTGTTGACCCCGAATCGTTTAATACTGGAAATGAGAACAAACGAGTAACCATTCAATTGTATATTGGCTACACTGGAAATAATTGTGTGCTTGAAAACATTACGGTCAATTTCCATGTCGAAAAACCATTTTATGTAATTTCGCCTACAACCTACATTACCACTCTTAGTAAGTTTTTAATTGAACTTAAATACTTGACTTTCATGCAGACGGAGGTAACCAAAGCACTCCTTTCGTTTTACCTGTAACTGTTTTTGGAGGAAGTGACTGCACACCAAAGAGCTTGGAGGCTAGTGTGACAGCTATTTATCACGATCCAGTAACTGGCCAGCCGAAAATATCCAACTGCAATTTCCTTCTTCCGTTTGGGCTCTGCGGAGATGTCGTTCCTGCAAAGAAAAGCTCAACGCATAAGATTACTCTTGACACCAACAAATCCCCAATTCCAATAGCAACCTTATTTGAAGATTTAATACAAAAAGATGATACAGAGACGTCCAACTTAATAAGTGAGAACATTTTAACTATGCAATATTCAAACGGAAAAGATGCAACCATCCTTGTTTCAAAGAATGCTGGAAGGTACAGAATTCAATCGTCTTCATTAGACGCAATGTACATTTTAGTCAAAGAGACACTACGAAGGCTCAAACAATGCGCCACTGCTCTTCAAATGGAGGATAAACAACCAATGAAAATTGAATTTACAGAAAATATGCCATACTACCCTTACTTTGATGTCATTGATGCTCATTTCAAGAACAGATTAGGACTTCACATATACTATCAACAATTAGACAAGCTTGCTGCTCAATTCCGAGCTTTACAAAAGAGATTATTAGTTCGATACAAAGACAAGAACCCAACTTCCATTAACAGTTTAGATATACTTTTTGACAAGACTTATCAAGAAATTTTAGCTCTCACTAAAAAGATAGAGAAAACCCAGCAATCTCTGAAAGAAGCATCTCATGACCTTACTTGTTCGACGTTGTTGATGCATGTGCTTGTTACACTCAGCCATTCTTTGGATGACAAAGAGACAGAAGTTTTGGAAAATCATTGGCCCTCATTTGTCAATGACGAATCTCCTGGCTGGGAGGAAACGGCTGATTTTGGCTTGGGTCAATTATTGAACACCGTGCTAACCAAGAATCCAAAGGAAAAAAGCTTTCAGACAGAGCTAGAGATGCTCACAGACACGAGTCGCCTGAAAAAGAGAATTGCCAACGTGGTTGAAAAACTGCAATCGTACAAGTTGGTACCCGCCGAAGCCAAAGACGAGAAAAAAAAGTAGACCATTTCACACAATACAATAAAAAGCGTTTACATTCTTTTATTTTCTTTGTTGTTCTCTTTTTCTGAGCAAATCGAATCCAAGAACGACATACTTTTCATAATCAAAGAATTTGGTGTCAAATTCGTCTTGCGAAATCACTCCTGGTTTGCGCAACTCTTTCAATTCCTTAATGTCAGCATTGAAACCAGAAACACTTTGCTTCTTTAACTCATTAGAGGTAAATGTCACTGGAACAAACAAGGGCTTAAAGCTTGATCTTTGAATACTCTCTCTTGCTTTGACATTTTCATACCACGCAGAGAAAAGCTTCAAAGCATCAGCAGTTTGTTGAGAAGCATTGCCAAAAGGTTCAAAAAGATTCAAGCCATACTTGTGTCTCAAGATAATTTCCAAGCGAGTTACAAAAGGGAAGTAAGCAATATCGACCAAGCTGAAATGATTTCCGAAAAAGTATGGTCCTTCAGAGACAGCCTTTCTTGCAGCTGAAAATCCATTTCTCACCAAAAAGGTCAACTTATCTTGGATAGGAGTGAGAATTTCTGCTTTGACTTTTTCAAGCGAAGGCTCCTCTCCAAAAACTAATTTGAAAAGCAATGAATTGACGTTAGAGTCAAAGTAAGAAATCCAAATTTTAGCAAGAGATTTCTTGTAGGCACTCTCAGCTTGACCATCGTTCGAGTTGATTGGAAGTAATTCTGGAATCAAGACTTCCTGCAAGAAATCATTAATGACCAACGATTCATTAATGATGAGTTCCTGTTCGGAATTGGATCCGTCGTTCAACTTGAAGCGAATGGTTGGAACCTTTCCTTGTGGATTGATGCTCTTAAAGCTATCAGTCAATTGCTCGTTCAAGTACAGGTCGACTTCATGGTACGTGATGGCAGTTGCTTGTTGGTCCGAAGAGAATGCATCTAATTTGTTGGCGAGTTGAGCTTCAATCAACGCAATCAATGAACGATGAGCGTATGGACAAAAGAAATAAGTGTAAAATTGAAGACTAGAAAAGACTTTCTTGACTGGTGCAGAAGACATTTTGTTTTGATTTTGGTGTGAGATCTAATCTGGTTGGCAAGTTTTTAAATGTTTTTGCAAGTTTATCCGATGTGCATCGGGTGCATTAATTTCAAGGATGCATACTTTTTCAAAGATTGGAATTTCTGAGTCTTGCGGAACTGGAAATGAGGAATCATGGAGATGGAACCAACGATATCATCATTTGGGAGTAGTAAAGAGGAAGAACATTTGGAATTTTTTAATCTCTGAAGAATACACGCGCACCAGAGAAACTGAAAAACAGTAATTCAAATTCTCTCTTGTAACTCAGGATTCGGTTCAAAGTAAGGTTCATGGTTTGCAACTCGTCATCGTTTTGCATCATCTTTTCTCGCTCCTTCTCTGAAATCTTCTTATTCTTTCCACCTTCGTTTTTCTTTTGACTGAGTTCAGACATGGTTCGTTTGGTATCTTCGTATTCTTGTTTGAAAGTCATGGCTACGCTTTCGAACCAATGCAAACTATCGAATTTATCGTTTTGACTCAAAACCTTCAAAATGAATGCAATTCCCAAAGCAAAACCGTCATCAGTAAAGGATGCTTCTTTTCCGGAACGAATCATCTTGTCTTTAGAGATAAGCATGGCTTCTACAAAGCTCAATGTTAAAGCAGGAATAATGATGTAAAAGTTTCTCAAATGGTTGTTTTGTTCTTTCATCATTTCATTCTTGAATACAGTTTCCAATGTTTTGAAATAATCACTTTGTTGCGATTGGGAAATTTTGGCCATATTCAAAACCACTTTGTGTAAGTTGTTGGCAGCATTCATGGTCTCTTCAGAGAACACATCCTTACACAAGACGCTAATGTTGTTTGCATCGTCTTCTTTCTTTTCTTCAGTATTATTTGTCACATCTGTTGGAGGAGCCGATTCAGTGCCTTCTGCTGATGTTTCATTTTCAGTTTTCTCTTTTTCTTCTTTGGATTCTTCAACATCTGGGAAACAATTCATTGGAACAAATTGAATGGCGTCATTGATGTAACGAAGACCACCAGCACGTATCATTCTTACATATCCCAATGCATTACCAATTTCGGTGATGAGAACACGGAATTGATCCAGATAGGACAAACCAGTTTGTGGATTAACTCCCAATTTCTTAATGTCCTTGATGAACTTTTTGGCACTCTTGAGAGGGAATTTGTTATCAAGGGACTTGAGAGCTTCGTCTTTATAGAATCTGATATCCTTAAGAAGTCTGCTCTTAATGTGATCGTCAAACAAGAATTGAGAGAAAATGTAGAGTTTCTTTCCAAGGAATCTAAACACAAAGTTGATAGTAGTGTTCATAATACCTGTACCGTGAGTTCGAATCGAGTTTGCAATGTGCTTGATGTGGAGTACATTGAGACTTTTAGCATCTGACTTGGCGCATTGTTCAATAAACATGTTTTGATTGAGGTTGTAAGAGAATTTGGAAACAAAAATATGAATGTTTCGAGTAATTTCCAAAACGTCAAGTCCCTGCTCTAGAGTTTGTCCAGGAAGATACACATTCACTAAATGCAATCCATACTTTTCATATGCCAAGTTTCTCATTTCTTCATAAGTTTTCCAGTCGTGGAGGGCCAAAATGGTAAAATCATAGAACGTCTTATCAAGATATTGCTCTACCATTCTCTTGATTTCTATAATTTTGTCGTAGAATCTGATTGGACCTAGTGTTTTGAAGAATGGAGATAGATCCTTAGTATGGGAAGAAATGACTTTCTTTTTCAAAACATTGGTGTTGTGGATGTGAAGTCTGAGATCTGTTTCAACTTCTTGACATAGAGGATCCACAATTTTTGTTTTAAAGTATGTCATTACCTCGTCAATGTAAGAGTTGACTAGTGCTTTTCCTGCGTCTTCCAAGTGGACTGCTGTTGGTGTTGTTCCATCCTTGGCAGAGAGAAGAACATTGTATAATGGATCTTGAAGTGCAGACATCATGAGGTGGAGTTGTGGAGCACGAGATGGATTTTCGTATACCTTGTCGAAGAAGGCTGGGATTACTAGTCTGTTCCAGTACAAGTATGAACAATCACAGTACTCGTTTAAATATTCGTCAAAGTGTGCAAGTACTTCCAATCTCTTCATTAAAACTTTGACTTCTTCATACTCTGATTCTTTGAATAAACCTGCAGCTCTGGAGAAGGCAACTGCTAATGTGAGATTGAGTAATACTAATCTCTTTCTACTGGCATGTCCTGAATCCAATAAATGCAAAGCCAAAAGAACAGCGCTTAATTGATCGGCATCTGCATTACTTTGCTTCTTCTTTGTTTGAAGTCTGTTTCTCAAGACCACAAGGAAGTTTTGAATCTTGAAAGTTAAGAACTCGGTAATGTAGCTGATGTGCTTTGCCAATTGTGGAGACTTTCTATAAAAACTATTTTGAATGCTTTTGACCATCTCAACCATTCCACACAATTGGAGCACTTGAGACATGGTCAAACTCTTACCAGCCAAAATGTGTAGATAAATTCCATTTTTAACGAGAGTGTTAATTTGTTGAGCAAGCTCGAGTCCTTGTAACAACAATGATCCTTCAATAGCAAGAACATCTCTACCTGACGATGCCAATACGTCAAAGTTCGACTCAAATCGACTTTCCCAAATGTTCATCTTGAGATTGAGTTGATTAACCATAGTGGGGAACAACGTTTTCATCAAGTTTTCCATGTACTTGGATCTGTCTGCTTCAATTTCCTTCTTTGGGTTCTTAATACCTGCAACCCTGACCATGTCTGGCACTTTGGTAAAGAAAAATTCTGCTGAAGACCACACAGTGTTACCGTACAAATGGATGATTGGGCACTTTTTGTGGAACTCCCATACTTGCTTGAAAAGTTTCTTCAGAGTTTGGTTATCCATCCATAAATTGAAATATAAAATGTATAATCCACAAAAACCCACAAATTCCTGTCGCTTCTCGAGTACGGATTCCAAAAAGGTGGCAGTGCTGTTGGATCCAGAAAGAGATGCTGCGCCTGATGATTGTACTTGGAAAGTAGCTGAAGGTTGTACAAACACCGTGTTCATAATTTCCTCAAATTGTAATTTCAAATGATATTCTATTTCTGCTTTAAGTAATTTGTTTCTCTGCACGTTTACATTGACAGTCTCGACTTTTTCTTGAGTTTCTCCGGTTTCATTTTGAACTAATTGAGAATATGTTACTACGTCATCAAATGCTTGATTGATACAAGACTTAAAAATTGAATCATCTAAAACATCTCCTTCTACTTTTTCTAATAAATAATACACCTTTCCCACATTTTGTTTTGTAGTTCCGTATCTCTCAGGTTCAGTCATGACTGTTTCGATAATTGAAATGAACACATGTTTTGAAATTTTTCAAAAACACATACCCTTACTGATCATTCTCTTGTACAGTGTTAAATGATGGGAAAAGGCGCTATTTTGAAGAATGATTTCATCCAATGTTATCAATACTCCAAGCAGTTCGCTAAGACTTTCAAATACTCTTTCAAAATGACACCATTGATTTTGTGCGCCACCAGGTCCTCCAAGATAGGTCGATAAATTCTTGTCGTTCGTATTGGCATCACAAAACAAGCTTGCTAATTGGTGAATTGTCGACTTTACCACGTAATTGGATCGTGCACAAAAGTTCCATAAATCCATCAATAGAGGAATAGCTCGTCCGAATTGTAATTGTTTCTCACCATCTAATTCATCTTGATCCTGTACTGTTACACCAAACAATGAAAGTGTTGGATAGAAGTGTTGTTTTGCAAATGATGATAAAAAAGTCATCTCTTCACAAAGGTGAGCGAATACTAAAAGAACTTTTCTGAGGATTTGATTCTCCGTTGAGATTTGCAATAATTCATCGAAACGAAGATTTTCATTGGGAGAAAATCTAAATCGGATGAGAGGTTGTGAAGTTCCTATAATGAATCAACATGATGAAAAGTGGTCAAAGATATTCACAAATATATTTCTAATTATCACGTTTCTCGCAATAATACCTACCTATACTTCCAACAGCAGGCATACCCGAAGCCGAACCAATCTGAGTCTGATCAAAGGATTCCAATAACTGGGAAACCATCTCATCATGATAGCTTTCTTGCATACTACAGGACAACAATTGAAATTCACTCAAAAAATTCTTCATATTCTCAAAGTGTTGTTCTTGTGGAGTAAGATCGGGTGCCTCTATAAACTCATCGTACAGATACGATGATGCTGCAGCACTGCCGAATGGATTGGCTGATGAGGGTGCATAGGAAACGGGCATTTTTGTTGTCTTTGAGAAAAATCCCAACAAAAAATCTTTGAGTGGCTTGTTGTTGTGAATCTGCAAATGGGGCATTAAAATTTAAAAAATTCAAAAATTGAAAACTTTAAAAAATTGCTCCGAAGATAAAGGAGACAACTTACTGTTTTATTACATGGAACTCTCCAGAGTTATGGTTTAATTTGAGGCCTATCGTAATATAGATTGATAGCAAATTTTGTTGTGTGCTTTTTTCAACGTTGTTGGACACACCAATGATGATGATGCTCACGAATCATCATCGGAATTACAAAAAAAGGCTTGTCTCTTTGATATTGACGAATGGTGTACTATTAGTTGTGAATTTACTCTTTCTGATTTATCCTGTCTGGTATTTTGTGGATTTCATTTCATCCAAAATTACAATTTCTCATTCCATTCTCTCTCATGGGCAAAAAATTAGAGATTTGGAATACAAGCCACCCACACCATTACCATCCAAGTTAGGTCCATATATTAAGATTCCAGACCCTTATAGAAATCATTTTCAAAATGTGAACGTAACGTTACCTTGTGAATCATCCATGATACTTCTTTCATTTAGTGCTAATGCTTCGATTGACGTTTTAGTGTTCAGACATGTTGAAATGTTTGAAGCATACATGAATTTGTCAAGTCCAAGTCATTTACATTATTTAAATGAAACAACACTCTCCCTGTTAAGAGAATATCCATTAGACAGGAGTACAATAATGATATCTGATAACTCATTTGCAAGCAGATTCTTTTCAACCAAAATTTATGACAGTAACACCTCTGTGGTCGACAGTCATGAATTATGCAAAAATGGAACATTTGAAATTTATCTCGTATTTAGAAAATTAATAACTCAACAAGAATATATATCTATTGACTTTTGGTATTGGTTAGAGTATCAAGATAATAGAGGATTTTTTAAATTCAATGTAGCAATTTTATTCGTGCTCTTCATGATGCTCTTTAACACAATTTATTTACTTAATGCTAAATCATTGTTAAGGTTATTACCGGCGTTATCTGGAGGAGACGCTCATAGTACGTTCTCTGAAAGATTGAAAAACTTTTTGTCACTTGATACATGCTTGTGTTATGATTGGTGTTTACCATCTCGACCAAGAAACCGTGGTCGAATACACGCCCTCGCTTCCGGAGGTAGATTCATGAGCGAAGAGGATACTCTCAATGAACACCTTTCACCACCAAGAGCAGAGTCCATTTCCTTCCACGAGTTAGCTTTCACTTCCTTCACAGGTAAGGAAATTTTACATCCTATCAGTGGTGAAATAGCTGCTGGTCGTCTTACTGCGATTGTGGGAAAGAGTGGTAGTAGCAAATCAACCTTTATCAACACTCTCTGTCGAAGAGCGAGTCATGGGCTACAGAGTGGAAAAGTATTTGTTTCCGATAAGGAAATTACTCGAGAGACTTGTCAAATGATTGGTTTTGTCCCTCAGGATGATATTATTGCGAGTGACATTACTGTGAGAGAAGCTCTAGAGTTTAGTTTACGCTATCGAAAAAGAAGACAATTTTCTTCACAGCACATAATTGACACGCTTGGAAAGTTAGGTCTGCTTCATGTACAACATTCTCTTGTTTCTGAAATTAGCGGTGGTGAAAGAAGAAGAACATCGATTGGCATTGAGATAGTCAATGATACTCCCATACTCATATGTAAGTTAATCAATGATGAACATTTATTTGTGTCAACATAACTCTCCACAGTGGATGAACCAACGTCAGGATTAGATTCTGAGACTGCATTGAGTCTTGCCCTTACTCTTCGATCCCTCGCCGAAGACAACCACTTGACCATTATTTGCGTGATCCATCAACCCTCAGCTGAAGTATTTCAACAATTTCATAACATGTTACTCTTTTCCGAAGGACAGTTGTTACTACATGCTTCAGTGAATGATGTCATTGAGACACTGAAAGAGAAAATCCCCGTGAATGAAATTCGATTAAACCCAGCAGACGAAATTTTACGAACCTTAATTGATCCAATTAATGGAACTCCCATCCTCAGGGCTATTCAGAAAAAACAAGAAGAAGAGAAAAGTACTACTAGTGTTGAATTGGTAGGCAGTAGCAACAACAGTTCTGAATCCTCTCAGGACTGTACATCTAATTACATTTCTGGTGACTTCTCAACTGCTCCTTTTTGGGCTCACTTTGTTGCATGTATGGATCGTTCTTTGCGACAGTTTTTTAGAAATTGGAGATTACTAATTGTCGATATTCTTATTTGTGTTGGTATTGGAGCATTGATTGGCTCAATTTTTAACAAGCTAGAATTTAAAGGTTCAGTGAGTGAGGAAGTTTTCAAACAATGTCCATTAATTCTCAGACCGTTTTCAATGCTTCCCATGTCCGATAAGATTGCAGCATTTGTTACTTTTGTGGAATTAGCACTTGCCATGATTGCCATTATGCGAGCATTGAGAGTATTTGGACATGATATGGAAAACTTTAAACGAGAGTCTTTTTCAGGACTTAATTCATGGATGTTCTTTGCATCTAAGGATTTGATAAGCTTAATACCGATCGTACTCATTTCCTTGTCATTCACGGCTGGATTATTTATTTCTCATCCCCAAGCAAGTTTTGGAATTTATTATCTCATTTCAATATTGACCATTTTAGCATCCTTCCCAATAGGATACATGATATCATTCTTTTTCTCTCCTCATACTGCTCAATTAGCAGCAACGATGGTAGTACTGTTGTTGTACTCAATTTCAGGAAATCAACCCACTCTTCCTGAGGTTGAACAATTACCCTTTCCATTTTCTTATTTTCACATTTTCACCTATTTAAGATTTGTTAAGGGATTGTTGTATATGGTTGAAATTGAAACGAGAAGTCAAACAGAACGTATTGATTCTGCCTTGTTTATCAACGGATACGAGATTGAGTCTGTTGGTTATTATTGGTATGCCATGATATTTTGGTGCGTTCTATTTCGAGTTTTTGCTGTGTTTTTAATGTGGCAATTACAGCCTCACTCATTATTGAATCGATCTATCATGTTGTTCAAGGCAGTCGGAGGAAAGATGGTTCAAAAAGTTAAGAGTGCAACTGCTGAAATGAGAGATGACATCATGTCATCATCCACCGCAAGTGATAGAAGAGTATAATACCAGATTACTTGAGCTGTATCTCAATGCCAAATAATTTGCTTTCCTGACAATTTGACAGCCTTTACACCCTCTGTAAGCGAATGAAAGTTTTGTTGAGGCAGTCTTAAAATATGCAAACTTGAGCTAGTTGCTAAAACTTTCAGAAGCTCACTCGTGATTGTTCTCGTTTCTGAGGCAAAGTCCAACAACAAGTCTTTGAGATTTTCTGCTCTTGCAATCAATTCTGCAGAGTATTGTGAAATGAACGATCCAATGATTGATAAATGTTCCAAATTTGATTGAGGTAAATATTCAAATGGAAGTTCTGATAATTTGCTAAATCCATCAATATGTAAGCTCTTACATGTTTTGAGCTTCATGAAAATATGAACGAGAGCATCATTTCCAATTTTACCTGATATTTTCAATCTCACAAGAGCTGGATGCCAAGCCAACAGTCTGTACCCATAGTTTGTAATTTGTTTGTTTGAATTAACATGTAGAGCCTCTAGTGTTGAGTTTTCTTGAACAAAAAATCGCATGCCGTCATCAGTTAAATCGTTGTAACTAGCATTCAAGTTTCTCAGAGATTTCATTCTTGCCAAGTGCATAAATCCAACATCAGTTAAATAGCATTTTCGCATGGAGAGAAAGTGGAGCTGATTAAAATTCTTGGAAATGACTTCAGCAATACTGTCTCCACTGGTATTGCTATTCCCACAGGTCAATGAAATATCTAGTGCTCGTAATGAGCTTGAAATGTTGAAAATTGATGAATCAATAATTGCTGGTTTAAGATGCCGTATGCACAAACTGACAAAGTGAGGTTGCTGAAGCAGTTCCATGATACTCTCAGGAGACACAGTAGATCGCAAGGAGGAGATGTTCAAATATTTAATGTTTCTTCCATAGCGAGCTATTTGTGTAATTTCATTATCTCCTAGTTTGTTGTACGATAATGTTAAATCTGTCAAATTATTATTAAAAGCTAGGGCTGTGAGATTTGTCTCTGCAATTTCTACGTTTTCCAGTAAATTTAATGTTCTTAATTTACTATTACTAATCAATGACTCCAATCCTGTACTGCTGATGTTATGTTGCGGAGCTTGTAATTCAATCAGCCCACTATGCTCACAAAATGTGTGTTCACAGAAGCTGTCGTCTATATGATCAATTCCAACATTTCCAAGTTTAAGGCGTTGTAACTGTGGATTTTGTTCCATAAAAATACGTAAGCCAGTCATAGAGATGGAAAATGCGCCTCTTATATGTAGCGATTTCAGTTTTCTCGTGTGTGAAAGAATATTCAGGGCCTCATCATCGAGCACATGGCTGTAAATATCAAGAGATTCCAACTGTTTCATGCAATGAAAAGGATACAAGGTTGTTTGTGGAAAGTGTAACGTACTCGAGCGAGGTCTTCGATCCGCCAATGTAAGATTTTTCACATACTTCAAAGGAAAGTAGTATTTATACAGCACATCAAAGTCATAAATTTCTAATTCAATACTTGGATAGAGTAAAAACACACTTCTCTGTTGTGGATTGATCTTTTTCACTCCAAATAACTGTAAAATTTGATTCCAATTAAATTCTCGCAAAATAAATGTGTGTTCCAAATAAATGTTCACAAACTCCATGATATGAATGACCAATTCCAAATCAAGCCTAGAATAACATGGTAAATGATGTTCCGATTCCAAATAATTTTTGATCTTTTTCAAGGACGGTTGTTGATTTTCATTGATAATATTCTCAACATCGAATCTATACAGATGATTATGAGGATCGGAAGCTTGGTTGAAGCTTCTTTTCATTTTTGTTTTGATGATGATGAACTTCAAGTAAAGCGAAGGATATTAAAATTAGTAGAGATACAAACATGGAAGTGGCGTCCAGCTCGTTAATTATATCAATTCACTCGACCTTCATTTGAGTTGTAATCATCTTGACCGTTTGCAATATGAATAGAAACGAAAACAAATTCATGATGAACCCGATTTGTTGATTTGAAATAATGGCGCCAAAAAATGTCTCAACAGTTGTGGACTGAAAAATAGTATGTAGCACAGTGCATCATCGGTTCGGATCAGAGTTTATTAACATTTCATCGGATTGATTGAAACATGTACTATCAATAACCTCATATTTCATGCCATATGATGAACAACGTTTTTTTGCCATCTTTTCCGAATTGTTGTTTCATGAACCATTATCAACAGCCGACCAAAAACTGTGGATGATGTCGTTCATCAAGAAGAAGTTGTAAATGCTCTCAAGAATAGCTTGCAAGAGGGAAACTTACCGCATTTATTATTCTATGGACCTCCGGGTAATGGAAAGGTATGTGATTTCAATTTTCTTGTAAAATATTGAATTCAACATCATCAAATCATAAATGCCTCATTCCTTTTCAGACAAGTACAGCAACCGCTATTGCAAAACAATTATTTGGTCCTGAATTATATAAAAGTCGAGTATTAGAATTGAATGCGAGTGATGAGAGAGGAATTAATGTCATCAGAACCAAAGTGAAACAATTCGCTCAGACTGCAGTAAGTGAAAATCCACCATCGAAAGGGAAATATCCTTGTCCACCATTTAAAATCATTATTTTAGATGAGGCTGATTCAATGACGGTAGACGCACAATCTGCATTGCGTAGAACTATGGAAACATATTCAAGTGTCACAAGATTTATCTTAATTTGCAATTATGTGAGCAGAATAATTGATCCAATTACATCGAGATGTGCCAAATTCAGGTTTAAACCGTTGGATAACACGTTGTTGAAAGAAAGACTGCAAATGATCGCTGATAAGGAAGGAATTACACTGCAAGATTCAAAAGTTTTAGATAGAGTTGTTTCTCATAGTGAAGGGGATATGAGAAAAGCGATCACAACCTTACAGAGTGCTTCCAGAATGTTTGGATTTTCTATTGCTGAGAAACATATTGTGGAAATTTCTGGTACAGTTCCAGAAGAGTTGATTGTAAATATTCTCAAGTTATCAAAAGAGCAAGACGTCAATGTAATCAAAAAAGAAGTAGAAAGAGTTATCAAACAAGGTTATGCTGCCTACCAAATAATCAACCAATTGGCAAATTACATTCTAAGCGATCATTGTGAAGTGAAATTAGACGATCTTCAAAAGAGTAAGATTCTTTTGAAAATTGCATCATGTGACAAGTGCCTTATTGATGGAGCAGACGAATTGTTGCAATTGCTATCACTCGTTTCATTCATGGCACAAACTGCAGGAGTAGATTCAGATGGTGATGTGTCCATGTATTAAATTATTAATTCCAACAATTTCAAATGTTGTTGATCTTTCAGCGTGTTACAAAAAAAATGTCTCAACACATCGTCCCACCATCCGAAAACACCTCAACCAACGATTCGGAATGTTGGATTGGATCGTATTTTCGAGATTGTATTGAAAATAATGAACAATATACACCAAACGTGCAATGTGATGAAAAAGTACAAGAGTTCTATAGAACATTAATTTCGGAATGTGGACAACAAATTTCTCTTCAAATTGTGGAGTGTGATAACAATGCAAGAGCCTACTACCAACGAAGATTCAATCACGAAAAACAAGTGGAGGAGCGAAGTATCATTGTATGTAAAAACCATGTACTGGAAGAGAAGGATTTGAATGAAGTGTTAAGACATGAGCTTATTCATGCCATTGATGATTCTCCAAAATGCTCAACAGTTAATTTAAGAAATTTACATGATAGGAGCTGTAGTGAGGTGAGTCATCAAACACATGTTAATATAGTAAATTGATCACAACAATATTTTGGTTGGAATAGATACGAGCTGCATATTGGGCGGAATGTGGATCATTACTGAGACCACGTTCAAATACTGAGCCATCCAAAGTTCATTATCAATGTGTGAAACACACTGCTGTAAGTTTTCATTACCTTCTCTTGAATAGACTTGAGAAATCACCAATTTAACCAAAATATTAGATGCAATCGGTCAAACTCGATCATCCATTCGAACTTGTCCCAGAATCAGTCAAACGAATGATGTGGAAATGTTACAATAGCAAAATTCGACTCAATAGTGGGGATTAAGCATCTCTTCTACATCACTCCAACTCCTTAATTTGCTTTTGCTGCTTCAAAATTTGCCTTTGATCCCCATATGGCTCATAGTGTTTTGGTTGATTGATAAATGGTCCAGAGAAATTGAATCGAATGGTGCAATCAGAGTTTTTCTTGGTTGAATAAAGACATGCAGCTGGAAATAGCTCATAAAAGTCGTCTTGTATCGCTATGGATTTGATTTCTTGAATTCTTCTATTGGATTCTTTTTTGATGAGAATAATTTTTTCTCCATTCTTGTAGAACGTGAGCTTCTTCTTTGTTTGATTGATGCCACATCCAATCACGTCACCAGCTCCGAATTTTGTTCCAATAAACATTCCTTTTCCGTAATGGTGCAGTACTGTGAAATTGTGTTCGCTCATGTACATCATTCTAACTAGATACTTACATCCGTCTGACTGCCAACTGTAACCAAATTGATTTCGATTACCAGGCGTTAATCCAATGATTGGTCCATCACAACTTGATCGATCCACATCCCATCCAATACTAATGCTTGACCCAAACGATTCATCAAACTGTTCAATCAATACTTCAAAATACCATTTGGCCCATCCTTTGTAATTTAAGGAATGGGTGGCATGCACAGTGGAGTATCTTTTTTGCCCTTTCAAGTGAACCGTTACAAAATCATCGTCAATGCTTAAGAATGGCGAACATCTTTCAGTGTTAAGAGAGACATAAGGTTTCTTGTTTTTTCTCTTTTCAATTTCTGATTCCAATACGTCAGGAAACACACACCCCTTTTTAGTGAGCTCCATTAAATCCTCTACAGTCTTGTCTCTGAATTCATCTGCTAACATTCCTTTTCTATATTCAATTTCTTTTTCAACCATTGCTCTTGAAAAATGAAATCCATAACTATTTTTGAGATCCTTAAGTTTTTGAACTGGTAACTGAGCGAGAATTTCCGCCATCGTTTCAGTCATCATTCTTGCCCCAAGAGCTTCATGATACAAGTGTATTTCAAAGTTTTCCGTCATGGCTTTGATGCAAGAGTTCTTTAACTCCGTTGCTTGAAGAAGATCAGCCAAAATTAGCAGGGAAACAAGAGTTTCTTTAGGGAATATTTCATTCAGTAATTTCTCATATTTAACCAGATCACCAGAAATTTGGTTTCTTCGCGTGGTTTGTTGTTTTGAGAAGAGTTCTTTCGTTTTTCGAATTTCTTCATCAAAAAAGAGATCAACTTCCTTCTTTCTCGCCTCAAAAAGTTTGTCCACCTTGTCCAGTTCATTGTATTTGTGAACTTCATAAAGCAATCGCAATTTTTCCATATCAAATTCTTTACATTTTTCCATAGTCTGCTCCAGTTCAGCTTTGTACCTTCTGATATTTTCTTCGAATCGTTTCAAATGTTTTATCTTTATCTCATTTAACTTGTTGACTGCATCATTAATATTATTTTCATTTTCTGCGTTCACTTCCTCCTGTTTATCCAATATTAAATTATACTTTTGTTTTAGATTTGGGTTTTCAGAAAATAGAAGGAATTTTTTAAACGTTTCAGGGTGAAAGCAATCGTATAACTTTAAATCCTTGTATTGCTTATCATTTTCACTGAACGCGATTTGTTTGAACTTTTCGTCGTTCTCATCTACAGCGATTTTGGTGACAGGATCTTCCAGAATTTTCTTAACAGCATTGCTAGTAGCCACATAATAAACCTCACTTACCTTTATGACTGGTGACGCTTCTATTAGGTATTTTTCTCTACTTCTGAGTGTGGCAGGACCAAAGTTTTTGCCACTCACTGTAATATCGACACGAATACTTGCATTCTTGTGAGAAGGATCAATATATACACTGGATTGGGCTCGGTTAATAGATTTCGGTATGTTTGATTTCTTTTCTCGTTGCTTTTTCAATTTCAATAGCTTCTCCTCCTCCGTTTTTTCCTTCTCCAACTCTTCTTTCTTTTGTTTGGTTAGCTCTTATATTAATAATGGCAATACTTACAATCTTTTCAATTTCTTCGTTGACTTGAGCGTACAAAATTTGGTATCTTAATCCCATTTCTTTTAAACTATTCAATCGCTCTTTTAAGCGTGACCCGTCGACATCAGGTTTGTTGAACACCTGTGCATTCTTCTTTCTCTCCTCTCTATACTCTTGTACAAGTTCCGAAGGTGTGCTCCGTTTCTCTTCGTCGTCATTGATCTTTCCTCGATGCTCAATAAATAATAAGAATTTGTCTTCTTCAATACAAAATTCGTGTTTCAATGGATGTTCCAAACATGATTGTTTAAACTCCTCTAAGAATTTATGTGATAGGACAATGTTGAGATCCAATCGGTGGTACTGATCATCACATTTCAGTGTATAGGCATGATGCTGTTTCTTCATGGCGAGAGTTTTTTTTTTGTTGTGTTCGATTGGTGGTGATGTTCTTGGCGCCTTTCCAAAGTACAATTTTTATTGTACTTACTTGAGATCAGTGCTGGTATAGAGAATGAGAACTTCCTCGAGCTTATATTCATTCACCTTTATAATCGAAGGCAAAACCTTGGACTTGATACAGATGGTGGATGAATAAGAGTGATTGCATCAAGAAGGTGAGACGCAGTAATAGTGGGTCGATGAATATGTTCGGTACCGGTAGAAGAAGAGCTGCTGACTTCCTGTAGTTGAGGAAATTGGGAATACATTCGTCGTTCTCTTGGGGTCAAAAGGCCGGCAGCTGTGAATAAACTGTCCTCAAATGGAGTGACAATTCTGTTTTCACGGTCGATCAAACAGATAAGCGCTATTTGGCAAAGTTTTCCAACTGTCTCATAGGCCTCTAAAGCCAAAAGTTCAAGAGCATTGTCATTAATTTTCAAGTCTGGAGGAATTTCAAGCCACTGTCTGAATTTTTTGATCCCTTTCGATACAAAGTTAGATTCTCGACATTTTGTATAATCAAGGTAATCATTCAGAGACAAATTCTTGGAGAGAAAATCTGCAGCTCTTCGTTTCTCTTGCATATAATTGTTGATAACTGAATCTGAATTTGTTTCCAATAAATCACTTTCATTTGAAGTTGGGGTTTCACTTTCATCATCTGAAAATTGTCCAATATCCAAAATAGGATCCAATTTTAACCTTTTGTCTTTGATATGAGAAAATGCATTCTTTCTTTTTTTTCCCTCTATCTCCTCTTCAGGCTCACTTTCTTTCTTTCTCAGCTCTCGAACTCTTATCATATTTTCAAATCTGGCAAATTTAAGAGCATCTTTCTTAATAAAAAATAATACTTCTTCGACAGTAATGTTTACATCCACAGATTCCACTTGGTCCACAGTTTTCACTGATTTTGAATTGGCGAATTTATATAATTGACATATTATATCCATAATATGATTTTTAGTGTATTGTTCAATGATCCTGATGGTGCTAGGATCAGCCCTGTTCGAAAAACAAAAGCATGTAATCATATTTGAAATTTCTTCCATGTATGCTATTTCAAAATTTTGTTGTGGAATAGAATTCTTAGATGAGAATTGTGACATCGGAAAGCCCAGAGATGACGAAATCATCGGATAAGTAGGACCTGGAGTGCCTTGTATCATTGAAGAGGTCAAGGTTGGACCATTTGTTGAAGGAGTAGAACCTTTTGATGATTTCTTTGTTGTAGTTGATTTTTTCGGCTTGGAGACTGATGCTACAGGAGAACCGACGGGGATGGTGTTGCTACTAGCAACTGGTTGATTTTTGGCAACAGAAGTGGCAGAAGTTGTTGATGGTTGTGTAGCACTGATCGGAGCAGCATTTGAAACTTTTTTAGAAGAGCCCGATGAAGTCTTCTTCTTGCTCTTTTTGCTCTCTGCTGTCGGTGGGGTTGTGGATGAATTTTTGCCCATTTTTTACTTGATGATTTTATGAAAATGATTTTAAAAAGTAGTAGTGGTAATCATAAAATAAGGTATTAGAGAAGGTTTGTCAATATTCCAACACCATCATGTCGCTTGATGGATCAGGTCATTTGCCTCCAAAAATTACAAATTAAAAATGAGCCAACATCTCTCAAACAGCTCTGGCGACAGCATTGAGCTTCTTTCCATGCAAGGTCCAAACGCTTTGAACAATATTTTAATCAAAAATACAAAGTTGGTTACCAAGGTGTTTGATAAAGAGGTGAAGACATATGTTGTGTGTATTGAAGGAAGCTCATTTCATACGACCAATATTGAGATTCCGAAATCAAATACTTCATCTTTGCAAATTATGCACAGGTATTTGGTGATACAATGCTTGATCGGAACGATATTTCAAGTTGAATTACATATTAGAGACAAAAAGCAAATTAAAAAGAGAATAATTATTTCAAGTAGTTTCAAGTCAATAACCAAAACTCAACTCCATTCCCAAATTCCTCTGCCAGAAAATATTATCTCGGGAGAATGGATGAATTTATGTCTTGATTTGTTGGAACTAGTTGAGATTTCGTTTAATGATAAAGAAGAATATTATTGTTTGGATAGGTTATGCATCGGACCAACATGTACAATAAGAAAAGTATTCACTTTAAAACATAACCCGGACACTGAGGTTTTAATACCAAAAAAGCTGGCATTTTCTCATACAGGAGACAATAATGTTTGCATTATTGATTCGTCGTCCTACCTTTCCGAGGAGGAAATTTCAATATTGAAGAAAAAACAAACCACTATTCCAGAAAAACCTCCTTCAGCTAAGGATAAAAAACCACAGATAGCATTTGGGAGAAGAATTGTTAGACCCACCACAGGATTACCAGAGCATTCAATTTTGCAAGAAAATTCAGTACTTCTTGAGGCAAAACCTCACACTGCAGGACCAAGAATTGGTCCAAATATTCACAAACCATCAACTTCCGCAACAAACAAAACAGGACCTATCATTAGGCAAAGAAAATCTCAACCACCCCAACCGGAAAAACAGAAGAGCAACAACATTTTGATCATCTCAACGACCAAAAAAAACAACGATACCTCAATTTCGAGATATAGTGAAGACGACGAACAAGAGACTGAGGATGTCGATGAGTCACATAATTCCATAGAGGAATTACGGATATTGAAGAAACCTCCAAGAGAAGAATATAACCCAAATCACTACCAAATTGATACTACTAACGACGAATTGCTGGTGTTTAACGAGCAAGATATGGAACCCCTGAATCAGGAACCCTTAATAGGGCTTACCAGTTCAAGGAAGAAATTTATGTTAATGGGAAGCAGTATTTCGGACATGGACAAAAGCCTGACGTCTGTGAGGAGCTCCAAGTCGTCGTTGAGCACTGATTCCTTACCAGTTCCTCAAAAACAAGCTCCAACGGAAATCCCTCAAGAGGAGGACCTTGATTTTGGAGAGCCCCAATTTAGTGATAATGAAGAAGACAGCAATGAAGAAAGCCATCATGGTAATGACGTTCTGGGATTTGGAACAATTCATACTTTTAGCAGCTACAAATTTAAGGAGGAAAGAAAATACAATCCAGCGTTGTTTGAAGATGATGACCTTGTGCTATTAGAAGGTAATCAAAGCATGAATTGTAAAACCGCTCATGATTCTTTGATTGAGAAGCATACGGTACTTGAAAGTTCTGACACGATACTTAGCTCACCAACTCCAAATCGATTGTGTCCAGCGAATGTGGGAATGGACGAGTATATTGAAGAATTGAACTCTAGGAGGATGTTCAGCAATTTTGAAGAAGACAGTGAAGAAAACAGTAATTTAGTTGAAAGCTTTGAGAATTAATTCAAGGGAGGCTGCCAGTAATAGAACCAGGACTCGAGACAGATTCTTACTGAATGGTCTCCAATAAGATCGCATTACCTTGCACATAGAGCCCTAGCTAAGGAGCCTTTTCTTTGGTTCTTGGCCTGGGACAATAATGAAGAGTAAAAGCTGCCTCCAGACTGTTGCAGAAGTTTTTCCTTCCAACATGACGTTTTGAGAAACAACTGAAACTATTTGGTCAGAAATTCATTGAGATTGTAACCTCTTTTTTATAACTAATGTTAACTGTTTTTAAAGTTCCATGACAATGTCAAGAGAGTCTTCTCGTTTCAGTTTTTCAATCGTCAGCCAACAAAAAAATGCAATGTCTCAGTCAGCTCACACAATTTTGCACTCTCGCTTCTCAAAACAAGAAGATAAATAGTACTCAACAAGAGCAAATCTATTTGATTTGGACTGATCTCGCTCGTATTCTTGAGAATTGTACCATTGATAAATTGGATAAGAATGTTGAAGTTACACTGATGAAATCGGTTTCGTTTTTGACGAATATCGGCAATTCTGTACTCACAAGAAGACTTATTTGTAGATGTTTCAACAAATTCTACAATATCAATCCGAGTACGTTGATTCCTTCAGGATCAAGCAAAATAGTACAATTGTTGGAACAACACTCAAACACAACTCGGAACCCTCAGAAAATTAACGAAATAGCTTGTTTATTGGATATTCTTGGGGAGGCCTATTCTATACAATCCCATCTAGTACCGAATCTATTCAATCTCATCAACAATAATTTATTTTGGAAATTATGGAAATTAAACGTAAGTGTGATGATGATGGTTGTTTGACAATAACAATATTTTTCAAAATTTAATGCTGTGATGATGATTTTATCCACAGGATGATCCGATTAAAGAGGCCATACTTATGTTATGCGCTAAATTTGTTGCTAATTCAAAGAAGAGAGTGAAGAATGAATGGACCGAGTACTTGAAATTGATATTGAAAGGTACTCAAGAGACAAACAAACACGTCAAAATTGCCTGTGGAGAATTAATGTTGTCTATCGCAGTCAACTATGCAAGACCATCGGATGTGAACCTGAAAGTGTTCGATACATCCCTGAACATGTGTTTGAAAAGTATGGAAGACCCTGAAGAAGAAGTTCGAAAGGTTTTCAGTCACGCTACTGCCCAGTTACTACTTTCTTGTATGAGTGACACTGGCCTACACGATTCTGTTGCCAATGAAGACGGTGTTACTCCAAGATCTCAAAAACCTTCAAAAGAATATACTTGCAGTTATGCTATCATGATTGCGACAGCTCCCTTTACTAGAATAGGTCAAACAAAGGAATTAAGATCAGCGATAGCGTCCTGTATTATTTATTTCTTCTCGAAATGTCCTGAGGATGTAATCATATCAAATATGGATACAATTGTGAAAAATTTGACCGGTTTAATTTCAATCAGCTCCAACAATATCACCAATTATGATAAGAAATTCGCTCAAACGTATGTCACTAAAATGCTAAGCATTGGGCTGATTGATAGACTAACGGAAGCAGGAAGAATAGCTTTATTGAACAATTTAGTTCAATTAGTGATCAATAATACTGTAGTGCCAAATGATAGCTGTTTTACTACTGTATTATATTGTATCGGTAAGCTATGCAAAGTATTGGGAGAGAGTGTAGCGAAATACAGAGACTCTATCCTTGATGCAATTTTGCAAAGTTTAAAATATCCAATTGAAAGCGTGAGATATATTGGAGCTTTGACAATTAAGCAACTAATGGAAGCTCTTCCATCTCATTCCACTGGATTAATAAGCGCATTAATGAATATGGTACAAATTGATCATGCAGAGTTGGCAACAGCATCTAAAAGAGATGAAAACATCAAAAGCTATGCAAACTCACTTCACGGCCACTCTTGTGCACTTGCTGCATTGATAATGGTTTCGGCCAAACACAGTCTTACCATTTCACATGCGCTTTGTTCTGCAGTTTTAGATACCGCGTCACTTCTGGGAAAGGCTGCTCATAAGTCAGCTGACGATCTATACGTTTCCACAAAACGACAGGAGTCATGTTGGATTCTTGTTTGTGCCATTCTTTCCTTAAACGATTATTGGGTAAAAAATAACTTAGAAAAAATTTTGGAGCTATGGGACGATACAATGAGCGGAAAATATGAGGAACCTATCACCTATACAACCAAGGAAGAGGAAATCACTTACAGGCTAAGATCAAGAGCATGTTGTTTACTCTCCTTACAAATTTTTATTATGAACTGTATTCCTCTCTTAGCACCTGAAAAGCTTAATTTAATTTTTGGATATGTATCAGCAACAGTCGATTTACTATCCTCGTTACCACCAACATTCAAACCAACCACATCATCAGGGCTTTATTCAATTAACTTGATCAAAATGAATCTTTTCAATTTGGTTGGAAAGCTTCCAGAAAGTGTGTTAGCCTATGTACCTTCAACAGATAGCAAATTACAGCTTCCGCAGCACAGACATGTGATTAATTTTGTTACTAAGATGGCTTTTGCTGAAGCAGATGCATCTATTTCTGATTCAATCCCTATCAGAACCTCACTCATTGATTCTATGGTTGATCTGAAGGTAAAACTAGACCCTATTGAAGAAAAGTATGCTTCTATTTCTGTGGATAGTTTTGATGCTTCATGCATTCTATTTGATAATATTTCTAATTTATTCTACTCTGAAAGTATTTACCTTAAATTGCCATCTCTTACGGTCAGATTGGTAGATTCATCTATCAGAGTGTTAGGCAAACTTTTCACATATCACAAACCAAACTCAAAAGCCCAAATAATTGAACATTTAGTTCAACAAGTTAAAACAGCACTAGCAAACAACTTGATGACACCCCCAACAACTTCACACAGAACAAGACTTGAAGAAGACTCGAGTACAATGGATACTACACTATGCATTTTTTCAAACGTCGTTGCCACAATATATTGCATTTTAAGAAACTTGGAAACAAAGTCAGAAGAAAACAAGAAACATAAGTTTTATCCTCAAATTCATTCTGTTCTGAACGCTGCTATTGGATTTTCAGATCCATTTGTACGTGCTGCAGCTGCAGAGTGCATGTATTCATTTGGAAAAATTATTGGCGATATTCTGTTAGAAGATGTTGTCAAACGATGTACTCAAAAGATTACGACATCAAATGCATCTCTAAAATCTGGCTTAGCACTTGCTCTTGGTTCTGTTAACAGATCGGTAGGCACATTGAAAAGTAGAGAACTGCTTCCTTCAACAGTCAGTTTCTTGATTGCGCTATCCAAAATTACAGAGGAGGACGTACAAAGAAGCGCTTTTCTTTCACTTTACCATACAATTGATACTAATGGTGTGGCGTTTGCTCCTCACGCAGAAACCATTATTCAATGCATATTTTCTCTTATTTTCGACGCACCTCATTCTGCAGTCTCTATTTTGACAGCTGTATGCAAGATTATGAGAGGTCTTATTGGTTTGGGCCCAGAGTTGCTGCAGCTAAAGACTCAACCGTTTGACAAAATCTTTAACTATTTCATCAGTGATTTGATGACTAGTATTCAAGCAAACTCTGAACTTTTCAGTTCTGATGCTTTGGTAATTGAGTTTATTCACCTATTACAGAGAGTTATTGTATTTACTCCATATTTGGTTGAGAATTTGGAAACAATTGTTGATTTTTTGAAGAAGTTAACTCATCTCAAGAAAGAAAGACTGTACATTGAAAATATTCAAAATGAGATTGGCCAATGCATCAAAATTATTTGCGATCAAAAACCAGAACTAATTTCCAAGTATTTCACACCATCTGAGCTCTTTGAAGTTGTTGACGATATTGACTTTTCAATCTCTCAAGCATTAACATATCAATCGTTATCTCAAAGCTCCAGCGAAACCTACATTGCAGGTAACAACCAAGAAAATCACTTCAAAAACATTATTTCATCATTGATATCCAGCAAATTAATTTCACCAAAGCCATGGATTGATTTGATTTATACTATTATATATTCAGAGCTTAGAACCCTTGAAAAAGAAACAAGCCAAAGCGTGATGTTAGGAGATACTGACGAAAAAGATGACACACCTGTTGAAAAGAAACTATCTGAAGCTCAACCATTGGTGTATAGTTGGCAAACAAAGGTATTTGCAATGAAGTGTCTCCAACAAGTCATTGAAACCTACAGTGACGAATTATGGCATGTGGATTTGTCGGTTGCAAGAAAACACCCCGACAAGGATTGTCTTGTTAATCACCTTTCCAAAATTATTGACATTTGTTGCACTGCCACAAATAAGGGAACCATTTCTGTTCAACATGCAGGGCTTGTGTTAATGATTAATATTAATAATATTTTTGGAAAATATCAAGATCCTGATGTTCCAACAGAACCCCTTCTTCAACAACATGCGCTTAGGTTTAGCACTGCCATTAGTGACACCATCACACAAATTAATTCCCCACTTCTTGTATATGCGTCTTGCCAACTTGCTTCTATATTTATTCCATCTCGTATGCTTAGAAACCAATCTAAATTACTTTCTAGAATGTGCTCATATTTGATCAATTACATAACAGACCCAAAAACTTTTATCAGTTCTAGTCAAGGAGAAGTTACCACGTGTATGGTTAGAATCTCTGTATTGACATCTCTTGCTGAAATTTATGTTTCTGCACAAGAGTCTCAAAATAAGGATCTTTTGGAAATTTTACAACCAAACATGAAGGACATTTTTATTAATTGGTACAATTTACTTCAAGACTTTTCAAATTTAACAGTCGTTGTTAATGATGAAGAAGATGATCACATACTGATACGAACCAGCAACGAATTTTATGCTCCTATTTATGAACAAGCTGTGGAAAATTTGAATAACTTTTATTTTGTAGAACCTGGAACTGAAAGAAACGTTCTATACTATTTCAAACAGTCATATGCCGGAGTTTTGAATGCTATTGCAGTTGCAAGAGGAAAGGAAGATCTTGAATCAACTGTTGATGATATTGATTACAACGACTCATTGCTCATTGGGCTTGCTATTTCTCATCTCTATGGTGCTGACAAGAAAAATATTGACAAGTCCATCAAATGCATCAAATCAATAGGAGAAATCATTGCTACCAAACAATTCCAAAAACATCATCATGCACCTGGAGCTATTTTCGAAGTTTTCTTGCTATTAATTGAAATTCAAGGTATTAGACATTTACCTCTTCACAATGCTTGCTTAGACCTTTTAGAAAAGATTCTCGCTAATGTCAACGTGTCACTATTTGTATCCAGTGACCAAGTAAGCACGCAAGCAATAGTTACAACAAGTACAGAAGTTTGTTTGAAACCTCTTAGACTTCATTTCCCATACCTATTCAAACAAGATGGAGAATTTGAAATGGGCTCATTTGAATTAGAAAAAGATCAGAAAGACCTAATTGCAAAGAGCATGTCATGCCTCAAGACAATAGTGAAAACATTTGGCCTCTCAATAACAGGTGCTGTGGTACCAACATTACTTTACACAGCATGCAGAGTGGTGCAATTCACAAAATCCAATTTGGGGTTGGACACAACAACAGCCATTGTTGAAGTTAGCGAGAATCTTCATTCAGAAACAGATAGCTCTGCCCAAAGTATGACTCCTGAAGAAAAATTCAGTATTTGGAGTGTTGCTATTCGTGCATCCATTGATAACATTATTAGTCGATTATTATTTTCTGGAAAAACTATTTACACTCCAGAAATTGAGCTATTATTCATTTTCCTCTCATCCTCTCTATGTTCTAACATTGAACTTCATGACAAGGTGGTTAGAAATATTATCAAAGCTCTCCAAAACGAAATTAACAACATGCATGACTCCACTAATGACCCTAAAAAGATTTCACAAGCAGTTGACAACACTTTCAACATTTTGTATGGTCTACAAAATGGAATTCTCTATCTTGCAAGAAGTGGACTTGCCAAACTTGCTGTATTTTACTCAATGAGTGCTGCTGTGGACATTGTATTGAATTTATCTTCTGAATCCAAGTACTTGGTTGAGTCAGTAGTGGATTCTTCTCATACACTTGATAAGATTGCTCCTCCAGCAATCAACATTTTACTTGCTGGCTTTTCCTTGCTTTCTGAATTGAACTCTCCACCAGCCTCGGTTCAAAGTTATCTCTGCACCATAGTGCCAATGCTTGTGAATATGACCAAATTCGCGAGAGACCACAAGATCAGCAAAACATTTTCATTGGGAGTTCAATGTTTCGATCGATTGACCAAAGTAGCTCCAGACCAATTCAAATCTCTCATCACGGCTCAGTTGTTGCCACCATCGGTCATTACCGACATTCAAGAATTTGCCAAACAACAACAACAGTCCGTGGTTAATTCATCCAGTACTGGTGGTGCTAGCACCAAAAAACCAATTGCCGCTTCAAAACCAAAGAAAAAGTTGACCATGAACTTTTAAATACATGAATCTTTTGAATTTATGAATTTTAATAATTTATTTGTCTCGACGATTTTTATGAATCATCATCAGACATTATATTATTTTAGGGATGGGAAAGATGAGAATAATGATGTAGCGTTAAGTTTGTTGTTGAGGAGTTCTTGTTGATGATAGTGGGTGAAGTGATGAAACGAGGAAGAGTTACAAAGTATCAAAGTTGATAGTTTCTCCTTCTGCTCCGCTTCCTTCTTCTTCCGATTCGTCTCCTTGTTCATCTCCAACGAATTCAATACCAATTTGTTCTTCGGTATTTTCGTTAATCTTTGCATCCTTTGGAATTTCACCAAGCTTCTTTAATTCTCTAGCTTCATCAGGAAGATATTTATGAATAACATCTGCTTTATCATCTTGATAATCTCTCAAACCAACAAGAATAGTGTCTCCTTGATTAATCCAAATTTTTCTTCTCATCGTACCACGGATTGTACATAGCCTTGTTTTACCATCAAAACAATAACACTCCAATCTTCCGTTACCCAACATTTTAACCACTGTACCATATTCTTGTCCTTCTTCTTTGAGTTGGAGGTCTCTCTTGGTTCCTGCTCCTCCCTTGTTCAAGTCCTTTTTTCTCTTACCTCCTTTTGATTTGCTTTTTGTGGGCATTTTTTTTTTTGAATCTTTAGAAAAATAATAATTTGGCTGTTGGGATTTATTCTTTCAGCAGCAACCGAAAGGTAACAACACCCACTCGACTTGGTTGAGTCTTTGGATGACAATTTTGAAATTGACCTTTGCTCATACAACGAGTTGGTTGAAGAAGATTTTGAAGAACGTTGTTCCCAAATCTCACAAAGCAAGAATCGATGGGACAGCTTGACGACGTGTATTACATGAAATATTTAGATGAACGCTGTGCTATGCAACAAGCAGCAAATAAAGGAGCTCACTGTAAACAAGACACTTCTGTAGCTCCTTAAAAGTGCGGTCAAGATTTTGTAATAATTGCATGACGGCAGGAATGCAGTGTCACATACAATAGGATCATTTCGCAAGATGTCCTCACTAGTTCTCGATAAATCTATCTCGAGATAATTGAACTCCAAAGCCATCTATCTGTCAAAAAAAATGTCACAACAAGGAATTTCCCGTCGAATGGGTACCATTACCCTATTCATTTCATGCATGGCATTCCTAGTGATGATGCTGTTGATGCACACTCCACATGTACATGCTTCTTTTATTGATTCTGTTGTGAATGAAGCATTCGATATCGAATCAGACGTGGTGTCTAGCGTGAAAGGTAAAATCTGTACTGTTAAATTATGTGATTTGAAATGTCCACATGGTCTCGATACAGATGAAGAGGGATGTCCTGTTAATCGATGTGCTCGATTGGTAGGTCCAGCTCCATACATTTCTAATGGTGTTTCCATGTTGCCAAACATTGCAGCAGTTTGTCGTTATGTCGAAGGTAGGTGTTTATTCATTCGTGAATAATTATTGTGGCCAATGAAATCCATGTGAACAACACACGATCCATTCCATTTTGAAACCATGTACATTTCAAGTTTGTCGCATGCATTGTCCTCATGGATTTTTATCATACAAGGGATGTCCACTTTGTAAATGTTACAATCCACCAAAAGTAGTACCTCCAAAAGTCCCTGTTCCAAAACCTCATGTTCCTCCAGTGAGACCACCTGATTATTTCTGTCCCAATAAGTGTGAATGTGGTTTTAAACCTGGACATGGATTCAAGAAAGGATATTGTGGATGCATTCCATTCCAGACTCCAGTGGTGAGAGGAGTGTATTGTGCACCACCGCGATGTCGAGTGAGTTCGTGTCCATTCGGTTTGGCACGAACCTTGCGCAACACGAAATGTCCGACCTGTGGTGCTTGTGATCGAACACCCATTCGAGTTGATTATGAAGCAGAAATCAAAGTAATTAGAGAACAAGCGAAAGAAAAAGCAGCCAAGGATCAAGCAGCAAAAGAACAAGCTGAGAAGGAGGCTGAGGAGCAAAGACAACGAGAATTGGAAGAGCAAGGTCAGCAAGAAATTATTGATGATCAAGGAAATCCAGTGGTCGTTGATGTTGTCGATGATCAACAAGGTCAAACTCCTCAACCTTAAAAGGATGAGGGTTAGGTGCTCCAAACACTTGTTCTCGAAGTTTTAACATAAATTGTCATGTTTGAAGGTCCAATTTGCCTCAAATTATTTGCTCATCGTCCATGTGAAATAAATAAAAGTTATAATATTCACTTAAAAAATTACACTGACTGACATTGGTTCAACAGCGCCAATCTCATAATTTGTACAAATTATTCCGTGGTAGGTGTGTTGTTGTCATTATCTACATCCTTACTTTTAGAGGAAAGGAAAGATCCAATGGCTCCTAAATAGCCTTCGTGACGCAAAAACATGGCTGATATTGTTCCTTTAGACCAAAATTGAATAGCATATGAAATATAATGCATAGTAATATCATGACCTCTAATAAAATATCCTGCAAAGAATATTCTTTTAAGTCCAAATCTGAGAGCATTGAGATATGCAATTTGTCCAATATTATTGCAAATCATAAATAATAATGATTTAGCAAGATCTGCAGCTTTAGGTTTCACAGTTTCTTCGCTGCCTGTTTTTTGCATTATCAATTTACCAAAACTGCTTGCGATAATGTCTGATGGTAATCCTATCTTTTCATAGTCTCTTCCATAGATGTCACCAACAAGCATATCTACAGGTTTGTTGTCACCTTGTTTGGTGAGTTTCAAAATTTCTTCGAATGATGAACATCCAGTCAATAATTTACATAAACCCCAAAATGTTCCTCCACCAATACTGCTACCTGAAACTCTTTCAAACATTCCCAAGCCATCGACTCTCAAAATACTAACACCACTTCCGATATTTACAAGTAAATAAGGAAATACATCGTTATTAGATCCCTCTTGAAATGAAATATATTCTCTCTTTTTCTCTCTTGTGAATTTGAATGACTCATTTGGAAGATTCATTAACAAGAAATTGAGTCCCTTAATTAAAGATTCCATTTCGTCAAGTTTGTTTACCTCAAGTCCAAATCTGTTTTTGAGAAGAGAGGCAAATTTGAATGCACCTCCACCAGTTGCATTGATATGTTTTATCTGATGTTGCGGCATCGAGTCGTCTAATTTTAACAATTTTTCAATCAGACTTAAACAATCCTCAATGTCAGCTGTTTGGAATCTAGCAAAACAAAGTTTAGAGCCTCTCTTTGTCTCGTTATTACAAGCAAAGTGATCTTTGACATCATTGATGATGAGAGGAGACTGAGGAGGAAGTGATTTGATAGACAATTTTCCATCTTCTTCATCATCACTACTGGCATGATGATAATAAGCCTCGAGCTCATTGCTCTCCAAGTCTTTGGTTTGGTAAATAATTTCATTCTCACTATCAAAAGGTACCATATAAACCATCTTGACAAGAGAGCCTCCGATATCGAGAGCAAAATGATGGAAAGGCTCATTGTGGTTCGGAAGGAATATGAAATGGTCCTCAGCAATGTTTCCACCCGTGTTATCAGAGTCATTGGTACCATTCTCCTCACTTTTATTGTTGTTATTCAAAGAAGTAGGGTCAGAGAATTGAGAAGAATCCGAAGAATTGATGTTGTTTCCATCTTCTCGTCCCTCTTGATACATGGAAGAATTTAATGCTGTTGTCAGTGCTGATGGAGAAGTATTGTTGGTATTCAATGATGAAGAAGGTGGAGAAGGAATTGTTTTCTTGTACATGGAAGATGAATTTGATTGTTGTTGTTGTTGATAAGATACTCTCACAGGAGACTGATTTCCTCCTGCAACAACAGCAGCACCCACAAGATTGCTGTTGGAGGGTATCTTGACCGAGAGTGCTCCCGTAGCAACTACTTTAGGACTCATAGAAACTGAATGATCATCATCATCTCTAAAATCATCTTTTTTTGCAATCTTGATTGGTTGTTGTGATTCGGAAGCATTGGTCGATGGTGATGATGAAGATGTAGCAGTCATTGGGATGTTATCCGATTTGTTTTGTGTTGTTGAGGTTGTGGACGATGATGAGAGTTTCGAATCCATTTTTTGGAATGTGGAAGGATGATGAAATTTCGGAGGTTTGCAATTCAAATTTTCCATTTGTCCATGAGCCACATTCGTGTACGTTGTAAGTACAATGTCTGAATGATAATTGATTCGGAGAGAGTGTGAGGGTTGATGATGGTTCATGCCAAGCTTTAATGATTTGAGGGTTCAATTCAACGAAAAAGAATCATCATGCACAATTCAAACGACATAAATTAAGTTTGTTTAACACAGGTTTCACATCTTAACGTCAATCCTTCATCATGACATTGTCCTATGATAACAGTCTTTAACTTGCTTACAAAAAAATTTTTTAATAATTCATTCAAATTCACGTTCGCCGTTCGATCTGGCAGTGCTTGCATTCAAACCTTTCATCAGTCCTCAAGTATGAAATTCATCACTGGAGAATCGGTAAAGCCAATATTAAGATTCCGAGGTGTTGCAAGCTCCATGATGAAGGAACGTTCCTTCAATGTTCCTCTCTCACATTTTTCATCCAGTTATTTACTATTCTCTTCGCCATGTCATGTTGATCCGAATCAACCACATTTCAAATATTATTCAAAAAATCTAGTGAACCAGACATCGAACAGTCATCATTCATCATTGACCCGAGCTCACAAAAAACATCATCATCGTGCGCGACATCATCTCAATGAATTTTCAACGACTTCTGTGGCAGTTGTGAATTTAACCAATATTCTTCACAATGTTGAAAATATTCTAAATTTGGCAAGACAGCACAACTCACAAGTAAAAATCATGCCAGTCGTGAAAGCAAATGCTTATGGACATGGTGATGTGCCCATTGTCAAAGAATTAATGAAAGAAATGAATATTCAACGATTTGCTGTGAATCGTGTGTTAGAAGGAGTGAAAATTAGAAAATCTTTACAAAATTTAAATGAAAATCTTTGTGTGGATATTCTTGTGTTGGGATATGCAATTCCAACAGAAGTTAAAAATTGTGTAACTTTTGATTTAACACCAACTATTTCTGGAGATCCATTAATTATTGAAACATTATTTGATGAATGTGTGAAACAAGATAAGAAAATTAAGGTTCATATCAAAATTGATACTGGAATGGGGAGATTTGGATTATTACCGAATAAGGTTGAACCCTTTTTGAAATGGTTCCTCACAAATCCTCGTAATTTTCAGTCCCGAATCATTCTTGAAGGAGTTTTCACACATTTTTCAAGTGCTGATGAAAATTCCAAAGATTACACTCAACACCAATTTAACAAATTTATTGAAATGAGAAAACTCATTGAAACAATGATTGAGGAAAATCCAAACAAGTTACAGAATGAACTCATCTATCACTGTTGTAATAGTGCTGCAACTTTATTCTATCCAGAAATGCATTTAGATATGGTAAGTATCATTGTTCATTCGATTGATGAATTTACCTGAATTTACATGAATTTACACGAATATAGGTAAGACCTGGAGTTTCAATTTATGGTCTCTCTCCCAGTAATCTCACCCATGATGAACGATTGCCATTCCAATTACAACCTGCACTTTCTTTAATTTCACATGTTGCCAGAGTTGAAAAACTTCCACACAAATCCACAGTTTCCTATGGAAATACCTATGTGGTTGAAAATGAAAGTGAAACTTTGGCGTTAATTCCAGTTGGATACGGAGATGGATATAAGAGAATTAACTCCCATAAAGCATATGTCCTTATTGGAGGTGAGGAATGTCCAGTCGTTGGAAGGTAAGTACAAGGTTTCAATGTTAGAACAATTTTCTAAATATTCAAACTAATGTTTTTCATAGGGTGTGTATGGATCAATTTGTTGTGAGAATTCCAGACAAAATTGCAGATCAAGTGAAGGTGAACGATCAAGTTGTACTTTTAGGAAAGCAAGGAAACAAAGAATTAACCTGTGAAAAATTATCTGAATGGTCTCATACCATTAACTATGAAATTGTCACTGCTTTATTACCTAGATTAAAGAGAATATATGTCAAATAAAGTTATTGGTCTCGTTTGGAAGCATTTTCCCTAGAAACTCGAATAATTTGTTTTTGTCGTTCAATTTCCTCATCACTCATTTTCATCCAATTATCACTCTTTTCTTTTGCCCATTGTTGAAGCTGTTCATTTAGGAGTTGACATAATTATTAAAATGGTCATTCAACAATTGAAATTAGAAAATTAAGAAGTAATAATTCAATCAATTTGGAATGTCAAAGTAAATTTTACGTTTGAAAATTAAATTAACTTCCGACGCAGTACTTCATTTAAAACTCACATCATAAAACACAGTTCCTTCGGCCCACTTCGTTTTTACCAGCATCACATAACAAATTGTTGAGATTCCTCCAATTTGAATCAAATAATAGGTTCGGGGATGGAAAAGTGCTCGTGTGAAAAAATTTCGTCCTTTTCGTATTGGTGGTTGTTGAGCCATTTTTACAAATTTAATTGATGAAATCCTGGTACTGCTTTGTGGAAATGACACACTTTATTGGTAAATGAAATCATGGCAGAAACTAGTCACGAGTTATTCCTTATGGTGTTCCAACATGAGAAGTTTGAGATGAATATGTTGCACAAGCAAATCAATGGCAACGGTGTTGGCACCTCCTCTTGGAATGATGATATCTGCATACTTCTTGGTTGGCATGATGTAATCATCAAACGAAGGCTTTACAAATCTTTCATATTGAAGCAAAATACCTTCGAGGTCACGTCCTCTTTCCTTTGTATCTCTTCGAACTGTTACATGTATCGGAAATAATGGTCATTAAAGTTCAACGAATAGTTTAACCTACGTACTTCTTCTTGCCAATCTAACGTCTGCATCAGTATCTACAAATATCTTCATGTCCATCAATTCTCTCATTTCCTTGGTGAAGAAGATGAGAATTCCTTCAATAATGATAACATCCGCACCTTCAACACGTTCGGTTTGTGAGGTTCTTGAATGGGTTTTAAAATCATACACTGGTATATCTACTGGGTTACCAGCCTTCAATTCTCTGGTGGATTCCTCGAATGCATCATAGTCAAATGCATCTGTAAAATTGAGCCAGAGGAATTTTCCATTGAATGAATTAAGAGAAATGAAATTTTCAAATGATACAAAATCCCCGAAATTTCCAATGTTCATCATCATCATTCCGAAATTATTGGTTTTCAGAATTTCCATATCCAAATAATTAATGTATACAAATTTCTGATAACCATCACTTACCTGGATGATCAAAATCGTAAATATTGCTTTTAGCAAGTTCTCTCTCTTCTTCCGTTAAATTTCTGTAGAAGCTGTCTTGGGAAATAACAGCAACTCTCTTATCGGATAAACTTTTTACAATTTCTCTACAAACGGTTGTCTTTCCTGAGGCGCTTCCTCCACAAACACCAATGATGAATGGTTGTTTGGTTGGTGGTTTGAAAGTAGAAACATAGGAAACCAATCTCTGTACAGTGGCATTTTCTTTGTCTTTCTCATTCTTCTTGGAAAACATACCAGAGGAAGATGACTCTTCCTTTCTTTTCAAGTGTGTATGTTGGTGGAGATATTCAGGAGATCCATAAAGAATTTCATTGGGAAGAGAAGACATTTTTTTTTTGAAGCGACTTTGAGAGATGGATGGTTTTAGAGCGTGCGGTTAAGGAGAGTTCCTTAGAAGCATTCACAGTTTTATGATGTGTAACCAATTACACTTTATTTTGACCTGCTTTTAATCCAAAATTCCATAATTTGAAAATTGAGCCATGTTTTCTTTGGTTAGCAAGGTCAATTTGTGGCGATAAGTTGTAGCACTGTCCATGATGCGCGAATAGCAAGCGTAGATTAGAGGACACAAAAAACTGATATCTCTACGATCTGTTTTACATGAAATTTCGAAGTAAGCAACTCTTCTTTTCAAATAAGGAACAGATACATCTGAAACCTTTGCCATGAGTTGCATGATCATTTCTTTTGAAACCTCTTTCTCTAAATCACGTTTCAATCCCAAAATGCAAATAGTTTCACAGTAGCTTTCACATATTTTTCTATGTATCATTGATGGGCTATCTATTCCAACACACCCACCGATGCGGATTTTAACAAACTCATCCAAATCCTTTGACATATTTTTGAAGCTTGATATCGAGGCTAAATCAAAACAAAAAAAGGCAGAATTGAGACCTCGTGTGTAAGCTTGTCGTATGGTTGCAAATTTGTCCCCTCCAGCAAGGTCCCAAATTTCAAGCTTAACGCAAAAGGGATCAGCTTCTACTGGATTATAATTCAAGTATTGTGTGACAAATTCAGCGCCAATAGTTGCAGTATAATATCCAGGTATTTTGTAATCCAAATTTCCAATACACTGTGTCAATGTACTTTTACCACATTCTTCTCAACTGTGTTATACTTCAAATTGCTGTATGTGTCAAACCACCTACCTGGTGGACCAATGAATCCAATCTTGATCGGTCTATTATATTCTCCATACATTCTTCCAATATCACATAGCCCACAAAACTCAATAAAATTTTTCGGAATAGAAAGGTACAACTGTAAAATATCAAAGTAAATATTTCTCCAAAACCAACGCATTGATTTTTCTTTCTTCAACCGTTCGTTTTGCTTCAAAATTTCATAAATACACTCCTTGTTAGGCTTCAATGAGCACCACAATTGTGGATGTTCAGTCCAATAAAACCTAAAATTATGACTCGCACACGAAAGTTTCCATAAATCAATCGGAGCCAAATACGTTAAAATTTCGAATATGAGCTCAGTAGGTAATGCTTTCTCCAGCTCTGTTTGATTTTTCAAATTGAGTAAAAATTTATTTACTTCAAAATACTGAACAGCAACTTGTTCCGATAGAAATTCTTCTACTTTTTGGTCATGGGTTTCCTCTTGATGACTCGTTGCTGCTGTTTGTTTTTGGCCCATTTTTTGTTTGAATAATTTTTTGGAAAGCCCCACGTAGCATGAGCAATGAAATGCCTTTACAAGACTTTTTCCCGTTGAAGAAGTGATAGAATTTGTTCTCTAAATTGTTGTTCAAAGAAGCTCATTCAACACAAATGACAGGCGTATTCAGAAGATCGAACAAGCAAGTCCATTAAAATAATGTTTTATTTCATTACGTACAACAAGCAATGACATGCTCACTTATGGTACTTTGTTACTGAAAACAGTAAGTATGATCAATACATTGATCATCTTCAAACGATACTTTGTTGCAGCTGTACATTAAATGCTTTCACTCTGGAAATATTTCAAAATTGTCCAGAAAGGAATGTGATTTCAAATAGTGACTCTACTAATTTGGAGTCGAAAGGAAAGTTTAACTTTGCAAAGCTCCTTCTGTTTGAAGAATCAGTGATTGCAACTGAGCGTTTGCTTTTGAAAGGGAAGAATTCGCCCTCGATTGGTGTTCAAAAATTGAGAGAATAACTACGAACATGATTGCTGTCGACAGAGTTAGAATAGTGTGATTACTCGTCCGTTGGAGCCAAACCAAAAAAAGTGTCAAAAAAAGTGTGATAAGCTTTGGATACGTCAAAAACTTGTACGAATTGTTTGGAAATTGAACACCATCATCCACGTGAGACTCTTGAGAAATGCAGAATTCATCTTGTTGTTGAGAGTAGTTGTCTTCATCTTCTGATGAAAAATCTAACTCCAAGTTAACAGAGAATTCCTCTTGTTCAATAAATACATCTTGATTGGTGATTACGTCTTCTTCAGATTCCATAACCTCTGGAACGTTGGAATGAGTGTGTGACTCGGCTTTACATTTGGGAAAGACAAACGTGGCCAGTTGAGAATAATCGATGGCGTTCGATGGAGAATCTGGGTCATAAAAGTGAGAACAAGTAAATGTTCGAGAGGGACATTCAGTGCAATTGACGATTTCTTTGGTCGTCAACAACATCTTTCGCGTAAAATGTTCTTTTTTTTCAAGAGTGTTTTTTACTAAACACTTTGATTGTGGTTTAAATAGACAAATTATCAGCATGCAACATTTGCCACTCCATTAGCCCTCAACATTGAATCCTCGGAACTATTCCGTATCCATGGTTGATGCACTAAAAAGTGTAAAATTAATTGGAGCCATAGAAGTAGTATGTAAATCAACGATTTCGTTGATGAGTCTTTTTAAGGAGGACTCAGTGACAATTTGAAAGAAACGCTTAGAATGTTCAATGGGAGAGTTTTGAAAAAGGATTGAAATCTTCTTGGAACGCTTTCAGAGACTTATGAAGGAAGAAGATTGCGTCATCTCAATGATCCCAACGCTCAAAATGGTTCTATTTAAAAGAGTGTCGAGTTGTGCAAAAAATAGATTCTTCAGCTCGAATGTGATTGAAAATAGTCGAGATCTAAAGATGGTATTCAATGAGTGTCGTTTTCTTTGTGATTAAATGGGATAAGATACAGAAATATTCGAAGACAATCAAAAAACGACCAAATGTGGGAGATGTACTTGAAAGGAAGGAAATATTCGAAGGCAATCAAAAGGGACCAACGTGTGGACAATTGAATGAACCATAGAACTACTATAATACAAATTCATGAATTCAAGGTTGTCCTTTCACTCGTGTATTGTTGTCATCGATTGGGTTTTCATGCAGATTTGAGGTTTCCAAAACATTGTCGAAAATACTCTTAAACCTCAAAACATTGGGATTCAAAGCAGTCAGTGTGAGAAGCTTTTAAATAAAGTGTCCAAACCAACATGATAAAGATCCAAACAGAACATCAAGAATCGTCCTGATTTCTTGTACCTCACTGTTCATACAACCAAAAGTTGTAGCGGGAGAGTGGTCATATTCCTGACAAGCATCCCGTCCATGAAATCAAGAGAACAAAGGTTTCAGTACTGAAAGCAGCATTGGTTGCCACTCAATAATCGGTAAGCCACAGTGTTCAACCACTTGTCCCAGATGAACTGGTTCATATCCTTTTCATTTTAATAATAACCAAGTGATATTTTTAGTTAGCTAAGGTTCATACCTGTTGAAAATTCATTATAAAACCATTCACTTCGTCCTTCATCCTGAATCCCAACAACAAAGAAAAAACATGCAATTATTCGTCAAGACACTCACTGGTAGAACCATCACATTGGAGGTCGAGTCCAACGACTCGATTGAAAATGTGAAGAGCAAAATCACAGATAAGGAAGGAATTCCAGCAGATCAACAACGTTTAATCTATGCAGGAAAACAGCTGGAAGATGGAAGAACTCTTTCCGACTACAACGTTCAAAAAGATTCCACACTTCATTTGGTTCTTAGACTGAGAGGTGGTATGCAACTATTTGTCAAAACCTTAACCGGAAAAACAATTACATTGGAGGTCGAGTCTAATGACTCGATTGAGAACGTCAAATCCAAGATTTGCGATAAGGAAGGAATTCCAGCAGATCAACAACGTTTAATCTATGCTGGAAAGCAATTGGAAGACGGAAGAACTGTTTCTGATTATAATTTGCAAAAAGATTCAACCATTCATCTCGTGTTGAGATTACGTGGAGGAGGTAGTGTTGGGCAATGATGAATCAATTCAACGCAAAGGATCATGCACTTTTAGATATCTTGTAAATAGTGAAATAAATTCCTTATTATAAGAATTTGGCGTTTGACATGATTATCTCTTGTTGCGTGATATTTATAAATACTTAAACAGGAAATCTTAATACTGGTAGATCAAGAAAGGCCGTAGCCATTGATATTTCCATAAAGTCATAGTAACTATCATGTTCAACCCTTAACGAGTAAACACAATTTAGTCATAAACGTGTGATAAAAAGATTGGGAGCATAAAAAGACGCCTCCAGCTGCCATCAGGAGCAGATCAAGACAGCAATCGAAACTAACAGCAGCCTTCAGCGTCCTGTGATTCTACCTCGAGAGTGATGGTAAGGATTGCAGTGAGATTACTTTGACCAGCTCATTGTTTGACAGTACAAGGCAGCGAGTGTCCGATTGAGATCGTTATATATTATTCTACTTTGTGGTTTCAATAAATGAATTTTCCAGTGTTGTTTGAACGTTCATAATCGTTCATGATCATTTCGTTTTCAATGTACATGAACGATTCACTTTGACTTGATCTCTCAATGGAACTAGTACCAAATTTAGTAACAACCAACAAACAACCCATCACATTCTCTCTGGAGATCTCAAAGTAGTCAATGATTTTCTGTATCAACTATTGGGCGTCGATATCAACGGTAACGAGTTATTACAACCAGAGATGTAGAGATGTACAGCGTCCCAATCATGAGCGGTCAGAAAAATTTTGATGAACTTCAGCATGTTGTGCGAAAATTCACAGCGTCCAACTCAAAAAAAAAGCGCCATTATTTACGAAACGTAGTCGTCTTGAGGGTATCAAAACTGTATACAATCTCCCCGAAACTAATAACGAAAGCTCCTTAGAGCCCTTCATCACTTGTACAGAAACAACAAGTACACTTTTCCATCATTGAGTTTTTATTAAACATCTCATGACAGTCTCACTGCTTGGTAGTCTCAACAACGATTGGTGTAATAGCCCGACCAGTCGGAGGGTGAGCACATTGACGAAATGGATGTGCATAACGATAATGGCCCTCTTATTCTATTCCTTCCTCAATATATATCCTTCAAAGTCTATCTATGTACAGTCCAAACCCGTTGAAGCATACTATGCAGACTTTGACGTTACAAAACTCCCTAACGGAGCGATTTATCCCAGCTCTCCTCTCTTTGCAAATATATTCTTTAAGAATGGCACCATGACCCAGTTCGCAAAAGACTTTGCAGCCAACAAGTATGTTTGGAATGAAGAATTTTGTTTACTTGACTCGGACGGTGATGGGCTAACAAACGGTGATGAGTTGGGCGATCCATGCTGTTATTGGTCCTCAGGAAATTCGGCAGCTAGAAGATATCTATTAAGTGAATTGAGCGACCCATCCGATAATTCAAGTGTCGCAAATTTTTCATCGGCTGCAAATGTTTCAGTAGTGGAGGATCTAGTTGCCATACCGACTCATTTTAGTATTGAATTGAAGTGGAAGTTGTCCAATGATACTACGAATGTTATTTGTTATTATCAAATCCAAATGTCAACCTTGAATGCCTTGGGATATTCCACTGTCATGTACAAGACACACAATGCTAATTCCTATACTAGATACAATTTAGATCAAAACACAACTTATTCTTTCAGAATTTTGCCCTATAACAAGTTTAAAGGTTATTCTCCGTACGGTGTTGGAAAACAATCCATTATATTTGCAAAAACCTCTGAAGACCCATATGGACAGGGTATAGGTGATAATTGCCCGCCAAATGTTATTAAGTGGTCAGAATTGTTCTCAAACCTTACTTCCTTCAATTTTACCTCAGAAGAAACTGTTGTCACAACCACCAACTTTACCGTCTGCACCAACGTGAGCTCTGTTCAACAGGTGAATGTGTCAAGCACCACCTACGTTTGTCAGTACAATTACTTTATCACTGCATGCAGCAACTCAACAAGCAACGCCTCTGCCGTGAACATGACCATCTGTAACACCACTGCCGCAACGTTGGATGATTTATGCGATTGGTTTTATGATTGTGAATTTGTATGTGATTACAACACTACAGAGAATTGCACAACTCAGTTCACTAACTGTGATGAGTTTACGTATGATGAACCCGACTGCATCAACACTACAATCACTAGAACCTATGATTGCTTTGCAAAAACAATCAATACCACAACAGAAGCTAACACAACCTCAGTTGTTTGCAGTGAACAATCAATGTCATCAAACTCAACTCGTAGTGTACTTACGATACCTAAGAACTACACAGTATTATTGGACACAAGCCCCCCAATGCTTCAGGATATTCGAGTGTTTGGATGCTTAATTTTCAGTGATGAAAAAGATATTGAAATGCATTTTGAAACAATGGTAGTGACAGGCTCTCTTCAAATTGGAAACGAATCTAATCCCTACAAACACAATGCAACATTAACTCTGCATGGAAAAAAGAATGAATTTAGTGAAAAAGGTCTGGGAAACAAAAATATTGCAATCACAAGCGGTGGAGTATTGAGTCTTCATGGTAAACCTCATCAAGTAACATGGACTCTTTTACAAAAAACCACCAAAGTTGGAGACACCATTATCACAGTAATTCAGGATACGTTGTGGGATGTGGGAGATGAAATCGTGTTAGCCTCAACTGATTATGATATGAACCAGGCGGAAAGAAGGATCATAATCACTCGATTTAACAGCACAACCTTTGAACTTAACGCTCCTCTTCTCTATAGTCATTATGCAGATACAGAATACTACACAAAATCAGATGGTACCGTCGTTGAGTTTGATCAACGAGGAGAAGTTGGTCTATTAACTCACAACATTCGCATTCAAGGAGATCAGGATAGTGACCTCACTTTATTTGGAGGTCATACAATTTACATGAAGTCATCCAAATACATCAAATTGAACAATGTTGAGTTTAGAAGAATGGGACAAGCTGGTGTACTAGGCCGCTATCCAGTTCACTTTCACATGTTTGGAAACGCTTCTTCATCTTACATCAAAAAGCTTAGTATTCATGACACGTACCAGCGCGCTGTAACGTTCCATGGAGTTCATAATTTGCATGCAGAAGGTTTAGTAGCATACAATAACTTTGGTCATGCTTTTTTCCTAGAAGATGCAGTGGAAGAAGGAAATTTGATCGAAAATTGCTTGGGTCTTGTCACAAAATCAATTCCAGATTCAAGAGCCATTCTTTCGCCAACAAACTTTGACTCTACTCCTGCAACTTTCTGGATGACAAACCCTAATAATATTCTCATCAATAACAGAGCGGCTGGTTCGGCTGGTTCTGGAATATGGTATCAACTGGAACCATATAGTCTTGGACCAAATATGTCCCCATACATTCAACCACGAAAGTGGTATTGGGGAAAGTTCTTTAACAACACTGCGCATTCAAACGCTGTTCATGGTCTGAATTTATGGCATGATTTCTTCGTTTGTACGGATCCAAGGTTGGAGATTTTTCAACGTATTTATTGTGGTACTACTGCAAATCCTTGGGCAGTTGCTGAGTTTACAAAGTTAGTATCGTTCAGAAATAGACAACAAGGCCAATTTGCTTATGTACAAGGAGATATTAGAATGAAAGATAGTATCTATGCAGATAATCCTATTGGCTACACTTTTAACGTGATTCACCAAGACTCCTTTACAGTTAAAGATTGCATTTTCATTGGAGAATCAAAGAATAAGGGTAATACCAATAATTGCCAAACTGGATGTTATAGATGCGGTAATGATTACAAAAATCCCAATTCTACCTACAATCGCTCCTTTGCAAATTACAGAAGCCAGCCCATTGTTGGAATTCAATTCCACAGAGATGGCAAACCTATGCTCTTGGATGGTGTAGAATTTTTCAATTATGTTGACAATTGTGATAGAAGAGCAAATGCCTTGGACATCAAAAATGATGCTATGGCTCATATGGAACAAGGTGACTACAAGGTGAAAAACTTGAAATTCCATAATTCTAACATTCTTTATCTTCTGGTTGGAAAAACAACCAATTTAGTTGACAATTACAAGCATGCGGTCATTATCGACCTGGATGGCTGTCTGTCCAACTCCCTAACTCTTCCTGCTGAATTTAATCCAATTAATTCTCGAATAATACCAGCCAACTCGATTATGGTGAATTTCGACAAGTGTTTCTACGTTAGCATATGGAATGCTTATATTTGTGATCAATCTGTGAACTGGGCTAATTTCGACGTTATTACTCCTGCAATAACCAACAGCGTAGACTCTACTCGAGTAAACTCATCGAACGGATTTCATGAAGATCTTCAAGGTCAGCTTTCCACAGGCGGAGAATGGAAATACAGAGCTCGTTTTCTAGATAACAGTACATTCAACTACACGTTTGAATGGCTTGGAAAAGTTGGAACTCCGGAAAAGATCAATTTCGTTTGGAAAGGTACAGACCCTATTAGTTTACTTTTAAAAATTACCATGTGGGGACCAGTGAACATTAACATTGTTTCAAGCAACCAAGAGCTTATTCTTTCTCCTTCAAATAGAACAGATGGTTCAGCAACCTACAATTGCAAGACAAACACAGTTTCTCTGACTGTTAAATCGTCATCAACACTGTTTATCAATGATGCTACTTATGTGCCTCCTGAACTTGATTGCATTACTTTTGACAACTCGCTATGTTCAAACTTTTCAAACTGTGGTGGAGCTAAAAGAGGCAAGTGCGTAGGACTGAATGAATGTGTATGTCGGTGGGGATGGACAGAGTCTGATTGCTCGACATATCATTGTGCTCATCGTGAGTGGTGTAACGGGCATGGTACATGCGTTGGTAAGTTGTATTTTTTTGAAAAGAGAGTTTTAATTCTTGTTTACTTTTTAACCTTTACAGGCCCCAATATTTGTGCATGCTTCCCTGGATTCGCTGGACCTATGTGTAACAAAGTTGAAGAATTCGAATTGTTCAATAGAGTACTTGCCTTTGGAGATATTCACATTAGAACACTCGACAATCAGAATTATACCTTTAACTCTGTAGGAGAGTTTTATTTATACAAATCTGCAGAGTTGGATTTACAGGGACGATTGAAACAGTGTACATCAACCTCTAAAACGTCATGTATGAAAGCAATTGCATTTTCAAATGGAAATGATACTGTAGTTGTAACATCTGATGGAAAATCAAAAGTACTAGTCTATGTTAACCAAGAGTTAGTTGATCTTTCCAAAACCACAGTCAATATGATTGGCGTTGAAGCAAATTCTACTTTTAAAATTCCATCCAACTTGCAAAAGTTCTACGACCAGATCAAGTATCAGAGAGACCCTATTACAAATGAAATTCCTACCATTCCAAAAGAATCTCTTGCTTTTAAGCCTCCCACACAAGCTATTTATGTGCTTAATGGTGGAGCTACTATGGTAGAAGAACAGGATCCTTCTAACTTTGTTTATGGAGAAAACGGTACTGTGATTCCTTTCAATATCGTTGTCATCAAGTTTTCTACAGGGTTCAAGGGACAAATTCGTTTGAAGAATGATGGTGTTGGATGGCTTAGTGTTTCTTTCTCTCCATCAAAAGACACCAATTACACTGGAAGTGATCGTGGTGGCTTGTATGGCACCTTAGATAGCAATCCCAATAACGAATATACATTAAGGAATGGTGTTGTTCTTACTACTCCTTCTCCCGTAGAAATTCACAGCATTTTCGGAGAAAGTTGGAGAGTTCCAAAGACTGAATCTAAATTTTTCTATGTCCCACCAGAAACATATGAATCTCTTAATCCAGTTGATTTTGTTCCTGCCATGACCGCTACCACTGAAAATAAGACACTTCAAGCATTGGCAGAGAGAGTTTGCAGTAACTTAGGATTGACCGATGAGTTTTATCAATCATGTTTGTTTGACGTGATACAAACAGGAGATGTAGAATATGCAAAAGCAAGTGCTGGTGCTGCCTCTCAAGACCAATGTGAAACCAACTCTACCGCTTGTCAGACAGTCACCTGTCCAAACTTTTGCAATCTTCATGGAAAGTGTGTCTCTGGTAAATGTTATTGCGAGATTAGTTGGACTGGCGACGATTGTGGAACTGCCTCAAACACTTTGCAAATCATTGGAATTGTTATTGGAAGTATTTTTGGGTCTATTTGTATTAGCGCTTGTTTGTGTGTGTGCGTAGCTTGCTCTCTTTATAGATTCTCTAAACGTCAAAAGAAGGGATATAGGCTTTCTAGAATGGTGAGCATTGTCCCAACTCAATTCAACAAACAAGATGAGTTAACGGAGATGGACTTTGATATGCAGAACATCCATATGACCGATACAAATTATGGAGAATTGCTATTCACAAAGAAGCTTCGATAAAGGATTAAACTTTATTTGTTCTAAGGCTTGGATAGTATTAAATAGGAATGATGATTGTCATTTTCACTTGATAGGTGGAGGGATGATTTTGTCTTTCTTGTAGTTGGTAATCAAAAGGTTGAGTCTTGTTATTGAGCCTTGGTCAGAATTCGGAGGTAAATTTGGTATGAAGTGCACTTCAAGATAGTGTAAAAGTTTTGCAAATTGGAGTTTGTAAGCTTGTTCTAATTTGTGACCGGCAATCTTCACAAATGCATCTACCATTTCAATCGTATATTTGACGGGCTGCAAATTTAGAACAGCCGCAAGCCATTCCCAACCCTTGTCTAACCCATACTCATGTCCAATAACGTCTGTTTGAATAATAGATGCATATAGAATGATCATTTCTTTCATTCTTCTGACGAATGTTGATTCATCTTCATCCTCTTCAAATCCATATAATTTCTTGAATTCATCTTTTGATTGTGCATTTGGATAATATGGAATTGTGAATAGACATTTAGAATGAATGGTGCCCATCACCACATATAATACTTCTGGCATAATTGCCATTAACTGTGCTGTTATCCTAGCGTACGGGAATACTTTTTTGAGATCGGTGGCTTGTGAACAGGCGTTTTCTATGAGCGTATTAGCAAAGAGAACGAGAGAATAATAGAATTTTCCATTTGGTATAGGATCTTGAGATTGTTTAAAAGTGTTAAATGCTTGGAAGAAATCATTCTTAACATTATTGATGGCATCTTCATCATCTGCAGCTCTATTAAATGGTCCATTTATACTTCTCTTGATGTCCAGTCTTGAGCTTTTAAATGACTTGTCATTTTCAAATTGTTTCACAACTGCATTCATATCATCAAGTTTGTCCATAAAGAATTTTGCTCTCATATAGGCTCTTGTTCTTGTACCTTGTGATGGAACTTGTATTTTGGATTGTGATATGGATACTGGTTCAGTAGAAGGACGTTGTGGCACTCTCACAATCTGAGGAGTAGTAGTTGATGGCGTGACAATGGGTTGGGCATTAACTTGAGGTTGTGGCACTTTCACAATCTGAGGAGGATTTACAGTTGGTTGCACTGACGGTTGTTGTATCAAAGGTTGTACAATAGGTTGAGAAATAGTAGGTTGAGGTTGCACCATAGGTTTCACATTGATAACAGGCGTGGGTTGAATATTAGAAGTTGTTTGTGGTGGTATTGAGGGAGGTTGAACCTGTGGTGGTTCTGTTGATGGTGGTGGCTGGATAGGCTTGGATTGTGCAAGTCGCATACGTTCTTGCTGTATTTCTTTTTCAATATCCTTTAGAAAAGAGTCAACAGTTTTTTGTGCCGATTGTAACTTGGATTGTAACTCTTTCTTTGAGGTCATTGCAATATTTTGGTCCCATGTTGATAGTTGTAATTGCTCTTTCACATTATTCTTAGGAGAAGGCTTGCATAATAATTCTTTTTCTATATTGCGTTTAATTTCGTAGTATTTTTCAAAATGAGTGTTTGAACTAGTAGTTCTGGAAACTCGTGGCCTAGAAGTTGATAGAGTACTCTTTTTTGACGAGCAAAAACTACTTTCAAATCGTTGTTGTTGTTGTTGATCTATTTCGTCTTGCATTACATCATCTTCGTCAAAAATACCAATAGGTCCTAACCGTGTTCTTTCTTTGAAATTATATACATCATTATTTGTAATAGTATCATATACAGCAAGTTCGGTGGCAATGTCTACATTGGAATTCTTATTTTCAGTCGAACCAACGATAGATGCTCGATGATGATTGAGTAATAGTTTAGAGTTTGTTGAATAGGGCTTGAATGAGGAGTTTCCGATAGGCGTTTTAAATATTCCTCTCCTCAGAGATTCAAAATGTTGAGGTTCTTGTGTATCCATCACATCAAGCGGTGGTTGTGCATTACTTCCGAACATTTTTTTCACGTTTCACTAGTGCATTATTTTTAAATATTACTAAATGTATTCTCAAAGAACCTGAAGCATGTTGTGAATTCAGATCCATCGACACATATTTTGGATGTAGAATGAACAGGCTTCACTTTCTTCTCTTTAACATTTTCACCAAAACAAAAAATGGGTTTGTCTGTGGTTCATGGAACAGATTTGAAAATTCTGGGTGCCATCATTTTTGCTCGGTAAGTTTGCCGTGTGCGATGGCAAATTAATTTTCATACGAAATCATCATCGGATTAAATTTAGTGTGGTGATAAAAGGTTACAGAGAATTCTCGAGACCTGAATATTTAGACTCCAAGGCTTTTGAATACAAGACAGAAACAAAGCCAGCTAGCAATTAACGGAACATTGTCGATTAACTTAATTTAAATTTATTATGTAGTAATTTGTTTAAACTTTAAACGATTGGATTTTGTTTTAAATATTTCCTGATGTATTCATTTTCAGTTTTTGAGTGCGGAGACGGTTTTTCGAAATGATCTACACCGATTGAATATATTATTCTCGGTCCGGTTGATTGAAGGGTTATTTCCTTTTCCCAATCATCTTTGTTGTAGAGATCCATCAAAGAAGGTCTTTCCTTTGCTTCTTTGAGATACTTTTTGTTCACTTGTTTCCGAACTCGTGTCTCAAAGGTTTCAATCTTATCTTGCTGACTGGCGTTGGAACCTATATTTCCAAACATTGCATCATCTGGAGAATAGTTGAGAACTTTCTCAGCTTCATTCTTTTGAAACAAAGCTTTCTGTTCTTGTATGGCTAACCGTGCTGCCTCTTCGTTGAACTGTTCTGCTTGCTTTCTTGCAAGACGATACTCGAGTCTTCGAGAAGAATTTGGAATGATGGAGGGAGCAAGCGGTAGGGTGTTCGAACAGTCTTCATTTGAAAGCAGTTGTTGATGTTTTTCCACTGCAGTGGAGCAATCTTGAGCGCCTGACAAATCTGTTGAATTGTTATTGGGAGACTTGGGATGTGGAACAAGGATGGGTGACTTGGTTCGTGCTGTTTCATCTTGTGAAGTTTCTGGACTAGTTGATGTTTGAGGTTGGCTTGGATTGAGTTTGGTAGTTTCTGGTTGTGTCCTCAATCGTCGTGGTTTTGAACTAGTCAGAGTAAAACCATATTCGTCAAGCTCATTACTGGTTTGAAAATTCTCAAGGTTTTGTGCTGAGCCGTCTAACACTAATTCTTGGTTCAAAACTTGTTTTTTCATTGGACGATCCTCAATGTGTTTTTGAGGTGTTATCGTTGGTACAGATCTAAGCGAACGTGGTTGTGGTGTTGGGGTTGGTTCCTCTAAGGCCTCATCGTTGTCACAACTCGTCTGGTTGTCAGACTTGCCACCACTATTGATTTTGCCACTGGGCATAGGATATGGATTTGGTAGTAAAGAAGAGGGTTCTCTTGGTAGTGAAATAGTTGAAACATCCGTAATGGTGGACATTACATCAGAAAAGAGTTCATCATCTGAACAAGATGATGCGTTGTCCTGGAGAAGATCATGGTTTTCAGGCTCAAGTAAATATTGTTGAAGATCATGTGAATTGCTCGTGGATACTTGGTTTTTTTTGTCCATCACATCTGTGACTGTTACTTCTTGTTGGGAGTTCACTCTGGAAATTTGAGCAATGATTTCATCAATTAACCAGACATGTCCTTTACCATCTTTATCGCAAGCAACTAGATGAGACCCAGCAAACGGCATAGAACTTTTAAGGTTGACGCTCTTCTTTAGGTTTAAAACTGTACAAAATAGAATGGGAGTTTCAAAAGAATATTCAATTACAAGCAATTGACCAATGTAGAAGCGAATGGAATTGTTCATAATTTGGTTGGAATCATCTAAGAAAATGACTGCAAACACATTAATAATTTCATTCCCCATAAAAAAACATGTCGCAGAAGTGACTCTGATCTAGTGGCATGATAAGCGTAAACAGCCTTCATGAGAAATTGCACTTACCTTAGAATCTGACAATATATAATAATTATTGCTCAAGTTAAGAAATGTGTTCTCGCTTTCCGATTCAGAATACAAGTACACTGTACCCAAATCGTTGCAGGCAATTATCGCACACGACGGTAAAAAGCACTTCATGTAATTTAGAGGACATGATTCTAAAACTATTTGTTGAATTGATTGCTTTTTCTGAATATTATGTCTGTGGTTGTGTTATGAAATCAAAACACAAAAAAAATTGACATACATTTGTAAAATTCCAGATGGTCCTCCTCCACTAATAATATATGTACCTCTATTTACTCCAATAGTTGATTGTAGTATAACTAATTTTGTAAGAGTGTTTGTCTTGTGTGCTTTTGATATGGTCCAATACAGCTCAAACGATTCATCTTCATTACTCTTCTTGCTATCTTCTTTGTGGAGCCAAACTTTGATGTCGCCGTTCTGAGTTCCTGAAACAAGATAATCACTGTCAGCGTCAATGCAAGTTATAATGTCGTCGTGTTGACCGCACGTAAACACCTTGCAAGATCGAGCATATATGCTGTCATTTTCAAAGTATGAATTTCCGAAATGAACTGTGGAAAACAGCACCTTATTAGAGAAGTTTTGAATAAAACAAATTTTGAAAGAGGAAGTTTCATGATAACACGGAACGTCAGATTGTTGCATTTCTTCCTCCATCAGCATTCTTGCCCTCATTGTTCTTGGAGTTGACAGTGGATGGTATGGAATAAATTTAAATTGTTTCCATGGTGTGTTTAATGGAATAAATTGATGGTCGTCCTGTACAAATAATTTAAAAATTGAATACTTGTTTTGTTGTATGTTGAATAGTCTAAAAGTGAGATGATCCGAATTAACTACCTCAATACAAAACGATTCGAGATTACTTACTTGAAATAACCCTTGTTGTCTGACATCCCGAGAGTAGTATCTTCGGTTTCGTTGGGAGGTATCTCATAAAGAGTTGTTGTATAATTGTCTCCTCGAGAGTCCTCAACATATTGGTCCAAGAAGAAATCTTCATCCAGCGTTGCCAGCCTAAACCCTGTTTCTGAGTTTGCAAGCATTTTTTTGTTGGGTTAGCCTCACTGCAAAGGCAAAAAGAGTCAGACAGAACGTTGCAATCATAGAACTGGGATAACCTTACTCAACAATAATGCAAAATCAAAAGGGGACAGAACCTGAATGTTGTTACCTACACTTGAATTTGTATCACTTCCAAAATAAAACAATGTAACAAAAATTTGCAAATAGGTATCAGCCATGACAAACAACAGCACATCAACCAGTACTTTATGGTCAATCGGAAATCATCTCCACTCTCAATTCAATCAGTTAAAATCGGAAAATATCATCATAATTATTGCCTTTAGCGTATTGATATCCCATATAGCTTACATTATTTGGAAAAAACTTGTTCATAATTATCTTTTGAATTATTCTGTGAAGAAACTTGAGCGAGAAATTGCCCTGCTTAAGAAGAAATCAATCGCTTTTAATACACCTTCAACATTTGCACAATATGCCAAGCTTGAACGTCGATGGAAAGAACGAGAACGAAAACTTTCTGCCATCCAAACATCAACTGGTTATTGGGTGAGAACAGCCTTGTCCAAAATGGTGCAATATGCGCTAAGCTATGCAATGCCAATTCTTTGCATTTGGGTGTGGTATGGTCGGGAAGGGTCACTCTTCACTCTGCAAAGGGAATCGTGGTGTTGCTTGGGCATGCTCGGAGAGAGACCGTTTTGCATTATTCCAGAATTCCTGTGCTCTGCGAAAGGTTTAACCCTGTCCGTTGTTGGCATGACGATACTCTCAGTAAGAGGTATTAATTACTTGATTAATTTATAAAGTTTTTATTGACCAACAATTTAGTTTTGTTTGGTGTTTGTGGCTGCCTTTGGTGTGGATCCTTCCTTCCATCCGTTCTTTTCCTTTCTCTTGACGACCTTCAAATAACGGCATCTGCCAGTTCCAGTTGTGTTTCTTCTGATGGCCTTGTATGCCCATTGGTACTTTCTCATCTTTGGAGATGGATAAGCACAAGATCCACAGGTCTTCTTTTGGATGTGGAAAGATCTTCTACCACAACGAGGACACAATCCGTGTGTCTTGGTGTGTCTCAAACCGAAGCTTTGTGTACCTTTACCCACTGACATTGCTTATCTGTTGTTGATGGAATTTGTTGTGAGATACGAAAAAAGATGAATATGAGACTTACAATGTGTGATTTTGGCGTATTTTTTTCAACAAATTTTTCATGATTTTTTTAGTCAACCAGCTATAAAGTTTACAATGAAAGCGAAAGACAAGACAAAAAAATGTTCATGCGGAGAAGTCAAAAACTTCAAACAACAAAATGCCTGGCACTCCAACACATTAAATTTAGTGCCTCAACTCTTTCAATTGAAACAGCCAATATTCGGAGAAGCAGGACGAATTTTCATTGGAGCACATCCAACAATTCCGAAGCAACCCATCGTTTTGGCTCCAACATGGTTCTCTTAATTTCTGGTGCAACAGGAACTGGAAAGGTATGTTCACTTTTTAATTATTCGTTCGATTAATAACCCATTCAAAGACTGGGTACGTCAATTACTAATTTGTAAAGCAATTTATTTAATATCCACAATTTCATTAATTTTAAAAATTATTAACAATTGAAATTGTACTAAAAGATTGTCCATAGAATTAGCAAAACGACTGAATGGAGAAATAATCAATGTTGATTCTGTGCAAATGTATCATGAATGTACAATTGGTAGTAACAAAATTTCTAAGGATGAAATGCAAAACATTCCTCATCACCTGATAGATAATGTTTCGTTAAAACAATGTGCTCATGATGTTCAACATCAATACACAGTGCACCATTTTTACAAAGATGCTCATAATTTATGCTCTGAAATTCTTTCCCGAAATAGGATACCAATTCTCGTAGGAGGTTCTGCCTATTATATTGACGCTTTCATTAATGGAGTTGTACCAGAACACTCACAACCACAAACTATATCTCTATTATCACGTGATGATTCGTCCAAAATTTCATCTACTGAATGGGACAGAAGATATAAAATTCTTCAAGAGTTGGATCCTGAATATGCCTCAAAAATTCACAGAAACGATTTGTATAGATTAAATAGAGCATATCATATTGTGACCACTACAGGAAAGACAATGAAGCAATACAAGTACGGTGAATTGAATTGTAAATCTATTGAAAATAATTTAGATATTAGAGGAGCCATTTTGTATCTAGACAGATACAAACTATATCCCAGGTTAGAAAAAAGATGCGAAGAGCTTGTGGAGCTTGGGTTAATAGAAGAAGTGTATGGGCTATTACAGCAAGGTATATTATTGGATCATACTGTTCCCTATAGAGCAATAGGTTACAGACAAACCATTGATTTTATTAACAAAGTCAAGACTTTGAAAAAGGGGTCCAGCTTTGATTCATCCCTCAAATATTGCTTTTTACAATTCTTGTCAGAGTTTAAACAGGCGACAAGAAAATACTCAAAACATCAAAATACATGGTTTAAGAAAGACAATGAATACTATGAATGGATGGAACCAGAAAAATTTGGTTTGAGTTTGAGCGCTATGACAAACTACGTAATTGACAATATTGTGAATGTTTCGCAAGAAGATTTCAAGAAGCGAGTGCAAAGCGAAGAACAGACAATTTTGAAACAGAAAGCTTGTAGAGCAGAGAACGAAGTTGTAAAGGAAAGTACTGCAAAGGAGAAAACAAAGCGAACAACCTTCCTTGTTAAAAGCAAGGTCAATGACATGAACCGTCTATACGTTTATAAGGATGACAGAATTCTCGTCCATAGATTGAATCAAATCAAGAGACTTCTGTTTACAAATGTTTAGAGCATGTAAAATTGAAGGATTGTTCTTTTGCCAGCTTGTTTTGATTTCATGAATGGGTGGTTGAGATGTGTTTATATTTTATTTTGATCTAGTGGGAAGCACCATGTTAAGCTCAAAAAGAATTTGACATGAATCTAAATTGCTTTTGGATCAATTTCTCCAAGATAAATCGTCTTGTCGCTTGACGCTGAGGCAATAATTGGTTGTTGTGGATGGAAATGCACACAATTTACAGAGCCTTGGTGACCAGGTAATTGGTAAACGATTTTTCGAGAGGTAGTATTCCAAATGATGACATCACTTTCTGCTCCTGTTGAAATTAGAGACCCATCCTTATACCAACTCACACGAGTTAAATTCTTATCCATGCTATGTTTTGCTCCATTAAATAGTTTTACACATCTGTTTGGTGTATCTACAAAATGTCTAGCATTCCAAATTCGACAAGTTCCATCCATTGAATTACTCAAAATAAAATTACCGTCTGGAGAGAGCTTAATATCTGTAATGGAATCGGTATGTCCACTTCCAAGAGAATACAAGAACTTGTCGGTTTTCATATCCCATGTTGAAATGACGTGATCAACTCCACAAGAAAATAATCTGTCCGAATTCTCAGAGAAACACAGTGAAAAAACAGGATATTTGGCCCTGATTGTTTTTACACATTTTCGTTCTCTTTGATCATAAATGTTAATGGTCTTATCATCACTTCCACTTGCAAACAAATCTGATTGTGTAGAGTATTTTGAAGTTGTACAACAATTGACAACAGCAGAGTGATCTTTGAACTGTCTAACTCGAGTACATCGCACACTATCCCACAGCATGACACTGTTATCCGCTGAAGCAGTAATTAATCGATCCTCTGAAAGAAGCCAATCCAAATCAAGAATTGCGTTTTTATGTCCAAGTAAACATCCATAATTAAAGGTTGTTGGATAGGACGAATCAGATTCATCAATTTCGTCTATCGTTTCTCCAAAAACATCCCACAATAACACTGTTTTATCAAAGGCACCAGAGGCCATAAATTGTCCTCGATTCGAAAATTTACAAGTAAACACTTCGGATTGATGTCCTTCTAATCGCAAAATTGGAGATGATAGAGAAGAAGATCGAGGAGGTAATTCCATCAAACTCGTTGTATTCATCTTTCTCTTTTTCGTATCATCACTAGTATTATTATCATGTATCAAGCTGAGTTGAGTTGATGAGCCTTGCTCTATCGGAGCGGTGTGCTCCTCCTCGTCTTGAAATTTTCTCTTCTTGGGTGATGAGAGATTATGATCATTGGCCGGCGAGGTGTGACTCATTTTTTCTTGAAGATGAATGTTTTGCATACACACCAACAGCACTCGAAATCCGACAGTGAATAACATTATTATTGAACACACAACCAAACATCATGTCGAGAATGTATGCTTGTATCGTTGACAATAATAATTGTGGTTCGTTGTATTCATTCAATCACACACACACACGATTGATTGTCATCTTTGATCGTCGTTACCCACACACACAAGAAATGATCATCAAATTCAATTTAAACCCAAAGGTAGTGTAGTTCGGGAGTTTAATATTTATTCTTGAGAAGCTTGCTTCATGTATTCAATCAAGTCAGCTCTTTCACCAGGCTTCTTGAGACCTGTTGGATGTAATCATCATGAATCATTCACATCATAATAATTATTGAATTTCCGTTTGTGTGTGTGTGTGAATACAGGGTCATGATATACATGTCCACCAAGGAAATGTCATATTGACAATATTCAATGTGTGAATGTTACACACACATTTCATCACACAATTGAGTGTGATACAATTAACACACAAAAATTCACATCATCATTTTCATAACAAAATAGTCAATAAAAACAATCAAGACAAGAATAAAAACTAGAACAACAACTCATGAGAACCACACAACATACCTGCAAAGACCATCTTTGTACCTGGAATATACTTCTTAGGATCTAGCAAATAATCGAAAAGAGATTGTTCATTCCATACCACACCCTTCTCCTTGTTAGCAGCAGAATAAGCATAACCTTCAGCTAGGCCACTCTTTCTTCCCCACATTCCGTAGAGATTTGGACCAACTTTGTGAGCACCTCCCTTGTTGATGGTGTGGCATTGAGCACATCGAGCTTTGAAGATCTTTTCACCCTTAGCAGCGTTACCTTGTGGAATTTCTAAAGAAGAGGAGGAGGTGTATGAAAGATGACAACGGTGATGATGAAAATGATAACATGATGAGATGGTGGTGGTCATTTAGGAGCATTGAGTTGACCAATATATTAGTACATAATATCATGATTGAAAAATATAAATGAATGAATGAACGGTAACAACATTGTAACAACAACAATAGGTTCAAGTAAAAGACGTACCAGACATTTTTTTGTATTTTTCAATTTGTCAGGAGACAGCAACATCGCCATACTTGACAGTCAGTCAACTGAGGAGCGCCAATCAAAATGATTTAGGAGTTTTGCAATAAACACAATTTTGGATATTTTACGGGCAATTTTACAAGCTGGTAGTGTCATCCAATTTTACTTTGACAAGTGGCAAATGGAAAGGTGCTCAAGAGATGGACATGATCCATTCAACAATTTGAATGAAGAAAATTAAAAAATTTAATTTCAAACACTTTGGAATTCAATATATTGAATTTGGTATTCCCTCTTGTAAGCATTGAACCAACTAATATGAATGACATGCCCAAAAGCAGCGTTCATTCATCACCTTGTTTCACTTTCACATAAAGTGTTGCAATGCTCTTGGTATCAAGAGGCCACACAGATTAAAAAAAAAAGAATTGAAAAAAATAATGAAACGATCCGTTCTTCTCTCAATTCACGGCAAGAAGAATCTTCAGAGCCGAGCATTGAAATTCAATCATAATATTACAACATCTCGTAAATATACCATCTTTCCGTGTTGGAAGAATCATACTATCATGAATCGTCATGATCATGAATCATTCACCTTACGATCATTTTCATCCGCAGCAAATACTGTGGCAACCATTCCTGAAGCAGAAAAAGGCTCTTCATCCGATCAACCACAAAAGACCAACAACAACAACAACACTACCACGCGTATGGATCAAAAAGATCATCTACAACCTTCCAAAATGAACCAAACCATTTCCTATCCAATTCCATCTCGTAGTATTCTTTCAAAGGATCCTCATCCATCCTGTTCTCAACAACATGTTCATTGTGTTTTTGAAAAATCATTTCCTATCACTTCTAATATTCCTCTCACTTTAGAAATTAATACTCGGAATTTAAACGTTGAATTTTGTGAGGGTGAACAAGATTCCGAATTACGGATTGAAATGTATGCTCATAATTGTAATGAATATTCATGGTATGATCTCAACAATACTCCACAAGGATTCTTTTCTGATTATAAATTTGAATACTTGTACAGAGAGTTAACAAATACATTAAGATTTAATGTTCATCAAGCTCCTCTTCCACCTCTATATATTCGATACAAATTATATACCTATTACGCTCCAGGATTTTTTATGCCAAGTTTTGTTGCAAAATATTTGGATGAGAAATTAATCAAATATGGAACGATGAAAGTCTATTTACCAAAACATAACAAAAATTCGGTTCGAGTTGAAACAGATATTGGAAATATAATTTTTAGAGGAATTCGTAACATTTCAAATGAAGTTTCTGTGAAATCTACGTTTGGTACTCTCCTTGTCAGTGATGATGGTATTTCAAACGTCAATCATTTTCATGTTAATATTCAATACGGTGCATGTTATATCAATCATGTGAACAATGTGAATGATCTTAGTATTCATCATCGATGGTCAACAGAGGAAGATAAAGGTACTAGTCAACATATTGCATCATCCACTGGAATTACTATTGACAATATTGAATCAAACACTAATGTGAAGATTCAAACTTTAACTTCCATCGATATTGAATTGAACCAATTGAATTTGGCTGGTAATTGTCAGGTTGATATTTCATGTCTCATGAAAGGAGAAGAATGGGAATTTACAAAAAAGGGAATTCAAGTATTTGTTTCCAATGATACAAAAACTACATCAACAAATCACAAACTTCCTTCATCATTGACTCATTCTAACAACACAAACAAATTGAAAATCTATTCAGATGCTAATCCTATTTTTATTTATTTTGATAAAAATTCACCAAATAATTACAATGTATTGGCATCTACACGATGGAGCGACGTATCCTTTGATTCGCAACACATTCTCTATGACGGATTTTTAGATGTGAATCAATTTGGAGGAATTATTGTATCTAGAAATGACTTGAAAAGATTACGAGAATTATCAAGCTCAGAATCAACAACCAACAATAATCAAATCAATGAATCAACGTCAGATTCGTTCTCTAAGACTTCTACCACTGCTTTTAGTGAAGACTCTATTCATCCAATTTCTGGACACATTACTCTCTTTACAAAGCAAGGCCCTATTTTTATGAAACAATATGTCAATGATGATGATGAAGAGTCCTCAGTGAATTCCAATACTACTGATTTGATTGACAAGAGAATAATCATTCAAAAACAACAAGTAGAAAAATATTTTGTAAATCTCTTTGGAGTGGAGATTGCAAAGAAGGATTTATTTCTTTATAGTGCATTTCCAATCGCTATCGTCATTCTATTTGCTGTGACTGCCTATCATTTGATAACTTTGGAAAAACAATCTCAGTTGAAAGAATCAGGTACTCTAGTTTCAATGGGAAATACTGGAACGATTCGTGCTGTTCAACAACGAGAGGACATGAAGGGGAAATAGGTAATTTCATTGGAATGTCACTTGCCATTCTCTCTAAATGATAACACACACACTAATATACATGCCAAAATGGTTATGACTAACGTGACATATCTCACAAGATGAAAATCATTTAAATTTCCAACAGGAATCCACACATCATTCAATGAACTAATGTCACTGTTTTCATCCATCATGATCTTGTATTCAATATTATTCATGTAAAAGATATTCGGATTTTTGATTTTAACTGCACGAAGGGATTCTTCATTGCTGGGTTTTTGATATCTCAAATGCAATGGAAATTCAAAGGTAACAACAAGGTGATGTTCATCCTGGTGTTTAATATCGGAAATAATTTTAGATAGTGTAACATTATATTCAGTGCTATAATATGAAGGTGTTTCAACGTTGATATATTCTTGATCTTTTAAAAGGAGTATATCTGGTTTGATGTTTTTCATTTCGTAAATATCAATATACACATCGGAGGATAATTCCTCCACATACGAAACATTCAACAATTTAAAAGAGTATGAATTTGTTGTAACAACAAATTCGGTGCGTATCGTTCTATGAAATCCACCTTCTTTTGTTATTTCTCTTCTTTTCAAGTAAACAGCAGTCTGATCCGACTTCACAGCACAAACGAAGAGAATTAAAATTAATGAAAACATCTTGAAAGACATTTTTTCGGATTTGTTGAGACAAACTAGAATTCCAACTTAATTCGATGAATTCGATACACAATTTGGGAACTAAAACTTTATGTACATTTACTGCGTGTCAGAGGAGTTTGTGTTGCTGCTTGATAGCAATACAGATTGCAGCTTCTCTATTTTCTTTCGTTCTGATTCTTCCACCAAATTCATTAGAGATTCTATCTGACCGTTTACATCCTCTTTTAACAAACAATACAAGTCGTTGAGGTTATTGAGTTTTGTGAAGCATTTGGACAACTTCTCCAGAGTACTTTTTGAAACTTCTTGAGAAGCTATGTTGCTCAATTCAACTTCTTCCTTAATTACCGTTATCTCCTTGCATATGAGGTCGGAGTTGGTTTTTACATTGAGAAGTAGATCTTGAATATCCTTATTCACAGATACAAATTGTTCTTGAGTTAGTTTACAATAGTTGTCGGCTCGCTTCTCATTCTCAAACATTTCTGATCTTGTATTTTCAAATAGGTTTTGTAGAGTATTTAAATGGCTTCTAAGATCTTCAAATTGACGAGATAGAAGGCTGCAAGTAGAAAGAAGTGTTTCGTATTTTTCCGTATCATTGTGAATTATGTCATTGATTCTATTCTCAACGTTGTTCAATAATTCTTTGCTCTCATTCTTGAGCATATCTAATTTATCAGAAGTTTTTTGATCAAGGCCTTGCAGCTGTAGAATCGACGAGTCAACATGCCTGGAAACTATTTCTTTGATATCACTGATTTTCGTTTGTAGTTCAACGACAGAGTCTCGTTGTTGTGAAAGTAATGACTCTTTTGACTCAGCCATCTTCACCTCAATATTATTAATTAGTTGATGGACCTCATTCGATGTTGCTGATTTTTCTTCTAACTGTGCAACGAGTTCCTTAAACGAGTCGACGCTTTGAGATATCATGTCTTTCATTTTAGAAAGCTTTTGTTCTATATCCTCTTCAGCTCTCACAAAATTAGTTTCCAGTCTCTCATTACACTTTCTTAATGCGCTTAAAGCATCTGTGTTGTTTTTGTTTTCAAGTTCTACCACCTCTGATAACGATTTAAGTGCTTGGTGCATGTTGTTTTTTTGCTCATCTATCATATTTTGCAAAGATTGAGTATTTTGCAAGGACGTTGTGCTGAGCTCGTTGTGGTTTGCTTCCAATTTTTCTACAGCTGTTGTTAGAATTGGTAAAGAGACTGCTATTTCTCTTACTTGATCTCGCAACTCTTCCTTAAATGATTCAAGCTTGTCCCCCATTTGAATATGTCTCTCTTCAATAAATCCTTGTATCGAGGAAATCTTAGATTCATGAGTACTGTTCACAACCAACTGAGCATCTTTAAATGACGTAAACATTCTCTTTGTTTCTTCATCTTCTTTCTCATTTTCCTTTAATGCAGAACGTATTTCTGTGATTGCATTCTCAACGTTGGTAAGCACGCTTCGATATTCGTTCTTGAAATCCTGTTGTAACTTTACCAGATTATCAATTTCGGAAATGGTGGCATCAACCTTATTTCTGAGAGTATGGATGGATTTGTTTGAAATTTCATTCTCAGATTGCAGACTATGATGGACTGTCTCAAGACGATTTTGCAATTCAATATCTTTGGCTGCTAGCTTAGAACATTCTTGTTGTAGAAGGCCCATAAGTTTTTCATCTACTTGCTGGACGTCTTGCACCGATTGTACCTTGATATTCTCAATAGATGATTGGATTTTGGAAATTTGTTCGCCTATTTGAGTTTCGAATCGAGTAATATTTTTTACCATTGTTTCTTCAACATCTGTTAAAGATTCCTTAGTGGTAGCTTTCATTGAGTCTATTTCATCGCTTAGTCTTTGATCAACATCGTTCAATCTTTCCTGTAGAGTTCTATCCTGCAAAAGTAGTTCCTCAATCGATGAGTGGTGTTGAGTGATCTTGTGGAGATTGCTACTGCTCGTTTCTTCCACAGAACCAATTTTAACCTTGAGATCGTTCAATGATTTTGCTACAGTGTCAATTCCCTTGTTCAGTAAATCCAATGTTGAGTCTACTTGCTGTTGTACTTGGAGAAGCTCTGTCCTCAAAACAAGGTCCTTGTTCAATTGTTCTTGTTTGGACTCACACCTCAAAATATTTTCTATTTTCTCGTTTAACACACCAAACTGGTGATGAGCAGAATTTCTAATCTGTTCAAAGTCAGACCGCAACACATTCAGATGGGATTCAAGTTTTTGCTCTGTGTTCAATAGCTGCTCATGTTTGACTGCTTCCTTTTGGAGAGAATTGCTAATCTCTGTAACACTCTTGCTCGTTGTCTCGAGTCGTTGATTTAAAATAGCTTCCATCGAATTGAGTGCTTGGGCATGTCTGGTCTCAATGTACTGCATTTCTTTTTCATGTGAGTCCTGCAATAACTTTAGATCATGTTTTATCCTCAGGTCAAATGATTCCATATCTTGTTTTTGTTTGGAAACCAGTGTTTGCGACTCTTGTTGGTGTTTTTCTTTAAACGAAACAAGTTCAGACGTTATTTCACTTCTGATTTTTTCGCTGACCGTTGAGATGTTGTCGTGCATCTCAACTTTCATGGCTCGGGCATTGGTTTCAGTCTCTTTCAACATGCCCTTAAACTTGATTTCCATTTTCAACAATTCATCCTCTGATCTCTTACTCAATGTTTCAATTTCGCTATTAATCTTAGAATTCACATCGGCAGTAATTTGTTCATGCTTTTCCTCCATCTTTGAAATTCTCTGTTCGCCATCAGCTATCTTTTCTGCACACTTTGTTTCTATGGATTGAATTTCTGATGAGAGTGATTGTGAAACTAAACTTATTTCTTGCTTATACCTTGAATCTAAAGATATAATGTCCTCCGTCTGTTTGTCCCTCAACGACATTAGTTCTTGTTTAAATCGTATTTCCAAGGCTTGTAATTCTTGAAGGCTCTTGCTTTCAACAACTTGCAAATCATGTCTCAATTTTGAATGTTCATGTCCAGTTTTGTCTAAAATCTCTTTAAAGTTCTCTTCTTGAAGGATTTTCAAAGCTTTTTCGAAAGAGTCTACCTCAGACTTTATCTGAATTTTAACCTTGGTATCATGGAGAGTCAACTCATTCTTTAAACTTTGAGTATTTCTATCCATTTCATTTCTTAGAAATGCGCTAATCTCTTCAACATTTTGCTTTGCAGACAACAAAAAGCCCTTAATATCAGTTTCTGATACATCAATTTTTTCATAGATTTTGTTCTCCATCGATTTCAATTCATTCATTTGCTTCGCTTCATGGGTTTTCAATTCAAGTTTAAAGTTGGTTTCTAAATTTTGAATTTCTTGTTTTTGTTTCGTATCATGATTTTGAATATCGTGCTTTTGTTTTGACTCCAAATGGATTAACTCGTTTTTCAATCTCGTTTCCAAGTTTTGAATGTCGATCTTGAAATTTGTTGCTTCAGCACTCATCTTTTCCTGAACAGATGTAATCTTTTCTTGAACGTCCAGTTTTAGGTTTGAACACAGCTTCTCATTCTCTGTTGTAATTTTGTCTTTCAGGTCTGCCTCATATTTTACCACTTGATCCATAATTTGGGTTGTGTTCCTTTCAATGCGAGTGGACAAAGTTGATTGAATCTCCTCAATTTTGTTTTGCAAGGTATTTTTCGTGTTACTCACAAGTTGCTCAGTTGTGTCTAGCTTTTGTGTTAGCTTTTCATCAATCGTCCTCAATTCTTTGGAATACAAGGACTCGGACGAAGAAAGTTCTTGCTTAGTAGCAAGTTGAGAAGTGATCGAAAAAATCTCCTCCAGCTTTTGGGATGTAGCTTGATCTTTTTGCGCATTGTCTGACCTAATTGCTTCAAACGTAGACTTGAACCTCTTGACTCTCGTCTTCGTATATTCCGTCAGAGATTTGATATCAACGCCTATTTTTTCCAGTGAAGCGTCAATTCGATCAATATCCGTTCTCCAAGTGTTGTTGGACCTTTCTGCATTCTCTTCCAGCTTAGCTAAAGATATTTTCATACCTTGGTTTTCCAAATTATGGTTCTCAGCTTTCTTCTTTAAATCTGAAACCAACTCTTGTAATTGATATTGCCTTTCTTTGAATTGTTTCTTCAATTTTTGCAGTTTATCAGAACAGATACCTAGATTTTCTCCAGTTTGAGCGATGGTCTCTTCAAGATTCTTTGATTTTTGTTCAATAATTTCTAGAGAAGCGACCTTTACACTTTCTATCTTGCTAGTCATTAGCTCAATACTAGATTGAATGTCACAATTAAGGTCGTTTGTTTTCGATTCAAAGGATTTTCTAGCTTCGTCCAAGCTGCCAGTCAGAATGTCTACTTTGCCTTTCAATTCATTCTTAATGTCGATGAATTTTTCATTATTTTCGAGCTGATTTTGTGCGACAGTATCTTGTACCTTTTGTTCCAAGTCTTTCACTAACGATGAGAAGTTGTGGGACTGATGCTCTAGATCATTCTTTGTTTGATTAATCTTACAAAATGATGAATCGATTAATCCTGTCAACGTTGACACGTTGCTTTCCAACGATTGTTTAAAACTAGCTTCCATATGTTGTTGGTTATTTTTAACAGTGTCGAGCTCGCTATTCATTCTGGACAAAATTTGGTCAATCTGGTCTTTAGAAAACTGTAGAATATTATCGAATCTCTCCTCCATTGCTTTCTTCAACAATTCATTAACTTGTTGCAAGTTTTCTGTAAACATGTCTTGCGCTTTCTCAACTCTGTTCTTCAGCTCCAACTCTGAAGTGTCGATCCTTTTGTCTAATCTGTCGACATGACTCAACAACAAAGCAACTTGTGTGTCTGAATCTTTCTTAAAATTGTTCATCCTTGTTTCTAACTCAAGTTTTGTCTCTTTCAGTCTTTCGTTGTGCTCTTCATTGCGTTCAAGAATTTTGTTCTCAAGCTTAGCAAATGCTCGTTCCAAATTCTCGTTCAACGAGATTCTCATAGTGTCAATGGTGTTCATGATGGTTAGAGTGTTTGACTCAAGCTTAGATTTAAGGTTCGTAATTTCAGAACTCATTGCCGCCTCGGATCTAGATAGGGACTGCTCGAGTATATTTACCTTTTCATCCACCTCTTGTTTTATCAATTTTAGGGAATTGCTCATTTCTTCTCGCAAAGAGGCTATTGATTTTGATGAGTTGTCATTGGATTGATCTAGTTCAACCTTCAAATTTTCCACTTCATCCCTTAACAATTCAGCAATATTTTCAATTGCATGCTCAAGCCCGTCAACTTTAATATCAGTGTATTGCCTTGCGATGTCAGAAACACTTTGAAGGACAAACTCGTCTCCTTTTGATATTGCCTTGAGAACATCTTCTTTGAATGTAATGTTCAAGTATTCGTGAATATCCCTCCTAATACTGTTTGGCATCGTTGACAATTCTTTTTGCATGGCATCAAGTGTTTCAATAGTCAACCCTAGGTCTTTTTTTTGGACCTCAATCTCTGAGAACGCTCGCTCATTAAGGGATGTAAGACTACTCACTGATAGATCAATCTTCTTACTAAGTAATCCGAGTATCTCTTGCTTGACCTCATTTTGTTGTTGCTTGTGTTCCATCAGGTCTTGCTTGACTACCTTTACGCTCATATCGATATACTCACGAGTACTCTCAATATAATCTCTGATTTTCTCATCTATGTGTTCAAATTTTGATAGCAACTCTATCTTCATCTCGTCCATAGACTCAGTTTGTGTATTCGTTTGATGTAATTTCTCTTCGGAGGGTGGTAGAGGTCGGTCTTTGATAGATTTAGCTATGAGTTGATTCTGTCTTTCTTCCATGTACATGAGTTGTTCTTTCAGCTGGCCTTGTAATCTCTTCCAGTCTTTGGTTCTTAATTGTACAAACTCTTGCTGTATTTCGATGAGCGCTTGTTGAAATGATGCGGACTGTTCATCCAACAATTTCCTATATTGATCCGGAACAGAGTGATCATCATCTACCGCCTGCTCCTTCTTCTCATTAATAGGTACAAGTATTTCCTCAACAAGACTCTTTTTCTGCTGTTCATATTCCTTATCATCAAGAAAGCCTTGCTTATTAAGCTCCTTTAACAAGAACAATCCCTGAATTTGATCTTTCAACATCTTCATGCTCGGAACTTGACAATCCAAACGGTATTCAATCTTTGAGCGTGTTCCAATCGATTGATTGTGAGTGCAGATCGCTCTTATGAAGAATATTATTTAAAGCAACCCTCCAAGTAGGAATTAAGGAAATTTTTTGCAAATGGTGAGGCTGTAACTGGTGCACTGGATTTCAAAGCAAAGCTAACAACGAGACCAGGTCGTCCTCTGAGACTTCTCAATCCTAAGCGTTTGTAGATTGTGTCGTCTTGCTCTTGATACTAACCAAAGTGCTGCACTACTACAGAGGAAATGGTTAAAAATAAAACGCATCATTCATACAAAAAAATTGTCTTGATCAAGAAGAATTGGCTTACAAACTTTCGTCGGCAGGACTGATTCATTGAACACATACACACACACTCCATCTTTTCAACGCTATTCACACAACATGTTGATGAGTGCTTGCTGTAGCGGTAATAATAGAAAACTATTATCCCGTACAACACTTCTTTCCAATGTACTTGTAAAATCTTCTTCAAGAGTCAATCAATTTTATCCATCCATCCATAACAACAACAACAGTAATAATCGTAGCACTAGTTTCAGCAACAACAATGGCAACAATAGTAGCAGCAGCATTCTTATGAATAGCCTGACTTTATCATCATCTCGTTCCTTTTCAACCATTCATAATTTTCAAAGAAATTCTAATTCTTTCGAAGAGGATGACTACAGTATCAATCCAATGAACAATTCGGATTCGGGAGCAAAAACAGAAGAAGAGAAATCCATAGAAGAAATTCTTCGAACTAAAACTTCTCTCACTCCTAGCGAAATTGTCAATCAATTAGATAGATACATTGTTGGACAAGGAGATGCTAAACGTGCAGTGGCTATTGCTTTGAGAAATCGTTGGAGAAGACAACAATTGGATGGTTCCATCAGAGATGAGATTATTCCAAAGAATATTTTGATGATTGGACCTACAGGGTAAGTTGTTTGTGGTTTGTGGTTTGGTGTGTAAATGTGTAAATTTGAATTTTTTGTCATCTCTTATGATTTTGAATAATATACTATGATTATTATTACTACTACGACTACTACTACTACTACTACTTCAACTTTGGTTAATCTGTGGTTATATGTGGTCCTATCTATGTGTGTATGTGTGTGTGGCTCTCAAATCATCACAATGTTGACTCCTCCTCCTCTTCACGGAACCACCCTATGGTGTCTTGTTACAAAAACTTCCATGCTGACAAATCTCTTCCACTCTCTCTTCCTCAACCTCCATGCTGACAAATCTCTTCCACTCCCTCTTCCTCTTCCACTCTCTCCCCACACTCAGTGTTGGTAAAACTGAAATTGCAAGACGTTTAAGTAAATTGGCTCATGCTCCATTCATTAAAACTGAAGCCACGAAATATACCGAAGTTGGTTTTCATGGACGTGATGTAGATACAATTATTAGAGATTTAGTCGATGTTGGTATTCAACACACCAAAGATCGATTGAGAAGTGCCTATAAAACCAAAGCTCATGAATTAGCTGAACAAAAGATTATTGAAACATTAACTGGAAAGAAGAAACCAACACCAGAAGATGCAGCATTTAGAGATTGGAGAGAACAATTAAGAAATGGAATTCTTGATGATAAAGAAATTGAAGTTGAACTTCCAATTGAAAAACAAAATGCAGGAATGATGAGAGGAGGTGCAGCAATGGGTCGAGGAATGCAAGGAATTGACATTCAAGATTTACTTTCTCCATTACTTGGTGCAAGTGGTGCTAAAACAAGAAAACGTCGAATGAAGATTAAGGATTGTCTTCCAAAATTAGAAGAATCTGAAGTTGAAAAATTATTACAAACAGATATTGTCATTAAGGAAGCTATTCGTTCGGTTGAGGAAGATGGAATTGTTTTTATTGATGAAATTGATAAGATTTGTAGCTCATTTAAAGATGGACATGATGCTTCTTCTGAAGGTGTTCAACGTGATTTATTGCCAATTATTGAAGGAACGACGATTTCTACCAAATATGGAAATGTCAAAACAGATCATATTCTATTTATTGCTTGTGGTGCTTTCCATAGTGTGAAACCAAGTGACATGTTGGCAGAATTACAAGGTAGATTACCAATTCGTGTGGAATTGAAGGGTTTGACTGAAAAAGATTTGTACAGAGTATTAACAGAACCTGAAACTAATATTTTAAGACAAAATATTGAATTACTCAAAACGGAAGGTGTGGATATAGAGTTCAGTGAAGATGGTGTCAAAGAAATTGCTCGAGTTGCAGCTGAAGTGAATACCACTGTAGAGAATATTGGAGCTCGTCGACTCATTACCATTGTTGAGAAGATTTTGGAAGAGATTTCATTCAATGCTCCAACGTTGAAAGGTCAAAAAATTGTAATCACAGAGAAGGAAGTACAAGAACATATTGGTGTCTTGTTGAAGAGAGCTGATCTCAAGAAGTTTATTTTGTAAACAACGTGAGAAATGGTAAATATAGGTTCCTAATTTGATATATCATGGTTTTGAATCTACGAGTAGTAGTAAACGATCATATACTCGAGTATATACCTTTGAATTTCTTTTTCAAGAGACAAATTTAACATCGTGTTGGGGACAGTAATAGTTTTATTGCACAGTAACAAATAGTTCACCCACACGCATGTTTTTCTGTGAGCTCGTGTGTTAGCAAACAACACACATTCTCTCTAGATGGAATAAGCAATAAAATTCTGAGCGATGTAATAAATGGGTAATCCAAACAAGGCATTCGTTGGTGATTTGTCTAAAAATTGTTGACGTGCCACAAAGATATCACTAATTCCAAACAATACAGCTCCAATGACCCTCAAATAAGTTCTTTCCATTTCAGAGAATGGTTCTTGTCTCGTAAATGTCTTTTTCAATAAATTTTTGATAAATACAAGGAAATGAGAGGGTATCATCATGGATTGTCCTCCACTCGATAAGGCTGTCATGGTTGAAATCACATACAAGTATGGAATCACTAGAATATCAGCACTACGATCTTGAATATTCAACACAACACAATAATATCCATAGAGATATAAACAGAGTGCACACACTACAGGAATCATGACACTCAACAATCGTTCTCTTGTTTTCTCAACATTCTTCCAAAATGACACCACGAACGACAAGGTATAAAAAACATGACACAACAAGAAGGAAAATCCTCCTGGCATAAATCCATTCGGAATGGCCAACAAGATGTCACCAATCATGGCCAAGATCAATGCAATAAATACAAATATTGGAATAATTCCTCCATCCTTCTTTTGTCTCCATTGATTATATCCAATGTACATGAATAAAAGAGAACACAATGTTTTTGTGTAAATATTTGGACCAAAAACTGTGAAATGTAAGACGAGTAAGAGAGTGAGTGCACTCCAATCATAGAAACGTAAATGATTCATGTGTGGAACGAAATGAGTGAGATGATGATGCTGCTGCTGTTTTTAATAATAATGATGTTCTGAGGCACAAGAGTAGTGTTGATGATGATCAGAATGTTTAAATGTGATGTGTTTTAAATAGGTGTGTGGATCGATCGATGGACAATGACTGTTTTTAGCTTATTGCGAGAGAGATATCGAATGATAAAAATTCAACAATGATTTACTTTGGATGGAATGTGTGATAATGATGATTATCGCAAAATGATGAATGTTTTGGTGTCAAGAGAGAGGTGGTAGTGATGGTGATGGTTAAATTGATCTTGTTCGGAAATGAGAATCGTGTGTGCGCGCTCGTACGACACAAAGAATCTTTTTTTTTAAGCGATTTTCCCATGGCCACAAGGAGGGTCATTGTTACAAATATTTGGAGGTGGATTTGGCATGAGAATGGACATTAAGGTCTGGGTGACATTGTTTGGTGGTGGTCATCATGATCGATCATTAAATTCATCAATCTCTCGTTGGATGAAGTGCATGGAATCACGGATCATTAAAAAATTCTTTAATGGTTATGTGCATAGGAGTAAAATGAAAACAACCACATCGCGTGTCAACCATATTGAACTCTCAGGGTGTGCATTCACATCAATTTTGTTCTCATTCTTTAAAATTTCATGAAGGTATTTTCATCTTTTCATTCTTACTATCCTCATGAATGACATTCGAGTATATGCTGAACAAGTTCATATAATCTCATGTTACTATTGAGTATTCAATTCATGTTCGTGCTAGTCGTCGTGCTCATTGTGCTCATAGAATCATGAAACGAATATACATTCTTGGAATGAATAAATAATTTAGATAATGCATCTCGTTGTTTCAATAAATACTTGTCTAATAAAATATTCAAATCATGAATCATGAATGTACATAATGTTTGATTCAACACGAGTGAAATTCTTTCAAATTTCTCAACAATAAGTTTCAAATCTTGTAATGGAATGTCATTGTTTGTCCTCATAGGCATTGGATATTTACCATTTTGTAATTCCTTTTCATATAGAGTCATGTACTCATCCAAACATTGAACACTATTACACACTTGAATGAGCCATGGAATGTAAGGTCTCTCAGTGGTCTCTTCTTTGGTTGTTGCTTGTGTTGCTGCACTTGCGACTGTAGACATGATACTATTGGATCCACTTTTTATAGTACTTGATATGGATTTATAGAGAGATTTACCAAATCCAAATACCTTACTGAATGATGTTGAATTGTTGTTGTTGTTGTTATTATTGTTACTATTATTGTTACTATTATTGTTACTGTTATTATTGGTGTTGTTATTTGTAGTAGTAGTAGTAGTAGTATTATTACTACTACTTGGAGTAATAGTAGCAGTTGTTGTTGTTGTTTGATGATTTGGAGTTGTTGAGGTATGAGAATCAGATGTCGAGATGTGGTGTTTCATGTTGTTGTGATTGTTATTACTATTACTGGATTGAGTGGTTACTGCAACATCTTCATTACTCGATAAGTCGTATGGTTTTGAAGAATTTTCCATACCATCACCATCAGCACCACCCGTAGTATCATCATCTTGATTCTGTTGTTCTTGTTGTTGTGGTGGTGGTGGTGCTTCCATTATTGAATCTTCATGATCATACAAAACCTCAGTGAGAGTATTCATTCCACTGGATGCAATAGATCCAACAGTATGAAAGATACTACTGAGAATAGTGTTGTTGTTGTTGTTCTCTTGTGTGCTCGTACGTGTTGTAGTAGTAGTAGTAATGGAATAGGAAGGTTGGAGGGATGAAGATGGTTGTTGTTGTTGTTGTTGTGATTGGATGAGTGTTGAATGTTGTGATTGTTGTAATTGTTGTTGATATTGAGGTGTTGTTAAGGGTGTTAAATGAACATATTTTGATAATTCTTTTTGAGCAAGATGCGCTTGATCTATAAATTTGTCTAATAATGAGAGAACTATTTTGTAATCAATGGTTCGAATATCATGAGAGAGTATTGTTGTTGATTTCATTGGAATGATAGAAGGATTATGAATGAGTGTATTTGATTTTTCAGAGTGTTCAGTATTTCGATGATCACCACTATTATTATTACTATTAATACTATTACTATTAATACTATTACTACCATTATTACTACTACTATTACTATTACTATTACTATTACCACTTCTATTGGATTGACAATGAACAATCATTTCTGTTTTAAAATCTCCAATCATTTCACATAATTTTTGACAAAAATTAATCTTGTGTTGTTGTGAACTTAATTTCACTCCACTTTGAAACCATACTTGTTTGCTAATATACAAATCATTGGTTAAATATCCTCCATTTAAAATAATAGATCCTAATCGATTCATGAGCCAATAAGGTCGATGTGTCGATTGGAGAGGTGCATTCAAATCTGTATTATAGGGTGGTAGAGATTCTTCAATAAATTGATACTTGTCATTGAGTTGAATGGGATTTTGAATTTGATAATAATAATTGGATAAAGAGCATGTTGTTGTGGAGGTGTTAGTATTGGTATTAATAGTAGTATTAATAGTAGTAGAAATAGTTGGATGAGAAGTTTGATTGGTAGTCATTGTGATGTTATTATTATTAGATGTGATATTTGGTGAGATTTGTAAAGATAATGATGATGAATGAGAAGAGTTGGTTGTTGATGAATATAAATAATCATGCAATTCGGAATTCAATTCCTTGACACTCTTTTTGATTTTCTTATGACTGGATAATATATTTGAAAGTGAAGTAGTACTAGTAGTACTAGTAGTGGTGGATGTGTTGTTATTATTAGGATTATTGACGTTACTATTATGATTGACACTATTTTCAAAAGTATTCATATTGATCTGATTTGTGGAACCACTTGAACTAGATGTACTTGATACATCCTGATTCACAGTTTTAACTCCACTACTACTACTACTATTACTACTACTACTACTGATATTACTACTATTACTACTGCTACTATTAATATTTCCATTAATATTTCCATTAATATTTCCACTACTATTACTACTATTATTCGTCTTTTTGATAAATTGTTCTGAATTGGTCAATGATTGTTTTCCTAAATGATTTCCTCTCTCTAAATATAATTTACTATATTTCAATAACACACTACTATATTGTTGAGGAATGAATGGAGATAATTGATTCAACATGTTTGATACTTCTAAATATAATTGTCTTGCTTGTGAATATTGATGATCAACAATATCACATCGAATAGCCACTGATGCTTTTGTCAATGTTTCAATTAAATGTTGTTTCAATTGTGATTCTAATACTGAGGATGGAGAAGTAGGTGAAGTAGGTGTTGTTTTTTGTACAAGTTGAAAAGTAGTCGCTGTTGTGGATAAGAGTGGAGTAGGACATGTAATTTCAGTAGTGAAATTGCTGCATGAATTTGAAATATCAGTCACTGGTTGTTCTCTTATAATTTCAGGTGTCAAACCAATATTGATAGGACATGATGATTCGAGTGGTGTTGATATTGTTGTTGTTGATAGAGTTGTTGCGGTTGTTGTTGTTGATAGAGTTGTTGGTGTTGATATTATTGATGTTGATGATTCAAGTTCTGGTAGTGAAGACATGATTTGATGATTTGGAAGAGTCACTACATGTGATTCAGATGTCATTGGATGAGACATGGATTCAAGAGATGGATTGGAATTTTCAGTCATGTTGCTGTTCCTATCAAAAGATGGAATGGAGGTATTCATTTCATTCATCATTGGAAATGTATTATTTTATCGGAATTGAAATTACTTGTCGGAATGAAATCATCCATTCAATCGATGGTTGCGAAACAATGGCACAAAGTGTGAGACGTTTGGATTTTTCAATCACGCGCGACAAGATAAACACAGAATTATATTTTTTTTAAAATACTTTTTCGAAGAGAGATGGATGATCTTTTCATTCGAAAAATAACACTTTGACTTTTAATTGTGTGTACTTGTAGTCTTTCATACTCAAATTTTGAATCTCTTCTTCATTCCTTCCTTGATGATAACAACACCACCACAAATTCAATCCAATCCATTCTGATTTCAAAATCAAAAAACTCGCAATCAATAATGTCAATGTCATGACCATCACCAATAAAAGAGATTTCATGGAATAAATCATATGAAATAAATTATTGTACATTCCAGTTGCAACATTGGTGGAAATGGTATTATAAAATGCACATTCATGTTTCAATGTATTGCAATATGGTTTCAATTTGATATTTTCACCATAAATAAATATGGAATGAGATCCAAATAAATTGAGATAGGTTTGATAACATTGTTTGTTACGAGAGAGAATCGTTGAATGAGATGATGATAAAGATGGATTGGAGGAATCTCTATTATTGCTATTGCTATTACTATTGCTTCTACTATTACTATTAGCACTATTACTACTACTTGCAACATTCTTATTTCTATCCATGGTATAAATACTATTTTTACCATCACAGGAATAAATGGCATGTTTACAAATTTCAAATTGTTTTGAAGAATACCATTCCTTATTCACACTTGAAAAATCATTGGGATTATATGGAATGTTGTATGATAATGATCCTTTCGAATTTCCATTCATATTTGGATCATGACTCGTCGTTGTAGATTCCTTATACATTCCAATCGATTGTAAGGCTTCACAGTATTGTTCATAACAACAATTCCATCTAAATTTTTCATGATATACAATCATACAATCTGAATCATATTTACATTTTTGTGGTTGTTGTTGTTCTGATGAATCTTTTTGAATATTTTCTTCATTGGTATCCTTTCGATTCAATAACAAGGTATGTGGTAATGGTTCTGTAAATATTTTTGGTAATTCACTAATGGTGGTACATTTCATGGGATAGGTTTGAGTGGAGAGTAAACAATCACCCATTGAGACACACGTATAGAAATCATTAATGGAGGATTGATGAGATTTACATTGAGATTTTAAAAGAGTGGCACTATCTTCATCAATCATGTCTTGACAATAAACAAAGAATGAGGGTGAGAATAAATGAAGAGAATATAAATGATGGTTGTGATTGTTATGGTTATAGTTATGGTTATAGCTATGGTTATTATTAATATGGTTGTTATGTTTGTTGTTATGGTTATTATTGATATAGAAAGGAATGATGGAATTTAAATCTAGATTGGAATGAAATGTACAAGGATTGGTAAGTATCAAATTGAAAAGACAATAAATATTGAAAGAAAGAGTGACAACAAGATGTAATTGAGTTGAAAAAAGGAATGAAAGTATTGTTGTTCTTCTCCGACTTGTTTTGTTAATTTTCCTTGTTGTATCATTCCATTCTTCTTTGATGGATTGTTGGGTTGAACTTGTTTGACAGTTGGGCAATAATAATGAATTCATAGACTTGTTGTTGTGAATAGAGTTGTTGTTGTTGTTGTTGTAGACATCATAAATTTGAGAAGAATGGAATGGAGTGGTGACACTCGGTCGGAGTGAACAATAATCATTTGGTTGTGACATTTTTTTAATAACGATTGAACTGTGTCTTCCATCATTCCTTATTTAAAAACGAATTAATTTTGAACGATATTCTACCATCTACAAAATGATAATGCTACAATTCAATTATTGTTGTAGTGAAAATTCACAACCTATCGTCACGATGAGAGCTACCCGAGAGAAACACTGATCGCCAGAGTACGTTGATGATTGTCACTTGTCAACCTGTCCTGAACGCCATCATCACACCCATCATTTGTTAAAAAAATTTCATTGTTAAACTCCAATCCTTCACACACTTGGCAATGAATAACAACTCAACATCAACAGTTCCCTTTCAAGGAGGTGAATATACTGGTCCTCTCAATGATCAAGGTCTTCCACATGGTAAAGGTTCTCTCTATTTTCCATACACCAAACACAAATACGAAGGTGAATTTGTGAATGGTCAAGCACATGGTAAAGGTGTTGCGAGTGGTGTGTTGAGTCAAGAAATGACTCTGATCGTTAATAATGAATTGAGAAATGTGGGTGATAAATTTGTGTCATGTTCTTCAAGTAATAGTAGTGGTACATCATCATCCTCTACGACAACTTCATCCTCCTCTAATTTAATAGATTCCAACAACAACAACAACACATGGACTAATCAATGGAAATATGATGGTCAATGGATGAATGGTCAAATGCATGGACAAGGCGAGTTCACCTTTGCCAATGGTGACATGTATAGTGGAGAATGGAAAGATGGTGTTGCATGTGGTAAAGGTCTCTATTCATGGCAAAGTACAGGTGATCGTTATATGGGTGAATTTGTGAATATGAAAAGACACGGTGCAGGTACCATGCTCTTTTCAAATGGTCACAAATACGATGGTTTATTCTATAATGATTATCGTCATGGTCATGGTATTGAAACTTATTCCAATGGTAATCGATTTGAAGGTTATTGGGTGATGGATAAGAGACATGGTCCTGCATTTGCCTATGTCAAGTTTGAAAATTTAGATAAAAAGTTACAAAAGAAGAGAAAACAAGGAATGAAAGGACAACCAACCATTCCAAGCAGTCAAGTCACTAATCAAGCCAATTCCAAAACCTCTACCATCTATTTGAATTTACATTCCATTGATCAGTATGTGGTCTATTCTCAAGAATATCATTTAGGAAGATTATTGAGTGAAAAGGAATTGTTTCCTTGTGATTATGCTCCCTATATTTATACAGGTGGTGTGAGTGGTGGTGGTTTGAAAGCCCCTACTGAATTACTCACTCAAGACATGGATTCTGTATTGGTTCAAATCGATGAAGAAATTGAAACTCTTGTCATGGAGAGTAATAGTAGTGGTGGTTCTTCAAGTGGTGGTGGTGGTGGTTATTCTTCAAGTGGTGGCAATGGTTCTGTTCATCATCATTCCAATCATCACACCCCAACCATTACTAGTGATACCATTGTGAGTGATGATGATGATAAGAATTCTTCTCCAACCATTCATACGAGTGGTGGTGATGGTGGTATGAGTAATAATACTACTACTACTAGTAGTAATATGAATTCTCCTCCTACCGCCATGACGACGATCACTTCTTCACAAATTCTCAACAAACTTGCCAAGAGAAAATCTCAATCTGCTACTTTGAATCAACAATCATCATCATCACCACCCATCCATGGTCATTTGATTGGTACCAACTTGATGACATCACCTCCTTCACCTTCCAGTCATAGTCATTCGACACAAGTGTTGTCCTCATCCTCTGCATCCTCCACATCCTCTCAATCCATTCTCACCACTGATAATGTCTTTGTTCAAGGTGTTGTTTGTTGGGAAGATAAATATTGGGACATGATTCAACAATTATTTGTTCAACAATTCACTTCCAAATGTGAATATAATTACACAAAGATATTATTGAATACTCTTGATCAAGTCACTACCTTGGAAGAGAGAAGACAACAACTCATGGAACATATTGACAAGTGTGAAAATGCCAAATCTAAAACCAAATGGGAAATGAAACGTGTCATTGTTGAAGAACTCCATGCAGAAGCACCCAATGATTATTCTGGTGTTGATCTATTTATGGATCGATTGGATGAATTGATGAGTGAGATGAGAATTGAATTGAGTGATATTATTGAAATGAAGAATTCTGCTTCTCAAGTGAGAGATGAAAAGAAGATTCAACTCACCAAACAACAACTCTCTGAAATTGAAAAGAAATTATTTCGATTGGAGAGTGCCTTGCAAACCGCTAAAAACACAGCTCAACCTTTTACCAAAATCAAACTCTTTATGCGTGATCAAGTATTGTATCAACAATTATTAGAAGAAGTTGCCATTCATTTGCAACGTTTGAGAGTCTTATTGAGACGTTTAATGTTGATTCGTTATGATGTTCATAATATTAGTGTGAATGTTGATTCCAATTCGACCACTGTGACTCTCAATAAGGAACAATTAGAGGCAATGGCTGACATTAAATTGCATGTACAATTGGTACAGGGATTGTTTGAGAGTAGTGTGATGCGTTCACGTGCTGCTGCTGCTCTAGTTGGAGTTTCTGAAAAGAATGCTCAAAATTCTCTCACTTTGGATACCAATGCTGTGATTGATCATGTATTGAAGAGAACGAGACAATTGAGTGAACATATTTTGTCTCAATAAGAGAGTGTCTTGATGATTCGAACGTAGTCGGTTTGATTGGTTGAGAATAAATTGAGCTCAAATTGTACAATGCTTTGATTGATACATGTATCGAATCATCTTGTGTGGTCTTTGTGTTCAATCAACCCGTGTTTCATCAAATGAAAATATGGTCCCCAACCTCAGTCTAAGGCTGTAAAATTGAGTGTTTTTGAAAAAAAATCTCAAGTTAAAAAAAAATGGACCCAAACGATCTTCTTGACGGTGATTGGGATGTGCATGGAGGCTTTGGCTCTCGGCACGGAACCAACAAGAAGTTAGGCTTTTCAACGGTCAAGGACTTTACCACAACACCCAATGAAGCCTCGAATGCCAGCAGTAGCAGTAGCGGAAATATAGCTACTCCTTCTGGTGTTCCTGGTAGCAACAAAACCTCTCTACTCAAATCAGCAGCAACAACAACCTCCTCGTATGGTGATACCAACAACATTTCATCATCACATATCGCAGCTGCCTATAACCTCTCTGGAATGATGGACAGTGATGACGATGATGATGACGATGACGATGGTATTCGTAGTGCTGCTACGAACAAGCACGATAGCATGGCTGGTGGTGGCACCTCTAACACCTCTGCAGGTGAAATTCTCTCTACTGATCTTTTACAACAACAACAAAATTTACTTTTAAACGACCAATCTCGATTTCTTGTTGAACAAATTGAATTTCAATTTTCAAAAACGTTTATTCAAGTGTGCGCTTCTAAAGGAAATCTTTTACTAGTCACTGATCAAAACACTTGTATTTATGTCGATGATGATTTTGAGAGATATAGAGAATTTAAAATCAATGTTGGTGATGACGATGAAGATCATGAAAAGATTCATAAATGTTTTATTGACCCTTCTGGATATCATGTATTAGTGTCCATGACAAATGGAGACAATTATTATTTCAATTCTCAAAATAATAAGAATCCTAAAATTCCAGTTCCAAAATTGAAAAATATGATTATTGAAAGTGTCGGATGGGATTCTGAAACTTGTAATAGAGATCAAACAGGCCCAATCTTAATTGGTACTTCTGATAGCAAAATATATGAATGTTCTTTAGAGAATGATTTGAAAGAACCTGTAAAGAGTCCTTTAAAATTATTATTTGATTTCAATGATTGTGATATGCTTGTGAGCACAGGTCCAATCACTGGTATTGAAATTGTATACTTTCCAAAAAGCAAGAATTCTTTCAATTGCTATTTGATATTGATTGCAACTCGATTGAGATTATTTGAATTTGTTGGTGGTCCAACACTCCAAGATGTCTTCACACCATACAAACAATCCTATGATTTGTTAAGATATAAGGAATTACCTGCAAAAAGAAGTGACATGTTACCTAAATGTGGTGAATTACATTTATTTAAACCACCACTGACAAGAGAGATTACCAGTAGTAGTAGTGGTGGTGTTGGTGGTGTTGGTAGTAGTAATGTTCTTGATCAACAATTATCCTTTGCATGGCTCAGTAATGCTGGTATCTTTCATGGTGTTTTGAATTTCTCAAATCCCAATAGCAGACAACCTCAGAGTGGAGTGAGTGTCATTTCAGAGAGTGAAGTGATACAATATGATAATAAGAGTGCTTCCCAAGTCATGTCCATTTCTATTAGTGAATTCCACATGTTTGTATTGTATCCTGAAAAGTTACAAATACTCATGCAACCTGCTGGATTGTGTAGCACTGCTGCATCCAATGTTGCTGTTGCTGCTGCGAATATGAATCCAATGCTCTTGATGATGAATGTGGGTGGTAGTAATAGTACATCCATAGGAATGAATAGTGGTGGTATTGGTAATATTGGTCTTGGTAATATTGGTATTGGTAATATTGGTCTTGGTAGTGGTATTGGTAGTGGTAGTATTGGCAATGGTGTCAATTCCATTGGAATGAATAATAGCACTTCCTCAACAAGTAGTGTACAACAAGATATTGAAAAATTCTTTCAGAACAACGGCAACAGTAACAACAACAACATGTTACAAGATGCAAGTACTTTTACGAATCATCATTCACAAGATTTAAATCTATTGGTAGCCTCACTTGCATCCAACCATGTGGGTGAAATTTCTCTCTCTGATATTCGTGTGGTGTATTCTCAACCCTTTCCAGTGAGTACAAGTGGTGAATTGATTGGTCTCTGTACAGATTCATCACAACGAGATCGAATCATTTACTTGTATAGTTCAAGTGCAGTGTGGAGAATTACCATTGATGATGAAGAGAAGGATGTTTGGAAGTTATATTTAGAACAAGCCTTAGATCCCAAGTCATCTAAAGAATCTTATTTTGATATTGCATACAAGTTATGCAAACAAGATCCAAAAACAAAAGATATTGTATTATCTGCTAAAGCTGATTATTACTTTAAGACTGGAAAGTACAATGAAGCTGCCAATATTTATGCCATGACTTCAAAGAGTTTTGAACAAGTTTCAATTGCATTTCATAATAGAGGTCAAAAAGATGCTCTCAGAATTTATGTTCTCTCTAAATTACAAATACTCAAAAAGAATATCAAAACAGAGAATCAAGATGCTACTCAATTGTGTTGTCTATGTACATGGTTAACAGAAATGTATTTGGACAAGTTGAATGAATTGTATGATTTGGTCAATTTACAGACATTTTCAAATCCAATCAGTGGTAACATGAATGATGTTATGAATCATTCCCAACAACAACAACTCTCCTATGAAGAACAATACAAGATTGCTAAAGATGAATTTCGAAGTTTTTTAGAACAACATAAAAAGTATCTCAACAAGGAAACTACTTTTAGACTTATTAGTAGTCATGGACAAACAGAAGAAGTCATCTATTTTGCAATGCTTATTGAAGATTATGAAAGAGTTATTAGTTATTGTATTACTGAAAAAGATTATAAGGAAGCACTTGGAATTTTGAACAAGTATTGTACGACAAGACAATATGAAGATTATTTTTACAAATTTGCACCAATACTCATGCAACATTTACCAAAAGAAACAGTTAATACTTTAACTCAGAAGAGATTTTTAGATTCTGGAAAGTTAATACCAGCATTGATGAGATATATTTCTCAACAACATCACCATTTGAGTGCTATGACTACTACTACAACTAGTATAGAGACTCAGAGTGCTACTGCTGCTTCTAACAATGCTAATACTACTACTACTACTTTACAAAGTGTTGCTGGTACAACAACAAGTAATAATGGCACTCACACATTAACGAAAAAAACATCTTCTCAACTGACCAAACAGCACACCCATGAAGATCATGACATGGATGATGAGGAATTTACAGACTCTCTTCTTGATGATGAACAAGAAGAAGAAGAAGAAAATGATCACACCTCATCACCACCACTTCAGAAGCACTCTTCGCATCATCAACAAATTCACCACCACCACCAACAACAATTGAATGATCATCAACAATTTTCATCATATCTCACCTCAGAACAACAAAATCATGTCATTCGTTATTTGGAATGGTGTATTCGAAAACAAGAAAATGAAGATCCAGCCATTCATAATCTTCTTCTCACACTCTATGCAGACTTGGAAGATGATGAGAAGCTACTCACCTTCCTTGACACTGAAGGTGAAAATAATTACTATGATCCAAAATATGCACTTCGAGTATGTTCTCAAAAAAAGAAAATTGAAGCATGTGTGAGATTGTACAGCTCGATGCAATTATTTGATGATGCTGTAGATTTAGCTCTCGAAAATGATAACATTGAATTGGCAAGAGAATGTGCAGATAAACCTGAAGACGATGAAAATAAGAAAAAGTTATGGCTTAAAATTGCTAAACATGTCATTAATAGCAATACTGGAGTGAAACAAGCGATTGAATTTCTCTCGTACACTGACAAGATCAAATTAGAAGATATTTTACCATACTTTCCTGATTTCTCTCATATTGATGATTTCAAAGAAGAAATTTGTAAATCATTGGATCAATACAAGGATGAAATTGAAAAGTTGAAGAGTGAAATGCAAGAAGCGACTCAAACTGCTTCAGAGATTCGAGAAGATATTAAGGAATTGAAACATCGATATGGATATATTACAGCCAATGCAAAATGTGACTTGTCATCCAAGTCTGTATTGACCACTGATTTCTACTTGTTCCCATGCCAACACGTGTTTCGAGCAGATGCATTGGTCGAGGAAGTGTTACGTCATTCCAAATCCAAGGAATTACGTGAAAAGTTGATTCAACTTGAAGAGAAACGAAAATTGTACAATCGACAACTCGAAATGTTGTCGAATACCATGTCGAATAATAGTTCACAGCAGCAACATGATGAAAGTCCTTCGTATGGACAACAACCATCCATGGTTGGCTTGGATCAAAAAGAACTCTCTCAATTGCAAGATGAATTACGTGAACTCGATGAAATACTCTCTGCAGAGTGTCCATTGTGTGGTGAAATGATGATTAATTCCATTGATGAAAGTTTCATATCACAAGAAGAAATGGAAACATCCATTTATAATTCATGGTCTATTGCTTAACTTCTTCTCATTAATAAATACAAATGAGTATCAGGTTCAATATGTTGAATATCTCTAGCTTCTCCTGTTAGCCTCATCAATAAACCACCAAATGAAACATAGATGGACACCTTCTCAAAATTATCTTTAGGTTGATATTTGTAGACTCTTCCGTACATGACGTAATCGTATTGATCCATGAGTGAAGGCCTATCTTCTGTTCCTAGTGTTGGATCAAAATAATCTTTTGTTTTTTTAGAGGCTGATGATGATGAAACGCCGTGCTCACCCGATGATGACTTCTTGCTTCCGGCACCTCCGCTCACTTCAAGGCTTGTGGCTAATGAAAGAGTCAATTTATCACCATAGTCAACAGGAAATATATCCGTGTTGATATCAATTACTAATTCCATTTCATCTTCACTTTCGCAATATAAACGGGATACTTTATCGAATTTCTTTCCTTCAGGATCAATCCGTTTAATTTCAAAGAATTTATCTTCGAGAGCAATTTGGCCGGATGACATTTTTTTTTGAAGTTGGTGAAATCATCATCAGATTAACTACACGTGTAAGAGGGAGTGAGACTCTTTCAACTGAGCTCGAGATGAGACACACTAATGTTCTGTCGAGTACGATATCAATTTGTTTATTTTGAAAAATTACTTGTTTCCAACAGTTATGTTTAATGTTCGAATAGCAAAGAATTATTATTCTTTGAAAACAAATGAGGACTTCTCAAAGACACTTAATGAAGATGAGAATTCAGTAATTGGAAAATGGACTTTTCAGAAATTACCTCGAAACAATTCTCATCAAAGTATGAATTCGGAAATACCACTCCATCATAAACATGTTTCATTCTCCTTTCAAAATCATTCTTGGCAGTTGTCAACAGTGAAAATCCTGACTCCAATAAGGCAATCTCGAGAAGCATGTTTTTGCAGTTCAACTTCTGTTTCACTTTCTCTGGTAACCTATCTAAACAAGAGCCATTATGTTTCAAACTTTCGATTACTTTTTTCTGAGGAGCATGGTTGAAAAACCTTAAAGGAAACATTTCCAGGATTTGAGATCTAAAAGAAAGAGCTGAAAACCAAAGTTCTTCATCATTCAACAATGGATGATCTACAGTGAGGGGAAAGAACTTGAACAGCTCTTTTCGTAAATGAACCTGATGGTAACTGTCAGGCTGTTTGCATACTAGTTTCAATTTTTGAAGAATGATCTCTTTCGATTGAGACAATAAATATTCTTGGGATACCTTTCTCATTTTGCAAAAACCCTTGGCTTGTATGGCTATTTCAATCACTTGTGAATCGTTCCATAATGAATCAGACACAAACTGCATCAGAGAAGCACCATAACGCTTGATTTGTTCCATGATAAATACCTTATCTGATCTAAGTGCTTCTGATGCATATTGCAGGGAACAAGTACAACCATACTCGAGTGAAGTCATGACCACCTGATGGTCATTTCTCATCTCAGAAGAAGCATAGATCAATGGATGCATTTGCTCATTCTCTTCTGAATGGCAAGAACACCTATATCGAAAATTCTTCACTGCCTCCATGACCATGTCCATGTCATTTTGCATTTCCTTGGAAGTGTATTGGAGAGCTAAACCATCAAACTGAAGTGCCTTCAACACAACAGATGGATCGATCTTAGACTGCTTGTTAGAATCAAATGCATCCTTTAGTTCATAATAACATTGAATCTGTAACATGAGCTTGGAGACGCTTTCGTTTGGACCTTTTTGTCCTTCTGTACTTTGACTTTTCAACATCAAAATGGAAAGAGCATTCTTCATAAAATCCTTATCATTTCTCAAACTTTGGGAAGCGTATTTTAGTGCTTTTATATTGTAGCGAAGAGCCTGCAGCATAAAGTCACAATCATTTCTAAATGAGAAGAATTCTTCATTCTGCAAAATTTCAATGGTCCCATGTTGAATGACTTCATAAAGAAATGATGCATCTGAAAAGATGGAATTCGATTTTCTCTCCTCCTCATCACCTTCATCTTGAATGCTGGCATGCCGTCCTACACCCAAATGGTTAGAGCTGATAACGAAATCCTTTTGCAAGGTACTTGTAAAAGCTTTTACGAGCAGAGAGCGATTCGATTGTAAATCTGTGGAAGCGTATGCTAGTGCTTTCATGTTTCGAGAGACAGCCTCTAACACCACTTGCTCATCTTGTTTCATGTGTTTGGAGGCATACAATAAAGATAACGGGTTTTGTCTAATGGCTGTTATTACAATTTCGTGATCTGATTGAAGGGGAATAGAAGCAGCCTGCAAAGCGTTGCCATTCTCTTTCACAGCCTCCATCATTAATAACCAATCGTTGATATATATCATTCTTGATGTTAACAACTCTGGACAGTAGATCAAAACATTCAACAAGGTGTGGCTTTCAAACATGAATTCAATAGGAATGAAATCGATTGTTCTTGATTTAAGTTTTTCAATGAATTGGGATCGATGAAGATAGTATTTGTGGAGACATTCATAGATCGCCTTTAATTTTACCTGCAATGAAGAGCTGGAATGCTCCAAGTCTGTTAAAACAACATGTACTAGATTATCATGCTGAGACGGTTCTTTCGCTGCTACTTTCACTCAAGGTCATGACCTTTTTTTTGTTCTTTTTTTTTATCCAAACTGTCTCATAATTTGTTGGCTATCTAAAAAGATGGTTTGAAAGTCAGGGAGGAAAGAAAATGGAATCAACGCAATAACAAAGCAACCAATCAGCGCTCGACTGTCTAACTCACCCATCCACTTCTGAGAGCGCTGTCAAATGACCCATTGATATTGCAGTGCCAATCTGGAATTCTTCACTTGGTTCAATAATTCACATTTAAAATCATCACTACAATCACAATTCTTACTTCATGTATGACTATTTTATCAGAATAAATAATTAATGTTTATAGTTATTCAAAACGTGATGTATTATGTAACTACTCCAGTTAAATGAACATTCAGAAATACAACTCTCTGGTAGTAACGAGAAAAGAACAATACAAAATCTGTTAACACGACTATGATCCTTATTTTAGTCTCAAAAAACGAACACAATATATGAATACAGTTGGTAACCATTGTTAAGTTACACATGAACACAACGGCACTTTGATTATAACTGATGACCTGTTCCTAATTACACACTAATATTGGACATACCTTTCTGTTGAACAAAAGAGAATGTTGTTTGTATGATACATCAATATTGGTATTTAAATGCAAACAAATGGATTATTAACGGGTTAGTTATGGTCTCATCTTTGGTAGTTTCACTTCTTTGGAGATGGAGTTGACTTCCAATAGTTATTATTGTCCGAGAAATGCATTCTTGATGGCGATAAAACCACAATGTATGGATAATTGCTCTGGGACGAATAACAATTATATGGAGCAATTTGTGATTATTCAATAAAATCATCATCAACTTGATAATTTTGAAACAAATCAAGAATATTCTACTTCATCACACCACAAGTGATCATAAAAGGTAAGCATTTTAAATGATGTTATGTAACTTCAAACAATAATAGATTAATACCAATGGGTTAGTTGCTGTCTCCTCTCCAGGAAGTGTCGCTTCTTTGGAGATGGAGTGTCAACCAACAACCTTTATTGTTGTACAGTTGTCCCGAGAAATGGATTCTAGAATGCGATGAAAAAACTCAAATTGCTCTGAGAAAAACCACATTGAATGGATAATAGCTCTGGGACGAATATAGATCATATAAATAAATTTGTTAGTAAACTTCAATCAAATCATCAACAAAATCAAATCATCAACAAAATGTTAATTGTGAAACAAATCAAGAATATTCAAGTCTACTTCACCACAAGTGATCATAAAAAAAGGTTAGCTCAATAAAAATTTGTTAAATAAGAAATTGATATAAACCATGTTCCTTGAAAAACATCGCATTAATGCGACGAAAACATCGTTGAACGAATCAACGACGGATAAAATTTAAAAAAAAGATCGTGGGAAAAAACCCATCAATAATAAGGCCAAAGCCAATCGAAGACACAAAAGTGTCAAAGGAAATCATTGAGCAAATCAATGATACATAAGGCAAAAGACAATTAATACAACACAAAGTGTTGTTGAATTCTAAATATATAATGGGAGGGAAGGGAGGGTGTTGTTGTGGTGCCAGACTGTTGGGAAGCTGCAGTAGTGGTATTAGTTTGCTCTTTAGAGAGCTGTTTTGGTTGTGGATTTGTTGACATTTTTTAGCCATACTTTTAGTCAACCTTATTGTTTTCGTTACAAAACACTTCCGTTCTTTTCAGAACATTCAATCAACGATGGATGAAATTTAAAAAAGATCGTGGGAAAACCCCATCAATGAAAAGGCTAAAGCCAATCGAAGACACAACAGTGTCAAAGGAAATCACTGAGCAAATCAATGATACAATTTGGCAAAAGCCAATTAATACAACACAAAGTGCATCAATTCGTGCTTGATCCAACACTTAGAACGTAAATGTTTTCCCTGTTTTTCCACGTTTGACACATGGTATTGAGCTGGATGTGTTGTTTGTGGTTAATAGCAAATTTAGTGGTAAAAATAAGGCGCATTACATTGTTGTTACATAAACTACTTTTGAACACCAGGCCATTTCTTTACAACATCGCTTTCTTCCATCAAGTCTAAATTTTCCTTAACCTTTACGCCTAACGAAAAATTTTTGAATGAATTTTTCGCAGGCAAACTTTGGTTGAAGAGGGGCGCTTCAAGTTTGTCACAAATAAATTTACCATCACCTATTTTCTGTATTGAGGATTTGGGTGATACAGAAAATATCGACAATAAGTAATAATTTTCTTTGGGGCTTGATGTCCAGGTTGAACATAAAAACAACATAAAAAATGGACCTGATTGTGCTTGATTGAATTGTTGAAAAAAAAGTCATGATCCCTTCAAACAATTCCGAAACCACTCTCTTGAACGAAGGAATTAATTTAATTGGAGATAATTCGTTCATGCTTTTGGACGAGGAGTATTATGAGTTGGCACAACAACTTAATTCAGATAAATATTATTCCGAAATTTTTGATGAACCCGTTCCGATAAACCATAATCTTGCGGATTACATAGAAGAGTGTAATGATGTGTTTCATCCATCTTTTTGCTTTAGTCAAGAATGGAGTTTGACTGATGATACCACGGAGCAAGAACGAAGAAAGGACACAGCATCAGCAGACCGAACAATATTTTGTACAGCAAAATGCACGACATGCAAAAACTGTGTTTGTAGAAAGAATGGACTACCATGCACAGACAAATGTAAATGTGCTGACACCTGTTGTAACTTGGTAAAGCCAACTTTTGAACATGAATGGACTCTCAATGCTGTGTTTCCGAATGTGAATGTGGAACCTCCAACCAATTCAGGTCCTAGAAATCTTCCGAAACATTTATCGTTGCCAGAATCTACCTCCATAATTTGGAATGACAAAATATTGCAACATATTTACGAAAGAACAAACTGGAAAAAAGAATATTGTATTGAGTATGAACAAGCATTGAATGATCACAAAGAATGGTCAAACACAAAATCAAAACACGAAAAGAAGCAAAAACGTTTCAAACGAAAATATGAGCATGATAACGAAAACATGGTTCAGGAAATCAATGATGCCAATCCCCCTCCATTGATCAATGATATACTTGAATCGGAGCCCAAGGTCGAACCTTTTGCCAAATATTTAGAAAAAAAGAAAGGCTGTACTATTCCCAATCATTATTCCAAAGACGACATTAAGGGATTTTTACAAATTTGCCAAATTATGGGATTATCTCCAATTCCAAATTACTATGATTATTGGTCAATAGACGGAGAGAATCATGCATTCTATGCTTGCAAACTCATTCAACGAATAATGAGCCGGAAACGATTTATTGACATACATATGCATCTCAGTAGCGAACCTAATTTTTTAGAGGACAATGTTAATTCGAACAGTAGACATTATTGGTTATGTGTTAAAGAAGTTTCAGTTGATGAAATAATTGCTGCTTTTAAAGGGAAAGTACGATTTAAACAATATATCCCATTGAAACCTCACAAGTACGGCCTGAAATATTATGCTTTATCAGACTCTACAGGTTATATTTATGCATTTTGGTTATATCAAGGAAAAGAATCAAGGTATTCTCATAATGCAACATCTATTGTTTTAGATTTAGTTAAACATGTTTCACCAGAAAATCATGTTTTAGGAATCGACAATTATTATGGATCATTGGATCTTGCGAGAGAATTGGTGAATCATGGATGGAAATTTGTTATGACTGTCCGTAACAATCGTCCTTCTTATCTATTCTCAGAAGGATTGCAGAAAAAACTCCCTGGAAGCAAAACTAGAAAATGGATCCATGCTGTAAATAAGGAGAACACTTTAGTGGCATTGTCAATTAATGACAACAAACGAGTTAATTTTTTGACAAATTTAGGAAGCAGTCAATTAATCAAAAACAAACCATACGTTCAAGAAATGTATAACAAATCAATGGGATGTGTTGACAAATCTGGAATTTTCTTGCATTGCACTCATCCTCCTTTTAGAAACAAAAACTGGAAAACTGTCCATTTATTGCAGATGATGAAGACTTCGTTTGTCAACCAGTATATCATATTTAAGCATCACATTAACAACCCAGGTTTAACTCTTTGCGACTACCTCAAGCACAGCCTTGCTCAAACTGTGACCTTTCGTAACCCTTATTTCACCAGAACAACTCACTTCCCCATGAAACTCAAAAAGTTGGAACGGTATCAATTATGCTCTCATTGCAAGGACTCTTTTTCGAGATGTGGATACAAATGCATGGGATGTGGATGCTATCTCCATTTACATTGCTTTACTGCCTATCATGACCCCAAATTTATTTATTACTAAAATTTAATTACGTTCCCTATCCAGGATGCCCATTAACAACATGCAACAAAGTAAAGTTGAATCCAGTCACCTGCCTACTGAATCAGTAGGGTGTTATTGTGAAAGCGTTAAACCTTGAGCAATAGCATAACCGTTTCCATCGAGTTGCTCTTGATTCAAGTCAATATGTGACGAGATGAAAACAGTTCATTGAGTGCATGAGATCGATATTGATCAATTGTAAATGTGCTCCCTTAGTGTGATTATAGTGTTGTGCGGTGGTTTCAACCACTAACGACCATTGGAGAATGCTGCCCTTTATTGCATGTTGGAGATGGAATTCCTGGATTCCACTTGTTGTTCTTGTCAGAACTTGTGCTGAATTTGGAGAATCGATATTTTACCCAGAATTCTTCTCGTTCATGCACCGCCCCAGATATCGCATCTTTCTTTCACAGTATACATACAGATAATAAATGATTGAAATACTGGGGGAACTTTTTCAATTTTTATTTTTCGATAGGCGGAAGGGTTAAGGAAATCCACAGCACAGCCTCAACAATTCTTCAAGAACAAAAAAATGAGCACACCAACGGCAAACCCCAAAAAGCCTCCTCGAGGTCACTCGCAGGCTCCTTCTCCTTTCTTCTTGAAACAACAACAAGCCAACACTCACCCTTCGGATACAACATCTCCGAATACATATTCTCCTTTTCAAAAACAACAACAATCACCTCATACTTCATTTCTCTCTGGTAGTAGAATCACTTCTCCAATCCATCATCCAATGACTACCAATACCACCACCTCATTCGACCAACATTCCTTTCAAGAAGAACAACCTTCATCCTTTCAAGAACAACAACAACCATTCAACATGTCTCTATTTCAACAATATTCTCAACAACAAGAACATTACAATGATTCAAATATTTTTCTTAATCACGAACAACATGTCATTATTCCACTCTCCACATGTTCCTTTTCAACACCTCTCTTTTCTTCAATCGGAGAATCAACACCAATTTCTCCCTCTCGTTCTCGATTATCATCAAAATTAGGAGGTGAATTAACTGTTGGTGAAATTGAAGGAGAAGTGATTCACATCTCATCACCTCATGATCAATTAATCTCTTATTATTGCAATCGAGGAGGAGTCATTTATCCAAATATTATCATTCCACATTTATTATATGGGGAAGAGAGTGGTTATAGTACTCAACAATATGAAGATTCAATGATGCATGATCATGGAACCAACAACAATAACAATTCGTCATTTCTTTCTCATTTCATACATACAAGTATACCACTGGTTTCTTCTCATATTTATGAATATTTACAGAAATTAACTCGATACATTCCATATTTGCAAGCCATGGTTTCTATGAAAGTACCTTCTTACATGTTGTTGTTGAAGAGAAGAAATTCATTACCTCCTCATTCCAACAACACTAGTGCCATGACTAGTCCAACCACTACTACTACGACTGCAACAAATAATGTTACTACTACTGCTACTACTACTACTACTACGAGTAGTAGTACCATGAACACCACCACAACAACACCAACACCCATGAATGATGATGGAGTCCAATGTATGGATTTTCATCCATTTTTAATGACTATGGCCATTCTCTTACATGATGATCATATCTATTTCTACAATATATTGAATGAAGAATGGAGTGAACAAGTATTGAGACATGAATTTCAATTCAATGTTTCAATGATTAAATACAAACCAACCAAACAAAATGAAAGTGTATTAGCAGTAGCATGTGAACATGGTATTTTAATATGGGATATTCATCGAAGATTACCAGGTATGAGTCATTCGACCACCATGTCTGCTGCGAGTAGTAGTACTACTACTACGATGAACTCTGAACGAATGAAAGATGTGAGTCGAAATGGAGTGTGTGTCTTTTTACCATCCTCCACTCGAGTGAATGGTATTTCATGGGGTGTTCATTCTCAACAACAATATCTTTTAGCTTCAAGTAGTCTATTGGATCATCGAGTATTTATTTGGTCATGTCATGAATCGACGAATCAAGATTGGAAATTATTGAAAACATTAACCAAATTCAATGGAGGTGTTCGACATGTAGAATTCTCACCAGATTCAAAATATTTATTTGTTTCACATATTACTAATGTATTTAGAGTGTATGAAACTAGAAATTTTGATTTTTGTGAAAAGTGGTCATGTTTTGATCAACCTGTAAAATCAATGGCATGGCATGGATCTGAATATTTATTTATTGTTACTGAAGATTCGGATTGTATTCATGTATTGAGAGATGAAACGAGTTATTTAATGAATCGTACTGAAAGTACTATGTGGAGTACAAGTAGTGGTGGTGGTAATGGTCATCATCATACTATGGGAGGTACAAGTAGTGGTGGTGGTGGTAGTAATGGTCATACTATGGGAGGTACAAGTAGTAGTGGTAATGGTAGTAGTCATCCTACCAATGATGAATTTCATTTTGAATATCAATGTAAAATTCCACTCGCTCTCTATTCTCCATTCAAGACTCATTCAAGTCTCTCTCATATGAAATGTTGTGGTAAAATTAGACAAATTCAAGTACATGGTGAACGATTAATTGTATCTTTTGAACAAACACCACTATTGGCAGTCATTCAAATTGATTGTTCATCTACAAGACATTTCATATGTAGACCTATGGGATACATTCGAGGACCAACACCAAAATTATTACGTGATGTGAAAAAGAAATCTACAACAAGACTCACTCTTCGAACACCAGATGAATCTACTCAACCTATCATGCACGAGGATGACGAGAATTCTAATACATCTTCATCAGATATATTTTCTCAAGTGATTGAAGAATCCAATTCTAATGGATATCATTTACAATTTTGGAATAACTTTGAAAAGGGAAGTTTATTATCGGTGTGTTGGAAAGGAATGGACAAGGACAAGATTTCCCTCTATCCATTCTATTATCATGTTGTAAAACCTCAATGGAATACCTTGTACGATGAAAATAATCAATTCTATAGAAGTAGATTGAATAAGAATATTGAAAGACAACAACTCGATCATGATGACGAGGAGGATGACACGGATGAACCCGTAGTAGGCATTTCTCACACTCCTTTCAAGTTATTTGATGATTAACTCTATATATTGGACTAGGCTCAATTTTTTATTAAACACAAATCAATTTTTTGTTGAACACATGTTTGTCGACTCAAACTTATAAACTTTTTTTTTTTAAAAAAAAGAGAGATTCCCTTATCTTTTATTTTCTCTTCTTTTTCTGTTGTGAATCTTGGTGTTGAGCCATACCGATAGAATCCAAGTCACGTTGGTCATAGTCTTTTCTTTTGTGTGAATTATCAATAAGAGCCATTTCATCTTGTACAATTCTTGTATTCGACCCATACGTCGTCAATAACTTTCTCAATTCGAATTGAACCTCTCGTTGAATCTTTTCAATATCCTTGGGAGGTTGTGTCACTGCATGATAATATCCATTCTGTTGTGCATGTGCAATAAATTCTCTCCATAATGGTGAGTTATTCAATTGTTTCGAATTGCACACGACAATAAGACCATGTTTTGCACGAGTAATGGCCACATTCATACGACGATAGTCTGTTAAAAATCCTAAACCCTCACTTCTCACACAACTGAGAAGAATGACATCTTTTTCTCTTCCTTGAAATCCATCAATGGTGTTAATATCAGTGCTATTGTTTTCACCATTTGTCAAATGTTTTGTAGTATCCATTCTTCTTGTTGTTGTTGGTATGGTATTGATACATTTTCTAATTTCATTCACTTGTTGTTTGTAAGGTGTAATAATTCCAATATTCTTTTCAAAATTCGCCAAGAGTTGAGATGGTAGCATGCAATGAGTTTCATCATTTCGATCATATTTAGGATTTTTCATTAATTTCTTCATTTTCAAATGAATCATTTTGTAATAGAGATAGGAAATAAATTGTGCTTCAAATACATTTCGAACACTTGTCGTGTTGTGTGAGTCTTCTCTACTATATAACAAATCATAGCATTGAATGGGTGGTATGGAATCGATCAGTGTTGTTTTTTTACCATTCCATTCATTCCTATCATCATGATTCATTTCTCTCATAATTTCTTGATATTCCTTTCCAATAGGATGATCATTTAAAGATTCATGACTGGTTAATTTTCCTCCATAGAAACATTGAGATGGAAATTCACATATTTTAGGATGCATACGATGTTGAACATTTAACATGATGGCAGGATATCCTTCATTCATAAATCTCTCCATTAATGATCTCGAATAATTATAATCTCTTGAATTACCAATAATAGTAGCTGGTAATTGACATGGATCACCAATTAATATAATTTTTTGATGATTAGGAATTTCAATATTTTTGTTACGATTATTACCATAATTATTATTACTATAATTATTATAATTATTACTAGTATTGATATTACTATAATTATTATAATTATTACTAGTATTGATATTATTATTACTTAAATAACATAATGGTATTAATAATTCAGGTTCTACACATTGACAACATTCATCAATAATGATATGACTAATACTTTCACTAATATTTAAATTAAAATACTTGTCAAATCCACTGGATGAAAGAGTTACAAAGATAATTTCAACACTTTTCATAATCGATTGTTTGATTTCAAATTCTAATTGATTCATAGTGTAATGATTCATAGTAGTGCTATCCATTCTATCATTTCTTTGATCATTCATTCTATTTTTAATCAAATGATCCATATAATAATGTTCAACACTTGGATGAATAGATTCCTTAATTCCAAATCGAACCATTTGAGGAATATACGTAGTGATGGTTGAATGATGAGTATTTAGAGTACTGTTAAGAGTTGAGTCATGACTTGTAGTATTCATCGTCATGACTGTAATTCCCTTTTCAGATATTCTTTTTAATATTTCATCGACTGCTTGATTCGAAGGAGCACAAACAAGAATCTTGTTTTTACCAATAGCTTCACCTCTTTCAATACGTTGTTGAATGAGTGTTGAAATGATACCAATAGAGAGTGTCGTTTTACCTGTTCCAGGTGGACCTTGAATTAATACGAGTGGTGATAGAGGTTGTTGAGGTTGTTGTTGTTGTTGTTGAGGTAGAGGTTGTTGAGGTTGTTGTTGTCGAGAAGATGAAGAGTTTGATTGTTGTTGTTGTTGTTGAGAAGATAATGGAATCTTCGTATTGACACATGCATTGATAATTCCTGTTAATTGACTTTCATTAAAAGTCTGTTTCAAAAACATTTTATACTTGGGGTGCAATTTAAATAGTTCATCATTCATTAAATCTTTGTAAGAATATGGATATTGTTTGGATTGACATTGAGGAGAGGATGATGGATTGAGGAAAATGTTGTGGTAATGATTCATAGAATTATTACTATGAATATTATTAATTCTTTGATTAGTATTATTATTACTAGTATGATTATTATTAGTATTATTATTATTATTATTAGTATTAATATTAGTAGTATTATTATTATTATTTGATGGATGTGAAATGAAATGATTCAATGAAAATATTCCAATACTATTCACAGCATATATTTGTCGTAATAGAGTTGAAAGTGATATTTTTCGAATGATCCATTTCGATCCCACACAGAGATGGCAACTTTTATGTTTACTACTCGTTCTCAATGAAATTAAATCTTTGAATCGAATGGATAGATTTTTGGATGTTTGAAAATCATTTTCTAATACTTCACAAAAGAATGAGTGATGATGTTGTTGTTGATGTTGTTGTTGTTGATGATTCTGATGAGAGAGTATAGGTTCAATCCATGCAATGGAAGGTGGTAATAATGAAAAATTAGAGTTATTTGAATTATTTGAAATACTTGAAATGCTTGAATTATTTGATGAATTACTTGTAATACTTGAATGGTTGATTATACTCAAATATAATATACATGTACTTCCTTTAAATTCAATGTCCTTAATCATTGCTTGAATAGATTCCATTCGATCTTCATTGATTGATGATTGTATTTGTGCTACACATTCTTGCAAAATGTGAGGTGTAAAGATATTCACATATTCTTCAATGGATTTAAAACTATTTGGAATGGTTTTCAATTGATTCATCATATTCATTCGATCTTGACGTGTTAATTCTGCCTTTTTTAATTTGGTTTTTTCATCTACAGTAATATCCATATTGAGAATAATGTTATAAAATTGATTCATTCTATTTTTCTTAAAAATTGAATCATCAATCGTTGATGGAGTATTATTATTACTATTATTATTGGATGTGATGAATGGTCTACTATTATTATTATTATTGGATGCAATGAATGGTCCATGTTCCAAAATTGCTTGTCTCAAATCATATTCTGAATTTTGAATGAAATTAGAACTTGATCTCGTGATTGGTGCTATTAAAGAAGTCATTCTTTTGGATGAATTATTATTTTGTAATGTGTTGGAAGGAATAGTATTATTCATTGTTGTAGTCGATGAATTATTATTTTGTAATGTGTTGGAATGACTAGTATTTACAGATGATGATTCATTTTGGACTTGTAATAATCTTTCTTCTCTGACTCGAGGTAATTTGTATTTTTGAGAAGAATTTGTTGTTTCATTCATGTGATTGTTGTCATGATGAGAGGTTTTTGTGATGGTTGAATGTGATGAAAGTAATGTTCGTGGTTGAGAATGAGAGGGAATGGTACTTAAATGTTTGGTGGTGGTTGTGGTCAACGAGGATGGTTTCTTTGGTATTTTGGTATTTTGCAATGTTTTAGAATCTTTGGATGGTTGTGTATCATGATGATTCAATAATTGTGTATTGTGTAATGGTTGTATGTCATGATGATTCAATAATTGTCGTGGAGTGATTAATGGTTTACCAGAATGAATGGTTGTGTCTTTGGAATGATGAATGGTTGTGTCTTTGGAATGAACTTGTTTCAGATCTGAATGTTCATTGAAAATATTAACATGTTTAGTAGTAATATAAACAACGTCATCTTCAGAGTCACTGGTGTTATTAGGTAAAAAATCATCTTCTTCATCAGAATTTTCAATTAAAATATATTTCATTTCTAAACTTGTATCAGAATCTGAATCTACAGTATGATCATGTTCAGTGAAATGAGTGTCTTGTTCAATGAAATGAGTGTCTTCTTCTTCAAATGCAGGTATTAATACACAATCCAAATATTCCGATTCTGTTGACAAGGAAGAAATATTATCCTCGACATGATGACCATTCATGTTGTTCTTCGGAGTGGTAATGATGATTGACTCCGTGATGGGTGTTGCATGGTTCTTTTCGTATTTCTTTCTTCCTGACTCGCCCGATGAATAATAATCATGGGTTTTCGGAGGATGACCACGCATGAGTGTTGTTGTTTATGGACTAATTTTTTTTGAGGTGTTGGACTTTAAAAAAGTTTAATGAAAAGCCTTCGTTCATGTTCAAGTGTGTACATGAAAAATGTTGCCCCACGCGCGACCATTAGAAAGACTCCATTCTTGAATAACTTTAAGAGAGACTCTCACACTTGTGAATTATCAATCTGCATAAACTCAACACCAGTCGTACAACAAAATCTTCAAGTCCATGCATGAACACATCCACACATCATGACTCATACTACTAGACCGTATGTTGTACTTCCTCTTTCTCAGCATTCATGACGATGGTATACACATCTGTGACCTCTCGATCTAAATCTGTTCTCAATGGATAATATTTTCCTTCAATATAATAATTCATCATGTTATCATAATTTTTAGAAAACATGTTACCATCTTGACCGAGTGGAAGTACCCATAAATCTTCTTGAGTCTTCTTTTCAGCATTAATGAACTCTGTTCGAACATTGACACCTATTCCAAACTGAGTCATCTTCTTAATGAACTCTTCCACACCTTTCTTGTCATGAATGAACTCTTCCACACCTTTCTTGTCATGAATGAACTCTTCCACACCTGTAGTGGTGGTGGTATGAGTGGTGGTGGTATGAGTGGTGGTATGAGTGGTAGTAGTAGTAGTAGTAGTAGGACTTGAAAATTCTCCACCTCCAATAATTTGTCGATACACTGCTGCATTCACTGTTGGAATGGTAGTATTGGTAATCTTATCATAAACATAATTATTAATATTCACAGTATAGGTACCACCATTGGTATGTAAATGACGATCTGAGAGACATGCAAGTGGTGTGAGTCCAAGTATTGGATGAGATGCATCAATGTAATGCATTTCTTTCCATTTTGGAATTCGATTTCCAAAATTTCTAAATAATTGATCAATTGTTTCTTTAAAGGTTTGTAATGCAAATTCTTGACATGTTTGTTTTCTATCAACCACACATGCAGTATCATTATTGAGTGTCATGGCTCTTCTCAAATAATAAAAATCATTCCAATACTTTTCTGAAACTTCAAATTGAGGAAGAGTAATGAGATTGTTCAAAAATGATTCAAACAAGGCAGCATGTGTAGATTCTCTTTCAATCTTTCCATTCCATTCAGTGAGTAATTCATTCACATATTTCAAGTAATGATCCTTGGATGGTGGTAATTCACTCTCTTGTAAACGATTCTTAATATATTGAAATACAAATTTCAATTCTTCAAAAATTAAACTCTGAACATCATTTTGAATTTCAATCATATCTTTTTGAGTGAGTTTTTGATGTAATTTCAATCGATTCGATAGCATTTGATCAATTCTTTTTGCTCTATAATCATATTCATTATCATTACTAATGATATAGGGCCATCCAGCAGGAGTAATTCTATTATTAGCAGTAATGATGTAACCCTTCTTTGGATTGAGAAGAGTAATCAAATCAGATCCACTCGCATAACCTTTATATTCAAAGGTTGAAACATTGCCTGGCATTGGAAACATTCCAGTATGACCTTGTTGTCTGATTGGAGTAATACCTGTCAATGAATATCCAATATTTCCATTTCGATCTGAAAAGACAATACAAAATGGAAAGGCACTCAAGAGATGAGTACCCTTTATAAATTCATCCATATTTCGAGCGCGTGTCATTTGTTCCAATCCAATCAAAGTGGTATCATTGGCAAGATGTGCTGTCCATTTCAATGCAATGGGATAGTGTTGAGCAGTGTGTTTCACATGAACATTTCCAATTTGTGGATCCATGAGGATGGTATTGAAAATGGGTCCAAATCGACTCTCTTTCACTTCCAATTCGAGTGCTTGTTGATCCTTAATGTGAATAAATTCTTTTCGAATTTGATAAGGTTCAGGTTTACCATCCATCATGTAATGAGTATTTGGAGAGTGAGGACATGGTGTCAAGACATATAAATCTTGTACATCTGTAAAGGATAGAGTAATACTCCATGAAATGTATGCATTTCTTCCAATTCCAATGGAGGGTAATCCTGGGAAGGAAGCACCAATTAATTCAAAGTCATAGGGTTGTGTGGGGGATTGTGTTGATGGTTGTTGTGTGGAGGTTGATGAGGATGATTGTTGTGTTGATGGTTGTGGTGTGGAGGTTGATGATGGTTGTTGTGTTGATGGTTGTTGTGGTGTAGAGGATGAGGATGGTTGTTGTTGTCGCGTAGAGGAGGAGGAAGAAGAGGAAGATGATTCCTCTTGTTGTTGCTGCTTCTGCTGCTGCTGCTCCGATAACGATGACATTCTTTTCAAATCCTTTTCATTCACTTTTGAAACATCTGGCACTAATTTCAAATGAATTTGTTGAAAAATAATAGGTGAGGAGAAATCCAAATGAGGATCATTCACGTTATATCCAGTGGAACTATCTGTTAAATTTCTATGAATCACCCAATTATTGGAACCACGAGAACGTCCTCTCTTCATTGGAAAGAGCATGTTCAAATAACGATTCTTGTTGAAAATTTCAGTGAGAATGTGTCCAATTCCGAACATGTTTGGATCCGAAGAATCTAAGAAATTTGATGATTCTTCAAATAATTTTGAGAATGTGTTGGATTCATTACTTGGAGTAGGGTGGTAGGATCCAGTACAATTGCTTTGAGGAGCATTACTCATTCGATTCTCAGAAGATGTTTGTTGCTGCTTTTGTTGCTGAGGAATAAATGCTCCAGATTGATCAAATAATCTTCTCTCAATCTCTTCAGCCTCTTCATCTGAAAGAGTCATATTCAATTCTTCTCTCGTGAAAATAGTAAATTGATGAGCATGAGAGGGAGTGGATAATTCAGTGGCTCTCTCCAAGGTTGCACCATTTTCTAAAATTACTAATCGTGCCAATTCAAAAATATAATTATAAGTCATTTGGAATGCAATCAATTTCTCAAAGGCTAACACATCAATGACATTCCATTCGGTAGGTTGAAATCCAACAAGTCCAAATTCAGGTGGTAATCTTGGTTTCGATGCAATAAATGAATTAATTCCATTCACATAGGATTGAATGATTTCAATAGTATTATTTGGTAAATGCTTTAAATTATCTCGAGCATATTTCGTAAATCCTAAAATTCTTGACAATTTATCAACAATGAGTGCATCTTGTCCAACAATTTCACTCATTGTACCTTGACACACTCTCTTATAGAGTTCCATTTGAAATAATCGATCTTGACATGCTGCTACTCCTTGTGCAAATGCTAAATCTTTCATATTCTCAGCAACAACATGAACCATTCCATTCATTTCACGTACAATCATGGCACGTTTACCAAAGATTTGATTGGAATAGAGAAGACCACTCTTTTGAATTCTAGTCGATCGAACCATAGCAAGTAAACTCAATACAACAAGGATGGAAATTGCTAACCATATAAATCCTAATAGAGTGATGGAAGAGAGTAAACAACATGCGGTTTTCTTTTTGGTTGAAGTAGCTCCAAAATAGTGTGAAAGGAATGAAGAGCATTTTGATGTGAGATTGGATAATTTACGTAATGAATGGGTGTGTCGTGAAACTTGTTTCAAACTCGTGGAAGAGGCTGAAAGTAATTGTTGTGAAGTGTAATGATGGTGTTGCTGTTGCTGATGGTTCTGATTCGACGACAACGTCGTTGTTCCATAATGTTCATCATCATGAATAAACATGGTGGATGAGTGACCTGTTCCATGATCCATGCTACCACCATCCATCATCATTGAATCTTCATCATCTTTAAACTCTTCATCATGACCCATGGATGACAAGTGAGCTTCCAATTGTTCATGTAACAAATCTTCATGAGTCTTTTCATGTTGTTTCTTCTTTTCTATAATATATTGTCTCAGTGGATATATTAATCCAATCAATAACAAGAGAATACCAATCACACTCATACTCAATACCAATAAGAATTCAGCACCTCCACATAAAAAACAAAAATCATGATGAGCCATCACTATAATAATCGGAAGGAATATAAAACCAATGATGGCAGCAAGTTGAGCCACAATCAGAATAGCAGAGACCCATCCTGCTATAGATCGAGAAACAATATGAGGTACTGTTTGTACGGCCATCGTGATGGATTTGCGTTTAGCCTCTGCTTCATGATGTTTGAGAACGAGATTGGTTGGTTCTAGAAAGGTATCAATATCTTCGAGTCCAGCAGCACCAGCATGAGGATGGTCCTCCGTGTCAAAGTCATCCTCATCATCGTCATGAAACCGAAGTGAGCCTTCTTCGTTTCTTTTCGTTCGTAAAGTAGATGATGCAGGTGGCATTTTTTTTGTGAAATCGATAATTTATTCCGAGAGAGAGGTGAGTGACGAGTTGGAAAAGAATGAATTTTTGTGTTCGTGCCCTTTCCATCTTCAAAATAATAATAACTACTAGTATCATTTCTGAAGCATTCCAAAATTGCGTTGTCTCTCAGAACTAGATGAATTGAGAAGCATTTCAGCCCTGAACACGTTAGTAGCTATTTTTTGTCATGTTCTCAAAAAAAAAGTTTGAATTTGAAAAATGAGTCTTTCATCATCCGTGTCTTCTCTCTCATCGGGAGGAAGTGATAAATCATCATCAACAACAATACCTTCTCCCCTCTCTAAAGACTATCTTAATCAAATCTGTGATACTTTTATTATTAATCTACAACGTAAAAAAATCAAGGGTATTTATAATATTGGAAAACATACTGCTGAGATTCTCCGAGAAATTGTTGCCATTACTAAAAAGAATGTACTAGTGCAAGATATTATTGATGCTTGTAGATATGTTGGTAAGAGATTAATGGATGCTCAACCTACCATGTTAGTCATTGGAAATGTTGTTCGGAGAGTTTTGTTTATTATTAGAGATGAATTTAATACTTATATTAAACAAAAGAAACCATCCAGCAAGACATCACCAAGCATTCGTCAATCAACATTGAATATTTCAAACCCTGCTGTTTCTGGAAATTTATTAAATTTACTTGAAATGAAGAGTGATATCAATTATGCAGAGCCAATTGAAGGCGATTACAAGGCAACAGTCATTGAAGCTGTCAATGTTCTAATTGATGAAATGGATGGTCTCTATAAGGATATCTCTGAACATGCTTCTGAACACATACATTCAAATGAAGTGATACTGACCGTAGGATTATCACACACAGTTGAATTCTTTCTCCTCGCTGCTGCTATCAAAGGCAAAGAATTTGACGTTATTGTGACTGAAAATGCACCTTCTTATTCTGGACATCAAATGGTATTGAAATTAAGCAAGGCTGGTATTAAGACAACTCTCATTTCAGATGCAAGTGTTTTTGCCATTATGGATCGAGTCAATAAGGTTGTCATTGGAACACATGCAGTGATGGCTAATGGTGGTTTAGTAGCTCCAAGTGGAACTCATTTGGTTGCATTGGCTGCAAAAGAAAAATCAATTCCATGTGTGGTTTGTAATGGTCTTTACAAGTTAACACCATTGTATCCATTGGATCAAGATTCATTCAATGACAGACATTCCCCATTGGAAATTATCAAATTAGAAGATGGTGGTTTATTGAGAGATGTTCATATTTTGAATCCTGCATTTGATTATGTTCCTCCTGAATTGATTGATTTGTTTATTACTAACGTTGGAACACATTCTCCATCTTATATTTATCGTTTATTGACCGAATATTATGATCGAAGAGACTACAATTTGGATTAATCATCACCATAATATACGAACATCATTTTTCTAAACACTACCCTTTAGTAAACAAATCAATCAATTTTATTGAGCTGTTGCAAATGATCACACACAAATCAAACCAATAACGACAAAAATTCACTACTTCCAAAATCAATGATTGGACAAGTCTTTTCATAATTCAAACTATTCATAAAGCAATCACTTGCTTCTTCCTCGTCTCCAAAATGTTCCGATAACACTTTTCCTAAATGATACCATGACAAGTGGTTAAAAGGATTAATACGGACAGCGTTCTGCAGATAATTTCTTGACATGGTATATTGTTTTTCATGCTTGTAATAAATAACACCTAATCTGAGTGATGCGACTTCACAATCAGTGTCATTTACCAATGCAGCCTCATATTCAATGATCGCATCTTTGATTTTACCAGAATCTTCAAAAATTCGACCCTCAGCGCAATGAATCCATGCATTGGTTTGCTTTAAGAGTACAATAAATTCTTGTTGAGATTCATCTTTTTGTAGTCTTCCATTATTTAAAAGTAAATCAATAATAGTCATATAATCACGAGAGGTCTTTTGAACACCTTCCATATTCAATTGAGAATTATTATTGTCTGACTTCTTTTTAGATGTCGAAATTGGTGTTGTATTCGAAGGTAATAGAGATGCAACCTTACTGCTTTCAATCTCTTCAATTTCTTCAACCAATTGTATGATCAATTCCTTGGCTTTGGACATGTTAAATGTTGCGTCATCGAGTAACTTTTTTCTTCTCAATGCCTCACTAATGAAAATATATTGTTGAATTAATTCAATCTTTTTGTGTCTATATTCACTAATTGATATGATCGATGGTCCCAAGATTCCACTACTACTGCTACCAGATGTTCCTCTTCTAGACACATCATTCATGGTAGGTGTAGTATATAATTCTAAACTCTTATCTAATTCATCACTCAATTTAGAATAAGTTCTAACAGATCTAGAGGAAGAAGAGATTCCAAAAGTATTGTTAGTTGCAGTAGTATTAGGGATAGTATTGGTCTGTTGTCCAACTCCACTTGGATTATTACTATTATTACTGATATTAGCCACACCAGTAGAGTGATTGGCAATATTAGCATTTGAAGGTAATGGTGTTGTCAAGTGATCATTAGCAGAGTGAAGCGCTGTTGTTGCAACACCACTACTAATGTTAATATTACTACTCGATGATTCTAATAATTCCTCCATTCGAGCATAGAGTAATTTCAATTGAATATCATTTGGATATTGTTCAAGTATCATCTTGATTGTTTTAAATGATTGTACATGATTATGTCTATCACACGAGAATAACAATGCCAATAATATCCATGGTTGTTTGTCATCCATTCGATTCAATGCAATTGATTTCTTCACAAAATTAAATGCTTCTTTCAATTCTCTCATTTCTGCATATACGAGTGCGATATGATAACATAATTTGTAATCATTGGAATCATACGTGTCGTGGACCTTATTCACAAGAGCATCAATTGAGAGATTTAACAATTTAGTCTTTTCAGTCATGGTTGAGACATTCTTACTTTGTTTGTAATATAATAATCCCAAAATATGATAGAGCTTAGAACGGAATAAATGATTGAGACAAGATCGTTTGGAAGAGTTTGAAGAGTTGGTTGCTAAAGTTTTAGTAGTACTACTATTAGCTCCAACAACAACATGATTACTACTACTACTACTAGCTCCAACAACAACATGATTACCATGATCACCCATGTGCGCACTAGCATGAATGATAGGAAATTCATTTTCATCCATCATATCCATAGCCTTATGCGCCAATGAAATACTTTTGGTAATCTTTCCAAATTTCAATCCAGTGGTACATGCAAATAAATAATATTTCACGTTTCTAGGCTCAAGTGGAATACAAACACTTTCAACAATTTTAAATGCACGATGATAAAGTTTGTTATTAGATAGAAGAATTGCATATTGGAACCAAAAATGAGCATTTTCACTAAATGTTCCAATTCCTCTCTCCATAATTTGTTTCAAAATATCAAATCCAATATTATAATTCGTACAATAGATAGTTGAAAGTGAAAGACATAATTGATCATAAATATTTGAGAGTTTGATCATTTGTTCTTCATTTGCAGAGAGTGGAGTGTAAATAATTGGATGAGAGTTGATGTTTGTTGAAGAAGCTAAAGATGATAATTCAAGTGCTGATGAAGATGGTTTGCATTGTAAATTCATGATATAAAACAATGAATGTTCACATGTGAGAAGAACCAATAGAGCTTCTTCAATGACTTTTTCAGTGCTATCAATGGACTTGACTTGTGAAGTGTTTGTATCTTTTTTCAATGATTTTGAAGTAGTGTTGGTAGCAACAGCATTGTTCGTATTCCACATGGCTGATGATTCGTTGAATATCTTGAGATACATTTCTTGAGATACACTTGAAAAGAGTGTGGATCCTAATAATTGTAGTATGAATACTTTGATCGTAGGTTGAAGTAGTGCTTTGAAGCTTGTCAATATTTTGAGAAGCAATTCAATACATTCTTCAATTTTCATTTCCTTTTTCAATTTTAACACGCTTTGATATAATTCATATTGAATTAAATAGGAGTGATAGGAATCTACGGATTGTTCATAGATGTTAGAAAGAGATGATAACTGTTGAAGTAATATATTGCAATCGGATAGAGAAGCTTTCAATGATAAACATCTAAAGTAAATAAATAGATATGGCAATTGAGTATGTAAGTCTTTTGATGATGACAACAATTGATTATTCAATAGTTCAATATTCGATGGGTTGAAAATAGTATCCGGATTGTTGTTGTAGGATTGTAAAATATTATCCATGATAGTGGTGTTACTATCCGAGGAGGAGGAGGAGGATGAGGCTGTTGTTGTTGTTGTTGTTGTGGTTGTTGTGGTTGATTTGTTATTATTAGTTTCATAACTCTTCAGACACCAATGAAAGTAATCGCACACAACAGAACATGATTTGAATGTATTGGATACCTTGTTGATGGCAGAGTCCAATTCGGAGAGAAAAGCCTCATCTTTGTTATGAGAGGATAATTCATATAATTTAGACTCAATAGCAAGACATTCGGAGAGTGGAGTGAGCCCCAATTCCTGTGCTTTTTTGGAGACTAATTCAAGTTGAGAGGATTGTTTGTGCGGTGAGTTTTGAGATCGAGCCACTGCCAAATCGCGAAGCAACTGAGTGTGAGCCAAAAGTTGCTTTTTGGACATTTTTTAAGCGATCATGACTATCAAACGTTTGGGTTCCATTTGCGAACAACTTTTAAGAGTCGTGGTGATGATGATGAGTGGTTTGTTCCCAAAGAACCATGGTGTCCATGGACCGGCTTTGCCCATGGGTAATTGTTATTGTAAAATCTTGCATCTTCCAATAGGAATATTTCAAAAATTTTGAACGACCAAACGGAGCACAGAAACAGTTGGGATGGCGCATTCAAAAAAATTGCTTGTTCATCCCTTGAATTTGCCAATTTCAATAGACTCTGAACAATTATTCAAGTACTTACACGATTGTGCTGGCTCTGCTGAACTCTTTCCTGCATCATCATCATGTATTCCATCACGACCTTTTCAATTTTCATCATCATATCGGCCATTGTCATTGCATTCACGCATCATTCGGTGCATGTTTCGGCAACTCTGAAATTGCCCAATCATGACTCTCCCTCTACACCACGCTCCTCTCCTGATCTCAACAAAATAATTCAACTCGTGAACAAACTGACTCTTGATATTTCTAACGAACAATCTCAGAAAGATTTACCATTTCGATCCTTTCCAATTCAATTTGCAGAACAACAAGGCTTATTTAAATCTTATATTCATATGAATAATGCTGGATCAGATTTAAAATCAACACTCTTGAGAAGATATGCAAAAATACCTGACTTGAATATGTTTGTTACAAATTTTGTCGTTTTAGCTCAAATTGAATCTCAATATCTTATTGAAAATTCCAAATATAGAAAACAGTTAAGTGATGTTTTGGAAATGAGTTCATTAGATATTGCCATTCAAGCAATTCTCTCCTATCATGACAATAACTTTAATGCATCTGTGCCAGTGTACAACTTTTGGCCACAACGTTTATTATCCAATTCAAAATATTATCAAGCCTTTCCAGTCAACCTAGTGGAGCCAATGACAGAATTTGGTAGTATTGAAAAGTATTTAGAGGAAGTATTGAAAGCTTTACATTTAGATGTGTTATTAGAAGATATTGAAGATTTGGCAGCTAGTTTTCAATTTTTAGCACAAGCATTTCACATTCCTGCTGATTATGACGATACAAGTTGTAAGTAACATTTAATATTTTCATAGGTACATTTTTTTTTGGTAACGAATGTGTACCATGTTATTGCCCTTACATCCATCAATAATATCATCCTATTGAATCTCGTTTAGGCAATTTGGCACTTGGTTCAATGCTCTACAAATACATTCGTAACAAGAATCCAAATCTCTATGACAAATGGAATTCCAAAAACTCAAACATTCATTCTCTTTTCAATGTATTTGAACAATTCTCGTATAGTCCATCCAGTGCAAAACAAGTACCACCACCATCATTCAATACCATTTTGGATTCTAGAAGTTATTACATTTTCCATAACTTTTTAGAACAAAATCCAAATATTCGATTACCAATGACTTGGTTGATGAATACCAAACAAGATAGAGATCGATATCCTGCTGTTGCTCAACCATTCAACGTGAATAATATTGATTTGAGTGTATTAACTAATTTCCTATTTGGAATTTCATCTCATGCCATCCATAGAAATGAGTTTGAATTGAATAATCATCCCATGATTCAACAAATGATGTTAAACGCATCTGAAATTATTAGATATGCACTCATGAATGATATTGAAATGGATAGACCTGATTTATCTTTGGTGTATTATCCAAGTGTTTATGATTTTTATTGGTTCATTTCAAGAACTAGTTTTCTTTTGAGGAACTCTCAATATTCGAGTAATAATGTATTGAGCACCATTTCAAACACTTTATACAAGTCATTGACTACCTATGTCACTCCAAAGATTATCAAGTTGGCACAGAGCACATCGAATGGCAATGAATACTATTGGGATGACTTTTTAGGTGATTTTAAAGATAAGAAATATGGTGAAGATCGATTATTTTCAACATCATTGGCACTCTCAGCCCTCTTAGATACATGGACAGATGAATATAGTAGTAGTAGTAATAATAATAATGAGAATGGTATCAAACAACGTAGATTCAACCCAAACACTCCCACTCATGTAAAAACTCTCATTTCAGGAGGTATTATATATTTACAAGAAAATTTGTTTGCTTTTTTGGCAAGTCATGAGAATGCATTCTTCTCTGGCTCAGTGAAAGGTTCTAATGACTACCCATATTGGTATCCAAGTAATTATTGTGAATATTTGAATGGTACTAAAATAAGACCAGTGAATCAAGATGATATCACCAGTGAGTTGATTGTTGGTGTTGAAGGAATTATTGAGCCATCCAAATTGTATGATCAAATGCTGAAAGAGAAGTGGTTTAATATGACTGTTCCAACTCAATTCCATGGCTTTGCGAATGAAGGTTTTCCATTTTGGTCGAGTCCAGCATTGACTTTTTCCATGTCTCAATTAGTATTTTCTAAATGGTTGAATATGAATTGAGGTTTAAGATCGTTTTTAATGAATGATAATAAATTCTTCATTGGAAGAGGAATATTCCGTCTATGTGTTGTTATTGGAATGGTTTCTGCTTGCCATGGTTGGATGAAGTTTTTGATTGAACATAAAAATGAAAAAACTGTGCGCCATAGTTACCTCTTCACGACTCAAAACACTCACTTGCTCCTCCTCTCCGCTGAGCAAGTCATCCCTTGTTGTGTTATGGACTTCATCATCAAGAGCTCCGCAATTGTTTTTAAACTCGTATAGAAATTTTCAAACAACGTCAAATCACAGTACTTCCAATGAGCAATTAAAAGAAAAGCATGACAATACAGTATCAACACCATCATCAGAGCCAATGACACCCGCAACGCATAAAAATGTAATTTCCGAAGAAGAAGAACCAACCACTTCTAATCAAAACAATCAACGCAATTCTCATGCTATTCCGAAAAGAAAAATAATTTCTTCTTCATCATCTCCTTTTAAAAAGCTTTCTAAAACATTGCTTTGGGTTGTATTGACTACAGTAGGAGCAGTAATAATCTTTCTTATTTATGAGATAAATTCTGAACGTTTGGATTATTATGTATCACCGACAAAGATCATTGAAAACAGAGAAGAGTTCCCGCCAGACCGTAAAATTCGTGTGGGTGGTGTTGTGAAAGAAGATTCTGTTCGTCATCTTTCAGACATCAATTTGTTGACTTGTTTTACCATTACTGATTTAAAACATGATATTGAGATTGAATATAAAGGAATATTACCTGATTTATTTGAAGAAAATAGCACAGTTGTTTGTGAAGGATTTATGGTGGGTCATAATAAGCTGAAATGTACAAATGTTTTAGCAAAGCATGATCAAAGAAATGGAATGCCTCCTGAAATTGCCTATGAAGTGGAGAAGAATCGAAGAGAATTGGAAAGAAAAAAACTGTATGAAGAACAAATGTTGTCTGGCGATAATGCAGCATCCAAATAGTTCAAGGTCTTTTTAATTAAAAATTGGATTGTGACATTACAGAAGGATTTTGTGTACACAACGTGGTCATTTGATTACAAAAAAAATGGAAAAATTCAAAAGATACACCGATGAAGCAACAGGAGTCAATCCATTTGTACCCTATCGCAAGAAACTATCGGATTCAACTCCAGCTGTACTGAAATTCATTTTGAATCCTCTCAGAATGATTCTTCTCTCTCCAATTCTCTTTTTATTTAAATTAATATTGATTCTAATTTTCATGTTGCCATACATTGCCATTCAATATGTTTCAATCATCATTCCTATTTATGCGATCAAGAGATTATTGCATCGGTATTCTAGTATTTTGTGTTGTGGAGCTTCTTTATTCACGTTATTAGGATTTAGTACAATCAAATCTAAACATGTTGATTTGGAAGGAAAAGAAAAGCCTAACCATTCTACCACTCTCAATCACGGAGATTTAATTATTTGCAATTATGTATCATTCATTGAATTATTCTATTTGAATTTCAAATACTCTCCAACATTTGCCATGATCGTAAAGAGCAGCATTGAGAATGGGGAAAGCAATTATGGCGTTAGGCCTTGTGGGTTCTTTTCTGCTTTAAGCTATACCTTCTTTGGTCAATTCAATGATACTCAGACTTATTCTGATTGTAAATCATTACCTGAAATTATCAAGCAAGCAAGAGAATACAAACAAGGTCCAGTTGTTATTTTTCCAGAAGCTGTTACATCAAATGGAAGATCAGTATTGAAATTCCAAAATAATGTATTCCAAGATATGGAACAAGTATTGAGAGAAAACAAGAACTATCAAGTACGAGTGATTGGATTCAAATATACCTACGAAGAATTCAGCCCAGCTTACCATCTTGGAAATTTTTGGCCACATTTGTTCAAGGTATTAACTCAGTTTTACAACTCGTTGCATGTAGCTCACATCTATCTCAATGCAGATGATATGAAAACTCTTGAACAAAGTAAGTTATTGTTCGTTCTTAATTGTTTCACTCACCTTATTCTGTTGCAATCAAGATTTCTCTGTCACCGCCATCAAAAAGATTGTACTGCCAAAAGTTTTGGGCATTGTTTCTGTAAACTCTTCCCCTGCAGATAGAGAAAGGTTCTTGAAAGAATGGAATAAGGGCGAAAAGCATGAATAATTTGACTTCTCATTGCTGAAACAAATGATGCTCAATAAATTTATTTATTTAAGATTGGACTAAAAACCAAACGATTGATTCTTTTGAAGGCTTTTTCGTTGAAAGATAAAAGCTAGCCTACGCTTCTTGTCAAGGTGTTCACACGAGCTTTACCTCACACAGCTGTTCTTCAAGAAATCGAAGCTGGGGTAAAAGCAACGGTAGAGCTTTTAATCTTCCAGTTGCATTGATCTTGATGAAGAGTACAGTAAAGAATATTTTCCTAGGACACCTTCCAATTCTCTCATTGTGTCGTCGAGGGCAAGAGAAAGAACATTGCTTGATTGATTCTGTTTGTGAGGAAAATCTTTTAAACTATTGGGATCCACTCCAAACTCAATAAGCTTCAAAGACATGCTTTCAATCCAGCGTCTATATTCTTGAAATTCTCGATCGCTGTGATCTTTTTGACGAATCAAATCATCCTTATCAATAATTATCTTTTCTTTTTGAAGAAGATCATTGTGAAGTTTTTGAATTTGTTGTTTAAGCTCTTCATTCTCTTTTCTCAATTCTTCATTCTCTCTTGACGTTTGTGATGATGTTAAAACAGATTTGTCTGCAATAACATTCTCATCACTCATGATTTCATCATTCTTTGAGGAAACACCTATTTCTTCCATATTGAAACTGTTATTTAAAGTATGATAATTTCCACCATTACCAGGCGTGATTTTTGGTGTTGCTTGCGAAGACTTTTTGGTTCTGTTTTGATGCGAAAACGACCCCGATAATGAGTTTCTGTTGATATTGTTTATATTGGTACTGTTTGGAGGATTCGAAACTTGAGTTAATGGGGTTCTTGAGTTTGTATTTACAGAGTTGGTTGAGCTTGGAATGGTGTTGAACCCTCCGTTTAAAGCAGGATAAACAGAAGATCTCATCACAGAGCTAGTACCAAAGCTTTCTCTTCTATTTCCAGTGAACAAGGATGATTGTGGAGTGGAGAGCGAAGGTTTGGAAACACTGCTAGCAGAAAGTGTTGTGGATTGATTGTTACTACTCGTATTAGTAGTAGTAGATGTGTAGAAGGATGACCTTCTTCCTCCTAGGGATGGGATGGTCAAATTAGTTGGAAGGACAGAAGATCCAAAAGAATAATTCGAGGAGGAAGATCCGATATTGTTGTTGTTATTGTTCAGACATGACTGAACGCCTCCTCTGCTGTGTATGGATGAAGGAGTGTACGAGGTGTGGTTTGATGCCATTTTTTTCAAATAAAAAACTAACGGTCAGTAGTTTTAATTTTGGCGCGAAATCTTTTTCTTCCATAACAATTTTTACATCTTCTCGAGAACTACCACCAAGGTGTAAATCTAAAAGGTTCATCCAAAATTTTCTCATTCTTAAACGAATAACATGCAGAGAGTTCACTCTGCGAAATATTTCGATGAGAATGCTGTTTCAATAGTTCCAAAGCATTCTTTTCAAGTTCAATCAACATGTCTTCCTTTCTGTAAAATCTTTCATAACACCACTCTGTGAATTGTTTTTCATCATCCACCGGAATGCAATCAATATCAATTTTCTTAATGTTGACACATATTTTAAGTCCACTCAAATTTTTCATCAGTAAATCGGCGAATGGCAACACAGGGAATACTCGTTGTTGTTGTTGTGTGTGAGTAGTAGTAGTACCTGTTGTTGTAGTATGAGTATGAGTAGCTGTTGAAGTAGTATGAGTAGTATGAATAGCACGAGAGGAGGAAGAGCCATGTTGTTCATAGGCCTTAATGAACTGTCTAGTAGGTGGATATCCAAGAGTCACATCATAGACCCATTTCACTCCTTTGGTGTGCTTGGAAGAAGCTTTTTGATTTTTGATGGCTTGTAAAATCATTCGTAGACCTTTCACACGAGGATACACGACTTTGGAGAGTTCTCTCAATTGTCTTTCCTTTGAGAATTGAATGGAACTTTTTAAATTCTTTTCTGAAAGTCTTGTACCTTCTGGAAAGAGTGTAATGTAACATGGAATGTCATCTTTGAGAACTGAATTGACTGATTCTTGTAAATGTTGTTGATCTTGTTGCCAATTTCTATTTAGAATAATTTGGCCTCCTTTTTTTGTAAATATGTGGTGGACAAGAAGAGGATGGATTCAAAGTATCGTTCAGTCATGATCCAATTTGAGAAATGTATTATTCACAGTGCACAGTATTTATATATTTTTGAAATATTTTAATGGATAATATTGAGATTATGTATATATTTATATTCAAAGTAAATATTAACATTTCATCCAAATTTCAAATTTAGATAATATTGGACAACATTTTCAACTTACCCAATAACATGGCAGGGAATCCCAAGAATGGAATGTACAACAAATCCTTCTTTGCCAAATACTTTAAAAAACTCAACATTCCCTTTCGATAAGCAATAGCAGTCAAAATTAAAAAATCCACATTACTCAAATGATTACTCATCATTAATGCATTTTCACCAGGTTCAATAAAATCTCCACTAAACTCCAATTCCACATCTGCAAAGACTTCCAATAAGAATACAAACCAATAAAATCCAAATCCAATCAATCCAATATTTAACTGTTTAATTTTCAATGCAATTCGTGAATCAAGTCTTCCCAATGTGTGAAGAGCCACCAAAAATACCAATTGTGGAATGTTGAGAACGACAAAAATGTACAATAAAAACACAAGAGTGAGAATGAGAGTTATGAGAATGAGAAATACTTTTCGAAGTAATTGCGTGAAAAGATTAGAGTGAGGTTGTTTCTGTTGCTTCTGTGAAGAGTCATTGTGAAGGGCAGGATCGGAATTGAGACTTGTCATTTTTCTTCTTGAAAGAGTGTAATGATGATCTCACTCAATCTTTACTGTCAAATATCTTAGATTGTCTCAAGTTGTTGTTGGTTGATATTCACTCGAGTGATGGTTGTTGAGCTCAACGGCATGGACACTTGTCGCTCCTGAAATGTCAGAGAGAGAGATGACACTCCTTGAGAGTGATGAATTTTTTTTCTCCTTTTCGTGAATTGAAATTCACCCAAAATTCCGATCTGAGAAGATTGTGTCCGCTTTTAAAATTATGTGAGGTTGTAATCTTTTTGAAGTTTCGAACATGAGGCCAGTGGTCTCAAAAGATTAGAAAACTCTTGAGACTATTTCACCATTTGAATCCATCAATTCGTTGTTGCCAGAGTCATTTTCATGACAAAATCATAAATCACACTCGCGGTAGAAACAATTCCTAACACCAAACAAATAAATGCAACACAAAATGCAAACCATTTTTTGTATCGATTGGTCTCAAGTAAGGCATAAAATAAACATGGAAATATAAACATGACAATCATTCCAAAGGAAGCACCTGTGTCATTATTTCCATGTATGATAATCATATACAACACATCATTGTATACAATAATACTTTTAAAATACCTACCAGTTAAACCAAATATGGTAACCAAATCAAAAGGTATCAATAAAGTCACAACAATTAAAATTGCAAATATCAATGCCTCTGCAATCCATCGTACATATGAGAATGGTCTCTTTGGAAACAATAAATGATCCAAAGTCTCTCTCAAAGGATAATGCACCAGTGGATACACCACAGATGCAACCACAATCATTGAAAATTTTGCAAAAATAATCCAAATGCTCGTACGATTGGGAAATGAATTTAAAATATTATCTCGAATTCCAGAATCTCCAAATTGAATATATCCAAAAATACCTGCTATTAAATAACAGACTAAACAAATGAGAGAAGCACCATTCACAATGTGACCCATTTTCTTTTGAGATCTATTTTTCAATTCTAAATATATTGGAATTAATGTAATAGAATTTCCAAATGAGAAGAATAAAATTGGAAATGCCACAAATAATTGAAAAATATTTTCAGGAGTTTGAAAGAGAAGAATGGAATGATCCAATCTCTTATCGAGTGAAGGTAACTTGTTGAAAAATCCAACCACAATCACTAACAATATATATATCACACACATCACTGCAAAATAAGAAGTGAAAAATAAAAAACTAATTCTCTTCAAACATGTCAATGGAAAGAGTATCAACACTGTGAGAAAACAATTAAAACTACGTGAAGTAAGAATATTAGAGAGAGTGGTGGTGAGTGATGAGGTTTCATCTCGTTCATTCATCATGATTTCATCACCCTGTGGATGATTGTTTTGAAACAAAATTTTAAATAATCCTGCACAATAATCTCCAACAATTGAAATGTATCCAACAATTACTCCAAAACAAAATACAATCATTAAAATATCAATCACCATACCAACGACATATCGAGAGTGATGCTGATGTTTGAATAAGGATTGAAATGCTTTCACTCCAATTCCCTTAAATGTATATTCTTTTGAAATTTCACATGCTCGAATCAGAAAGTGAGCAGTCAATGTTGCAATCAAACACACCACACATAAAATAATGGAACCTAACACGACACCTGATTGATGAAAGGAATAGGGAATGGCAAGAATACCTGCACCAATGGTTGCATTACTCACATTGAATAATACAGAGAGAGAAGAAGATTTTCCAGGAGGAGGAGGAAGTGAATATTCCTGATTTTGAAATGGTTGAGCCATCGTTGCTGCTGCTGGATGAGAATTCTTCTTTGTAGTAGTTGGTAGAAGAGAGGATGATTCATGAAAGTGTTGTGTTTCAGAATCATAATCCATTCTACTACCATCATGACTACTACTACTACGACAACTACCATGACTTGGATCATGAATGGATGTGGAGATTAGAATAATTTCATTCGTTGAATCTCCATCTTGTTGGTAATGATGATCGGAATGAGAGGAATGAGAGTGTGGATTGTGAAATGATGTATAATTCTTGTGGTCATGTGGTTGTTGTTGAAAGGATTCTAATTCTCTACAGTCAAGTAATGAAGAGTGTGGTTGATTTGGAGAGGAGTGATTGGATGTCTCCTTGTTGAACATTTTGTTTTCAAAAGATCTTTTCGGAGTTGTGATTCCTCAACTCTCGTGTGTGAAAAAGAAAAATCTGAGAAAATCCAATGATTAGATTCTTATAATTATTCACTACTGAAAATTCATAATGATGATGATGATTATTATTCTTTGGAATGGATTAAGAGATCTGACAGAGTAGAATGAAAAGGAGTTCAAAGCATCAATTCTCGTTTTTATGGCCCTTTTAAAACCTTCACCTGTCAATTTCAAACTCATCAAAAAAAACGCAGGTGATTTCGAAGAGTGCTGCCGAAAGTCGACCAACAACAACAATTATCATCATCACGAATCTTCATCACGAATAACACTTTCGCGTTGCATGGATTCCTCCTATCATAAATAATATTTATTTATCCTCTCTAGATACATTTGACTCTCCTCATCATATCATCAAACACACAACATCATCAATTATTGAAAATGTCAGTCGAAGACAATTCAAATCCAATGGAGAACACTAAACAACGTCTCAAAGTTCTCAATTCATACATGGTTGAAAGCAATCAGCCAACCATCGAAGCAGCATCTGATTATATTAGTTATGAGACTGGAGCATTTACGAGTCCACTGTATTTGGCTGATCGAGATGGATATGCGACACGATTTGCAAAGGAAGCTGAAAGTATACAAGTTTTGGTAAGTTGTTGTGAATATTTGGAGTGTGCATGTGTGTGTATATATATTCATTTTGATTGTTACAATTTCATATACGTTTAATAATCACATTATTCACATATATATAACTCCATATCATGGGTGTGCTTGATATTATGCGTGATGTGATGATATCAATTTTATGACGTGATCATGTTGGTTGGACCTCCAACAACCATTCATATCTTGTTCACAACATGAAATCATGATGCCGCGTGATAACACTCATATATTCCACAAAACATCATCAAAATTCTATCCATTCTACTTCAATGATCTGTACCACTACTCTACCTCCATCAATACCATCAACACACCAACGCAACACCAACCACCACAACAGCAAGAAATTAATGAACGAGGTGAAGCCTTCATTCATACTCTCTATACGTATCGTTCCATTTCACGTGCTCTACCTCAAGTACAAGCCGATGCTGATAACAAGGCTGAACTCTATCGTAAATTCTTTGATGTGTTAGAACCTGAGATTCGTAAAATTAGAGATTTGATGGCATTCCACAATGAAACCGTTAAAACACTCACTCGTATCATTGTTGAAATGGTTGCCAATGAGAAGAGAAAGGAAATTCCAAGTGAGACCATGTTTGATTACTTGATTCAAGTCTTGGATACCATTCTCAAATTGGATGCTCTCAAGAATATGAAAGCAGCCATCAATAACGATATGGCTACCGTGAAGAGAGCCTCTCAATTCATGGATAAGAGTGGTCTCACTCCCGATCAATTGAATTTCCTCGATACTAAGAGCGAAGAAAATGCCTTGCTCTATTCCTTCCTCTCGAATAACAACTCGATTATTTCCGGACTCAAAGACTCACTCATTAAGAATGCAGGCTATGAAGATATCATCATTCTGTTGATTGAGAGATGTGCTGATAATTTTGAACAAGGACAATATCTATTCTGTGATCAGAAACACTCACTGCTACGTGTATTGGTATTTGGTATCTATCTCATTGATAACAAGGATACCTCCAAGAACAATTATTTGAAAAAGATTGGTAGTAATTCCCTCTCGAGATTTTACAAATTATTTAAATCCTATCCGAATATACCATTGTATGGTGATATGACCTTCTCAATCAAGACTGTCCTCAAGAATTGTCCAAACTTATCAGAAAAGGATTGGACACTCTCACCAAAAGAAGAAGAACAATTGGCCAAGCAATTCCTTCTCATTCATCGTATTCCCAAAATGAGATATGACTTCCAGACATTCACCAAGAGTTACAAACTTCATATCAATCGAATGAAGAAATTGATCAAGGACTCTCCAACGAACCAGGAATTGCTCACCATCATTCCTCAACCCATACGAGAGAAGGCTAAAGAAATTACTGAACAAGGCTTGAGATTGATTGCTTCATGGACAACCGCTGTATTGGAACAATGTGCATGGAAATACTCACATCCTATTGAGGATGAACAGGCACGTCAAATGAAACAACGTCAAGAATCGGATGATAATTTGAGTAGTGTCCTTTTGGAATATGAACGAGTGGTTCGTTTCAATTACGATAAGGATGAAAGAAGTGCATTGGTGGATGCTATTTCCATGATCAAAGGTCTAGAGAATATCATGTTGCAACAAAATGCCATGATGGCTCCATTGATTCGTTCTGAAATTCACTATCAACTTCAACAATTCATTCAAGTCGATTTACAAGAGTTATTGTATCATACCAAGAATAAGCAGAGACCTATCTTCCCAACTGTATTGGAGTTGAGAAATTTGGCTGGAGATTGGCTCTCTGACCCACCTCAAGAAATTACCAAACCCTCTAAAAAGAAGGGTGAAACCGCCTTGGAGTTCCCAAAGAGAATTGTTGGTCCATCATTCACACAACTTCACATGATTCGTTCCATTGTCTCAACCTTATACTCTGAGAGAAGTCCAGGTATGCAAAAATCAGGCATCTTCTCAAAGAAGGACTTTAATGATTCTCATGTTGAAATTCTTCGTGATTTCTATAACAAGACTTACATGTGGAATTACTTGTTGGCCTACTCAACTTCATTCAGACGTGCTGCTGATTTGGCTGACTTGTGGTATCGTGAATTCTATTTGGAAATTTCTAAAAAGATTCAGTTCCCAATTGAAATGTCTTTACCTTGGATTCTCACTGAAGAAATTCTCAAGAGAACAAATAGTGCACTCATGGAGTCCATCATTTATCCTATTAACATTTACAATGATGCTGCATATCGTGCACTCTTTGTATTGAAACGTCGATTCTTGTATGATGAAATTGAAGCTGAGGTGAACTTGGTGTTCGATCAATTGATTTACAAATTGAGTGAATCTATTTACAAACATTACAGAACAGTAGCTCTTGGAATTTTATTGGACAACAAATTGAGAGTCCCATTAGAGAAGGATCCTAATGTGAAGACTAATTACAATTTCACATGCAGCAAATTTGATGTATTGCTTCTCCAAAAGCACATTAACATTTTAGGAAGATTTGTTGATTTGAATTACATTATTACACAACGTATGAACATTAACATCAGAGAAAACATTTTAGCGCTCATTAAGAAATTTGAATCTCAAGAATTGACTGGCATTGTCGAGTTAGAAGTCATGTTAGAAAGTGTTAAAATTACACATCAACTCCTTTCAAGACATTTAGCTTTGGACTCCTTTGAAAGCGTCTTTGCTGAAGTCAATGACAGTACCAGTGTGGTTTCTTTTGAGAGTCGTATTGCAAGACACATCTTGGAAGAATTAGTGATGGACTTCTTCCCGAATTATTGTTTCAATACTGTGACTCATCGATTTGTTCGTAGCAAGTATACATACAGTGATTTGGAATATAAGAGAGAGAATTACAAGATTCGTTCTTTGCATCAATATGTGACTGCCAGTTTCTCTGAAGCATTTATTCCTCTATTGGATCAATATAAGGAATTTATTGGTCGACCTCATATGGAAAGTATGATTCGTTTGGTTGGACAAGAATCTCTTGCTCTCATTATTGAATCAAGTATTACCTATATTGAAGACAAACTCTATAACGACATGTCTCCTTATATTGGTGCCATGATGGAAGCCATTCCTCCAAAGATTACTCTTCAACCTGCTGCTTACAAACTCATTGGTGTCTATGCGTACTTTACTGCTCAATTCAGAGATTTCTTAGAATATGAAGATTTGAAGGGAGGTGTATTCCAAGCCTTTAGATCCATTGGTAATTGTATTTGCTTCTTGCTTTTAATTGATTCAAGCATGATGCCTCAAAACATCGCTACCTATATTGCCAGTGCTCCATTCTTGGGCATTCGACCATTGACGAAGAGTGCCAAACAAAAGAGAGCTGAAAAATTGCAAGAGGAGATGGACTCAGAGGACGATTTTGCACAACAACAAGAACAAACCAGAAATACCTTGTCGAGAAAAGGCTCTCGTTACGGACTCACCAGCGAGCACTTGATGTCTGAAGATTTACTTCTTCTTCAAAAAATTACAGATTATTACATTCGTAAGGACGTGGACCATGCGCCATTGACTTCGACCATTGCTCAATTCGTGAATGACCCTCAAGTGCAACAAAATATTCATGCTCCAGAATTGTCCAAAAAGTTGACTGAGCAAGCGACTCGTGCCGTGAAAATGTATCAACCTCCTCGTGAGTTGTTGTCTCTCTTCAAACAATTCTTGGAGAGAATGAGTGGTTTCCTTTCAAACGTGAGAGAATCATGGAAAGGTACTTCACCTCCTGATCGTTTGCAAAAGTTGGACTCTTCCAAAGAGTTTTATCGTTTGTGGGGTGTTTTGCAATTCGTGTTTTGTATTCCTCCTGAAGTGGCTAATGAGCCTACTGATTTTGAAGTGTTTGGAGATGGTTTCTTCTGGGCCGGTTGTACTATTGTATACTTGTTCCAACAACATTTGAGATTTGATGCTTTCAACTTTTCAGATCACGTCTTGAACATTTCCAACATTTCCAAGGAAGGAATGGAAAAGTTGAAGCCTTTCCTCAATAATGCCCACATCATTCGTTCCATCAACAACCGTGTATTTAATTGTCTTCGTTCATATTATCCTCTTGTTGATAACACTCCTGATGATTACACTCCACCAACCGATGAGGACTTTACTAAGGTTAGAGTTGTTGCAACGGTGAATACTGATAATTCTTCATCCTTCTCTTCTTTCAGACAATCACCTGCAACAAATGCATATTCTCAACCAACTCCACCCCCTCCACCTTCCTCTCAACCAATTTACATTGATCAAAGTTATGATGCCAACACGTATTCATCATCTCCATCCTCATCGAATTCTCCAAGCTTGAGTGTACCTCCTCCACCACCTAGAAGCGAGATGCCTCCTCCACCTCCTCCAATGAGAGTGGGAGGTGGTGTTCCTCCTCCACCACCAAGAGGTTATTAGGAATACTTTAAAGAGTCTTGTGTATGGTGTGGCAATTAATTGGTCACCAAGCCTTGTAATAAAAAAAACATTTGATTTGAGATAAGGATCGTCGCATTCCAGCAATTTTGCGAATCAAAAAAAAATGCCTTCACAACTTCCATCACAATCGCAGCGAGGAATTCGAGAGTTTAGAACATCATCACAAAGAAATTTTATGGAAACTGATGAAGATGGTGTACAACCAGTACCCAGAGCATCCTCTTCTTCTCCCGAAGAACCAATGGATGAAAAAGATATTTTACGAATTTTGATTACAACAGATAACCATGTCGGATTTAATGAACGAGATCCTGTTCGGAAGGAAGATTCATTTATCATTTTCGAAGAAATTATGCAATACGCTCATAGATATAATGTAGATTTTGTATTACAAGGAGGAGATTTATTCCATGATAACAAGCCTTCACGTGATACTCTCCACAAAACGATTGCCATTTTGAGAAAATATGTTTTCGGCGATAAACCTGTTCCATTGCAAATTCTTAGCGATCAATCTGTAAATTTTAAGTCAAATCCTGGTGGCACTGTAAACTATGAAGACCCAAACGTGAATATTGCTCTTCCTATTTTTTCAATTAGTGGTATGTGTTTGAATTTTCGATGCAAATAGAGTATTTAATTTTTATTGTTAAAAAGGAAATCATGATGCATGGTCTGGGGAAAATAGTCTTAGCGTATTAGACGTACTTTCTCAATGTAATCTAATTAACTACTTTGGAAAATGTGAGACGGTCGATCAAATTCAAGTTAAGCCCATTCTCATGCAGAAAGGAGAAACCAAGCTTGCATTATATGGACTAGGGTATATAAGAGATGAACGTTTATATCAAACTTTCAAAAATCAAAAAGTGACATTCTTTAGACCTGCAGGAGAAGATAGCCAGAATGCAAGTGAATGGTTTAACTTGTTTGCTATACACCAAAACAGAAATCAACATCACAATAAGAAGGGAAATATTAGTGAGAGCATGTTGAAAGGATTTTTTGATCTAGTCGTGTGGGGCCATGAACACGAACAACAAATTGTTCCAACACGAAGCGTTTCAGGAGGCTTTGAGGTGATGCAACCTGGCAGTTCCATAACAACCACATACACTCCACAAGAGGCTAAACCAAAGAAGGTAGCTGTTTTAGAAATATACAAGGACACATTCAGGGTCATTCCTATTACTCTAAAAACTGTAAGACCATTTGTATTTGATACAATTTCTCTTGCAGACTATGAGGACGATTTGAAACATATCAAGAATAACCCTGAAGAAATTGCAGATTTTTTAAAGGAGCATGTGAATCAATTAATCAGCCAAGCCAGAGAAGAAAAATTGAGTAGCTTTGAAAACGATGAGGAAGCAAAGAAGGAGTTGAAAAATTATTACAAGAAATATCCTGGGTTGGACCTTCCTATTGTTAGATTAAGAGTTGATTACAGCGGTGGTTATGCATCCATTAATCCTCAAAGATTTGGACAAAATTTTGTTGGAAAAGTTGCAAATCCATCTGATTTGTTATTGTTATCCCGTAAAAAATCAGAGAAAGTAGATACTGCAGTTGTTGATGACGATGACGACAAAGAAAAGGTCTCTGACAAGAGGAAGCGAAGCAAAGAACAATTATTAACTGCTCTAATCAAAAATGATAACAACGAAGAGTTTGCAGATGCAGCTACTGATGCTTTGACTGATGGCATCAAAATTGAGGATTTAGTTTCTCACTATCTCAAAGAGACAAGCACAAAGAAATCAGGAATTGCCGGTCTTCTAGTTCTTAACGAGTTTGAGTTTCAGAATTCTGTGGTTGACTTTGTTGAAAAAGAAGAGCTTCACGCAATTGATGACTTTGTCAGTGCTGATATTAAGACAAAGCAAAAAAGATTGTGGTCGGATCTTAAACAAGCACTAAAACAATCAGACAAGGACTCTCTCACAGAAGAGGAGCTAGAAGCTTATTTGCAAAAGTACAGAGAAGAGGCAAGGGCTAATTTTGAATTGAACAGATATAAGATCATGGGTGACCGGCTTTTAAAGAAAGCTTCAAGCTCAACAGACGGTGATCATGACGAAGAGGAAGAAGAGCAAGAAGAGGAGGAAGAAAAACCAAAAAAAAAGAAATCTACTCGCAAGAAGAAAGCTGACAGTGAGGAGGAAGAAGAAAAACCAAAAAAGAGAACTAGCTCCAGAAGCAAAAAGAAAGTGGATGAGGATGATGAAGAAGAAGATAAACCCAAAAAGAAAGCACCAAAACGAAAAAAGAAAGACAGTGACGAAGAGGAGGAAGAAGTACCAAAGAAAAAAACGACAAGAGGCTCCAAATCAACAAAAGCGAAACCAAAGTTTAAAGCCATTGACGACGATGATGAAGTAGTGGAAGAGGAACCACCTAAAAAGAAAACTACACGAGGAAGGCCAAAAAAGAAAGTTGAAGAAGAGGAAGAAAAGCCTAAGAGAAGAACAGCTGCAAAGAAAAAGGTTGTTGATGACGAAGATGCCATTGTTATTGATGATGATGACGAATAAAATGTTTAAATTTCATTAAAAACTTATTCTTCTTCAATGTAGCCGTATTTTACAAGGTTTCTGTACTTGTCTCTCAAGCTCAAACTATCTCGAACTGGGTTGAACATTTTCTTGTAGTGTGCTAATATCTTAGCCCAATTTCCTCCAAATCTCTTGTATCCAGCCAACAGGGCGTCAACTTCTTCTTCAGACCAAAAAACTTTCTTTTGTCTTGGCTTTGAGCTAGTGATTTTCTTTGGTCTTTTCTGGGGTGGTTTGTGGAAAAGTGCTCGTTCAGTGTCTTCGTCATCTGAATATTCTTCGAACACACTTCTTGATGTCTCTCCCTTTGGTTTCTTAGATGGAGATTGTTGTGCCTTCAAATGCTGTTTAACAGTTGCCTTAGGTGGTACTCTAAGAGGTGGTTCTTCTTCAGAATCTGATGCTAGTTCTCTGTTAAGCACAACTTTCTTAGCATCAGAGTGTCTTTCATTTAATCTTCTTGGTTGTTTTTGCTTTGGTGTTCCAACATCTGCTAGTGCCAATGTAAGAAGCTTCTTTTGTACAGGTTCAGATTTTCTCTTAGCAATGAATAAATTAGTGTCCTCTCTAACAGGATTTCCAAGTGACAATGCAGTACATGGTTCAGTGAATTGCTGTTCGAGAGAATCTGTGTGGATTGGAAGATTTGAAACTGATGTTTTTCTAGCAGAAGCATGACTCGTGGTCTCAGTTGTGGCTCCACGGTGAGGGGTTGAGGAGGATGATGCAATCGATTTCTTCTTGGCACTTCCCACAACCGATCTAGGTTCTTGTTGTTGCTCTTGTTGTTGATGGCAAAATGTTTCATAGTCATGTAAAACTGAATAGAGTTTTGGTGCTTGTATGTAATTGCCCAAGACGTTGATATACTTGACAATGGCCAAAAAACAACTATACTTTTCTTGATAGTCGTTGTGTTCTTTAAAACCCTTCCACCATTTGTTGAGCTTGTTCAAGTACGCTTGCACAGTGAATGAAGCATTTTCAAATATGGATGCGAAATCTTCTCGTCGATTAGCAACGAGAGAAATCACCTTTTCTACACAGGTTTCGATCAAACTCAGACGATCATTCAACTCTTGTTCGTTGGTTATTTGTTGTTTGGTTTCATTGAGCATATTGATCACCAACCGAACCTTAACAGTGAGAGAATCCGTATCGAAGGGAAGGCTTTTTAGCAATTCATCAACCACACAATCAACACGTCTAAATAATAAATATTCAATTACTAGAGTATTAATTTGAACAGATTGAGAGGACTCGATAGAATCTTCTTCGGAAGAAGAGGCTGTTGGTTCTTGTTGATGATGGTCCTCTTGCTCGTTGTTGTTTGGGTTTGTCATGCGAAAAAATAAATAGGTATGGGTTTAACGGCAATTTTTTTGGCGCTTGGGTTTAGCGGAAGCAATCACAAGAATTGATTTCACCATTGTTTTTGCAAAAAGGGGGTTTCAAAACATTTATTTGGACGAAGATCTGCTGCTTGAATGAGGAGTTGTACCATTGCTCTTTTCACTTGAATGAGATTGGTTCTTCTTTGGTGTTGCAAACACTTCACGCGATGAATCTCGTGATGGAGTTTTAGAAACAGAACTCTTGCTAGAGTGAGAGGCGCTGCTACTTCCCTTGTTGGAATTTTCAGTTTGCAAGGGTGGGGATGATACAGAATGAGCCTGGAATTGCTCAGCAAGTGCTTCAAACATTTGCTTGTGTTGGGTAAGCTTATTGACCTGATCTTGAAGAGGTGGTATGTGTTGTCTAAGATATGAAGCTCTATGTCCCATTAAATCTCTTAGCTTGTCAGATCCCATATTTGAGAAATGAACTCTAATATTATTATCCATATTGGTGAAAATTGGATCTAAAAAGAATGCATTAAACTTGGCTCGAATGTACTTGACAAACATTGCTCTAACACCTGCAAACAGTTGTGCAGCAGCTCTCTTAATTTTCTCACACTTTTCTTCAGTTAGTTCTCTTCCCTTAAGCTGATCGAACACTACATAAAGAGAATCATTGGATTCCTCGAGTGCTACTTTGACACGTTCAACAGTGTCCTCTTCTTTTGGATGCAACAAGTCATATTCAGGCCCTTTCTTTGGTGGTTGTGCTGAAATTAAATCCCAATCCATGATCTTTACAAATGTTTCAAATTCATCTGAAGTCTTATTCCTTACATCTTTGATGATTGATTCAATAAATTCTTCACAAGCTTTGTAAAGCTCATTTGAGAAAGCCTTATATCTTTGAGATAGAGAATTATTCTGGAGCATGTGACGAATGATTAATTTGAATAATTGTTTCATAACAAACTTGCTTCTAATTAATAGACAATCAATTAATGGTTTGAATACAGCTCTACACTTCTTTTGAGCTAAATCAGTAACTCCTCTAATATAATCTGGAGATGTGTGCATTGGATTAACACCAATAGAGACAGCAACTTCATCGTTCGATGTTTGAGGGAATTCTTGAGCAAGAGAGACCACCTCAAATTCAGATAACAATCTTTCAAGTTGAGCACCTCCATAAAGTTTAAAATTTCTATTTCTAATCGGAAGTTTCTCTTGAAGCTGTTGTGAAAACCCAGGCCATTCTTGACCAGATTGGACTCTTTCTTCTTCTAGGGTTAGACCATTCTTTAGGGTGTCAAATTGATTTGTACCATTCAGGGCTTTTACAAAGTTTGTCATAAAAGCGCCAATCATGTGTGTTACTTGTGCTTCAATATTCTCCTTCTCAATTTCTGATAATTCATTCATAGCAGAATCTAGTGATCGTTTTCTCTTCGATAAAGAAGTTTCAATATTGTTCAGAACTGGAGAGATATTTTCTACATATTTTTCATTTAACATTCTTTCGAGATGTCTCTTCAAGTTAAAAAATCCAATCTGTGGCTTGAACTTTTGTTCATCAAATCCAACCTTAGCAAGTTTTTTGTAATCCTTAAGATAGGTATTAATGATTTCATTCTTGAACTCTTCCTCAGCTAGGTTGCGAGTACCATGTCCAGAAGGTAATGAGATATAGAAGACCTTAGAAAGATCTGGAATGTGCCCATCTGTTGCAAGATAATCGTTTGCTTCCTTTGCATCTCTAAACTGGTTATTTCGATTATTGAATTTTGTAACAACAAATATAGTTCTTTCATAATTTGGATCTACTTGCTTAATTAGTGGTCTGACTTGAGTATTGCACCACTCAACTGTTGATTGTTCAAGTGCAATAATAATTCTATTTTGAGGTTTGATAGTATTCATTACAATCTTATGAATTCTTTCTGCTAGAGGATCTTGTTCACCTTTTCTAAAACCTGGAGTATCAAAAATTGTTAAATTTGCGCAATACTTGTATCTAACACGAAGTACAATTGGTCTAGAGTTAACATTAGATTTACCACAAAGATCTTCAGTTCTTTTCCTAATTTCTTTCTCAAGTTCAGGAACTGGTGTTGGTTCTTCTTCAATCTCTGATGGTGTAGCTTCTTTGAAAAAGTTACAAATAGGTTTTTCTGCAGTTGGATCGTTAGTCATTTGTAAAATTAGTGGTCTTCTTGTTCCAATTTGTGTATCAACAGTATTAAATTGGAATCCTAGTAGTGCTTCAACAAACGAACTCTTTCCATCGGATTGCATACCCACTACTACAAGTTCAGGTGCTTCAAATTTCATTTTGTGTTCGTTTACGACAGTTTGAAGATTATTGAAGGCTTCATAGAGTTGCTTATTGTCCTTCGAATTTCCTTGCAGCTGAGAAAATAAAAGTTGACGCTCCTTTTCAACTTTTTCCGATAATTGTTGTTTGTCAATGGCAGCTGCAACCTTCTTCTTTTGTGTTGATGGTGGGTTAGCCTTTTTGTCTGTAGAAGATGGAGTTTTTGATGGTGAAGAAGCAGATTTTGGAGGTGGTGATGATGGAATATTTTCGAATTCTTGAGAACTCAATTCCGTTCCGAATGAACCTCCGAGATGAGGCTGAGCTTGATTAGTGGTTTGACTAGCAGTACTCTCTTCATGATGGTCGTCCAACATAGCATCATCCATCGTCTGGGATAATGAGCCTGATGTCATATCATCAAATGTTGATGAAATATTTAATTGATGATCACCCGATGAGACTGGTGGTGGTGAAAACGAAAGATCATCATCGTAATAGGCTTGTTGCTGCTTGACCTTCTTGGTTTCGGAGTGATTGCCGTTTGGAGCTTCTTTTCTCTTCATTTTGAACTGGTGCACTGCGAGGGTGTTTTTTTTTGTTTTTTTATAAAAGGGCAAGCATGTTCTTTGCGCCTTCCAGTTTTTGGCAGAATTTTTGCTTCCATTGTTCGCTCGAAGGAAAAAAGCGAGGTAAGGGTTGTAAATTTGAGGCTTTGTTCACCGCTTGAGTAAAGGCTTATTATTCAATATCAAACAGTGCTGGTGGTATCACAAATATTCCAATCATAAACTCACGTAGTAGAAAAACTTCTGATCCATTGGTGTTTGTGTTGGTTGAATCCATTCATGTAATGTATTGAATGAGATTTTGATTATACGTTAGAAGGTTTCATGACAATTTGAAAGTCAAACTTCAACAGAGCTGATTCTTAGAAGGGTGATTGCTGTTTCGCATGCCAATTCCACGAGATGTTGTTTGACACGCGAGTCCTCAAGAAGGAAACGTTCAAGCACGTTCTCAACAATAAGACTTTGGCTAGAGTGAAAGCAGGCGCTATTACAATTGGAGGTCAGTAAATCAATACCGTAAAAACAAGAGGCTCCTTCCTTATGATCTGTATTCTGATGATCATGTTTCAAATATTCTCTTTTAAGTCTTAGTATTTCATTTTCTCGAGTGGATAAGGATGTCGATTGAAGTATCATACGAGGAAGGCTCAGAATACACTCTCCAAACACCTCTGAAACATTTGCAGGCACAAGAGTTTGCGAATTCTCTCGTATTATATCTGCCCATAATTGAAATTCAATATGACATCCACCACCACATAAATAATGCTGAGATTGAATATCATTGCATTTTTCAAGCGCAAAATGATTCTTAATAATTTCATAGGCATCTTTGAGTGATCGTTTGGTTTCTTGAACAATGGTGTCTGATGGGCCTCTCAAAACAAAATGATATAAATCTTGGCATGTGTTTGAAATACGAACGAACATGTTTCCTGCGATGCATTGAATAGTGGGACAATCCTCACTTCTGGTTTTCGCTGGAATGGAAAATAAATCATCAATGCTAATTTGAGAAACAGAACCCATTTTCAGAATTGGAAAATCAAAGCATACGCTCATTTGATGTAAAATTTTGGGGGTCATGTTATCAAATATAAACACAGCAGAGTCCTTGTGGTATGAAATGTGGAAATTTGGAAATGCTCCTTCCATAAATATGATAATGCCACCGTCATATGTTGATGCTGTTTGAAAAATAGATTTCCACAGCGATCTTTCAAAGTTGTTAACGTTCTGATTTTTTCGACCAAGCAATAAAATTTTGTTACACTTTTTAAACCTTGCTTGAAGATTTTGAGAATGATAAAATCTTGATGAAAACGACGAGTGTGTGACATTGCAAAATAGACCTCGAAAACCAAAGCTGTCATTCAATTGTCCTCCTGCTATACAATGAAATTTCCTTTGCTTTGGTATTTTTTGAGCAAAACAATCAACTAGGATGTTGGAAAAATGGTTAGCCATATATCTGATGTCTTTTGATTGTAGTGCATTTTGTGTCATGCGAAAGATAGAATCCCTGTCAGAAAATATTAATCGTGAAATCTTTTCGCTTTCCAATGACCTCATCCGTTCAAATGAATTCATCCATACATTCTTTAAAATGAATAAATAATTGCAAATAACCTCCAATGGCAACAACTGTTTTAAATGTAAATCTTCAATGCTCCTCAAAACAAGCTCACAACATAATAAAATTACTCCTGTTGTTCCATCTCCTGCTAGTTCCTCTTGAGTTTTAGATAAATCACACAAAATTTTTCCAATGGGATTTACAATCGGAAGTGATCGTACAATTGTGGCTCCATCGTTGGTATATATCATTTCTGGATTTACATGTTGATGATACTTTACAATTAATTTATGAAAGGACATGGGTCCGAAACTTGAATGTAATAATTGCTTTAGTTTTTTGCATGCATCTAAAATGATGGGAGCGCTACTATGAGAAAGAGACTCATTCATTTTTTAGTTTTCAAATCAGAACTGTTTGACTACCCGTTATTGAAACACCTTGATTCAATGCGTTTTGTGAGAAACGATTGAACGAAAATGTCGTTGGAATTTCCTTACTCTTGTTCCAGCTAACCCCGAAAACTTCCAACTTTTTTTTCTATTCTTGGGAAAATCCCAAAAATTTTCTCGACACCAAAAAGCATCCCCAAAAAAACAAGACCGCACCCCTCTTTGATCAACGTTGCAATGTGTATGGGAGAGATTCAATCACCAGTTTTCTTATTTGCGTACGGATCACTGATATGGAGAGCTGGGTTCCCCTATGAATCAAGCTTTACTGGTTTTATCAAGGGCTTTAGAAGGCGCTTTTGGTTACAAGATACATTCCATAGAGGTGACGCCAAACAACCTGGGCGCACTCTAACAATTGTAAAAGAGGAAGATTACAACCAAATCATTCAAAACAACCTTGAGGAGGGAATTTCGGAAGATGTCATCAACCAACGTTTCATAGTGAATGATTGCTCTTGTCAGCATCAGAATTTCTTTAAGCGAAACGTCTCTACTCATTCGATCCATGAGAAAGATAACAACAACAACGAAACAGATACAAGAGTGTGGGGCACCTGTTATAAAATACCCTTCGAACATGCAGAAAAAGTCATCAAGGATTTAGATTATCGAGAATTAGTGGCTGGATATCGAAAGACCTATGTATCCGTTTATGTTTCGGATTCGATTGTGGCTTGTAGGAAGGCAATTGTATATTATTATGACCCATTTGAAAAGAGAGTAGGGGCCTCAACATCAACTCCTTTTGTTGGCCCTGAAAATTTGTGTTGTACTGCAAAGCATATTGCTAGGTAAGTCACACCATGAACATGCTTAAATACTCATTATTGATACTATTCCATTCCTAGGTCTTTTGGTCTTTCTGGACCTAATAGAGATTATCTGTATCGATTACATGAGCATTTACCCATGAGTGACAAGTACATAGATAACTTGGTTGAATGTGTTCGATCCATTGAATCTCACTATCCAATGAACAACTCGATCCAAGCTGTGTTGAGAACGGAAGAATTTAAGGGGACAATTTTCATTGACCAAGGTGCAACGTCAGCTCTCAGTCAGAGATGCAAGAATTTATTGGCATGTGGTATTCGTCAAGTTTGTGGAGAGTTTGAACCAGATGACATTGTTGTTGTTGTGGACTGTCATACAAACAAAGTGGTTGCCAAAGGATTTTCCAACTTTTCTTCATGTGACATTCGAAAAATACAAGGAAAGAATTCAAAAACGATTTGCCAAGAATTGAACCAACGAACACAACCAGTATTGAATTTGTCGATACCGTCTCAAACTCCACATGAAGTGGTCAGTAAATCACGAATGATTTTGCTGTAGAAAACTTGTTGAACAAACACATTTTGAGCTATTTGAAAAAGATTCGAATCTCTTGGCCATTTCACGTTTGTTGTTGAAGGAAAGGCAAAATTGGTCCTAAAAAATGTCTTCAACAACACAACAACAAACTCAAGATAAAACCAGCAAGGATTATTACTTTGATAGCTATTCTCACTTTGGTACGTTTTGTTATCGGGTTAAGTTTTTTAACATATCGGAATATATGTACATTATCGATGACCATATTTTCAATCACCAATTTCATAACCACAGGAATTCATGAGGAGATGCTCAAGGATGGTATTAGAACCAACGCCTACAAGAATGCAATTCTCCAAAACAAACATCTTTTCAAAGATAAAGTTGTTCTCGACATTGGATGCGGAACAGGTATTTTATGCCTTTTTGCTGCAAAGGCTGGTGCCAAGAGAGTCATTGGTGTAGGTTTTTATTGTTTATTGTAATTTGAAATTAATGTTTATTGTTTCATTTGATGAAAAACCATCATGATGATTACCATAAAAACTATACCAAATTATTAACAATTCTATGGGATGATGCACTTTTTCATTATGATAATCTTCCAAATAGATTGATATGAGTGATATCATTGATAAGGCCAAACAAATCGTTTCCGATAATGGCTATTCTCACGTTATTGAGTTAATCAAGGGTAAAGTTGAAGACATTGCTCAATTACCATTCGGAATTGAAAAAGTAGACATCATCATTAGCGAATGGATGGGATACTTTTTATTATATGAAAGCATGTTACAAACTGTTCTTAGCGCTCGTGATAGATGGTTGAAACCAGGTGGTTATCTTTTCCCTGACAAATGCACCATGTACATTTGTGGTATTGAAGATTCAGAATATAAGAGGGATAAGATTGATTTCTGGGACAATGTTTATGGATTTAATTTTAGTGCCATCAAAGCAGACGCTTTAAGAGAACCTTTGGTTGACTTTGTTGAATCACAACAAATCGTTACTACTCAATCCAAGTTTTTAGAAATTGATTTGAATACTATTCAACCTGAAGATTTGAAGCACATTTCTGCTAGCTTTGAATTTACATCACAATACCAAGAATATTGTCAAGCATTTGTTGCTTGGTTTGATTGTGTTTTTTCTCGCGGACCTCACAAACCTGTTGAATTCTCTACTGGACCATTTACTGAAGGTACTCACTGGAAACAAACAGTTTTCTATTTAGAACATGATTTGCCTTTGAAGCCTAACGATGTGGTTAAGGGCACTATGACCATTTCTCAAAACAAGAGCAATCATCGTGACTTGGATATTTCCATGAAGTATACAGTTAATGGTGGAGCTGTAATCTCACAAGATTATATCATGAGATAAACTAATTTATTCACTAATAATATATAAACATTGTGACTCTAAAAGTTACTGATATGACACAGATGAAACTAGGAATAAAAGTAATCTTCTATCAATAGCTGTATCCGTTGTCACTGAGGATGGAGAGGAAGAGATTGTGAGAGTCCATTCTAGAATTGTTAAAGGGTACGAGGTAAATGCATTCATGTTGTAACCATTGAATCATGAATTTCAATAATTAACATTCCAACACAAATTAATAACAAAATTCAACAAAACTTACCATCTCCCCACGAGACTAATGTTTGAACAAATTCTCCAATTTTCTGATTCGTGTAGTATTCATAAATATCAAATTGTTTTGGAAGAGTTTGCCTTCTCTCAGTGACCTTCATAATGGGCCTAGAATTAAAATTACTAATAACAAAATCACTCCATACAGGATCAAATTCTTGTAAAATACTTCCAATCATAGTATTATTACATCCATAAATCGTAATAGAATGTCCAGTTTTCTTTCTGGCATCAATAGCAAATGAATCAGTCATGGTAAAATTTGAATTTATCAAATCAATGGTCATTGGATAATTCAAAACGGAACGACTTTTCAATGTTGCTATCAATTCCATTTGTTTGTTATTATTGACATCCATTGTCACTCGGCTCACATCAATATAATGATTGTAAATATTTCTCTTGAAATTGAGAGTTAAATTTGTGTTGTTATTGTTGGCATTGTTTTGTAACATATCGGAAATACTTTCTAAATTCGAATATCCATTATTACAGGTCATCATGGGTGGTGGCAGAGACCACGAAACATTTACTCCAATCACTACAGCCAGTAGAGCAATAAATAATGCAGCAAAAAGTGCGACGCATATCGATCCTACAAATGTTCTTTCTTTAGAAAATTGGTAATCAGCTCGAGTCGTTTTGTCATCATCGTCACAGTCGATGTTGCACATTGGGTGATGGTATGTTAAAAATTGCAAATTTTTTTCTTTTGGAATAGAGTTGAACGTTGACGCTGATCAGTTGTTCTGGAATGAACTTGTGTGGAGATCTGGAATCATGAAAGTACTTTTCAATCAACAATTAAATTTATTATTTGATGTGGCGGAACAACAATACGTTTCTCAACTTATTAACATTTTAAAAAATGTCCAAACAAATCACCAAACAAGAACTCTCATCCCTTCTTGAAACCGATCATTCACAAATCGTCTTGCTTGATGTGCGAGAACCAAGCGAGTACACATCATCGGATTTTCCATCCATTCATTCTTCTGCTCATAACATTCCTATTAATACTTTGAAAGAGGCTTTTCATTTAGATGAACATGAATTCAAGAACAAGTATGGATTTGAAAAGCCAAAAACCGATGCCACAATTGTTTGTTATTGTAAGCTCGGAGGAAGAGCCCAAAAAGCAACTGACGCTCTTGCTGAACTTGGCTATCATGATGTCCGTTGTTATAAAGGAAGTGCAAGTGAGTGGTGGTCCAATCAAGCATAAGTTTAAAATGATGATTATTAATCATTAAATTATTGATTAGAACGTTTCACTAGATTATTTGGATTCTGTTCGGATTTCAAAAGGAAATTGAGCAAAACGCGTGGATTTAATTTTCTCAAAACACTTTCAACATGGAATCCATGCAAATTTGCGACCTCCATGATGGCGGCAAAAACAACTACAACAAAAAAATGAGAACAACCTTGTTGTGGGGCGACAACTATGTAAGTATCATGCTCCTAGGGTTGTATAATCAACAAACACTGACCCCTATTTACTTCCGATGTGCATACAAAACACTGAATAGACTGATAAGAATGGCTCTCCGACAGCAACCAATGCTGTTGCCTATTCCCCTGATGGAACTTTATTGGTCTCGGCTAGTTATAAGCACGTGTTGATCTACAACGCCATAAACTTCCAGTTTATTAAACACTGCAGAGCCCATACCGACACCGTTTATTGTCTCGCTTTTGCTAAGGACGGAAAAGTTTTTGCTTCTGGAGGGTAAGTTTGAGAATGGCTTCTGTATTTACAACTGACGAAAAATAGAGCTGACAACACTGTGATTGTGTGGACAAACACCGGAGAAGGCAAATTGAAATACAGTCACAACGATTCAATTCAATGTGTAGCATTTAATCCATCAACAAATCAATTATTGAGTTGTGCATGTACTGATTTCGCAATATGGTCACAAGATGAAAAAGAAATTCAAAAGACAAAAGTAAATTCCAAGATATTATGCTGCAGTTGGACAAATGACGGCCAACATTTAGCTCTTGGATTCTTTGATGGCACTGTCAGAATTTTCAACAGAGAGGCAAAGGAACTTGTAAACTTTACACGATCGGAGCCAATTTGGACAATATCTTTTAATCCATCAAGAGATGAACAGTATGACATACTTGCTGTTGGCTGTTGGGATCAAACACTGTCTTTCTACCATTTAAGTGGCAAACAAATTATTAAGGATCAAAAGCTTGGATTTGACCCTTGTTGTATTTCATACTTTAGCAATGGAGAATATTTATGTGTTGGTGGATCATCAGGAGAAGTGTCTCTATGGAACAAGGATGGAGTTCAATTAGTACCAATATCAAAACATCAAGGATGGGTGTGGGGAGTAGCTCAAAAGCCAAATCAAAACTATGTGGTATGTTTTTATCTTCGAATGATCAATGATTGTTAACATTTGTTAGGCCGTCGGAACCAATGAAGGTGCTCTTCAAGTTTTTAAATTAGACTTCATCACTGTTCACAGTTTGTATGGAAATATTTATGCCTTCAGAGATTCAATGACGGATGTAGTTGTTCAAGATCTTGTAAATGACAAGAAAGTTACAGTGAAATGCAAGGATTACGTGAAGAAAATAGCTATTTACAGAGACAGAATGGCTGTTCAACTAAAAAACAAAATTCATATTTTGGAACTGACCAATTCCAAGACTGAAAATGAATCGGGTGAAGAGGTAGAAGAAGAAATGCAATACAGAATAATAGAAAAAATATTTAAGGATATTGAGTGTAGCATGCTTGTCATTACATATGGAAATTTGATTTTGTGCCACGAAAAAGAATTGAACTTGTATGATTTTAAAGGCAATTTACAAAGGGTGTGGGATTTGGATGCACCAATCAAGTATATTAAGGTTATTGGTGGTCCTCCTTTTAAAGAAGCTCTGCTGGTTGGTCTATCGAATGGATCTATTTTGAAAATCTTTGTTGATAATCCATTTCCTGTTCAACTCTTAAAACATGACTTTTCTATTCGAAGCTTGGACCTTAACATGAGGTATGTTAATATTTAGAAAGATAGTTGATAATTATTTTCGTTAGCCGAAGAAAACTGGCACTCGTAGATCAAAACAATGATCTCATGGTTTATGATTTAAAAGAAAAGAAATATATTTATCAAGAAAAGAATGCAGAGGGAGTTGCTTGGAATTCAGAACATGAACATATGTTATGTTATTCAGGAAGTGGTTTTCTAAACATCAAGACTGAAAATTTCCCTGTTAACCAACACAAACTACAAGGATTAGTGGTTGGTTTTACCGGTTCCAAGGTGTTTTGTTTACATCAAGTGTCTATGAGCACTGTTGACGTGCCACAATCTGCAACTCTTTTTAGATATATTGAGAAAGGAGACTTTCAAGAGGGTTACAAAATCGCTTGCTTAGGTGTCACAGAATCCGATTGGAGATTGTTAGGAGTTCAGGCGTTACTAGGTGTGAATTTAGATATTGCAAGAAGGTGCTTCAACCGAATCGAGGATACAAAGTTTATATCTCTTATAGACAAGTACGAGAAGTTAATTAAGCAAAATCAATTCAACAGAGATTTATTTGTTGGTGAAATTCATGCTTATCAAGGAAGATTTGACGAAGCATCAAAAATGTTCGTCAAAGGAGGACGAGCAGATCTGGCTATGGATATGTTGTGTGATTTAAGGAAATGGAAGGAGGCTAAAGAACTTGCACTAACATATGACAACATCAACCTCACAGATATGATATTGCGCCAAGCTAAAACGTCAGAAGAAGATAACGATCTTAAATCAGCAGCTGAGTTGTATGCAGCTGCAGGTAACTACGACAAAGCTGTTCAGATCATGGGTGATAATAAGTGGTTTGACCTGTTATTGGAAACTTGTAGAAATTTAAATCCAAACGAGGCTAGAGGTGTGGCTATGTGTGCTGAATATTTCAGAAAGAACAAACTCTATGATTATGCAAAAGAAGCGTATCAAAAGATTGGAGATTATTCTTCGCTGATTAAGCTATTTGTGACCTCCGAAAAATGGGATTCAGCGTTCGAGGTTTTAGAGAAACATCCAGAATTTTCTGCCGAAGTATACCTTCCATATGCAGAGCATTTAGCAATTGAGGATCGATTTGATGAAGCTCAGGAAGCGTTTAGGAAAGCAAATAGGCCAGAAAAAGCGTTAAGAATCATTGAAGAACTTGCCCAAAATGCGATTGATGAAAATAGGTTTAAGGATGCAGCATATTATTTATGGAAAGTTGCACATGAAATCATGATCAACACAAAGAACGAGCAAGTGGTGACAGAATCTGTTTGGAAAGAAATCAAAAAGTTTGAGAAATATTACCGTCTGAGCCAAATTTATTTTGCGTATGACCTTGTGCACAAATATTCAGAGCTTCCATTCAACTCAGTGGATACGAGACATCTCTTCAATGCCTGCTTATACCTCTATAATAATTTGGACGTTTCTAATCTTCCCAAAGGAGTCTCCAGGATCACAATAACGGTCACTATGGCAAAACTTGGCCTTTCTCTTGAAAACTACAAGTTGGCAAGAGAGGTTTATCAAAATATTCAACATTTACGACTGCCAAAACCAATAATGGATGAAATTGAATTATCTAGCATTTCTATTCACAGCAAGCCAATGAGAAACAATGAAGAATGTACACCAATCTGCTTTAGATGCTCTGCGTCCAATCCATTCTTGAACGAAAGAGGTGTTGACAGCTGTGTAAATTGTGGCCATCAATTCCAACGATCACCTCTCTCATATCATATTCTTCCTCTTGTTGAATTTGAACTTGAAGATGGAATTGAGGAAGAAGAAGCGATCAAATTAATCAACCAGGCACCTCCATCACTCTCAAGAAAAGCAACAGATCGATGGAAAGAAAGTAAGTCCTCGAATGTCCAGACATTGCGCCTAGATGGAGAAGACGAGCCCTATGAAGAACCATCACCAATCGCAGATCAGTTTAGCAAGGCTTTGTTAAAAATTGACGGAAAGGTCGTAAAAGTCAATAGAGAAATGCTCAAATCTTTCAAAAGAGAGGATGTATTTATTGTGGATTGGAAGAATCCTTTGATCAGGAGACATTTCTTCAAATGCATTATTCCAAATTTTCCAATTGTTCAGTGTAATCATTGTAACCTATTTTTCCATCAAGAAGATTTTGAATTCGAAGTTTTAAAGAATAACGGAAAATGCCCATTTTGCCAACACTAATCTCAATGTTCCAATTTTACCCTTCTATTTATATTAAATTTTGTTGTATATTCCTTTTGAATCTTCTTCTTAAACACTGTGAATAAGTGCTCTTTTGCCGTATCATAATTCGTAATAATATAATGAAGTTTTTGAGAGTCATTCATGGTTGCAGTCTCATCTGGATTCATTGTATCACATAGCTGAATAATTTGATTTTTGAACGCATCATCTTTTTGTTCTTGGACGAATTTCATCAACATTTCAATATTCTTGTCACAAACATTGTATCTCACAAAAGTATACAAGGCAATTAACAATGAATCCGTGACGTCATAGTTAGTTTCATGGACTTCTCCAATTCTATTATGTCGAACTTGATAAGTTGAGGGAAGTAAATGTATCAATGAGTTGAATACTTGTTTCTTGATGGTTTTGTTTGCTTGTTTTGATTTTTTGTCGACATCCTCCTTGATCAAAAAGAAGGATCGTGCAGCTCTTACATTACATTTCATGAGCTTTTTTACTGGTAATTCATTGGCACATTCATAACAAGCAAGAGTATTACAATTTGCCAATTTTGCAAGGGTATTTGCGGATGATTTAGCGTTAAATTTCAACAAAAATTCCTCAGCGCCTACGATCCATTCATCGTCATTTGATGATTTCCGAGAATATCGTTGTGAAATGTTTCTGAAATTTTCTTTCATAAACAATCCAAATTGTTGCAGTGATGTGATGTGAGATGTATCAATCAAACCACATTCTAAAGTCGTTCCGGTCTCATTTAATATTGAATATCCAGTTTTAGAAGATGAAATATCTAATCCTAGATAATAAGTTTTCTGCCTTCGGAGATGTGATGTTGTTATAGTGGTAATATTTTGATAATTTAGAGATGATGTTTTTAGGTTAGATTTGAACGTGCTTGATGACGATGGGATGCAACGAATAAACGAGAGTGAAATCTTGAGCATTTTTTTAATTTCAATCCTCAATCAAATTCAATTTAACAAGTCCAGTGAAAGTGTTTATTTTGATTTGCGACATGTTTTGAAACTCAATCAAAAATCAAATTCTTTTTCTTTTTTGAATGTGAGGATTGTTTTTTCTGAGATTGAGAAACAATGGTTGATTCCTTGTTTTCTGTTGGAGCTCTTCGATGCGTTAAAAAACCATCTTGGAGAAATTGATCAATACTTGTATTGTACTGTTATCAGACCACTTACCAAAATGTGAATGATCATAAAATTCTGTTTCTATAACCTTCTTCTTACTGAACTTCGTTGAGGTGAGTGGTTGCAGATCTAAGAAAAAGTCCTTATCCTCACTGGACACATTTCGTTCAGAACGAATTCCCCATCCAATGTCAGTGGAATCTACTAGGTCTGAAATGTTTGAAAACCAAAAATTAGATTTAGTCATGTTGTTTGAGGATGATGAGGAAGAAGAAGCATTTGATACAATGGAGGCCTTGCTTGAGGCTGATGAAGAAACGGAAGAATGATGTGAGGTCGAATGCTTTGATGAGCAAGTAGATTTAAGAGGAGATATAGGACGTTTTTTGTGGCTTCCGTATGTACTGTTATTACTACTTGTGCTTCCCTCATCATGGGGTTTGACTGATAGCGACAAACCCACATTGTTGGACTTGGATTTATGTTCAATGGAATGACGATGTTTATCTCGGGATTGCTCAAGCATTAAAGGCTGGTCATGATGAGGCTTCTTCTTGGGACTTTCTTCCTGTTGTTCTATCCAGGCTCGTTGTTGGAGTTCTTCTTTTCGGAAACTCTCCTTCAGAACGCTGCATATATTGTTGGACAGCTTTTGATGGCCTAAGGCTTGAAGCTAATATGTTGTTGAATGAAACATAAAATTTACTTTGGAGTGTTCAAAAACTTACCATGATGATGTGTGTTGTGGACGGGTTTGTGGAGCTCTTCTTTCAGGTCGAGATGTGAATATTTGTTTTAATATTTACTAGACGCAGCTGATGGAACTCGTCTTTTTTTTTAAGGTTAGGACCAAATTGTCGAATGAGGATGCCATTTATGTTATCTCACCACAAACTACGCCATAAGAAAACTGCCAGCGAAAAAATTCGACTCAAAAAGGCAAAAATTTTTTGACAACGAAATGCAGAAACTCCGGGATTGGTTCAGAATCTTGTAAAGTTTTATTCAGTGCTGACGTTCGTTCATTAAAAGTGTCCTCCTGATTAAGACCACACCTATTGTACAAAGCCAGTTACTAAAGTTTCGAAAGCAATTCTCTTCAGCGCTCATCTCTCGTTCTCTTCCCACAGTTGAACTGTCCTATACAAGGATTAGTTGATTGTTGGTGATAATACTCACATTCACAGTAATTACTCCGTTCAACAAGTTTCTCGTTACACGATAAAAATCCATCTTTTGTTGTACTGATCACTTGGTGTCTAAGTTACATCAAAGTTGCTGTGTCATCTTAGTTTAGGTGTGTGATTTAAAATACTCGACCTCATCTTTAGGTGAAGGCATTTTTTTTCGAGTGAAAATCGATGTCAACTTGAAAAATTAAATTACAACAAAAAGTAAAAAATTTAATTTAATTTTTAACAAAAAATTTATTACACATCACAACTTTGGGAAAACATGTTCATGGCATCGCTTTCATCGTCGTTGTCATTTGCATTGTCCTTGCCATATTGAACGTTTGAAATTGGATCATATTTGGAGGTTATTTCATGTTCTTCGTGATCTTCGCATCGAGTACACACTTCGGAGAGAGATTTCCCTGGTACAAAAGACAACAAGGCAACATTTTCCTCTTGGAATGAGAAGATCGGGTAGGGTATTGCAAGAAATTGCTTGTACTTCTCATTGTTTCGTTGCCTGTTTTGAAAGGGAATTTTCAAATCTCTACATACCATGAGTCTCCTAATTTTCGGAAGCATGAACTGGATCAAACTTTGATCTTTACATGTCGGAAACATTCTGTCCAAATAATTATACTTTCCTCCATTGTTGGATGTGTTTTTCATACGCCTTTCATCATCAATGTGTGCTCCTTCGAATCCCTGTGTTTCAAAGTGAACCAAATTTCCGTATACTTTGATTAAAGGAATTACATGATGGAATAGAATATGCATATACCAACTTTGAGAACCACTATCAGTATAAAGAGATTGAACCACTTCTTCCATCTCATTTAGCTTGAGTTGAAGGTTATTAAGTTCGGATTCAGAAAAGGATTCATTTTGAAGTAATTTCAACACATTTCTAAATTTGCTCATTAATGTGATATATTGAGGAACGATTACCTTACGTAATCTTCTCAAATTGCTTAAAATGGAATTAACTTGTTTTCCGGTTAAGTAACACTTCAACTTTTGTCCTTTCTCAGTTATTTTGAAATTATTGAGATTTGGAATCTTGCGAATGATCCTGACAATAGTTTCTCGTTTGTTGCTCGTCATTATTGCATCAATTAATATTCTTTCCATTATTCGTTCTTTCATATGGAGCAAACAGATGACAATTTTGAATGGACTAACTCCGAGCAGACAACCCAACTGTTCTTTGCTTCTAGCGAGGTGAAAATGGTCACAAAAAGTATTCAATGTATTGCAATATGGACACATTTGTGAAAATTTAAGATTAGAGATACGCTTTAACGAAAGAAGATCTGTTGTGACACAAAAATCCACCTTGTGATTTACTCCATCAACATCCACCCCATGACATGTCATCGATTCAATCATTACTCGAATAATTCCAGTTATTGCTCGAAGTTGATTTTCTTTTCCCTTCCAAACAGCCACAGGATGGACTGCTTCTCTTGATTGAGGACTCCCAAAATTTTTCATATTTAATGGAGCGCATGCGAATGTAACACGGCCTTTAGATCCATCGAGATTGAGTTTGAACCACTTAATTTTTGTTTTCCAATTTTTATCCTCTTCGTTGAGATGAGCAGCTAATTCCTTGTCTGTTGATATTTGTTTTACCCATTGTACATATAATTCAATCATATATTTAACTAAAGAATAAAGGCTGATGAAAAAAATATTTTCATTCTTCTCATGTGTCCCTTTAAATTCAATTAAGGCCTTAATACTAACTACAGATTGAACTGATGACATACTTGAGAGAGGAGTGGTTTTGGAGCTTGAAGATGACACCAGTTCCTTATATTGAGTGTTACTGATTTTGGCTTTGTCTTTCGCTTGGATATCAAGTAACTTTTTCCGTACTACTCGCAACTTTCGTTTTGTCACTTTTTTTCTTTGATTTGTCTCTTCACTCGATGAAGAAGCATCACTTTGCGAATAATCATCGTCCTCCCAATCCATTTCATCATCGTCATTTGAGCTTGTTTGTAGAGCTACACTACTGCTTACAGGTTCTTCTTGTGAGATTGTTGATGTTGTTTCATTAATTGCTTCACTTGATTGATGTTCTTCATATTCATCAAAATTTTCATCGATTTCAGAACTAATTTCAGATGAAACAGGATCATCGAGATCATTTGGGTAATCATTAATGGCAATAGGGTTTGTTTTTTCTTGTTTGTTTAGATACATTTCGATATATGAGTCATATTCTGGTATTTTTTTGTTTGTGACTAATTTTCGAACTTTCGTGTCAATGTCATCATAATCCTTTCGTTTGCTTAATGTTCGATAAACAATATCGGGGAACATGTCAATCAATAGATCGAAAAATTCAGAGAAATTTGAAATTCCATTATTATACAGCAAAAGTTCGATTCCGCAAAGTAATGATCCGAGCTTGCTTTTTGTATATTGAGATTTGTCTTGTTCAATCATACTTTTGGTTGTTTTTTCACTGCCTTTTTTGCATGTCAACAACAACTTCCCATTAGATTTCGTCTCTTTTTCGAATTGATGAAATTCTTTCTGCATCTTGTCAATAGATGGATTTGCAATATTAAAATGTAATGAGTTACATATCGCAAAACTCTTGTTCTTTAATTTAATAACAGCATCTCCTTGGAGCTTATACTGAGAGAAATTGAGATCAGCATTATCAATAATATTTTTCAATTTGTTTTCTGTGCTCGGTGGTCTTCCTCGCTTTTGTTTTATGCGAGTGAAGCCATCGACAAAAGTAATTGTTGTATTTTGTTGTGTGTTTGAATGTTGGTTTGATTGATTGGTTTCATGTTGTGAAGGTTGAGATGATAATGTGTTCGGATTGTCAAGGTTATGTTGGGTTGTGGAGAAATTATGAGAAGATTGTGTGATGTATTGCTGATTGAATTGTGGATAATAGGATTGATGATTTTGAAATAAATGTTCACATCCTCCATATTGAATAGGGATATTCTGATAGCTCATTGAATTGGATTGGTTTGGTTGTATTAGATCTTCATAAATTCTTTCGAAAGATAGTGTGGATGTTCTTGGTGAATCAAATTGAAAAGATCCCGGATTAATGCTACTGAAACCAGTAGATGACGATGATTGCACATTGAAAGAAGATAATGGAGAGGAACACCATATGTGGTGATTTTGATTTGAAAGTCCATATGATTGACCTTCAAAAAAGTTGTTGTTAGATGTGGTTTGGTTTGTGGATGGTGATGAAAAGTTCCAATTTGATGACATTTTTTGTGATTTAGAGTATTGAGGATTGAATTCAATTGTTTTATTGTACAAACTCGAATTCTTTGTCAAACTTGAACGATGTCCACACTTGATTAGTTTCCACATTACATGTGAGAGAAATGTATACAATTTTCATCTTGTGTTTCGTAATCTTCTTTCCGAATTTACGTGTAAGACGTGAGTGAGTAATTTCCAACTCAGACCAATGCTTGCATTTGTCTAAAGGAGGAACACTGTCAGTAAATCTGAATTGAATGCACTTCTGTCTCTTCTTTAGGCCATTCCACAAAATGTCTTGATACCATTGGTAATATTTAGCCTTTGTTCCCCTCAGAGCAAGATAAAACACGTTTGGGTTGCAACATCCAACCGTTTCATGGCTGATGGAGTTTGAACATCTCATCTGTAGATGTTGATAAATAATATTTCTTGCACATTTGGCGAACTGTTCCCATATAATTCCATAAATTTGTTTCTTCTCATCTGGTACTTCTTTAAAGGAATTATATTTTGGGACAAATTCAAAAAGTCCTTTCTCTAAAGTGAATTGATATTCCTTGTGAGTGTCTTCAGCAGCTTCATCTGTGGTTCTTGATTTTCGTTTTTTGCTCTGTTGGGAAATATTGTCATCATCACATTTGTTGTTTGGTGTTATCGTACATTGTGTCTCATCAACAATACCAGAGAAGCTGCTTGTGCTAGGCAATAGACAGCAAGGTGGAAATGACATAGTTTCGTCTGTGAAGATCCATTCCTGAACAAGTTAAGCAAACACATTGCAACAAATTTGAAACATACTGTAGAGGTAGTAGTTATTACTGGTGATGATGGCTGAGAAGTGTTCATCTCGATGCTTGATGATGAAGGAATCTTGAAATGTGTTACTACTGAATAATGGACAAACATAATACTTACATTGTTCGTACTCTGGTTCGTTGTGGATTGGCTATCCAATGCTGGTGATTCATAGGCCTTGATATAATTGAGATCAATACAAGGTGAACGATATTCACTAGTACTTACGTGATTAGTATTTGTTTCGCAACTCGAATCACAATCAGAAACACCAAGCTGAGGTAAAGATTAGTGTCGGTGTTGAAATTGTTGTTTGATGTTGTTGTTGTTGTGGTAATATGGATAATCAATTACTTACACAGTATAGAGGCACAGTACCCTCTTCAATGACCACTAATTCAGCTTCCATGTTGTTGTGTGTTGTTGGTGTGTTTTTTTGTGTGCCAAGCAGAAAACAACACCACAGACCAATCACTCCATTTTTTTTGACTCCGGGACTTACTAAAACGAGCCGAATTTTTTCTTCGTCAGTTTTTGCACTTTACGCTCAGGCGTAGTTTGTGGTGCTCATTGGAATGAAACTTCTAATGGTGTCACAAATTTTGTAATAACATAAATGGTGAGTACAACGATGGATGTGATGTACATTAACGTTGACGTCATTAGCGTGAAATGATAATTTTTTCTACACTTGTGATTTATTATCAAACGAACCTTCGATAAAACAAGGTAAATGTTGAAAAAGAATTCAAAGAAGATCTTCACTCGATCTTTTAACCTTCTAACATATCATCAAGGAAGACCCCTCTCCTTCATTCTTGGACCTAGTTCACCATCCCAAATTTTGTTCTTCCGAAAAAAATGATCAACACAACTGTCCAATCTCTCGCAGTTGTTGTGTGTATTTGCGTTATCATTTGTGGAAGTGTACAAGCAGCCATCAATGAATTCGGAAAGCAGTATCCTCTCACAGACAGTACTGGATTTTATTTAACTCCTAATGAACCATACCATGCTAATTTCGGAGTTAAATTTCAAAATGATGCTGAAGGTTTTTATTCTGTGAACTCTCTGAATGTCAAGATCTATGAAAATTATCCAAAACTAAATGTTGAGAATGATACACAATTACAGATTTTCGGAATGTACTCTCTGAATTTGACTCAAGCAGAATATAATTTTGAAAATTCAACTTTATTTATGTATCTCGCATTCGCCTCGGGAGTGTTTAATGTCATTCCCAACTCAATGAAGTTAATGCTTTTTAATGATGCACAAAAATCGTTCATCCTAATTCCAAATCAAGTGAGAGGTCTTGTCGATGTACGATATTCAAATAATTCAATTCACGAGTTGGCCACAATCTCTTCTTCCAGCTCATCATTTATTTACTTTGGATTTTTTGGAATTTCTCAAGAACAAACACTGGAAATGAACGAATGGGCTACCATAAGCTATCCACAAGTTGTGAAATACAATTTGAACCAATTTAACCAGACATTGAGCGTCTTTTACTATGATCCATTTAGCACAGTAGCTCATCAAGCTCATTTCTATAAGGCATATATTATTACTGACATTCCCTCAACAGATGCATTGCAGTTACCTTCAAAAGAATACGTTATTCTTCATAGATTTAATATTGTTGGAGCTGATGGACAAAATCCTTCACAACCTGATTATCGAGGAATTGGAGTTCCCAATTTCATTTTCACATTTGATTCTAAATATGGGTTTTCCGATTACAAAGGAAACAAGATTTCCATCAATGAATCTACATTAACATGTGCCTATCAATTGAAAAATACTCAGGATTTATCATTGAAAGAAGGAGCTGCCATTGTAGATCCACAAACACAGCAAGTGACTTGTTTATGGTATGGATCTAGTAGTAGTTCCATTGAATCAATTGCCCTTATTGCTCAATCCTCATATGATTACACGACTATCATTATTGGTGTCAGTGTATCGATTGGTGGAGCTGTATTGTTGATCGTGTTCGTCATATTTGCAACATTTTTGGGCTATTTGATGTGGAGAAGAAAGAAAAAGAAAAGATATCAAACATTCTAGTACGCTTGATATTAAATGAATCATGAATTATTATTTCATATTTTCAATCACAATATTTCTTTTAAAAAAATGAATGAAATGAATTCGGAGGATGCTTCCATGCAAGTTTCCGAAAATGTTCAACAAGAAAACAATGACCAAGAGTACCAATTTGGAGAGTTTATAAACTCGTATACATTCCCCCAATCGATTCATTCTTTACACTTGAACACAACGATGGACATTTTGCTCGTAAATAATTTTCTATATCGAATCCCGAGCATGGAAAGGCTGTTAGTGATACCTGGAGATGACAACACCTCCCATAACAATAGGTTTAGCCCTTGTGGAGAATATTTAGTCAAATTGAAGCATGATGGTGGTGAGCTGGCATTATTTCGCATTGATAACAAATTGGAGGAGATTCCTTTGATGGGAAGTTACAAAATCGATGGAGAGGTCTATGACATGGAATGGATAAGTTTGGATTACAAACACAGAGAGCACTTCGTTGAGCATTTACTGATGAAATATGATCCAAATGCTACTACCGTAGTGGCATCCTCGACTGAGAATGCATTGAATCAACAACAGCCACCAACATTGTTGGACCCTTCTCGTATCAAATTTGAAACATGCAGCAATTTACTAGCTATGTATGTGAAAGGTTCTGATTCAACCAGTAACGTCGTCATATTTTTGAATGGTAAATTACCCATCTTGAAATTAGAAAGTAATGAAAAAATTACCAAATTTAAGCTCGGAAAAGAAATATTTTCACTGCTGGATTCTTATAACAAATCTTTACATATTGTACCTATTTTGGAAAACCTAAAGGCATGCTCGGATGATATTTCCAAAGCATGGAATGACTTTTTTGCTAATCCCATGTTTCAAAAATTACAATACGTGGATATTTTTGAATTGATGGCAACTAGGTTAAACTATATCAACATGGAAATATTTTCTAGTGTTCAAGACAACTTTTACTCTAAACTATACCTCTCATTATTACATCTTATAGAAAAGATTGATTCTATTTTTTTATTGATGATTTCATATATTGAATATTTAGTGTCTAGCATTGAAGACTTGCCTCTGGATACGTTTTATGTAATGCTGATTGAAACGTACCAATCGTGGAAAACAGAAACCTGTGAGAATATTAAGTCTATAATCTCATTATTAGCAGATATTCAAGCACAGAAATCTAATATTTTCCCTAATGTTGAAACAATTTTTACTTCTTCAAATTTGATATTTTAATTCAACTCGTTCAATCTCTGTATGAAACTTTGATGTCATCTCACTATTTTTCTGTATCAGCCTCGACAAGTTACAATCTCAAAAATTTCTAAAAACAAACCACAAATATTGTAAAAACAGTGCAGAGTATTATTATTATGTGAGTGACAACACTCTCTATATTTTTCATGAAAGAGATGACGAAAGACAACCTTTCCAAATTATATGTGGACTTGTTGATGATGATATTACAGAATTGTATTTGTACAAGGAAAATAGGTAAGTACTGGAAATGAATTCTGAAATTTCCTGTTAAATATTTCATTCACCTCGTGTTCCAATAGATTTATTGCCCATTCTCCTCACACTGTTCTGTATCTTGCAGACAACAATATTTTCAAGTATGCCCAATTCGAAGACAGTATTTCAAAGTTTACCATATCCACTCACAGAAATTTATTTGCCATTTGCTTGTCGTCCAATGATCGAATGTTTTCCGTGTATGAAATTACTGATTAAACAAAGCAGAATTGTTACATGTACACATTTCTAAGAATTCCAGCAAGCTCATATATTTGTTGAGTATTCAAATCCTTGGTGTAATCTGTCAACTTGCCTGGATCAATGTCACTCACTGCACTAAATGCGCCATCCTTCTTTCCTTCAAAAATTGTAAAATATTTGCTGAGACCAGATGAGCCAATCAGTTTCTCAACCTTCTTTACAACGTCTGTTTCACCTTTATCCAACAGTTCTTTATAGAGCACTATGGCCATTAAATGCTTGCCTTTCTTCATCTTTTCTGGCTTCAAGCAATGTCTATAAGGTTTAAAGATGTATTGAGCTCTTTCTTTTTCATTTGTTTTTTGTTTCAATGTTAATCCCACTCGTCCACTTCTCACAAATTTATCACAAGTTGGTGTTTCCTTTGGCTTCAAATAGAATGCTGATTTGGTATCAAGAGCAGCAAAATGTTTTTGCTTGGGAAAGTGCTTTGTAACAAATTCATGAATGGTTTTACAATCATACGTGTTGATGATTGCATCCACACATAAGGAAGGTCCTTCAATCAACTTGTCTCCATTCAATAAACTTCTGATCAAGACTCCTCCTTTGAAAGTTCCGCAACCGATAGAGAGATCCAATCCTTGATAACTTCCGCCTTTGTAATTATTATCATTTGTTTTGGCAAGTGATTGATGGAAATACCATTCTCCCTTTGTAGCCTGTATTTCATGACAATGACTAAAGGGATCATTATGAACAGGTGGACAAGTATAATAATATTCCAATTCGGCAAGTCTAAAGGTCTTATCTTTCACCACCAGTTCAACATGATTAAATAGATACTCTGTGATGGAAGTGAAAACATCTTCAAATTCCTGTATGGTTTTGAAATTAGCACAGTTATCTAATTCCTTTAATTTGGTGAGAATTGGATTTTCATCATCGGAAGACGAAGTAGATGATGATGCTTGTGTGGTGGTCATTTTCACTTTTTTCGTCTCCTTCTCTTCATCGGTAGAGGAAGAGCTTGCTGTTTGTTGTGGTTCAGAAGCCTCCTCGTCACAATGATCCGTTGCAGGTTGTTCCTTCTTTCGTTTAGCCATTTTTTTCTGGAACTCGACAACTCAATGATCATTTCAGAGAGAGCAGGACACTTCATTGGGTGCAAAATCCGCCAAAATTTACATGGCGCGAAAATAAAACCAACAAGTTTAAAAATGAGTGAACCCGGATCCAGTGAGACTTCTGCTTACTATGAAACAACCACAAGCGGAACCTATGAAAGTAATGACATTTATGCGAAAGGTTCTATTCATCAAGCTCTTGTTGACGAATTGAGATATCAAAAAAGAGTTCCAATGCAAAATGTCATTTTGAAAAAACAATCTTCCTCATCAAGTTCAATTCAAACCCCAGTAAAGGGAATTTTAATGAACGGATATAACTCACCCAGTTCATCTCAATACACAACGAATTCAAACCCTTCTTCGAGGAAATCATCACCAAAGAGTGTTTCGATTGCTCCCTCTGCCAAAAGCGATGTCACCAATGACGCGGGAAATAATTTATTTATTGAGGAAATGAAAAAAGCATTCTCAACTATAGATACAAACGGAGACGGCAAGTTATCCAAAAATGAGCTCGCTGTCGCAATTCGATCATTTGGAATGGATCCTTCTGCCAAAGAACTAAATGATCTTTTTCAAATGGCAGGATCAAAAGATGGTTTTATCGATTTTGAACAATTCTCCTCTTTGATGAAAAAATCTGTCAACATCGAGTTGTTTGAGGACGACAGAAAAAAGAAAAAGTCCATCACAACCATTTTTGACTCTATCGATAAGAACGGAGACGGATTCATCGATCTACAAGAGTTTAAGGAATTGTTGGAAAGTATTCCAGGTGCATCAAGAATAAACCCTGAGAAAGACGTCCAAATTATGAAAGAAATATTAGCAAGTATGGATCAAAATAAGGATGGGCTAGTTGATTTAAATGGTAGGTTGAGTAACAATCCTTATATATTTACATCACACTATTATCTCTAAATCCAGAGTTTTATGAATGCATGCTTAAGGAGAAGGATTTCTTTGAAAAATGTAAATCACTCTTCGAACCTCATCCCTTGCAATACATTAATGTTTTCAAGAATTTACCCTCTAGCTTTAGAACATCCACATTGTATAGCCTCAAGCACACTGGAAAATTTAATACTTCTAATTTTGTGACTCCCAACTTGAACGAATCTGGAATTAACTATTTGGATCTTACTTTGGACACATGCTCAAAAAACATTTTACCAATCTATGCATCCAATTTTAAAATCACACTGAACCTTGCCAAGGGAGTTCCATTGCCAAGAGAAAATGTAAAGATTATTGATCGAAAGGTATACATGATTCTAGCATCGAACGACAAGTACATTAGCAACATTCACCAAGTGTCAGCCATTTGGTCACCCAACAAGTGTGATGAATGGTCCTTCACGAACAACACAGAAAGCAATGTATTGTTACGAACCATGGTGGATCATGTGAATACCTCACTCTTATTAGAATTTGTCATTGTTGTTGAAGGTGAAAGAGGAGCAACACATGAAATTTGTTGCGGCCACACCTCTGTTCCACTCAACGGTGATTACCAAAATCCCAAAAACTATGACTTTTTCTTAATGGGAGGAAGCATCAAAAAACCAGTGGATATCGCCCAAGAAGATGTTATTTTCAGTAAGAACAATGTGGTTGGAAAACTTGGAGTGTTGTTTAAGGGATTACCAAAACCTCAAATTTCTCTAAGAATCATGGCAGTCACATCGATTCAGAAACAACAAAAATTGTCGACTTGCCCTCCCAATATTGTGACCAATTACTGTGGTTGGGAAATTCTATCGACGTATCGAAAAGTTCTTGCCAAGAAATTATTTCCAACTCGAGTGCTGGATGAGCGAATGGTTGAAAGCACAAGTGCAGAACTTCGATGGTTTCCTCAATTATTAGATGATAAGGATTTATGGTTACTCTTTCTAGATAAATGGCAAGCACTGTTGAATGTTGCCAAGAAATCCAAAGATAAGAAACCTCAAGAGAGTGTTTTTTTGAAATTAGTGCATGACGTCAAGAGCGCATTGTTTTGCACGAATTTGCCAAAATACACTGGACGTCAAACTGTAATATCCCTCTTCTTTGAGAGCCCGAAAGAAGTGTTGAACTCGAATGGATTAATGTTCAAACCTTTTGATGCTTCGGAATGTGTACTCTCGCCCATGTACAGCAAAACCATTTTTGAACAATTTTGCCTCCAAAAATAAAAAATTGTAAATCCAATGATGAAAAAGTCCCGTCAATTGAGAAAAGTAGGTTTTTTTGATTGCTGATCGCAATGAACGTCATAGATATTAACGGAATCTATGTTCTTGTTATTGTCATGAATAACAAAGGCGCTCACTGAGGAAGAATTAAAAGAATTTAAAGAAATATTTGATTTGGTGGATACGGATGGAGGAGGTATGCAATTTGGACGTTTCTTTATTATTATTTCATTATAAATGAATTAATAATGATTTCGGTTGTTCTAAATAGGATCTATTCAGAAAGAAGAATTGCGACAACTAATGGAGACTCTTGGGCTGAACCCAACGGATGAGCAATTGGATGAAATGATGTTGGAAGTGGATGCAGATGGCTCAGGTGATATCGATTTCAGCGAATTTGTTACAGTTATGTCACGAACGGTTGACGCTACCTATACAAAGGAAGAATTGGTGAGAGCTTTTAAACTATTTGAAAATGAAGAACATGGAAGTGGTTTTGTAAAAGCAGATACTCTTGAAAAAGCCTTAGTAACATATGGAGAAAACATTTCTCTCGATAAAGCAGCGGAACTACTGTCGATTGTGGACCCTGACAACACAGGTAAAATTAACTATATGGAATATATAAATATGATGATGAATAACGAGTAAATATGCACCTGCAATCATTATTTATTAATAATATTCGAATCATAAATACTCAAGTTGGTGACTCTCATCTTTCCAGTTGGCTGAGCTTGAGGAGGTTGAGTAGATGCAGTTGTTGTTGCTGCAGTTGTTGAAGCATGAGAAGTAGATTGCCGTCTGCTTGACGCAGGAGGACTCGACTTTCTTCGGTCTCCTTTTCGTCCAGTGGATGGATTGCTTGAGGACTTGGGCTCCTTGGCTGTCGACGTAGTAGTGCTAGATTTGGAGTCAATTGGCAAGCTCTCCACTGTTGGCTTCTTGGATCCAATAGAAGAAGAACTTTCAGAATGTTGGGAAATGTTAGGTTGGGAGTGTGGTTGTAAATATCTCGGCGTCTTTTTGAAGCTTTCAACATTTTGTAAAAGATTAGTCATTGAGGTTTGTTTAGCGAAGAGTTCTTCGTCCTCCATTTTCAATTTTTGGTATAGTACGTTGATCTTTTCCTGCTGATCACTTCCAAACTTTTCCAAATATTCCATCTCCAAGTCGTGTAATCTTACTCGCATATCTACAATATCCATTGAGCATTTTTCTCTTCTTCGTTCCATATCTTGCGTTTGAATTTTGGTGGATTTTATCTTTTCTTGAAGAGATCTAAAGATAAAAACTATGTGTTACAAAAAACATTCAATAAACGAGCACGTACCTGGTTTCAATTTCTTTTTTACGCTTTGCATCTGCCATTCCCAACTTTAGCTCATTTAACTCGTGTTCAAGCTCTTCTTTTGCTAAAGGGGTGTCAACGAGCTCCAATATTCAATAATGTCTACATACCTGTTTGTTCTTTTTGAAGCAGGGCTGAAAGTTCTTGCCATCTTACTGAACTAATTTCATCTCTTTTCTTCTTTTCTTCTAGAATGGTGGCAATTTTGTTTTGGTAATAATCTATTCGTTTCTGTTCCTCTTGTATTTGAACAATTATTTCGTTGGCTGAAGCGTCTGTCTCTTCGGAAATTACCTTAATTCTTTCACTGATTCTTTCAACCTTGGAAGTAGTTTCATGTCTTACATTTTCTTGATATTCTAATTCTTTTGAAGCCTCCTCCAATAAATGACGAACATATTTTAATCGGATCACTTCTCTTCGTAATTTGTTAGGCTCGACCAACATTTTATCAGTTTTGTTCCTTTGCATGAGTTTCTTAATTTTCAAATATGTAGGATGGTCTAATTGATTTCCTCTCACATCAAAAGATACAATGGTGTGATTCTTTTCAAGGAGATCAACAATTGCAAGTCCGGCTTCTATTTGAGGGTAAATAAATTGTCCGTAGTTGCCTGCAACTTACCTTCGGAAATGTGATTGTTATGCATCTTTAAGTACAATAAATTGGTGTTGCAAGTAAGAGCCAAGCAAAGAGCAACTGCTCCACTGTCTCCAATTCCACAAGCATTTAACTCTAAATTTACAATTCCACATTGGTCGTATTCAACACACTTTGCAAGAGCTTTCGCTCCTCCGTTTCCCATTCTATTGTTACTCACAATTAACGTGTGAAGACAGGATTGAGGATTGTTGATAGCTGCTGCTATACTTTCAATTCCTTCTTCTGCAATTTGATTGTGACTAATATTGAGATATGTTAGCGTGTGTCGTGAAGACAGGTAGTTTGAAATAGCAAAAGCACCATCATTTGTGATACCATTTCCCGCTAAATTCAAAACTGTCAGAAAAGACTCTGCCTGTAAATAATTACACAAAATTTCTGTTCCTCGATTTTTGATGTTGTTGTCATGCAAAAGAAGCACTGATAAGCTTGGACACGAGCATGTCATTTTCCCAAGACTTTCTGCAATGTCCATCGACAACTTGTTCCCATGAATATCGAGATACCTTAAATTTTCGTTACCTTCCAAAGATTGAATGACATTGATAGCAGCAACAGACCCCATGCTTGTTTGACCTAACCTTAAGCAAGCAATTGTTTTGTTTTCATCAAAGGCATCAGCAAGAGCAAAGAAAGCTTGCTGAGTTTTCTTTCCGAGCTGATGATTCGATTAAAATCCAGAGTGTTGAGAGTAAAGTTAGAAACCAAGGCTTCAGCAATGGCAACACCTCCTTCCGCATCAATTTTGTTTGCATATAAATCAGAATTATCGCTTCCTAGCAATAGTGTCTCAAGCTGTCGGTTGGGATTCCAATGTTATAGGTCAAAATGTCTCTAGCGAAAACGATAACTACATACTGTACAATCTGGACTTTTTAAATATTCAGCCAATAGTAAGGCTGATTCCGAGCCTAAATCATTACTACCAAAATCCAATACTTTCAGCGTGTTCAATGATTTTAATTCGTCCATCAATGCTTGGACTCCTTTATCCCGAATAACATTTTCGTGTAGATCCAAAATAAGTAATGGATTTTCCTTGCTATTGACTTGAGCGAAATATCTGGCCAAAGAGCTCGCTGTTCCAAGCCCAATTCTCTGGGATCTCATCACAAACTTCTCCGAATTACATCGTTTATCCAACAATTGTTTCAAATTCAGAGCCAATTCTCTCTCCGGCCGTTGCTGAGTATCGCCACAGTAAGCCAGAAAGATCTCTGAGAAGTATTTATCAAGCATTTTTGTTTTTTGAGGGTAATAATGACCTCCGTAGAGAATATTGTTCGGATCAACAGACCCGGTCTGCATGGGAGATGACCTGAACGCGTACAGTAAATTCTATTAATAATGTAAATGTACAAGTTATCTCTCAATAATAATATGAACGTTTGTCTCTTTGATGTTGGACTACGCCGATCCTTTGCGTGAAATTGAATCCTCTCCGTCCATATATAGACACTGATGATTTGTTTTCAAGTCTTCCTTCTCCTGAACAAGCACTCAAATAAAAATGAATCATGGCAACACTTCCGATCACCCGCAAGCATCAACCACAACCACAACAACCTCGGCTGCAGTGAACATCCCGAGGACGTCTATGAACGAAAATGTATCATCACCAGTGGGTGGAGATTGCTCTCCCACATTGTTGAGTAAATATGTTTTAGAAATGGAAGAAAAAGTAGAACGACTTTTTCAACAATTAGAAGACTATAAAAACATCATCGGAATTGATTTGGAGGAAGAACATTTTGATTTATCTAAATTAATTAGCTATATAAAACTTGAAGCAGGATGTAGTGCAACAAAACCACGTAAGTGTGTCACAAAATAATTTTATCATTGTGATGATTTGAAGATTGATCTTGTTTGTGAAAATTAATATTTAATGATAATTTTAAACAGCGTCATCACTAAGAACACCACAACAAACAAGAGAAGTGGGTGAGCTTACCCGATCTGGATCTTTTTCAAACGATAAAAATTTGTATTCTAAATCTCCTGTAAAAACTCCCACCATTCCTGATAATCTACAAAAAACAGGACCTAAGACAACGATTCAATTAATGAAAAATCTCAAAGATCAATTCAATGCACAAATTAAGAAAACCATCACAAAGTAAGTTTCTTTTTATGGAGCTCATCCAGCGTCTCCAAACACAATATAGACAACCTGACAAAAAGATCATACGAAGATATTTATTTCATAGAGACGCAATATTTGACATTAAGATGTCTCCTATTTGTAGCATCGATACATCGACACCACTTTTTGCCACAGCATCAGCAGACACAACGTGCTGTTTATGGGGCAGCAATTTGTCACATTTAAATCCATTACTCGTATATAAGGGTCACACTGGAGCTGTCAACAAATTAAAGTTCCATCCAACTGCCCAAATAATTTGTTCTGTTTCAGGAGATCAATCGATACACCTTTGGAAATATGCAGAGACGTTAAAACAAAACGAAGCAGTATCATTAAACAAGACAGACAGTCGCAGTAGCCAGATGGTGGGAGAAAATGATGACGATGATTTTTCGAATGGCAGATTTAAGGCCTATCTTAAACATGTTAAACTCCCATCGGTGGACAATCTTCACAAGAGTGGAGAGTTTAACGACGAGTCCAATGAAAGAACTCAACATAACGATCTTTTTACACAAGATTTACTAGACAGCCACATTGATTTCAAAGCCTATCAAAACGAAGGAGTCAACACAGATAGCGAAAACGATGACAGTCTAAACGAACTTCAGAAATTTTACATCACCGAAGGTAAGCTCTTGAGAATGTTCAAAAATATTGATTCGTATGAAATTCCAACGTTGTAGAGGGTGTGCAAGGCATGATAAGAAACAGACCAACCTATTTGCGAAACCCACATGTTAAAAACTCTGATTCACACAAAGGAATAATATCTAGTTGTGATTGGACAAATCATAACAAGGGAGAACAAATTGTCACATCGTGTTGGGACGGAAATTTAAGAATTTTTAATTTGGAGCTAAGAGAAATTCAGAAAATTGCCTCTCCAAGCGAAACAGCTTACTTGAACGACGTTGCTTGTGCTTATCAGTCCTCTCTTATTGCTAGTGCTTCCTCAGACGGAAATGTATTTTTATGGGATTCACATTCTGATTCCAAATCTCCCATTTCTGCATTGAAATCTCATGCTGAGTAAGTATAATCAATAGATAATCATTTCCTTTTACATGCATATGACCCATATCAACAGCCCTGTTAATTGTGTAGCTTTACTCCAAGTGATAGGTTTATTGTGACTGGAACCGATAGTGGAGATTTACGAATTTTCGACTATAGGAACATGTCCAAACCAATGAAAACTATTCCAATCAAAGCTGGTGGGGTTAACAGTGTGTCTATATCAGAATACCATCAACGAATGTTAGTTTCATTGGATAAGAGAGTGGCAAAAATTTATGATCTCAGTGGTCATTTGCATTCAAGCCTACACGGACATGATTTGATGGTAACATCGGCGTGTTGGTCCTTCGACGGATCCACATGCTTTACTGCTGGGATTGATCGACAAATAATTCAACACGAAGTGCAGAGCTCATCTGTAGGAGCAGAAGCCAAAGGAGCCACTGTTAACAATGAAGAATAAAATGTTTTTATCACCACTCTCCCTTAATGCAACGGTGTCATCTAGATCACAATTTAAAAAGAGCAATCAGGTAAAATAAATTTATTTCTAAAAGGATGACAAACCCTAATCATCTGTTACATCCCATAGGTCATTAATGTTTGTGGAATTGAGAAAATAAAATTGGGAAAAAAGCGTAGTTTAGAGAGCCTTGACTGGACCATTTTGTTGTGAGTCCTCAACTTTTTCATAAGTATAATCTTGAAGTCTATCTTCACGGAATTTGAATTTCTCCATGTCTCGCAACATTGTTTCGAATTCCTTATCTGTTTCTTCTTTATGAACTTGAGCCAATTCTGAATTTTCAGCAGCACTCTTCATGATCAAATCCTGCTCTTCAGGAGTCAATTCACGGAGCTTCTTTGCAGGAACACCAGCCCATATTTCTCCACTTGGAACAACTGTACCTGGTGTCACCACAGATCCTGGTGCAATCATGGCACCCTTTCCAACCACAGCTCCATCCAACACGGTAGCTCCAATGCCAACATAACATTCGTCTTCTAAAGTACAGGCATGTAAAATAGCACCGCTTTCAACAGTAACATTATTTCCGATAATGGTTGGCTTTTCATGTCCTCTCTTGCCAGTACAATGAATCACAACTCTGTCTTGAATGTTGGTGTTTTCTCCAATTTTTATAGCATTCACATCACCTGTAAGATTTAGTTGAAGTATATCATTGATGGAGTTGCAAGCATTATGATGTTTGTGTAATGATATGTTGTTTGTTGAAATTGATGTTGTGTAGTGAATTGTCAAGAGATTTTGGTGGTATTTGATAAATGTTTCCAGTAATGTGGTATCAAAGCCGTTCGGTGAATATAATTATTCATCATATTTCATGGTACGTTCAAGAAAACAGTATTACATAATATTATTGCTCTCAAGAAGCGAACTTACCTCTAATGACTGTGTTGTACCAAATTGAAGACTTTGGTCCAATAGTAACTTTACCAATAACGCTAGCATTTGGAGCAATAAATACGTCTGTTGATTGGATGGTTGGATTATTACCGAGGAAGCCCATAACTCTTCTTGTTCTATTTACTATTTGTGTTTGAAAATATCAACAAATTTCCAAAATTTCCGTGTTATTCCATTCATCCAAAACAATAACAACAACAACATTATCATGAGTTTTCATATCATCATCATCCATTTCATCATCGTTTATAAAAATAATACCAATAATGATGATCATCACCAATAACAAAAAAAAGACAGACACTAACACTCTTCCTTGTATGCCACGCTTCCTTGCAGAAAACATCCCATGCGGTCCATAGCCTCTCCAGCCTCACGAAAGATGGAACCCACAAGATAGCGGATGGAATGTCTTGATACGCTCTTCATTATTTTTTGGAGTCTTTGAATTTTTTACAACAACCTCTTCTTGACACCAACGAGGCTCACCGAAGCAAGCAATATTCATCAAACAAGACAACATTGATAGCATCACTTTAATGATGAATAAGGCAGCCTCTCCATTGGTTAGGATTTGGTCAGCTTGACTGTAATCAATCGAATGTCTCTTTTCAGATTTTGTTTGACAACTGCCATAAGACTCGAGCGTTTGTTCAATCTTCTCCAAATACGTTCAATCGTTGCTTGTTGTTTGGACTGTTAAGAAAGTTTTGCAACGAAGTGTTCTTTGAAAAAATGTCTTCACACAACGCTTCTGATGAATACGGTGCTGAAAGTGGGTATGTTTTGCTGTGTTGTTTGTTGATGTGTAATTGAATATTGATGGGTCTTATTGTTTTCAATTTTTCATACCGCACGTGGTGTGTGCTAATGTCAAATGCCATTGATGACACTTTTTGTGAACATCTTGTGTGTCGGTCGTGATGATGATTGTTAAAATTACATACTACATGATGATGTTATTTCTAAAAGTATTCCTACTTTCAAAGTTATTGTTATTGGTGATGTTTCCGTTGGTAAAACTTCAATCATTTCTAGGTTTTGTGATGGTGAATTTAAAGAGAGCTATCCATCATCGTTGGGGTATGTACATTGTGCCCAAAAATTGGATGGTTATATATAACACTATTGACAAATATAACCAACCACACTATTTACTCCTTTTTATTGATACATAATTTGTGTGTCCCATCTAAATATGGAAATTTGTAATAATTATTGATGATGATACTGTAACGTGTCTGTGAACTACTAATAATATTATTCAAGTGTTGATTTCAAAATGAAGGAAATGAAGGTCTCGAATCAATCGGCAATTAAATTACAAGTTTGGGACTTTGCCGCTGATATTCATAACAGATTTGCCAACGTTGCTAAACATTCTTATTCAGAAGCTCATGCCATTATCATTGTGTTTGACATTACGAATAAGGAATCTTTCCAAGACTTGGGTATGTTTTGTTTTTCATTGTCACTCCACATGGAGCTCACATAATGTTTGTTTCGGATTTGGAATTGAAAAGAAACTCACTGGCTTGGGGAATTACAACAACAAACGTTGAGAGAAAATCATTTTAAAATTCTTGTGGGTAACAAGTCAGATCTTGTTGACAAGAGAGTTGTCACAAACGCTCAATCGTTAGCATCAAAATATGGGTGTGAATACATGGAAACGAGCGCCAAGAAAGGAGACAATATTGATCAACTTTTCCAAACTGTTGGACGAAACATTTTTGAAGCTTATCAAAGAGGAGGATTCAAGGAAGAGCTTTGGACTGAAGATAAGGAAAAGAAAAAGAAGTGTTCTCTCCAATAGATTGCTCGTACGATTGAAACAAATTACCAATGTATTTTAGTCATCACCACTCAAACTTGCCACTAAATGCTTACATTAAATAATTTATGTTACATTTATTTCAAGGAGTTTCTTGCTTCTTCAGTAAGAACTCCCTCCTTAATCTTTTTATCAATTCTCTTAAGAATGGATTGAATAACTGTTTTGCAAAGGCCTTTCTGAGAGGCCTCGGCAAGTTGGAATCTCTCTGATAAATCGTCTTGTGACATGTCATACAGCGTTTCACAAAGAATTTCAGCATAAATTTGATCAATAGATCCGGTTACAGACACATTGTTTGCAGAAGAGTTGTTGTTGGGGGTGTTTTTGTTGGATGGTGTGGAAACAATTTGCTTTGGTGCAGATTTCACAGTATTCATAGCAGTACCGTTATCATCACTGTCATCACCATCGCTATCATCACTGTCATCACTATCTTCACTGTCTCCAAAATCAAATTTCATCTTGTTAGAGGCTGGATCTTTCTTGGGAGGAGTGTGTGGAGATGTTACAGAGGTTGCTTGTTGAGTAAGCTGTTCAGGTTTTGTTGGTTTTTTCTTTTCTTGAACTGTACCAAAATCCCATTTCTTATTTACAATTGTACCTTCTTCTTCATTTTCTTCGTCACCTTCATCTGATTCATCCGAGTCGTCTGAGTCGTCAGAATCATCGTCACGTCTTCCATTTGAGAGCTTCATTGGTTTCACATAATTCAGCTTAGCCTCAACCAAATCAGAAAGAACAGAGTTCTTTTTGGCACCTTTTATGAACTTGCATTTGAGAAGTTCTTTTGCACTTGGTCTTGCGTTGGGTTCTTTTTGAAGGCAAAGATCAATAAATTCTTTAAAATATTTAGAAGCTCTAGGATCATCGAGTTTGGGAGAAGGTTCTTTTGGAATTTTTAAAAGAGCTTGGAATGGCTTCATATGACTTAATGGTGGTGAGCCTTTAAACATTTCTATTGCTGTTATTCCTAAAGACCAAATATCAGCTTTTTCTGTATAACCTTGTCTAACAATCACCTCCGGTGCCATGTACTGAAATAATCATTTTACCTAAATATTGTAGATGCAAAAATACGTACGTAGGGTGTTCCAACAAAAGTATATCGTTTTCGATTTCCCATCGTATTTGTTAATTGTCCAGAAACTCCAAAATCTTTGAATTGTTCATGTGATAGACAGTAAAATGCAAATAGCAAGTGCCAATAAAATATGTTACTATTTAGAAGTCCAACATTATGACAACATACCTCCGATTTTGATTTGACAATCCTTTGAAATCAAAATGTTTGCGCTTTTGATATCTCTATGAATTTTGTTTTCCGTATGAAGGTAATCAAGCCCTTTCAAAGTTTCTCGCATAATTACGGCAATGTGTTTTTCTTCAATGCCTACTGTTTCGCTTGCACCTCGTTGTTTTGTTAATATTTCCATAATGTCTTGAATAGAACAAAGCAAAAGGTCCATAACAATCCATAAAAACGATCCGTTAATAAAAGCTCCATAAACCTTTACAACAAAAGGAGAATTTGCACTCATTTGAACGTGAACCTCTTTTTGAATGTCTTCAATTTCATCTGTTGCTTCTTCAAGATCAATGATTTTGATTGCTACTGTTTCTCCATTTATTTTGTTAATTCCCTTCCTGATGAGCGAGTATTTTTGTATCCGAGATCAATGTCAACACCATCATCATCATGAGATAAAAATAATGATAATAAATATTATGTGATCCTTCCTTCGACAAAGTAAACCATTACGTACCACACTTCTCCAAACGCTCCCTCTCCAATTTTCTCTATTTTCTCAATATTTTCAGCGGAAAGTCTTTGGGTAATGCTGGATGTATCAGATGTTACAGACTCTGACCTTCCTCTTGCCATTGGAGATGATCCAGGTGATGTACTCAACACGGATGATGCGCTAGTCACGCTCAATGCTCCGCCTGATGTAATGGATGAAGTTGAAGAGGCAGGAGAAGGCGATGATTTGTTATCATCCTTTCTCCTCAGTGATATTGGCATTTTTTGGTGTTGTTCGGTCCTTGGTTCATCAGCTTTCAGCCTTTTGAGCTTTGTTTTGGATACATTAATTGACGTATTGTCGGTAATGTCATCCACAGGATTAGGTTAGCGATGAAAAGTAGAAGGATGTTTGGTTGCTTGTAAATTAAATGAATGCATATGATCTCTCAAAATAGCTGCAACAACTCTGCCTGACAAAAGTTATTGAGACAAAATAATGCAGATCAGTTCGACGAAAATACAGAAGTTTAATTGTTAATCGTTTGTAGACCGCGAAGCTATCTCTTTTTTCGTCAAAGCCACTGCACTTCTAATGGCATTCACCTCCCCTTGCGTCAAACCGTATACAGGATCTATTGGACCTTTTTTCTCCAAAACGATCGAGCCAAGATGTTTGAGGAGTATTCGCTTTGCTTCTACAGAGAATAAATTGGTGCTGATTGTAGAGTCATTAATAAAATCTGTGGCTGGGTTGGCGTTTGATTGTAAATCCTGCAGAGTGCGTTTTTTTGTTGAGTTTGAAGCTTCAGAGAGTTGTGAAAAAGAGGATGAGTTAGCCTGGTCAAAGTTGGACATTTTTTTTGTGTTCTCTCACTAATTTCTTGCTTGTTTATCGAGGGGATGGAGCTTGTGTTAGGTTAGAGTCAGCACTCCCTTATTGAATTGGTTAAAAAATTGATGTATACGAATGAAGAGAGGTGAGTTTGCTCAAACACCTCCAACAGAAATCGTTATGTCTCTCAATTTCAAAATTCAAAAAAATGAAAGCTGTAAATCCTCTGAAATTACCAACGTCGTCATTACCGGGAGACACAGCAGTGCAGTCAGCCTCGTCGAATCATGTTACTGAGAATAGCACAAATACAAGGGGAACCAAAATTTCTAAAAGGGTGTTTGATCCCAATTCCCCAAGCCGATATTCTGGAAAACCGGGATCGGTTCGATCAAATAGCATGAACTATAAAAACGATCAAAAACTCTTTTCTACGGATGACATTCCCGAACGAGTGCTTGAAAAGAAGCTTGAAACGTTGGAGATAAAGATGAGAAATAGAGAAAATAGAAAACCTGAATGGAATGCTTCAACATTTACAACACATGCCTCCGAAGAGCGGGCATTATTGAGAACACTGGCCAAAGAGGACTACCTTATTAAAATAGAAAAGAGAGAAAGGAAAAGAAATGAGCAACCACCAGACTGGAAAATAAGCACATTCTTTACAGAAAAAGAGAAGGAAACAAAAGGAGATGAAAAACTGTCACGTTCATTGAGAAATACGAAAAAGGTGGTTTCCGAAGTAAATGCACCTTCTCTAATTGAACGAGAACGCAAGAGACAAGAGGAGGAGAAACGGGAACGGGAAGAGGCAACCAGAGTGACCATGAGAGAACATTTTTTGAATTCACCTCCAATAACGTTGGGATTGTCTCGAAAGCTGTTTGGAGATCAATCAGCTGCTCATCCCACAGTTGTTGTGAAGGACATCATTTGACCATGTATAGTAAAATTCGTGTTCGCTTGAGAAGAGCGTTACGGTGTGTACTTGACAACGAGAGCTTTTTCAAATGTTTTTGAGATCATGGCCCTTATTCAGTTTCTGGTTAAAGGCTCGTTCCAACAACGAGAAGAAACTTGTGGCGCCAATTTTGAGCGCCTCAAAATTTTAACATTTCAAAAAAAAATATCCCAATTACCAGCCTTCACCTCATCATGCCGGCAAGAAAAAAGACCAGTTCGAAGAAGCAAAAAGCCTCATCCGAGAGCGGTAAAAGAAAAAGAAGAGACGAAGAGGAAGAAGAGGAAGAAAGTGATAGCGATCAAGAGGTGAGAGTAGTCATTTCTGATGCCAGTGATGATGAAGAGGAAGCATCAGAGCCCGAAGAACCATCATCAGAAGAGGATGATGCTTTCAAGGAAGACGAGAAAGATCAAGATTTCCAACCTCCAAGAACATCAAGAAAGAAAAGCACTTCTACAAGAAAAAAGAAAAAAGATACATCATCAACAACTCCTAAGAAAAAGAAGCTAAAGACTGGCTCATCAAAGAAGAGTAAATCAAGTGAATCCACAAAGAAAAAAAAGGCCAAAAAAGAGGAGCTAGAGGAAGATATGGTTGTTTTGAATGAAGACAAAGAATCATTATTTGCAACTGTTCGTCAAGAAAGCTCAGCTATCAGAGACACTGTTGATGGATGGCAAGAACGATTCGAAACCAGCAAAGCCAAAGCAACAGTCGAATTGATTGTTTTTGTTTTACATTCGTCAGGGGCAAAAGGTGACCTTGTTTTCAACGGAAAAAAGCTCAAATCTGAAGATTCCAAAGCTATTCAAAAAGTAATTGATGATGTTATTGAAAAATTCATTCCTGACAAGCTTCAAGTTTATCCAATCGTCAATAACCATCCTTCATTGAAACATTTTAGAAAAAACTTTGGTGAATTTTGGAACACATTTGTTGATGTTGCAAAGGAAGGAGGTCAACTTTATGACGAGTTTATTCGAGAACATTTTTTGAGATGGTTGACTTTTATGACAACATCCACTTGCAGAGCACTTCGTCACACTTCAACATTGGCAATTTATCAAATTGCTTCTGCTGTAATTGAGGCTAAGAAATCTGAGAGCAAAACACTTGCTAAATTACAAAAACAATCTAAAGCAGCTGCAAAGAGCAAGGATAAGAAAAAAGAAAAAGAACTGTCAGCCATGTGTGAACAGTATCAAGAGAAGACAAATACTCTTGAAAAGATAGCAGCTGACATTTTTATGCAAGTATTTACAAAAAGATATCGAGATTCTTGTGATGATATTCGAGCATTGTCACTTCTACAAGCATCTGAATGGATTATTGACTCTCCAGATCAATTTTTGAATGACAACTCTTTGAAATACTTTGGCTGGATGCTAAACGATACCGAAGAAAGCGTAAGAAAGGTTGCTATTCAAATTCTAGACAAGTTCTATAGTAAGAAAGATTGGAAAGATCAACTAGCAAACTTTACAAAGCAATATTCTGGAAGATTTGTAGATTTATCACGAGATGTCTCCGTCTCTGTTGCTGTTGAAGCTTTGAAGTTCCTGACTACTCTTCTTCAAAACGGCTATTTGAATAGTTCTCAAATCGATACTGTGAGCAAACTGATATTCGACGAGGTTGCCAGTATTAGATTTTATGCAGGAAAGTTTGTCTACTACTATCTGTTGTCCAAGAACGAAAAAGAGCCTTCAAAATCCAAGAAAAAGGCCAAGAAAGGTGGTGTCAGTCTCGAAAATATTCTTGATTTTATTTCTGAACATGTTGAAAATTATCCAATGGCTGCATATTATCTTGTAGATACATTATGGAGCACCTCTGATGAGGTTTTACGAGATTACAAGACCATCTGTTCTATGATTAACGAAGAAGAAGGAGATGCACTCACTCTCATTAAATTATTGAACGCATCTATCAAGAAGTTGAAGGGACAACTCAACAGCATCACAAGCGCCAGCGATAACGTAAAGGTGAGCAACAAATCGAAACTAACAACAAAAGAGACTGAAGATGAAGTAGAGGAACTCACAGGTGTTTTAGCTCCATCTCTGTCCGCCATGATTGATAAGTACAGAACTGAACCTGAAATAGTGAGCGAGCTTGTAGAGATTCCACAATTTCTTGATTTAAAGAGTTATCCAGAAAGCCATTTCTCCAAATTACTGAAATCTTTGAAGGAAGTTTTGAACAAGAGTGTTTCTCCATATGTTTACATGGAAGTTGCAAAGACCTTCAAGTATCTCATCAAAGACCATGATGATTATCCACTAAAATCAGAAGCCGAAGTACAATATAATGAATTGATGAGAGAGACGTCATCACAATTGAAGGACGCTGTGCGTGCACTCAACAATGAAGAGGAACCAACGTCCGATATTTTAGCAACTCTCAACAGAATTAGAGCATTCAGTAAGGTCGTGGGAACATCCCAAGTTATTTCAGACGATGTTTTACTTGCGGATTTAGACAAGATTTTAGACTCTAAAGTTGTTGAAATTGGAATGTCCCAAACTGATGAAACTCAAGCTAACGAAGAAGAAGTTGATGAAGTCACTCCTCTTATTATCAACATCATCTTTGACGATTTATATTGGACATTACAAGACGTGCTTGCTAAGAAAGATTCACGCAATCAACTTGAAAAGACATACTTTACCAAACAAGAAAATTTAGCAAAACACCTCTTTTACATTTTAGAAAATGGAAAAGTCTCTTCTCCTGTTACTAGAACTTCATACTCATTACTCTCAAACATTTTTGTCATGGCCAGTCCAGTTGTGGTCGGATCAAGCTCAATGGTTTTAGTTTTGGGTAAAGAGAGAATGGCAATCTTGACTAAATACTTGCAAAAGGCAATGGAATCACTCCAACGTGAATATACCAAGTATGATAAGAAGAAGAAAGATGGCGATGAAGAGGAAGAAGAAGAAGACGAAGAGAAAAAGAGAGCCAGATTGGAAAAACTTAAAGTTACCAGAACACTCATTTCTGATACGTTACTTGGATTATCTAGAGCTATTATTGCCAAAGCTATCAGTGATGACTTTGCTTCCCATATTCTTTCGTACTTTGTTAGAACCAAGATACCTGTTGTTGAAGAAATTGTGAAGAGATTCCATCATGAACTCAAGAATACCAGTGAAGAAAAATTATGGCAATACGAGTTTGATGCTCTCAAGATTTTGCATTCTGAGTATTTGGATAAGGTTGAACAAGAGGAAGAAAAGAGTGTTTTAAAGAAGGCAATTAAGGACATTGAAGAATTAGGTTCCAGACTCAGCAAGTCTCACTTCCCAGGAAAAGATGTTCATCATATTGAAACTCTAGTCCAAAACACAATTAATTTTGTTTTTGATGACATTAATCAAAACCATACATTCTTACTTGGCATTATGAAATACAGACTGAAAGCCATTCCAGATACAAAGCGTAAAGAATTTTTGGCCACAGTTGTAAGAAAGATCGAACAAACCGAAGATGTTGAAAAGGCGGCCAAGGAAAATGTGGAGAGTTTCAAGGAGATGTTGACCGTGAGTAGTAAGAATAAGGACAAGTCAGATGAAACTGATGATGAACGAGAAAAGGCACCTGAGGAAGACAAAACTCAAATTGATGAGCACGAGGAACAAAACGAGGATGATAACAAGATGAGGGATGAAGATGACACTCAAATCTCTGAAACAAAAGAAAACGAAGAGGATGAAGAACTGATTTCGAGCAAACCTAGAAAATAATGTATTTTAATTACATAAATTCACTTATTTATTCTTGTAAATCTTTCATGAAACAATCTTTCAAAATGTCGACATGTCAACACGTTTATTTTCTGAGCTTATCCAAAGCAACGCCAAGTCCAATTCCGCAAATCATCATACTTGCAACGCTAATAAATCCAGCAAAACTCAATTGACACATTTGAGAAAGACCATGACCGCTTGTGCAACCATTGGCAGTTCTGCAAGTTCAATCATTATTGAATAAGTTGTGAAAAAATTGTTCAAAACTCATGAAACATACCTTGCTCCGAATAGCAACAAGAAACCTGATGCAATAGCAACCATCTTATCTTGTGTAGTGAGTGCTCTAGTACTCTTGGCTCTGGTATTTCCCAAGAGAGCGGAAACGTAGGATCCTCCAATGATACTCAAATCGCTTACCAATTGCCATACATTCTTTGGAGTATTAGGGATGTACTTGGAAAAATAGCTCTGATCCAATGGTAAATACTTGGTTACAAAAGTAGATGCAGTCACAAAGGCAGAGCTGGTACCTAAATAAGCCTTAACACACAAATTAACTGGAATTTGAAGTGATCCAAGAGCAATTCCCGACCAAATAGGGCTCCATTGTCTCTTTTTCATGCATTCCGTAGTGCTTGCCGATTCAGACTCGACACGTTTTGGTGATGGGAAGATCTTTTCAAGACCACAAGCAACACCGATCATAGCAATACCCAAAGGAATGGCTATTGCCCACATTGGCTTGCCGAGTAATCCATGCAAGGTATTGTGTGGACCCTTGACCTCAACAGAGCTCAAAATATTCTTGGCCCATGATTGATTAATTAAAACACCATAGGCAGATGCTCCCAACAAACCTCCCAAAAGTGAATAGGGAGCTGTTTCAACACCTTCTCCGATCTGAGCCAACAAAGTGCCAGGACAAGCTCCTCCGAGGGTCATACCAGCACCAATGAGTGCACCTCCAATCAAATTACCCTTCCAATTGATATCCATTGGGGACAAGGTTGCCAAACCGAACAATTGCAATAAACCGAATGAAATGGCACTTGTACCCGAAGCAGAAAGGAAAGTCTTCATCATGGTCCAATCCTTGAGTGCCATTTGATTTTTAATATTTTCAGGAGCAGACATTCGGCTTTTCTGTAACAAGACACCAAAAACAAATCCTTGAGGCAAACCGATGATCGAAGCCAATGGATGAGGAGAACAAGAAATGCATGTGGATGACATTTTTTTTTGATTTCGCCGTTTGTGAATGATGCAAAACTCGTTAATAGAAATTGGCTCAAGGTTTGACACCATTCGATTGCGGCGTTTTACAGGCCCTACAATTAATTGGTTGAAAGAAGAAGCTGCGTGTTGAGGGGTTTCTTGTCGTTGCAAATATGAACTGTAAAATAAAAGTAAAAAAATGGTCAGGTGTCGCGTCTGTTATATATCAATTCAATCAAATACTATTTCTTGGATCGGCTTGATTCAAGCACAGCCGATGTTGTATCGGAATGCTTGATGATGAGGACAACGTTTTTGAATCAAACGAGCCAAACATTGTACCTGGTCCTATCAGTTCAAACCATAATATACCGTGTGGTCTTTCCAAGAATTTACAAGAATTATTCAAGACCATGAATCATTCCATCCACAAGGTCCTCCAATTTTAGTGGAGTGCATTATTTTCAGTTTCAAATATTGCTCATGAACGATTTAAGTGTTAACTTCTCTAGCCTTTCATTTCAGCATTTAAATTATGTATGGTGGCTGAATATTTACCAAATGGAAGCTTGGACAATTTAATGAAGAAGCTGAATGATGGTAAATAGTAACCATCATTGCGGTTACTATCAATGAAAGAGAAAATATTAATTGGAGTTGCGTATGGAACGAAATATTTACACAATCGACAGCCTTCTATTGTTCACAGAGATTATAAGCCTGGAAAAATTTTATTAAGCTCAGATCCTTTTCACAACAACACCTATCTCAAGATTCACTTTTTTGAAAAACAAAATCACACCACAAAATCTAGAAGTCTATCACGTTCACTCCATTTTCTGACTGATCCTGTTATGATCGAAGGACATAGACCTACCATTCTTTTCAAGCTAACAAACAGTCAGATTTATGATAAGAATGGATGAAGACACAAGTATGAAAATTTCGTGTAAAAATTTTCTTCACAGCAATTCAACACTCCGTTTTTATCAAAAGATACCTTTCATGAATGGAAGAATGTTAGATTTCCTTCTGAAAGACCGTCATTTGACATAATGGTAGACTTGCTGTACAAGCTTAATGTTTTTTCTAATGTTGGAAAATAGAATGAACCGGTTCATCAAGACGAGTCTAATCGGCCCATCCAGAGCCACCCCCACCACCACAATCACCTCCACCTCCACCAGAATCCCATGCAGCGCTGCTACCACCTCCACAATCGTATCCACCTCCATAGCTATAATCATTATTCGAATAAGATGGTGGTTCGTACGAGTAACTACTACTACTTTCAAAGGTAACAGGAGAAGGAACCTTGTAAGTTGAGTTGTTTTTGGGTGTTGTGGTAGGTTCGTACTTTTCGATAGGTGTTTCTATTTTCTTTGGATTCTGATCAAGTACTTGGCTGGTTGAAACGTTGCCAGTTGTTGCCTTCTCCTGGTCCTGCTCGAGTTTCTTACGCTTTCTGAATTCATAGAGCTCTCGGACGCAAAAAACGATGCTCCAAAAGTAACAACAAAGACAAGCAGTGCCCAACGTAACAGAAATCACAATGGCCAACATTTCCATTGCTTTTGTATAGACGCTGCCATAATTATAGTTATTACTGTCTTGTGCTAATTGTTGGCACTTGAGAATGGATCCCTGTCCTTCAACGACTGGAAAAAACTGTTCGTTCGCTTGTAAAGGTCTGTTGAGAGTGAAAGTAAGTAATGTGTTGTTTCCATCAGTCGTGTTCGAGGATATCCTGTATTGTGAAGAGGGATTTGGTGGCTTGACAGTCACGTTGAGGGTTTGAGGCCATTGGAAAGTGAAAGATGCATTCTCGGTTAAGGTGTTAAACTTAAAGGCCCATCCCATTTGAAAATTAGAGGCTTCGGTTGAATACAACGGACCAATGATGTTATAATTATATACAAAGGTGACAGGGGTAATAGCATTTACGGGTGTTCTTTGTGACATTGTTGCCACAATGTACAAAGTTTCGGAATCTGTTTCAATATTCAATGAAGTTTCAGAGGTGAAATTGGTCGAGACTGAACCTTCTTGCAGAATGGCATTCCCGTAAGGAAGTTTCAATGGAATTGCTCTTCCCACTCTTCCATAATCTCCATTGAAAACAAACGTGATTTCTTCATGAACTTGTGCTTGACATGAATTTGGTTGAAATTTTAGCATCGAGTTTACATTTGCAATGATATAACTCTTTGCTTCAACACAACAGCATGTGATCAGGAATGATAGAGTGATGAATAATACAACCAGTACTACTGATCTTGTTGACATGATTCTTGTTTGCATTTTGTTATTGTTGTTTGATTTGGAAATTGTTGTTTTACTATTTTTATTTGCATGACTAGTGGTGACCTTGTCTAATAGAACGAAGTGAGAACAACAAGCAAAGTTCAACGGCATATATATGGAAAAAGTCGAGTAGTGACCTGGCTGTCAGGTCCAGGGCTCATTCCATTTAACCAATGAACAAGCCCATCCATACCTTCTTTGACTCATGTTCAGAATACTTTACACTCCACTCTCCATCCTTTGTGTCCTTCGAAGGTACTTGGTGTCAAGATCTGGCCACTGTCAACTAGAAATTTGATGAAACTGGGTTCTGTTAATAAAAGCAAAAAAAAATGTCCCCAACACTACTCGAGAATGGAGACCAAACGCAACGACTTGAATTTACTCCTTCTGTATCTTCTGACATACTTTTTTCGATTCATGGATTAACTCTTTTTGTTTTGATTTTTCACATTGCTTTCCGATGTGTTTTAAAATTAAGATTCAAAAAATCGAATCATTCTCATCGTGATGATGTGATTGACTTTATTCTGATGGTATTCAGTTGTACCTTCAGCGTTGTGTCTTTATCCATTCTGATTTTTGTTCAACTTTTACAAGTAGTGAATGAACAAAATTTATTACAGTTTCGATTTGCATTGGGAGGTGTGTGCATGCTTATACCAGGAACGATTGTTATTATTTACGAAAGAAAATTAGAGCATAAGGATGCAGCAAATTCTTCGTTCAAGACGAGCTTGCAAGAACGAGGGAAACAATTTTTGCAAACTTTGAAAATTCTCATTTTGGACAAGATGACTTATTTTGGAATACTAACCATTCTCTTATTGCAAATTCTTGTGCCATTCATTTCGATTGTAAGTATAAGTTAGTAGATTTACATAATTCTTTTGAACAATTCTTTTATAGATATTTATTCCTGGTGTGAAATTTTCCATGTCCTCATCCTTTTTAAGAAATTATCTTTCTCAATTTTTGACACTCAATGCAGACGAAGAAAATTTAAAGAAAATTCACACGCTCCTTAATGACCTAGAAAACAGTCAATTTTTGACATTCTATATCTTGATTCTTTCAGGCTCCTTACTAAGTATGGGTTTGAATGGATTCTTTGGATACGGAGAAGAAAAATGTTGGAGAGAATTTTTATGGAATTATTATTGGAGAAATCATTCCAAAGAATCCGAACAGCAAAAAAGTGGCTCCTTGATGAAATTTATCCAAAGCTCACTGTGGATTGGCTTCATTCATGGAGTGTGGCACGCGCCCATGATTTTATTAGGACATAATTATGGAATGAAAGAACATGTTGGTTCTCAATGGAAAGGCGTTTTAATGATGACGGCAAGTTGTACCTTTCTTTCACCATTGTTGTGTTTTTTTACAGAATATAGTCAATTGTCTTTGAGTTCTTACGATAATGTTGAAAAGAATTCAAACCCAAAAGCGAATGGAATACTTGCTGGAATTCTTCATGGAATTTTCAATTCTTCCTAAGTATTGAGTTTCATGTTTGTGGAGAGTGAACACGTGTTAAGGGTTGGAACAGTAGGAATGGGAGGTTGTTGTACCATGTTCTTGTTGTCACTTGTGATTTGTTGGATGATGAATAACAGTTTCAAAAGGAACACCAAATTCCTTAAAGAAACCAATAATTGCAACAACCACTAGTCCTTCGTATACGAAAACTCCCTTCTTCCAACACACACCATGAACCAACCTCTAAAAGAATCCAAAACAATCAAAATCCTTTCCAAATTCCATCAAATTGATTGTTTGAAGCGCACGCTCGTCCGTTTCCAGCAAATGCACCAAAAATAACTCCGCCCAGTCCAAACCCGTCCGCGCTTCTGCACGTGCGTGTGTGAGAGGCTTCAACGGACGTAATTATTGAGAGTCGTTGCGAGAGCTTTAATACGAATTTTCAAATTTAAATCCTTCAGCTCCGATCCGCATGAGTTTTCCAATCACAACAAAAAGTGTCCACTTTGAACCAACACCACCAACTCTCCATTCAACATCATCATTCTTTTCAACGACATCCAAGAGGACTCTCGTAACAACCAATCAGAAGAAGAAGAACAACCTTGATTTGAAAACACAACAAGAATTATATACATCCCCGCCAACACAAACACTCCCGAGAATTTAAACATCATGATGACTGCCATGGAATCCTATCCTGCTCTTTCCACCTCCAATATCGGAATGATGATGGTAGATACCTCATCAAGAAGAAGCAGTACATTATCTTCCTCCTCTCCAACCTCCTCTCATTCCACTTCCTCTTCTCATAAAAAACATTCTCCATTGTTTGAGAGAAGACACTTGACTCAACCCTTATCAGTTTCATTGAAACCTACTCCTTCGACCTCGACCTCTTCCAAATCCACGATGAATACACAACAAGTGAAACCAACGTTCCACTTATCTCAATATTATACACGAGACGAAATTGAAGAAATTTACTTTCATTGGATTGAAAATACTCATTACATCAAACTGTATGAATAATCATTTTGAACACAATTCTTGTATCATAATCTAAGGAAAAATAATCTGTAAATAGAGAGTAACTAAGATAATAAAAACACAATTTTGCTCAATCCAACTTGAATATTACTGTAGTTTGTTTTTTACATCTCATATGATAATAGGTTGCATGATTTTTCAACACTTGCACGTTAGAAGCAACCCATTTCGCTTCGTGTGACACCACCATCTCATGATCAACACACAAAAGGAAATGGTTGCAATTTACATGTGACCCTTTTATTTTCAAAAGCCTCGCAACTGCTGAAGTCTCAACACGTTGATCCGCGCTTGTTGAAAAAAAATGAAGAATCTTCGAGGGGAGATGGAACAAGAGGATCCTGTGGCTACTACTGCTACTACTCTGCAAGAAGAGTCTCAGTCCTTGTTATTGAACTCTGCTTATAATGAACCTTCTTCCTCTACTCCTATCATGATGGTCATAGATACACCAGTTTATGGCAAAAAGAAAAATCCAATTCTTTTGCAAATCATCAAAATTAAAAACTTTTATCAATCGGAATCGTTGAGAAGAGTGAGAAGATGGGTCGCATTAATTATTGGTGCATTGGTGATGATTGCATGTGGAACACAATATTCATTTTCATCGATCAGTCCTTCTCTCAAAAAGTGAGTTTTTTTGAAACTGATTTTTTATGTGTGAAAAAACTGTTTCTTTTGTTTACAAAAAGACGTTTCGATTTGACTCAAACACAAGTGAATACCATTGGAACAGCAGCGAATTTGGGTACCAATTTCAGTTTTCTCTTTTCATTGGTCAATGATTTTTTAGGATGTCGAGCATGTTCTTTTGTATCTGGATTGTGTTTATTTGCTGCTTACTTTTTAATGTCACTTTCCGTGTCAGGTGCATTGCCATGGGCTGAGAATTACATTGCCTTGTCCATTTTCATGTTTTTGATGGGAAATGCTTGTGGAGGTGGATACACAGCTGCCATTGTTGCAAGTATTAAGAATTTTCCAGAAAGAAATCGAGGACTTGTCGGTAAGTAACAAAAGTCATTCACCATTCTTCAATCATGATGATGAACATGTTAAAATTCACAATAATGGAAATGATGAAAATATTGAATTCCTAGTGGGTGTCATGGCTTCATGTTTTGGTATCAGTAGTGCCATTTATTCCTTCTCCTATTCCTATATTTTCCAACTTGAATTACAACCTTACATGATTTTTTGTGCCATTTTAGGAGGAGTGGTGGTTATGGGTTTAGGAACCATCTTTTTAGACAGTAATTCCTCAGCAGATTCTCCAAAGAAAGAATCAAAAGCAGTTGAAGAACAGTCTGCCTCTATTAATACTACCTCAGAAAATGCATCGAGTGAAAATGATGGAGAAAAGAATGTTTCAGAACAACACATGACTGAAGAAAGTATTGAAATTGAAAAAATTAATGTGAAATTGAAAGAATTGGAAATGCCAAATTTGAACTCGTTGAAAATGTTAATTTCTCTTGATTTTTATTTGGTGTTTTTGGTTATATTTATTGTTATTGGAGGTTGGTTGATTATATATCATTATGTCAACTTGTTATAATATTTTCACACACTTTACAAAAATATAGCTGGTATTACTGTCATTAACAATTTGGGAGGAGTTGTGTTGGCCTATGGAGGTTACAATGGACAACAAAATATCATGATCATTATCTTTTCTCTCAGTAATTGTTCTGGACGATTGATTTTTGGATTTTTGAGTGATAAATTTTTAAATCCAAAACGAAACCTTACAAGAATTACCTTCCTTGCAGTTTGTACCTTATTGATGACCATTGTACAATTCTTATTTGCAGTCATGCCATTGAACGGTATTTATGCTTTGGTGGTGTTATTGGGAGTAAGTTGTTGTGTTTTTTTGAAACATCATTTCCAAACATGTCAACTATTATTTTAAATCTTGTAATGTAAACACGTGTGAACGAATGAATTTCCATCCTATTATTTTATTGAATAGATTTGTTATGGAGGTACCTTTGCATTGACTCCAGCATTCAACAGTGAAAGATTTGGTCCTAAATATTTCGGTATGAACAGTACGATTCAAAGTATGGCAGCCTCACTTGGAAGTTATGCCTTCTCGACGGGTATGGCTGGTGCTCTCTATCAAGCCAATGTCGTGCCACCAAGAACTCTCACTTGTCACGGAAGAGATTGTTATGAAGGAACATTTTTCATCTTGTCATTGTTGTGCTGCATTGCCTTAATCTTTTGCATGATTTTGCAATACAGAACCAAATGGCTATATGCTACCATGTATAGAAGAAAGGTACTTGCTAACCGATTAGAACAGCTTGAAAAGCTTGAGAAACAACGAGTTTAAATAACTTTGTTAAATCAATAAATAGATATGGTTAATTTAAATATGCTATGGATGGATATTTATTTTGTAAAAAATATATACTATTTACAGAGACTGAAACTCAACAATCGTCCAATCTAGATGCATCAATACTTCTCAACGTGCACACTGAAACAGAATCCTTAACCAGCAATATTCTGTTTTCTTCAAGTTTCATCGAAGAGATTTCACAACAACATTAGTGACTTGTGTCTCGACACAACACATGTGTCGCCTGCACTAGAGTTGTCATCTCTCTCGCAATGATGAAACCTAGCTACGCGTGTCTGTTGAGTAAGTGAACATCTCATTAGATTCAATGTTGAGTAGAGAAATGATTAGTTTTGATGGATGGATCACGTGATCTTTGAGAACGCTTAAATTCTCGTAGTTGTACCTTCTTCAATTTGAGTTCCTTCTTAAAGTTTTTGAGATTTTCTCTCTCCATCTTCTTTTTTTGCTGTTCTTGAATGCGTTCTTCCTTCAATTTCTTTTTCAAGTCACCTTGTTGTGTGTGACCAACAGTCTTGTTGGGACTGCCAGATTTTTGTTTTCTCTTCTTTCTTGTTTCAACCATTGACAAGGATACTTCGTTGGTTTCCTTAATTGGATCAACTGTTGAGGTATTTTCAATGGAAGGAACATTAAGAACACGTCTTTTCTTGAGCTGACTCTTCAAGCTTTTGAATTCTTGCTTCTTCATTTGCAATTGATTCTTCATTTCTGTAATTTCTTCCTTCAATTGTAGCAAAGTTTCACGAATTGTCTCGCCATCGAGTGGTGCTTTAGGTTCAGAAAATTCTTTTTCATTCAAGACCGTTCAAACATCGAACGAAAAAGAATTCTTGTCTTGCTGAGTCATGATTTCAACATCTTCATTTACTTTCTCTTCTGATACTGAGCCTCCACCAATTTTGATGTCTTCCTTTGCATGTTGAGGTGTCACTTGTTGAGAAATAACAAATTTACCACGGTATTCATCTTCATCCTTATGTTCAACACGGACTTTAATCTTGAAATCAAGAGTACCCTTTGGACCAGCACTCTGTTGTAACTTGGGAATGATTTCATTCCATTTCTTGTCATTTCGAATGGATTTGAACTGATCTCCGAGTTGAACCTTGATTTTCATCTTGTCATAGCTAGAAATATTCAAGATCTTTTGAATGAGTTGTTGGAATGCATTCAAAGAGATCTCTTCATTGATTTCTTCGGAATGACGAGTTGGAACAGTGAGAACTCTTTTTGGATTGCGTTTGATTTGCTTCAAAATGATGAACAATTGGAAGATAGCCATTTCAACTTTGAATAGTTCTGTTGTTGATGGAATGTGTTGTTATTGATTTTGAATTATTTGTTTTTGTTGTTGTTCTCTTGTGATGATATTCGCAAAGTTTAAATAGGTCTGAAGTTCAGAGTTCACCTCCCCTAACAATGTTCACCACAGAGAACAACCAGGCAAAAATTGTTGGCTGTTGAACGATGGTGAACCAATCATCTTTTCATTAGTTTTCAAACGTTGTCCTTACATTGTTTGAAACAAGCAATCACCTTTTTCAAACCCTGCAATCTTCACAACAACACGTGTTTTCATAATAATTCAAAATTCTTCAAGATGTTTCAAAATCGCACTCAACACGTGTTTTCATAATAATTCAAAGAGATTTTTCTGAAAACTGAAATTCATTGTATACCTTATTCAAGAAAAATACAATACTGCCATTGTGTTCATGCCCTACTCGAACAAACATTGCGCCTTTCAGCGCAAACCCTTACATGTTCTTCTTCTCTGCATGTTACACATGTTTGTCTTTCACTTGACATTCACTATTGTGAATACATCTCAAACAAACTCTTCTTCTTCGAACACTGATGACAATGGTCCTGTCATTGGTATCGATCTGGGAACTACCTACAGTTGTGTAGCCATCTATCGAAATGGTCGTGTTGAAATTATTGTCAACGATCAAGGAAATCGAATCACACCTTCTGTGGTGGCCTTCTCTGAGAATGGAGAACGTTTGATTGGAGAATCAGCCAAAAATCAAGCAACTCTCAATCCTTACAATACCATCTATGATGCAAAGAGACTCATTGGTCGTCGTTTCTCTGATCCACAACTTCAAAACGACATTGCTCTTTTACCATTCAAAGTGGTGGACAGGAATGGAAAGCCAAATATTGAGGTCGAAATTCGAGAAGGAGAGAAACGAGTCTTCTCACCTGAAGAGATCTCAGCCATGATTCTTGGAAAGATGAAACTCATCGCAGAAACATATTTGGGACATAAAGTGACACGTGCTGTCATTACCGTCCCAGCCTACTTTAATGACGCACAAAAGCAGGCCACTCGTGACGCTGGAGCTATTGCAGGATTGAAAGTAGAGAGAATCATTAATGAACCTACTGCTGCAGCAATTGCGTATGGAATTGATAAGAAGAAGCAAAATCAGAAGGTTCTTGTCTATGATTTGGGTGGTGGAACGTTTGATGTGAGCATGTTACTGATGGATGAAGATTTCTATGAGGTGTTGGCCACAAGTGGAGACACACATTTAGGAGGAGAAGACTTTGATAACCGAGTAGTGAGATGGTTATTGGAAGAATTCAAAAGAAAGTATCCAAACAAATCCAAGTCCATTGATATGGATAAGAAAGCCGTTCAAAAGTTAAAGAGAGAAGCAGAGAAGGCCAAGAGAGTTCTATCTTCACAACATGAGACTAGAATTGAAATTGAGGCGTTGCATGATGGTGTGGATTTTAGTGTGAAATTGACTCGAGCCAAGTTTGAACAGCTCAACCATGACTTGTTCGTGAAAACATTGAAACCTCTCGAACAAGTTCTTATCGATGCCAAGCTCACCAAGGACCAAGTAGATGAAATTGTACTCGTTGGCGGCTCCACTCGAATTCCAAAAATTCAACAATTGTTAGTGGACTTCTTCAATGGTAAAAAACCAAAACAAGGTATCAATCCAGATGAAGCCGTTGCTGCTGGAGCTGCCATTCAAGGAGGAATTATTGCTGGTGATGTAGAAGATTTGGTGTGGGTGGATATTGCTCCACTGTCACTTGGTATTGAGACTGTAGGTGGTGTCATGACGAAAATAATTCCAAGAGGTACCAAAATTCCTACTCAAAAGTCACAAATCTTCTCCACCTACCAAGACAACCAACCAGGTGTCTTGATTCAAGTGTTTCAAGGAGAACGTTCAAAAACTGCTGACAATACTCTCTTGGGAAAATTTGAATTGACTGGCATTCCTCTTGCTCCACGTGGTGTACCACAAATTGAAGTAACGTTTCATGTAGACTCGGATGGAATTCTTCATGTGACAGCTCAGGATACTAAAACCCAACAAAAGAGTAATATCACCATCTCCAATGAGAAATTGAACATGAATAAGGAAGAAATTGACAAGTTAATGGAAGAGGCACGTCAATACGAAGAAGACGATCGAAAATTTAAGGAAACAATTGATGCTCGAAATGAGTTGGAAGGATTCATGTATGGCATTAAGAATCAACTGAAGGAAGAGAAATTTAAGGCCAAGTTCAAGAATGAGATGGATTTGAAAACAGTTGAAGAGGAATTAACAAATTCAATGAAATGGCTCGAGACACATCCTGATGCGTCTAAGGAAGATTTCCAAAATGAAAAGAGCAAGTTAGAAGACAAACTGAAACCATTATATGCAAACATGCAAGCCTCCGACTCTCAAAACGAAGGGCAACGACATGATGAATTATAGGCATTTACAGATTCATTTGAATAAAAAGCAGCTCCGTTTTGGTGATCATTCGGTGAGTACCAACACTCTCGTCAAGTAAAATTCACATTTTGTTCCGTTGTATCCAAAGAATCTTCACCATGAAGCAGAAGGCTTGCTGAATCTTGTGCGCGAGTGGATATTTTGAACACGGAATGAAAATTTTTTATTTAATTTTTCAAAATAAAAAAATGAGTGTGTTTTACAAATTTAAGTCCGCCAAAGACTATGACACAATTGCCTGCGAAGGCACAGGTATCAGCCTCGGTAAACTCAAACAAGCCATCCTAACGCAGAGTAAACTTACCAAAACAATGGACTATGATCTTGTTGTTCAGAATGCCCAGTCCGGTGAAGTTTACAAGTATGACCAAGATGTTGTACCAAAGAATACATCTCTATTGGTGAAGAGAGTACCACTGAATAAAGGTGGGCTCGGATCGGCTAATAATAATCCTAGTGCAAATGCTCAGCCTGCTGTCGTTCCTCCAAATTTATCATCAATTAATACACCATCATCATCAACAGGAAACACAAAAAGTCTCACAGGATCTTTGTTATCAAGAAACACAACAACATCATCAACAATGTCAAGTACTGGCCAACCTTCGTTTTCATCACTGTTCCCAACACTTGGAAACGTGAGCGGAGAGCAACCAAAAGAATTTAATGAAGAGGAAAAATTGAAAGAAGTTTTGAGTGGTATGTCGGAAAAGTGGATTCCTGAGACTTCCACTCAACATCATCATTCTCACTCAAAAACTCGTGGTGGAGTTCCTCCACCAAATTATATTTGCCATCGTTGTAAAAAACCTGGCCACTACATCCAAAATTGTCCAACAAACGGAGATCCTAGATACGACATTAAGACCATTCGTAGAGCAACCGGCATTCCAAAGAGCTTCTTGACTCCTGTTGAGACTCCACAAGTTGACCTTTTAGGTGGCTCAGTTGTCACACTTGGAGGAAATTTGGCTGTGGTATCTTCGAATGATCAAATGTTTGCTAAAGCTATCGGAAAAAGAAGTAATATATCAGAATTGAAAGATATTCCAAAAGAATTCCAATGTCCTTTATGTTCCAAACTATTCAATGACGCTGTTACCATTCCATGCTGTAAAACTAATTATTGCAACAATTGCATAACTCATGCTTTAATACATAATAATTTAACATGTCCAAATTGTCAATCTCCTGAGCAGTCTATTGATAGCTTGGCTCCCAATTATGAATTGAGAAACAAAGTAGAAAAGTTTAAATTAACATTAGATCCAGATCTTGCAAAAGCAACTGATACTAAGGAAACATTTGGTACACCTTCAACCACTGGCAATGTGCCTGCCAGAGGTAATGCTCCTGTTCATAAGAGACACCCACATCAACAACAGCATCAACAACAACAACAGCATGCACCTAGGAACAATTATCAACCATCTAGTTCTGCCCAACAACCACCTCAACAACAACATTATTCAGGAGGAGATAATAAACAAAACCAGAGCAGTAACATCAGCCGTGGATATCCTGTAGAGAACAGACAAGGTAAATCCTCACCTCAACGAGATAATTACGACAGAAGAGGAAATGCTCCATCCCAAGCTCCGTATTCTTCTTACAACAGGAATGCTTCGTATGATTCATACGACAATAGAAGAGACGGTAGACGAGAGGACAGAAGAGACGAAAGAAGAGACGACAGAGATTATAGAAGAGGAGGTGATTATCACAAGAGAGATCGATACGAAGGTCGTAAAGATTATGGTGATTACAACGGATATGACAGAAAGAAGAGAAAGGATTAATTTCTTTTTTACATTCATTGTAATAATTTATTATAATTTAAATTTCACAACCAAGTTCAATAAATTATTTTTTTTATTGCCTTAAAGACTTAAAACATGAAAGACATGAAGACAACAAGAGCAACAATCATCATGCTCATCACTCCATTTCTCACTGAACTTTGACCATCATTACTCTTCTTTGGTGTTCCACAAGTACTTGTCGAAAAGAAATCAATTCCACTTGCAAAAATACTATATGCGTCATGAGCAACAAAATTCGTTGGACTCGAAGGTTGTTGACTTGAATGAGCAGCAAACAAGAGTGTGGTTTTAGTTCCCTTTGAAAGAGCATAATAAGTACTTGGAGCATTTTGAGGACGAGTCAACGATCTCACATAGGTCATGGTTGTGGTCGAACCAGAAGTGGTGGAAGTTGCTGAAGTGAATTGATTAGTGGAGAGTCGACTTGGTTGAGAATTTCCATTGGCATAATACTGTGTGTATGTAAAATTTACATTCCAATCAGGGATCATGATAATATTAAAGATCAAAAGGAGGAAAATAGAAACACCATGATCACAAATTTGAATGTGAATTTTGATATTATTAAACTTACTTCATTAATAGTTCCATTACCACTTCCATATCCCAACACAATGGTAGCTCCAGTCATTCCACTTCCATCACTTGGATTTTTCATTCCAACAGCTCCCCATCCTCCTGAATTATTGATCGTGAATCGAGCACTCAATCGATTATTAGTTTCATCCAATGTCCATTCGACTTTGTGGCTTCCGAACATTTGACAGTTGGAATAAGTTTGAGCATTGATCAATGAAACATAGCCACAGAGAAGAGCGAGTAACAACAAGGCAAGGTTCAATTTGAATGAATTTATCATCATGTGGTCTGTTGTGTGAAAGGATTGTTTTTTTGTATTTTGTTGATATCGATGTGTAATTGCCATCTCTCTTGAATGACAAGATCACGTCAATTCGATCAACAACGTTCAAAGATGACGAGTGGCGGGTGTGCAGTTGAAGAAAATACGTGCGTTGCACAAACTTACGATTGGTTGAGCATCTGCCAGATGTCGCTACCACATTCCTTTTGGAGAATTTTTGGAAGCTCTTATTCCATGATGGATTTCATAACTCCATGTCACGAAAATATTTAAGTAGCAGTACTGCGATCATATGCGTATATTCAATCCTGTATTTATGAATAACAACATACAATATTTAAACATTATTTTACCACTCCATTAAAACGTGCCAAATGTCATGATAAACACCAAAATCAATATCATGATCGAATTCATCATTCCCATGACAGAACTAGCACCATTGGTCTTCTTACTATTCGAAACTGCTGGTTTTACCGAAGGACTTGGAGTTGGCGTTTGACATCCCTTCACATTATTATTAAAGAAATCCGTCGCATTAATTTGAATATATCGAGCATCATGAACTGTTAAGGCATCAGGATTACTTGGAAGTGTATTAGAAGATGCAAATAATAAGGTCACTCGTTCGCCCTTAATGAATTCGAAATAGGTGTTTGGAGCGTTTAATGGTCGGGAGAGTGGACGAACGATGGAAATGATGGTTGTGGAACCGGAGAGAGAAGTGTTGGCTGAGAGGAATTGATTGTTGATTCTGGTGGGTTGAGAATTGGCATCGGCGTAGTACTGTTGGAAAAGTGGCAAGTGACAGGTGAGAGAAATATTAGAGAGAGTGCGACCATTGGATGTTCAATGAAAGAGAGCAAGAGTAGTGGATGTTCATTAATATCATTTTCATGAAAAAACAAACATTCGATCGGAAATGGTCCGTTCAAATTTTCACAGTTTACAAAAAAAATTCATCCGTCATCATTGAGATTACAAGTCAATTCACAAGTGATGAATCATCAGTAATTCAAAAAGATTAATCATCATACTCACCTCATTGACTTCAGTTCCATATCCCAAAGTAATGGTTGCTCCAGCCATTCCATTTCCTAAAACTCCTCTTTTGAAACCAACGGCACCATATCCTGGAGCACTTGGAATGGTAAATTGAGCACTGATTTTATTGTTTGCTTCATCAGTGGTCCATTGAACTTTGTAATAGTTATTGATGATTTGACAGCTGGAATAAGTTTGAGCCAAAAGGAATGTATTGACAAGTGACAGTATCAGAAAGAGTGGAACGAGGATTTTGAAAAGCATCTTGAATGTGTGAATTTTTTTCTGAAAGCCAAAGGAACAACAAGACCAAATCTTGGGAACGAACGGGTTGTGACATAGTGAAAATTAATGATTGGTCAGGGGAGTTTTTCACGAGTCACCTGTCATTAATTTTTTGAATGCATGACTTTTCGAGTAATCGTCAGGCAGGCAAACACGCGAACCAGAAGATAACGAATCATCATCACATAGATAACAACAATTAAATTCCTTCATCATCTTGTATTCAAAATGTTTAATAAATCGATAAAGAGATGTCTTGTGAAATAGTTCAAAATTTCACAACACTACTACCAAACTAATCCCATCACTGCAGTCATGGCTGCAACACTAACCATCCACATTGCAAATGAACCACTCACTCTTTCTGCAGAATTTCTCTTAACCGATGTCGATCCAGATGGTTTCTTGATCGATTGACTTGGACTCACATGTCCTCCACAAGTATTAATATTATTATTATAAAAATCCACAGCAAGAGCATAGAACATGGTCGAGTCATGCTTTGAAAAGGTTTGAGGGGAAGTTGGGACACTGGATGAAGTTGCAAATAATAGAGTCGTATTGGTTCCTTTCGAAAAGGCGTAATAAGTAGAAGGTGCATTTCCAGGTCGTGACAAGGATCGAACGAGGGAGAGAGTGGTGGTGGAACCAACAGTGCTCGAATTGGCAGAGATGAATTGATTGGAGGAGAGACGGGTTGGCATGGAGTTGGAATCAGCATAATACTGTGAAAATTAATTGCAAGATTAAAGATGACAATTGACAGTTTTGAAAGTTACATACCTCGTTGACTTGAGCATTGCCATAACCTAATAAAATTGTGGTTTGTGCCATTCCTCGTGTAGTTCCTTGCTTGAAACCAACTGAAGCATAACCACTGGCATTAGGAATAACAAATTTTGCAGTTAATCGATTGTTGGCTTCATCACAGGTCCATTGAACTTCTACAGGACCAACTTTTTGACAACTTGACAAGGTATGATGTTGAGTTCGAGATTGAACCAATGTTGCGGTCATCAAGAATACGAGGACCAGCAAAGTAGCGAACGAAGCTTTCATGTTTGGAAGTGTGTGAAATTTTTCTTTTGTTTTTTTCGAGGTCGAGATTTCGATCGAGCTAGATCTTGTTAAGAAAGCACAAATTATGATTGGTTCAAGGAGTTTTTTTCACGTCAATTGTCATTAAAAGTGAGGTCAAGTGCAACTTTTAGGTTGGAAATTTCAACGATTACAGGGTGCCACAAGCAATAGACTCGCTGCCAAATGCCAATAACTTGGCGGGATTCTTCTACTTTTTAAAAACTGGGGGATAACAATGTAACCATCATTGTCAAAAACTGTAGCCTTCGCTACTTGAAATAAAACGTTTTCAATTCAATTGTTAATAATAAAAACTGCATTAAGGACCATTTCGATTCCTTCCCCCAAGTTTCTTAATTTGGAATCTATTTCATCGTTCGTTTATGCAATTGTAGTAGGCTTTTCTCTTCTCGTTGGACCATTCGAGTCATGATGAATTATTCAACTATTGAAAATGATAGTTTCACACTCCATCAACCATTTGAATGTGACTCACAGAATTGTGTCGATCAAACACTAAGCACCTACGAATGGAATCACACTGTGCAATGCTTTTACAATCCAAAAGAACGTCAATATGCTTCGCTTTATATGAGCCAAGTAAAAACAACTGTTGAAAAGGAATCTTACAAGTATGGAATCGTGTACACCTTTGTTGCCTTGTCGATGATTTCCTTGTCGTGACGAGTCTTGTCATGATGTTCTATTGTTTCTTCAAAAAAAGGTTGAAAATATCTGGAAAACACATCAAAAAAATGAGCATGAGCCTTCTCTATTCCTCACTCAATGATTTGAATCAAGCTGCCATTGCGCAAGTGATGGAAGTGGATGATGATACTCCTCTTGAGATTTATTTTACAACGGCTCGGAATTTGCTGAAAGAAGCAAAATTGTGTCGGGAATCTCAAGATTTGGAAGGAATGTACAAGTGTTTAATTCAATATTTGATATTGGTGGTTAAAAAGTTACCTTCTCACAAGGATTTAAATGTGGATGAAGATCAAGAAGAATCCGATGAATATATTAAATGTAAACAAGAATATGATTATAACTTTCAAAAGTGTGATCTAGTGAAACAGGAAATTGAAAAACTTCGAGGTCAACTGAATGATCTCTATGATGAACAACAAAAAGCCAAATCCAAAGAAAGAATGGCAAGCTTACAGGATTCGGATCCTTTGAGAAGAAAATCAGTTATTCAACCAATTGTACCAAGCGTAGCTGTGAACGCAACGACCGACAAGTTACCACTTCCTACATCTCCAAGTGTTTTAAACAAGAGATTTACCATGTCCATGAGATCATCAAATCCGAATATTATTTGCAAGACGCCAACCATGATTGCACAACGTTCGCGAGATGATCCCAATAGAATTGTTCGGGTTCGATTACTTCCTGGTATTATTGCACACGAAGGAACTCATACACCTACGAGTGTCTATCATTTGGTCACACCCAAGCAAATGCAGGACAATTTTGAAAAGTATAGACCTCAACCACAACAACCACTTGTTCGTAAGACCTCTAAACAACCACCTCCATTCCCAACTTCGTATCAGACACCAACCAATCAACAACCTTCCAACATGAATTATCAGCAGACACCTGTTTATCAACAGCAACAACAACAACCTACGTATCAACAACAGCCGCCAATGTATCATTCACAACAACAGCAACAATACTCATCAATTTATCAACAAGCCACACCAGTAGTTCAGTACACTCCACAATCACAGACCTACTCAACATCTATTTATCCTCAATCTTATTCTCAAAATACTAATTATGTTGAGAGTACATATTCAAATGCAGTTGAAAACGTTGCTTATAATGAGAGAGTTCAAGAATATGTTGGAAAACAAGTCGGAAATTTAGCAACCAATGAAAGAGTTCAAAAACAAGTGGGCTCATCCATTTCCAATGCTGCTAAGAATCAACAAGTTCAATCCACAATTGGAAATGCTATTGCATCAAGCTCTGACAATTCTTTTGTTCGATCTGTAGCTACTAATCAACAAGTACAATCTACCGTTGGAACTGTGATTGCAAACACAGCTGGTAATGAACAAGTTCAAAAGGCAGTTGGAAATGCAATTCACAGAGCTGCCAATGATAAGGAAATGCAAAAGAAGGTTGCTAAAGGATTTGTTAGTGTTGCCAAAGGCGCTTTTTCTGCAACAAAGGCTGGTGCCAACTTGGGATATCAGCTTTACCAAGAAAATAATAAGAATTGAGTCTCCTTATCGCCAATTTTGGAAAACTACACTCTTGATTTTGCTCACTTTTACCTTCTATTTATTTTTAATTTATTGACTCCATTTTGTGTCACAACTGTATAAACATTGTGATTTCAAACCTATTCACTCCAATTTCTTTACTAAATATATTTTAGCCAAAAACTTTATAAAAAAATGGCACAACCATCGTCGGCATCCTCCTCTTCTGCGAAACTGTCTGAAACAATTGCAACACTTAAAAACGAAAATTCTCGAACAACATCAAAACGAATAATTTCTGATTTGGAGAAAATTGAACCTAGATATTTCCGAACTCGATCGGGAAGTTTTGATATCTCAAGTTTTCGACAACATTTAAAATCGGATTTTAAACATTTCCAACAGAATGATCTGTCATCACGAGAATTTTGTATTTATGGCACTATTTTGGCAGTAATACCATTTGTTATTTTGATTTTCTTCTTATTATCTTATTTTTGTTACTTGTCACCACAGTTGTGTCCTATTGTTCACTCAAGTTTCACATCACATGCACGAGAGAATGCTCCAACAATTGTTGAACATTTATTGTGGATGATTTCTTGGTGGTTTTATGAGGATGCATACTTTAAATTTTTAATACCGATGGCCGTTCCTGTTGTCGTGTTATTCATTTACTTTAATTGGAGGTCATTCCAAGAATTTAAATACAATTAGAAATTTCAACACAAACAACTAGGATTGAAATAGGAAACCACAGTTACACGAAACACAACATCTCTAAAAGAAAACAACAACTAAATTAATTTAAAATTAATAATTTACAATAACTAGTTAGCAAGCATGCAATGAATTTCAAAATTTTGCACAAGTTGTCTTTTCGCACCTGTACAAGCAGGTAAACAATTCGGGAAGTGTCACAAAATTATTCCTCATCCTCTCTTTCAATGACACCATAGCCAAGTAACTTCTTTCTCAGAGTTGCCGTCGTAAAATTGGCTCCACCCAAGTCATCCAAACCAACAATAGAATCATCTGTTCGTCCGTTCTTGATACACACAATTGTTGGCATCATCCAAATTTTCAAGTGTTCCACGATAATTGGACAATGTTCTCCATCAACCTTAATAAACAGAGTTTCTAAATGTTTTGGAGCAATCTTTTGTAAATGGCTCAACACTAGATCGCAATAACTGTTCGATGGTCTATAAAACAAAACGACAACAAATTTGTTATCCTTCACGTGTTGAAAAAAGTCCTTAGCATCGCTCACATCCATGACCTTTCCGTGTCCCTTTTGCATCCATTCTTGTTTCAAGGAATGTTTTTGCTTTAAACTATCCAATCTCTTTTGTTTGAGTTTCAAGTAATCGTCGTCGGTCATTTCGTCCATCTCTCTCAACTTTTCATCGAGAGTTTTCTCAATGATTTGTGCCGACGCTAAAAGGGCGTTGTCCAACATTGCTTTTTGTACACTCATGATGATTTAGAGGTTGTTGTTGTTGTATGAACGTATTCGGAGAAGACTTTGGATAATTTTTTTAAATGGTGTAAAATGTATTTTTGCATTTGTATGAAGAGTATATGTTGTAAAAATTGGCGGGTCGAGAGAACGAATACAAAAATTATCACCCGTTTCACATGTGAACTAAATCTGAAGGTTGTTTAATGTTGTAGCTCAGCAATAATCATGGCATGCTTATATGGTGCAAGTAGGGGCAATCAATAAATTATAGTTACAATTTACAGAGGTTATTGTTGATCCATGGCATCTTGTTGTGAAGTTTTGTTCAAAGTACTTGTTCGGCTTGGATGCCTCACTTTCAGTCGATTGTTGGTAACATCTTCAATTGAATGTGAAACACTTTGTAAATAATTTTCAGCCAGCTCAAGCCTCTTTTTCAAAATTTGTGTTTGAATTTCATTTTGGTCTGGTAATCTTTCAATCGATTCATTTGATCGTCTTGTGAGCGAATAAGCGTCGTAATTCATCTAACATTTTTTCAAATTCCAAACAAGCTGCAACTAAATTTTCTCTGCTGTTGAAGCCTCTTTTTTTAATTGCTCCGGTGTCCATACAGTTTTACTCGTATCGGAAACCATTGGAATATTATTCATGACTTGATAATCAGTGATTGCTGGAGGAGCATCTCTTTGTAACACTCCGAGAGAATCTACCATAACCCTCGAAATATGGCAAAGCTTGTCCTGTAAATGCGTAATCTTATCACCCATGTGTGGTGTGCAGCTGATGAAACGATCAAATATTTTTTTTAAATTAAAAATGCTCCATCATAAGCCTGTGATGATCCCAATAACACATCCTTTTCATCAACGACAACACGAGAGGCTTCATATCGAATAGACAAGCAGAGATTGAAGCACTAAATCACCTTTTAGTACAAAACCCGTAACGTTGGAAGAGGTGGAGAAGGAAGTTTTAGCACAAGGTGTATTTGATAATTGGTGCGACCGTTTGTTTTCAGAGTTTGATAAATCGGTAAGGGTCATGTGATGGAGGTACTTGAAACCAACTGATCCGATTATTTTAAACAATGTTATTATTCTTTGATGATGTATTGGGTGATGAACAACAATTCCGATATGTGATGAATCATTGGCTTATC